AGGAAGCGCCGCGGTCTCGCGCGCAATCCTTAGACATGGTTACGATTTGTGAACCACTGTCCAAGATACTTTCGTCCGGACCATTGTTGTTAATATTCGGCCAGACGGTACGCAGTGTCGCCGAAGGTTCGCCCGCGAAGATAACATCGGAGCGACCGCGTTCAGGCAGACTCTGGTATACCTCGAGTCGGGCGTCAATCTGCACATAGGACCCGATGGGTACCTTAGTGTGGGCGCACGACGGTAGCTCGACCGTCGTGGTAATGACCTCGTTCTCGAGCGCGGCCCAATTCACCTGAACTGGATCGTCGGACTCGCTACCTCGGCCGAGATTGGGGCGCTGTCCCTGGGCATAACCCAATTCTTTGCGTTGGTACGCTTCAGTGAGCAAAGCCACACGCAGGACCTTGCCAAAATTGTCGTCGATCTCGCGCTTCCTAGTCAACAATTTCCTTAGAAGGTCTTGTAGAGTAGGACTGACTCCCAGAAATTCACGCAGCGTAATTCCGGTCATCGGGCACTTGGTCGACAATAATTTCTCTAAGACATCTTCCGAGTCTACAGAGGTTTGTATAGGAGCCTGGACCTTCGCCGCGGGCTTCGCGCGACTTGCTTCACCGGGCGCTGCGCCGGGCTTAACAGGTAACGCAGAAGGGCGTTGGTCAATGGGTATAAATCGCATCTCGGGCACAGAGCGATAGGGATGAGCAGGACCGGCCTGCGGTACAGGGCCGGGCTGCGAATTCGTAGTCTTAGCATTGGGCGCCTTCGCAGGCGTCGCATACACGGACTTGTTTGGATTTTGTGGCAACGAACTAGCTGCTGGTTTTAACTGGCTCTCATCACGCCCCCAGCGTTTATCAAGGTATTGGGCGTGAATCCCTGAACCCATCAAAAACCCTGGGACGACCCCTCCTGGACCGACGGTGGCTGAGCCATCTCGCCGACAGGCGGGTTGTTGTAATGAGCGATCTGCTCCGGGGAGAGCTGCTCGGTGAACTCATCCCAGCCGGGAGGAACGTCCAAGCCTGAGTCCAGTATGACACTCGGCGGTTGTTGCGGGATGCCCCACATGCCTGAGTTGGTATATTGACCAATGTAGTTCATGAAAGGAGCGACCACATATTGGTTAACAGCCGCTTTCATTTGCTGCCACTTAGTGCGCATCGGCAAGTCCAGTGGACCATTGCGACGCGGTATAATTTCGCCTGTCTTAGTGCGGAAACCTCCAGCGTTATCGGGTACGATCTCGCCGGACTTAATCGCATTCTGACAATCAGGGCAATTGTTCATGAAGTGGCCGACCTCGCCACACCAGTTGCAAGTATATTGAGGTCGAAGGGGACCGCGCTGTCCGCCACCATAATTATTTTGGGGTCGGTTGAACGATCCAGGGTAGTTGGGTCGGAACCCACCGCCTTGCGGGGCGGCGCTGTTTGTGTTGAGCGACAGCTGGTTGGTGAGGCGCTGAATCGTCTCTTGGATCATCGCGAAGTTCTGATCGGACTTGGTACGTCCTTGCGCGAGCTCGGTATGAACTTCGGACTGTAGACTACGTATAGCGGTCTTGGTTTCCTTTTCGCCTTGGCTAGCGCGCTCAGCAAATTCGTGGAAATCCTGCTCGAGTTTAACTAAGCGAGATTCACTGTCGCCCGAGTAGGATACAGCGTGCGAGGCGGAGGCCACGGAGGTCCGGGTGGACGCGACGGGATAAGCGTCGCCAATGGCGTTCTGAGCTGCAGTGAAACCGCGGCGCCAGACTTCGCGCATGGTGGCAACAATATCTTCCCATCGGTAACCTCCTTCGACGATGGATGTGTTAGTCGGCCGTTCCGGAGGATTCGCATTTTCCTTGCCGGGTACCTCAAGACTGCTCGACTTGCCGACCAACATCATGTCGAGGGTCGCAAGGAACTGAGGCGTGCAGACAGCGGCGAGGCGCGAGCAGACTTCAAAATTCGAAATCTTGTAGTTGCTACGGCCGAGTTTGAGAATACACGGAGCAAAGCGACGAAGGAACACGTTTCCACGAGTCCCGTCCTGCTCGCCAAGTCCGCGGAACTCGCTACAGATTTGGCTGAGCTCTGCAAGCGTTCCGGACTGTTGACCCGATATTTCAGGGTACTGTTCCAGGATCGCTTTAACAAAGTCCTCCCATGGTTTGTTTTTGAATGCGAGCGCCAGCTCCTCCCACAAGATGCGCGTAGCAGTCTTTTTAGCGTGGAGAGGCGCCTTAGCGATTTTGTCCGCATCGGATGTGATCCCGTGATCTTTGAGGTAGGTATCAAGATCTCGTAGGAACAAAGGCAAGCCACTCATATCATCCTCGTCGAAGCGAGGGGCGTCAGACGCCGTATGAGAGTAGCGAGCGGTAGACATTGGTTTGGGAATAGAAGTAGAAGTCGAAGTCGGAATAGAAGGAACGGGACGGGATATACGAGTCGGATTCGGAGTCGGAATGATTCTGGAAGCTGGAGTCGGAGTCGGTTCTTCGGTCGAGGCTGGTTCGGTACGGTCGCGAGTCGGAAATAATTCAGAGAGAGACGGAGTCGAATCGTCGGACAGAGAGCTCAAGGGGGATGAAGCGCGTGGACCCTGTGTCGCGGCCGGTTCGGGCTCGATGGAAAGACGAGAGAATGAAGCAGAGAGGTCGTTGGCGACCGAGAGAGAAGTAGGAGAAGGAGGGTTCGGTTCTGTGTCCTCAGGGAAAGCACCTGGTAAGGTGTCGTCCGCTTTGGATGTTTCTACCGGACGTTGGGTAACGGATTTCCGGGGTGATACTGATCGCGATGGGCGACTGGCTTGTTCCGCTAGACGCGCTCGCTCTTTGGCCTTTCTCTTGGATCGCTCGGATGTAGAGCTATCCCAGTCCGGTCTTAGAGCCGAGAGGCTGGATTTTTGTCCAGGAGCCGTCGTGACGGTACCCGAAAACACAAGTAGAATTGGAGAGGGCCTTAATATGACTCTCGAAGTTCGCTCAGCAGCTAGTAATTTGCTGGCTAACACAGAAATATCCCCTCGCGGTGGGCTCCAGATGATGGGATCGTACGCTCACGAAAGACGCGAAGTACAGTCTAGCTAGACGATCCACACAACCAAACACCAACAACCACGATAGCAATGAACACGCTAGACTGGAGGCGCTACGAGAGCGGGCGAGTCCGAGTATTTATATTACTTGGGGATAGATTGTGTTGTTTATGCCAGTTCCAGACGAGCTGGACTGAAGCGAGAAGTCGAGTGGGGCAATCGGACGTCTCGGCGTTCTGACGAGCGCTTTCGGGTTTGATTGAAGTTCACAAGGCGGTTTAATGCGCTCGGAAGTTCAGGCTTTTATGATGTGTAAAGTGCGGGTTAACGCGGTTGTGTTTATTTGGTGTGGTGTGTAGGTACTAGGGCTTCTCTGCGCGGGGCCGGAAAAAGTCCTCGAATCGTATGTAGGTCTCGGTATATAACTTGAACGCGTCGTCTCGGCCGTCCAGACCGCGCGGTAACACACAATGCCTATCTCTGAGTCAAAATCCAACTATAACGCCTATCCGCGCGTTCTCCTGTCCGAATAATCGCGCAATGACTGCGGTTCCTGGCGGTAGAGCGGTTGACTGGTCGGGTATCCTCCTGCGCCGCGATGCCGGGCGCGATTCCACACTTGTTGATGTTTACCAAGGCAAGGCCGGCCTGGTTTCCACCCGTTCCCTTGTGCGCGACGCGGCTCAGAGGCCTGCGCGGCGGGGAGCGTACAGTCTGGACTGTCGATACGCGGGGAGCGAAGCCCTTGCCGGGGCGGACAGCGCTTGGCGGCGCCGACGCTCGGTTCGGAGTTCAACTCGGCGATGTCCGAGATCACGAGCTCGGACCCGAAGTTCCGGTCTCGGACCCGAAGTCACGTGTAGTCACGTTGATGGTTCGAGTTCCGCTTGCGCGGTGCTCTGCGTGTCTCCGCATGACGGCGAGCAGCAGGAAGGCTTGTCCGAGCCCCAACAATAATCTAGATTCTCTTGACACAGCAGGGCAAGAGGACTGAAGGCTTGAGGCGCGTATAGCGCGGCTACTTGATTAAGTAGGGCCCGCCAAAGGACTCGCAGGATGTCATCGACGACGCGCAGACTCGTGATCAGGCGCCGAAGAGCTCGCTGCTATCCTTGGTCAGTCATTGCAGATGGATAATGCTGCGGACTAGTTGTATTGAAGGTTAGGAAGCGTGGCGCTCCTGGTTTTCTATGTCATAAAATACCCCCGACGCGCCCGTTGTACAGTCGCGACGTCGGTGCAGTATATACGGATCCGCCCATACAATCTAGACCAAGTCGACTATATATCGCTTGTTTATGTATGTTTTTCCGCGTTTTTCAGCCGCAGGGCGTATCATGGTGCTACTATAGGTACATCGGTGGTATCATCACTAAAAAACTATGATAGGTATAACCCCAAGTATCAGTAAAATGAAGGAAAATGCCTGCCACACACGAGTGTGGTGTTTTCCAGATAGTTAGGGATGACGATGAGCGCGCGATCGACGCGATTATGACACGTCGCGGACGCACCAGGTGTAGTGAAAGCGTACCAGTCGATACTTCGCAGTGGCCGTGTGGAAAGGGGACGTTCGCGAGAGGAAGAGAGCCCGGGGCCTGCACAGTACGCGCGCGCGGAGGGGGTAGGGGAAGACGCGCGTCGAGAGTCGAACGTGTCGCGCCGGACGCAGCGCCGGACGGAAGCAGAGCTGGCTGGTCAGCCGCGTGCGGCGAGCGCCGGGACCTTTTCGTCGGTGACCTGTTCTGCGCGACGTTGGAGGCCCGAGCGCTGCCGGGAGGGGGCGGCGGGAGCAGACGCGCGGACCAGCCGCGCGATGGCGGGAGGAGCGCGCTGATGCAGCACGTGGGATCCCAAATTCGGATCATTTACGGGGCGACCTGGGAGGAGCCGCCCCCGCCGGGTCACCGGAATCCGCCTGAGAACGTGTGGGTACCAAACACTTTTGTCCCGCGCTGCCATCTCTCCTCATGCCGCCCAAGAAGCCATCTGTAATCATCAGTTCATCGTGGGACCTCGGCTTACTTGCGTCGAAACTCAAGTTTATGGGATCCTCTGGGAGAGAAGGGCAAGCACTCGTCGAGCAAATACGTGTCTTATTGCATTCCCATCATCCCTTCGACGATCTTCGCGCATCGCCCATGCTTTCAAATGGTTTACCACGCAACGTAGATTCTCCTACCACCACACGCGCTCTTCAGTGCTTCATTGCACTACAGTTCCTCCTCCAGCTTCCCGAGAAAAGCTTCAGTCTACTTGCCACTGACCTCGCCGAAGGCTGCCTATGCGAGTTCTGGGATTCAATAATCGCCTGGATTCAGTACTCGCACTCCGGCTTCCGCTCTCCCATTCTGGGAAGGAAAAACGTCGACATGGCGCCACTTGTATCCATTCTCACTTCCCTTTTCCGGCGAGCAAAGGTCCTGATACCTGATCTATTCGCTCGTACACCAGAGATATATGGTATACTCGTCGACCTCTGGTTGCACCTCGACTTGTATGTCCGTGGTGACGGTCTTGACACGAGCATGGATGAACTTGGTCGTGCATATATCGATCACGCGGTATGGAGGAGCGGCGTTCAGGACGCGCAATACTGGTCCTGGGATGATGGAGATCTGAATGCGATCAATGGTGCGCGCTGGGCCATCCGAGACCGCACTCGATACTGCTATCGTCGATTCGTCTTCCACGCCCGCCGTTTCTTCGAACGCCTCCGTGCAGCCGACTTGAAGCGCACCGATCCGCACTACGCGTGTCTTTATAATCAGCTTACCGCAATCAGGTCGTTTGCGAACCATCTGCTTCCTGTGTCGTGCATGCCGCGCGATGTGATCCGCGATCTCGTCGAGATCGTGCGTGTCTGCCACTCGTCGTCCTCCGCTCTCTCTATCGCAGAGAATGCGTGCGACACGCTGGCAGTCATATGGCAAGCAACGGATGACCAGCGCGCGCTCGTTTGGTCTCTGCGCGACGGGGTGCTTCCCTTGGTACTGTCGCTATATCACCGTGACCAGCCGAGTGACAGAGTCAGGAATGCACTGGGGTGCATAGCCATCCTCTCTGCCTTCGCCGAGGTCCAACGCGCGCTCCCGCTGGACATGTCGTTCGTCGACGAGTTCCCGCAGGGAGCCGGCGCATACGCTCAGCGCCTCGCCGATATAGCCCGCCCAATCTACCGGAATGTGTGCGCCTATGATCAGGTTCGCGTCGGCACTGTTCCACGAAGTCTCCAACTCACTGTTGATACAGTGCCCTTGCAGCGACGATAACCCGGGCAAGAAACTCCGCCGCTGCCCGTGCTTGTCTGCGCGATACTGCTCGCGGGTATGCCAATCGAATGATTGGCATACACACCGGGCTCTACATCGTCGCGCGCGGATCGCGGGAGTGCGAGGTAACCAGCGTCACTCGTTATCCAAGCCCATGGCTCACTTCGAGTCACAGGAAATCTATCCCCGCGTAGCGCACACTTTTTGGAGGCGTGCGGTGAAGACTACCTACGTCAGAATTTCGAGTCCATTCTCGACGAAGTAGTGCGCGATCTGCACGATAGTCGTGCCGCCCCGCCATACGTCGCGTGTGTAGAGATACACATCGATGGGCGCACCAAGGCCGGCTGGCATGATGTTTCCATAGCCATCGCCGACAGTGATGACAAAGATTCGAATGCAGCACCGAAGGAAGAGTTCAAAGGCGAAGGGGAGGTTCTCATATGGGCAGAGCTCCGCCGAATAGACGAGTTCGCAGGCGCGGTTCCGATACGATACATGAAGTTGGAGAAGCTCGAACAGGAGGCTGGCGGGACGAATTGCGTAGGAAAAGTTGCCCCGACGGCCCAGACGTAGACGCTACTGTAGCCAAAGCGAAGGGCGAGAAATAGAACAGACGTTTGTATCCACATTTCCAGTACTGTACGAACATGAGGTGGATAAGTGAGATGTACATTCGAGACATACAACATCAACTCGGATAGCGAAGACGGCGTACGTGTGCTTCCAGGAGTATCGGAAATCCTCTCCACAAGGCCCATCCGTACTCGGTGATTTGTGAAGACGTCGCTCAAGTAATCAAGAATGCGCCGCCGCTTCATCGTGTCCGTCGCCTTGTCCTTCGCTACCGCAGCCTCCAGTTCGTGTTCCGCTCGTGAGATGCTCGAGTTGCGCGAGGGAGTGCTGTCTATGCTCGTTGTGCATCTCGTCGTCGGGGTGGGAGGCGTGCATGCCACGGCCCCGGCGACGCGCGTTGAAGGGTGTCTTCACTCAACAAGCACGAGCATCGACGTGGGCTGCTGGCGCAGCCACGACTCCACGGACATGCGTCCGTTACGCCTGCGTTGCGCGACCCCGACAAGATTAATAACACCGAGTAGGTTCCGGACACACTATACTTGACGAGTTCGAGAGGTACGGCCAAGGGAAGTGCCTGGTACTCGCCGACTGATGACATTGGACGGTCAAAGACGTGTATATTGCTCGAGTCAGACGCTGGGAGTTCTGTCTGTCCGTTCTTGCGACGCTGATGATGTCGGCCGGAATGAGCGAAACGCGATCGATATGACGGGAGAAATTTGGGAGAAACGGGAAGGAAGCCTGGACCAATGCAGGCGAGACTGCGCGACCACGGGAATTGAGGAGCACACTGCCGATATCGGCGACGAAGGGATCGCAGGAGCTTCGTCGAGAGGCCGGAAGAGAAGGGTCGATGAAGAGAACCTGACGGACGCGCAACTCATCGGATCAGCGGCGTGTGGAGAACACAACTCACGATGGCGACCACTTGTCCTCTAATCCCTGGATCTGGCGGAGACGGAGGGTAAGTCTCGTGCTGGAGTTGTTTCTGCCGCCACCGGGCTGACTGTGCGCGTCGAAGTCATATCTTTGTGGTGTAGGTGAGTTCTCGTGTCTTGAGCGCCCGCGGCGGGGCAGCGTAGATTGGACGAGTCTGTCCCCCTTGAACGCGGTTCGAGACGGCTGGCGTGCTCGGAGTCGCGAGATCGGAAGATACGTCTGGGGCCGTCTCCTGTGACGGAAAGTCCTGTGACGGAAAGCCTGATGAAGAAGCGCGAGGGGAAGGCCGGCAACATGTTGTAGTTACCGAACGGTCCTGCTGCATAATCAGCAACCAGCTCTGACGCAGGCGAATGTGACAGGCGACGGAAGGACGACTGCGACGCATGACTTACCTGATACCATCCCTATCCCAAGCGTCTTTAGCTCCTCCACCTCCCGGTCAGCTTAACTCGCAGCATATGCGCCTTGACGAGCGCCTCCCTCCACTTCGACGCGTCCGCTTCCCGCTTGTCGCACTCCGCTTCGCATATTTCCGCTTCCACACCTTCGCCCCCTCACGCGCAGCGTGCGAATCCGCCCGTGTGCTGGCGACGTCGTGAAGGGCAGTGCGTAGTGGCGCGTCTCCGCCAATTCGTGGAATACATGCAACGTCGAGGGCTGCACGGAGGGCCTTGACGTCGCCGGAGAGATACTGCATTTTGGTGCAAGCGAAAGTGACGGGCAGCATGTCGTCCGAACGATGAGCGCCCCCAAGGATCGTCGCGATCGCAGAGTTGCGCGCGGAGAAAGCATCGACGACCTTTGCGGGCGATGGCATAGCAGTGGCAAATGTCGAAGGTGCGTCAACATCACCAAAGGTAAGAGTCATCGACTGAGAAGCATCGAGTTCGTTTCCTCCAATCGCGGAAGAGGTTGATACAACGTTCTCGGCTGGCTCGAGGTCGCAGCTCAACGCGCGGGAAATCGTCATGCGCTCCTCCTGCATGCGTCCGTTCCGAAAGCGTCCGCGCGTGCACGTTCGCCAACTGATCATGCGTCCACGTCAGCCTCGCGTTATCTTCCTTCGCTGTGTTGTATTTCTCGACGAGAACCTCCATTTCCTCCGATTTGCGCTTCATCGCGGAGCCGACTTCGGGCGAACCTCCGCTCATCGCCCGCAGCAGGTCCGTCGACTGGAGGGGCATGCGCGTGGGCAATTGGGCGACTCGCGACGAGTTACTAGTCGAGGGGACGCGTCTCAAGTCTTCCACCTCGGATCGCGCCCACGCTGCCTCCTTCTGCGCCCGTGGTTGCGCGACCCGCCCGAGCGTATCCCAAAGACCCGTGACGAAGGCCTGTAGTACCGCCTCATCAACGAGAGGTGCATCCCTCTCGACAAGCTTGTCGTCGCATGGCTCTTGAATATCCTTGGGACATGCGCGCGAAGAACCGCCCCTCCAGTCTCGCGCAGAGCAGCGACCTGCCTCCTCGCCGCGTCGTGTTCGAGATATCAGCATCGAGATCGTGGGCCGCCTTGCGCGGACCATCATGGATCTCAGTGAGGCCGACGGCGTGCTCCTTGACTTCCGCGAGCTCCGCGCGTGCAGCGCTGAGGTCTTTGCGAAGGCTCGAGGCCTCCTTGCAGGCGGCCGTCGCCTGCGCTGACGCAGAGAAGCGTTCCTGCTTGACGTTTCTCTCGAGAAGAGCATTCTCCTTCTCCGACTCCGCGATATGCTTCTTATAGGGCTTGAGGGCATCGTCAGAGGCATCGTCGATTCGCTTGGGCGTCGGCGCAACGAGAGGTTGCTGGCGGAGACTGAAGTCCGTGCGTATAGTCGAAGGGAGATGGCAGGTGGTCGAGGAAAGAGTTAGGCATGGTCGCAATGTGGAAGGGGGAAAGGAGGGGACCTGATGATCGGTCGGGGCGAGGAAGCGTCCAAGCCAGGTCGTACGCGCAGTGCGTCAGAATGGAGGTTCCGCCACGAGCAGCGCTTCTCTGAGAGTCCTTTTTGAAGGTCTGTTCCCCAGTACTTGTACCAGTCACAGACCGACGAAAGGATACTTGAAGGAGAAGGAGCGACGAGGTTCGCTGGACGAGACGATTGTCCCTTGTCCTGCCTGTTGGATGTGTACACGTCTGGATAGGAGGTCATCAGTCAGCATACACAAAGAGTCTTAGAGCTCAGAAAACGCACCTTCGATGCCTTCGCATTGCCCAATGTCGTTTCGCTCCTCAAATGAACCTTTTGAACTCAAACTTGACGTCGAGACGCAGTTTACGCCTCAGATGGACGAGGGAGGTGTATATGACGAAAGTTCATTGCATTCGCAGCTATCTGGACGTCGATATAGCGCACTACCACAAACGACTTGAGGATGCTTGAGGAGGACATGGTGGTCGAAAGCAAGGAGCGATCAGACGCGGCGCACCCGGCCCGGTGTATGTGTCCCGGAGAAAACATCCATTTTCGTCGAGTCCCCTTGTTCTTTCGCCACTATCACATCTCTTCTCCGTATGGGATCTGTCGTACAGGGGCCTGAGCGGAAGCCTGAGTGCATAGATCTCTATTCAGGGGATAGGGAAATCGTGATACAAAGTTGTGTCGCAAGGACTCTGCCGAGCCACGCATCGAATGGAAGCGAGGTCTTCGCTCGTGCGCTCCCTACCAAGCCCCTGAAGGAGAAACTGTACCTGCACGGACCGAGCCTCCTATGATACGCGCGGAACCGCCGCCAAACCGAAAGATCTAAAGAATATTTGGAAATGTACATCAAACGCGAAGAGAATAATTCAGGACTAAAAGGATGTAAAGTAGAGTAGGAGTGGGCGAGGGTAGTATACTGGAGCGAAGACAGGAAGAGCGTGATGTTGTGGAGGAGAGTAGGATGTAAAGTAAGGATAAGCTGCGATTAGAAACCAAGCCCGACAAGAGAAGAAGCGAACGCGTCCCAACAAGCCCTACTGATGAATCCTCACATGCTGACCCAAATTATCCCTCCGACAAAACCTCTTCTCGCAATGCGGATACGGGAAAACGTGTGCTAAACGAAGGAAACATCGTCAGTCATCTCCCTTCATCTCACCGGACTAGAACGAAATTACTCACGCTTATCCTCGGTATGCAAGCTCTTCACATGCCGCTTCAGATGCTCTTTCCTTAGAGATACTGTACTCGGATTAGAGGTACAGTCGATGCACAACGAGCCCACTCCGTCACCCGGGCTTCGCAGCGTTGCGGTCGGTAAGCGACCTGCACGAGTGCTCAGCGATCACGAACGCTGTACGTGATGCTGAACGCGCATTACCGCGCAGCCTCGAGCAGAAGATCTGCGAGCGCATCTCTCCGTTTCTCACTGCGGCGGAGGTGGAAGCGGCGAGATACATGCGCAATTCCCCTCCGAGGTCGTGCGCTTCTGACCTATTTTTGAAGTCACCAAGGGCGCGTATTAGCCATGTTCGAAGGGAAGGGGCAAGTATAATCAACGGGCGCGTCTGGCCAGGTTTTCGGCGAGCACAGAAACAAGTAGAAGATGCTCACCACTTTCCGCGTGAACTATGTCGCAAGGACGCATTGCAGTGTGCGTCTTCGACACATTCGCACCGATTCGAGGCGCGCTGGAGTGCAGAGAAGTGACGGGCTGCGAGAAAGACAGAGGATATGAGCCCAAACTTGAACATGAGGATCCGCCTGCGGAGGGGGGGATAGCAACGAGAAAAGGTGCTCACTGTGAGCGCCGTGGTCCGGATGTACTCCTCCTAGTGTTCACGGCGTCTCGAACGGTGAACGTCGCGCCGCGGGGCATGGGGGATCGAAGAAGAAACCAGCTGCGGCTCACTGAGGCGCCGGGATTGGGATGGAGGCGTGGGGTGGGAAGTGGGTGCTTGTGAGCTGGAGTCGGTGGGAGAGGGTACATGCACCGGTTCCCGTCTTTTTGTTGAGCTGAACGTATCGGGAGGGGACCGGAATTTGAGCATCATGCGCGCATGTACCGACGATCGCCGCCGTCATCGTCGGCATCGTCGCGCTCACTCTTGCAGGCGTTGCGTGCGCGCCGGTCGTCGCTTGTCATTCGTGAGGGGACAAGAACTAGAGGAAGCCCCGGCTTCGCCGGTCGCATACCTTGCTTGCATCCCGCGCGTGAGTCTGAATTCTGCTGTCGCTGGCAGTGCTCGTCGTGTGGTGCCGTACAGGACTTGTGAACGAAGGTATCTGCGCGTTTACCGATGTTGTCTTCGGAACGTGCTACGCACATGGGGTCATTTTTGATGGGGTCAATAAGACACGGGAAAGACCTTGCAAGCAAGGTGACAAAGAAACCTGATATTAGGTATATATAATGGCATAGATAGGATATAGCGCGGGGCGCGACATGCTCAGCGCAAGGGTTAGGCACGTACGCGACGCCAGAGGGAAGGGATGAGGGGAGGGGGACGAGAAGGGGAGGGGATTGTACGCGAAGTGGCAGGCGGTGCGGAGGAAGCAACACACCGCAACCCCGTCAAGCCATCGCTTGACGTGAGACCCGTGGGGACGCCTGCGAGGGGGGACGCGAGCTCGATGACGATCTGCACGCGCAGCTCGTGCAGCGCGCTCGCCGTACACAAAGTGCGCGCGATCGCGCTTGAGCGGGTGGGGGAAGGGGGCACGCGCGACGGAACGCGTGGACCATGCGCCGCGAGCAAATGCTCGCGCGTGCTTGGCGCTCATGCCCTCCCGCACCCTTCGCCCTTGCTTGCGCGACACCGTTCCCTCCCTTGCGCGACCCCCGTTTGCGCAGCCTGCCCCTCTGCACATCGATGACGCACGGAGCGCGCAGCTACCTGACGCTAGCAGCGGCTTGGTACGCTGGCGTTGCCGAGCGTAATCAAGCCGGACGCGTTGCCCGCAGTGGGAAGGCCCTGCGGTGTCTGCGCGCAGCCAGCGAGGCGCGGGATCGCCATGAAGGCGATTCAGCATGAGAGAAGGGAAAAGGACGACGGGGGAGGAGAGACGTGTCGTGCGACGCGTCTATGGGGTGCAGGGGAGGCAATATAGCAAGAGACGAGTCGGCTAGGGGGAGCTACGGGGCCTAGACGAGCTCCCCGCGCCCCCAGACATGGCCTGAGGGCAGAAATGACAGAGAAAGGGCCCTATTCAGCCCCTCTTCTCGCCGTCGCGCAGTCTGCGCGTCTTTCCCCCACCCTCCGTCCGTCATGGATACATGTGAGTCAGTAGGAATCAAGGTGCGGGGCGTATTGACGCACCTGCTCTCATCCTCCTCGCGCGAAGAGGGGTTTGGTCGTTATCTAGAGGCTGGCGTTCTTTGCTGCAAAATGATCGCGGCCGGGCCCAGGCGCTCTCTCCCTGCGCAGCGTTTCCACTGAAGGGGGAGGTGGGAGGGAGAGGGAAGGCGGGAGGGGCGATGGAGGCGGCGTAGTGGTGGTCAAAGCTCAGAAAACGCGCTGATCGAGCGCGTCGGGCCAGCCAGCCGGTCCGGCGCATCAGATCACGTGACCACGGCGTCAGACCGCCATGTCCCCTCCGTGTGCGTCCTTCGTCTTCCTTGCACATCCAATCTGCCCGTCAGTTCGAGCAAGAAGAAATCGAGTACAATTCAGTCACATTACAGCTCATGCGGCTGCGACCACGCCTGAGCCTGACGTCCACGCGCAATGCAACGCCGCTCCAATGAATCGCACCAATTTCTACGGGGCAGAGTTGACTCTGCCCCCAGAACCAGAAAAGGATATTTATGGGCAAAGAATAGATGTGTATCATGTAGTGACCGAGTCGGCAGACACAGTGAACGTAGCGTGTCGTCATACATACAGAGGCCCACGCTTCGTGCGGTGGACCTACACGCCGTCGTATCAAGTAATAGTACAAAAAAAAGGGAAAAATTGGTAGTACAGCGCGTACTGGAAAGCCTGACGAGTGAAGAAAGAGTACCCGACTCGTACTTAAATCCCCACAGTTCTGAGGGCTACAACCGTGAGCTTGCCACCTTACGCGCGAACATACCGCATGCCTCCCAATAGCTGACCCACGCGCCCACATCTGCTTGATTGATGGGTTCCATACCGCACAACGTCGGACTGCTGGCCTCCGCCTTCTCCATCTCAAACTCCCGCCCGAAAGTACCGCCTGAGCAGATGTCGTGAAGGAAGGAGATGATCTTGATGCCGGGCTGAGATGTGGGAGTCAGCGGTTAAGGTTGACTCCGGATAGCATGTGCCCATGCAGCGGCTGAAGACGAGTGGCGTAGAGGACGCTTCGCTCAAAGATTGTTAAAATGCTCACCAAGTCTTTCTGGTCAATATCCGGTCTACGTGCCTTGTTCTCCAGTCTCGCCAACCACTCCTTGAAGGGTATGCAAGGTAGCCGCTGCCCTGTAGTTGACGCGAGCGACCACTGCACGTACTCCATGATCTTTGCAAAAGATATCGGCCGCGGATGCATGAGATTGTACGACGGGTGTAGGGGCTCGGACGAGAAGGCAATGTCGAGGAGGATCTGGGCTGCAGCGTCCATGGGGAGCCAGGGCATCATCTGGGACGAGGTCAGTTGTTATTTATTCATGCTCATTTGCCACCGTGACAAGAGTGGTATCACGGACCTGCTCATAAGTTGGTAGCGCGCCCAGTGCCAGGCTCGTCTTCACGAGCATCGGGAACCAGTTTGTCGTGACCCAGGCTCCGCGTCGCATCTCGTTTACAGATATTCCACCTCCCCTTCCCACGCCGCTACCACCTTCCTTCCGAGCACTCCCTCCGCATAACTGTCCAATCCGCACGGAAGCAAACTCGATCCCACTGGCTGCGAGATTTCGCTCAGTGACATACTAGCGAAGACATGCGCGGCATACCAGCGAGGATTCGCTCGGCGACAAATTTGCTCTGCCCGTACCCGAGGCCGTCGATACAGACGGAGGGGTTGTCGATGAGGACTTCTGGTACGGCAGGATAGTCTGGAATGGGGAGTCGGGTTTTGTCATCGGCGCGTATGCTAGTACACGCCGTCGCGAGCACTCTGGCGGCGGGTCCGATCGGTATGGCGATGGCCATATTGGGCGTCCCGGCGGCAAGGGGATCGGGGGATGTGATGTCGGCATAGCTAGTTGAATCGGAAATTGCGCAGGACGGGGCGGGTGCAGTGGCAAGAGACGGAGCGGATGCGATAGAGGCGGGCTTGGGCATGCAGTCTGGCAACATCGAGCTCGTTTGAAAGTCTGCTACGACGTCCTCCCACGATCTTACGGCAGTGACAGATGACGCGAAGAGGAAACGGAGAGTGCGCCGACGTGGACTTTGCTGCGTGCCGTCCGCCCGCAGCGCTCGTCGCGCGCCGTCAACCAATGGGTCCTGTCGCGCCTGATCGACCAGCTCTGCCTGCCGCGCGAAGTCAATTAGGGCGCGCATGCTGCGAAAACTCGGCTCGAATGCGATGAGCGGCAGGTTGAAATTGACGAGCCAGGCCGTATGGATAATGGTGGAAACGGAGGCGAGCATCTGAAGGGGTGCTTTAGAAGTAATCAAGGGCGAAAAGGAGCTGGATCTTGGATAGGAAGGGCATTGGTCTGGGATAATGGACCGTGATGATGCTGAAGAAAGAGCGGCCGAGATCATGCTGTATGAACAAGGCATCAGAACTCACCTCCTCATACACCACCTCGCTCTGCCCAAGCCGCGCAGCCGAGGCATCACCCACAAGGGAGACGAGTTTCGATGACTTGAGCAGGTTTCTGTCAAGCACTCTGTCTGCCCACCGCGCGCGCTGGCGTTCGCGCACCCCAGCGGCCGTGCTGACTCTCCCATCAGCTTGCTCGAGCGAGTGCCCCTTGCCCACCCGATCCAGCGTATACACACGCTCAACGCGCTTGTCAGTCAAAAGCAGAGCAAGAATTTCCGAGCCCAGGTGCCCCGTCGAGCCTGTGAGAAGGACGGTGATTGGGTATCTGAGTGGTGAAGGAGAGTCGAGGGCGACATGGCTCGGCAAAGTTGAAGCGCCGACGAAGCCTGGGAGACCTTCGCTGTACTTTGCAGCCATGGCGATGATGGTGTCCCTGATCGAGGGAGGCTGAGACTTCATGTCGCGGGCGAGGTTCCGGTGAATACGAAGGATATGCAGGCTCCTACGTTTGGTAGATAGGTAATGAGGCTTTATAGATGCTACAAGTCTCCGAACGTCGGCTCAGGCCCAAGTTCAGACAAACATCGAAGGTGCTTAGCGCCTGCGTTTCTGCCAACCTAGCCGATAAGTCTGGCGTCTGGTAAGCTTGGAATTTGGCTAATAAAGGGCGAACGTCCGCTTCCGCGGGAGGACCTGTACATGGAAGTCAGAATGGTGCAACACGGTGAAAGCAATGACCAAATGAGAAGCCCAGCTGGCTCGAGATCGCGGCTCAACGCACGAGTAATCGTCCTATGTCCTTCCTTCGTGCTTCAAAGCTTTGACACCGTCCGCGCATGCTCTTCCTTCGCTCCCGATGTGCGCTTCATTGCGATGAGGGCGGTGTCGATACCGATGTCGGGCGGTCCGCTCTTTATCGCGCACAACGAAACCGTTGACTCGAGGGCACGCGGACAGAAGACTAAGCATTCCTGCCAGGGAGTCGCTCGACGCTGACATACGTGCCGAGTGCTCCACTGCAACTTGAATCCACTCCGCCTCCCTCTCCGCCCAACCGCGCGCGAACTGCCCGAGCGCATCCCATAGACTCGCGATGAGGGACCGAGCCGCCGTCAGTTGCATGGACCGTGAACTGTCCTTCGAACAGCGAAGGAATCGCCCCTCGAGCCTCGCGCAGTCCCGGTCTCCCTTCTGGCAGCTTCGCGCCCTAGTATGACGGCATCAAAATCGCGTACCGCCTTATGCGGACCATCATGAATCTTGGTGGGATTGACGACGTGCTCCTTCGCCTCCGCGAGTCCATCTCGCGCACTGCCGAGCTATCTCTGCGGGGACTGGAAGCTTCCTTGCGAACGACCTTTACCTGCGCCGACGCGAAGCGTTCCTACTTGACGCTAGCAATGAGCATTAGCTTCCTGTTTCTTCCGCACGACGATAGGCCCCTGATGATTCAGAGCGCTCGTGCGATCGACGTCAGCAGCTTTGGTCGTCAGCGCCACGAGAGGAGGGAAACGGGGCGGTGAAGACCGAGGACCGTAGGTGTAGTCAAGGGGCGGCGGCGCGCGGTGAATCGAAGAGTCGAACGGCCGCGATGTGGCAGGGGGAAGGGAGAGGATTCGACGATCGGTCGGGGTTCGCTGGACGAGAACGATTGTCCGTTGCTCTATATGTTAAACGTGAAGACGTCTAAGTAAAAGGTCACCAATCAGCATATATAAGTATTCCTAGATCTCAGCAGACGCACCTTCGATGCCTTCGCACTACCCAGTGTCGCTTCGCTCCTCGAACGAACCTCGAACTTGACATTGGGACGCAGCTCAAGTGTCCGCTAGACGAGACAGATAGTTTATATGACAAAAGTTCATTGCATTCGCAGCTATCCGGACGTCGATACAGCGCACTACCACGAACAGCTTGAGGAAGCTCGAAGAGAACACGGTGGTCGAAAGCAAGGAGCGATCAAACGCGGCATACCCGGCCCGGTGCATGCGTCCCGGAGATCACATCCATTTTCGTCGAGTCCCTTTGTTCTTCCGCCACCATCACACGCGTTCTCCGTATGGTATGCCGCATAGGAGCGTGAGCGGAAGCCCCAAATTACAAAGGGTACTTCCGACTCGCAGCAGACTCGCCACAAATACGCGTGCGAAGGTTCAAATCGACCGAGGAAGCGCTTCGCTCGCCCGCCCGGAGGTTGGTTCTCGAGTAGAGATCGCACACTCACGAAGCCCTCGCATGTCACGCACGGCATCTAGCCAGCCCGATATATCTAGAACATATATGAACATATACATTGAACGCGAAGAGAATAATTCAGGACTAAAAGGATGTAAAGTAGAATAGGAGTGGGCGAGTGTAGTATACTGGGGCGAAGACAGGAAGAACGTGATATTGTGGTGGAAGGTAGGATGCGAAGGAAGGGTAGGCTGCTATAATAAACCAAGCAAGATGAGGAAAGAAGGGAGCACGTCCCAACAAGCCTACTGATGAATCCTCACATGCTGTCCCAGATTATCCCTCCGACTAAACCTCTTCTCGCAATGCGGATACGGGCACACGTGCGCTAAACGAACAGAAACCGTCAGCCTTCTCACTCATCCCACCAAACCAATCAAAGACCACTCACGCTTGTCCTCCGTATGCAGACTCTTCACATGCCGCTTCAGATGCTCCTTCCGCACGAACAGCTTCCCGCACCCCTCCGCAACGCACCGGAACTGGCGCTTTCCAGAGCCCACCGAGCCTCCGCCGCGGCCGCGCAAAGTGCCGCCTCGCGCCGCACCCAGAGACTCGCCTAAGTTCGACGCCGCGAGCCCGCCGTTGCGCGTCGAGACAGAGGGTACCTTACGCCCTCGCGAGCTCTTTGTTGCGCTCTTCTTGGGCTCAGGTATGGACGGCCCAGCGCGTCGACGCTTCGGCGACGGCGCGTCCTTCTCGAGCGCGCGCAAAGCATGCGCCGCGCTCGGCCTGTCATCGCGAGAAGCGCGAGCGCGCTTGCGACTCGGAGAGTCGCCGTTGGGCGAGTAATCCGAATCGTCCTCATCCGGCGAATCATATTCCTCGTCATCACGCGAGCCCGAGCTCACCGTCTGCGGCGACGGCGACTCGTCCTCGTCGCTACTGTACGACGGCGTCCTTGACGACTTGCTCGGCAAAATGGGCGGGAGGCGCGTCGTCACCGTCACCCCTCCGCGCGACCAGCTCGCGCTGCGCTCGCGAGGGAAGGAGGGCGCGTCAGGAGGAGTGGCGGAGCTCGAGGTCGAGTACGAGGAGCGTTTTGAGAGCGGAGGGAAGTAGGACATGGGTTGACCACCGACGTGATGGCCCGTGGGCGTATCTTCGAGGACGGTGCTGTACCAGTTCGATTTCTTGGACGGTACGTTTGGGCACGGCTCTGAATCGTCGTCGACAAAAGAGGGCTAGAGAAAAAGTGAGCAGGACAACAGCTTCATTAAAAAAGGGACGTACCGAGCGCGCGCTCGCGTGATCTGATGACAGCTCAGAGGGAGACACATATTGCTGTGGCGGTTGTTCCTCCGCAATGTACGAATGAGCCGAAAGCGGGGAATTGACAGGCGACTCAAGTAGTTGCTGAGGCGAGATGGCGAGCGGGGAAAGGGTCTGAGGAAGGGAAGTGGGGGCGCCAAGAGAAGGCGGGGACACGCCCGACAGTGCGGCGGGAGACAAGCTACTCGCGTACGCGCCGAACGCGTCGCTAGACGCGTTCGCCGAGTGCTCGCTCGGAGGATAATCTAGAGTATCTAGAACGCCCGGGAGCTCTTCCGCCTTGATGTACGAACTTCCCGCGCCAAAGCGAGTGCTCGAGCGATCGCCATAGGCGAGGTCGACGGACGCGGAGGGCAGGCTGGGATACGACGAGGCGTCGTAGCTTCGGTCGCGGTAGGAATCGTGCGAGATGGGGCTAAGGTCGTAGGCGAGGTCATCGGCGGTGGCGCCGAAGCGCTGGCGGGCGGCGTATTCGTCCGTGTCGTTGAGGTGGGACAGCATCATACTGCCCGAATGCGAGGGTCGGAGGGCGATAGTCGAGTAGTCCATGATGTAGTAGTTCGAGTAGGATAAGAGGGAGGCGAAGGGGGATACACACGAGCGGCGAAATGTCTACGAGCGAGCGTCGCTGTTGTACGAGCGAATGGCTTCCGCTGAAGAGCGCGGTGGCGCGGGCTGTTGTTCCAAAGAGTAGGCTGTAAAGGCGCGACGATACAAAGGCGTTCGCGCGCCGCTGAACATGCGCGGTCGCCGTATGTCGCTGGTAGTCCGCGGCGTCGCTGACAGAGAGAACAAGGCAGAGGGAAGAGGTGACCAGCGGGTTCCGGTGGAGCTATCGAGCTCCGGACCCGTCGATCGGGCCGATGCACAGCCCCATAAGTCGAACTCGAGATAGGGGTCATTCCCCGACGTCTTGGAGACGCAGTTGGACGCAGAAGCCGCTGAGCCACCCCTCAAGCAAAGGCGGTTGATAGACCGAGGGTGCCATCCCCGGCGTAGATGTGTCCGTAGTGCTGTGAAGCGACCCGGAATGAACGGATATCGACGGTGCGCGAGAACTGAGCGAGAGGCTGGGCGAGGAAGCGGGAGCAAAGTGAATTTGACTCGATGAGTCAGGTCGACAGACGCAGCCGCACGTGCGATATCCGACATGGACCCACAACTCCGCGCTTGACCTAGGCCGGTCGAGTATTATTGCATCGCCTTGAACGCAGAAATGACTTCTTACGAAGGCCTTTTGCTTGGACCCATCGGTCAAGGCAGTGCGCGAGGTCGTATGGTCGCGTTAAGGATAGGTGAGAGGTGATCAGCTCGCAAGTTCAAAATGCGGGATCGATAGAAGGGCATTATGAAGAGCTGTTAGGCTCACGATAGACGTCCGCGCGAGTCATGCGGGGCGCATTGTCGAAGCAGGCCAAAAGAGAGGAAAATTGCGATAAAGATAGCGTGCACCACGCCGGAAAAGCGCTTGAACATAGCGAAGTATGCCCAGATTGATTAAATGGTTTGTTAGCAGGGCTTGTATGGACAGAAGGAGCGGAGACACGCCTGTTATTCGCTTGGAGATGGGCAGAGCTTCCGGTACGAGCGCTGCCAGTGGTCGTGCTCTGCAGCCATTCACAATCCCAGCGAACATTCATAGAGACAGATTAAGTCAAAGCTTGATCGAAAATGGCTATGCTCAGATTTTGTTAAAGACGAGAAAGCAGCAGTCTCTAAGGGTGCCAATCGACATCGACGTTCGAGTCGACGTGGCGTTGCAACGTGCCTGCTCGGTAACTGCCGGAGGTTTGTCACGAACCGTGACTGCTTGGTCCCTACCTTTATGGCGATAGTGCCCGAGCCAATAGCCTTCTCACTCGCGCGTATGATAGGAGATGTACTCATATCGAGCTCAACGTATGATGAATATACTACGTAGATGAAACAGATGAGCCAGTAGCGACGCTTGGGATGCCGAGCAAGCTGTGTACCTTGGACGAAGTCGAAGCGACGGCGAGCTTGCGTGAACTCGGCGAAAGCACGACAAGAAGAAGGGCTATAAGGTAGCACAATCCTGGGAGAGCCAGTGATGAATTTAGAAAATTTAGCGAGCCCTGTTCTCGTCACAGCGACTCAGCGCACCTTTATGTGGTGTATGCCGCCCGCCGAGCGCTACAATTCACTGGGAGCGCGGGCCGATATCCCCCGACAAGAGAGCGCGCTCCGTATATCCGAAGTGTGTCCTGCTCACAACTCCCGGGTGAGGTACTGCCGCTCCCATCAACGCTCCGAAGGCGGGCGGGTACGAGCAATGTTGGGTCCAAGTTCTGGAAGATTGCATCAGTCTCGGAGCGGTAGGGAGGACAACGACGACCCAACAATCTCGTCGCACTGGACGTTGACGTGCGTGCGCATCGGAGCCCGCATGTACTCCGGCATTCAGGTTTATTCGATTCACGCAGCCTCCACGCTGTGAGCACGCCCGACGAAGGCCTCAAGAATATCGCTCGGTTCAGCCATTCTTAAAGGTCCGGATGCACGTACTCTGTGTGACCTTCGCTTAATATACCGAACGCGAGCGTGCGGAGAGATAGCCGGCTTGCAAGAGGAGTGAGATTTGGCGGGTATCAGAAGGGAGAAGACCCGACGGACTTTGCGCTTAGCAGAAGCGCGAAGGACCATCAGTGGCGATATCAACGGACCTACAGTCGGCGGCCAGCATTGGGAATGCTGCTCTATAGGTGCGAATCCACCGGCGGTTGAGCGTGGTGGTCGCGGCGCTGCGATAGGCCTGCGCGCGGTGAGAGGTCTGACAATTTCAGGAGAGGGTTATGCTCGCGCGAAGCCGAGGATCCGGGCTCTTGTACTACATAGCTCAGTAAGAAGTGCAGCTTTGACGGCGAGGTGAAGCAGACCTCTCACCATGCTTGCATCATCCCGAGAGCCGTATGGCCTTCGAGACGCGAAAGGTGATCTGGGTAACGATACGGGTTCGTTCGATTGCGTAGGTTCCCGTGCAGGCCGGTGTATGTATCGGCGATGGCCATTTTGCGGCGCGAATGAGACGCTGGGAACTGTCAGCGTGGGAACCGGGGGTAACGGTAAAGGGCCCGCGCATTGGAGAGAGTCCCTTCGTCCCATAAAATTACATGGAGCTCACTGCGATTTTCTCGTCAGCGTCGCCTGTAATAATCGTGAGACTCGCACTCCAGAGCGGTGAATCTATCGAGTATTAGACATCATCTTGTCGTAAACTCCAGACGACCATGAAGAGGGGAAATTGATGCTCTCTCGACGCGAAAGACCGCAATCCTTAACACTCACTACGCAGATCCCGAGTCGTCTGAAGCGTTCGTAAGCGAGAATGCATGTTTACGAGCACCGCTGACGAACTCAACATCAGATATCCGTGCAGACGCGTCAGGTGTACCGTTGAACATTCTCGTCGAAAGCGCAAGATGGATATCACGGACTTGCCAGCGCGTGTCGCTGAGAGAATTGTCAATTATAGGCATCAGAAGCGTTCAACAAGCTCACAGTTCCCAACAAGCTCCAGACAAAGGCGGTATGCACAGGACGACGGGTCTGCTCCTATGCGCTTGCGAGGAAATCGCCCGGACAACGCCGACCATTATACACGATTAGCTCGGCCTGTACCGGCTATGAGCTTCATAAATGCTGCGTGATATGCTCATTAATGAGACGCTGGCCGACAGTGACCAAGGATACGCACCGTCATCTTCGTCGACTAACTTACATCCTCGCACCGAGCTCATCGAATGATCCAGAGCAAGCGTACTAGCAGAAGACTCAGCAGGGCACACCCGGAAGAAAGGCGCCATACATCTCGAAGCAGCGTGGGCGCCGTCGAAGGCCGGCGTGCGCCGCCGAAAGCCCGTGTCCACCGTCGTGCCCCTTCTCAGCCCCGCGTGGCTTTCCGAAGCGCCCGCGTGGGATCTCGGACTCAAAGGAAGGAGGGCGGCGAAAGCGAAAGAAGTAGCGGCGAGAGAAAAAGAAGCAACCCGCTCAATGCAGTGGCAGGTTTCTTGAATGCCTTCGAAGCGCGGCGGACGACGGAACAAGAGAAGCCGCGAGCGTGAAAAGGCCCGTCATGAGGGTTGAAAGAGTGCGGGAGGTTGAGAAGCGCGGTGACGACGCGGCGGGCGTAGGGTTCAGGGCTCAGGGCGGGTGGGGAAGGGGCGAGGGAGAGAGAGGGGTCGTTAGGTAGAGGAGAAGACCAAGATGATAGCGGGGTTGAGTAGAGGAGGGAACGCAGGCTGATAGAGAAGCATGCGGAGGAGCCAGAGCGGAGGGCCGAGCGCGAAGACGAAGGCGGCGGACGTAGGGTGAGCGAGTCGCCCTCTTTGCAATGATAGCGTCCGATACGAAGACGGCGTGAGGGGGACGGAGGCGGCGTGTGGGCAATGACGGCGCACAGGACGTGAGAAGCGCTGCCAGGTCATCGGCGCATGTAAGCGCCTTACGAATCGGTCGTTCATGCGCCCTCTTATGCGCTATCGACCGTCGACGTCCTGGCCGCGCTATACGCACGAGCGTACCGCCGAAGCGATGGTGTGTTTGTCGCGTTAGTATTGACAAGGAGTACATTGACTGCGACATTCGTCAGAATTCTCGGGCACATTATGCACAGCTCTTCAACATACTGCTGTGTCTCGCGCTGGGCACTCGACCTCGTGATACGGCGGACTCTCGCGCTCTGCTGGCGATGGTCGCGCTTGACGCTCTATCCTTAAGCGCATTTCGTGATGACGCGCGTGTCGAGGTGACAAGTCGTATGCGGGGCCTATAAGTTCATATCAGATGCGGGATACTCCGCAAGGAGTGGAGGACGTACGGGGTGCGAATCCCATGAAGGAGAAGTGCCCTGGCTGGGGAGCCTGGTAGGGAGGGGCATTCGTGGGATTTATGAGGGCAACGAAGGCTGGTGTTGGTCCTGAAGGCCCTCCTGACGGCTTTCGATCCCAGCAGAAGAATCCTCGAGAACTTGTAGAAGGTGCCTCGAGAGGCGGGAGAAGTGCCGTGCGGTAAGTGTTGTGCGGATCCCGACGCGAGGGAGGTGCTGGCGAGGAAGAGGATACGTGGGGTATGGAGTACAAGCGCGGGGCATTGCAGACGCGGCTGGATTCGTTATGGCAGAAGCAGCGAAGCGTAGAATCGCCCTGGGCGGACATCATGTGAAGGCCAATGAGCGAATGCCACGCTGATGGAAGAAGATACGCATGGGCGTAGGCGACGAGTTCATGTAGCTTGAGCTGTGATGTATGCAGCTGTTCTGTAAGGTTCGCGTTGACTCAGAAACAGGCGCGACGGAGCCAATGGCACGGGAGGGCTGACATTTCGCGTAGTCAGAAAGCACATCCTGTGCCCGAGCGCCTCGTCGTACATATGGGGCGCGCAAAACTTCGGAGATCAGACGTCGGACTGTATATGAAGCTGACCTGTCTGCTTTTCCACGACGCGTATGGGGATAGCGGGGCGCGGCACAGCACCCGCCGCGCGATGAACAAGGGCGGGAGCGACGCACACAGGTGACAACAGAGCTCACCCTCTTCTTCTCCTGCCGCCATCTTTCTGCGCGCGCGCCGAGTCACGGAACCCGCGAACCTAATTTACGATGGGCCGCAGAAAGATCGAAATTCGCCCCATACAGGTGCGTCACGAACGCCGGTCCATTCAATTTGCGAGGGGGCTCACGTATTTGCGGCACGCCTAGCACGAGCGGAACCGCGCCGTGACCTTTCTGAAGGTGAGTGTCCGTCGTTGGCAGACGCGGGCGAGAACAATGGGCACGGAGAACAATGGGCGTCGAGAAGAAGGTGGCGCACGTGTCTATTTTTAACTCCCTGCCAACAAAAATAATCCCGTTTATTTCGGTCGATCTCATCACGCTCGCCGTCGGGACCTGTGACCGCAACTTGCTCCTGACCACGACGCGCCGAGACCGATGCGGACGACGACGAGCGCGCTGAATACCGTTGCAGCGCAAGAATGGACTCTTCAAGAAGGCATATGAGCTGGGGGTCCTGTGCAGCGTCGACGTGGCGGTGATCATCTTTGGTGCGTCGCCAGCGGGTCGCACGCTGTCTCGCGCTGACGGGAGAGCAGAGGACCGACCAGGGCATCAAGCGAAGCTGTACCAGTATGCGTCCTCGGACGTGGACGCGATCGTGCAGAGGCAAACCACCGTGCGTACTTCCTTCGCGAGCCCAATCCTTCATCTCACGACGCGTCTAGCATGAAGGGGAAAAGGATACGAAGGGACCACCTGATTTCGCGCAGCCGACGCCGACCGCGGGCGTCCCTGGGGACGATGATGACGATGACGACGACGAACGTCCGCGCAAGCGCCCTCGCCCCGCCGACCCGATGCCGTCGCCCTCTACCTCGAGACGTACCATGGACTCACTACAGTCACACATGGGACCTGAGGTGCGTTGCTACGCGTCATCCATATCCATAAACTCAATTGCACCCATCTCTCGTAGATCAGCCTCCAACCACCCTCCCGCGCGGCCGGATTCTACGGGCAGATGCCTCCAATGACCGCTCAGCACCTCGCTGGACCCTCCACCTCCCCTCACCTCAGTACCGCGTCCCCTCACCCAATCGCCCCTGCTCGTCACGACCCCATATCCGCGCACCCCATATCGTCCGATCGCCACTTACCGCCGCCCGCGTTCCCGCCGAGCGGCTCTAGCTCGTCTAGCGGGGGTATCACGTCTAGCGGTGGTTTAGGGTCGGGAGGAAGTGGTGGGCTGGGCTCTGGCAGTGGCGGGCTAGGGTCCAGCGGGGGACTTGGCGCTGGCGGCATCGGCTCTAGCGGTGGGCTCCCATCGAGCGGCGGACTAGGCGCAGGAGGAGGCGGACTCGGGTCGTCCGCCGGCCAGCAGTCGCGCCAGATCTTCTACCCCGAGCGTACCATTGCCCCCTTGAGGAGCAGTCCGATTGCGTCGTTGCACGGTAGTCCGACGACGCCAACGTTTACGCGTCCAGGCAGTTCGTTCGCGGGTCGTACCGGCGACTTTGCGGGAGGTCGCGGTAGCGGAGACTTTGGGCGCGGTAGTGGTGGCGGAGACTACGCTACGGGTCGTCCCGGTGGCGGCGGAGACTTCCCTACTCGCACTGGCGGTGACTTCGCTAACCGCACCGGCGAGTTCGCCGGCGGGTATCCCCGCCCGTCGTACGGCTATCCAGGCTCCGGCGCGCGCTTTCCATACGGCGTGGGCGGGCTTGGGGGCGCGGGCAGCATTGGTGGTCCGGGTGGAGGGGGTTTGGGCAGCGGTGGTGGTGGCGGAGGAGGGATCGGCGCCCACCAGCAGTCGCCGCCGCTCATGCATCAGGCGTCGCCTCCGTTGTTGCATCAGCAACCTCATGCTCCCCAGCCGGCAGGACATCACCAATCCCATCCTCCTCATTCGTCCGAGCCGCACCATCTGCATGGACATGGCACTCAACACCCGCCCCAGCAACCCGGCCAGCCGCCTCCCCCGCACTCGCCGTCCGACCTGAGCTGGTTTGAGATGCTGGGGTTGCCGGGTGGGAGTGGGAGCGGGAGCGGGAGGGACGCAGGTGGGAGGAGAGAGGGGTAGACTTGGGCGAAGCGGGGAGGGGACTCCACCAATGGGGGGAAGAGGTAGGGGAGTGGGAGGAGCGAGATGGAAGGAGGGAACCCGACAACGGGCAGACGGAGGGACTTTCGCGAAGAGACGGAAAGGCTAATGCGTCGTGCGTGGTCTTTTGCATCTCGCGTGCCCATCTTCTGCTATGCTGCTCGACGAGTCATCGTGGAGAGCTTTTGCCCCGGCGACCCGGGTGTTCGATCTAGACTGTGTTTTTGGTTCAAATGCTTCTTTCCTTGTTTTCGCTGTCGAGCTTGGATCGTCTCGTCTACGCGCGGATCGCTGTACCTACGGGCGGATTATGGACCATGGATCTTGGATTGACCCTCGCTGAGCTTTATGGCTGACGTACTACCCCTAGAGTATAGAATGAATTACGGGTTTCTTGGGGTGTGAATTGGGATCAAGGGTGAGAGTATGAGGAGGCGCGACGAGCGGGGGAGACATGAAGATCGCGAAGGTATGAAGAACATGCCCCTCACTGTGTCGTACACCCTCGTCTTGAGCGATGTAATCACTGTGCGCTGGGGCTTCTGCCTCCATGCAGTAGGATCACAGTCAGCTCTTGGCGAAGAGGCTCTTTACAGCCGGTATCGCAAGACGCTGGTAACGACCGTCGCTCTCATCTCGTATGCCCCTCTCAGCGTATCAGCACCTGTCTGTGCATCGATTCGTGTATGGTAAGTGCGTCCACTCTCACCGTGTCATTCTGGATATTGACATCTCCGTAGAATGACGCTGAAAGGCGACCCACGTTCTTAGGCGCCCGACACTTAATTGGCATCTTGCCCTTTAGGATCGCTCCTTGCCAAAATTACGGACTCCGGACGTCTGTAGCTTTCCTTCAATCCGTCTTGCAACCTGGATGCCCCGATACCTCTTCAATAATGTGCATCTCAGCGCTGGTCGCGCTCATCTCGGCGAGTCGCCAGTATATTCCCGCCACGCGTTCATCATATTGACAGGTCATAACCCTCCTATAGCTACGCGTAAAGCCCGTATTCCAGGCTGTCTCGTAAGTGACACGAGCAACTTATGCCGTCCTCATCGAGATGGTCTTCGCTTCACAAACCCGAGTCTGGGTAGCATACCTTGCGGTATACCGGCATCAACGTCGTCGAAACTCGCGACCGCCAGCGTTACGCCCGAGTTGAGGGCATCTCGCTTATCGATGTTTGTCGACGGTGGACATTGCCGGGGTACTCGTCCTCACTCTAAGGACACGATCACGAAATGAGAGCACAGATCACCTCGCGGCGCGCGCGGACAAGCCATACTTATCTTACGCTTGGTCCTTGGCGAGACGCGCATTTGATTCATTCACGTCCATCGGGTGTTGCGTAATGTAAGCGCTCGTCTGTTGCTAGCGTTGTTCGTTCATCTGCTTACCTCGTTAGACTCGCAGGAACGCCGTCTCGATCCTCCTGCAAGTCCTCGATCCCGCCCTTGAAGCCTAAGCACCCCGATCGATGCAGCGTCTGCCGTGTAGTTTTCCGATGACAGTCCGACCATGAGAGGCGAGCGAGGGTATATTACTGGTCAATACGATCTATCGCTTCCATCGATCCTGAACCCTCAGGTGTCGCGACGTGCTGCATGCTCTCTCCGCGCGCTCCGTTCAACGCAGTACAACGCGGCTTAAAGTCAGAATCAACGTTGTGAGTATGGGGTACCGCGGAGGTCATTGGGGAAAACCCGCCCGATCGCGCAGGACAGTAGCAGCTCGTCGACATCTCCGACACGCCAGATTCACGGTGAACCAGTAGGCAATGATCTTCGCTGGTACGTCCGCACGACTGAAGATCATTCCGCGGGTGGCTGACGACTGGCGAGCAGCGGGCCCAGCCCGTCTACTCTGTTATCTTCGAGACTGAGTTTGCGACCTCAAACGCTGAACTTCGGTCGAGGGGGAGGCGGGTCGTAAGGTCTTCTCCCATACCGTGCTGCGGGCTTATGCGCCACCTACTGCTCGACATACTGCGCGTTGTCCGCGCTTCACGTATCACGGGCAGTATTCTCGACGTCCTGAGGACTGTCGCCATCCTTCGGTCAGAGATCAGCCGCCGTCGGCGCCTCCGATCCATGTTCACCCGCTCCTGCACAACACTTCGCCCTACACGAGCCGGCTGCCACCGCGTTCTACCTCTCGCGAAGAGATATACTTGTCGATGCGCAGAACAGGCTTCTACCGGCACTCGTTCGATGCTATGTACTGCTGTCTTTCTTCAAAGTTACATCTCTTGCGCAGGATGGCCACAGCAAGAGCACGTACGCGCCTCAGACTGTAGAGCTCTCTGCGCTGCTCATTCTCATTCCAGAATTCGGCCTCGTCTAGGCGCCTTTTTTACAGTGTCCGCCTGTAGCCTTGGTGGAGCACTATGACCCCAAGCACGCGAATCGACCGTATCGCATGCTCTGCCAACATGCAGATACAGTGCGTCAGACCGTATGTCCATCTCACGCCCGCTCATCTTGCAACTTCAGCGCAATGAGTACATAGCGGATCGTATCTCAATTATGCTCACCGGCGGTCCGAGAGTTGAAGATCGCCCCACGTGAGTCCGGTCAATGTCGTACAACAGCCGCGCCACTTCGCTTTGGTTTCCTCGACCTTTCCATAACAAGCCGTCGAGTTCTCCTGGACCACTGTAAGCCGATTGTTCCCCGCAACTCAATAGACTGAAAAGCATGTCTTCACAGGCGATGTCGGCTGCAAGCGATCGGAAGCCTAGTCGTGCTCTATCGCTGGCAGCGACTGGGCGCGCGTCAGTATGCCGTACAGGGGGAGCGCATCGCGAACGACGCAGGCATGTTCTCATCCCTCAGATGGCTTTCTGCATGGATTTTGGTACCCCTCAGGTCATTGTTACGACCATGCACATCAAGCACGTCGACGGAGAGTTGACAACGTGCAAAGATGTCCACTCTAGAGTCGGCTTACTCGGATGCGTCTGAACCACAGCCGCCGCGAGTTCGGGAAAGACTTTCGGCATAGACTAAAAAATGGCTTGGCCCGATCGCCGGCGCCATCACGGTCGCTGTTCATCCGGCCGTCATAATATGTAGTATTTTCCTTGCTTCGTATAAAGGCCGCGACCAACGACACCATCCTTCCCCCACACGACGACATGGTCATTAAAGCTCAGACCCCCAAGCTCCGCATTGCTATCGTGTGAGTCAGCCTGGACCAGTCGCGAGCATGGACTGAGGTTGAATGCAGCGGAAGTGGCATCGCGGGGCTATCCCTGGTGAATGCCCTGCAGCGCTACTGCGATATGTCCCTTCTCGAGGTCACCTTGTTTGAGGCAGCCCGCCATCTGTCTCCCAAGGGCGCGGGTATTGTACTGTACCAGCGTCCACAACGCATACTGCGCGAAATCGGTCTAGGCGCGCTCTTGGAGAGATACGTCTCCGACCACAGCGACATCAGTACGTGTTCATGACTAGCGCCATATTTCTCGCTTCTCATGTTTTACAGCATGGCGTCTCCGATACAGTGATCAAGAGAATGGCTTCAATATTGACGATATGCGTCTGGAGGATGGTGCGTGTTCGTATTTTGGAGGTAGCGTACACCGCGCTAAGGCCTGGTTAGGTGTCTATCTCTTTCACAGACACGATTTTCACAAGGTCCTTCTCGACTCTTTGTCTCCGGACGTGCGTATCTGCCTCGATCACCGTCTGATGGATTATACGACTAGTTCTACGGAGACCACGTTGACCTTCAGCAATGGAACGACCGCTACCTGTGACCTACTCATCGGCGCCGACGGCTTGCGCTCACATGTCCGTCGTAATATGCTAGGAGCTCTAGCTGCCAGATCGGGCGACGACCACTATCTCGAGTCCATCCAACCCGTATTCACTGGCACGTACGTGTACCGCGGCCTTGTCGACGCCGAGGGCCTTGCGAAGCGGCACCCAGGTCACCAAGCGCTGAAGACACCGATCCAGGTGAGCTATCACTCATTCGCGCCTAACTCGTGCTTAACGCGCGATTTCACAGTGGTTAGGGAAGTACAGGGTGCGTTGGCAAACCTCTCGACTGTCGCTGCTCGCTTACAGTTGCCAGCACCTCACTACCTATCCCATCGGGCAGGGTCGCTATGTCAACTTCGCTGTCCATGTTTCTGACTACTCGGAGGAGGGAACACGCATCGATGGGAACGGCGCGTCGACTCCCGCCACCGTCGATGATGTGCGTGCGAAACTGCGCGGATGGGACGAAGAATCGCTCGTTCTCGTTGATGTGCTCCTTGATCTTCCTCTCGCAGCAATTCCATTGCTAATGAAGTTATGCAGAGTGTAAGCGGGATCACGAAGTGGCCCGTCATGGAACTGCACCCCCTTCCCGTCTACGCAGATGAGCGCGTCATACTTATTGGCGACGCGGTGCGTATAGTCAATATTGCCACAGACGCTCGTGCTAAAGGTCCGACAGGCTCATGCGATGACACATCATGTTGGTGCAGGCGCCAGCCAGGGCATAGAGGTGCGTCTCAACACCCGGAATGAGCCTAAGTTTCTGGCTGTGCTAATCCGCCCTTTCAGGATGGATTCATACTCGCCAGATGCATATCCAAGGCGCTGGAGATGTGCACCGGCGATGCGCGCGACGAACGCGTCATCTCCCAGACCGTCAAGCTGTATAACAAGCTACGCGTCCCGATGTCCAACTACCTTCTCGACCGCGCCCGCGTGCAAGGGAAGGTTTGGGGCCTCGCCTTCGAGGAAGAGAAGGTCGACCTGAGCGTCTTTGACCAGCTCCCCGCCAATTACGCCGACCTCAGCTTCACTGACAAGGCCGCTAGCCTCAGCACGGACAGCTACAGCTGGTTCAAGAGCGGCTTCATCCGGGAAATGGACGCTCTGATCGAGAAGGAACTCGGGAAATGTGAATACGTTTTGAGGGCTTAGTGAGCACGGCTGTTGCATGTCTTTGTCAGTCTGGATATGTAGTGCACTCGAGTCGCAGTCCTGTCAAGATACAAAGTGTGATACATCCGTAGTAATCCGAATACTTTGAGTCGTGGACCTACATCCATCATCAGTCGTCACTGAACTAGTTTCCTTCGCCTCCGTCACTCGACGTTATGATCACCCAGCCTGCGCAACTGCGTCAAAGCTCGTTCGGTGAACAATGAACATCGCTCACCTTCCGTATCTTCAGTAGTTCAACATCGAAGAAGAGGACCGCATTGGGAGGAATGATTGGCGGGACACCTCGCGCGCCGTACGCCTGCAGATGTAGAGTCAATCGTTTGCCCAGCATGCCCGTTAGGCAACAGGTGATGTGAAGGGCGTATGGGAGAAGAAAGAGTATAAGGTAGGTTTATTGAGGACCTACATAATCTGGCGTGCAGACGAGACGGGCTTTCTGCCCAAGGCTCAACTGGACAATGCCTTGCGGGCGTGAGTCAGTATGAGTCCAGGATCGGAAGCAGGGATGGAGGACGGAGCGTTTCTCGTCGTTGGGCGTTGTGTGGCGGTCAAGAGGGGAGATACAAGCCAAAGCGTACATACCTTCATCCCAGCCCTTTATGACCTTTCCGACACCGATCTGGGTCACAAATGGTTGCCCTCTGTCCATCATGTCCTAGTCAGTCAAGCTCCGCGTGAAGGGCCAACGTACGCACCTATCGCGGCTCGAGTCGAACTTGCTGCCGTTTGACAAAGTCCCCGTATAGTGAATCGTCACGAAGTCTGGAGAGGTCTGGTCCGCGCTGCTACTCGAGCCTACGGCGGATTACTCACCGCCTTTCTTGGGGAAAGTCTTCCCATCTCCAGGCTCATAGTTCTCAATGATGACGCCCTGTTTCGCGGCTAGTGAATCGTTGGAGTTGCAAGAATACAAGCGAGCGCCTCACCATATTCTCTGGCGGGGAGGATGCGCGAGGGAGATCTAGGAGGAGGCTGCGTACCTACCCTGCATAGAGGCCACTGCCAACCTCGTCTTATACACCCCCATCTCCTCCGTCAAGGTACAAAGAAGCCATAGATGCTGAGAGGTTGAGACATTCCTGCAATCTATCAACTGCGCGATGAAGCCCGCCGCTAGAACACTGATTAATGGCGCTCACCTTCGCAGTTCCTCGCCGGTCGACGGACGGGAATGACCTTCCTCGAGTCCGGACGTGACTTCCTCTCAAATTCGCTCCCTTGCGCGAGTCAATTCTATCCACCTTCATCAAAGTACCCTCCCCACACGCCGCAGACTCCTCGGCGAAAACGACATCGCAGAGGGGTTGGACGTAAGAGGGATATGAAGGCGGGGGCGCATTGTACCCACGTACGAGCCTTACCCCGCGCAGCGACGTCGACAACGAGGCGCCGACTGAACTACGTCAGGGCGCCGGGTACAGGCCATCCGGCACCGCCCACCGTAAAGTCTATGAACCTGAGCGACCGGGTGACTTCTTCCAGAGAGAAGCCAATACAGGACGCACCGATAAGAGCCCACGTGTTATCGCAATTTATCGATTGAGAACGGCGCGTACGTGCTGGCGGGGCCTATCGATTTGCTGAGAGGGCGGCTGCCTTTCCGGAAAAGCTGCACGTACTGTGTCGTGAGGAGCACGCACCAAATTCGTATCCTTGCATGGGCGCGGGGCAGCCGGATACGCGAGCCATCAGCTGAATGTTTCGGTCTGAAAGGGAATCCATCTTCGCTCCTTGGCAAGCCTCGAAGTCAGATTAAGGGCCTCGAAGCGCTGAAAAGGAGATGAGATGGAGGATCGCAGCATGAGACAAGGCCAGAGCGTACCGAGAGTTAGTGAATTGGATGAAGGCGATCGTGCAACAGCCCTCGTCAGCCCATACCCAGCACAGTAGCACAATTCGCGCGCCCGCAGAGGCGAGTCTGGGCGGAAGGACGAGGAGATCTCCAACAGCTACGCCCCGTCAATCGTGCGCTAGTGGAAAACGACTTGGCGGCGTGGAATGAGAAAGAATTCCTCGGACTGACCGAGCCGCATGATGTTGCAGCGCGTCGTCAGAGAAAGTGCGGGTGAGGTCTATGGAGGGCAGCCGTGGTTGCGTGAAAAGAGGCACGCAACACTTCAGAGGGTGCACGCACCTCACTCGTATCCCAGCGACGATTCGAGCGGTCTGTAGCGTGGGCGCATCGAAATCACTCAATGTATCCCGAAGCACGCTCGACCTTGAAGCACATCCTCCCCCCCCAAAAAAAAAAAAAAACATCCAGTCAGGCCAGTCGCATCGCTTCAAAGTCAAGTGTGATTATCTACCCGTTCTGAGGAAGGATGAGCAGGACAATCGAAGCGCGAGGATAGGCATAGACGTACCGACTGTCTAAGGACGTACCAAGTAACTACGCATGGAAGAGGAACGCGTTCCTACAATCCTCGTCGTCCAGTGGATCCCACCACTCCGTTAACGCGGGGTCGCGCCCGACGGAACAATGTCCAACAATCCCCGTGAGCGCCGCTGCCGTGGCGTCCTTCAACCGACCACACCATAACAAAACACAAGGACTCGTAGCGGCGACTCTGACTGACGACATCGGACCATCTCAACCAGCGCCTCCTCGTCTGTCGCGCGAGTTGAAGATCGCCAGCCGGCGCGGACCCGAGAGCAGGGTTTTGGAGGTGCCTCTCCACTTGAGAGCGCGACGATCACGGCGCCCACGATGAAGACGTCCGTGCTGAAGGGTTCCCAGATCTCGAGTCAGCGCCGCACGTACCAGCCCCACCAGGGCGCATGCATCGAGGAGATGTGCCGAAAAGCGAGGGAGTTGAGAGAACGCGAGTCGAGTCGCCGGATCATGTCCAGCGTGTTCGTGAGCAGAGCGCGCGTCCAGTGAATGCTGATTTCCTCATCGAGAACGGCCGACTCGAAGCGTAGTTGGCGAAGTCGAGGGGCCGCAGTGCATCGCCCTAGACCCCTGCGAGCGCCCCATCATCCTAATGTAGGAGAAAGGTGAAAGACTCGGCTGTAGGTGAGATGGTCATTTCGCCTTCGGTCAGCGAGGTGCACGTCACGCGCTTGAGAGCCGTGAGAGCCGCGAAGGGCCCGTTGCGCCTCGACATCGGACCGTGAACACGCAAGTCCTACAGTTGGTGAAATGGCAGAGATAGAGCCCAGGGCAGTATATCGTACGTGAGATGCGTGAGCTGAGGCGCGACGTTGAAGAGATGCAGATTGTGGAATGTAGCCAGTCGGTCGTCGGGATTGCGCAAAAGCAAGTATCGAAGCATCGAGAGCCGAGTCTGGTATACGAGCGCCTGCAGGTTCCATGCTGCATGTCGAGTCAACTCAAGCCGTCGCCACCGCTGCGAGGTCTCTGCGATCAGCTTTAGTGTCGTCCACGCGAGAATCGGCGAGGGCGATGGTGATCTCGAGCGGAGCAGTCCTAGCGCGCAAGAGATAGGGCGAGAAGAGAGGACGTATGAGCCAGGCCTTCTCTTCGTGGTCCTCCGTGCATGTCACGCAGAAGTCTGAAAATAACGATTGAGTGCGAATGGCAACGGCGCGCCAGAGCCGATAGACGCGCGCTAGGACCACCGGCGTCCCGACAGGAGAATAGACCTCAACACCTTCACAGGTGTAGGAGAATATGTCTAAGAGTACGTCCGGACATAGTGGAGATGGTCCCGCCGGACTTTGTGCGAAGGGTGGCTGGTTCTGTTACAGTGAGGTTGGACGTACTAGGAGGGGCATCAGTCAGACTATTATGATAAGATGCGGTACGCACAACGGTTCAGCCTTTCCTGACTCTCTTGGGATTGACCTACGAGTGGCGGCGTGCGCGAAGGGACGAGTCAAGCCGCGCCCGGCCTCATAGACGCGCGTGTCTATGACGTAGCGAGAACACGCGGTCACGGGGTGAAGTCACCAAGCTGTGTCACGTCCGCATAAATTAAATCACGGTTCTCCTCTGCCTTTCATCGAGCCATCCCAACCTCTCTGACGATGTTTCTCCCGACTTTGACCTCTACAGGGCTTCATCCGCTTGCATACTCAACGGGATCTCTCATTTGCCTGATGCTGGCTCACCTTTCGGCGCGCATATATCCAGCTGTTACTCAGAGATCTAAATCTCGAACGCACACCAGCGCTTCGGGACTCTTCAACGTATGTCAGTGCGAGTAGAGCGAACAAGGTCAGGAGATAGTCTTACTATGAACTTGCTCGATTTCCTCATAATTGTCCTTGAGATCTGCTCGAGGGTGATGCGCGCTATCTTCTCCTTTCCAGATGCGTGCTCAGTACACCGAACTTTGGTTCCTTCGCAGGCAATCTCCAATGTCGATCTCGTACAGCTGCCCGTATGTCTTCCCATCTGCGTCTCTCTTGACCCAAACCTAACAGCGCTGAATAACCCAGACATCGTCGCGCGATGCACAGGCATGTGGTGTCGCCTTGGACTCAGCGTTGACATCGCCTCGCCTGTCCTCCGGATCGAATAGCTGTAGCGCCGGGCCCCCGGACAACCTGAACGTTCACAATGGTGAGCAAAAACAGGTGCTGGGTTTGCTACCATGGACACTGTGGGATTTGAACCCACGACCTCACGCATTCCTCAGTGCGAAGCGTGCGCGCTACCCCTGTGCCAAGCGCCCATTGGACAACTTCCCTAACATTGCGTCCAGTGCGCGCCGCATGTCCTCGAGCTCCAGGTCCTCTCCACCATGCGTATCTTCCTTCCCAGATAGGTCCTGCCATAGACCTTCCTTCCTTCTACGCCGTCGGCCTTCACCTTCTCTCCATGCCACCTTCGCATCCCCAACGAATCAAGATTCGAACATTGCGACAGCGCACGTGCGTAATTGCGGGGTGAGCCGGGAAGACGCGCGCCACGCGTTCGGCGTCTCAAATTTGAATCGCGACGTACGTCGCCTTCCTTGCTCCTGACCTTCGTCTCCTTCCTCGAACGAACTTCACCCCCCTCACTCGACGCCATGTCTCTCCCGCAGCCCGTTCCCCCGTCGTGGAAGGTGAGTTCTTGGGCTTTCTGTGCGCGGAGGGAAGCAGAGGAATGGCGCGAGAGGAAGGAAGCGCGCCGACGAATGACGCCAGCGCGGCGCAGGAAGGGGGGGGGCGAACGTGGGGCGAGCAGTGAGGGGAACGCGCTCTACAGCGGGGGACGAAGGGCTTGAGTGTGCGCTGCGGTCCTCACAACGCTCTCGGACGCGAGGGATCGGCACCGCTCGCGCCAGCCGTGTTGCGCGTTGCTCGCGACCTCGCCTTGCGTGTCCCGCTCTTCCCGAGGAAACAACGGCGCTCACATCCTCGAGGACAACCCGAGTCATCTCCCGAGCCCTCCCTTCCTCACCCCGAAGTCCCCCTTCCACGCGTCTCCAGTTGCTCTCACCCCTTGTTTCCTCCATTTCCCTACCCCATACTTCCCGTTCCTTCCTTCTCCCAAGCACGACGCTAACACCCCACCCCAGGACCTCGGCAAGTCCGCCAACGACCTCCTCAGCAAGGACTACCCCTTCAACGTCCAGGCGCTCGAGGTCAAGACCAAGACCGCGAATGGCGTCCAGTTCCGCGTAGCGGGCTCCCAGGCTGCTGGTGCGTGTGCTTCTTTAGACAGGGGTCGCGTCGTTTCGTCGCGCGCAACGACGCTCTCCTCGCGTGCAGAAATCCAGTTGCTGACGTCCGACTGCAGCCCCGGGCCCGATCAACGGCGAGCTCGAGGGAAAGTACACGGACAAGGCCCACGGCCTCACCCTCACGCAGGCGTGGACTACCAGCAACCTTCTCCGCACTCAGGTGCGTAGCCTCACCCTCTGCCTTTGCGCCTACTGATCCCCCTCGCAGATTGAGCTCGAGAACCTTGTCGCGAAGGGCTTGAAGCTCGACGCCATCACCTCCCTCATGCCGGACAAGGGCACCAAGTCCGCGACCCTTAACGCCGTCTACAAGCAGAGCGGCGTCCACACCCGCGCTGCTCTCGATGTCTTCAAGGTGAGTTGACAGGCGCGCTACCCGCTCGACTCGGCCGACCCCATGCTAAGAGCATCACGCAGGGCCCGACCGTCACCGCGGACACCGTTGTCGGACGCGACGGCTTCCTCGTCGGCGCCGAGACCTCGTACAACGTCACGGACGGCACGATCGCCAAGTGGTCCGCCGCGCTCGGCTACACGGACACCAACTACGCCGTCACGCTCCACGGCCTGAACAAGTTCAACACCTTCCACGCGTCCTACTACCACCGCGTCTCCAAGGACGTCGAGGCCGGCGCCAAGGCCGTCTACGACACGAAGGCGACCCAGGGCGGCGTCGCGCTCGAGGTCGGCACGAAGACGTGCGTCCACCGCCATCCATGCTTTGTCGCGCACGCTGATCATCGCCCGCAGCTACCTCGACGACGCGGCGTTCGTCAAGGCGAAGATCAACAACCAGGGCGTCGTCGCGCTCGGCTACACGCAGGCGCTGCGCCCGGGCGTCAAGGCCGCCTTCGGCCTCGCGCTCGACACCACGAAGCTCTCCGGCGCCGTCGACGGCTCGCCCTCGCACAAGGTCGGCTTCCAGTTCACCTTCGACGCGTGAAGGGGTGGCGGACGTGTGGTGGGGGATGGCTCGCGCGCGCCGCCGCGTGCGTGGCTTGTCCGTCCTGTGCAGCGGGAGGAGATGACGGGCTACCGGATCTCCGTTCGCTGGGTGGACGGGTACGTGGGCGTCGGGTGCGCGTGTGGGTGGGAGGCGGGGTAGTGCAGATATGTACGGAGAATGAAAATGGTCTGTTCCTCGGATGTCTACTGTTGTTGCGAACGGGCTGCGTACTGCTTAAGATCCAGGGCCTGGTGGTTGCAGACACGGAGCTGCATGGTGTACACCTGCGCCTCGTCTATCCTAACCTCGCGGCTTGATTGGGGGAGCTGTACACTGCACCTGACCTCGACCTTACCTTTCTGGCCGCTGGTCAACAAGTCGCTTCTTTACTTAACCCACCTCTCCCCGGGACGAGCGGTGTCCCTCAGGTCCTACGAACGAGGGTTGGACTCGGATGAGGTTGGCCTACCGCCTGTGACCGTCGACGATACACGGTGCGCGCGTATGGATCATGTCGCTTGGATGCTACTTTATGCACACGTATCAGACTTAACATCATCCCTCAAAAGCACCCAGCAGCCGATAAAGTGCCGTCCCGCGGGTCGATAGCCAGACATTCTGAACTACTTTCACCTTCATACAGACATATCGCGCCCATGCGCGCAACGACTTCATCCTTGGTTGGGATGAACCCGTGATCTGCCATCCCCCCGTTGGCTTGCCTATAGTCTTCGCGCAACGCATCGGACGATTGGGGACGATTGGAGGCGTTTCCGCGCCTCGTTCCACCATGCACTCTCTTGAGGTGAGGGAGCCATTCGAGGGAAAGGGCCCTGAGGGTCGTCGCGTAAGCGAACAATCCTGCGCCTATCCCCCGACGCTTTCCATCAGATCATCGTCTACGTCTTCGTCAATGTCTTTGGGGCTGCTGGTTGGTCCATAGCCCTTCCGCAAATTTGCGGCATTCTGCCAGACCTCGTTTGCAGCAGTCCGTCGGTCTTACTCCACCTCTCGCATCACCTGCCCTCAAGAATACGAATAAGACGCACGCTACTAGTTGCTTTCTGGCACTCACTGCTCCTGTAGCGGTCCGACGACCTTTCCCTCGACAACGTCGTCGACCCCAAGACCAGCGTACACGCACGGCATTGAGTAATCTCGTCGAGCTGCTTCGCCGCGCGCCGACGCTGCAGGACTTCAGACTTTGGGGGCATATCCAAAACGAGCGGAGGCTGGCGTTGCGACTGAAGTAAGTAGAACGCGCTGCGTTTGATGCATGTCCGCCAATCCTACCGTGGCTTCAGCCCCTCGCTTTTGCTTATGTGCACCAGAACGACTCAACGCTCGTCTGTATAGCTGCATTGCGATGGACGGAAGTGCTAGAGAGCCTGCGTTCTGCTACTGCGGTCCATTGAGTAGCGCCGTGCCCATGCGTTGCGCGGCGGTTACGAGATCCCTGACTGGTGTGCAGCACTAGATATCGATGGGTTTTGAGAGTAAATTGCTGTTCTACAGGTGAGAATGTCGAGATGCTGATGTATTCCGTTCGTCGCGACCTGAAAGAACAAAGACTTCCTAAAGAGGAGTTGTTCTGAATTCGGCATGAATCGGCAGCTGGATGGTTTCAAACTCCGATAATTCACTCTTCTTCCCAACCATCATATGTTTGTTGAGCCTCTCGTCCCACCTGGGAGAGCGTCTATGATCTGGAATGAAGTCCCCGAGCCTCTTCAATCAGGACATGCAACTATAGCGCACTCTAGTGTACTGCATCCGTCACCCCGAGGATGAAGAGCGTGTTCGCGGCGTACGTTTCACGAGGCCCAACATGTTCAGCGCAGATCTTGCGAACGTCGGACAAGGCCACAAACGCCGCAGACGTAGCAACGGGCACATGAGCAAGGTAATTTGCCTTCCCGCGTCCTTGCTGGTTCGTGGATACTGTACGACCGTGCCTATGGTTCTGATCTGCGCCCAACCTCCTGATAGCCAATATTCTCAGCGCAATCGCTGTCGTTGTATCATGCGGAACGACGACAGCTTCCTGATGCTGCCGCGGGGTGCGTCTTCTACGACCGGGCCGTCCCTTCCAGGGCTCCACTTATTGCGAGGAAGACCTCAGGAGCGTCGACATCACACAAGCTTCAGGAGGTTTCGAACATGCTGATCTCTGACCTCGTCGGATGTCGCGTCGTGGGCTTCGTTTACGAGCACGATGCATCGGTGCTTGTCCTAGCGGTACGCGACCAGCAATATCATGCTTGCAGATTGATACTTACCCGGCGGCGAGCTATCTGACCGGACGATATCACTGCCCTGGTGTCGAGCACCGGGACATTCGGGCAGGTGAACATGCGCGTTCGACGTCGGAGATGGAGCGGTGCGTAGCATGATCTTCCTTGCAAGACGCAGCGGCGCTAATTTTCGAGCAGAGTTCGGTGACACGACAGCGCATAATAACTCGGGAGCGTCGACGGGGCGTTCGGACGCGCTCGGTGTGCCTCTAGCGGCCGTACGCTGTGCTTGTCGTCTCATATTTTGGCTGGAAACTATGGCGCGCCTGCGGGAGCTAGCGCTGCTAGTCGTCCGGGGCGCCCCAATTCCACGGAATGCGACGGGCGGGAACGAGTGATCGGAATGAATGCGGAGGACGTCCGCAACCGAAGAAGGGTGACAGGTGCCCGGCCGGGGAAGCTAGTATATGCGGCACGTCAATATTTATTCCAGCGACTTGCTCCTCCTCTCCCTTGTCTCCTACCACCATCCCAACGTCACCTTCTCTACCATGGAATCTAGCGAAGGCGTTCTCTCGTCGCCGGCGACGCTGTCGCAGACCCCGGCTCGCGCGCGCCAGCAATCCGCGTTGAACTCGTCGATCTGGGCGCCCCAGCCGCAGATCATCGACACGACGTGGCCGCGCGCGATCGACAGCTATGCGCAGACAGTGTCGGCGCTCGCAGATGGTGACTTCGCGGTCGGGCAAGGTCGTGACTATGCCGTGGGGCAAGGTCGCGACTTTACTGTCGACCAGAGTCGCCTGAAGCAGGGCTCAACGCCGGCGACGAACTTGTCACCGATCACCCGCGAGGATGTCTTTGGTCCCGTCGGTGGTGCAGGTGGCGGGGGCGGTGGCCCTCGCAACAGTGTCGGCGCTATCGGAGACGGGAGGCAGAAGGCCAGCCCGAGGTTCGAGGATATCGTACGTCCCATGCTTACTGCGGCGCCTCCGTCTCACATCTGACGCATATACCCAGCATGTCGAGCAACTTCTGCGCACACTGAATCTCAACTCTCCCGAGCCATACGTGCCGAAGCCTCCCCTCAGCCTCAGCTTCGACGCTTCGCCAACCTCGCCCGAGTTCTCTCCCGCCTCGGCTTCGTCGGTTCTCCTCACTCCCACCGACCTCTCTCCGGCTCGTTCGAACTTCGATCTAAAACTGCAGGCTCCTTACGAGCTCTCGACGCTCTCATCTTCCCAACTTTCTCAAAACTCCTTGCTTATTGACCCCGCTTCGCCTACGCGCAACCTCACTCTCGACCATCACTTCTCGCCGTCGCAAGCTCAGGCCGCGCTATATCGCCATCAACAACAGCAACAATCTCAATACGCTAATTCGACCTATCCATACTTCTTCGAGCCACTGTCAGAGCAATCGTCTCCAGTCACGCCTCAGCATGCGCCCATGTTCCATTCGTCGCCCGCGACGCCGGTCACCCCCCAGGCGTTGTACAACTCGCCTCCGATCCGACGTGTCGATACGTCCAGGATTTCGGTCGCGGATTGGAACGTCCCGCTCCAGCTGCAGCCTTTACTTCTTCAGCAGCAGCAGGCCGCGAACGCCGGCACCGCGGCGGACTGGCTACGTCGCGACGCCAAAAGCGTCCACGACTACGGGTCCAGCTTGCTTCCTGCTGCCGACGATGGCATGCTTCGCCAATCCTTCAGCTACCACCAGTCTCCTCAGCAGCTCCAGTCCCCCTCGCAGTCCAGCACGCAGCAGAACCAGTCTTCGCATGTTTCGTCGTCTCCTCATGAGGTGAGTCTATCAATCGTCGACATGGTGATCGTATGCTTATATGCGCCTTCAGCCGATCAACTTTTTGTCCCTCTTGCACCCGTCCTCGTCGCCGCCGTACCACGTCTTCGTCTCGCGCATCATCAAGTCGTCTGACCAGCAGGCATCGATCTTCCTGCAGCAGAAGCTTAAGGTCGCGGATGCCACGGAGCGCGGTAAGATCGTCGACGCGATTTGCGCGAGGGGCTTCGAGATGATGGCGCATCGGTCAGTGTGCTCTGCGTGCCCAATTATCGCTCTGAAGCTGACATCGCCTGTAGCTTCGGGAACTGGGCCGTCCAGCGCTGCCTTGAGGCGGCCGCTACTGCCGAGGAGAGGCGCAAGATTGTGACGTGTATGCGGTACGTCTTCCTTGCCTGATACTCGCGAGCCGCGCTAATAAGTGTCAAACTAGTGGACGTATCGTCGAGCTAGCGACCAACTGCTACGGCTGCCATGTCCTCCAGAAGGCGTTGGACTGCGAGGAGGATATTCGCCTCTTGATCGTGTCCGAATTGCTGCACGGCGATCCTGCGCAGACGCTTGTGAACAAGCATGCATCGCACGTCTGGAGCAAGGTATATCGGCGCACCCTTGGGTCGAGGTCTGTTGTGATTGACATTTCACTCGCAGATTATGGAGCTGTCCTGGACGCCTCCGGCGCCGCCTATCTTCGCTTAGTATGTCATTCGCCTCAATTGGTTCCTTGCATCACTGATCTACCAATCAGCGTCAACAAGTCCCTCAAGGGCAAGTGGGCGGCTCTCGCGTGCCATGAGACGGGGTCGCTTGTCGTCCAAGTTCGTGTGTTGCTTCATCTTCATATCGCATCTATCTGACGCGTGCATGCAGCACGCCTTCGAGAACCTTGAGGACAGCGCGAAGGACGGCATCGTGGACGAGATCCTGCACCAGGGCTCGACCGTTTTCAGCGAGGTTTGTAAGAACCAGTGGGGCTCGTACTGCGTTCAACACAGTATGTTCGTCTTCATCGTCGATGAACGCGGTCACTAATACAGTTCAGTCCTCGAGCACGGCTCCGACAAACACCGGCAGATGACGCTCGACCATCTCATCACCGGTCTTCTTGAATACGCCACCAACGAGCAGGGCTCGAAGTCTGTCACGAAGGCGCTGAAGGAGGGTGGCAAGGACACGCTCGACCGCATCATCAAGCGCATGTGCGAGCCTGCTAAGGGGTACGTGATATGTTCTTTATGCGCATGCGTCGACCAATCGCATTTCAGTGCTCGCCGCGCCATGATCGTCGACCTCGCGTTGTCGGTGACCGGAAGCCAGCTCATCGCGAGCATCTTACCAACTGTACGTCAACCTCCTCATCCCGCTGAACGCTATCTGACTTTCTTGATAGGCCGACAAGGACCAGCGCGCTATGTTGTATGACTGCATCCGCGGTCACATCGTCACCCTCCGCGGCTGCAAGACTGGCTCCAAGGTTATCTGGCTCTTGTACGTCTCCGGTTAACAGTATACTGAGTGATCCTTGCTCACATACTCTCGCAGTGACAGAATGGTTCGCCACCAGCTTCGGGGGGGCTTAACCCAAATGCTGATGTGTACCTTCAGCGCGCTTACTACGGCTACTAATTGCTCTGATCGCTTCCCGCCTTCGACTTCGACTCGGCCGCCACAACGGCCCTCATCTATCTTCCATCTTACTGCAGCCCTCGCTTGACAAGTACAACTCGGCTTTAATCATCATACGGGACGCTCGCCGACTCTCCCGATACTGGAACTCATAATTGCACTCGACTTATAATCGCATAAGACCTCACCCCGCATACGACCTTACGCATGTTCTCCCGCTTTACGCATTCGTATCCGCACCGTAATCTGAACCCTGCACTATCGCGCACCGATCTCATAGCACGCTACCATCGCTCTCCGTCCGTCGCTCGCATATCTCACGCATACATATCGCCCCGCTGAGCACTATATTCTGTCCTTGTTGTCCCCGTCCAACATCCGTCGCTCGTATGAGCGCCGTCCCTTGACGCTCGTACCCGCTATATTTCAACCAACCCCTTCATTTCTTCATCCATATCATCGCGGTCACCCGCATTTATCCTTCGCTCAGTTAGTTCGCGTTGTTGTTTTTTGCTGCCATGTACTCGGCTTCGATTCATACCGAGACGCTTCTTCCTATCGACAGCCGCTTGCCGCCGCGCATCTGATGTCTGTTGTTCGTACTTATAACTCACCGCCCATCGATACATTGACAGTACATGTCACTATCTATCTACATCGCTATCTTACGGTCTTTGCTCTGTCCTACGACACAAGCACATGGGTATAATTACGATTATAGTGTTGTCTTCCTTGCTCGTCAAGATAGTTGGTGGATTGTCGATGCTAGATTGTGCGACGCTCCAGAGAGTATAGGCCTTGTAAATTGAACTGAAGAGACTTCGCATTGACTCCATGATGGAGTGCATCACAGTATGTGGGACGAACGACAGGACGAGGCAAAAAGTCAGCTAGAAGGCTCGAGTGGACGACATGCATTAAGGGGGAATCGAACCCCCGGCGGGTCGATGGCAACGACCCAGGTTACCACTACCCCATTAATGCGTTACTGTCATCTCGTTTCCAAATGTCTGATCTGCTCAGGCAACAAGTGTTGGTACTGTCCGCAGAACGCCGGACGTGCATAGCGAGGATGGAGTATCGTCAGTGGGACGAGAATGAAGATCACAGCGGGCGAGGCACTGTCACGGTCGCCGCACCAGGGAACTCCTGCCTTTCTTGTCCTTGTTCCGAACCACCATCATCACAAATGTTCATGCGCGTATTCATAAGCTTCCAGACGATTCACTCGATCTAAGTACCGGCGCTTTCAGTAGCACAGATGGCACTGTCCCACGGCGTAAAGCGAGACTCCCGAAGAACAGCGCGCGGAAGCACTGGTTCGATGATAGGTATACCATCAACAGCGGGATTCCGAAGTTCTCAGTCTTGCTTCACGAGCTCCGAGCTGACTTGACCGGTGTACAGCACCGGTAGCGCGGCGAGTGAAGGAAAGGTAAGTCCGTTCGGTCTCTCGAGAGCTCGGGAGCTCTGATGGTGAAGTCGTAGGTCTGAACTGCTTGGTCGCTCTTCGGTGTAGCCTCCCAAGCCGGAGCGTAGACATCGTGATATACAGGTTCCGGCGGTGGTCAAGATCACGATACTTTATTGATCTCGCAGGAGAAGCGCTCCGGTAGGCCGCCGGTCTATGATCCATCTTTTGGCATAATTGGGCGACCCTTTCGCCGCATTCACAGTTTTCCTCTCGACTATGGCTCTCGACCCTTGGCTACGCGTTCCTCTCGAGGTTAGCATCTGCTTCCTACCCGTCTTCATGGATGCACCGATCTCATTATCACCCATCAGGTGTACACTCTACCATTGTTACGACTCGAAATACTGCTCTGTGGCTGATCCGCCTTCGGCTTTCGTGGAATACGCGCCACCGAGGGGCGCTTCCGCCCTCGGCGTTGCTCTACGCGCCAGCCTCACGAGACGGCGGGACGGCGAAGCCCTCAAACATGTATCGGGAAGTGCGCGCGGTGCGAGAGACATCCTTCGTACTTCTGTGCATGAATCTCATGCTGTTCGTACAGCCTAGTTGCGGTCCAGCACGTACAATCCGAGCACTTATCAGTGTATGCGCGACGTACAAAAAGCCAGCAAGGGGTCATTCTTTCCCTCCGTTGACGCTCTACTCGGCAAGCCTGGCACGTTCGAAGACCCTTACTGCGACGAAGTCCGATGACAAAGACGCTGGACTTGGAGTCGACCTATGGTCCGTTCATGATCGTTCTTGCGATATCATGGGCTTTCTGGGGTGTGCTTGTGGCGCAGATGTGCACCTACTATAACGAGTGAGTCTTCGCTGCTCCGCCCTCGAGCTCGCAGGTTTCACGCGTCAATCTCAGCTATGCTGACGACTCGAGGACCATGAAGAGCATAGTGGGTTGCCGCGTACTTACTGCAACTGCTGCTAACCCTACATGCGAAAGGTGGCTCTTGTGTGGTATGATGTTCTATCCCCGCGAGCTTGAACACGGTCTGACGGCATGTGTTCCCCGTAGGATAGCCGACACCGCGCAAAAGGTCCTAATCTCGAGTGGCCGTGAGTGTATGCTCTTCTGTATATCCTGTCCGAATCATCAACGCCCCGCGCGGCAGTGTATAGATGCGTGATTCTGAACTTGTACGCCCCACTATTGAAGGTCCAGCGACAACTCGGAAGGCTGATGCCAGTACAGTGGACGGTCGAGCGGCATAACGGAGGTAGCCATGTAAGCTGGGCCATACACCTATCAACGGATAGCTAATCGACTTTCCTGATGCATAGCATGGACGTTCGTTTGCGGGGTTACTGCCACTCGAGCTCATTGGTCTGATGCTCGACAGAGCGAGATTGTCCCTCACTTGGCGGTCGCCTTAATCATGCAAGGGTTTTTCTACTTGCGCATCTACAAGTGTACGAACTATCGCTCCCGCTAGTCAGGTTTCTAATTTCTCTTTTCAGTGTCACGAAGCTACGCCGTCATTGTGATATATGTGAGTTGGCTCATACATTTTCGACGAAGCTAAGCGCCTCCCCTCAGGCTATCGCCGCCCTTGCGCAGATAGGTATGACTTTGATACGGCCCCGTGCAGATCAAGCTCAGCAACAAAGTTCATAGTCTTCACCGTAGGTGAGAGTTGGACGCCTCCCTCGTACGTTTGCGTGACTTAGGCGGCTTCGCCAGTGCCTTCCGTCATGACCTGCGTATTGGGCGCAACCTTCGTTCCAAGATGCAGCGTTTCGGCGGACGACTTGACAGACTCAGCGTCGTCTATCGTAGCGGTGAGTGCATACGACACCCGGACGTATCTTGATCGACAACTCTTACCATAGATCACGCTTCCGGGATTCATGGTAGCGGCATTCCTCGCAGATGCGCTGCTCTCGGGTCTCATGACATACATATTTTTCAAAGAGTACTAAAGCGCTTCTTTCCGAAGGTACGCCGAATCAGCGGCGCGCTACATTGCTCGGCGATGCTGACGCTCATCAGGACGGCAAACTTACTCACGCGCCTATGCTACTTCTCCGTCAATACAGGGACCTGGACGGCCATTTTTGCACTTGTTACCCTGACTTTGGTATGTGATCTGGCGCGCGAGGTCACCGCTCAGCTGATAGCTCGCTGTCTTTGTCCGCACCTTTTTCCAGTACGAAGTCGATTCGAGCAGCAACTATTACATCATCTTCAACCACAGCATGTGCAGCGTTTACAGTTGTACGCTCCTCGCGAACCTCAATGCTCGCAACTACCTGCGGAGCGTCGGCGACAACCCCATTTCGATCAAGATCATCTCATTCGGTTCGAGCAGGTCCAAGAGCACCACAACGTCCACGAGGGGAGACGCATCTGAGGCTGTGTAATAAAGTAAACATACAATACGGGAGTCCATTGTAACAAGTATAAACATCGTTGTAATTCGATCAGCGCGCCTGCGCAAGTCCAGCCACTCGCTTCAGCCGAATTTCAGCATGGGCCGGGATACTCTCCTTGATAATCTCGAGGTCCCGCGGCGAAAGATCGACTCCTTCCAACTGGAGAACATTTAGAGCGCCTTGACGGAGTCCCGAGCGCTCCGCCATCTCCGCAAAGGTCTGCCCCGACATATGACTGTCGACGTCGCGCGAATGGGAGTCAATCTTTACGCTGAAGACGCGCAAACGAGGCGATAAAGTGCTGGAGTGCATGATGACCCCTGGTGCGGCGTCCGTCAGGTCGAATTCCACTTCCCGGAGCGAGGGCGGCCACACTGTGCTGCCCTTGAGCGCCGAAGATCGCACGCGCGGGTTCTCAGCTATGCCTTCCATGCGAAGGACGGCCCGGCGCAAAGATGTCATCTGTGGTATGAACGACGGGAGCCACGACAAGCACTCGCTGCCCAGCACCTTGAACTCGACGTCCGTGAGCTGCGCCCAGGGTAGAGCCAGCTCATTCGTCTTCGGGCAGTTACATGCCCAAGACCCGAGACGTGGGACGGCTGAGAACGCATCGCGCACGGTGGTCCAGCTCCAATACCACTGCCCTTCAACTCTCGTGCTCTCTAGTAGCGGCATCTGGGGGCGTGCGCCAGATATAGCGGGAAGAATGCGCGAGATGATATTGAGGCTGCGCCAGCGCGAGCTATGCGGGAGAAGAGCGCAGAAGACGGCCGCCAAGCTGTCATGGGCGATCCAGCAGATGTCGAGCGGGGCGGTGCGCGATCGTACAAGGTAAAGGTCGAGCAAGTATGCGATAGCCAACATGGTTAGGCCATCTGGAGCAGTCTCGTGGTGTACGCGTATAGTGGACCAAAGTGAAGGATAGCTGAGTGCGGCGGCTCGCCACGAGCGGCACACATGCGATAATGACAACGGGGTTGACGTGTGGGAGGTTAACTCGTGGCTGGCGTAGACTAAGGCGAATACTTCGAGTAGGACATCAAAGGGAAAGCCTTGCAGAATGAGGGGACCTTTGTTAGACTCCGGATTTCTAGGATGGGCATCCGAGTCACCGCAGAGATCGATCAAGAGTCCATCTGGAAGACATTGCGAAGTCATGCCGCCGGTACTACCGGCAGGCGCCTCAGAAAAGTCGTTCATTGAGCGATGGCCTATGAGAAGCATCAGTTCCATGCGCAAGCATGCAACTGATGTAACATACGACGACGTTGGGGATGAAGGCCCTCGAGAGTCAGGCACTCCGTCCGTGAGCCACAGCGATATCAGCAAGCAGCAGATTCAGGTCAGTATCGACCTTTGATGCAAAATCTCTAGTCATTCGACGAGGAAGATCAGGACGGAAAGCTGGCGAGGGCAGGACAAAGGCAATGGTCACGCAGCGTCACCGTTCTAGGCCTCCGGCAATGTCCGATTCGGCACCTCATGCTGGCACACCCAACTGAGGCAGAAGACATGCGCCTCGGTCGCGTCTCTGGTGGGCCCCAATCACGCGGAGAAGATATTACTGGGGAAAGTTGCGTTCGAAAGGATGGCATGATACACCGGGCGCGACTCGGCGAGTTATTGAGCTCGTGAATTTTGCCGGCCGTTGTATGGACTGCACTGACTTTACAGACAACATATGATGCCAGTGAGTCTCTTACGACTACATATTCGAAAGACAGATTACAATCGTATCGCCGAGACCAGCTCGTACGACTCAGTATCTCGAGTTTAGCTACCTTGAATCACAAATGTCGTCCCAGGCAACTTCAGCTTCACGTACTCTTGCAAACCCTTCGTTTCTTCAGTGCCAGCGAACGTGCTCTTCAAGTAGATCTCCTCCACTTGAACGGGGTTCTTTACGCCGCCGTCCCTCTGCCACCTCACTTCCCAGGCCTGCGCGTCCACGATCTGCTCAAAAAGCCGCCTCAGACCAAGTCCCTCGCCGATCACCCACAAACGCTTGAGTGTTTTGAAGCCTAAGCGTGGGCGGCCAGGGTCGGAGATCTCAGGCTCCTCCCGCCGGTTCCTATGGCTGAAAACCCGGATGATGAGCTCCTGGATGGGTAGATGATATTTGCGTACGACGCTGGCGATCTTCTCGACTGGGTCGTCATGGCAGGAAACTGGAAGGAAAGGGTGGAAAACGAGCTCGATACGGGTGACGGTCATCGGGATCTGGGGTTCGCTGGCGCTAGAGTAGGCCTGCGTACCCGTAGGCATCCGTCTCTCACGGTGGAGCTTGTAGCCGTCGTGTTCCTTGTAGACCATCTGCAACGTGTCGTCCTTCGTTCTTAAGTCGATGATCTTGCGCTCGATGAGATAATGGAAGACGAGATAATTAGGGTCCGTCGGTGAGACTACTTGAGGTTCCTGTCTACGGGAGGATGAAGACGAGTGTCTGGCAGCAGCAGCAGCATTGTGGCGCATCAAGTTGCTAGCCGACAATTCGCCCATATCTTGACTTGAGGGGACACGATAGGGCATATCATCGGGAACAAATCTGCTGATTCCCCCAGAGCTTACACTGTCGAAATCTGGTGCGAGTCGGAGGCTGCTTGCGCCGGCCGCATCTGTACCAGCCCTTGACGACGCCTGGCGATAGGACGAGGAGGTGGGAGTGCGCGTCAGAGGCGGAGAGCCTCTCGGTACGTTGTAGGTGCGTCTGGTTCCGTATGTCGAAGAGACGGCGGTCGTAGAACTCGAAGCGCTCGGTGATGTCGGCCGGTACACCGCGGACGGTCCTGCCGTTGTAGAGCTCGAGACGCTTGGCGACGCCGGCGAGTATGCAGCGGATGATCCCGCCGTCGTGGAGCTAGAGATGGTTGGTGACGCTGGCCAGTATACAGCGGACGGTCCTGCCGTGCGCCGGGCTGAGGTGCGAGCATTAAGCTCCGCTGGAGAAAGAGAGCCGACTTCTGCTGGTGCGTGAGTCCGTGTCCAGGCAGTTGCGTGAAGCAGCCAATACGGTAGCATGGCATACCTTGTGTATTCCAGGGAGTATCGCGCAGGTCTTCGTCATCGGGTGCTAAGCGCGAAAGTGAGCGACGAGACATTCCTGTTCTTGAGTCGCGAGATCGATGCAGGATGGTCAGACTCCTCGCAATACTTATATGCAGCCTTCTGGAATGGACCACTTCACATGGGTGCATAATTACCCTCGCTGGTGCTATTGTTCCGCCCTTGGTCGAACAATGGATAGGTCAGGACAGGCTTCGATGATGTGGGAACAACTAGTGGGCCGGGTCAAAGCATATTGAACCATCCGCGTTAAGATGGACAGCCATGACCTCTCCATGCGCCGTCCCTATGTCCATATTCGAGCGAATTGAGTAGAAGGTCTAGCGAGTAAACACCCTTTAGGCGGAGTTCCGAAGCGATCGGAGGGGACACAAGAGGGGATGGTAGCGAAGACCAGCCTGACGGCCAACCGTCATCGAGCTCTGCGGTACTTGCAGTTAATAGTAACGTTTACATAGTGCCAGGTTATCTATCGTATATCTGCCACAAAGTCAGCGGTGCGGTTCAGGGCGATCGAACGGACTTACAGCTGCCTGGACCAGAAATCAAACATGCCATCGTGGTACAGCCAGCGCTCTGGCATGAGGATAGCACCTGAGAGAGTCCCCTACATTCAAGAAACAATATCTAAGACGGAAGATGAAAGTGCAATGCAGGTCGCGCGGCGTGACCGAACAGCGTCTCGGTGATTGCCGGGTGTCGCGTGAAAATCGTACGGCAATCGCCGCCTGCGAAGCAATTCCCTCGATGCACACCTCGCGCTTCTGGTTCATACTCTCAAGTTGTTTTCAGATTCAGCGTCTCCAAACTGATAGCTCTCGCGCACGATCAAGAGTACTTATCGCCACATTTCTCGTAACCTCTCATACGTGTCAGGCCTGGTATATCCTCTGGCTGTTTACCACGTTCGATTACTGGATGGGTGAATAGCGTCCAGTCGTTCGATTTGACTCAAGAGTGCGTAGTCTGCAAGCACAGTAGTGAGCTACTTGACAAAATCCGCTGTGTATGCGAACTGAATATTCACAGCCCCCTACTTAACTCCGATATCGCTCTCCGCAAGCGACATGACCATCGAGATGAACGGGCAGGACATTGGCGGAGAAGAGCGCGTCGCAAGTCCGGAAGTCTCTGATTCAGTTGGCATGGGACACACCGGGGCGGTCCTCTCGTGCCAATCTTATCCAGATGATGTCCTATTCGAGATATTTGCGTTCGCCTGTTCCACGAGCGAGATCACCGCTTCTACGTCGACCCCTATGGCTTTATCCCACGTCTCTCGATCCTGGCGGGCGGTAGCACTCAGCTATCCTGTCCTATGGTCGGGAATCCGAATCTTGAGCTCGGCGGACCACAATTGGACGGACCCGGAGGGCCTCGCGCGACTGCTCAAATTGTATCTTGCGCGGTCATGCTCGGCTCCGCTCGATATATGTTATCTGTCCGGCACTTTCGCCGTTGACTTCAAGGCCATCATCCACTCCCTATTACCCCATTCCACGCGCTGGCGCAGCATTCTCACTCGAACACGCACGCTTCCCGCCCTGTTGGCCGCGCGCGGCCGCTTGCCGCTTCTCAAGAGCGTGAGGATCATCGACGAACAGTTCGAAGGCTGCAGCGAGGCGCTTGATGTCCTCGCTTGCTCTCCACGCCTTACGAGATGGGACTCTGAATACACGAGGACAGAGCAGCTGGCCCTCCCGTGGGCGCAGCTAACGGATCTCGACTTTACAGTAGACGGTGAATATCCGCTGTGGCTGACGTCCTTGGCGCCACGAATGGCTTCGCTGCGACGCGTCGCGGTCCGCATCAAGAATACACCCCCATATTTGCACATATGGTCGCTCGTGGAGAAAGGCAGCATTGTCTGGCCTGCATCCCTCGAGGAAATCCGAGTTGTTTGCACGCGCACCGACCCGGACTTCATTATGCACGGCAGCACCTTCTCGCCCAACTTGCGCGTCCTCTCTGTAGAGGTTCGTCCTCACACCTTTCAATATCAATCTGGTGTATCTGGGTGGCGGAGCGATTCATTTGTAGATCTGGCGGAGCGCTCGGGCTTTCGCCAAGGCCTTCGGGTGCTCCGGCTAAGGAACATTCGCCTCCAGAAGTTGGACTTTGTGCGCATTCAAATGGCCGCGCAGCGCGTCAGTCTGGAGCTCTGATACAGGAAGGGGGCTGGAGGGGATTGCGCGAGCTCACGGCATCTCCCTCATCAGGACGGTTGCTGTTGTCCAAGGTGATACAATTTCCCGGGTACATATCAGATGGAAGAAGGAATAGTAATAGGGTCTTCGGAGCGCTTGATTACTTATGGTAGACGGTGTGATGTACATGCAGAAATTGATAGCCTATACCGCGGATTTTGGCCCCCCGCGTTTGCCAGAATAGATGGCCATTGTCGCGTCGCACAATTGGGGATCATTCGCATCGGACCCAGCGAGCAGGTATGGCGAGCGTGATCCACCCGTCTTGGTCAATATGCTTGAACTGCACTTGGTAAGCGAGGTCGTACTGTATGCGCAGGGTGAGAAGGGAAATCGAAGACAAGGGTTGAAGCTACGTACGCTCGTGCCGACGGCGCATTCAACGCGTCCGCGCCATCCGCTGTGCGGGCCGCTGGTGACGACGATCCAGGCGCCTCTGGGGATGACAGACTGTGATATATCATTGGCATCGGACAAGTCAACGAGCGAGGGGCGACGACGCACCATTTTGTAGGGATCGGGAGTGAAGGTTAGCGTTGAGCTTGAATGCGACAGCGGCTGCACGTCTGAGGTGTAGCTGAGGGCAAGAGGAGGGATGCGGAGGTGAGCGAGTCTGGTGTAGGTGGAAAATGTGAGAGGGCATTATATAGCGGAGGCAGCCAGCAAAGGGCAGCTCGTAGGATGTCACAACAAACTAACCGAGCGTCAGCAAACGAGCAAAGTTCCTTCAAAAGGCAATAAATGAAGTATCAAGCAGCGCGGACAAACAGCGGACAAAGTCGACATGCCGGAGAAGACAAACTTTTCGCTGAAACGGTCGGCTAAGTCCCTGGCCACGCTGCGAGACCAAAGTAACGTTAATTTGGGCTAGAATCTGAGAATGGAGGCGGGTCGACAGTTTGTGGTGGCTTTGGGATGAATATGTAACATAGATATGAATGCTAGGTGCGCGGCGCTATCAGATGTATGTCTTTACAAAGCGGCGGATATCACGTACCTTCTCAAGTCGCTGATGCGTCTTTCCTCTACCAAGAGACTGGTCCCATCGACTTCGCCACCGTCTGCGCGACAAATGGCATGCCGCCGAGCGCCGTCGCTCCCAAGCAGCGCCTCCAATTCATCATCTCCGACAGAATGGCCTGCGCTACCTCGCTTAGCGGGCTCGGTCGCGCAAAGCCTGCCGAGTCGGTGAACTGTAGGACGAGGTCGATCAAGCTTGGCCGCGACTGGACCAACCCTATGACCGTTGCATCATTGGTTGCCATTTGGCCATGAAGAGTCAGGCGTTGTAGATGAGGCACGATAACCTCCGATCTCTCGGCATGTTTGTCGGTCAGTGCCTCGAGGAGTCGTCCTGTGGAAAGCGGTACTCCGCAGGCCGCGACTTCGGCCGAGCTGGCGGGAACTGGATCCCGTACATCGAGACACTTGAGGCAAGGAAGTGCACGCAGGACCTCCAGCAGCTCAACTATAGACAGCATGACACGATGAAGCACTAGTCTGCGCAGCGTATGGCCGAGCTGCGAGCGCTCGACCATCCGCATGAATCCCACGTGGGACCAACTGATATTGCCGAACTTGGTTGCGTCCACCGTTCCATCTGGTCGAATAGAGAGGGATCGAAGGTGATCGAAGGTGCATTTGTCGAGGAAGCGCGCTGGATTTCTGGGGACCAAACCAATGGTGGGGCTTAACATGGATTGGACGGTCAATTCGACGAGCGTCGGTGGCCGTATGATGTCAGGTTGGTGCTCTGTGTCACTGAAGTTCCCATCGTTGACGACCGCCTTTCGTAAGCGACATAGCTGGGAATTGACAGGCGCAAGCCCAGGTCTGCAGTCGATCCTGAAAGCGACGTCCTCAAGTTGTGCCCACGGCAACACAATGCGGGATAGGCTGTAGTCACACCGCCATCGCTTCAGGCGCGGCGAGTCAGAGAAGAGGTCGAATCCCGAAGGAATATCCCCACAGTCGGCGTCCATAACTTCGGCACTCTCAAGCAGCGGGAGGTGCCCTCGAGCGCCGTCTAGAAACTGGAGCAGGTCCGCGGAAATGCTTATACGTCGCCAGCGCAAGCTGTGATCGACGATGAACCCGATGGCGGAGCGCAGATCCTTGGCGGTAGCATAGAGGTAGCGACATTCGAAGTCGATAGGTACCGAGTTCGAGCGAGCTAGATACATGTGCACGGCTCGTGCAACCCTGTCTAGGAAAATGGCTCTTTCCCCATCCATCACGATGTAGGGGCAATCTCCGATATGAATCGAGGACCATAAGGTGGGACATCCCAGGGCAAGTGCGCGCCAGAAGCGAGAGACGTGCGGTAGGACCACCGGAGTCGACGTGCGAGAAGTCAGTATGCAGTCATCGCAGACGAAGGAGAAGATCTCCGACAGAACATCGCTAGACAGTTTGCCGATGGCCGGTTGGAAATTGTGCCCGGAGGAAGAACGCAATTGCTGGACGACACCATCGTCCTTGAGACTCAGTGATTCGAACGCATGCCCGACACCGTCCGATTGCTCTGAGATGGCTCCTAGTGGATCTGTCATGAGCAAAAGCTAGGAGGCGACACAATGCCCTGCATATGCATTAGAGCTGGTATAGGGCAATGTCCAGGACACGGACGCGCTCACCTTGTACGAGTATCACGCAACACCAGCTCTGGTCGCGCGATGCTTCCGGGTCCCGTATATGACCTGATCAGAGCCAAGGGTTTCCAGAAATTCATTGCGCTAGAATGAAAATTGACTTGCCTTGAGACAGCGGCGATTGAGTTAGGACGCAAGCCGCGTTCGCGTCACGGTCATGATCTGGCCGCTCATACGGCATTTCCCGGTATCATCTCACGGTCACTGCAGGCAAAAGTCGAGCATCGAACTGCGGGCTACGTGGTCAATATCGCCCAGAGGATACGCTCGGCTCAGACAGTTCAAAGAACCAAATATGTAATATTGAATAAATAGGGATCGATTGCGGCTTCGAAAGGCGTAAGCTGGCGAATACGCCATGAAAGTCAAAACAACCCTCAGAATGCACGGCTTTGCCAGTGGCGCTTGTGGCTCTGAAAGCCGCGCTTGCGCGCAACGACAATCTGACCGTCGCGGCATGCCATACCTCCCGGGACACTTCCCATGCTCTGCCAGTAGCCCGACCCGCACTCCGACCACGTCGTCTCGCTATCGCAGCGGATTTCGCCCTCCGTGCATGTGCCCGACGCCGCGCTCGTCGTCGCCGCCGCACTACTGGTAGACACTGCAGAGGTCGTCGCGGGTGCGCTGGTTGTGGCCTGAGCACTGGTCGTGGCCTGCGCGCCGGTCGTAGTCGGAGGACTGGAGCTTGCGGGAGCGCTGGTGCTGACCGATACGCTGGAGTTGGCCGAGGCCGCGCTAGAGGTCGAAGCAGCGACGGAAGTAGAGGCAGCGACAGAAGTAGAAGCAGGAGCGGAGGTCGTGCCGGCGGCCGACGTAGACGGCGAAGTCGAAGTCGCGCCGCAGTCACCAGTAGGCGCGCCGATGTTGGCGTCGCCATCCGCGCGCTGGACCTGCGTCCCCGGGTTCGGGTAATCGACGTCGACGCCCTCGGCGATGGTGCATGTGTTGATGCCGCTGAGCTGCGCGACGAGCATGTCCGGGTAGGCGCTGAGGCCGGAGCCGCCGTTGTCGATGGTGACGATCGCGCTGAAGGACGTTGAGTATTCCCTAACATGTCAAGGTGTACCGCTAGCTATACGCACCAGTTCATGTAGAACTCCCGATTGCCGACGCGGTTATTCCAAGACCAAGCAAAGACGACGTCGCCGCTCGCGACGTCCGAGGGGACGGTGAAGTCCATAGTGACTGGTCCAGTGCTGGACGGGCAGTTGCCGATGAAGGACTTGACGACCTTAAAGGTAGAGCCACCGTCCTCGGAGATGGAGAGCTGGCATGAGCCGCCCTCGTGAATCGCGCTGCCCTGCAGACTGGATAGAAGATGAGCATGGATGCGCCCAGTCATGAATCGATATCGACGTACGTGACACTCTGGGACGAGCCGGCAGCCCACGTCGCGACAGACTCCTTCCCGGTGCTGTCGGACAGGTAGCCCTTGCACGGGAAGTTCGCGCCGGTCGAGTCGAGCGGGCTCGTCATCGAGTAGTCGATGAGGTTCGAGTCAGTGTTCGGGTTGTACTTCGAGCGCAAAGGGGCAGGGTCTGTCATCTCCATGTGGGCGGAAACGAGGGAGGCGAAGGCAGCGAGAATGGCGATGAATGACTCCATGTTGGTATGAACGAAGAATGGAAAGGGTAGAACGAGGGAAGGAAGGGAGCGCTAGGCTCAAAGGAACGATGTCAAGACTGCAGCAATCTGGTGCCATGACAGGCCTTATATTGGCGGTGAGGAAGCCAGCGACGACGGATGCTGCGCCTGCGGAAGCGTCTCATCTCCAAGTATAATACTACCACCGATGGGTCGGATGAGAGTCAAAGCCTGCGGGCATGTTCAGAGGCCACTCATTCCTCGGAGACGAGCGCGACGAACGTGCACAACTCACATGCACACGACTGTGGCTTCAGGCACGACCGTCAAGAGGCATTTGGCGCCGCTAAAGAGGTGGCGGGCTCAGGGACAACGATCTGCGGAGGTAGATATACATAGGCAAGTCGCGTCTATCCGAGGACACGATGGTGCGGCCGCTGGGATCGCCTTCAAGGAGACCGGTACCTGAGAGCGGGCCAGCGCATCAGCGCTGTATTCCGAGAGGGCTCACGGGTGTCTTTCCTTTGGGCAGCAGAAGACATCGCGGGTCGAAGGGTTCAGGTCCCTAGTCTCGTCGAACAAATACGAACACCAGAGGAAGAGGTCCCGCATCATCGAGGGCATTGATCTGCCGAATCGCCATTGTGCTGAGTTAGGAAGACCCCGAGTTCGAATCAGAGCTTGGACGAGCTCTTCGAAAAGCCATTCGATAATACACACATGAGTACAGTCAAGGCGCTATAGATATGTGGCCAGCCGCCAGCGACCTTCAAACGTCCGAGATCTGTCAAGGCCATTCCATCAGCTATCGCCCTTCGACAGCATGCATCCACTCACCTGCGACCGCTTCGCCGCCTCGAACACCGACACATCCTCCACCGCCGCCGACCCAGAGCGCCGATGCCCACGCGACCCCGATCCACGCGCCGTCCGACTCGAGTCGCCCGTGGACTTGTAGAAGGAGAGGGCGACGGCCTGCTCGCCTACGACATAGTCGCGCCCGTTGAGGTTGACGAGGAGCGTGTTGCTATAGATGCCGCAGACACCGAGGTCGAAGATGGCCCAGTAGTACGTGCCGAGGGGGTGTTTGGACTGGGTAGCATAAGTCAGCGCACCGTTCGGTCGATAGCACGGGGGGAGCTTGGGCTGCCGGTACTCACCAGGATGATGGCCGCAACAGCGAATACGGCGGTCCAGGTGCCCGTGTTGATGGAGAAGTAGAACAGTCGGCGGAGCATCTCGCTCGTTCTGATAGGGACATTTGTTAGTCACTGCGGACCGTATGACAGTATCCCGTCAACATACTTCTGATACGGCGTCTCCTGGTGCTGCTTGTACAGCAAGGTAGTTAACATACCCGCCATCGTGACGTCGGCGACGAGAACCGCCGCAAGGTATCCGAAGCCGGAGAGCTACAGGTCGGTCAGAGAGTAGATGTTGGTAACGGTTGTTTTCTCACGTTGAGGAAGAAGAGCCTTCGTGCAGCGGGGACAGCGCCGAATCTAGTGAGGAGGTGAACAAGGTGCAAGGGAACATCTAGAGACAGACTCACGAGCCCATCAGGTAGACTGGCCACATCGTCAGCAACGGCGAGAGGGATGTCTATTGTCAAGGCGTACTTATGGTGAAGACTGCGAGGCCATCAGCGGAAGAAGGGCAACGGCGAATGCTGCTACTCACTGATCTGCAGCAGGGAAGTGACAACCTACATAAAAACAGCATTGGCATCGTATGCAACAACGAAGTGCGTGGCATATACTCACATATAGCACGATCGGAATATAGCTACGATAAACTGGTCCGCCGACGTCAGCCTGATGCATGTCAGATTCGCAGGCTGAACTAACGCTTCCATATCCTCCAAAAGCAGAACCCCTGCACGATGATCGTGACCAGCATCCGCGGCGGCATCTCGCCCTGAGGAGTATCGTCAAGAACTTCTCCCACGATGAGGATGCTGACGCGCGGCTGCCCACCATCACGCTGCGGAGCGCATTCAGCGATCAATAGTATACTGCTTGAACAACGCCACTGACCGGGCTCTGTCGAGAGATACCACTTGACCGCTGCAGGAGATCGCAGTCAATACATGGGAGCGCCTCCATCACGGTCCATAAGAGGGCGGAACGCACAAGTCGTTGACGAGGCATTGATAGACTGGAAAGATTGTTAGCTCAAGGGGCGTTGAGAAGCGGGTAGAGGAAAGACGTACTCCCGCGAAAGAGGATGATCGCGTGGGACAGGTCGAGAAACCTGAGTCCGATGAGTACGGGTCTCGTGAGGGGCTGAGATGAGCATAAACCGTACCAGACAATGCCGACCTACGCGCGACGAGGTGAACTCAACATCAGGTCAACGCTTTCCAGGACTCACGATCCACTTGACGAATGTATGGTCTCGCTTGTATCTGGCGACTGGGGTGAGCACGGGGAAGCTGCATCGATAAAAAAGACGCACGAGAGGTAGTACCGTATCACTTGCATTGTAAGCATCCCCCACAGCACCCAAGCGAGGACGGACGCAATCAGTATTGGACCCAAAGACGTGCGCACGTCCGAGATTGCGACTGCGGGAGGCGCGGCAGTAGCCATTGTCGGGCTCGATCGTGAGGGCGTGAGCACGGCCTGTAGGACGAGAGGCGCGTTGGCCACGCTCCGCGACTTATGTAGGGTCTTCGGCGGCTAGCACGGGCGCTCAGATGTGTGTCATTGACCTGCGACGCGCGGGGCATTGGCAGTTCATAGATCTCGGGATGGCGTTGATGGATGGTGATACGCGCGAGGCCGGTTCGTGCCTCGGAAGAGGTTCTTGCAAGGGCGTGGAGGGCACGGAAGAGATGAAGCGCGTCGTTTGCTCATAATGAAGATGATGGACCGTCTGCGTGAAGGGAAAGTCGGTCAGCGGCAGCAACGAGCCAAGCTGCACGATGACACGCACCTCTGAGTTCGTTGCTTGCGTCCTTGCGCAATAGCTCCCAAGCCCAATCGCAATGACCTTGATTAGATAGGAGTCCCAGGAAAATGGGACTGTTGGAAAGGGTCATAACTGTCGTGATGGAACGCGTCGAGGTTGCTCAATTGGCGGGAGCGCCTGTACTGCCTCGGATGAGGCACTAAGATGTTCATGGTGGGGTTCTGGTGAAGAGGGATGGTATGTTGTTCATGGTAGTATATAGAATCGAAAGGTGCATCAACGGAAAGGGGGATGGTGGGCGGAAGAGAGGTGCGGCTAGAAAGTCACAAATGGAACTCGGGTATTTCGGGCCGCCGTCACGAGCGGCGTTCACCCCGACCAGAGCCTCAGCTCCTTTGCAGACGCCATCCAAGACCTAGGCCACCTCGGGTGTACAATCGAGTTCATGAGAAGACGAAGCATGGAGAGCGTGATTAGAATTATCGAAGGTCCTCAAGCTACTTAGTACACTTTACCCACTACATACCCTTCGCCACCTCGCGTTCGTCCTGGTCACAGCGGTGTTATACAATGTCATCCTGCAGAGGAGATATATCAGCTCAACCGCTCAGGGACGGAAAGCTGCTCCCCGCACGTACACTCCCCTCTTTACTCGTCGGCGAGTTCAGCTCCTCCTTCGCCGTCACGAAGGTCCCCAAGTCCCTCGGCGTCACCGACTCGTCCGTCCGCCCACTACTCGTGAACCGCGTCTCCCCCGTCGCATACCCAGAATATCCCATCGTGGTCGTATCGCCAGTACTCAAGGGAGGTAGTCCGCGCCCGGGCGACCCGGTCTTATTGGGTGATCCAGTTTTGTCGAAGGTGAACGTCACCGTCTCGTCTCCCCTCGCGTAGTTCCGCGCGTTGAGGTTGGCGAGAAGGGTGTTGCTATAGACGCCGCAGACGCCGAAGTCGAAGATCGCCCAGTAGTTGTCGAGCGGGCGCAGCTCGTACTTGAAAATTCATTGGTCAATGTGTTCGGAAGTTATGGGAGAGAGGGCTGCGCATACCAAGATGAGCGTAGCAATGGCGAACACGGCCGTCCACGTCCCTGTGTTGACGGAGAAGATGCAGAGGCGGCGTAGCATGCTGCTCGTCCTGCTAGTACGAGGATCAGCATTCCAATCTCTTGCATCCAAGGAAGGCGTACCCGTCGTAATGCCCCCTGCGGTACTCTTGGTACAGGAAGAAGGTCATCAAGCTCGCCATGATGATGTCGGTCCCGAGTGCCGTGCTCAGATAGCCTGGTGCAGAGATCTACGAGCACGTGCATTTCTTCAGCGGCTAGATACAGTGGCGCGAAGGAGATCTGTATCTCACCGACATCGTCTTCGATGCGAAGTCAGCGAAGTCGTCGGCGGTAAACCTGAGAGAGATCGTCAGAGGTATCGAGGGGTCGCGGACGGGGACCTACGTGACTATCAGGCAGGCTGAAGGACTCGTCGTTAGCATAGGTTCCTGCCGAAACTGGCAGCGCACGCACCGATTGTGAAGCCTACAGATGTTGTCTTAGTGCGCTGTATCGTGATACTCGCAGGCGAGGGGCTCACCGAGCTGTAGGAGTACGGATAGGACCTGCCGGCGTGGATTGGTCAGTAACGAGGCAAATTTTGACATTGGGGATACTCACATAGACGGCGGGGACCACCGCGCTTAGTAAAGCTATACGGAAGGAGATGTGAGTGGCCACTCTATTTAAGAATGCTCGTACTCACCTGAGTAAGTGCGTCGCGCAAAGATATACACGCGCGAGAAGCAGAATCCCTGCACGAGGATGGTGACGAAGACGCGGGGTGCGGTCTCGCCCTAGTGGAGAGCAGAGGTTTGGAATAACAAAGAAGGCGTAAGGGAGGGGCATAGACGTACGCTTATGAGGGATACATCCTTGACAGGACTCAGGTAGCCGCTGAAAGAATATCGGCCAGATCGGTCGAGTAAGAGGAAGCATAGCGTACAAGTTCGCGACGAGGCATCTGTATACTACAGGTGATATTCAGTACGAATCGTGGGTAGGCAATGAGTTCGCACCTCCGGTCAGAAGAATGATCTTGTGCGCCGTATCTGCCAGCCTGAAGTCCGACGATTAGACCATCACCAGTGTTATTCACTTCCGTGCGTACCAGACAATCGCCACCTGCGAGCCTCAAGTGAACGAGGGGCGCGTGCAACGGACCAACCTACGTACCAGCCACTTCAGCAGCACTCGATCCCTCTTGTACCTGTAGACGTCGGTAACCCTCTATCTCGGGCCTGAAAAGGTCGACACGTACGCGTAGTAGTAATTGACCACCTGCAGCGTAAGCACGCCCCATAGCGTCCACGAAAGGATCACAACGATGAACCAAGGCCCAAACGCCGGCTCCGGATTCCCGACGTAGGGTATCGCGCCGTCGTCCATCGTTCGTGTCTTCCCTGTGCGCAGAAACGACCGACAGGACGCTGGCGTCAGACAAGCAGCAGCAGAGGCAGCACCTTCGCCCAGGGCACATACGCGCGCCTTATCTATGGGCATCAGCAGCTAGTAATGCGCGCGATCAGTAATGAGTACACGCGACCAGGAGTGAATGCATACCTAGCTCCGGCTCTGGCGGGCGAGCGCTGTGTACGCGTTTGACCGCCCCGCTGCATAGCATCACTCGCTCTCGTGATGCCGGGCGATCTATCGTGGTGGCGCTTGGCTGCGAAAGGGTCGGGCTGAGTACAGTGCGCCCCGCAGGAGCGGGCTTCTGCGCATCAGAGTTCAGTGCTCAATGGGAGCGTGGGCGTGCACGGATCCGGGGTTTCCATTGAAAGGCACCCACAGAGGGTTTTCAACAGTGTTCGGAAAGAGACGACGAAAAGGGCCGCGAGCATTAAAGAGGTTTGAAGAAGCACCGGACCTTGGCCCGCAGCGGTACAGAAGGAAGGGCTTCGGCATGTTGATGCAGGAGTTCGGACTGTTCACGCGCGGGATGGGATCCATGAGGCTCAGAGGAATCGCCGAGATCAGGTACCTGAGGGAGTGTAAGCGCCCGGCGATGAAGGTGGTAAGGGTGGGTGTCATTGAGCGCTCGGCGGCGCTTGATCAAGCTATCAGATGACGGGTTCGGTAGACGCTTGACCGGCGTGATGTCCCGCAGCGAGATAATGGACGGAAAGTAAAGTCCTTCAGACCCACCAGGGCGACGATTCTATGAGCACGATTGGGTGTTTGCTTGAAGCGACGAATAGATCATTGTCGTCGCCATGCTAAGCATATTTGGCTTATTCGCGGCGTCTCTCAAAGCAACGAAGAATGAACTGCACCAGGTCCGGAAAGTACAAAACTGCCTTGCGCAACTCGTGCGACGCAGGTTGGGCGCTGGGCGCTTGGCCTGCCAGGGCGTCGACCATGCGCGCACCCTGTGCTGTGTCCTTGAGTTCGGAGTACCAAAAGTTCGAGAACTGAAGGCAGCGCGTGACCAGTGGCAAGGGATAAGCCAAAAGGAGGATTGCATTGTGCGGTACGTGACGGTGAGAAGCAAGGATGAATCGGCAACCGCCGATGGTTTGATCCGTGTTTGATTCCGTCAGAACTGGATTTCTCTTCCCACGCCCTTCTTGCTTTCGCCGGTGTTCCTCTTTCGACAAGGATGCTTGGTACGACAGATCATCGAGCTCTCGAACTCGGTGCTCAGTAATTGAGGCTGTGTTCACTCACTGTGAGGAGACTATCGAGCCGAGTGAACAATTGACAGGACCGTGCGACGCGGTCTTCTATTGCGACGAGAGCTGGTCGAATGGTCTCGTCCTGCATGTTATTCACTAGGAAGAAATCGAGGACAATAGGACAATAGAGCTTATATCTTGAGTCGAAGCTTTGACGCGAAAAGAGCGCAGCGAAGACCCACGAAGCGCATCCGAGTATTCTCTAGCGTCTCGAGAAAGTCGGTGCATGGACCTCGGACGCCACGCTATACCTCAATGGCGAGAGATATAAGTGAATTCTGCGGTGTCAGCCAGAGTTCTAGCAGGTCTCACTTTCTCCTCGCCATGCCGCATCCTTACCCTATCGAGAACATTGAAAAGAGAGTCTTTAGAAGTCCGACTTATTCCTCTTCCTCACGCACTCATCGTTGCTCTTTATGCTAACCTCATTTCTTCTCGATGAATCACTCTGCGGCGACACATATCTGCCTCGCTGGCGCTTCTGCTGGCGTTGTTTGGCTTCCTCGCCATGTAGGAGCTCAAGCCAGGGGTAAGTGATTCGATTTTCCCCGAAATTAGCGTAGTCTAGTGATGACCGCTGGCTTCCGTCCTCAATCGCACCCTTACGCCGCCTTGCTAATCCGCCATTGATGTCTCTTTCTTTCGAGCTAATGTAGGTCGTTGACAGGATGAAGTCAGGGTCAAAGGCGGTGACTCCAAGTATGTGGGCGTTCGGGTCAAGGTGATATCAGGGCCCATTGTAAGTGGTGCTGCCCTCCTGGAGCTGTCCACCTAGCTGACGGTCCTTGCCAGCTCGACCGGAGTGGCACCTTCTACGCCATACGCCCGGTGATTGGCGTCTCGCCGCCCGAATGCCTGCACGCCTGTTTCCTGACCACGCGTTTCTCCGATAACCAGGGTCTCCACCGCAGGACCAAGCGTACCACACGCGTCGATCATGAGTGTCCTTCGGCCCCGTGCCCTATTTGGTGTGTTTGGTCTGCTATGTGTATGTCGATAGCCATCTTCAGCCTGGAGGAGCTGCGAGGCTACCTGACGCAGCCCGCCAAGAAGCCGATTAAGTAGGGAGCTGGTTGGTGCAAAGTTGTGTATACGGATACGACTGAGGCTATGCATCTGCCTAGTATTGATAACATCCTGAGTTCGAACCTTCAACGTCGTTTCTCGATCGACCGGCGTGACTTCCACTGACAATCCAGGAGAAACCTTTCCCCAATGTCAATCATCAAGCTTCGGAGGTGCGACGATTGGATCCCCATCCTCTTATGCGCAGCTGTATCTTTACACTCGCATCCCAGGTTCGAACTGACAATCCATGCGCCGCACTGGAAGGGAACATACAACTTCAAATTTATAGCCGAAGGTCCGTATCCCTTTAGCTATGGGTATCTTCGAGTTAATCAAGCGCGCCCTAATTGTACACAGAGATCATCAATACACCCCAGGTATCACCTTCCACCGCACGACACTCGTGTACGAGCTCCATCGCCTCCCAAACGCCACCCGCATCTCCCGCTCCCGCATCCGAACCTCACCCGCGCTCGCTCTCAGTGCCAACGCCCCGCATAGAAGTGCAGCTACCGCCTTCCCCATCCCAGTCTCCCACGATGGTGTGCACCCGACGAGAACTCCGCCCTCCGTGAGATGTGTCAGCGCCGCGCCCGCGACGAAGAGCAGCGCGCCCGCCTCCTCGGGATGCCGCGCGAAAGTGTGCCACCTCGACTGCACCGGCGACGCGCGCGAGACGCGTGGCACTCCGCTGCTCACGGCCCCGGCATCCCAACGAATGAGCGCCCCGAGCGCGGCGAGCAGGACGCCGAGGACGCACGCGGCAATGCCCGGGGCCGCATAAGAGCGTGTCTGGCAGGCGTGCGTGAGGAAGGCGAGGGGGGACGAGTGCCCGTGGTAGGCGGAGTGTTGGAGGTCGAGGACGGCGAGCCACTCGAAGAGGGCGAGAGCGGAGAGGAGGGTGCGTTGTGTCTGTGATACGAGGTCAGTATTGCTGTGGTTAGGTAGGTAAGGGAAGGAGAAGGGACTGACTTGTCGTGAGTGCCCCGGTGAGCTAGAGCGCGCCGTAGGGCCGCATGGTGTGTGATAGATGCCGGGCGCGGCGCTGGCGCCGAATGCGACTTGGTCAAGGACCACGAGCCCCGTGCTGAGTATCGCGCGTGCGACAGACATCGTGAAGATCGTGTCGAGAGGCTGATGGTGTGAGGAGACGAAGGGGGCGAAGGCAAGGGGCGATAGTGAGTGAGTCTCCCCTCACACTCAGCCTTTAAAAGTCTCACTCGCCCCCGTTACCCAGGCGTGCTTCTGCCATCCTGCTATATGGCTAGAACAGGGCGCCACCGCCCTGGTAGCCACGATAGCCAGCCCTGGAGAGTTTGTTGAGCGTTAGCGCTGATGACCGAGGGTTCCATCCACGACGTACCGCATTCATTTCGCGTTCATTCCACGGTGCTGCGGCACATGAAGCGTGGTACGGCATATTGGGGCAGTACCACGGTCATATAGCGTGCTTCGGTCTATTGAGCCGTGCAACGGCACTCGGCGCGTGCCACCATCACCGCGGGGCCGGCCAAAAGCCACGCTCAATGTTGGGCTCCTCCGCACAGCGATGAGGTCGGAATGCAAGCATAATGGCGGACATGGGAGGGAGGGAGGAACGGGAAGTGGAGAACAAGGCATACAGATGCTGGTCGGACGAGCCATACCGTGCGATTGGCGAGCGAAAAACATAGACCGCATATGCGCCACCCGCACGATATCATGTGCGGATATGTTGGACGTTCACCCAGCAGAGTAGAGATTGTAGAAGAGAAGGAAGCCCTGCGCGGGGAGATGCAGAAGGTCGCCCGCCTACCCCAACGAACTCGCCCTTCTCGACACGATTACGGTGGCGCACATCTTCCCCGACGCCCTTCTGTGGTCCCCGCCGACAACTGCGGAGGCGACCATGGGGCGGGACCGCGGGGAGTCGCGGAAAGTGGTTGGGCTGTGTAGCAACAGTCAGGAAGAAATGCGAGGGATCAGGATCGAAGTCAGAGACAGACGGTCCAAAGGCAGATCCTGACGGGGGTTAGGACTTCACTCCAGTGAAGCCGCGGTTTAGAACAGTAGCGCTTCCTGCTGTAAGTTGACCGTCAGATAAGCCCGCGGGACAGCGGCCAGGTAGGAGTCGCCAAGACGACCTGAAGCGAGTGAGATGATGCCGTACCCGAATGTGAAAGGCACGCATCATCCTTCGACTAGTGGCGTTATGCTGCGCGCCGACGAGGACGGAAGGTCGAGGTTCAGCGGAGAGGTTGCAGAAGCTCGACGAGGAGATTCGGCACAAGAGAAGCTGGGAAGGCAGATATGCAGTACTCTCGCCTGCGCTGAAGCCTGAGTAAAGCCAAACAACCCTGCGCGTCCGTCGCACTCGCACTCGCATTCGCGCAGAGCCGCGGAGCAGCTGGTGAGGACGAGGGCCACAACGGGACAGGAAGAGCAACTCGGAGGGATCGATGAAGATGGAAGGCGGAAGCGACTCAAACACTCACAAAGCAACTCGAACGGTCTCAGACATCAGAGAAGAACGATGAATAAGTTATTGCCACGAGCGAAAGAACGTATCCGCGGAGATTCCGAGTCCAAAGTCCCATTAAAGAGCAGTAAGTAATCTGATATGCTGGTCGGCACTCACTGTCGTGGTGCGATGTGGTTATTGCTTCTCCATTTCTCCCTCCCTCAAGCTTTCTTCAGTGCATGCGTCTCTCCCGACTCGCCCCATCCTGATCCGGCTCGCTCAGCGCCCCCGGCGCGTCCACACCTCATCGAGGTCAGCGATTGGCCAACCTAAATCCCATACGCCTCCCGCTCCCACCCCCGCCACTCGAACACGGGCAACGGGTGCGCCTCCGTGTTGAACACCCACTGATCGAGTGGCAAACGGTCCTCATCGGTGAAGAGGAGGAAGAGGTACTTGAAGGTCTCGGCGAAGAGCCAGCTGAGAGGGATGGAGTGTCAGCCTATGCCCACTTTCTGTGCGGAGGGAGGACGACGACGCGAGCGCACGCAAAGACCCTACTCCATGACATAAAGGGGATGAGCCGTCTGCGCCGCCTATCGAGCGCGCAAAGCCCGTCCGCCCAGATACCGCATGGCGCGACACTCACCTCGGCTGCTCGTCCGTCATGGGCCGCGGGTGGTCAATGTTCACGACGTTGTAGCTATATCTGTGGAGGAAGTGATGCATTCCAGGGAAGCTGCGTCAAGAAGAGCATTTTCTTTGCGATTGATCGTCCGACGAATATGGGGCATATAATATATACACTGTCCAACACCTTGCATGACGGCGAGAAGGAAGGAGGATCCGGCAACGGCCGGTTTATTGCTCACTGTTTATCATCGCCTTCACGTTTCCCACGAGCCTCATTCCTTGAACCGTCACCATCCTTTCTTCTACCAAATAATTGTAGAGTGCCGTCCAGCGAGTTACTCGTTCACTTATCTCTTGATTCCTCCGTAACAACTTCTTCACAAGCCTCGCACAAAAGGACGATGCTGCACTAGAGGGGATCTCGTGCGCTTCGCAGACCTATTGTTCTCCGTTCGAGAGGTCTTTCTCTGGACAATGACGGGTAAGATATGGAAAGATATCTCAATTTCTCTCCGTTCCACTACACAGACCACAGGGTGCGATACCGAAGACCACCGAAAAGCATGCACAATTCTCTCAGCCCTCCGAGACGTCATTGCACCGATGATGGATGCGCAGACCATGGGCGATGCTTGGTCCATCCTTGGGGGATATAATGGCTATTCTCTGCTTTCAACTGTCAGCTTCAGCAGTATCTGGGTTGATTCTCCCGCTACAACACTCTTCTATACTTTTTACGCGTTTCTCGCTTCATCTCCCTTCCCTCTTGAGTTGTGGTACAGTCACTTGCAGAAAAGTTGGCAAGCCCGCGCGTCGCGTTTTTGCTGCCACGAGGCGCCCGCGGCCAATCCTAGGCGTCGTCGCGATCCAGACGACTGCGCTGGCGACGGCATTGGTCGACGCGCCCCACGTGCAGCAAAAAGTGCGGGCGCGGGCCTGCCACCTTTTCTGCAAGTGACTGTAAGCAATCAGGAAGTCAGTACGTTCTTCAATTGTCTGCAATGGTCGGAATCACATCCACGCAAACTTGTCATTGACTCTGGATTTTCTGGCGACTGTTCAACGTCATCTTCTTGAACATCCTGAACATCAAGAGCACCCTAATACTCGGGGTGAGTCGTGACTTAAGCGGCGGCAAGTCTCTGCACTTCTTTAACGATCCTCATTTGATGTGCTACGGATCCTCGTCACTTCGAGTCTCACCTTGCTCTTCTATCTGGCGTCCTTGGCAACTCAATAAAACTCGCGCATCTGCAGGAGGAACTTTATGTCCTAGGGGGTGACCTATATCTGGGCTATGCGGCATATGTCATATCAAACTTTCCTTTCCGTGCCTCATCCGTAAGTGCTGTACTCTTGGTAACGCATGGTATGATTACACGCGAATTTGCAGAAGACACGCAGGATCCTGGCTACACTTACGCGGTCAGCCCCATAATTCGTGGCTATGCGGTGAAGCCTGTGAACATCCATGAATCGCATCTTCGTCGCCTTCGAGATCATTGTAATTACTGAATTTCTTCGTGAGTTGGATGCTGTCGATTTTGCTTGCGCGTCAAATACTACAAGGACTTCGCGCGGTCCTCTCAGGTCGCAATGGCGTACAGGACTTGTTGGTAATATACTGAATGATGGCTTCCATCTCTTCCTTACACGGCTTTCATGACTCTTACGTAGATACGCGAAATTGAGCAGAAGTCTCCCATCCGGAACTTGCATGGCACAAAATGCGACTGGTTCACTGCAGTAGCGACTACAGTAACTTCATAAGCGCTGGTTCTCGCCAAGGATTGCGACACCTTGGAATTACTATCTTGTCAACTCACCAAGCTCTGAAAGTCACCTCAAACCGAGGTTGCAGGCAAAAAGAACAAAGACTTCCGAAAGGAGATAGATCCCAAATTAGTCAGCTCGTTCATGACGCGCCCAAGGCCCAAGACGCTGCTATTGGCAGCCATCAGCTGCGTCGCCGACGCACTCAGTTCCTTCATCCCACCCGCAATTACGACGCTGAGGCTGCTCTGTCGACGATGTCCGGGCTTTCGTTTTCCTTCTCGAAGTTCCTTCCGACAGGCGCTTCGCGCGAGCGCATGCCCTCCGATCCGCTTTCGCATCTGAGATTTGTCCTGGAGACCATGCCGGGGTCGCGAAAATATGTATTCACACCAGCAACGCGTGCAGAGATCCTCTCAGAACTATACGAGGCGTTCTGGGGCCAATATTCACACCTGTTCCTGCCGGACACCAACGCGAGCTTGCCGCTGCACGCGACGCTGAGCGAAGTGCAAGTCGCTCAAGACTTCTGTGGTGCCGCGCAGCCGGACCCAATCATTCCAGGGAGACCGTGTGGGCGGATATTCAGGAAGGGGGAGACATGTTACCGATGCAAGTGCGTATGCTTATTGTGCGAGCTTGCGCGTATGGCTGACACTCGCGTAGAGATTGCGCGACGGACGATTCGGTTGTTATGTGTCTACGATGTTTCAGGGCGACGGACCACAGCAATCACAACGTCAGTTTCTTCATCGCGCAACAGCCCGGCGGGTGCTGCGACTGCGGGGACGACGAAGCATGGCGCGAGTCCATCGGCTGCCCCTTCCACCCTCCCGCAGACACTCCATCACAAGACATGAGACCCACTCTGCCTACTGAGGACTACCTTGCCGTCAAGGACTACCCCTTCCGCATCGACGTGCCGCAGGAGCTACAGCAGACTATGCGGCGAACAGTCGGCTATGCGCTCGACTTCATCATCGACACGCTGGACTACTCGCCCGAGGAGCCCTCCGTGCCCGCCAACGAAGCCGAACTCTGCGTGCAGCCGTCAGCGGACCCCATGACGAAGGATGTGTTCTCGATCGTCCTCTGGAACGACGATAAACACTCGTATGACGAGGTCGCGAAGGTCCTGCGCGATCTGCTGGGGAGGAGCCGCGAGGAAGCCTCAGAGATCCTGCGGAATATGGAGGAGAACGGGCGCGAGGTCATCGAGATGAACTCCAATGCGACGCGTATGCTCGAGATCGCACAAACCATCACGCAGATCGACCTTGGCGTCACTATACGGCGCGCGTACGATACATTCCGCGAGCAAGTCGTCGGCGTGATCATCGAGTGGTTGCTCGACTTGACGCGATGTCGAATGGGTCAGGACGCCCTCATCCTCCGCGAGATAGTCGCGGCGGAACTCATGTCTGCGCAGAGGAAGGAGAACATCTCATTCGCATCATCTACCAGCAATCGCCTTTCATTGAAAGATGTACCCAATCCTAAACGCCTAGACATGCTTTTCCTATACCACACTCGTCTTTGGAAGAAGCCGAGATTGAGCTTGAAGGAGATATACGCGTCGGTCGTGTCCATCAGCAAGGAGCACAAGCTGGCAGTAGGTATGCACTCAACTTTGCGTTCCGTGCTTTAGCTAATGTCCGTCAAGCTGGGCACTTTGCCAACGTATACCACCGCATCATCGACGCATACCTGCTGGTCGACCGCGAAGCCGAAACATCTATCAAGTACTTCGCCCTCCAGCTCTTCACCACCCCCACGGTCGCCAGCCACCTTGCGCGCCAGCATAAGATCGTCACCCGCATCCTCGCCATCATCACTTCCTTCTTCACCAACCAGATCGTCGACAAGCGCATCGTATACCCGCCCGCGGCCGGCGCCACCATCGACGTCGACAGCTTCCCCTTCAAATCGAAGCGCTTCATGCCCGTGTTCAGCGACCTGCGCTACTTGTGTCACTGCGAGCCCGTGCAGCAGCAAATCGCGCGCAATCGGGAGTACCTCGCGCAGTTCGCGAAGACATGCCAGTTGTTCATGTGCGTGAACCCGAACAAGCGCGCGGCGACGAACCATGTGGAGTACGAGACGGATGCGTGGATCAGCGTGTTCAACGTTACCCTGTCGCTTTCGCGGGTGATCAAGGTGTACGGGGAGGCGTTCTCGCATGGCGGCGTGGCGGAGCTCATTGCGGCGATCTCGACGATCATCCACCACATCCTGATGGTGTGTACGTTGTCGGAAAAGCGGCTGGACAGGACGAAGTTCCATCCCATCGCGTTCCATGAGGTTGTCTTCGGCGGCAACTCGTATAATGTCATCGATTTCAACGTGCTCGAGGGTTGGATCAGCTTCCACCATTCTTTGCACTGGCTGCTCGCGGAGCTCTTCAAACATGTCGACTTGCTATCTGAGGAGTCGTTGAAGGCGGTCGGGCTCACTAGCGTGCGGGAAGTCGTCCTCCGCTACGCGAGTGAGCAGGCAATCCTGACCGTCATCGACTTCCCATTACGAGGTCAGTTTCTGCCTTTCTCTTCTCACCTTCTGATGCTGAACGTGTCCCTAGTGCTCGCCATGATCGCTCAGATACGAACTGGTCTTTGGGTCCGCAACGGCTTCGCTATCCGTGGTCAGCTGCTGCACTACCGTGACTTCATGTTGCGCGAGCTCTGCTACGATCAGGACCTCTTCATCCTCCAGACCGCCTTCATCATCCTCGACCCCGAGACCGTGCTCGTCACCATGCTTGACCGCTTCGGGCTCACCAGCTACTTCTCTGGCGTCGTCACCCATCCGGTGTACGACGGCGGGCAGTTGGGCGGCATGGTTGAGGAGTTACTATACGTGCTCATCACGGTGCTCAGCGAGAACGCGAATGCGTCGCGCCTGCCAATACGCTTCGCTGTCCGCCGCGAGATCGTGCACGCGCTTGCTATGGGCCCGGCGTCGTTCACCGACCTGGTGAAACGCGTGGCGGAGCGCTTGGTCGACGACACCTGCTTTGAGGGCGTGCTGCACGAGGTGGCAAACTTCAAGGCACCGGAGGCGACGACGGATATCGGTGTGTACGAGCTCCGCGACGAGTGCTTCGACGAGGTCAACCCGTTCTTCTACCACTACACGCGGAACAAGCGTGAAGAGGTCGACCAGATCTTGCGCGCGCGGCTCAAGAAGAAGACGGGGCAGACGGACCCCGTCATCACGCCCAAGCCGTGGGGTGTCAACTTTGGGCCCTTCGCCAACTTGCCTGTGACGTTCGAGTCAGATGTGCTGCTTCAGATCGTATTCTACGCGGTGTTCAACGTGCTCGTGTTGACCGAGTCCGCGGGCGCGACGCCACCGTCGGCGGAGGCGATCTTGGACCAGGTGTTGCACATGATGATGCTCGCCATCGTTGAGCGCCCGACGGTGTTTGCGGAGAAGGCGGTGACGAAGACATTTGAAGAGAAGAACTTGCTGGACGTACTCTGCGCGCTGGAGCGCAACGACTTGTACAAGACATATCGGCCACGCATCGACTGGATCCTGTCGCGGATCGAAGAGCGTGGCATGTCCGGTGAGGTCGCGCGGCGGCGGCAGGCGCACGAGGGAACGAAGCCAGCGGAGGACCCGGAGGAAGTGAAGAAGCGCGCAGCAAAGGCGCGGCAGGAGGCGATCATGAAGCAGATGAAGGCGCAGCAGGCGAGTTTTGCGGTGAACTTCAACGACCTGGATGACGATGAGGACGAGGATATGGAGGATGCGACGCAGGAGGCGACGTCGTATGGGACGTGTATCGTGTGCCAGGAGGACCTCAACGCCAACAAACCCTTCGGCGCGTTGGGTCTTGTTCAGCCGAGTCGGTTTATGCGGCGACATCCGGACGCGAATCCGGCCTACCTCAACGAGGTGTTGCAGACCCCACCGTCACTGGATCGTCCGATCCAGACGAAACCTCCCAGATTCCCGCCTGAAGAAGCTTTCTCGCGGACGCCTCCACCATTACCGCCACCAAACCTAGACGCCTTCCAACCAAGTTTCACCCGCTTCGGTCTTCACTCCTCAGTTTGCAGCCACATGATGCACCTTGAGTGCTTCCAGGTGTACAGCGTCTCCATCCGCCAGCGACACCGCGCGCAGACCACCCGCAACCACCCGGAGAGCATCCCGCGGAAAGAGTACATCTGCCCGCTCTGTAAGAGCCTTGGCAACGCCATCTTCCCTGTCATCGACGCGCAACCCACTCCCGTTAGCCCACTCCCCTTTCCGGACTGGATCCGCTCCGCCAGCATCAGCATCCTCAAGTCCAAGCCGGATCCGCAGCTTGAGTCGCTCCAGTTCCGCAATGGCACTGGCGAATTCGTCTTCTGGGCGGCGCAGGACCCCGCGTACAGCACGGCCATCCGCGCCGCGGACAAGCCTGACGCTGCCGAGACGCACAAGATGCTCGACACTGTGATGCACATCTGCAAGTCCGTGTCCGCGCAGACTCGACATCTTCGCGACCGCCCGGAGCCCGATGCAGGCGAGCGTGGCGCTGGGATCTACCTACCTGAGGAGCTGCTGGGCTACACGATTGCGTCGATGGAGATCGCGCAGCGCGGACAGCAGGGCACGCATGCGGTGGTGGCGGACTGCTTGTCGGAACCTCAAGCGCGGATGATCCGCGGTCTGCTTACTTGCTTGCAGAAGCTTGCAGCCTTGCACCTGAAGGGAAGGCTTGATGAAGGGCGGGAGGCGGTCCAGCACGCGATCATCAAGCGCTTACTGCCAGAATGGAGTCGTACATCGCTGACATCGTTCTCATACCCGCTGCTGTTACGCGACCCCTTCACGGTGCTCGTCGAGACTGCGGCAATCGCGCCCGAGATGCTGCAGTATGTTCTGGTCCTCACATACTACGCCTGCCTCGCGCGCACCGTCATCGGCCTCGTCTACGTGCTCAACAAGACGCGGAGCGTAGCGACAATGCAGCTCACGCGGCGGCAGCACGAAGGCATCTTTGGCGACGTGCGCATGTTCTTCATGTCCGTCGTTCGCCACTCGCCCGTCTTCGAGCACACCGCGACGCTCGTGTTCGAGACCTTCGGCGAGGCGCGTATTGAGCGGCTGCTCTACGCGTTCACGCTTCCCTTCCTTCGGCGCGCGTCCATCCTCTGCCGCGCGGCTCTGCCCAGACAGTTCGCTGTGCCCGAGGGCGCGGGCATGAGCGCCGAGTGCGAGTACTCGCGGCTGCTCACCCTGCTCGGCATCCCGCCGCTCGCAGACCTCCCCCGCCAGGACACGCTCCAGAACGCGCTGTCCGGCTGGTGCGCGCACTACGGGCACTCGCATGCCGCGGCGCAGCTCAACTGCGGGGTCGTGCTCGACTACCCGGTGGTCTACCAGCTCGCGCGGCTGCCCGCCATGCTGGACACGCTGTTCATCGACCAGGAGCGGACGATGCGGTGTGCGAGCTGTAAGATGGTGCCGGCGGATGCGGCGCTGTGTTTGCTATGCGGGACGGCGTGCTGCTTGCAGAGCGACTGCTGCAAGGACACGGAGGGCGGTGGGGAGCACGGGGAGTGCAACATGCATATGAGGGAGTGAGTGATCAGCTCCAAGTTAGTCTTTCGTGTGCTGACGGTTGTGTCTGCAGATGCGGCGGAGCTATCGGCGTGTTCTTCCTCGTCAAGCGCTGTGCGGTGCTCTACCTTTACGCCAACAACGGCGCGTTCACGCCGTCACCGTACCTCGATGCGCATGGCGAGATGGACTCGTCGATGAGGTGCGTTCTTGTGGACAGTGGGGGTCACGTGACTGACCTTATCTGCGCAGACGCGGTCGTCGCCAGTACCTACACCATGCGCGGTGGGAGGACATCCGCAAGATATGGCTGAATCATGGGATACCGACGCTCATCGCGCGCAAGCTTGAGAGTACGGTGGACTCTGGAGGGTGGGAGACACTGTGAGGTGCAAGTAGCATCGCGAGGGCGAAGGAGCCCACGTGTGAAGGAAGAAGTAATGTATTCCTGTTGTCCTTTCCTCTGCTATCCAAACGCAATGTAATCTTCTCTGCATCATTCCCATTCTCTGTAGCCTAATCATTTGTCTGCTTCGAGCTATAGCATAGAATATTCTCCCTCTCCCTGCAGCTCAGCCCTGATCCCAGTCCCTAAGACAGAAGGTACGTGTAATAAGTTAGGAAGAACGATTGTTCGCGTCTGTCATTGAACGAGCGGCACACAGTGACTGTCGTCGGTGCGAGATTGACCAGTCCGTGAAGGAAGACAGATCTACACCGCCGACGCTGCCAGGATCTCCGATTTGACGCGCGCCTGAGTAACGTCGGAGTCGGGGAATAGCACCACGCTATCATCAATCTCGCACACCGTGTCGTCGCCCGTCGGGAGCTGCAGATCAGTCAGCCTCGAGCCCACCTCTCGGTCGTGGTACCGTATATCATGTGTATGGTTCATCCCCACAACGAAGGTGTGTGGTGTAAGTTTGCAAGGAAGGAAATAATCCCGCTCACCTCCCCATCCTGGAAATACCGGCTCACCACCCCGATCGTGCAGCTCGACTTCTCCGCGAGGCTCGCGTGCCCGAAGCCGTTTTGCCTTACGAGCACGGCGCTGTCGCCCAGGAGGTCGGCCATGAGCTGCGCGTTCTCGAAGGGGGTGACGGGGTCGGCCTGAGAGGAGGACAGGTCAGTAAGCTATTCAGACCTAACATTGACGGGGCAACCTGGATGGCGACGACACGAATCACAGTACGCACCGTAGTACCAATGACCAACACCTTATTCTTCAGCTCTTTATCCCACGGCCCCGTATACCGCTCCACCGCCCGCGCCGGCCACGCGAAGCACAGATTGCCCTGCGCGCCCCATTGGGGGCCGAACATGGCGGACACGTTGGTGGAGGCGTAGGCGATGGCCTCGAAGCCGCCGCGCATGGTCATGTCGAAATTGGGAGGTGAACTGGAGTCGGGAACAGTGTCTGCATCAACGCCGTCCCCGCAGTAAATGGCCTCGAACTCGTAGGTGTGCGGCTCGGATGGTGCAACCTGGCGCTTGGACGGGGCGACCTGCCGCTTCGACGGGGCGACCTGCCGCTTGGACGGGGTGCTATCGGCCAAAGATCTGGTGGGGATCTGCCAGCGGTGCTTGAAGGACGCGTGCGCCTCAGGCGTGCTGCTCGAGCTCCCCTTGCTTCTCGCGCTGGAGTTTGTCGTGCTAGTCGAGTTGTCTGATGTGGAGTTCGCCGCCATCCCCTGCAACTTCTCCCCATAAGCCTCCAGATACCCCGCCAAGCTCGCCCAACTCGTCGGCTCCGCGAGGGCTTCGAAGAGGTAGGTGCGGGCCTGCGCGGAGGTCATGGTGTCGCTGAGGTCCGCGCCGGAGGCGGCGAGGGTGTGGGCGAGCTGGGTGGGTGGTGAGTGCTCATTCCGCCGCTTCTTTGTCGGTGGAGTAGGGGTCCCGGTTCACTGGAAGGGCGGCACAGAGTAGACAATAGTCACGAATACGAACTCCGCCGCGAATCAGAGATGAACTCCGCCGCGGGTCAAAGACGAACCCCGTGGCGAATCGAAGACGAACTCCATCGCGAATCAGAGACGAACTCCGTCGCCAACCAAAGACAAGGATGATCTTAGCACCCTGGCAGAACACTCACATCCAACATCCCCTGCACCCTTTCCTTGATACCCTCGCTCGAGTCCGTCTCATTCTTTCCCGAATTCGTGGTATTCTTCGCCAACGCACAGCTCCCCGGCCCCGCGAGCGCGCACGCAGTGGTAAAGCCCTCGAAGGCCTCGTCCGCGTCGACGACGTCGTTAGGGAAGTACTGGGTGGGATATGAGTACGACCATTACGATGAGTACGACCGTTACGATGAGTACGACCGTTACGATGAGTACGACCGTTACGATGAGAACTCTACGTCGCCAGCAGAGGCACTCACCTCCGTCGTTGGCTTGTTCGCGTACAGGAGCGGGTCTGTACATGTGTACTGCGTCAGCGACGTATTTTCTCCATGTCGGAGACGCATTCTTCTACACGTCAGAGACGTATTTTACCCACGTCAGCGACGCACTCTCTCCACGTCAGCAACGCACTCCCTCCACGCCAAGTCTTTCGCCTACGAAAATAGAGAACACTCACTCATACACCCATCGAGGACGACGTGACCGACGCGGTCTGGGAACACTACGGGACGAAGTTAGTACGCGCGTCTATTCCGTCTGAATGGCCCCCGCCATCCTGGCTGCCACACAAGCCGTGATATAACGTAGACAGGAGAAGTGGGAGCGGGAGGAAATGAGAAAGGGAGCGGGAGCGGAAGAAAATGAAGAAGGAAGCGGAAGCGGGAGGAAAGCTGGAAAAGGCCGGGAGAGGAAAGCTGGCAATGGCCGGAAGAGGAAATCTGGCAAAGGTCGGGAGAAGAGTGCGAGGCAGGCATTTGGAGCGCAGGTTCAAGCAAAAACGGCAGGGTATGATGAAACGGCAGGGAAAGATGAGGGAGAGACAATGATGGGGTAGGCTGGACGAAGGACGACGGCAGGAGGGGATAGCCCGCCGCGCTCGTCTGATATCCCACCGCGCTCGACTCGCCCTAACAAAGAAATGACGCTTAGGAGGGGATCGATGGACGCTTAGTAGGGGATCGACCTCGCCCGTGACTTACTATTCACAAACACAAACCCCAACATGCTCCCGTACGAGAAGCCCCAATAGTTGATCTCTTGCGCCCCCGGGTCGAGGTAGTCGGCCAGTGCGGCCATGTCGCGCGCCGCGGCGGCGGTGCCGAGGTAGGGGAGGTTGGCTGGTGGACCTCATCGTCAGGAGAGAGTTGGTGGACCCCAACGTTCAGAGAGAGTCGGTGAACCGCATCGTCGAAAGAGCGTTGGTGGACCGCATTGTTAGCAGATAGTTGGAATAATGAGAGATGTACCCACCCGCGCTATCCGCCTCCGCACACTTCTGCCCCAGCGCCCGATACTTCGCCTCCATCTCGTCCACATGCGAATAAAACTCCGTGAGTTGATCCCCGTCCGAGAGGTTGCCCCTGATGTCCAAACCCTCCGTTTCCATAGTCCCTTCGAACAGTTCATTCCACTCTTCGTCGGCTATACTCGTACTCTCGTCAGTGGCGGGGCGTCTGTTGCAGAGGAGAACCAAGAAAAGAAAAAAGAGTAAGAACAGAACGGCTCACTCAAACATCCCGGCGCCCCCGGCTCGGTATGCCCCACGCCGCGCGGGTCCCAGGACACCATATCGTAGCCGCCGCCGTCCATCGCATCGTAGCCGCCGCCGACCATCGCAGCCAGGTCGGGTCCATAGCCCAAAACAAAGGCGACGCCGGAGCCGCCCGGCCCGCCTGGGTTGACGAACACCGTCCCCTTCCGCTCGCCCTGGGCGGGGTAGCGGGCGACGGCGAGCTTGGCGGTGCCTGTGGGTGGGTTCAGTGCTTGGGTTCTCGCCTTCGGTCCACTTCTGTCTCTCGTCTGCACTGCTCCCTCTTGTCTCCACTTCTCCCTCCCTCTTTCTCGTCTCCACCTCTCTCTCACTTTCTCCTCCTCCCCAAACCACATGCGCTCGTGCACGAACCTGCACCGGCATCCCCAAACCGTCCAGGCACCCACAGACGCGTCCGCATTGCACGCACCTACACTCGCATCCCCATAATCCATCGGCACCTCGAAGAAGCCGCACGTGATGTTGAGCGGGTCGCCAATTGCGTAGCGCCAGTCGAGGGTGGTGCAGGAGGCCCAGGAGATGGTCGAGGAGGTGGCGCGCTGGCAGGGTGGGTTAGTATTATGTGGGCGAGAGTGGGTTATATGTGGGTGGGTGGGTTGTGTGTGGGTAAGGGGGTTGATGAGAGGGGGGGATGGAGGAGGTAAGGGAGGGCGAGAGAAAGGGGAGTGAGAGAGGGATATCGGGAAGGTGAGGGAGTGAGAGAGGAAGGAGGAGAAGGGAGACCAACCTCATTGACCGACGGGCTGGCCGCGATAAGCGCCGCGAGAGTTAGAGCTGTGGTGGCGATGGTCATCGCGCGGACAGAGGAGCGGGGAAGCAAGTATACTGTGCGTCGCCGATCTCAACGCCGTCCATTATATACCACTCGCGTGCGGGCGCTCGACGCGCATCCGCACAGGCACTCGTCCCCGAGACGAAACGCGAGGCAGGATGCGGTCGTTCGAGCCTCGAGTACGTACGAGTAGGAAGCCCAATGGAGGGCGCATGCAGTAGTCTCCCATCGCATGCAGTGCTGCCTAGACACTGGAGAGGACAACGCTGGCGTCCTAGAGGACATCGTTCCCCACTGAAGAGGACAACGCTTCCCACTGAAGCGAGCATACATAGGGGGTCAAGGGGTATTGTCTGCTTCCTCACAGGAGAATTGCGTGCGTCTTCAAGGCGGATTGTCTGCGTCCTCGCCGAGGTGTGCATGAACGGTCCGTTAACTACGGATTTCTCTAGTAGTCGTACCACAAAAGAATGCAGTATTGAATATGCGCACAGAGCATGGAAAGCAGACGCTCGTCGTACAGAGGATGGTGATGCATCACAGGAGGATGGTAATAGATTACTGAGGATGGCGATGAATTGCACAATATGGCGATGAGCAAAGATTGGCAGCTGGAAACAGCCGGAGTTATAGCCCACCGTAACGCGGTCAGGTGATCATGTTCCTTCCCGCCACGCGCAGCGTGTTTACGCGCCTCGAGTCTGTTCGCCGCGCCCCGAGTCTGCTCGCCCGCACCACGGATGTGCATTGATCGCTTCCTCAAAGCAGACTACGAGCAGGCATCGCTTCTTCGACGCAGACCATGGGCGGGGTGGATAAGGGATCTCCAAGAGAAACAGGGGATCTCCCGGTAAGAGAAACGGGGATCTCCGGAAGAGAAACAGGGATCCAGTTCAGCATCCGCGGTATCCATTGGCCGATGCAAAGAGGACGGCTGATGAAAAAAGGATAGCTGATGCAAAGAAAGAGGTCGGCTGGTGAAGAGAGAGCGGGGCTGATGAAGAGAGGACGGGGCTGATGAAGAGAGGACGGCCGGTCAAGCCGGTCAAGGGATGGCTGCCAGTCAAGGCAGGGTACTGGCTCTGGACAGGGAACTAGTACAGTGGCTCGGGACAGGGTACTACAGTGGCTCCGGACAGGGTACTAGCTTCGGACAGGGCACTAGCTCCGGGGTGAAGGACAAAAACCCGGAAGCTGCTTGGATTCCCTACGGCGACTAGTACTTGAGGTCCCGGCGGCCACTAGTAATTCAAGTCCAACGAGTTTACTACCGGTGCGCGGGAGGAAGACGTCGCTTGAGCACCCAAGCATCGCTCGATTACCCCTGCTCAAGTGAATGTCCATCACCCAAGTGAGCGTCGGGTACCCAGGCGAGCGTGGCTGTATAGCCGAGCGTCAGTTACCCAGACAAGCATCGGATACCCAGGCAAGCGGGAGGAAGACGTTGCTCGATTAATTTCCCCTGCTCAAGTGAGCGTCGGATACCCAAGTGAGCGTGGGTTACCCTTGCTCAAGTGAGAGGGGCTGTCCAGGCGAGCGTGGCTGGCACAAACGTGACAGTCCTACATCGTCCGCTGTCGAGGGAGGCGCGCTTCGTCTGCAACTGGCTCGATGAGCTTCGCTCGAGAGCTGGGGCGTCGCCTGCTTTCGAAGATCTCGCCCGCCTGCTGTCGAGAGGTGCGCTTCGTCCGCTGTCGATGGAGACGCGCTTGGTCCGCTTTCGAGGTTGCTTGTCGTCCGCTGGCGAGGGAGGCGCGCTTCGTCCGCTGTCGAGGAGGAAAGAGCCCGCCTGACTCGAGGTGAGAGAGCCCGCCCTCTGTCGAAGCGGAAGCGCTCGCCCGACTGTCGAGGGAGAAAGAGCCCGCCTGACTCGAAGTGGAACCGCTCGCCTGACTCCAGAGTGGAAGAGCTCGCCCGACTGGAGGGGACGAGCTCGCCCGACCCGAGGGGGAAAGAACCCGCTTGACTCCTAGGGAAAGAGCTCGCCCGGCCCGTCCAGTCCGCGACGAACGAGGCGCATCCAGCTCGAGACGGACGGGGCGCGTCTTCATTCGCGGGAGGACAGAGCGGCGGAGGACGCGGGCGCGGGAGGGGAAGGACGCGGTTGAAGGCAGAGAGAGGGGAGTCGGAGGGGACGTGGGCGGAGAGAGTAGAGGCGGAGAGAGCGGGCGGAGAAAGCGGAGTTGGAGGACGCGGGTGGAGAGAGCGAGGAGCGGTGCGCGCTGACCATCGTCGGACTCGTCCACCAGACCATCATCGACGGACTCGTTCACCACACCATCGACGGGCTCGTCTACCAGACTGCCGGACCATCCATTGTCAGACTTGCCCTCACACACCACACCATCGTCAGACTCGTCCACCAGAGACCACAAGCCGGCCGTCGAAGGAGCGGCGCGCGCTGGTCATCGAAGGAGCTGAGGAGCGCTGACTATCGAAAGAGCGGTGCACGCTAACCATCGAAGGTGCGGTGCGCGCTAACCATCGAAGGTGCGGTGCGCGCTGGCCGTCGGAGAAGCCGCGTGCGCTGGCCATCAAGGGAGCCGCGCGCGCTGACCGTCGAAGGAGCGGCGCGCGCTGATCATCGGAGGAGCGCGCTGCTCACCAGTCGGCCGATTTGAGGAGGTCGGGAGGGGTGATGGGGAGCTCAAGCCATGCGAGATTGGGGAGGTCGGGAGGGGTGCTGGAGGAGGTCGGGAGGAGTCGAGGAGAAGCGACACGCAAGAATCGAGGAGCTTCCCCCGCTGGCTCCCCCCGCTCGACCACCCGCTCGCTCTCCAAGCCTCGCGTCGCCCGCTTGTCCTTGACGACCTTCGCCCACTATCTCTCAACGACCCTCGAGTCCGCCCGCCCGTCTGCTTCCCACTCTCGCCGAGCCTTGCCCGCCTGCCTGCTCCCCTCGAGTCCGCCCACCCGCCCGCCCGCCCGCCTGCTCACTCTCAACGACCTTCTCCCACCCGGCCCCTTACTCTCCCCGCCGAGCCTCGCCTGGCCTCACCCGCTCACTCGCTCTCACTCTCGCTCGCCCGCTCGCTCTTGACAAGCTTCCCCCACTTGCTCGCTCTTGACAAGCTTCCCCCGCCGGCTCGCGGAATGAAGAGCCTTGCCCGCCCACTGCTTCGCGGAATGAGCCTCGCCCGCTGGCCCACGGAACGCAGAGGCGGGGCGTCCCCGCAAGCTAAATGACGAGCTGGGGCCTCGCCCGCTGCCTCGCGGAACACAGAGCTTGGGCGTCGCCCGCTGCCTCGCGGAACGCAGAGCTGGGGCGTCGCCCTGACGTGGATGGGAGAGGGAGAGGCAGAGAAGGCGAAATGAAGCGGTGTGGCGTCCCCGCTGCCTCCCCGACCCTCGCCCGACCTCCCTGGCTCGCGCGCATGAGCCTCTCGCCGACCCCCGCTCGCCCGCCTGCTCCCCGAGCCTCGCCCGCTAGCTCGCGGAACGCAGAGCTGGGGCGTCCCCGCAAGCGGGTGCCTTCGACGTGAGGAGGCGTGAGATGCGTGTGGGGGGGGGGGGGGGGGGGGAGGCGTGAGAAGGGAGAGGGCGAGAGGGAGAGGGAGAGGGCGAGAGGGGGGGAGAGGGGGGATGAGAAGGGGGCGCATGGTGCAGCGTCCTTCGTTCTCGCTTTATCGGTGAAGCGGCGCATCGCCCTTCGTCCTCGCGTGCTCGGCGCATCTTCGACATCAGTGGCTGGCGAACTCGACGAGATGCATCTACCTCGGTGGCTTGCTCGGCGAACCTCCAACATCCGTGGCTGGCGAGGAGGCGGGGTAAGTTGTTCACTACTGAGGTCGCCGGGGCCCATCGTCCTCCAACTGGATTGAGGTCGAAGGATGAGGTCGAAGAGGCGCTTAGAGTTTCCCGCCTGGACTGAGGTCGATGTGGTCCGCACGGACTGAGGCGGACGTTGTTCACTAGTACTGAGATCGAAGTTGTCCGCCTGGCCTGCGGTCGACGTCATTCGGCCGGATTGAGGTCGACGCTGTCCACCCGGACTGAGGTCGACGTTGTTCACTAGTACTGAGGTCGACGTTGTCCGCCTGAACTGAAGCGCTGCGAGTTGACCACCAGTACCGAGGTCGCCGAATTGGTCGAATATGACGAGACGCATCGCATCGTCTCTGGGTCGAAAAGCACCGCCTCTGGGTCGAGATACTGTAGGCCGCCTCAGACTCACTTGCTCCCTCGTCCCAGTCGACCCAGTCGCTCCCTCGTCACAGTCGACCCAGTCGTCCCCTTCGACCCACTCGTCCTGGTTGCTCCCTCGTCCCAGTCGTCCCAGTCGCCCCCTAGTCGCCCCCGTGGCTCGGTCGTCGTCCCAGCCATCCCAGTGTGGAATTGAGGCGATTCCTAGCGAGGAAGCGAGGGAAAGGGGCGGAGTCGTAGATACGCGCTTGACGCGTAGAGCGTCTTTGGGAATGGAAGATATGAGTTAACGCGCCGGGCGTCGCCCAACGCTTGCAGGAAGGAAGAGGTGAAAATAAGGAGAACTCAGCGTATTAGTGCGGTGTGTGCTCTGCTCGGGGCTCGTTGGCGCTGCTCGGGGCTCGGGGCTCTGCTCGTCGTCTCTGCTCGGGCTCGATGAAGGTAGGAAGCAAGAAGATGATTTTTCCCGCGCCACCGGGCTGCAGGGAAGGCGACGCCATCGCCCGAAGGCTGATGTGCGCAATCGCCGATAATCTACAAATATTCGGTAAATATGAACGCCGAAGCGTGTAATCCCGCGCAATGGGGCAACGGCAATGTAAGGCCGTCATAAGAAGAAAAGGCGGCGTCCGTACTAAAGGAGCGCGGCCGAAGGGGGGCGATATACGAAAAAGCGCCGTGCTCGTCCATACCACGAAACCCAAGCCCAACCCGCGCGTCAGTGCGCGTATCCCACGCTCCAATCCCTGTTCCGACCCTGCGCGACCCTTCATTCATCAGCCCTTCCTCCCCGCGCGCCTCGCACCTTGCGGCTTCCGAACCATTTTTGCGCGCTGATCCCGAGTTCAAGCAGCTGGCTGCAAGCACAGCGGGCCGAAAAGCAATGCAGTGGCTGTTTGATGGGCTGATAGACGTGTGGAGCTGAAGGGAAATGTGAGAGTAGAGCCGTCCGACGGAGAGGGAGGGGTGAGGGTGAGCGAGAAGGCAGAGAAGCGGCATGTCCGAATCGGGAAGGAGCGATCAAAGTTGGCGTAGCACGTAGCTTCTTCGAGCTCCTTGAGAGGCTCGGCCATACTTTTCTGTGATAATAACAATATGGTAGACTATGCGTAGGAATTTGGAAGAGGGTAGGAATTCAGGAATGAAGTGTTTTTATCCAAACACCTGCGCCACGAGCGAGTCACGAGCCCGGACCGTGGGAAGAGACCAACCCACGCGTGGCGTAAGCTACTATTCGACACCAGTCGTCCCCGTGGCTCGCTCCCTCGTCGCCCCCGTGGCTGAAAGGCTGCCCGTCCTGTGGCTTGAGTGAGGTTGCGCCGCTCAGAGGTTTGTCGCACGGCGCTCAGAGTTTCGTCGCACGGCGCTCAGAGTTTTGTCGCACGGCCCTCAGAGTTTTGTCGCACAGCGCTCAGAGTTTTGTCGCACGACCAAAGAAGCCGTTTGTGTGAGCGGTGTCTGATTGAGCAGCGATTGGTTGAGCGGAGTGTGGTTGAGCGGAGTGTGGTTGAGCGGCGTTTGATTGAGCGGAGACGCGGCAGCCTGGACCGTGGCGGAGACGCGGCATCCTGAACCGTGGCGGAGGCGCGGCATCCTAGACCGTAGCGGATGCGCGGCATCCTGGACCGTAGCGGAGACGCGGCATCCTGGACCGTAGCGGAGACGCGGGAGCTTGAACCGTAGCGGAGACGCGGCATCCTGGACCGTGGCGGAGACGCGGCATCCTGAAGCGTACGCGTTGGGTCGGGAAGTGCGCTATGTGTCATGCAGGCGAAGCTGGGAGGGGAGGAGCGGGCGAGAGATAGGGTGGAAGACGAGGAGCGGGCGAAGCGCTGGGAGGGGAGGAGCGGGCGAAGCGCTGGGAGGGGAGGAGCGGGCGAAGCGCTGGGAGGGGAGGAGCAGGCGAGAGATGTGGGGGCATGTCGTTTTCCGGCTCGTAGAAACATTTCGTACGCCGGCTTGTAGAAGCATCTCGTACTTCGGGGTGATGAGTGGGTGCCCGGTGGGATGAGTGGGTGCCCGGCGGGATGAGGTGTTGCCCGGCGGGATGAGGAGTTGCCCGGCGGGATGAGTGGATGTCCGGCGGGATGAAGCTTTGAGGATTGAGAGGCCAATCGTGGAGCGAGAGGCCAATCGAGCCGCAGAGACGCCCGCCCGGTTTGCATGGTCGAAAACTCAGAAGGGCCGCATCGCCCTCCGAGTCGGCAAGGATGCGTCATACACAGGGGGCGGGCGAGGGTGATGTGAGGAGGATTGCAGAGTGATGCGGGGAGAGAAATGGACGATGGCCGCGCCGGACGAGAGTGGTGGACATACCTTCCGACGCGCTAGACAGGGGAAACTGCAGAGGGAGAAGAGCTCACGCAAGGAGAACGCTGAACGTCTATTGGGGGCTGGATCATAAGGAGAGCAAATGTGCCATCTTGCTCCCTGGGCTGAGAAGCTCGCGGAAGGTGTATGAATCTCGCGGAGGGTGTATTAGTCTCGTGAAGCGTCCCGGAGAATGAGTTGTTGGTGGCCAATAACTCGAGGGACGACGGGCCGCTTAGAGGTTTGGCGCATGTGGCCGGCGGCTGCGGGTAAGGAGATGGGAGATTCCGAAGACGTTGGGTTGAGATGCGTGCTGTACATCGGATGAACGAGGATGAAGGGAGAAAGGCGGTCGAGGAATGTGTGAAGGTTGAAGGAGGAAAGGAGCAGTAGCAGCAGCGGCGGTGCCTAGAATGATTCTATTGACCGGGCAAGCACTTGCCGCGCAGCGCCTATCCTCCTTGTCCCTGCGTCCCATGCATGCGATCTCGCTCTTGTCGTTGTTCGCAGGTAGATCAGCTGCGCCAAACGCCAGGTTTTACACTCGCCGCTCATGAGAGTAGGTGAGCAAGGAGCAACGTCGGGCCGACGAACCCGCGGTGATAGGCGGGGTGATAGTGGGTTTCGCTTGGCAAGGGCCGGCACGAGGATCCGCGTCGAGGAGACCGGGGCGCCGATCGACTAAGTTGTCGCCACGTCTGTCCGCGCTTGGCGTGAGTGTGTGTCTGCTTGACGTTCGCAGTGACAGACGGTTGACGTTCGCTGCGACATACGGTTGACGTTCGGCGTGTTGAGGCAGGCTTGAGATCGTCATCGACACACGCTTGACATCGTCATTGGCACACGCTCGACGTCGTACTGCCGCGGGACCAAGAAGCGACTCCAGCGATCCGCCTGAGCCAGCCAGCCATTCGATCCGGGTCCGCCAGTCGCAGCATCGATCCGCGCCCAAGGTCGACCTCTCCCTTCTTCATCGACAGCTCGGGGTGCTCGCATTGTCGCACGCTCGACTTCCTCGGTATACGAACACGCGTGGTCTCTGCGCGCCCGCGTCCGTTCTCGGTATACAAGACACCCACACCGACCCTCGCAATCCCTAGCACACGCCTCCGCCTTCTCCCCTCACTCCCTCAACACACACCACCTCTCACCTCTTCTACAACAACCTCATTCCACCATGCGCGCCCTCTACTCCCCCGACCGCCTCCCCGTGCGCATCATCGCCTCCGGTACCGCGATCATGGTCGGCCTCTGGCTGCTGGCGTCCGTATTTAGGCCGTTTGGTGAGTGGCCGGCGCTCTTCTTGGTACGGATGGCACGCTTCGAGACGGGATGATCGTCGCACTTCGACGCGTCGTGATCGTCGCGCTTCGACACGGCGTACTTGTCGCGCTTCGACGGGTCGTCGTCGTCGTCGCACCGCCATGTATGCGCGCCGTCATCGAACACGTCTTCTGGCGCCTTCCTCCTCCCATCTCTTCCCTTCCGCCTCCCCTCCCCTCTCCTTCCGCCTCCCTTCCTCCCTTACCCTCCTTTCTCCCCTTCACTAACCTCCCTCACTCCCCCAGGCCCCCCACACCCCGCCCTCTTCGACCACCCACCGCCTCCGCCCCCGCCCCCGCCGCCCTTTGTACCCTTGCACGAACCCGTGCGACCGCCGCCGAGTCCTGAAGAAGCGAAGGTGTGTATATTCTTCTGTGGTGGGATTGGGGATGAGGCTGGAGGAAATAGAGCGTGCTAACGAGGCCCCACAGACCTGGGCCGACCGCGCCGACCTGGTGCGGAACGCGTTCGTGCACGCGTACAACGGCTACCGCCGCCAGGCCTTCGGGCACGACGAGGTGCGGCCCGTGAGCGGGAAGACGGTGGACGGGTGCGTGGTTGGGGCTTGCCTTTATCCTGTTTGGGTCTTGCCTTTCTCCCTGGATGCTTCCTCACCCCACTCCCGCTCTTCGCCCCTGCCTCACTTCTCCCTCCCCCTCTCCCCTCCCTCTTTACCCCCTCCCTCGACCCTCCCTCATCGCCTCCCTCCCTCCTCCCTCCTCCCTCCTCCCTCCTCCCTCATCCCCCTTCCCTTCGCTCCCCTCCCTCCTCCCTCCCACTTCCCCTCCCCTCCTCCCCCTCTGCCCTCGCCCTCCTCCCCCTCCTCCCCTCCCTCCCCCATACCCCTCCATCCCTCACGTCGCTCCTCCCCCATCCCTGCTCCCTCCCTCCTTCACTTCGCTCCCCCTCCCCCTCTGCCCTCCTCCCCAAACATGACGCCCTCACGCGGAGCGCATGTTCCAAACATGACGCCCTCGAGCGAGCGCGCGTGTTCCTCACCCCATCCTCTTTCCCCTCGCCCCTCCTCCCCAAACATGACGTCCTCGCGCGAGCGCATTCACCAAACATAACGCCCTCACGCGAGCGCGCGTGTTCCTCACGCCATCCCCGCCCCATCCCCCTTCCCCTCCCTCCTCCCTCCTCCCCCCACCCTCTCTCCTCTTCGCCCCCCCACTCCTTCTGTTTCCCATGGGCAAATCAAGAAAGACTGATCCTTCCGCCATACTGAAAACTGACGGCTGACGAAACACCCAGCTTCAACGCCTGGGCCGTCTCCGCCGTCGACGGGCTCGACACGATGTGGTTGATGGGGTTGGAGGGTGAGTGTCCGCGCGATAGTCGGGCTCGTGAGCTTCTTCGCGTGCCACGCTCGTGGGCGTCCGCGCGTGCCAAGCTCTTCAGCCTCCGCGCGTGCCAAGCTCGTGAGCCTGCGCGCGTGCCAAGCTCTTGAGCCTGCGCGCGATAGCCGGGGCTCGTGAGCTTCTTCGCGTGCCACGCTCGTGAGCGTTCGCGCGATAGTCGAGGCTCGTGAGCCTCTTCGCGCTAGCCAGGCTCATGAGCGTCCGCGCCTCCGACGGTGTTGGGGACCTACTAGGCGTGTTCCAAGAGCTAATGGCCCCGCAGACATGTTCGAGGAGGCCATCGACCTCGTCTCGCAGCAGACGTGGGGGATGGGGGAGGTGGGTGGACGTGGTTTTTGCGTGTTTGTGGCAAGGTCTCGTGCTATGTGTATTCGAGCTCTCGTTATATGTGCATACTGCGACTTCGCTCTCGTCTGGCGTGCATACTGTGCCTTCGCTCTCGGCTGGCGTGTATACTGTGTGCTACCCTCCCCCCCCCGCTTTGTCAGCTTGTTCGCGCCCCCCTAACCCCTTCGCGCCTCGCACCTCCCTTACGCCACTCCCATCATAATCAAAACGCTAACAACCTATCTAGAAAAATTCCGCGCCCTTCTTCGAGAGCACGATCCGGTATTTGGGCGGGCTGCTGGGGGCGTATGCGCTGAGCGGGGTGAGTCTATAGCTCCCACCCCCCCTAATCCCCAACCCATACTAACACCCCCCCAGCACCCAATCCTCCTCTCCAAGGCCGACGCGCTGGGCAGCGCCCTATTGAAGGCAACGAACACGACAAGCGGCCTGCCGGCGTATGGGGTGAATACGGTGAGGTGAGGTGTTATCTTGTCGTCAGAGGAGGGGTGGTGGAGATTGTGGGAGGGAGGGAGGGGGTGGTGTACCGAGACTTTGGGTCGCTACGCTCCTAAGGCGCGTATCCTTCGCGATTATCGTGGAATTCGGGCTCACCCTCACCGCGCTCCTTCTCCGTCCTCGCTCTTTCCCCTTCTCCTTTCCTCACTCCCCCTTCACCTCCCCCTCACCGCGCTCCTTCCCCTCCTCGCCCTCCCCCCTCCCTCTCCTCGTCCCCTCCCTCATCCGTCCTCCTCCACCCCTTCCCTCCCCTTTCGCTCCCTTCCGTCTCCCTATCCCCCTCCCTCCCTCCTCCCCACTAACCTGCCCCATCCCTCTCTCCCCTTCCTTCCTCCCAAGTCTTCCTACACCAAACCAAACCCCTCCCTACACTACTAACACATATAATCAAAAACACTAACCCCCCACCCACCGAACCAACCCCCCCACACACACTAGAATACATAACTGACACAACCCCCCAGCGGCGAGCCCCACCGCGGCTTCGCGGGCGCGAGCGTGCTGCTGGCGGAGGCGCTCAGCTGTCAGGTGGAGTTGTGAGTGGTGTTTGGTTTGGTTTTTGATTATAAGGTTGGGTGGAGGGGGTGGATGGGAGGGATGGGGTGGTAAGGGGAGTTGTGGGGGAGGGTGGCGTTGGATGTCCACCTCGCTGTCCCCCTTACTCCTCGCCTATCGGATGCTTCGTTGGATGTCCGCCTTACTCCTTGCCCTTGTCTTGATCTCGCCCTCCTGTCGTCTTCGCCTCCCCGCCCTCTTGTCGTCTTCGCCTCCTTCCCCCCTTCTTCTCCTTACGTCCCGCTTCTTCGCCTCTCGGACGCTGCCCCCCTTCTTCCCTTCGCCCTTCGCCCCCCTCACCTCTCTCTCGCCTTCTTCCCTTCTTCCCCTCCCCCTCCCCCCTTCCCCCTATACGCACCCCCCTATCGGACGCTGATGCCCCCCTCCCTAGCAAATACCTCGCGCATCTCACCGGGAAGCGGGAGTATTATGAGAAGGTGCGGTGGTTAGCTCCGTGGGTTGTTCGATCGTTGTTCTCGCGAGTTGTTCGATTAGCGACGTGATTTGTTCGATTGAGCCCTCGTCCGGCTGTATCGCTCTCACTCCCCCAGTCGTCCCGCGCTCATTCCCCTTCCACACGAGCGTGTTTGCTCGTTCGTCCTTCCGCTTGCCTTCTCTCTTATTCGTCATGCCTCCTCCGTGGGCGCGTACCACTATAACCCTCCTTTCCTCCCCCTCTCGCCCCCCCCGCCCCCCTCCCCTCTCCCCCTTTACACACCACTAACTCATCTCTCCCCCCTCCCCCAATTGTACAAATACTAAAGAAGAGCAACCACAGGTCGAACACATCAACGACGTCCTCCTCTACAACTCGTCCTACGCCGATGGGCTCTACCCGAGCGCGTTCGATCTGGGGACGGGCGTGGGGCGGAATTGTGAGTTTTTTTTTTCGGTGTTTTCCTTCGCGCTTTCTTTAATTGTCCTTTGGCGTTGCCTTGCTTCACGTCCCCGGCTTCCCCAAACGCAACCGCTAACCCCCTCCCCATCTCCTCTTCTCCCTCACCCTTCGCCCGTACCCTTCCTCTCCTTCATACCCCTTCCCCCCTCTCCGCCCTCACCCCTTCCCCTCCGCGCACGCTAACCCCCCCTCCCCCACCAGTCCACTTCTCCGCGGGCGCGGCCGCGGACAGCGCGTACGAGTATCTCCTGAAGCAGTGGTTTGATGGTGTGTACGCTGTCGGAAAAGCGGCTGGACAGGACGAAGTTCCATCCCATCGCGTTCCATGAGGTCGTCTTCGGCGGCAACTCGTACAATGTCATCGACTTCAACGTGCTGGAGGGTTGGATTAGCTTCCACCATTCGTTGCACTGGCTGCTGGCAGAGCTCTTCAAGCACGTCGACTTGCTGTCGGAGGAGTCGTTGAAGGCTGTCGGGCTCACGAGCGTGCGGGAAGTCGTCCTACGCTACGCGAGTGAGCAGGCAATCCTGACAGTCATCGACTTCCCATTACGAGGTTAGTTTCCGTCTTTCTTATCTCACCTTCTGACGCTGAACGTGTCCCTAGTGCTCGCCATGATCGCTCAGATACGAACTGGTCTATGGGTCCGCAACGGCTTCGCTATCCGTGGTCAGCTCCTGCATTACCGTGACTTCATGTTGCGCGAGCTCTGCTACGATCAGGACCTCTTCATCCTCCAGACCGCCTTCATCATCCTCGACCCCGAGACCGTGCTCGTCACCATGCTCGACCGCTTTGCCCTCACTAGCTACTTCTCGGGCGTCGTCACGCATCCGGTTTACGACGGCGGACAGTTGGGCGGCATGGTTGAGGAGCTGCTATACGTGCTCATCACGGTGCTCAGCGAGAATGCGAATGCGTCACGCCTGCCAATACGCTTCGCTGTCCGCCGCGAGATCGTGCACGCGCTTGCTATGGGCCCGGCGTCGTTCACCGACCTGGTGAAACGCGTAGCGGAGCGCTTGGTCGACGACACCTGCTTCGAGGGCGTGCTGCACGAGGTGGCAAACTTCAAGGCACCGGAGGCGACGACAGACATTGGGGTGTATGAGCTACGCGACGAGTGCTTCGACGAAGTCAACCCGTTCTTCTACCACTACACGCGGAACAAGCGTGAAGAGGTCGACCAGATCTTGCGCGCGCGGCTCAAGAAGAAGACGGGGCAGACGGACCCCGTCATCACGCCCAAGCCGTGGGGTGTCAACTTCGGGCCCTTCGCGAACTTGCCTGCGACATTCGAGTCCGATGTGCTGCTGCAGATCGTATTTTACGCGGTGTACAACGTGCTCGTGTTGACCGAGTCCGCGGGCGCGACGCCACCGTCGGCGGAGGCGATCTTGGACCAGGTGTTGCACATGATGATGCTCGCCATTGTCGAGCGCCCGACGGTGTTCGCGGAGAAGGCGGTGACGAAGACATTTGAGGAGAAGAACTTGCTGGACGTACTCTGCGCGTTGGAGCGGAACGACTTGTATAAGACATATCGGCCACGCATCGACTGGATCCTGTCGCGGATCGAGGAGCGCGGCATGTCTGGTGAGGTTGCGAGGCGGCGGCAGGCGCACGAGGGGACGAAGCCGGCGGAGGACCCGGAAGAGGTGAAGAAGCGCGCAGCAAAGGCGCGACAGGAGGCGATCATGAAGCAGATGAAGGCGCAACAAGCGAGCTTTGCTGTGAACTTCAACGACCTGGATGACGATGAGGACGAGGATATGGAGGATGCGACGCAGGAGACGACGTCGTATGGGACGTGTATCGTGTGCCAGGAGGACCTCAACGCCAACAAACCCTTCGGCGCGTTGGGTCTTGTTCAGCCGAGTCGGTTCATGCGGCGACATCCGGATGCGAATCCGGCCTACCTCAACGAGGTGTTGCAGACCCCGCCGTCACTGGATCGTCCAATCCAGACGAAACCTCCCAGATTCCCGCCCGAAGAAGCTTTCTCCCGGACGCCTCCGCCATTACCGCCACCAAACCTAGACGCCTTCCAACCAAGTTTCACCCGCTTCGGCCTCCACTCCTCCGTCTGCAGCCACATGATGCATCTCGAGTGCTTCCAGGTGTACAGCGTCTCGATCCGCCAGCGACACCGCGCGCAGACCACCCGCAACCACCCGGAGAGCATCCCGCGGAAAGAATACATATGTCCGCTCTGCAAGAGCCTCGGCAACGCCATCTTCCCCGTCATCGATGCGCAACCCACGCCTGTTAGTCCCCTTCCCTTCCCTGACTGGATCCGGTCCGCCAGTATCAGCATCCTCAAGTCCAAGCCGGATCCGCAGCTCGAGTCCCTTCAGTTTCGCAACGGCACAGGCGAGTTCGTCTTTTGGGCGGCGCAGGATCCTGCGTATAGCACGGCCATTCGTGCAGCGGACAAGCCTGACGCAGCGGAGACGCACAAGATGTTAGACACGGTGATGCACATATGCAAGTCTGTCTCCGCGCAGACGCGGCACTTGCGCGATCGTCCGGAGCCTGACGCTGGGGAGCGGGGTGCTGGAATCTACCTCCCGGAGGAGCTACTGGGGTATACAATTGCGTCGATGGAGATCGCGCAGCGCGGGCAACAGGGCACTCATGCGGTGGTCGCTGACTGCTTGTCGGAACCCCAGGCGCGGATGATACGCGGATTATTGACGTGCTTGCAGAAGCTCGCTGCCTTGCATCTGAAGGGCAGACCCGACGAGGGCCGGGAGGCCGTGCAGCATGCGATCATCAAACGTTTGTTACCCGAATGGAGTCGGACATCCCTGACGTCCTTCTCGTACCCACTGCTGTTGCGCGACCCCTTCACGGTGCTCGTCGAGACCGCCGCCATCGCGCCGGAGATGCTGCAGTACGTCCTTGTCCTCACCTACTACGCCTGCCTCGCGCGCACCGTCATCGGCCTCGTCTATGTGCTCAACAAGACGCGGAGTGTTGCGACGATGCAGTTGACCCGGCGGCAGCACGAAGGCATCTTCGGCGACGTGCGCATGTTCTTCATGTCTGTCGTCCGCCACTCGCCCGTCTTTGAGCACACCGCGACGCTCGTGTTCGAGACCTTCGGCGAGGCGCGTATCGAGCGGCTGCTCTACGCGTTCACTTTGCCGTTCCTCCGGCGTGCATCCATCCTCTGCCGCGCCGCTCTGCCCCGACAGTTCGCTGTGCCCGAGGGCGCGGGCATGAGCGCCGAGTGCGAGTACTCGCGGCTGCTCACCCTGCTCGGCATCCCGCCCCTAGCAGACCTCCCCCGCCAGGACACGCTCCAGAACGCGCTCTCCGGCTGGTGCGCGCACTACGGGCACTCGCACGCCGCGGCGCAGCTCAACTGCGGGGTCGTGCTCGACTACCCGGTGGTCTACCAGCTCGCGCGGCTGCCCGCCATGCTGGACACGCTGTTCATCGACCAGGAGCGGACGATGCGGTGCGCGAGCTGTAAGATGGTGCCGGCGGATGCGGCGCTGTGCTTGCTATGTGGGACGGCGTGCTGCTTGCAGAGCGACTGCTGCAAGGACACGGAGGGCGGTGGGGAGCACGGGGAGTGCAACATGCACATGAGGGAGTGAGTGATCAGGTCCAAGTTGGTCTTTTGTATGCTGACGGGTTGTGTTTGCAGATGCGGCGGTGCTATCGGCGTGTTCTTCCTCGTCAAGCGCTGTGCGGTGCTCTACCTTTACGCCAACAACGGCGCGTTCACGCCGTCGCCGTACCTCGATGCGCATGGCGAGATGGACTCGTCGATGAGGTGCGTTCTTGTGGGAAGTATGAAATGCGTGACTGACCTGATCTGCGCAGACGCGGTCGTCGCCAGTACCTACACCATGCGCGGTGGGAGGACATTCGCAAGATATGGCTGAATCATGGGATACCGACGCTCATCGCGCGCAAACTTGAGAGTACGGTGGACTCTGGCGGATGGGAGACACTGTGAGGGTGGGCAGGTAGCGCCGCGAGGGCGAAGGAGGCCATGTGTGAAGGAAGAAGTAATGTATTCCTGTTGTCCTTTTCCTCTGGCTATCCAAACGCAATGTAATCTTCTCTGCATCATTCGCATTCTTTGTAGCCTAATCATTTGTCTGCTTCGAGCTATAGCATAGAATATCCTCCTTCTCCCCCTGCCCTGATCCCAGTCCCGAAGACAAAAGGTACGGGTGATAATTCAGGAAGACAAACATTCGCTTCTGTCATTGAATGAGCGGCACACAGTGACTATCGTAGGTACGAGGCTGAGCAGCCGGGGAAGGAATGCTGTGATACATCATCTACGCCGCCGAGGCTGCCAGAATCTCCGATTTGACGCGCGCCTGAGTAACGCCCGAGTCGGGGAATAGCACCACGCTATCATCAATCTCGCACACCGTGTCGTCGCCCGTCGGGAGCTGCAGATCACAGTCAGCCTTGAGCCCACCTCTCGGTCATGGTACTGTATATCATGTGCATGGTTCAAGCCCACAACGAAGGTGTGTGGTGTAAGCCCACAACGAAGCGCATAATCCCGCTCACCTCCCCATCCTGGAAATACCTGCTCACCACCCCGATCGTGCAGCTCGACTTCTCCGCGAGGCTCGCGTGCCCGAAGCCGTTCTGCCTCACGAGCACTGCGCTGTCACCCAGGAGGTCGGCCATGAGCTGCGCGTTCTCGAAGGGGGTGACGGGGTCGGCCTGGGGGGAGAGGGTCAGTACGCTATCCCGACCTAGCATTGACGGGGCAACCTGGATGGCGACGACACGAACTACACTACGCACCGTATTCCCAATAATCAGCACCTTATTCTTCAGCCCTTTATCCCACGGCCCTGTATACCGCTCCACCGCCCGCGCCGGCCACGCGAAGCACAGATTGCCCTGCGCGCCCCACTGGGGGCCGAACATGGCGGACACGTTGGTGGAGGCGTAGACGATGGCGTCGAAGCCGCCGCGCATGGTCATGTCTAAATTGGGAGGTAAACTGAAGTCGGGCACAGTGTCTGCATCAACGCCGTCACCGCAGTAGATGGCCTCGAACTCGTAGGTGTGCGGCTCGGAGGGGGCAACTTGGCGCTTGGACCGGGCGACTTGCTGCTTGGACGGGGTGCTACCGGCCAAAGACCTGGTGGGGATCTGCCAGCGGTGCTTGAAGGCCGCGTGCGCCTCGGGCGTGCTGCTCGAGCTCCCCTTGCTGCTCGCGCTGGACTTCGTCGTACTGGTCGAGTTGTTGGTAGTGGAGTTCGCCGCCATCCCCTGCAACTTCTCCCCATAAGCCTCCAAATACCCCGCCAGACTCGCCCAGCTCGTCGGCTCCGCGAGGGCTTCGAAGATGTAGGTGCGAGCCTGCCCGGAGGTCATGGTGCTGGAAAGATCGGCACCGGAGGCGGCGAGGGTGTGGGCGAGCTGGGTGGGTGGTGAGTGATCGTTCCGCCACTACTTTGTTGGAAGGGCGGCGTAAAGCAGACAAGAGTCTTAAAGACGACTCCGCCGCAAAACAAAGACAAGGATGACCTTAGCACCCTGGCCGAACACTCACATCCAACATCCCCTGCACCCTTTCCTTGATTTTTTCGCTCGAGTCCGTCTCATTCTTTCCCGAATTCGTGGCATTCCTCGCCAACGCACAACTCCCCGGCCCCGCTAGCGCGCACGCAGTGGTAGAGCCCTCGAAGGCCTCGTTCGCATCGACGACGTCGTTGGGGAAGTACTGGGTGGGATATGAGTACGACTGTTACGATGAATACGACTGTTACGATGAGTACGACTGTTACGATAAGTACGACCGTTACGATGAAAACTCTACGTCGCCAGCAGAGGCACTCACCTCCGTCGTTGGCTTGTTCGCGTACAGGAGCGGGTCTGTGTACTGCGTCAGCGACGTATTCTCTCCACTCCAGCGACGTATTCTCTCCACGTCAGAGACGCATTCTATCCACGTCAGCGACGCATTCTCTCCACGTCAGCGACGCATTCCCTCCACGTCAACGACGCACTCTCTCCACGCCAGTCCTTTCGCCTACGAAGATAGAGAACACTCACTCATACACCCATCGAGCACAACGTGGCCGACGCGGTCTGGGAACACTACGGGACGAAGTTAGTACGCGCGTTTATTCTGTCTAAATGTCCCTGCCATTCCGTCTGAATGGTCCTCCCATTCCGTCTGAATGGCCCCGCCATCCTGGCTGCCTGACAGTCCATGATAGCAGGAAGGGAGAGGGAGGAATGAAGAAGGAAGAAGGAAGCGGAAGCGGGAGGAAACGAGAAGGGAGTGGGAGCAGGAGGAAAGCTGGAAAAGGTCGAGAGAGGAAAGCAGGAAGGGGCCGGGAGAGGAGTGCGAGGAAGGGATTTGGAGCGCAGGTTCCAACAAAAAACGGCAAGGAAAGATGAAGGAGAGACGATGATAGGGTAGGCTGGACAAAAGACGATGGCAGGCGGCAATAGCCCACCGCGCTCGATTGATATCCCACCGCGCTCGACTCGCCCTAACAAAGAAATGACGCTTAGGAGGGGATCGATGACGCTTAGGAGGGGATCGATGGACGCTTAGGAGGTGATCGACCTCGCCCGTGACTTACTATTCACAAACACAAACCCCAACATGCTCCCGTACGAGAAGCCCCAATAGTTGATTTCTTGCACGCCCGGGTCGAGGTAGTCGGCCAGTGCGGCCATGTCGCGCGCCGCGGCGGCGGTGCCGAGGTAGGGGAGGGTCGCACTAGACTCTGCGGCTGGGTAGTTTCGTTGGAAAGCGCAAGGGACAGGAGCTGAGTGGGCGGACGCACCTGCGCATTTCTCGCCCAGCGCCCGATACTTGGCCTCCATCTCGTCCACATGCGAATAAAACTCCGCGACTTGATCCCCGTCGGCGAGATTGCCCTTGATATCCAAACCCTCCGTTTCCATAGTCCCTTTGAACAAAGAACTCCACTCCTCATCCGCGTCGAAGCAAGAGGGCGCCCCCGGCTCGGTATGCCCCACGCCGCGCGGGTCCCAGGACACCACATCGTAGCCGCCGCCGACCATCGCATCGTAGCCGCCTCCTACCATCGCAGCGAGGTCGGGCCCAGAGCCCAAAACAAAGGCGACGCCGGAGCCGCCCGGCCCGCCTGGGTTGACGAACACCGTTCCCTTCCGCTCGCCCTGGGCGGGGTAGCGCGCAACGGCGAGTTTGGCGGTGCCTGTGGGTGGTTTCAGTGCTCGGGTTCTCGTCTTCAGTCCTCTCTCTCCCTCGTCTCCACCTCTCTCTCTCTCGTGTCCACTTCTCCCTCTCTCGCTCTCTCGTCTCCACTTTTCTCTCGTATCCACTTCTTTTCTTGTCTCCACTTCTCTCTCTCGTGTTCACCTCGCTTTCTCCTCGCCCCCGGACCAGATGATGAGCCTGCACCGGCGTCCGCATTGCACGAACCTTCACCGGTGCCTGCTCGCGCACGAGTCTGCACCGGCGTCCCCAAACCGTGCACCCACCCACAGACGCAACCCACCTACAGACGCATCCCCATAATCCATCGGCACCTCGAAAAAGCCGCACGTAATGCTGAGCGGGTCGCCGATCGCGTAGCGCCAGTCGAGCGTGGCGCAGGAGGACCAGGAGATGGTCGAGGAGGTGGACCAGGAGGAGGCTGTTGACGTAGAGTACGCCGAGGGAAAGGCGGCGCGCTGGGAGGGTGGGTTAGTTATATATGGTAAGACGAGAGAGGGTTAGACATGGTTAGACGGGAGAGGTGAGAGGATGGGTCAGTGAGAGGGGGTGATGGAGGAGGTGAGAGGACGAAAGAGAAATGTCGGACGAAAGAGAATGGTCGGGAAAAAAGGAAATGGTCAGAAAAAAGAGAGGGATCAGGAAAAATAGCAAGGTCAGAAAAAAGACAAGGGCTTACGTCCGCGAAGGACCCACCAGGTGCGCCTAGCGCTGCGACGCCGAGGAGTGCAGCGGTAAGTACCATTGACTCTGAGCTGGAGGTGTTTGCCTGTGAGGTAGAGGTGTTTCGTGAGTTGGAGTTGCTCAACTCCGATCCAGAAGTGTAGCAGGGAGGTCCAGGGGTCGCGGATCCCGACGACGGGCATTATATACGACTCGCGTGCGGGCGTCCGCGCAGGCACGCGACGAGGCACTGCCCGAGACGAGACGCGAGGCATGATCACGAGGCGCATGAATGAACCTCAACGCCGAATGCAGTTCCCATGCAGCATGAATGCAGTCCCCATGCAGCAGGCATGCAGTGCCTGCCGTCTAGACGCTCTTGAGGCAGGAAAAGCCTGCCTGAAAGTAGGCACACACACACACAGGTTGCAAGGGAGATTGTCCGCGTCATTCTCCATTGTTTAGACTGCTGAGTCGCGCACAGACGGCTCAGACTGCTGAGTCGCGCATATAGGCGGCTCAGATCACCAGTATATTCCCATGATGGTCACGTTGGTGACAGGCGATGTGGGCGAGAGTGGAAGGGCGCGCAAGGAGGGGGCAGAGTCGAAGGTCACTGGGAGAGTCGAAGGTCACTGAAAGAGTCGAAGGTCACTGGGAGACTCGACAGTCACTGAGAGACTCGAAGGTCACTGGATAGAGCTTAGAAGGTCACTGACAGAGTCAAAAATCACTGGACATAGACCGGAAGATGGCCCCCTGGACAGAAAATGGCCCGGGTGGAAGGACGAGATAGAGCATGGTGTTAGGAAGAGATAGAGCATGGTAGAAGGCAAGAGATAGAGCATGGTGGAAGGCAAGAGATACAGCATGGTGGGAGGTAAGAGAGTCAGGCCGGAAACGGCAAGGCGGTGCGAACGCAAATTCGATCGCGATCAGGTGACCGTGTTCTATAACGCGACGTGACGCGACGCGCGCGTCTCGAAGCCGACGGACCTACTGCACTTGATCGAAGCCAAAAGGCCACAGTGGTATCTGACGGACATCGCGTGCCGTGCAGCCGCGAGAGACACTCACAGGCTCCGCGGAAATCGCTCGCAAGCTCAGCGAGAGTCTCTCACAAGCTCAACGAGGGGGAGCATCGCGCACTGCTCGTGGTCCTGACGCATCACCCACCAGCTCACAGACCTGACGCATCGCTCGCGAGCTCACAGACCTGACGCATCGCTCGCGAGCTCAGAACCCTGACGCATCGCCCGCCAGCTCACAGACCTGCTGCCATCGCGCGCTATCATGGAGACCTGACGCATCGCCAGCAATCGCAATGCTCCTTTTAAGACTCGGTTATATACCGAGATATAAGCACGATTTTCGGACAATTTACAGGCGCTCTAGTCGGTCAGTTGACGAGCGCTCTAGTCGGACGATTTGCGAGCGCTCTAGTCGGTCAATTTACGAGCGCTCAGTGCCATGTGGGAGCGTCCGGAAGAGGGCGCAGAGCAAGCACACCCGGGGCAGAGCGCAGGACCAGCACGCCCGGAAGAGGGCGCAGGACCGGAGTGTCCGTGGGAGGGCGTAGACCCATGATGCCCGCCGACTACGTCTTCGAATACCCGCGTATCGTCTTTCAATCCCCGCCCGTCGTCCGCGCACTCTCGAGGTCGCGAGTCGTTCGCGCTCGATCTCGATGAGCCTCGCCCGGCTCCAAAAGGTAAGCGCGCTTCGCCTGCAACTAGCTCGAGGGGGAAGACCTCGCCCGACTCGAAGGAGAAGCGCCACCCGACTCGAAGGAGAAGCGCTTGTCGGAATCGAGGAGAAAGAGCTCGCCCGCTGCCGAGGGGGAAGAGCCCGCCCGACTGGAGGGGAGGCGCTCGTCTGAACCGATGTGAAGGAGCTCATCGCACTCGAAGCGAAAGAGCTCATCGCACTCGAAGCGGAAGCGCTCATCCGAATCGAAAGAGAACGAGGCGCGCTCAGTTCGCCGAGGCGCGCTCAGTTCGTCGAGGCGCGTTCACTGCCAGACGAGCCAGGCGCGCTCACTGCCAGACGAACGAGGCGCGTTCACTGCGAGACGAACGAGGCGCATTCAGTGCCAGACGAGCGAGGTCCGTCGTCGTTCGCTTGAGCTCGCGGTTTCTCGTCGTCGACGAGGCGCATTCAGTTCGTCGAGGCGCGCCTAGTTCGCGACGAGCGAGGCGCGCTCACTGCGAGACGAGCGAGGCGCGTTCAGTTCGTCGAGGCGCATTCAGTTCGTCTAGGCGCGTTTGTTCTCGAGGAACGAAGCGCGCTCAGTTCGTCGAGGCGCGCTCAGTTCGTCGTGGCGCGTCTCGGTCCCGCGGGCGGGGAGATGGAGGCGGAGAACGCGGGCGGAGAGATGGAGGTGGATAAAGCGTGCAGAGCGGAGTACGCGGGTGGAGAGGGTAGAGTTGGATAAAGCGTGCAGAGCGGAGGACGCGGGTGGAGCAGAGGCGGAGAGAGAGCGAGGAGAGGGCGGAGGACTCGTCCAACAGATCATCCATTATCAGACTCGTCTACCACACTATCGGAGGAGAGGCGCGCGCTGGCCACCAGCCGGCCAATGTGAGGAGGTCAGGAGGAGTCGGGGGGTGTGATTGAGGAGGTCAGAAGGCGGGTGGGGAGCTCAACCCATGCGAAGTCGAGGAGGTCGGGAGGGGTGAGAGGGGAGTCGAGGAGATCAGGAGTGATTGGGGAGGTCAGGAGGGGTGATGGGGGAGGTCGGGAGGAGTGGAGGAGAACTCGCCCGACTCGGGGTGAAGGAAGGAGCACCGCCCGCCGGCTTGCTAAATGAAGAGCCTTGCCCGCCCGCCTGCTCTCTTGTCCGCTGGCTCTCCCCGCCGACCACCTCCCCCCACCCGCCAGCCCGCCTGCCCCCCCCCCTCACTCTCCCACCCGCTCGAGCTCTCCAAGCCTCGCGTCGTCAGCTGTCTCTCCAGGCCTCCCCCCACCCGCAACCAGGAGCCTCACCCGCTTGCCCCCAATAAGCCTCTCAGTCTCAACGACCTTCCCCCGCCCGCCTGCTCCCCTCGGGTCCGCACGCCCGCTGCCTCGCGGAACGCAGAGCTGGGGCGTCGCCCACTATCTCTCACCGGGCGTCGCCCACTTGCTCTCTCCTCGACGGCCTCGCCCGCCCGCCGGCTCTCGCCGAGCCTCGCTCGCCCCCTTACTCTCAACGACCTTCGCGACGCCCACTGCTTCGCGGAAGGAAGAGGTGGGGCGTCCCCGCAAGCGGGTGCCTTCGCCGTGAGGGGGCGTGAGAGGGAGAGGGAAATGACGCGGCGGGGCGTTCCCGCAAGCTAGATGACGAGCTGGGGCCTCGCACGCTGCCTCGCGGGACGCAGAGCTGGGGCGTCCCCACGAGCGGATACTGTCAATGTGAGGGTGAGGGTGACGCGGGGTCGTGGGGAGAGGTAGAGAGCGAGGGAGGGAGAGGGAGAGAAGGGAGGGAGAGGGAGGCGTGGGGGGGGGGTGATGCGGGGGCGGGGGGGGGGGAAGGGAGGGGCATGGGCCGCCGACTGGGGGGCGGTGCATGGTCGTCCGCCAACTGGGGTGCATGGTCGTCCGCCGAAGCTCGAGCGCAGTCGTCCCCGTGGCTCGCTCGTCCCAGTCGTCCCTGTGGGTCGCTCGTCCCAGTCATCCCCTTCGACCCATTCGTCCCAGTCGTCCCAGTCGTCCCAGTCGTTCCCTCGTCGTCCCCTACGACCCAGTCGCCCCAGCCGTCCCAGCCGTCCCAGCCGTCCCCGTGGCTCGCTCGTCTCCCCGTGGCTCCCTCGTCTCCCTGTGGCTCCCTCGTCGCCCCTGTCGCTCACTCAAGCGCAGCATGTCTCAGGGGAGGGGAAAAAGGTTGGAAGGGGGTGGAAGAGGCGACGGGTTTTGTAGTGAAGCGTGAGGGGAGGAGGGGAACGAGGGGTGGAAGGGGATAGGAGGCGATGGGTGGAAGGGAGTGGAATGGAGAGGACGTGGAGAGGGGGTGGACGGGGGAGAGGAAGGGAGGGGTGGCAGGGGAAGGGCGAGGGGAATGAGAGGGGGTGGTGAGTGGAGGGAATGGGGAAAGGAAGGGAGATGGAAGACTGCCCGTCGTCCTCTGGCTTGAGCGAGGTTGCGCCGCTCAGAGTTTTGAGGTACGGCCGAAGGCGTTTGGGTGAGTGTCGATGGAGACGCGGCATCCTGGACCGTACGCGTTGGATCGAGAAGCGCACTATGTAATATGGGGGGAAGCTGGGAGGGGAGGAGCGGGCGAGAGATGGGGCATCACTGCGGAGGACGAGGAGCGGCCGAGAGATATGGCTGAGGTGAGAGATGAGGTTAGGGTGAGGGAGGGCATAGGTTGGACTGCCAGCGTCGGTGCCTAGATAGACCGACGAGACGTGGTTGCAGGCTCTATTGACCTGATAGACGCTTGCTGCGCAGCGCTTGTTCGCCTTGTCTGAGTCTCTGCCCTTCATGTACTCGTTTTGTCTCTGGCGTCCATGTACGCGAACTCGGAATACCATTGCTTTTCTGGTGATCATGAGCAGAGGACATGGATACGACAGGACGGCAGAAGCAAGGGGTAGACCTCGGACCGACGCACCCGCGGTGATAGGCGGGGTGATAGTGGGATTCGCTTGGCAGCGGCCGGCACGAGGATCCGCGGGGAGCCGGTACGACGATCCGCGTCGAGGAGACCGAGGCGCCGATCAGGCTTGCCGCCACGTCTGTCCGCGCTTGGCGTGAGTGTGTCTGCTTGACGTTGTTGGCGACAGACGGCCCACGTTCGCGGCGACACACGGTTGACGTTCGGCGTGTAAAGGCAGGCTTGAGATCGTCATCGGCACACGCCTTGACATCGCCATCGGTGTACACGCTTGACGTCGTACTGCCGCGGGTGCAAGAAGCAACTAGGGCGATCCCCGCGTCGATCCTCGTTCGCCAGTCACCACTTCGATCCTCTTGTACCAGTCACCGCGTCGATCCGGGCCTGAGGTCGACCTCTGCCTTCTTCATCGTCAGCTCGGGGTGCTCGCATCGTTACACGCTCGACACCCTCGCTGTACGAAGACGCGCAATCTCTATACGCGCCCGCGTCCGTGCTCGCTATACGCTCGGGATCCCTAGCACGCGCCTCGTTCGCGCTGTTCGCGTTCTCCACTCACCACCTCAAGACACCACCTCAACACACACCGCCTCTCACCACTTCTACCGCAATAACCTCTACCCTCCATGCGCGCCCTCTACTCCCCCGACCGCCTCCCCGTGCGCATCATCGCCTCCGGTGCCGCGATCATGCTCGGCCTCTGGCTGCTGGCGTCCGTATTTAGGCCGTTTGGTGAGTAGCCGACGCTCTTCTCGGTACGCCCGGCGCGCTTCTCGATACGGGGTGATTGTCGCGCTTCGACACGGGGTGATCGTCGCGCTTCGACACGGCGTACTTGTCGCCCTTCGACGCGTCGTCGTCGCACCACCATGTATGCGCGCCGTCATCGAACGCGTCCTCTGATGCCTTCCTCCGCTCCTCTCATCCCTCTCCTTCCTCCCTCTTTTCCCTTCCCCTCCCTTCCCTCTCGTCCATCCCCCTACCCTTCACTAACCGCTCCCACCCCCCAGGCCCCCCAAGCCCCGCCCTCTTCGACCACCCACCACCGCCACCTCCGCCCCCGCCGCCCTTCATCCCGTTGCACGAACCCATGCGACCACCGCAGACCCCCGAAGAGGCGAAAACGTGGGCCGACCGCGCCGACCTGGTGCGGAACGCGTTCGTGCACGCGTACAATGGGTGCGTGATCGCGCTCTTTTCTTCTTCCGTCTCGTCCGCTTCTCCCCCCTGTCTCCCTCTCCGTCGCTCCTCCCATCTCCCTCACCCTTACCCCGTCCCTCTTCCTCCCTCACGCCCCACTTCCCCCCTTGCCCCCTCACGCGCGCTCGCTCCCAAGGCCCTTCTGACGCCCTGCTACTAACGCCCCTGCCAACGTCATACTACGAGCACCCCTTCTGACGCCCTGCTACGAGCACCCCTGCCAACGCCATGCTACGATGCCCCTTGCTCGATACATCGCCCCGCAGAGCTAACGCCAAGCTACTGTTACATACACGCGTGCTGACCCCTCACACCAACACGCGCACTCCCCTCCGTATGGCCTGCAGCTAACCCCCACACAGATACCGCCGCCAGGCCTTCGGGCACGACGAGGTGCGGCCCGTGAGCGGGAAGACCGCGGACACCTTCAACGCCTGGGCCGTCTCCGCCGTCGACGGGCTCGACACGATGTGGTTGATGGGGTTGGAGGGTGAGTGGGGTGGCTTAAGGCTTGCGCTTGTTCGAGTTCGTTGGGATTGGGAGTGGGATTGGGATTAGAGGCGGCCGTCGATTTCGCTGGAGGCCGTCTTCGATTTCACTGGAGGCGGACTCGGATCCGGCGGAGGCCTATGTGGGTGGTGTGAGCTGACACCCTCCCCCCTAGACATGTTCACCGAGGCCGTCGACCTCGTCTCCCAACAAACCTGGTCCATGCCCGACAAGAAGGCCGCGCCCTTCTTCGAGACCACGATCCGATACTTGGGCGGGCTGCTGGGGGCGTATGCGCTGAGTAAGGTGGGTGGTTTCCTTGGGTCATCTCTTTAGCCGCCCCCTAACCGGGGGCCTGCACTTGGATCTCCGCCTCCCCTAATCCCCAACCCATACTAACCCCCTTCCCTCCCCCCCCTTCTTCACCCATACTAACCCCTCCCCCCCTCCCCCTCACCCTTACTAACACCCCCCCAGCACCCAATCCTCCTCTCCAAAGCCGACGCGCTCGGCGCCGCGCTCCTGCGGGCGACGAACACGAACACGACGGGCGGGGCGACGAACACGACGGCGGGCCTGCCGGCGTATGGGGTGAATACGGTGAGGTGGGTAGGGGGTGGTTTGGTTGTTTTGGGAGGTAGAAAGATCTCGCGACGACGGCCATGGTGGCATTCGGGCTCGCCCTCCTCCCTCCCCCCTTCTCCGTCCTCTCCCTCTCCTTCTCATCCGCTCCGCCCCCCCCCTTTCCCCGCCCTCTTCGACTATCACTCACCTGACTCCTTTCACTCCCCCCTCGCCCTTTCGTTCCGCCCCTGAATATCAACACTAACCCCCCCTTCCCCTTTCACTTCCCCCACCCCCACCCCCACCCTACACACACTAGAATACATAACTGACCCCCCCCCCCCCCCCAGCGGCGAAACCCACCGCGGCTTCGCGGGCGCGAGCGTGCTGCTCGCGGAGGCGCTCAGCTGCCAGGTGGAGTTGTGAGTGTTGTGGTTTTTGTTTGTTGTTGGGTGGAGGGTTGGTTTTGAGTGGTTTGGAAGGGGGGAGGGGGTGGATGAGTGTTGTTGGGTGGTTTTTTGGTTTGGTTGGTTGGTTTGGAGGGGTGGTTTTTTACGCTACGAGTTGAATCCTCGCTCGTTCCTTGCAGGACTTTGGCCCCTCGCCCTTGTCTTGACCTCCCATTTCTGTCGTCCTCTTGTTGCCTTCGCACCTCCTCCTACGTCCCCCCTTCTCCTTTCATCCCCTCCTTCCCCTCATCCTACCCTCCCTCGCCTCTCTCTCGTCTTCGCCCCCCTCTCTCGTCTTCGCCGCCTTACTCTCCTTATGTCGCCTTCCCCCCTCTCACTTATCGAACGCTGACGCCCCCTCCCCCCAAAGCAAATACCTCGCGCACCTGACCGGGAAGCGGGAGTATTATGAGAAGGTGCGGTGGTCAGCTCCATGGTTTCTGATTTTTGCGCTTGTTATTCTCGCGAACCCTCACGCTTCACTCCCGTCCACCCCCTCCTATCTTACTTCCCCCCCCCCTTCATCGCGCCCATCTCCCCCGGTCGTCCCGCGCTTGCTCCCTCTTCCCTCCCTTTCGCCCTCTTCCCTCCCTTCCCTCCTTTTCGCGCTCTTCCCCTTCCCCACCCTCTTCCCCACCATCTCCCCCCCTCCAAACCACTCATCTCTCCTCCCACTAACCCCCCTCCCAGGTCGAACACATCAACGACGTCCTCCTCTACAACTCCTCCCACGCGGACGGCCTCTACCCGAGCGCGTTCGATCTGGGGAGTGGGGTGGGGCGGAATTGTGAGTTTTTTTTTGCATGGGAGGGGGGGGGTGGGGTTTGGGTTTTTTGGGACCGGATATACCGTTGTTGCGCGTGTTTGGGCTTTTGAATGTGGGGGAGAGGGGGGGAATGAGAGCGGGTGGCGTGGCGTGGCGTGGGCGGGTGGCGGGGGAGGAGTGGGGGTGGGAGGGCTGTGGCGCGCTGGACGATCCCCCTTTCCCTCCGTCGTCAGACGCCCCAATCGCAGGCATCGGACGCCCCAGTCGCAGGCATCGGACGCCCCAGCCCTTTACTCACGCATTCCCAGTCCACTTCTCCGCGGGCGCGGCCGCGGACAGCGCGTACGAGTATCTCCTGAAGCAGTGGTTGGTGAGCGGCAGGAGCGAGGGGAGGGTGAGGGATCATTGTGAGTTGGGGGTTTTTTTTTGTTCTGAGTTGAGGGGTTTTTTTTGGTCCTGAGTGGTTTTTTTTGGTCCTGAGTTGAGGGGGTTATCTTCCCTTGGACGACTCGGCGTCGACTGCCTTTTCTGCCCGAGCGTGCGCGGCTCTCTCTTGTCGTCCGCGCGCTATCGCTTGTCGTCCGCGCGCTATCGCTTTTCTGCCCCGAGCGTGCGCGGCTCTCTCTTGCCGTCACCGTGTGGAGCCTTTGCCGGCTCTGATCCTTCGCTGCCCTCGTCCACCCCTCTTTTACCTCCCCCCCTGTCTACCTTCTTCCTCGCTCACCCCTCTTCCTCGCTCACCCCTCCTTCCTCACTCACCCCCCTTCCTCGCTCACCCCCCTTCCTCGCCTCCTTCCCCTCCTCGCTTACCCCTCAAGCGCGCATTCCACACCGCGCACTGACTTCCCCCCATGCCCTCCTCCCGCACCGCCCATGCCCATCTAGTACGCTGATCTACTCCTCCCCAGACGTCCACTCCGCGAACGCCATACTTGCCAACCTGGCGTACGTCTCGCCGAGCCGGGGGCTGCTGTACGTGACGGATGCGATCAGAAAACCGAGCGACCCCGGTAAGAGCCCCGTCCCTCCTCATAGCGTACGCCAGGACTCACGTGGGCGGGCATCATAGACGTGAAGGGCGGCAGGCCCTCAGGCAACACCAACGCAGGTGGCAAATCCTCACCCAACACTAACACCCCCACAGACGTCAAATCCCCCAACACCGACGCCGACATGCAAGCCGCCTCGCCCTACTACCTGCGCGACACCGCCATCGCGCGCGGCCGCCCGTCGCACAACTTCGAGCACCTGACCTGCTTTTTGGGCGGGTTGTTGGCGCTGGGGGCGCGGGCGGTGCCGGAGGTGGATGGGCGGGCGGGTGAGTTTTGAGTTCCTCGTTGGCGTGATATCTCGCGCGCTGTTCTCATGCCGCTCGCTCGTTTCCTCCTTCCTTCACTGCCCACCTCACCTTCCTCGCGGCTTGTCCACACGCAAACTAACCCTCCCGTCTCCAGTAACCAGCACGCCAGCCGGCAACCTCACCCGCTCCGCCCTCAACCTCCCTCACCCGACCTTCACCCCCCACGACCGGCAGCTGCACATGTGGGCCGCGGAGGGGCTCGCGGAGACGTGCTGGGCGACGTATGCGGATATGCCGAGCGGGCTGGGGCCGGATGGGGTGGCTATGGTGAGTGCGATTGTGTATCTTGGAAGTGAATGGCAGCGTTTTTTCGTTTCATTCATCGCAGCGTTCTTTCGTTTCAATCATCGCAGCGTTCTCTCGTTCATCCATTTCAACGTTTTTTTGTCTTTGGAGAATAGGACAGCGATCACGCTCATCTTCGCATGCCCTGTTCTTTGCATGCCCTATTCTCCGTCTGCCCTGTTCTTTGCATGCCCTTCCCACCCCATCGCCTCGTTCGCCCTTCTCTCCACGGCCGCTGCTCTGCCTCTTTCCTTCCTGTTTCCTCTTTCCTCCTCCCCCCTTGCGTTTCTTTCTTTCCCCTCCTTCTCCCTCCTTCCCCCCGTTTTCCCCTCCCCCCTTCCCCCTCCCTCGTTCGCTCCTCCCTTGTTCGCTCCTCCCTCGTTCTCCCCTCCCTTGCCCTCCCCTCCCTTGTTCTCCCTCCCTCCTTCCCCCGCCCGCCCGTTTGCCCCCCCCCCCCGGCCGCCGCCCACCCCTACATCCCTCCCCCCCCCACACGCAAAAAAGAGCAGCAGACTAATGCGTCGCATAGGGTACCGGGGGCGGACCGCCGACGCCGTGGCTGGTCGCGGTCGATAAGTGGGAGAGGGAGGGGAGGAAGGGCGGCGGTGAGTTACAGGCACTGCGTATGCACGACCTGAAGGCGCTGCGTATGCACGACCTGAAGGCCTTGCGCATGCACGACCTGAAGGTTTTGCGTATGCACGAGCTGAAGGCACTGCGCACGCACGACCTGAAGGTTTTGCGTATGCGCGGTCTGAAGGCGCTGCGTATGCGCGACCTGAAGGCCTGGCGTACGCACGACCTGAAGGTTTTGCGTATGCCCGACCTGAAGGCCCTGCGCGTGTCCGATCCAAAGGCTGACTCGCCGCTTTCCCCCAGACAAGCCCCCAGGCGCGCGGCGCGTCGAGCCCATCCCCGCCGACGCGGAGAACAGGGCGCAGGCGCTGGACTATAGGGTGCGGAGTAATTCGTGGTTGTTGAGGCCGGAGGTGCGTGCGGGTTTGGTTGTTCGCGCACCGGGTCGAGGTGCTACTGCGACGGCGCTTCCTTCCTCCTCCCCATTTACACCCTTTTGTGCCTCGCTGTTCGCTGCATAAGAGCCTCGAGCGCTGTTCGCTGCATAAGAACTTCGAGCACTGTTCGCTTCGCCCTTCCTCCTTTGCGCCTCGCTCACCTTCCCCCACGGCTCACCCGCCCCCACGCTAACGCTGATCCTCCCCCAGACCATCGAATCCATCTACCTCCTCTGGCGCACGACGGGCGACCCGGTGTGGCGCGAGCGCGGCTGGCGGCTGTTCCAGAGCATGGAAAGGTGGTGTCGGGCGGAGTGAGTGGTTTTGGCTATGGATCTAGCGTTGATTTGTGCGAGGGGGAAAGGAATCGCTTTGATTCGAGGAGGGAACTCTCAAGGATTCTCTGGTGGCTGCGTTGTAGGCCGAGGAGAGGGCGAGAGCTAGAGGAGGGGGGCGCATGGGACGAGAGCAGACGGCGTTGGGACGAGGACAGACGGTGTTAGGACGAGAGCAGACGGTGTTGGGATGAGCTACGAACAATCGGCTGACGACCCTTTTGTAGGTACGGCTACAGCGTCGTGAGCCAGATCAACACGGACCATCCGCGGATGACGGACGAGCAGCCGAGGTGAGTATCTCCTCGTCATGATACATGTGCGTCGCGCTCGAGGTGCGCTTGCCTCCCATTCGCGCATTGCGCAAGCGCGTAAACCTAATGCGCAAGCGCATGGACCTGATGCTCCGAAAGGGCCTAATGCTCCCGAAGGACCTAACGCTGCCAAAGGACCTAACGCTGCCAAAGGACCTAACGCTGCCAAAGGACCCAATGCTCCCGAAGGGTGATCCCACACTAACCTCCCTCCCAGCTGGCTCTTCGCCGAGACCTTCAAGTACCTCTTCCTCCTCTTCACCGACGAGGACCTCCTGCCGCTCGATCAGTGGGTGTTCAACACGGAGGCGCACCCGCTGCCCGTGTTTGAGTGGCGGGGGTGGGAGAGGGAGGCGTATGGGATTTAGGTTGGGTGCGTGGGATTTAGGCTGGGTGCGTATGGGATACGAGGTGGGAGGCGGCTGGGATATGAGGCGGAAAGCGGATGGGATATGAGGCGGGTCGGGCTGGCCAACCGCTCTCCTCGACAAGGTGCGGACGCGCCGGGGGCGCGCCACCCGAATCGGGCGGAAGGGTTGAGGAGTCGGGAGATATGTTGAGTCGGGAGAGATGCATGCTGAAGACAGAGAGGGAGGGAGGCGGAGAGAAATAGAGAAGCAACAAAAGCAATAATCATACCGCACCGCGATAGTGAGTGCCGACCAGCATACACGATTACTTACCACTCTTTAATGGGACTTTGGATTCGTCCGCAGATACTTTTTTTCCACTCGTTCATTGCAATAACTTATTCATCGTTTTTCTCTGATGTTCTAAGACTGGTCAAGTTGAGACTGGTGAAGTCGGCCTTCCGAGACTGCTCAAGTCGGTCTTCCCTCCGCGGCATATTTGAGTGCGAGTGCGACAAACGCAATGTACGCTCCTTTCTGCCCTCTCCCTCTTTGAGTGGCTCCCCGTTTTCGACCTCTAGCATCCCGACTACCACGGGCGCCCCCTCGCCTTCCTTACGCACGCCTGCTAGACACGCTCTTATGCGGCCCCGGGCGTCCTCGGTGTCCTGCTCACGAGGCTCGGGACGCTCGTTCGTCGGAATGCCGGCGTCGTTAGCAGCGGTGTGCCACGCGTCGCATCGCCGGTGCACTTGAGACGGCATACTTTCGCGCGGCATCCTGAGGAGGCGGGCGCGCTGCGATCCGTCGTGGGGATGGCGATACAGCAGCAGCGTCCTCGTCAGCTCCGCTCTGTCGTCGCAGAATGGCCGCGTGGCGAAGGCGATTGCTGGGCTTTTATGCGTGGCGTTGGCATTGAGAGCCAACGTCGAGGAGGCTCGGATACGGAAGCGGGAGATGGGCGAGACGTCTGGGAGGCGGTGGAGCTCGTATGCGAGCGTCGTGCGATGGAAGGTTATACCTGGGGTGTATTGATGGTCTGTGTACGATTAGGCAGAGCTTGATTAGCCCGCAGATACTCATAGCTATAAGGATACGGACAAGCGACTGCTTATGGAGCTGGAAATCTTTTCTCGCATGCGCCCCCGCGGTGCGATGACTTACGGAGTCAAGTGAAAAGGTCAAGATACGCACGAATGCCAGGCTATTTTTCGAGTGTTGACACCTCAGGGTCAAGTAGATGAACGCTAGAGCCCTAGCGCTGCCGAAGCTTTGCGATTGCCGATTTGCAACTCCTGAGATATCGACTTACCAGGGGAACTCGAGCCAAGTCGTTGCATGTTGGTGATCGCTTGCCAATCGAGGACAAACAATCATGACTGCATTGTCAATGACGACGCACTATACTTGCTGCACATCGTATACGAGATCGACATATGAAGCGCGATCCCTACAAAGCCGGATTCTAGCCGGTGTCAAGAATTTGTCCAGCAAGCCTCGCCACCCGATACTGGGGTGAAGCATCGGCACCCGATGACACGACCGGAAGAGGGCTAACGCACCTCAAAATAAGAATGGTTATCCACGATACCCGTGCGGATATCCGACTGCAGGATATCCGTGTCCAGAATATCCGCGTCCGGGTGGAGGCGGCTCAGGCAAGAACACGGTGCGCCTGACTACCCGTGCATGTTCAGATAGGTCGCACTCATGGACCAACTCGGGGGCAGCGGTGTATCTGTCAGGGCGCACTGCGTAGTAGATGCCACTACGACTGTCAGTCTGTTACAGGATTCCATGGTTAGCCGTGGGTGTACGAAGGGTGCGCAATGCAAGGAAGGCACGCGACATAACGGGAAGATGCGGCACTGACTATGGGCGGGGCGATCACCTCTAGTATTACTCCCGGGGGAAATTTGTTGCCATAATGGTTGGTGACCCTATCCTGTGAAGCATTCGTCAGTCGAAAGTCCAGCGAAAAAGCGCTGGTAATGCTGCATTATGAGGCAATGGCGAAACGCGCCCGAAAAAACAGTGCCGATATGTGCTGTCGCCGTGTAGAGGACAGCACGTTGGGGGTCAAGCCGAGTACTCACACCAAGCGAATACGGCTGCATGGCACGCCGAGCGGAGCCAGCGAAAGGAAGGGGCGCCACAACGAGGTTCGTCGGGATGCATTTCGTGTATTGAAGACGTCGATGAGTGCTTAAGCACGTGGAATAGGGTACTGACTGACCTGTTCAGACATCGCGCAGCGTGCCCTTGAAGCAAGTTTTTTTTTTCGTGGAATAGATAGAAGTGCGCTCCGGCGCGAAGAAGGGGCGAAGGCGGGGTCAACTCGAGGACTGTGGATTACCGTTGAGATTCAAGGCCGCCCTTATATGCGTCGCCGTCAACTTTGGCGTATATAGAGGCGTTCATGGACTATCCTCCAGCGTTCTCGAGAGGCCGGACAGTGCTTCGTTGGCCCGCGCTGGCCACTTCGTGGGTCTGAGCGTGAACGAAGCGCGCGAGAGGTCTATTACCTTGCTATCAGCATGTATGAGCAGACAAGTACTTGCCAGGAGGGGAAAGAAGACTTCATCTGAGTTGCGATGGAAGTCTGCCTTCCGCGGTCCCTGGCGGTCGTCCCATCTGGTGAGTCGGCTGGTCGTTTGGGTGCCGCTTCCATTCTTCTCCAGAAATATCATACCTAGAGTCGTCATGGAATGTTCGTGCGTATTGAATGAAGCTTTTCGCGAGAGGGTCGAGTGCCGTGAGCTGAATCAAGTACGACGCTGGCGCGCGCGGCGCGCGCCATTGACTTGCAATGGAAGGTCAAGAGGCGGATGTCCAGATACCTGACGGCCATCTCATGTCTCCAAAAGACGTCCATTAAGCGAACACACATCAAGGGTTGACGCGAAGGCTCGGATTGAATGTGGCGACATGGGCGGAGGCAAGAAGCGCGTGGGAAGGAGGTCCTCCACCAACATGGATAAACAATTCGGCGTTTGCCGGCTCCTTGCTTTCCGCCATCACGAGCGCTGCACATTTCATCTGGAACATCTCAACCTGGAATACATGAGGAGAATCAGATCTCTGTGGTTTTTGTCGGAGCTGCACCTTGAGCAGATGTTCAAGCATGATAGCTAAGCCCGAGCACACGCAGCAAGCACACAGTATGTTCCTTTATAGATGTATGCATGTTGCTGGAGTAAGCAACGCGCGAGGCTACAGAGTGGATTTGGCGATTTGAAGACGAGCTTGAGGTGCTCTATAACTGCATGTCCTTTCCAGGTGTTGACCGTAGCACTTACCCTTCCACGAATGCTCGCCAAAACGCTCTATATACAGCATTTCCAGAGCTCTGAACAGACCCTCTGGCGCTGTCCTAAGGCTTCAAAGCAATTTCCTGGCCCGGACACCTCGTACCGCGCCTACATATCATTTTCCCATCAGCAAACAATGCATCGCGAGATCTTCGAAATTCGCACGTCCGGTGCCGGTCACCTCGCATGTTCTCAGCACGCATATTCGTCGCCCGTGCTTCTCGTCAAAGGCACTCAATATATAGGGCCTTCGATGCAACGTTCGTCTACTGCCTTCTCTCCTCCCCCCTCTGGCTCACAGGCTCTGACTGCCAGGGTTATCGGTTCCTCTTCACCTCGCAATTCCCGACCACTGACCGTGACGATGGCCACTTCCGCTCCTTCTACGCCTTCAATTCCAGACGTGCGAACCTCCCTTGGGCCGATACTCATCTCCTCTGTCCTCTCCTGGATCCTATGGGGCATGCTTACGATGCAAGTCATACGCTACTACTTGTCGTATGTGCACCATCATCCCTGTCCGCCTCCTCTGAACGCTCACCACATCGCTCCAGGTATCAGCGAGACTCCTCGGTCATGAAGAGCATGGTTGGCCTCGTCAGACTTCCCTCCGATGTTGCCGGGCTGACAAATGGACCCGCAACTAGGTCGCCTCCGTTTGGTATGTTCGCGTGAACGCCGCCATTGGCGCAGTATTCATCGGACACAGGTTCCTCGACCTATCTCACGCCATTGTCTTATTTCGTGGAAGTACGTCAGTGCTTTCGCGCTGCTGTAGGGCTTGCTCAAGATGCATGATTCGCCAGTTCATCAATGCCTTGTCAACGATTTGTATGTAGGATCGGCCTCTGGTTTGATCAGGGAGCCCTTCTTTTAACTGATATTTCGAAAGCGGCCGTGTGGTACCTCTCGACAATGATCGGTGAGTGAAGGTGGTCTGACGAACCTTGTCCTGAGCACTGAGTCACCCCTTCCTTCGCAGCGTGATGGTATTGATTCCGAGACCCATTGGCATTGTTCGAGGCGCTGACGATAATCACAAGGGCGAGATCCCACCAAGGGTGTTGGTCACGATCGTCGTGCAGGGTTTTTGCTTCTGGAGGATATGGAAGCGTGCGTCTCCATCCTCCGGGAATTTGAGTTCGTGAGGCTGATTTTGCGCTAGTGTATCGTAGCTATGTTCCGGTCGCACTATACGTGCGTGAGCTGGTTGTTCGTTCAGATTGCATGCGCTAACGATCGTCTTGAAGGTGCTTACGACTTTGCTACAAATAGGTGCGCCGCGAGACCTCCTCTTGCCGCTTCGTGGGTTAATCGTCGTGGTCAGTATTCACCGTCGGTACGTGTTCTCGCTCCAGTATTCCTTTATCACGCTAATCTCTCAGCCAGCATACATGTTGGGCTCGTACGTCGTGGCGCTCTTCTCGTTCGCTATCCCCTTCTTAACCACGACTCCTCTTTTAAAGCTTCGGCAACGTATCGGCCGCACAAAGGAGGTTCTTCCTCGACGTGAGCATCCACGCCCTTCCCCCATTGAGTCCGTTGATTTACGCCCATCCTCCATCTACAGCTGGCCGGCTTCGGCTACCTCGCCGCCGTCTTCGTCGCCGACTTGACCATGGCGGGCTTGTTGACGGCGCTGCTATATAGGCAACATTTGAAGACACCGCTGAAGAAGTGAGTTTCCTTTCTTTTGTTGCTCGTGGTCTAGCGAGATTTGTCATGGGGTTGACGACCCCATCTTAGCACCAGCGAGATGCTGCGCCGACTCCTGTACTTCTCCATCAATACCGGGACATGGACCGCCGTGTTTGCGCTCCTGGCGATCATCTTGGTTAGTCTCTTCGTCTATTTCTCCATTCTTCGTCTATCCCTCCATCCGCTCATTCCACCCGCCACCCCCAGTCCATCCGCCCCGTCGGCGATGCCTACTACTGGACCATGTTCGACGTCGCCGTGTGCGGCATCTACAGCAACACGCTCCTCGTGAACCTCAACGGGCGCGACTACATCGTCGGCGAGGAGGCGATTACGCTCTCCTTCCTCAAGCCCTCGGGGGACGAGTCGAGCTTGACGGCGGGCGACTCCAGTAACATAAAGGGCGACTCGAGTCATAAGGCAGGCGACTTAGGCACGAAGGCGAGCATATTGGGTCAGCGCTCTGACTCCCTGAAGGCGGGTGGGGAGGAGGGCGAAAGTATCGCTCAACCTCGCTGGTGACCGGCGCCGCGTTTGTCTTCGAGGCTGCGAAGCGGCCGGGCGTGTAGCGTGCGAGCAGTAGGACCATCATCTATGGTTCTTCGCTTTATTTATGCGCTATCCTCACGATGTGCACTGTGCCGCAGAGTGCTCGTAGCCCTCAAATTATACACAGCTCGGTCCTGTCGCGATGCTCAAGCCATGTATGGCCTACATAAATAACCCCACCAGACTTAAAGTCTGAGCACGCGGTTTGGATAACGACGTACAAAAAGAGCGACTACATATAGCAGAAACCCATCACGTCCGGGTCGCACTGCTATCCTCCATATCCGACATCTACAACAGGAAATTAACACTCACCCTGAAAGAGAAGAGCATGGACAGAGAGATCGACCCCCTCCATGAACATCATGCACATTTAACTGCTAACTCACCTGACTCCGCTTCGTGTGCGCAAACGCTAATACGTCTTCCGTCGCCGACGAATCACCCCGCGACGCCCACTCCGCCCCCCGCGACATCCACTCCGCCCCCAGCGCCGACGTCCGCCGCGCCGAGAGCGTCACGTCCCGCTCGCCCGCGGCGAAGTCGCGCGCGTTGAGATTCGCGAGCAAGGTGTTGCTGTAGACGCCACAGATGCTCTGGTCGAGGATGGCCGCCCACCAGTCGGTCTCCTTGGGGTGTTTGCACTATGATGGAGGGTGAGTGGGGAGGATAGTGAGGCAAGCGGGAGGAGGGAGAATCACTACGAGGGGAGGACGAAGAAAATGGAAGGATGCGGGGGATGATGGACACTCACGAGAACTATGGTCGCAATCACGAACACGGCCGTCCAGGTACCCGTGTTGACGGAGTAGAAGAGCAGGCGGGTGAGCATCTGGCTGGTCCTAAGGAAGTGGACGTGCCGCATAAGCCAATGCCATAAATCAGCGCAATGAGAATGAAGCTCACCTTTTATAAGGTGTTTTCCGGCGTTGGAAATAGAGCAGGAGAGACAACATCGTTGCCATCGTCGTATCCGCGATCAGCACGTCCGCAAGGTAGCCGTAGGACGTTCCCTGGACGGCACCAGTGAGCTCATCGGACGACAGGTGCTGGCACTGCACGCACCTTCAAGATAGTCGTCATCCGCGCAGCCGCGAAGTGGCCGAACCTGGAGGTGACTCAGCACGGTATGACAGGACGCTAGACTCTGCTGGCAGAGCGTACATCGCCAACAAGTACACTGTTCATCTCGTGAGGACCCGCTCGCAAGGATGAGTGTGTTCCGCACGCACCGACCATGATAGCTGTAGATTGAGAGGTGAGGTCAGTATCCTTCATGTAATCAGGCGCAGAAACTACGAGCCTAATTGCAGGAGTGCCAGGACGACCTTCGACGACGGTCAGTACCGCGGACTGTACACCTTTTCGAGATACTCACAAACAGAGCGACGGGAATGGGGTTGCGATACACTGTCGGAATGCCGTATGAGCCTGCCGGCAATCGCGCTACCTACACAAATTGCAACTCACGCTGCCATATACGCCAAAAGCAGAATCCTTGCACCAGAATGGTGACGACGGCTCGTGGCGGAAACTCTCCCTTGTCGACATGAAGTCAGTCAGTGGCTGCGTGGAAGGGCGTACACGCTGCATACATTGACCCTGTTCAGATCATTGGTCACTTCAGTTGGCGTGTGGCGGTGATGCTACCCACCACAGAAAATGTTGAGGATCCAGATGCCCGCTGGTTACATACGCGTGAGCGACTGATTGAGAGCAACTGACTCTACCCACAAATCGTTCACGAGACATCGGTAGACTGGACCTACAGTCAGTACGTCGCGTTAGCACGGCAGAAACCATTCGACGTACCGGCATAGAAGGATACGATGGCATGAACCCCATCCAGGACCCTGGACCAAGTTCAGCACGTAAGTCAGCACTCGCAGCCCCTTGCATTTACATACCAAACCACGCCAACCTACGCATGCGTCAGTCGTTTGGAGGAATCGACTGCGCCTCAAACTCACCAAAGTCTTCAAAGGCGTGCGATCCCGTTTGTACCTGATCGAAGTCGATCAGCCTGCCGTCCCTACCAAGCGAAGGCATGCAAAAACCCACGAAACGTAGTATTGAATGACCTGCATCGTCAGCAGGCCCCAGAACACCCACGAGATCGCTGAGCCGATGAGAATGGGCCCCAGGATCGCCGTCACGTCCGGGATCGGGGACGCGGGCGTAGCCATCGCCAAGAACTCGTCTCGATCGTCACGGTCGGGAATGAGGCGTAAGGGAAGGGGAGAACTGGAAGGAGAACGTCCTGCGCGCCGGCGTCGTCCTTAGCCTATATAGCTCGCTGATTGGTGCGTGCCGCCACCGCGTGGGCCTCTGTGTGTCGGCGTATGAGCGCTGCGCGGGCCTGGGGCGTTGATGCCGAATGATGCGAGAGGTCGCTCCATCGCTGCTGGTGAATATTCTGATCGGTGAAGCTCTGAAGTGGAAAGGCAGCCTGCCCGGACACTCAAATCGCTACCAATCTTTCGGAAGGATGGAGGCTCTATGGTAAGGAAGGCGGCGCAGAGGCTGGCTCAGCGGTGCGGAACACACCGCACTGATCTCCCCTCCTCGCACCGATGATCAACTTGCTATGATCTATTGATAGGCGCCGACATGTTACACCCTGGACGCCTCCACCTTACGCCGCCAGCGCTGGGTGGAAACTAACTTCATTCGTGAAAGAGCGATTCAAGTAGCCCAAGCTATAGTTGTGATGAGGAGCTTTTAGCTCGTGTGGCAGAGCCTGTCGTCGACGGTAGAGTCGATAGATAAGATGGATGATCCAATTCTCCCCGAACCCATGCCGCACGTCGGAGCCGACGAGTCTCACGATCACGTGAGCTGCATTCGTCTTGCGTCCTGACGGCAACTTGTAACTTGCACCTCTTCTGGTGACCTCAACACCACACCCAACTAGATTGGATGCGTAGATTTCTCTGTCAGATTGTCCTGCAGACTCTCTCGTAGTTGTACAATTAGACTAGTGATCAAGCGCGCGAGATTAGAAAAAAAACGAAGTGTCCGAGCTTGAGGAGCTCCCTTTACTCCACGTCCGAAATCTGCTGCGCGTATTTATCTAAAGTCCCCTTGATCAAAATAGTCTAAGACGCACCTGCGACCGCTTCGCCGCCTCAAAAGGCAGTATCGCCTCCGTCGCCGTCGACTCCGTGGACGGTCCGCGCTTCGAGTCCCTCAGCGGACCGCGCTTCGAGTCCCGCAGCGGCCCATGCTTGGTTGATTGCGCCGAGACCGGCGAGTGCGAGACCTCCGGCTCCCCCGCAGCGAAGTCGCGCCCGTTCAGATTGACGAGCAGCGTGTTGCTGTACACGCCGCAAACGCCGACGTCGAAGATCGCTGCCCACCAGGCGGTCTTGGGTTGGAAGCTGACCTGTGCGAGAGTAAGTGAAGGGAGCGCAGGCAGCTGGGCACGGTGGAGACGCTTCGCAGGATACTGACCGTCAAGATCGCGACTAGGGCAAACACGGCCGTCCAGGTCCCGGTATTGATGGAGTAGTAGAAGAGGCGGCGGAGCATCTCGCTCGTCCTGTTGGCGCTCCTTGTCAGTCAGAATCACACAGGCAAGTAAAAGTCCTACGAACCTCTGGTACGGCGTGTCCTTCCGCTGCTTATACAACAGCGCGGACAGCAGCCCGGCCATGGTCAGGTCCGTAATCAAGACGGCGGCGAGGTAGCCGTAGGAGGCGCACTGCGGAGCATAATCGATTTTTTGCTCATCATCATTCCCATGAATGCGATCTCACCTTGAGGAGGGAGCTCTTGCGCGACGCTGGGAAGGTTCCAAACGTCGTCACCATGTATACTTTTCATCTTGTCAGCTGGTTTCGAGGGGGGATGCCGCTCAAGACGTACGAATCATAAACGCTGGTTCGCGCGAAGTCAGATATACGCCACAGCTAGTCCTGGATACGAACCTATCTGCGCGAGAGCCATTATGACCTACGGCGGTCCCCTGTGAGATCAAGTAACAGGAGAGACAAGACGAGCTCACAAAAAGCGCGAGAGGGATGAAGCTGCGGTGTACTGATGCATGTCAGAGCCTCCGTTCCATGTCTCCGGGAGGGAACAATGACTTACACTTCCATATCCGCCAATAACAAAAGCCTTGTACTAGAATGGTGACGATGGCGCGCGGAGGGAATTCGCCCTGGTGCGGTGGGTGATGATGAGTATCTTGATTTCATTCAGGATGGAACGGCGCCTACAAAGACGCTGAAGGGAATGAGCGCCGGTCCACGAATACATACAATAAAAGACACGCAGCGAGGGCTTACCGTGAGAATTCGAGTGCGATCATCCGTCCACTATACGAAGGAAGGCTAAGTGAGGTTCCCCTGAAGACACGGCACGGCGTACAAGTCGTTTATCAGACATTGGTAGACTGCATTCGCGATGAGTTGAATTCGTGAGTGCAAGAAAGCATGGGCCACATACCACCACGATAGAGAATCACAGCGTGTGCACTATCTAGGAACCTGGTGTGGGTGATTATGGCGCTTGTTATTATGGCAAAGCGAGCGCGTTCGTACCAGACGATGGCGACCTACGCATGCGTCAAATGAGGCGCTGCAGATCACAGCGGACAACTCACCAAGGTCTTCGTGATCGTGGTGTCTCGCTTATACCTAGGCGCTGCTCAGAGACTTGTCCCGAATCTTGTACTTACAGACGCGGCAGATCCTCGAGTGAAGCGACACGTACGAAAGATAGTACCGTATCACCTGCATCGTCAGCAGACCCCAGAACGCCCAAGAGATCGTCGAGGCGATCAGAAGCGGTCCCAGGCTGGCGCGCACGTCCGGGATCTGGGATGAAGGATCGTTACTGGAGGCCATTGAGGAATATCGTCGCGGCTCGTGAAGTCTGGCCAGAGCAGGTCGTAAAGCCGCGTCAGAGCAGGCCGGGAGAAAGGGAACAAGGGACGCCCTGACGCCTGCTAAAAGCAAGCGCCGCCTTTGTATACCTGGAATGTATCTATAACAAGACCTGTGTAGGCGCCTTGTACTGCGGGCCGGTGCATGGAGTGTACCTGGGCATCAATGGAAGTCCCTCTCGTGACAATAGAGGTCCACCGCGTGACAATAGAGGTCCACCGCGTGTCAATGGAGATCCCCTTGTCATAGAATGCCGCCCTCGGGAAGGTGGTGATGCGAGTGCGCCGCTGTGCCGCTGCAGTCCATACGAGGGGATCGCCTCCAGGCTCTCTTTCGTTGGGTGAATGGTCGAAGGTTCATAAGGTTGACCGTGGCGTAGAATGAGAACCCCGTGGAGAGCATCAAGCGGCGATTGACGACATACCTCCCGGATCTGCTTGTACTTCCCGATGTTCGGATAGGCGCTCATTCACATGCCTGCAGTGAGTATCTGATAGACGCTGAATGGATACCTAATCCCCATGCAGGACTTCAGGAACTGGTCCTCTGCAAACTCTCGCGCTTTCCAAGGACTGAACAGTGAACAGTGGGTGCATTCAATGGATTCCGGATTCTAATGACCACGAGGTCGTCGGTGACTGTCAGCAACAGGATGCTGTAGATATAGGAGCCTCGGAGTTGATAAAGTGACGGGAACATCATCGAAGGGACGGGGTGCCTTTCGAGGAGCAGGTGGACCATGGATGGCGGACGGAAGGCAACTCTGCACGTGACCTTGCTCAACGCACGCGACTTGCGTCGATCGAGCTCGCCATCATTGTTTTTCTTTCCCCATTGTTCTTTCCTCCACACTCGCGATGGCGGCTTCAAAAACTCCCAACGGCACCGCCGAGGCACCTATCGAGGTGTCCACCCTTCCCCCCGTTGTTGGTATCAACTTCGGCAACTCTTACGCGTCTATCGCGGTCTTCACGAAGGTGAGGCGCGTCCGCATTGCCCAAGTACTTGGCTGATATGTTTAAGTAGGAAGGGCATGCTGAGTGCATCGCGAACGAGGATGGAGAGCGCCAGATTGCCTGCGCCTTGGCTTTCCACGGAGAGGAAATGGTGTGAGCGGTCATCGTCCAGATAGTATCCATACTGATCCATCCATCGCCAGTACATTGGCAACCAGGCGAAGCCCCAGCTCGTGAAGAACGCGAAGAACACGATCGTTGGCTTCAGGAACATCTTGGGGAAGAAGTACGTGACCATAGAGCTGCTTACAATCGTGCACGTTCTTATACGATCGCGCCAGGTTCTCCGAGATCTCGCAGCCGGAATTATCCACCTCTGCCCCCGTCATCCAGCACCCCGATCAGCCTGATGAGCCCGCGTACAAGGTTGAGGTGCTCAAGGCAGCCGCTCCCGCTCCCTCCGCGCCCAAGACCGCGTCGAACACCCCTGCCGCGTCCGCTTTGGCCACCCCCGCGTCCGAACCCGTCCTGGGCGAGCGTATCCTGACCGTCTCCGAGGTCGCCACCATCTTCATCCGCTCGCTCATCCAGTCCGCGGAGGACTTCATGGGCAAGAAGGTCCAGGGCGCCGTGATCACCGTGCCGACGTGGTTCACCGAGGCCCAGCAAAAGGCGCTCGAGAAGGCCGCGACGGACGCGGGCGTCAACGTGCTGCAGCTGCTCGATGAGGCTGCGGCGACCGTCCCGACCACGACGTCGGAGTCGTGGGGCAGCGGCCAGCTCTCGCCGGACCGCACGCAGCTCGTCGTCGACGTCGGCCACTCGTCCCTCTCCCTCAACCTGCTGTCCATCCGCGACGGCCTCGCGCACGTCATCGCCTCCTCCTCGTCCACCACGATCGGCGCCGCGCAGATCGACGCCGCGCTCATCAAGTTCTTCGCCGCCGACTTCACGAAGAAGACGAAGACGGCGCTGGCCGTCGCGCCCGCGCCCTCGACGCAGGACGCGCGCGCGGAGGCCAAGCTCCTCCTCGCCATCGAGCACACGAAGCGCACGCTGAGCGCGTCCCCGGGCGCCGCGACGTGCTCCGTCGAGTCCCTCAAGGACGGCCTCGACTACACCGGCACGGTCAACCGCCTGCGCTTCGACATGCTCGCGAAGCCGACGTACCAGGCCGTCGCGACGGAGGTCACCGCGCTGCTCGCCGCCGCCGCCGTCGACCCCGTCCTCGTCGACGAGATCGTGTACGTGGGCGGTACGGGCTCCCTCCCCGGCCTCGACGAGCACCTCGTGCTCGCCGCGGGCTTCCGGGAGAGCGTCGCGACGCCCTTCTCGCTCGGCACGGTCGTCGGCGGCGGCGAGGGCGACCCGACGACGGTGCTCGCGCGCGGGTGCGCGCTCCAGGCGGAGCTCATCGCCGTCCTGGGCGAGGAGGACGCGGAGCTGCGGCACCTGTTCACGGACGCGGCGAAGCTGCGCGACGTGCAGGACGTGCCCGCGACGAGCGCGGCCCTCGGCGTCGTCTTCCCCGACGCGGCGAAGACGGGCGAGCCGATGGACGGGCTGTGGGTCCCCGTGATCGCGAAGGAGACGCCGCTGCCGGCGCGCCGGGCGGTGACGTTCGAGGTCGAAGTCGAGAGCGAGGAGAGCAGCAAGTTCGCGTTCGAGGTCGCGGAGGCGAGCGTGGAGATCAAGGTCGAGCTGCAAAAGCCGCCGAAGGATGAGTATGACGAGTACGAGGAAGATGAGGAGCCGGAGGACATCGAGGTGAAGCAGGAGGTGTTGAAGAAGGACCGTGTGTTGGGCGTCGTCGAGTTCGAGGCGAAGAAGGCGATCAAAATCCTGGGCTCGGGGCCAAAGGCAGGCAAATGGACGACGACGGTGGACGTGAAGTTTGTGGTTGGTATCGATGGCGCATTGACCGTGACGCTAGCGGAGCACGGTAATGAGGATGTGAAGACCGCGACCTTCAACTAGATGTAGCCTCATGTATTCTTAGCATCTCACCGTGTACATGTACTTGCATATGTACCGGAATCGCACTCTCATATATTGCCACAAGACATCACGCGACCAATCCGACAGAGGGACAGACACATGGCAACCTTCCTGGGCTCTGTGATGACACAGACCTATTTGTGAGGACGAGGGCAAATATGTCGCAGCTCAAGATACGCATTTGCACAGTGTCCTGTATTATATGGCTGAAGCTGCCATCTCATTTGCTTCCGGGATTGGAGAGCCCAAGGATGACCTCCCGTGAAGCTTCCGCGCCACATACGCTGTCAAATAACCTCACAACATGTCCAGAGCGCGATCAATATCTCTGGAACTTCCGTTTTCTCTTCTGCTTATTCCTCGCTCATTTCTGGGTCGATTTGGATGATTCTTGGACTGCCAGAAACGTCTTTCAAGCGTCAGTGGTGTAACGGTAACATTGGAGCTTCCCATCCAGCTGGGCCCCAAATGGGGTTAACTGCTCTAGCCTCGGGTTCGACTCCCGGCTGACGCAAAAACATCATTTTGAGAGCTCATTTTTGCTTCGAGCGGCTCGTTCTTTCATATGCAACTTACTAGCCTAATTTAGGTCTGTAATGTGAGTTTTTACAGCGTTTTAGACGCAGACGAGCGAGATAGAGGCCTTCCAACGGACCATCTACATGAACCGTGACATGTGACTGCGTGACTAAATATTCGGCCTTGGATATGACAACTCACCATAACCTGATGCGATGGAGTGAACGCTCGAGACGGGAAGACTTTCGATACCAGGGCGTCGGATATGACCAGAATCACGATGGACGTCTGACTCAAGTGCGACGGTTTTTGAACGACGCCCCTCCTCATTTAGGCCTGAAGCCTTCCAGCTTCAAGCTTCCATCCTTAGTGGGCCGGGAACACCTCAATATCGGCCACATTCCATGCGACCAGTAAGAAAAATGCCAATCTCAGGATTGGACATCTTGGTGAGCTCCTCCTTCGATTTGCCCGTGCCCTTAGCAGAAAAACTGCCTCTACTGATGATTCATGTCGCTGCTGGCTTCAGGGTATCCTCTTCCTAGAATGAGCGACCGTGCGTAGGTCACTGGAAAACCTCCACCTGCGCCGAGCTCACATGTGCAATGAATCTTGCGCGTCTAGTCGCGTCAGTATACTGTGTGAACGAGCGGGTTTTATCTTTCTTCTCGGCACTCTAGGTCAGCTCAAATGACCGCAGGACTACAGCTTGTAGTCAACGCGCGCTAGCTGTGGCTACAGTTGAACGAGACCTCGGACTCAATAGAAGGTGGTAGGCATCGCTATATGGGAGAGTCCTCCGCCCATGCCCGAATGGCACCAACACCAGCCATCGATGCTTGAGAAAATGCATGTCATCCCTCAACTGGACTCGAAGGCTTGATCAATCAACACATATTACAATCACGATGAGGACTTCGGACCTTCGGACATACTTGTGGCTCGACGTTGACAATGGTCGTGCGCGCGTGTCCCAATCATGACCTTGCCGTAGACACCTGGGACTTCTCCTGCGCATCCGGCCCTTCTCTATCGGCGAGAGAACATTCCTCGTCCATGCTGCAAGCACCCACCTCTCTCGTCCATACTTAACCTGCCCTCTCCTCAGCAATGCGCCGCACAGAGCCTCCTCCTCAGTCATGTCCGCCCAACGCATCCTCTTCCTTACCCACTCCGAGCAGGGCCAAAGCAACATCCACCTCGCGACCGCCCTCGAGACCTACTCGCGCGCGCTCCCGAGCGTGGAAGTGCACCTCGCCTCCTTCGCCGAGCTGCGCCCCCGCTTCGAGAAGATGAGCGCGCTCGTCGCTGGCGGGGATAAGCCACCCACGTTCCACACTATCGAAGGGTTAACGCAGTTCGCCGGCATTGACCGCGTCGGGACCATGCGCCACAAGCCCGCGCTCGAGTTCTGGCCCAAGTTCGCGAATATCATGGTACCCTGGACGAAGGAGGAGTACATCGTAAGCGCAGTCCTCCAGATATTAGAATGCCTCCACTCACCACGTCTGCAGACCATCCTGGACAGTATCCTCGCCACCATCTCACGCGTCGACCCGCACCTAATCCTCACCGACGTCATGTTCGGCCAAGCCATCGATGCCTGCGCCCTCCTCCACCGCCCCTACCACGTCCTCTCCCCCCTCCTCGCCTCCATGGTCTGCCTCCAAAACCAGCCCTTCCTCCGCCTCCTCCTCACCTACCCCCTCCCCGGCACCGGCCTCCCCTACCCTCTCTCCCTAAAGGACAAGCTCGCCAACCTCGTCCACACCGCCTCCATGGCCTACCACAGCCTCCGCAGCACGCAGATCAGGGCCATGGACGAGGCGCGCAGGGCGCGCGGCGTCCCGGGCGCCTTCCAGGGCCTCAACTGCATGCATGTCTCTCCGGAACGCGCGTACATCACGCCCGGGGCGCCCGCCGCGGACCTCCCCTTCGCCGCGCCGCCCACGCTCCACCTCTGCGGGCCCATCTGCAACGACTTCGTCCCCCTGCGCGCCAGCGACGCCGACCTGGCCGCCTGGCTCGACCAGGCGCCGACCCTCCTCATGATCATGGGCACCCACTTCGCCTACGACCCGCCCCTCGCGCGGCGCGTGCTCGCCGGGCTGCTCGGCGGCGTCGACGCCCGCGCCCAGATCCTCTGGAAGGTGCCCAACCTGCCCGCGCTCGGCGGCGTGTTCGACGCGCTGCTCACGACGGCGCGCGACAAGGCGCGCGTGCGCGCCGCGCCCTGGTTCGACGCCGAGCCCGCGGTGATTGTCGCGCACGCGAACGTCGTCGGCTACGTGCACCACGGCGGCGCGAACTCGTACTACGAGTGCGCGCGCGCGGGCAAGCCGCACGTCGTGCTCCCGCAGTGGGCGGACACGTACTACAACGCGGTGGCGGCGGAGTACGCGGGCATTGGCGTGTACGGGAACAAGACGTGCGCGCCGGACATCGATGCGACGGAGCTGAGCGTCGCGGTGAAGCGTATCACGTCGGGCGAGGAAGGTGCTTGCTTCAAGAAGAGGGCTGAAGAGGTCGGCATCAAGTGTCGCGAGGCGGGCGGACGCAAGCGCGCTGCCGACATCGTCCTGAACCTTCTCAAGCCTGAGCCAGAATCCACTTGAGCGGTGACAGCGCACTGCAGAGCATCAGTAACGAACACATACGACCAAACTCGCCTTCATATCTCGTCCTTTGAGCAACGGAAATGAACTTGCTCCTTCCCGCGCTCGTCGATCTTGTAGTCGTGTACACCCCTCGCTCATTATACCGATCCATTGCCCGGGTTTCTATCTGGTATATGCATATGAATAAGCAGGTGAATAGTCAACGTATGGTAGCACAAATGGAAACGAAAGCCTGCTAGTATTCAAGAGTCCATGACGCCTCGACCGACTACACACAACCCGTGCTGCTCGCCGCGGATCGTTGCAAACAGGGTTTACTGTGGGCCCCAAGCTGTGTTGATTATACGACGCCGCACGCAGCGCACAGGTCGCGCGAAGAAGCCGGGCAGCGAGGTGGCCTGTAGACGCATGAGATAGTGGCTCAGCTCAAGAGGCAGAACACCGTACCGCTCATGTAACGCGCTCATCGTGATGAAGCTACTCTAATATCTGTCCGAGCTTGGCGGGTAACCCCTTGCATTGCCATACAGCTGCTTGCCGCTGACACCGCCGACAAGACTAGGCGTTCCACCGCCATAGCCGTACTGTTGTGACGGCGCATGGTAGTTGCTGGATGCGTCCTCGTCTGTGTACGAGCCAGCGAGCAGCGGATCCTTGACTTCCCAAACAGCCGCCTTTGATCCGACCGAGAACTCGAGGTCCTCGCGCTGGAACAAGAGTCAGTCCATGGCGACGCGAAGGTAGCAGACCTCGACGCACCGTAATACTATCCCAGTACTTGTACACCATCATGACGCTAAGAAGCATGCACAGGGTGAAGAAGAACAAGCCGTCGATGTAGTGCTTGATGGCGTCGCAAATGGTAACGCTGAAGGCGAACAGCAGAACCTGCGCGAGCACCCAGAAGCCCGTGCCGAAGATGATGTCGCCGATCGGCCAGCGGTCATCGAGTGTACGGAATACGAGGATAAGCTGGGAGACGATGTAGATCGCCACGCATACCACGGGCCAGACGATGTAGATGATGAACAGCGGCAGCGTCGACGTCGGGCTCATGCCGGCTACGTTCTTGAACGTCGCGATGGCGAGGAAGAAGCCGAGGGCCCAGAGGACGAAGCAGGCACCACGCAGGCCCCACAGCGACAGCGGTGTCCCGTCCTCCGCGAACTGGAAGCCGACGAAGCCGTTGATGAGGATGCAGCAGTATGCGGAGGCTACCAGCCCCGTGTATATTGCTGCAAACCAGGGGTAGACGGCGTTTGCGGTGGGAATGATGCCAGAGTCGAGGAAGATGGCGAGCAGCTCGATGGCCGCATACATCCAGAAGAACATCACGATCTCCTTGCGGCCGACCGCGGTGTACTTTGAGCGGATGTGGTAGATCATAATCGCAGTCATGATTATTGCGACGATATGCACGAAGCATGTTGCTAGAGAGCAGTCAGTATCCCTGGTCGCTACCGGGAGAATGTATGACGCACAAGGCTGGAAAATGAGCGTTCCGCCGACATCGACATTTCTGCTGTAGCAGCTGGGCTCGACGCCCTGGTCGGTTCCAACGAGGGGGCAGATAACGAGCGCCGCCGTCTCACAGATGGCGTTGAACTTGCCAAATTGGACTGGCATGGTGGGTTGAAGGAACGAGGCGTAGAGCTCTGCTCTCTGGGCGCGGTGTAGGAGAGAAGAGTTAGGGCGTGGGAGCGTCGGAAGTCGTCGTCGTCGTCCGCGTCGACGGGGACGGAGCGGGCAAAGACCTCGAAGGCCTGGTGATGATGGCGAGGAGGAAGATGCGTATTGACAGCTGTTTGTCTTCAGGGTCGATCACCTGACCGGCTGGCGACGGACCTCCATCCTGAAGATCCTTCTGATCTTGTCTCCTTCCACAGGTTCCAATTCGAAACCTTGTCTTGTTCTCTGCTTTCGCGAAGACTTCCCTCTCAGATCTCTTGGATCCCCCTGAGTGAACTGCTCATCTCTCGACTGGCTTGGCCATCTACTTCTTGCTACTACAATGGAAGGCATCTAATCTATGTTGAGCAATACCAAACACTTTGGTTAATGCTATGCAACTAGTGTGACCTTGTCTGCCTTCAGGAGGGAGAGGACGACGTCCGCACAGCCTTCCGCCCACCTGCTACGCAATACTTCGGCCTTGTCAATGCTTCTTGTGCTCTTTCGTGTGGCTTGACCGCGCGCGCGCACTCAGAGCAAGAATTTGCACCGCCGCGGTTTAAGTGGGCGATAATGTTCTATGCTCGAGGACCGCGGGCAGCTCAACGTCGAACCAGGTCACCATACATATTCTATGCGGTCATTCGGCGCCAGCCACCTGTCTCTAACATTCGCAACCTCCCTCGGTTGCCACAAAAATTCTCGGTCACTTGTCTACGCTCCGCTCGCCTCCAAGGTCCCCTTCGTGGCGTTATATGAACTCGGAGGCGAAGGCAACCGTCCACGGACCACGACTGGGCGCCGCGCAGCACTTGTGGCGTCAATCATATCCCAGCAGCCGTAAGGAGCTCCGAAAACTGAACTCAGTATTGTCGCTTACACTTCAGATTCCTGCAATGATGTCGTCGTCGAACGACCACTTACTTCGTCCTGAAGATCAACCTACTCCTCTCGAAGAATGCCTTCGCACCTCCTTAGACGCTGCTGCTGCCGCAGTCGAACGGTCTCCCGACTTACTCGGCGACTAGCGCGTCGGAGCTTGCTCGCTGGCTGATCTGCGGCGCTACTGCGTGTCACAAAGTATGGGCATCGGGAGACGACACAATATAGTGCATCCTCATTAGCGCTGCAGCAGCTACAAATTGATAGTCCACATACACAGACGAATACAAGGAGGGCAGCAGCGTCCGATTAACAAAAGAACCTATCCCTCTACTCACGCGCGCAACGCTCCAGAAGACTCGAGTAGGCCGCCGATATCTGCAAAGTAGAAGAATGAAGGTCAGTCAGAGGGAGCGCAAGAACCAAGAAATCGTTCGAGCAGCGTAGCAAGCGGAGAGCGAGTAGTCGAGGCAGAGAAGCGAGTCAGTTCGGGACATCTGTCGAGAGCGCAGAGCAGGAACTTCGCGGTGAACCCAGAGTCAAGAGCCAGACGCCGAGCATTCAAGAACAGTCGGATACGGAGGCGACTCGCGAGAAATGCCAAGAAATGAGAGCGCCAGCAGAACCGTTCATGATGCAGTACCTTCTCGCCACGCTCCTGTCCGCCGGGCACGAACTTGCACAGTTGAGTTGCAGCCTCGAACCATCGCTTCGCTTCGTCCAGTATCGACGCCCTACGAAGCCGCCAGAAGTCGAACACAGTCAGTATCGCGAGTCGGAGACCACCACGCACTCGAAGCACTCGTATCCCGTGTTATACGCCGTGCTCAAGAGCCAGAAGCGCTCGTCCATGGGGTACGCCTGGCGCGCAGGTCAGTCTCGCCCTTCATCGACTCGATCGCTGGAACAGAGTCAACTCACATCCTCGCCCTCGTTATTTTCCTCGATAACGCCGACGGCTTGCTCGACATAACCAATGGCCTTCAGCCGATCCGCTGGCTCCGACCGGGCGAGCATGATGGTGCATATCGCCCGGAGCCAGCGAGAGAATTTGTTAACGGCTAGGGCGCCGTGGTCGAGGCTCGCGCGCAGGATAGCCTAGGCAAGGATCAGCATAAATCCCTAAAGCGGAATCCCATGCAGGTACGGCACGAAGCATACAGATCCGACAGCCGTCAGGGCGACGAAGACGACTTGAACCACTCACCTCGAGCACCCTGTGCAACACTGCCCGAGTGCTCAGCGGTATACGCCGTGATACACCGAACTACATACCGTTGACAGGGCAGTCTTCATCTGCCCACTGTGCCACGAAGTTAGTCCATACACCATGGCTCGCCGATAGCCACGTACCGCAAGATCCGCTAATGCCTCGAAGGTATCTACGGCCATAGGTCCGGCACTCGTCACATCCTGGAACGCTATTAGCATCGTCGCTCGAACCGACAAGTAAGAACCTACCCCGACGAGCTTCCCGAACGAGTCCCACTCCTTCAGGTGGACGTACATCTCGGCTTGGAAGACGTGCAACGCGTGCACGAAGTACTGCACGCGGCTGAGCTCCTCCTCCGCGACCAAGACATCTTTAGCGAGAATGTCTGCTATGCGGTTCTGGCATATGAGAAGTCCATCGGCCACGTCTCGTAGGGCGTTAACCTTAGGAGCATCAGCAACGTTTGGGGCATGTCGACAAACCGTGGAAAGCGCACATCGAGCTTCCCGCTTGAGGAGATGGTCTCCCGAAGCGCGAACACTAGGCGAGTCAGCCTGCCCGAGCGGTCGACCTTGCGAATGATACGTACCGCGTCCGCAAATGGCACAGAACGAAGCATTAGCGAGATACAAGTACTGATCTCTGTCAACCTCAACCGGCGACTCCTTGACGCTGATGTCGAGAAGCTGCAGAAGGCCGTCAATAACCCGGTCGCAAAGTTCATCGGCTAGGCCTTACCTCCGAAGCGACCTCGAATAGCTGCGCGACGCGGTCCGCATCCTCCCACTCCGTGCAGCCCTGAACTGCCGCATTGTATGCGGTCCGCCAGAGCCAGCCGACGTCCTTGTTGATGAGATGTAAGGCCTTGCGCTCGCATGCTGTCTGCACCAAAATTCGGGCTAAGCGACCAATTAGTCACGCGTCTGGGGGAGATGCCGGCGCGCGTACCAGTCCGGAAGTGGCCGATGGCGGTGTCGACGAGCAAGTTCCTATACGCGTCAGCGTCAGCACGAGGCGCGCTCCGTCAGTCGTACGACCACCATTACCTGTCAGCCATAGGCTCCGCCAGCAGGCTGAAGACGAGCCGGATGATGCACCGAATGAGGTTGATGGCTTCGACCGCGGCTTCGCCTTCAGTGTTGCCCACTTTGAGGGTCCGAAGGAGCGCCTCCAACACCGCAAGCAACACGGGCCTCGATTCCGCCTGGTGGGTTAGCTGCGTCGCGAGAAGGAGCATCTTGCGGTCAAAATCCGGGCTCTGCACCATATCCTGAACCGCCTGAATGGCTGGATCGAGGGTGGCCATCAACACGCGGCCGTCGCTGAGTTCATAACCCACGGACCTTCATCATCGAGCCCTACACGGCTCTGGCGTGAGCCCGGTGGAGAGAACGCGCAGATGACATGCAAGTACCTTGTCGAACCGCGCACAGCAGCGCCACGTAATGGGTCGCCGCCTGCTTTGGGGGGCACCTGCGCACGGTCACCGCCGCACGCGCGTATTCGGCGTTCTCGAGGAAGCACAGCGCCGCTTTGCGCAGGCACTTGGGCATGCTCGCGGGGCTATTAGTCTGAAAGAGGGCGTGGCTGCCGACGAGGTACCAGTCGGCTGCCTTCGCCCACTGCTTCGCGCGGTACTGGCGGTCACCGAACTGCCATATCAGCTAGATCGATGGGCTCGTCAGGCCCGCACCCGAAGGCCGCCAGAGTCACGCGTACCGTCAGACACGCGACCGTGGGCGTACTCAGTAGCCCAAAGCCGCTTTCGTGCACGGCTAGTGCTGTTAGTCAGCGCCCAGGGGCAGGTGAGTGGAGGCGGAACGCGGCGCACCCGTGAAAGCCGCAGTAGCAGATCGAATAGCCCGTGCGTGATCGGGGTCCTTCGACGCCGAAAACAGCATGGACAGCAGCAAGCGGTCCACGTACTCTGCCTTGATGTTCTTTGTTTGCAGCGCCCGCTCGATACAATGCTGCGTGGCGTTGATCAAGAGGGCCCTGCAGACATGAGCGCTCTTCTAGCGACGCCGCGGCTGAGGGAACTTACATATGCTGATGGAGTGTTCGAAGATCCTGCAGGATACTGACGAGTTCAACAGCCTCATCATGTTCCCAGGGACGAGGCACTCACTCTGTTACCGAGGTTTCCGTCCACTCCATGTGGTCAATGATGGTCTTGTACGCTTGGGGGCGACAACAGGTTAGCCTACAAGCGGACGCCACCATCTCACGACAACTTACTATCCAGCAAAATAGATTCTCCCGCTTCGCGACGCTTCAGAACCGCTAGCTTAAGCCAGCGCAACTCTTGGTAGCCAATATCGGACTGCGGAGGCGGTAAGCTTCACCGACTACTGGGGTACAAAACTTTACCTGATCGTGACTGGCGTCAACGAGAGGCCATACTTCCTCAAGCGTCGCCTCTGCCCTATCGTAAGATCCGGAAATGTAGTATGTCCTACCTGCGAAGTATCAGAGGGTCCGATGCCAGCGACGCTCGAAAGGCAGGACAAACCGAGCGTCCGAAGGACCGAGATCTGTTGCTCATCAGCCCGCGTTCGGTGTGAGGAACACTACACGCGCCTTCAGATCGGCTATCGCAGCTGTTGAGGGTCCCTCCAATTGGTCGGCGATACTGAACGCCTTCTGCAGCCACACGATTGCGAGCGATGCTTTCCCATCCTCCGCACCGACTTGGTCCTTCAGTACAGTCTTCCCGATGTCGTAGAGTTTGAAGGCAAGGCGTTCGCGCTGAGAACGGCGGGATGTTACCGAGCTTCCGACCGCGAGAAACACGGCTTACGACATAATTGGGAAGCTTGCTCAAACGGTCCTCGTCTGGGAGCGCAGCGCGTGAACCGGCAAGAACTCGCGGGTGAATGAGATATCAATCTACCAGTTATTTTCCGCGACATGTATTCCGCGAGCGTAAGGTTCCCTTCGCGCCACGCCTAGTAATATCGGCTTGATCAGGATGTAGACGGGAAGGCAAGGCGACAGTAACGTACGGTCTCCATCCTGCTGGTAAAGTAAATGGCTGTCGCGGCGGCCTTGCTCTGCTTCTGCTGTCCATCCGGGTCTTCCGCGAACCGTAGAAGCTCCTCAAACTGCGAGGGAACTCGTCAGCACGTCTGTGAGTCACAGAGTCGCATGGGCGAAGGCGCACTTTAGCGGCACTAGTGAGAATGGCATTCGCAGCTGCGGGCTGACCCAACTCTGATGTCAGAAGAGCCGTTCACGTTAGTTGATCACGTAGTAGTACCGAGAGCTGGGCGACGTACCCGACAGCGATGTGCCCGTCTTGCTGGCTATCTGCAGGATGTGGACCAGGCCTGCGGTCACGCCGGGTAAGTATGAACGAAGGCGGGGCGTGGCAGACAAAACTTGCTCTCGATGGAAGGCTTCGCCTCGAGGCCGGCTTCAATGAGGCGGAAAGCGGCTACCCTTACTGTACACAAAGCCAATCAGTGGGAAAACCCGTGTATGGGAAGTATGGTGCACGCATACGGGATGCGATAATGGCGCGGCCGTCGTCTTCCGGAGTCCGCCGCACGGTGCCGGCGATGTTCCAGAGATTGACACCTGTGGACCGGGGCAGCGCATCCTCATTGAGTGCCACGCTTATATCCCGTGCGAACATGACCGCACACACCGTCTTGATCTAACTTGTCCGCAAGGGGAACGCAAGCTCTGTCGTTGGACTTGGAGCGTAGTTCTGAGAACGCTTCTGCAAGGGATGAAAGGCGATCCAAGTCCTTCACAAGAGTCGGTCTTGCGCCGACATTCACATCGTCCAATTGCGGCTTGATCTTGATTAAGAGATCTAACGCGAGAACGTCAGGCGCAGCGAGGCTGGGTGCGAGGGGGTCCCTCACCCTTGATCTTGGTAAAGGCCTCCTGCAAATCATCCCCCTCGAGGGGCCTCTTGCGCGCCGACATGGTCCAGGTCCCGGCGAAACGGGGTGCGAGTCCGCGCTGGCAGGAAACAAGAGCACGTTTGGTCACATCGCGTACGTGATGTGACGGGACGCGTCCCCACGTGCTGATGACACCCAATTTGTGGCGCAATCGGTTCGAGCGCCGCGCCGGACCCCGGTTCGACTTGAATTGTTCGAACGAGGTCCTGCCTTCCACCATGATCCCGCCACGATCTGGCGCCGTGATTGCAGTCCTGATTGAAAGACCCTGTCTTCTGCAACCTTCAGGGCGAAGTGGGACTTTTTGTCGTAAGATCTGATTTCCCATAGTCCCTATCCTGTAACCGTCGTGCATATTCTTCATGTGCTAAACCAGAAGGACCTGCGCCATCCTTAATCTCAACTCCGACAGCCGATCCCAGCGGCTCCGATCTCTTTGCCTCGCATACTCCTGGTCCCCGTCTCCAGCGGGCCAGCATAGGCCCATTGTAATCAGGTAACCATGACAGAAGCGTCCACATTTCGCCGCGAATGGCCCTGCGCGTTCAGTCGCATCGATCCCAGCTCAGTGCCACCACATCACGGCTGGTCAGCGGGTAGCGCGCGTCGCTGGGTATGTGCGACTCCCTTCGCTGACCCACCCATCGTTCCCCGGACGCATCAAGAAAGGAGGCGGCCTCATAGGCTTTCATGAACTTTCATATTCGCTGCTCAAGTCTGACGTCTGCGCCGTCGAGGCGGTGATTTCCTACGCTCCAGAGTCGACCCGCACCACTCCGCGCCAGCGCAAGATGGGGAGCTTTCGCTCCATGTCTTCCGCCACAACCAGTCTTCTGGCTGCTGTACTTCTCCAGTACATGACCGCTATACAGTACACTTGCCTCTCGGAGCCGCAGTCTCTCGGCTAGCCCCGAAGATAGCCTGTTTCTCACGACCTGCGCTCTTTCTTGCGCCCAGGGGCCGCATCGCCGTCTTCAAAACTCCTCACGGACCCGCTGCCACTGCGTGCGGGACAATGTATGACAGCTCTTCCGCACGAATTTGCGAAGGGGAAGCGTATTTGCGAAGGGGAAGCGTATTTGCGAAGGGGGAGCGTAATAGAGGACCCTCGGGGGCCAGCGAGGGCTCAGAATCGCGGTAGGCCGGAGATACGGGCGATGGCGATGGCGGTCATACGGGCGATGGCGATGGCGGTCATCAGTGGCAATGACATCCATCAGCCTCCAGGTCTGACTTTGAGGGGCTTGCGGGTAGTCTCCCTTGGCAGCCGTTCGTGGGCTTGCGGGAGGAGGGGAAGGGGGACTCGGCGCGCGAAGGGCGAGATGAGACGGACAGACGCGAAGTTGTGACTTGTCAATTGGGGGGCGGAGTCAGGTGTGGGCGCTATTGCCGGAAGACCATGCTGGGCTAACCCTGCCCGCCGCCCTGGCCGAGCCCGCTCGGCGCTGGACCACGATGATGACGCGGACGGCCTGAGTGTCAATGATGCAGACAGCCTGCCCTTTTCGGGCTGTTTGCCCAGCGCGGCATGTCCATCATCACTGCGCAGTGGATCAAACAGAACCACACTAACGCTCGCCTTCTCTCCCTCACGCACATGGAAGGGCACCGTAAATTTTGTTTGGCTTCGGCAATCGCATAAGATGCTGTATGGGTTGGTTCTCTCGTGCGGAGGGGTCTCTCATACGCAGGTAGGTAGGTGGTAGTGGATCAGCGGCGCGGGGGTATTGGGGGTCGTTTACAGCTTGTTGGCGGCTGCATCTTGTCGACGGCTGCATCTACTCTGGCTGTGGGGTGGAGCTTCTACGCCACACGCGAGGGCCGGAAGGCCGCTCGTGCGCCAGACTCACCACCCGTTTCCTCTTCAGACTAAATGGGCAAGTGGGAGAACTTGCAAACGACGGCGCTGAACCCTCTCTTCTTCCTCTCCCGAAGTCCCTCTTCGCGCACGCGCCCTCAATTTCCCTCTCGACTCAGAATTAGGCTTCCTCCCTATCCCCATCCGGCTCACAACAAAAGGCACGCACTAGATCCAGCGACAAATGACCGCAGCGACCACAAGCCCATAGCAGCACGATCTGAAATACGCATTCGTCCATCCCGCAATTCCAACCATTCGTCCATCCCGTAATTCCATCCATTGATCCATCCCGCCGCCACCAAGTTCCAGCCCGCCACCCATTCGCGAATCTTCCCGTTGTCTTGTGTCTGCCCGCTGTCTTGTGTCTTCCCGTTGCATATGTCGCGGCAGCCGAAGGGGCGCTCGTCGTATCGCATGCCCAGATCGCATCGCATGTCCGGATTGCATCGCGTGTCACGGTTTTGTAAACTGCATGTCGGACGAACGCAGGAATCGCGCCTTCGTTGTCTTTCCTGATGCTTGCCTGACTCTGTTGTCCGCCCGCCCGTCCGTCATGATCTCCTTTGCCGACATGGTCCTCATCTCCTCAGCCGCCAACACTTTTCCTTCCGCCGCCGCAGGTATCGCATGTCGCGCCGAGCCGAATCAGTCGCTGCACCTGCCCGAATCAGTCGTCTCTCCTGCCCGAATCAGTCGTCTCTCCTGTCCGAATCAACGCAGCCGCCCGCCCGAACCACCATCATCATATCGCATGTCATGCGCAATGCAACGACGGAAGTTTCTGATTGTGCCGATGTCTATTGGACCGCTGGACTCTATACAAAATATTTCCCGCCACGAGGAGCGCCCGCCATTACCGGGCCCCGGCTACGCACCGGCGAGGTAAAACATACCAAAACACGGACATACGAGCCCATGTCGCGCGGAAATCAGGCTGGAGTGCGCGCTGATCTTGACGAACACGCAAACGGGCACCAGTGCACGGCGCGAAAAAATGGAGTACGGCATGCGTAACGGAGTACTCTATGTACGAGACACATAAGCCAGCGAGGCGAGCGATAGAATACGTACACTGTATAATGCAACAACGCATGAGGTATGCGGGCGATGATTGTAATGTTGGCAATGGCGGTTGACGAGACCGGGGTCCTTGGAATAAACAGATGTATGCGTGGAATAAACAGGTGCGGATGCAGGTGGTTCGTACGGTAGGTAATAATGATCATGAGGGCCGGATTGAATGGGACTATTGTGTGTATGCGTCGAATGCAGCGAGGATCGGATTGGTAGTGATGATATGCAGCAGTAGAGGTGAAGGGAGGAACAAGGCTTGGGTAATGCAGCGGAGGAGGGGGATACGAGTATAGAGGGTAAGTCAGGTGTCGCCCAAAGAGAGAAACTTCACGCCCGTAACGTATAAGGAAGACCCTAGAGTACTTGGAACGTCGCGATGATGATTATTAGTAGACCCGGCGTCGCGTCCGGTAGTAGTCGAAGTCATTAGGTGAGGCCGACGGCGGGTAGCGGCCTGCAGCGGGAGTAGGGTAGCGGTCTGCGCCGGGGAGAGGATAGCGAGAAGGACTGGGGTAGAACTGGAGCACGCCGGGTGGCCCCGCATTAGCGAACGGTGCGAACTGCACGGGCATCGGAGACGGCGAATATTGCGGTTGCTGAGACGTCGGCGGCGCATACCGCACCGGCGACGGCGTGTAGAACGGCGCCGCGTCCTCCTGCATAGTCTCCGAGTGTGGTGACGGGTATGCGGGAGCAGGCGGTCGCGTCCATTCCGTCTCGTTGAAGTGCGGGAGAGAGCTGATGGTGGGGAGGGTGGAGGTGTTGGAGGAGTGCATGGGAGGGAGAGCAGAAGTGGAGGGGAAGGACGAGATCGACGGCAGGTGGACGCCGTTCGGACTTGTCTGCGCCGAGTGGACCATCATCGGCAGCGAGGGCAATGACTGCACGTAGTGCTGCGCGAAGGTCGCCGGGGGTGGAGGGTGGTAGCACCGAAGCCGGGCCTTGCGCGTGCGCTCCTCCTCGCTGTCTGTCGGTGACGAGGCAAGGGTGTAGAAGTACATTTGCTGAAATATCGTCAGTACGATGAGTCTCCCGGAATGTATAGCCAAACGTACCTGCGGCACCACCGACTGCTTCGCCCCGTCGTAGGTATATGCGCTCGACAGTGTCGACTGCCGCTGTGGCGTGATACGCTGCGGTGGAGGCAGTCTATTACTCTGCGGCGGCGTCGACGGCCGCGAGTGCACCGACAACCGCGCGAACGACGACGACGGGTCCATCGGCGAGTCGAGCAGCATCTTCGAGAACTGCGACAACTGGTCCATCGGTGAAGCGGCCGCGCCCGCGTTCGCGGTCTGCGGGTACTCCGGGATCTGCAGCGAGATGCTCGCACGCTTTGACGGCACGTCGCTGAACGTCGCGCTCGTCGGCGAGAACGCCGCAGAGGCCACCCGCTTCGACCCGGACGCGGGCTGAAATGGCGGGCTCGGGGCGTACGACATAGGAGGCTGCTCGGCGGGTCGCGGCGGACTTGACGCGTCCTGCTGCCAGCCCGCGATCGCGTAGCCTCTTGAGCGTGCGACCTCGGAGCTCCGCGGCGATGTTGAGCGCGTCCTGTGCCACCGTTCACGCCGTGAGGAGTACTCGCGCGATGCTGATGCCGGTGCTGGGCGGCCGCTCCGCCCCCGAGTCATTGACCGGCCCTTGCGGAACTGGCGGAGGGCGACCTGCTTCGCGGAGACGAGCCCGCGTAGGAGCTGTACCCACGACTCAAAGTCGCGTTGATGGACGTAGAGGTTGTAGTCGACGCCCTCGAGGAATTCCCGCTCCATGCGGTTGATCTGCTCCATGCCGATCCCAGAGACGTCTGACCAGGTCTTGTTCGTGTATGTATTACTGGTGGCACGTCAGTACACGATGTATAGAGGAAGAGGGGGCCACGCACTCATCCAAGAACTTGTTCGCCATCATGAGCCCCGCCACCGCTATCCTAAACTCGCTGCCCGCCTGCGCGGGCGTCCGTGCCTTCGTCCGTAATCGTCGAATGTAGAAGAGGGAGAGCACGATCACAGAGTGCGAGACCTGCGTCGTCTCGAGCAGCTTCTGCATAAACTGGACGAATATAGGGGAGGGGTTGAGTTGGAGTATTTGCGAGGACGTTGGGCGCGTGAAGGGCGCGTCGGTGGGGGATGGGTACGCGTCTTCTGGTCGTGGGGAGGCGTCGGTGGCGAACCAGAGCCAGCAGACCATCTCGCAGGCTTTCTCTGCGATCAGGCGCGCGTTCATGGTGCGATCGTAGTTGAACCAGTCGATGTCGAACAGGTCCTGCTGGTCCGAGGGGGGCAGGGGCGCGTCGCACTCGAGCATGGGCGCGTCATCGAGGGAGGGAGGGTCGGTGGTGATGATTGGTGCGAGATTAGGGGACGTATACTTGTAGTCGTCCGGCGGTGTCACTAATGAGTGGTGCACGCGTTAACCAGAGATCGGGAAGTAGGGATGGGCTACGCACATGGTGGCCTCCGGTCGAAGGACGCGATGGGCGGCAAGTGCACCTGTGCACTCGTCGTCTTGCGCTGCTCGAAGGTGGTGGTGAGCGGTGGCGTGAGGAGTTCGTGCTTGGTCGGGCGCCACATCGAGCAGGACGGGATGAGTTCGGTGGGGAGGGGAGGAAGAGTATTGGGTGTGTGCGGCAACGACGGTGGCGTGTAGATCGCCATCGTGTTGAGGAAGCAGAGACGGCGGAGAGGAGGAGCGGGAGGGTGAGGCCATTCTTATTTAAATTGGAACAGTGATTAAAGCGGTATAGGATTAGGCGGAAGATGTGCATTTGCCGCCTGGAGACAAACAGGGGAAGGCGAACACGCCCCAATCTGGCAACCGCCAATCTGACCCGAACCCCCGAGCCGCGCCAGATGTCCGCTTTTGGACAGCCGAGTTCGCAGATTGATGCAGGCTGATCGCAAATAAGATTTCGTCCCCCTCAACAGATTCCTCAGATCGCCCCTGCCCCCGCTCGGCATCCTCGGCCACCGGGTCCATCCCTGGCGTGAAACAGGAGCGCGTGACGCGGACTGACTTTACTCCTCAGAAAAACCCCCCTTAACCTCGACAAACGCCAGCCTTTACCTCATTTTCCCGATCATCCCCGCTTCGGTCCTCCCTCCGCGCGCACCCACACTCTCGCGCGCGCTGCTCCTCTCGTGCAGAAGCCGCCAGCAGCCAGCATCAGCTCCCCGTCGCCCCATCACCTCGCCATCTTACCGCCGGCCATGCGCCTCCCTCTGTCCTGCGCCCAGAGCGCCGTCATCTGGGAGCGTGTGGCTCCTTGACGTTGATTGGAATCGTCCGATGTTCTGTGTTCAGCCTGTTCGCAATCTTCAGCCGCACCTCCTCCTATATGTTATTCTGCGTCCTTCCTCGTCGAAAATCGCAAACATCATCGAACTACTGCCGACATGAGCCGCGATGTCTCGCGTCAGGCCGGAGTCCCCAGCAAACAATACAGCAACGACTAGAAGGCGCCGCGTGTCGCGTTATGAATTCAGTGCAGCTCCATCAAGCCACGGGCCACGGCCTGCCGCAACCAGCACCGTACGGCCCTCGCGTGAATTCCCGGCCTTGCATGGGAGCCGCACACATCACCCTTACAGCTGTGGCCCTCTTCCGCCTTCGCTAACTAGCGAATCCCCGGATGGATGGGCTCTGCATTCACTGTATTATGAGAGACTTACCTACACCAAGTCCTATTCGAGCGTCACCATTAGCCCCCATCCATCGACGCAGCGGCCACGTCGTCGAAGAGGAAGCGAGCGCCACGAGCACCGGCCGCGCGTGTTCCCGGATATCGGCCCCGAGCCCATCTCAATAGTCGCGTACGTAAGGGGAAAGGGCGTGCCATTCTATCAGAACCTCGCAGGGTGAAGCCAGCCCAGAAGACAGCGCTCCTGTGTGTTGTTGTCCGATGTCTTGTCGTCGACGAGAATGTACACGGCCTGATCGCACGCACATGAGGAACTCTGTTACCGCGCGAGCCCACGCGTCCGCCCAGACCCCCTTTCGCCGCGGAGTGCTGTACTACACTGCGGACGTCCTGGGTCCTGACCCAGTCCAGCGCGAGGACGGTAGCGGCGGGCGGATACCGCCCGACGCCACGTTCGACCGCCCGTCGCTTGTCAATCAGCCCGGGAAGATTGCCAGTCGGCCAGCCTCGCGATCGTCGACGGCGGCACGCAGGGATGTAGTGAAATCACCCGCTGTCCTCCCGCGCCTGGGCTCGCCACGGGCAGCCCGCATTCAGTGCGCAGAAGTCGAACTTGTGGAACGACGCCCGAGGGAGAATAACGCGGCCCCGGATACGCCCCATTGGGCCTCGCTACTGCATGGCGCGCCAGCCGGGGGCTGATGACGGCGGATGCGCGACGGATCTTCCTGTCGAGCTTGGCCAATTGGCGCGTCTAGGGCGTCCCACCGCGCCGCTGCCACCTGCGGGCGCGCGATGGGGAGCGTAAGAATCCCTGCCGCCCAAGACCGACTGCGACCCGCCTGGGCAGCGTTTTTGCTGCCGCGGAGCTCGAGGCACGGCGCACGCGCCGCCCAGCAAAGTAAAGATCGCGCTTGACAAACAGGCATGCTGGGTTTTGCGTCTTGGACGGCCCTTCCGCGCGGACGTACGAGCGCTCGCGGAATCGCATCTCCAGGGCCGCGCCACCCGGACTCGGATGGGGACAGTTGTTTGTCATTGTGATTGTTATAGAGTTCGATGTGGTATCAATGACAAGGGCGTTCGTATTGGCTTTCGGGGCGATGGGGAGCATACAGCGACTGTCGTTCATGTGAGGCTACGCAGAGGGATATAAGGGTGCGCAATGGAGCCCTGCGAGTGCAGGCCAGGCCGCGATGGGGATGTGGCGAGCGCAGGACGGAAGAAAAGGCTGAGTCAGAAGTCTAACGCGGGCACCACCGCCACACTGATTAAATTAGATCTAAGTCCAGCCGAGAGGTCCCATCAGCACGTCATGCCCGTTGCTGACCTAATTTGCTCACCCTCGTCGTAAAGGCTCCGGCGCGGAAAGGACTGGAAATGGCACCGGAAATGCAGAAACCTGTCTGATGCAGGAAATAGCAATCCGAGCCGGCTCATCAGCGAGTTGGACTACTGCCGGACCCCCTAGACCCCCGGACCTGGTGGACTTGGACGCTTGCGGCTTGCATTGTGCGCACCCTGCCATGCGTGGCCCTTGACTTTGTTGCCTAGCGCGCTGCGGGTCGTGGCGTCAAATGGTCGTGGTGCGCCCACCTTGTTTGTCGTCCCTACTCCTGGATGGGGACCAACGCGCCTTTCGAATGTATGCAAGCATTACGCGGTCTAAAGTTCTGGGTAAATGCACCGAGCCCCGCTCCGAGCGCTTCCATTACAAGCGATTGAACGCAAAAGCCTCGTCCCGTCGTTCGTTCCCCGAAAGTAAACATCAGAGAGGTACGGTAGCCGAATGCAGCGCGCACAAGGTCGGTCCATCGCCGACATCATCGTTGCTGGAGCTTGGAGATGCGCAAGCAGTCCAAGTCAGGCGTCAGTTGGACCGTCCTCAGCGCCGACGGAAGCTGCAGAATCAGATTGTGCTTGGACCTGTGTTCGTGGCGTCGTTTGTTAAGTTCGCGAACGTCTAGGGCGGGCGCAAGCCCAGCAATTCAAAGCCGAGCAGACCCAGAGACACCAAGGTTCAAACGCGCGCGTGCGACCCGCAAGAAGGACCGTGGAAGCCCGGGAAGAAGGCCTTGTTGTAAGCGCGGCTCAGAACAGCTGAAAGCAAGGGCGCCGTGGGTGTAGATGCCGTAAGATGATGGGAGGCACAGCGCTGGCTCGCGGTGTGAGTAAGGCCAGCAACAAGACCAGCGTAGGCGAAGCTGATGTTGATATGCATGGAATCCCTGTTGATTCGGGCAGCTCCCGGGTCACGCAAAGGCCTTGAACCGCGTGCTCGCCATCCGCGCCGCAAGGGCCAATTGACCATGGTAGCCTGGCGACCTCGGCTAGCGGGTAGCGGATCGAGACGTGCGTTTGCGCCTCTCCTCTGCGAGCCGTCTTGACGACGACGACTGAAGGGAGGCCTGGCGCGCATCAGAGGCTGCCGCCGTACACGTCAAGTCCTCCCATCTGCCCCCGAGGGCTTCGCGCAGACGCAAGATCGGGGGCGTCGCAGTGACGGGGCGGTGCGGACAGCCAGAGATCGCGCGCGAGATCAGGCGAGATCGCGGGATCCGCACCGCCCGCGCGCGAGGCCGCGGAAGAAGTAGACGTGCGAGTGAGCTATCCAAAGGCAAACGAGGCGCCCGGCAGCGGATCGGAGCCCTTGGGCGTCGGCACACGAGGCAGAGAATGGAGCGGCCGGCGCGGAGAAGGCGGCAGGCGGGACAAGCGAAGACGTGGTGGGGACAGCGTCCGAGGGTGATCGCTCCCTTGAGCCGCCAGCGACGTGGGTGTGGGAAGCCAGCGAGAGAAGCAGGGGATTGAGCCCGGATGGGGATAGATAGGGAGAGATGCGCGCCCCCTTCCCCGTGGCACAGGCGCGAGATTGGGATCGCGACGCGTCGCGTCACGCTAATTAGGCGCCCGAACTTCGCGCGTCCCGGCTGGGTGGCACTGGCAGCCCCGTGACGTTCTTCTTTCGACGGTGTAACATCCTTCCCTATTCGTCGTGACGGCCTTCCCTTCAGGACACGCGCCGCATCGCACGGAATCAGGAGGGGAGGTAGCGCGGGCCGTCGAGAGGCCAGAAAGAGGACTGAATACAGAAGTGCGGGATGTTGGTCGACCGCTGGGATAGATGGATTGGATAGTGCGGTTTCCGGCGCAGTTGTGGCGGCTGCGATAAGGTAGGGAATAGCCAGTCAGCGTAGCAGGACGGCTAAGCTTGCACGTACGGGCAGGCAAACGGTGTAGCAGGTCAGCGTACGACGTCGGCAGTGATGATCCTCCTGGGAAGCCTGAGTCTAGACTAGCGTTGGACGCATTTGGTGGCTCCCTTTGTAAGGGAAGCCCGCGCAATTCGCGGCTGTTTGAGTGGTTATTAGGGCTTGACGCAGACGACTGACCATGGCCTCTTCTGAAGGGTAAGTCAACGAGATGACCGAAAGGCCGCAGAGCCGGGCCAGTCTGCTGTCATCTTGGGGAATCGCAAGTAAATAAAGGTCACACACGCCTTCTTACGTGACTTCGTCTACGCGCACGAAACTTTCCGGACAGCTTGCAGGCGTAGACAGCGATTCTGCGAGTCATGTCAGCGACGAGAGGAAGGCTGGGGATTACTGGCACACCACACAATTGGCTGAAAATCCCAGAGGGAAGGCGAAGATGATCAGCGCATCATATTCACCTTTTCGAGCCTACCGAGCGACCTGAAGTCGCTACAGGCGCCAAATGTATCAGCTCGAGACGCAGAGCATGAAGGCTACGATCGACAGGGGAAGGCTTGTAGTCAGCTCACATTAGCAACTACCCGAGTAAGTAAATATTGAGCGACCATCCGAGCAGGTATCGAGCGACGTACCGAACAAGCAAGCATATACCGACGCAGTAGCGCCGCAAATCAGACCGCACGCGAGCTCCGATGCGCCAGTCAATGAGTAAGCTGGTTGGTACACAGGTCTACACTGAGGGCAGGGCAGGGTTGGTCGGTGCTGACCTTGATTCGATAGAGCAGGCCTATTTCGAGGCGAAGGATGATGCTCAGTCTTTCGACAGAGATGTCGAATGCGTGCAAGGCGGGATTGACGAGGATGCGAGAGGCCGAGCTGAATGTGCACGAATGGAGCGCCTTACGGCTCTCCATAAGTCAGTCATTAACGCCACAAGTGCTGCGCCCCAGTCAGTTATCAACAGAGTTGGACCTCGCCTCCGATTTTGCGACCTTTGACGCCACACGGAAGGACCATCCGAGCAACAACGCCACGCTGAGGATATGAGTAAAATCAACGGGTCGCCATTGATCTCGAGGAAACGACCAACGGAGCGCAGATAAGAGACCGAGAAACACTGTGGCAACCGAGGCAAGTTACGACAGATGATGACATTGTAGTGCGCCGACTGGCTGGGAGAGGTCAGCGCGCAAAATTGGGCGAGGTCAGCGCGTAGGGTTCATGAGCGCGCAGGAATCATTAAGGAGAACAGCGTACTTTTGAGACTTTCCTGTCACAGCAAAGCTCAAGCGGAGAACGTATCGATGAGGCAGCAAACGTAGACCAAGTGAAGCGCGAGGTGATAATCGATGTCGATTCCCGCGCCCTCAGTGCATGTCTCTGTGGGGGCCGGACAATGTGATGTTCGGTCGCCCGGGGGAGGTCGAGAGTAGGAGTAAGTTGGTTGCGACGACGTTGAATCAGCGAACTTGAATGTGATGAGCGAAGGAAAATCAGCCATACGTTCGCGCCGGTAGTCGACAGCGCACCTCGCCGTAGTCTGCCTTGCCTTCAGAACGGTAGTTCATTCGTTGGAATAGCTGAGAGCATTAACGCGTCCACGTACGAGGCCAGCGTGCACAACGTTCCAAGCACAAGCTCACGCTGCGCATCCCTCTGCGAGATGTGCAAAGTAGAGTCCATCAGGAGCAGAGGCAGAGCGGTAACCACTTCCCCACGTCCTTCAGGACCAAGGTGCGCGGTGCCGAGCATAAAGGTCCATCTGTGTCCTTCGAGCCGTTGGGCGACAGCTCGAGCGTATACATGAGTTCGAAGAGGAGCGCGCGTGAGAAGAGTATGCGGTTCAAGAGGGAGGAAGTATGAGGGGTATTTCTGGAGGATTGTAGGTGGAGGACTGCGGAGAACTTGGTTTCCTCTTTTCTGGGGATGAGACGAGAAAGTACTCACTATTGTTTCTTGTCGACCTGAAGACAACTCGCTCTTCGTACTATATTTCTGAGCTAGTGTGGTGACAGCAACACCCTGAGTCGAGGGTAAACGATGTCTGCATGAGCATGTCCGAAGCCAATCATTTGTGGCACGAACGTAGGAACCAAGAAAGGGACAAATAAGGCAAAATACGGATTTGCGGACCTTCCGCTTCTGTTCCGCTTGCTTTGGACAAATCGTAGCACGGCAAAGTCAGACCTTTTTCTCCTCCGCAGAATGCAGGCCTCCTCCCGCTGTCGCGCAGGACTGCCTCTCTGTCAACTTGGGAGGGCTAGGCGCCAGGCACGACCCCCTCATAATTGCTGGCGAAAGTCGGGGCCACGCGGCGGGAACATCAGGACGCGGCCATCACGGCGCGTATCAGCGTCTGCTGTGTTAGACGCCCGCCGCGGGCACGTTGCCCTCTCCCTTCATCATGTCTGTTATGCAGGGCGTCGCAGGCTCGTCGGTGCACGCGGCAGAGCCGCCCCCGACACCCCAGCACCAGCCGCCGACGCCGATGCCCTCCCCGCCCGTGTCGCGCTCCTCCTCGCCCGCCCCTGGTCCGACGTCAGCGTACAAGATAGCACCCCTGCCCTCCCCCACACCCTCCCCATATCCGTCCCGCCCGCCGACGCCGACGCACAGCGCGCGCGCGCCGAACGCGGTCCTGAACTTCCGCCCCGCGACGCGCGACGTGCTGCGCGCGATCGTCCCGCACGTCTTCCTGGAGAGCGCGCCGGGGATGCAGAACATCCTCGCGCGGCAGGCGGGGCTCCCGCCGAGGGCGTACCCTCGCTATGGTCGGCGGCGCGGGTGGCCGCGGCGCAATCCGACAAGAGCGCTCACTGCGCGGTGCGATGGCCTGCGCGCACGCGATGCCATGCACGCAAGAGGGCTCCGATACGACCCGAGGCGACCGCTACGGGGCAGCCCTCTGAGGGCGTGCACACACTGTGCGTGATCATCTGCTTTCCTGGATGCGGGGTAGCTGACGTCCGCGCGCTTTCCTCTAGTCGTCATCTGGGAGGACTTCGATGAACCTGCACCCCAGCCCGACGCTCTCAAGACCGAGAAGACGGAGAAGAGGCGATCCTGGAAGGTGTTCTACAGCCTGAGGTGAGTTCGCTGCCATATTCTTGAATTTTCTCTCCCACATTCTTGAGTCCTCTGCCGCTTCCCTGCATCCTCTGCCAATATCCCTTGAATCCTCTGCCACATTCTCGGGTTCTGTGTTGCATACTTCGCGCCTGGGGCTCGCTGGTCGCGACTGGGCCCACCGTGCCATCACACGCGCTCATCCTCCTGACCCTCGGCATGGAGCATCGTCGACAAATCCCTTGCTTCAATGCCGTCATATTTCCGTCGCGTATAATCAACCTGTCACTATACCTCGGCTTCTTCTCATAATTCGCCTGGCTTCTGTCATTTCTTGTCACTTCTGTCCGGTCAACGGCTTCATTTCTTGTCAGAATGTGTGGCGCGGCTCCCAGCTGCTGTGGTTGTATGCGTTCTATGTCCCTATATGCGTTACTCTGCACGTCGCTCCATCGTCACTGCGTCTTTCTTCGTATCTTCTCCGTCTTGTAATACCGTCCACTAACCCTACCATCCACCAGAAACATCCGAGAAAGCCTAGGACAGCTCGCAAGTCAGCGCTCGAAGGCTACCTTACGGCCAGGACTGCCGAAGTCGCAGACGGAGCCGGCGTTGTCTTTGTCGAAGCCGGCGTTGTCATCGTCGAAGCTTGCGTTATCTTCGTCGGAATCGCGCACACCGCGCCCCGAGTCCCGTACGTCGCTCCCGGAGTCGACGCCCCGTCCTCCGCCCGTGCCGTCCTTGCCCGCGACGTCGACCGCAGCATCAACGAGCCCGCCATCGGCGTCTGCGTCTGCGTCAACTCCACCATCAGCGTCGACTATACTGTCAGCGTCGACCCCACCATCTTCGTACAAGCCTGCAAGAGATTCGTCCACACCTGCCAGAGATGCGCCTAAGCCAACAAGAGATGCTCCCAACCCTTCAAGAGACGCGCCTAAGCCCTCAAGGGATGCCTCTAAGCTCTCAAGCGATGCGCCTACGCCCTCAAGACATGCACCACCCCGACCCTCGCGCAAATCAATGCCTGAGGGGACGCCTCGTCCGGCGCGCGAGGAGGCTCCGCGCCCGACGCGAGCGTCGTTTCCGGAGACGACGCGGAATACGCTGGCGCGGACGGGTTCGACATTGTCGCGTACTGGTTCCACGATATCGCGCACCACGTCGACGATATCACGCACCACATCGACGATTTCTCGGACGAGCTCGCGCTTCTCCCTCCGCGGCTCATTCCGCAGAGCGCGCACGCAGTCCTGCGAGCCTCCGCCTGTGCCGCCGCTGCCCGTGCAGGCGATTGCAGTGTGAGCTTTACGCCTGCCTGTTCGTCGATTTCATCTTTGTCGGGGTTCTCAGTTTCCTACCTGAACTCCATCCTCGCTGGGGTGCCGTCCTCATCTACAGACGCCAAGGTCTTTATTGGCAGCCGCCGACGTCCTCATCGGCAGACATCGTCGCCCTCTCTGGCGTACCACCGTTCACCGGAAATCCATCCATCCTCTATCTTCGGATCCCACACTCCACCACCCACATTCCACTCTTCTCTCGGACCCCATCGCTCCCATACATGCATCGCTCCCGCCCATCTACACACATCACGAACGTTACGCCGCCGTCATGTCAACGATACCGCTGGATTGGACCCTTGTACTATAGTCGTTCGCAATGCCTGCTGCTTGCTTCCAGTTCTTGCACTGCTTACTGCCAGCCATCGCGCTGCTTACTTGCAGTCATTTCACTGCCTACTCGTAGCCATCGCGCTGCTTACTCCCCTTTTACTTCGCAGCGCCCACTCTCAATCCTCGCAGATCTACTTCCAGCCATCTCGTCTCTACAGTCTACTACCAGTCTACTTACAGCTCGCTCCAACCTATCGTTACAGCATCCTATCGCTATCGTCCACACCTATACCTCCTAACTCACATCACTATTTAATTCCCCGCACACGTCCCATTTTTCCATGTCCCAGCGTTACTCTGTCGTGTCGCCATCCGACTTGCGTGGCCTTCCTTCTGATGGCTTCACGTCGCTGCGGGTGTCTGCGTCTTCATCGCCCCCGTACATCCCTACGCAGTCATTGTCATTCCTCATGTACTGACCTTTTTGCATACTCATCTTGTTCTCATTCATGATCATTAGACTTGTGCCCTTTCGCACCAATCTGTACTTGTCATTTGGCCCTCGTGTCAGCGCACATATTGCTCGTGTCCAGCGGTCTGAAAGCCGTCTTCTTTTGTCCTGCGTCGGTCTCAAGCCCTCGCCTTTGAGTCACGTCGCTGCTCGTGTACATTTCAATTACAAGATATCGTCTAGTCTATGTATATGACGCTGGAGTGAACAGGGTCGCGAATAAGGCGAACACCTATCATTCCTTTTTCTTAACCAACAGGGATAGGACGACGTCCGCTGCAGTCTTCCGTCCACCAGCGTCACGGCACTTCACCCCCGCTACTCGTGCCCTCTCCCGGAATCCCGCACCCTCCTCGCCCGAGGTCACCCTCGCCACCGCCACACTCAGCTCCTTCGCATCCACGTCCGGCGCGCACGTCTTGTTCCCATACACCCCTAGGCCCGCGTACTCCACCGCGACCGCGTTATAGTACGTATCCGCCCACTGCGCGAGCACGACGTGCGGCTTGCCCGCGCGCGCGCACTCGAAGTATGAGTTCGCGCCGCCGTGGTGCACGTAGGCGACGATGTTCTCGTGCTCGAGGATCGCGGCGGGCTCGGCGTCGAACCAGGTCACGGCGCGCACGCGGTCGCGGTCGTGCGCGGAGGTCAAGAGCTCGTCGAACACGAGGTCCAGCTCCTTGCGATTGGGCACCTTCCAGAGGATCTGCGTGTCCGGGTCGACGCCGTCGAGCAGCCCATTGAGCACGCGCCGAGCAAGCGGCGCGTCGAAGTCGAAGTGCGTGCCCATGATCATCATGACCGTAGGCGCGCGGTCGAGCCACGCCGCAAGCTCCGGGTCGCTCTCGTCGAGCGACTTGAAGTCATTGGAGATGGACCCGCAGAGGTAGAGGTTGTCCGGCCTTTCGAAGGGCAGGTCGACCTCGCGCACGCCAGGGGTGATGTACCCGCGTCCGGGTTCGACGCGCAGGCACTCCAGGCCCTGGTAGGCACCCGGAATCCCGCGCCGGGCGCGCGCTGCATTGACGCCGCGTAGTTGCGTGCTTCGCACGCCGTAGTAGACCATGGAAGCGATGTGGAGAAGGTTGAGTGGGATGGAGGTGAGAGGGAGGGGGTATGGGAGGCCAGTGCCTGGTAGAGGATAGCGGAGAGCGGCGAAGGACTGGTTCTGCAAGCAGACCATGGACGCGAGGAGAGGCGAAAGTACATTGTACGGTCGACCGACGAGGTTGCATGCGTCGACGGCCTGGCCGAAGAGAGTGTCCACGATGATGAGGTGTGGGTCAACATTCTCGATATTCGCGACGATGCTGTCAACGATGGTCTGGTAAATAACGTAAGTGCGAGCATACGGACACCAGCCTTCTGAAGAGAATACCCACAATATACTCATCGGGCGTCCACGGCACCATCAGGTTCGCAAACTTCGGCCACACTTCAAAGTTCGGTTTGTGCCTCATCGTCCCCAGCCGGTCGATTCCATCGAAGTGCGTGAGCCCGTCGATGGTGTGGAACTGCGGCAGCAGCTTCTCGCCGCTCTCCAGCAGAATCCCCTCCCCACGCATCCGCTCGAACCGCTTGCCCAACGGCGCAAAGGACGCCAGATGCACCTCCACACCTGGAACCGCCCGAGCGTGGATCTCGAAGGCGGTCGCCAGGTGGACGTTGCTCTGCCCCTGCTCGCAGTGGGTAATGAAGAGGATGCGCTGCGTGGCCATGGCGATTGTGAGCTCTAGATATGTGCATCTACGTGTTGAAGGGACAAACCTTTTATACGCAGGACCCGCGGCGTCAGGACTCGCGATATTGGCGTGGGCGCACGGTCCGGTCTTCTGCCGTTGGTCGCAGCACCTGTCTCCACGCCGAACCTTGTAGCAATCTGCTCCTCTCCAAGCCGGGTGGATGGCGAGGTGCGAGGACGCTCGTGCACAGTCCGATAAATCAGGACTAGCATTCCTCGACTGTATACAGGCGTGTATGTAGGCGAGTCGGGGATGCCTGATATGTTTGGCAGAGATCTCCTACGATTGACGAAACAGCGTCAGTGTCGGCGGCGTCGAAAGCGAAGCAGCCTATCCGTCCCCGTTAAGCGGCGCATCTCGCCACATCTTAATGCTGCAGTGTTTGCTCTCAGTCGCCAGCTCGGTAGACCTACTTGCCAAGCAGGAACGCAGGCAAAACCATCGTCTACCTCGTTATTTGTGAGCTGCGACATCGGATTTCCGAAATGAGCAGCCATCACAGCCTACTATCGGTAGTCATCAGCCAGAGCGCATGTAACGGAGACCACGGTGATAGCATGGATAGCGCAGGCTCACTATAGAGAACCACGGCGCGCTTACTCGTCCAGGGTACGCGGTGGATTCGCGGCAGAAAGCACAATACGGCGGCGTCCCCATCATGATCTGTACAGTGAAGTCCGCAGCCCAGACCTTGTGCTCTAGTGCGTCTGTTAGCCAAAAATGTCAATCATCGTCCACAGCTTGTCACCTACCATGGTCCCATCTACCTACCTACCTGAGAATGCACGCCGCAGAGAGCGGATCTAAGGGGAACGATTCAGCAAATTTCGCACACTCGAATGAGGCCGTGGATATGTACCTTTCCTGTTGCAATATTGAGATCCTCCGCGAACAACGGGCCGTGAGTTGATGAACAGAAATCGTCAAGTGAGAAAAACACTGAGGTTGATCCTCGATCTACAGTCTGAGCTCATTCGTGTCCAAACTTCGAAGACCAAGTAAAGTCACCTTCTATCATGACGACGCAAAGTCGTATGTAGACTCTGGACGCCTACTGACGTTCGTGAGCATGACGCTGTGATAAGTCGATGTTTGGCCGCACCTTTCCAAAACACTGTCAAGAATCATCGACACCGCCTGCGCGCACGACGAGCGTGCCCGGTTGTGCGTATCAATCCTTGTCACCCCGGCGAGGTGGACTGGAATTGTGGCGCGTAATACGAGTTTGAGGAGCCATACGAAAGCGATATCTCGCTCGGGCCGCCGTAGTACGCTGTGCCATATATGCGCAAATCCTCGTACGACGAGGGCTGAGGATGCACGTTCTTCAGCGATGAACATCTTAGCTACCATCGACAGTCATCGACGAAGAGGAACTTGACCTACAATGCGCATCGTCAGCGGGCCGACGAAAAGGGTACTCACCTTGCGCTGCAGCCAAGGCCGTATCACTGGAGCTGAAAAGTCGAAGCTCAAAAAGAAAGCACAGATGCCGATATTGCAATCATAGTGTACAGAGGTCGTGGGGATGTGTTGTTGTCGAGACAGTAAAACTACATGATCTTCCTCAGAACCTGTTCCGCTTGCGCGTCTTGGTCTCGGCCGGGGGTGCTCTATACAACGCAGTCAGCAACGAAGAAGGCAAGCAGTGCAAAATGAACCGAGAGGTATTGTAGAAAAAGGGCAAGCGGAAAGCGAGAAAGTGGCCACAAAGGGAGTTGGCCAACGAAGGGTTAAGGGAGCAAGATGGCTAGAGACGAACCGCGTGGTGGAGGGCACCCACCGTCTGCCTTTGCCCCTTCCAGACGAATTATTTTCTCGTTCGTCTACGTCCATGGCGTCTATTAGTACTGTGAGTTGATGGTCGAGTCACAGATCTGCGTTTACGCACCGTTGGGGGCATTCTCGCGGTCGTCCAACGTAGGGAGAGGACCTGCGTCATGTTAGCGTGTTGTGGCGGAAGTTGGTAGCTGCAGGGGTGGACAATTGGGGGCCGGATTTATAGTTGTTCACGGGTGTGGGAGAATTTCCTTCGGGCAAAGGGGAGAATTACGCACCTCGCCCACTCTTCTTCTTATCGCGCTTCTCTTGGATGTCCTTCATCGCGGCCTGCACTCCTGACTCCCACTTGTCCTTCTCATCGCGAGCTTCTGTCCGTGCCTTTGCAACGGCGACGAGACGTTCGTCGAGGGCAGTGAGTACGGAAGCAGTCGTAGAAGCCCTGGTAACACATTGAGTACGCGCTCGCCACAACCGACAAAGGACACGCACCATGCCTGTAGGCCAGCTAGCAGATCCGGTAGCGCACCTGGCCGCACATCGCGCCCAACTGTGTATACGACCTAGGGGATACCATCAGCACTGACAGTCAGCACGAGCTGCACGCGACACACCTCCACCACGCCCCGCTGCTGATCGAGCGTCGCCTCCAGCAAGCCCTGGTATACAGCATCGATCACAAGGTCCTCAAGTGCGCGCACGCTCGGCGCATCGAGCGCTGCTATCAAGTCCGCGTAGGGCAGTATCCGTCGCTCCATCGCGGCGCTTACAATGCTCAGCAGCTTGAGCTTGGTGATCTGCGCCGCATTCAACGCGGGGAACGCGCTCGGGTCTGCGGTGTAATCCCTGTACGTTCCGTATGCAAAGAGGTCGAGGAGGGCGCCGTGAGGGGTACCGGCGAGCTGGGCAGCTGCGAGCGCGTCAATGAGCTCGCCAAAGACGAAGACACCAGGGGCGGCGGTGGCGTCAACGGCGAGCTTAGCTGCTGCGGCGCCCCTGGCAGACTTCGCCATGAGCACAAAGGGCTCGACGCGCGCGCCGAGCGCGAGGGCGGAGGGAAGATCTATTGTGCTCATCGTGGTTCAGGACAGAGATCAGTGCCAGACGCGTCAACGCCACATATTCTCGCCACCTTTCACGTCGACCCGAGGATCCCTCGACCACGACGAGCAAGAGGGCTGGCGCTCATACGGAGGATCAAATCACACAGGAAAATTCCTCGCACAAAAAGGCTTGTTGTTGTACCCAAAGTTATGCACAAATGTATCTACCGCCAAAAGACCAGAAGTCCTCAACATGCAAACGATACAGCCAGACCGGTGACTGTGAAATCGCTCTGTCGCAGCAGCCACCGGCCGCTGCAGCAGCATTTTAGCGTCGCTAGAAAACGGTATGCGGAGGGGAGAACTGGTGAAAAAGGGTGGCTTGAGGTAGGGAATAGATAGCGTGCTTTCAATGCGATGAACGTTTACTCCTCCTTGACGTCCTCGCCCTCCTTGTAGATGCAAGCCTGATACGACGGTCAACGATGCGTAGATATGGAAGAACGGGAAGTGTTGACTTACGTCGGAAGGACCGGTGGAGATGGATGTGGGCTCGTCGCCATTGTCGTTGCCCTCGAACTCCTCGCAGATCTCCTTCACATCGGATGCGGTGGACGAGGTGAACTTGGCGGTATCGCCGTAGTTGCTGTTGATGCCCGCGAGGAGCTTGCCCGAGACGGCAGTGACGCCGCTGATCTCGACATGCCGCTCGTACATCGTCTTGCAGTTGCCGCACTAGGTGCGAACGCGTGAGTCCGCGCACACCCACCGGCTGGCGCAGAAGACACTCACGCTGCGGTAGAGCTTGCCAAAGTCCTCGACATAGTAGTTCTCGATGCGGACAGTGCCGCCGCCGTTGTGCTGGACGACCTTGTCTTCAGCGCCCTTCGCGCCCCCGCCACTAATTGTCGACGTCCCGGACTCCTGCTTGATCGTGATCGCGTCCTCGCACACCGCCTCGAACCAGACGTCCGTGATCGTGCACGAGCCGAGGCAGTGGATGCCCTCGCCCTGGTCGGCGCCGATGACGACCTTGCTGATCGACGCGCCGTCCTCGAGGAGGAAGACTGCGTCGGAGTCGCCACCCTCAGACTGCCCGCCGCACTTGGTGCCACGGTCGAAGCGGGTGTACTCCTGGTCGGGGGTGAAAGACTCGCCGGCCTTGATGGTCATGGGCTCGTCGAGGGAGGTGGTGGTGGGCGGCTCGGGGAAGGTCGCGCTGGCGGCGCGCGCAACGGCGTTGCGCTTAGAGGGGCTGCTGCATAGGATGTCAGAAGATACTCAGGGGTGAAGAATGGCGATGTACTCACGGGGAAGCAGACGCCGCAAGGGCGAGGGAGACGATGGTGATGAACTTGGTGCTGAACATGGTTGGAGAGTGCGTTTTGGAGGTGAAGCGAAAGTAGATCGAATCAACAAAGAACGAGCGCCTGCGTCAAAAGAAGGGAGGGAGCAGAATACAACGAAGATTCAAGCAAAGTGAGGTTGACTGAGGGTAAGCCTATGGAACAGAGGAAGATGCCTTGGGTCATGCATCGCTCGCCTGGCCCCTCTTATACCTGCGCGGTGGTATGCCATCATATGTGCGGTGCCCGACTATCATCTGCATGGGCTGAATGTCGGGAAAAGCGGCTGCGCTCGCCCACGGTCACCACGACGACAGCAGAGGAGATCTTGAGCAGGCGAGGTCCGGACCAATCTTCACAAGGCGTTCATAAGTACAATGGGCTTGGCAGCGGCCGCCGGGTGCCTAGGCTCAAGTGGTTGAAGTCCTCCGAGTTCGGTGCCAAGCCCGATGGTTGGACTTGCATGCTCGACTCGAGTTGAGCTGCACCTCCAACGAAATTCGCCAGTGCTCTCCTCTGCATCTGCGAAGGGTGTCGTCGTACAGTTGCATGATGATGTACGCTGCGAGACAGCTCACCGAACTAGTCGACTTATTCGACTTTGCTTGAACGGCGACGTCATCCTTCTTGTGAACGCGCCTCATCGCCCGCGCGCAGTAGTATGTTCAGCAGCCATATCGTCGGATGCTGCATGTCATCGCTCGCTAGCCGACCGCGTTGCCATCCACCAGTCGCCCTCTTGGCCTCGATATTTGGCCACGTCAAGCCAGCGTCAAGCGTGCTCAAAAAGTCATGGGAGTCGCACGGCGAAAGCAAACCGACTGCGACGGGTAAACTGCAAATGGGCGTCTGTCAGCAGGATCATCTTCAGATGAACCTACAAAGCGCTAGATCATCTCGGTGATGGTTCATCGCAGGCTCAAGCTTCGCCAAATGAACAAGCGCGACGGAGAGTCTTTATATCATCCATCTATCACTACACAGGTATGGTAGAAGCGCTTTCGCCACGTTCTAGCGCCTTGACCTTGTCCTACGTCATGATCAGCCACTAGCTCGTCGTCCACAAGTCCGACACAAAGTTACTCACCTCCAGCACAAACAGATGCGAATCATGCGAGCTGGGCGATAACTCCCGGACGGCGTCGGCCAGACGATAGAGGTATTCCTTGCGTGATGTCAGCTCGTTGCGAGCGACTGAAGGGAGGATGGAATGGGTACCTTATTCGGTCCTGAGGGGCCCACGGACGTGTATATGCGATGCGCGAGGTCGTCTAGTGGTTCGGACCCGACTGCGAGAAGGGTTAAGGAAGACGAAGTGAGCGAGGGGATGTATCAACTGACCGAACGACGGATTGTCATTGCGGCCGACGTAGCACTGAAGGAGACAGTATCAGCAGCAAAATTTGGGCCAGGGCGCGCCGGAGCCACTTACGTATGCCTGCAAAGCTAGTCAGGATACCAATTACCATATGTAAGGAAAATGGACTTGCATTCGGTATTATGACCTCCTCCTTCCCGTCAACAATGCCATAGATGTCGATGGTCTCTAGAGTGTAGCCATCCTATGGGGTAGTGTACGAGTGTCAGGCGAGCGATACTGCAGGCTGCATGAGGACTTGAACCTTCTCTCTATAGTCTGTAGGTCCTCGTCAGCCGCGGACTTAAGAGAACAATGGCAGCACAGCCACACACCCAGGTAATCTCTGACCTCGGACTCGTACGCCGGGTCTATAGTGTACGCGATGCCTAGCAAGTGCTTCAGCACGCCGGACGAGATGCGTGTCACCGCGAGTACTGACCCCAGACTACGTCTTCATCCGGAAAGGCGTCCTGAACGGGTGATCAGTCAGGAAGACGGATGCGGGGAGCACGCGTAGGCACGCACCTTGCTGGAGAATGAGTCCCATTCCTTCTTGTGTATGAGCGTAACGACGCGGCCGGGATGCTATGATGGGCTTTGAATTGAGGAAGAGTGCGCACGGAAGACTGCGTGGTTGCTGACCTCCTCCGTCCCGCGATGATCATGCGATTCCTGCGCGAAACGGCGGACGTAGCCCTTCAGGAAGCCAGGTGCTGAAAGCTGGTCAGGATACGACATGTATAAAACGCGTCAGACGTACGCACTTTGACTGATGACATGGGGCGGGGGCTCTGGATAGTCAGTGCGCGCGATCGAGGAGCATAGCCATCGCGCCTACCTTGAAGATCAGGGAGCCATAACCAAACACGGTGTAGCCCATAATCAATCTCAACTATAACACGGACTTCTAGGCTTTCTAGAGATGGGACAACGAACACGGGGATGAGGGTCGCGGACAAGATTGAAGCACGCAATAATGCACTGATCGAAGGGCATCGTGTGCGGCGGACCAGCGTCTATGTCCGATACCAAAGGGAGCGAATCAGTGCGTAAATACAGGTGATGTACATGGCGAAAGCAAAGATGGTGATACAGTCCTCCTCCGGAGCTCATCAAGCATACTGCAGGTAGGAGTCAGCAACGATCGACGAAGCAGGAATGGGCACACGCACCCTCGTAAACGTATACTGCGTCGTCCAATTCCCCTTGACCTTCTTGCCATCAGGGTTATTGTACAGCGACTTCACCGCATCGCTCATCTGCCCGCTCTTCCGCTTGGCTTCCTCCAGCGCCAGAGCCGACACCACCGCCGGAGACACTGACGGTGCCTCCCTTGCCGCCTTCGCCTTCTTTGCCTCTGCCTTTTCCCCCTCGTCCGCCGCCTTCCGCTTCTTCGACTTCTTTCCCCCCGCAGGCTCTGCCGCCCGCTTCGCCTCCATTGCCGCGCGCATCTTCTCCTCCTCTTCAGGGGAGGGGTTCAACGTCAGCACGTCCTGCGCGCGATTGTACTTCTTCTGGCATTGCGGGCAGACATCGAGTTGGGGACCGTCGGTGGAGGAAGATGATGCCTCGGAGGAGCCAACTTGCTTGAGGCCGGCGCGAGAGAAGACACAGCCGCAGGTCTGGATGTAGACGAAAGGAACGGCGCCGTTCATCTCCTTCATGGTGAAGGGGCAGATGAATTGCGGGTGCTCCTTGTCATCGGCGCCGGGTGATGGGGTAGCGGGGTTGGGAGTCAACTTCAGCTGCTTGACGTCCTTCAAGGGGGGCAAAGGGTGAGTGTAGGCTTTCAAATCATCTCAAGGCTCTCGCACCTTCAACGACCGTATATGTCCGCATATTGTATCTCCATCCCCGAAGGTTGATCTATCCAGAAGAAACTCTAGTATCGCGTCCTTGTTATAGATCTTCCCAAGCGCGCACGACACAATCGGCTCCTGCAGCTTGCGCTTCGACAGGGCGCAGTAAAACCATCTCGCGCGCGTCTGGTTCGCTTTGTCGGCCTGCTCCGCCTTCGGCTTGTTGCGCACAAGATCGCGGCGGTCGGGGATGCTTCCTCCGTCATTTCCCATGTTAGACTGCGTATACGAGGGAGGATATGTGATGAGCGTAAGGGACAAGGAGACTATGGATGCTTCCTAGGTGGCTGTGCCCATGGGCCACGCAGTCGGCATCCGGTCCGGTCTTGGTCAGCCGATGTGGCGTCGCGCCGGGAAATGCCTTCAACTTGGTCTTGACGTCCATGTTGCTGCCCGAAGGAAATGCTTCAGGAAGCGTCGCATATGGACCGCATCACGCAGCTTCAAGATGAAATACAGCAGGTATAGATAGCAGCGCAAGTATCTGAGCGAAAGGGGAATATTGACGCCTTCGCTAGCTGTTGAACATCATGGCCCAGAGCATCACGTATCTGACGACGAGAGTCAACTTCATGCAGATTAGTCCTGAGATACCGGTCACGAAGAAAAAGACGAAGTTTGACCCACCGGATGTGTTCGCCCGTACGTTCTTTCAACTCGGGCGGTGTTTCGAAATTATGGTGGATAACTCCTTTCAAAGAAAACACTACCGAGCTTGTTACGGACCTCGTACGGAAGGCGAAGCAGATTGAGTATCTGATACAATCCTTGCCAGAGCCTGAGGCGGAAGAGACGCAGGTAGGGACGCGACCGTTCAATAATTTGATGCACACTGACACTCGAACTCAGGCTAGGCGCCTTCAAGCTCTTGAATCAGAGATGACGCAGGCGAATGAGGAATATGCGAAGGCTGTCAGGAGAGCGAGTAAGCGTCTGCTGCTTATTAATCGCAAGGCTGTAATTGACCGCTTGCATAGGGAATCTACATGGACAAGTGACCGCTCTCTTGGATCTGGTTCTCGAAAACCCAGAAGCAGACGTTGTAAAGGCATGATCTCTGGCTCTTTCTCTTCTCCATACATGAACAATGCTATATATCATGTTATTTGACCACAACATTCACTGTCAGAGTCGCCTTGATGCCCGTGGCAAGCATTCCCGTCGTCTGTCTGCAGGGGGGGCGCCTCAAAGAATGACTCCAAAGTTTACAATCGGTTCAACATCGTAAATGGTATATGACAATCTTCCGACGACGATTTTGCCGTTAACTAATGCTAGGGTCGTAGCGTCCCGGCTGACGTTGCCTGCTACGTTACCCGGTGAGACCCAACAGTTATGGAACACACGGTACGCCTCCGAGTCCTTGTCGACGATAGTTCCGCCCTAGTACCCGGCCCTTTCCAGCAAGCGTGAATCACACATTAACGCCTGCATGGCTTCGTCAACAATCTTGAAGTCGGAAGTCGTGAAGGGATGTCTGGGGATTTTTGAAGAGCCCAGGTGTCAGTATCGAACCCTCGTCACAGTCACGTGCGATACGTGGGTGGACCCACAGCCCGGCTAAGGACAGACTGTCGTCTTTGCTTCCTTGTCCTGTAAAAATCAACTGTGTCGAACAGTGGTGTTCAAGTGAGAAAGAAGTATCACAACCTTATCGCAGCTTGAATTATGACTCTGTTTGCGCCTGTTATCTGCATTCCCACCGTACGTCACGCGCTCTTTACGCCCTTGGCCTCTTACTTACCACCACTATCGACAACTGCGGCTCACTTCCCGGGAAGAAACCCAGCCAGCTCTAACCTTCACTCCACTCTCTACTCAGCGACTATTCGTATGGCACAATCTCACCGTTTTCCAGCACTCCACCGCGCCGCTTTCAATCATCCCGCCATCGACAACCATGCTCATCCGCTCCTCTCCGCTTCTCATGCCAACGACTTTCCTCTCACCGGAATCGTCTCCGAAGCCTCTGGCGCCGCTGCTGATAGCATACCTAGCACGCTCGTCTTGAAGCGCGCAACGAAGCAACTAGCTGCGCTTCTCGACTTGCCTCAAGGTACAAGCTCCTCGGGAATTTCCGCCGCTCCTTCTTGGGACGACGTCGTGCGCAAGCGTCAGGCCATGAATTACGACGAGCTATGCGATCTATGCTTCAAGGCGACCAGAACGCAGAGTATCTTGATTGACGATGGCCTGGGCGGAGTCTCCGAACTGGCGGAGGGCTTTCGATGGCACGACAGGTTTATGGTGGGTGGCGGCAGGTGCTATGTGATTGTGAGGATTGAGGCGGAGGCGGAGGTAAGTAACGATTTATTTGCGTTGTCTTTCAGCAGCGTGACTGATTACTCACTCAGGATCTCCTCGGCCTGATGCTTGGTGACTACGCCCTGGAAGGCCGTGAGCCTCCCAAGGGCATCTACGACGAGTTCGTCAAGGCATTCGAAAAGCTGTTCGAGACGCACGCAGCGAATGAGAACGTGAAGGGCTTTAAGAGCGTCGTGTGCTATAGGACGGGGCTGAATGTCGTTCCTTCCGTCGCATCGACTCCCAACTCGGATGCTGGACAGAACGTGAGCACGGTGACCTCAGAGAAAAGTGGCCCTACCGCGCAAGAAGCGCAAAGCTTCATGCACGATTGCGTGAAGACGCTGAAAGAGAAGAAGCGTGTCCGGATCGCGACGAAGGCCATCAACGACCACCTCGTCAGCCTGACGATGGGCATCGCGGCGAAGTTTGGACAGCCTGGTAAGCTCGGAAATCCCTTGGGGCCTCGTTATCCTTTTTCTTTCCCTATTTTTTCCTTCCCTTCCCGCGCTCTCACTGACTTTCTGCAGTTCAGTTCCACACCGGTCTCGGCGACAACGACATCACCCTGACCCTTGCCTCCCCTGCGCACTTACAACCACTCATCAAGGCATTTACGGAGACCAAAACTGTTCTTCTTCATTCAAGCTATCCGTATACGAGGGAGGCGGGATACTTGACTTCCGTCTACGCTAACGTGTACCTTGACTTTGGGGAGGTCAGTGTTGCTTCTGAATTACCTCCACCCACGGAGCTGAAGGTGCTTTACTGATTAGGTCTTCCCCGCGGTCTCGTCCGCCGGCCAACGCGCCATAATTACCCAGATTCTGGAGCTGACACCGACGGATAAAATCATGTTCTCAAGTACGTATCAGACATGCCTTTCCACCGCCTTGAGCTCAGGGTTTGCTCATCTGGCCCGCAGCCGACGGTCACTGGTGGCCCGAGACATATTACTTGGGTAACATACAGGCAAGGCAAGCACTGTATGCGGTGTTCTCAGAGTGCGTTGACGGAGGGGATCTAACGGAGGACGAAGCGGTGGCGATGGTGGAGAACGCCTTGTTCCATAACGCCAATAACTTATATCGACTGGGGTTGAAGCCGGCGACTACATAATTTGACCGTACCTATGTATCAATATGTACAGTAGCAAGGGATAAAATGGTTCACAGAGCTGGAATCCACCTCCTCGAAGTCGAACATAGCGTGACACCCACATCGGTCACGGTCACCAAAATTTCGGTGTTCTATTTTTGACCTTCGCCTGCTAACCCCCATAATGTCTGTTAAGCGCTCGCTCTCGGGAGCGGACACCATCTCGCGCAAAAAGCCTAGGACTGGGTCGAAGAAGGGCAAGAGAGTCAACAATCCAAATGCCCCGATCAAGAGCACGGAGGAGCGCTTGAGATTCATCCAAGACGAGTCGTGGAAGGACGATGAGGCGAGGGAGCTCGAGGGACTGGTGTTCGGGAAGGCGTTCGCGGGGAATGATGACGAGGTGATGCTAGCGGATAATGATGAGCCTGTGCAGCTGGGCTTTGAGTTTAGTTCGGGCGCGGGGGAGCTGGGGCACTTGGAGGATAATGATGTGAGTTCTCCCGTGGTATACGAGCTGCTCATGAGGCTGACGCGCCGCAGCTCTTCGTGCTCGATGGAGCGGATGCTATCCTACCCTCTACACATGACGGGGAGAGCGAAGAAGATGAAGACGCCAATCGCAGTGAACGAGGAAGCTCGCGATCGGGCGACGACGAGGCTACACCTCCCCCTCAGCCAACCTTACCGAAACCAAAATCTCGAGCTGCTTGGCATGACCCCAGCGATCTAGCCTCTTCTGCCACCCTTGCCCCCGCCGCCCCCTCCGCTCGCCTTCGCAAACTACGCCACGCACCCGACGAGAACATCGCGGATTTATCCACCAAAGAGTACGAATCCCGCCTGCGCGCGCAATTCAAGCGCATCCACGGAGAGGCATCGTGGGTCTCGAAGGCGCGCGCCAAGGCTCGCGGCACGGGCGAGGAGGATGCGAGTGAGGCGTCGGATGCACTCGCGGGCGTTGTCCTGAGGCCTCGCACGAGACGCGGGGACGGGAAGTTGCAAGTGCGGAGGTTACACGACGTGCTCAGCGGCGATGGACAGGGCGAGATCAAGAGTGTGGTGTTCCACCCCAGCGAGCGCGTCAGCGTCCTGGCAGTCGGTTCGTCAGATCGACGTGTGCGGTTGTACGGTGTCTCTTCCACTGCGCCGCCGACGCTGGTGCAAACCCTGCATATCCCCTCTCTTCCCCTCTCTTCGTCAGAGTCATTGGCCTTCTCTCCCTCTGGGCGGGAGATGCTGATGAGCAGTGATCGGCGGGGCTTTGCATGGCTATGGGACCTTGAAGGCGGAAGAGTGACCAGGCGAGAGCTCTCGGCACCTGCATCAGTTTTGGACGAGGGTGCGTAGCTCCTTCAAGCTGAACTTCGCTTTGCTCAACGTCAATGACAGGGTTCAACCGTCATAAGCGCCCACGCGAGGGTAGCGGGGTGTCGTTTCCCTCGTTCTCGCCGACCGGTTCTCTGCTTTCGCTCGCCACGGAAGGCACCATTTGCCTGTACGACTGGCGCAACACAGGCAGCGGTCGCTCCCAGGGTACCCTTGTTTCGTCCTTCAAGCCGGGGACCGCCAAAGGTGACGGGGGCATCGCTGGTGTGAGATGGGTCGGCGGTATGTTTATCAGGACGAAGTCGAGTATAACCTGATTCCCTGACATGTATCCACAGAAAACACGCTCTCTGTCCTCCTTTCTTCATCCACCGTCTTGCTGTATGATACTCGAAACACTGCTCGCTCAACTCTCTCGTCGACGCCTTGCGTCAGCAAGTGGACAGACGAGGGCGGCGGCTTCCGCGGCTCGGCGCGCTGCCTGGGTACAAGCGCGGGTCTCGGCGACGGCGCTGCTGGATGGCTCGGCGTCGGCTCCTCATCAGGCCTAATCAACCTGTATTCCCCGTCGAGCTTGGGCGAAGCGATGTCCGCCGGGTCCCCGAAGCCGCTGAAGACGATCGAGTCGCTCACGACGCCGGTCTCGCTGCTGCGCTTCAACTCGGACGCGAGCATGTTGGCGCTTGCGAGCAAGGGCACGAGCGGGAAGACGTCGGTCGGGATGCGCTTGGTGAGTTTCCTCTATTCGTCCCAAGTCAGCAAGATACTAAGTGATGTAATTATAGTTCAACACTAACTCGCTCACGACGTACTCGAACTGGCCGACGTCCGCGACGCCGCTCGGACGCGTCACGGCAGTCGACTTTAGCCGGAGGGGCAATGGGCAGGAGTACCTGGCGGTGGGAAATGTGCGGGGGAGAGTGACTCTGTGGTCAATCGAGCAGTAGGTGTGCGGTGTATATGTGTACGTGTCAACGGATGCAGACCTCAACGATAACATGTGTGATGGCGTTGTTCGTTTCCAACAGCCGCCACAGTGGCGACGCTCCCGACGACGCGCGAACCGAACAATCGTCGCCGTTACTAAAACCCCCCGAAGAACTAGATTTCCTCTCGAGCTTTCGCCTGTCACCCCTCTCGACATCACCACCATGCATACCACCGACCGTCTCCTTCTGCGTGCCTACGAAGACGATGACAAGCGCGACATCCTTGCACTCTATAACGACCCTTCTGTAGCCCGCTTCATCTCCCTCGACGACCTCGTCCCGCGCGATGCGGCCTATTTTGACACGCACATCCGCCCTTTGAACGCGGGCTGCCTTTTCTACGCCGTGATCGTTACGCGCGAGCCCGCCAATGCCCCTAAGCTGAACCCCAACCGCGACGGCGCCGGCCCCCTAGTCCACAACGCCGTTTTCGCCGAACTCGAGCCTGAACCCAGGACCTTCGTTGGCGAGGTTTCCCTCAGTCTCACAGGTCGTACGGCGAAGAATAGGGATGTCACTTTGCATATCGCCATTCGGCAGGGGATGCAAGGCCGCGGTTACGGGGCGGAGGTGCTTCGGTGGCTGGTGGATTATACGTTCCGGGCTCTTGGCATGCATAGGATGTCGTTGGGCGTATTTGAGAGTAATGTGGGGGCATACAGGATTTACAAGCGACTGTGAGTTTGATCTTCTTCGATTGGTCTTTTCATCGCGTCGTGGTAGATCAAGGTCTGGCCTAGAAAAAACAGCATATGAACGAGAATACTCATGCTCATGACGTCCTTGCAGAGGCTTTGTGGAAGAGGGTCGCCTGAGGGAGGCAGTGAGGACTCCAGAGGGAACATGGGACGATCTCATTCACATGGGCATATTGGAGGACGAATGGCGGATGAGACGCGAAGACAGGTCCAACGCGCGAGTATAAGTCAGCGCAGCTCCTAGCACATACACAGTAATGCATAAGCTAGTCAGATCGTAATCGGCTCATCGCTCGCCTTCTCAAAGCCAGGACTCTGTCCAATGGGGCTTCAGTTCTGTCGAAAACAACATGTAGGAGACGCCAGCTGCAGGCCTACGCGCACGTATTCAATAGAGGACATAATACGCCCTCAACGCAGTCGATCGTACATCTCGATTATGCCCGTCACCACCTATGGCTGATTCGGAACCGGACAAGCAGGGTAAGGAACAGAATGATTGAAAGTGCAGATCCAAGTAAGACCGGGCGTATACTAGCGTACGTAGCAAGAACAGGGGAGAACGATATCGCGATACTAGTACACAATCGTACAAATTTACTCAATACAAGCAATGGTCAGTGCGTCCTCGGCCCCCCGCAAGCAATCCTGCCACAGTATTTACAATTGAGGGGGGACCGTAATTTGAGTTGCGCACCGCAAGAAAGAAAAAATCTTACCGCTCGAGCGCGACCATCTACCAACATCCATCACCATAACGGATCCGAGAGAAAGCCCATGAAAATCGTTGCATCTCCCGGCCCATATCGAATCTTAGAATAAGCGCGTGCTGAACGCGCAGGAGGGCGCATCGGGTCCTTGTCAAGGTATCGTTCGGGCTCTGCGCTGGCAGTGTAGTCGACCACGCAGGCCTTGGCAAGGGTTTGCCAGGGCATGCAGAGGTTGTGACTGAGTTGGCCGATGTCTTTAAAGGCCATCCTCTTGAGGAAGCAGCGCTCGAAGTGCGTGAGCGTCACATCCGGATGCTCGCTACTCATGTCTGATTATCCGAAAGAAAATCAACAGACGCACGTAGAAAGAAACAAATAGCCACGTACGTCTACGCGCATCGGGCGGGCAGCACAGAGGCTTGTGCGTTCGCCAGTGCGCTTTTTGGCATGTTCGCGAGCAGTAGAACGCACGGCCGCATATGCACATCCTAAGTCTTCGTGAACCTCTGACATTTCCGGGACACTTGAAGGTGTCAGCGGTAGAATGCGCATGTGTAGAGTCGTGGCTTACGGAATCTCCATTGTGGCAGTGCCTTATACGCTTCAAGTCTGCCTTCATCGTCTGTCTCTGCTGCTCGAAGACGGGAATACGGAGGAGAAGGTCGGCGATCTCGTGAGAAGCCTGCCGAATCACGTCTAAGTCTGCGCTTTGGACCAAAGAATCCTTTGTCGCCCTGACGAAGGCGGGCAGATACTTCGTCCTGAAGAGGGCGGGTACGAGAACGTCCCGGACGAATGCGGTCGCTGGCGCTTGCCATTCTGGCGCACGCAGCTGCCCTCGCGGGTCGACGCACGCGCCGACAAGGTACTCTAGGATCCCTGCGTCGAGAACTTCCGTGAGGATGTCACACGCATAGGAGCGAGCGAATTTAGTGATCTGGGCGATCCAATGCGTGGCGAGAGGGAGGGTAGCCGCAGTTTCTTCTCCATTGTTACGAGAGACAGTCAGGCGAAGGAAGTGGCAGAGCTGGGTCATACCCGGCTCGGGTGGATTAATCGATGATGGATCTATTCGGACGTGAAGGAATCGCTCCAGATTCTCGTTGTTCGAGAGCAGCGTGGCAGTGAGTGTCATATATGCCATGATGAGGCTGTTGTCGAATGTGGTGCGAAGAAATGCCTCCATCTCGTCGAGGAAATTCTCCATCAGAAATCCAGGGTTCTGCAGGTCGTAGTCGCAAATCTCAGCAGTCAGGCGTCGCGAAAGCTTTTGGTCGCTCAGGAGACTAGCTAAGCCGCGGACGATTCCATGCGAGAAGCGCTCCAGGCGCAAGCTGTCCTGCGCCTCGATCAGAGGGCATTCCGAAGTAAGGATCTCCAGGGTGATAGCGATGAAGTCCAGCTGGGCGATGCAGCGCTTGCGTCCTTCCTTATGCGCGAGAGCGTTGGCAATATATTGCCGAAAGACGAACCAAAGAGGTAGCATGCCAAGAAAAATATCTCCGTCATCGTATGCCGGGCGCGCGTTGTCCTGCATCCCGTTGTCCGCTACATTTACGGTTGAGGGGCGGAAAAATACGATCCACTTCCAGATGTTGTCGAAGATCGTGTACGCCTCCTTCGCGACAGCACCGCCACGCGTAGTAGCTGCTTCCAATAGGGGCGCGTAGGCCAGGAGCGCCTGTGCAGCCTCGTCGATAGGTCGCACATCTGACGGATTCATGGGAGGGTGGGGGAGTTTGGAGGGACTTAGGCGGGCGTGCGCTTCCTTCACGATGGGCGATCTCAGAAACTCCAAGTCAAGCGAGCTAGGAATGGAGGTGAAGGGCTGAATGGCCTGCGCAAAGCGTTTCGCCCAAGGTGTCGTGCTTTCGCCACCATTATACATCTGTGGGAGGGGGGTAGTATGAATACCACACGCAAGGTCGCACGTTATTCACCTCCCTGAGACTCAGATGGACTCTGTTCAGATAGGCGAAGTCAGGATCTAAAGTATGCGAAGAAGAAAGTCGAGTTGAGCACTTGGTCGACGGAAGCAAGAGGGTGGACCTGCGCATGCGCATGCAGTCCGACATGCGTACGACAAGCAACTGCAAAGTTGGACCTACAAGTTCGACCCGCTCGTCACCCGCTCAAAGCGCGAAGATCATTTGCAGAGGTTGTAAAGATTCTTCTTCATTATTCACCATTCGACTACGTAGATAATACACTTTTTGCGCCTTCTCTCCGTTCCATGCTGGCAATATTCGACATCGACGAAAGGTCCCTATGGAACAGTCCCAGCACGAACGAGGACGATGCCGGTGCCTATTACGAGGAAGCCACGCCTATAAGCAAAACGAAGTAGTCTTGGGCAGACGAGTCAGATATGAGTACTCGATAGAAAGGGCAAGGTATATAGTACACAGCCGGAAAACGCACGGCTAGGTAAGTAAATAAACACACGAACGACGAGCATGACCAGGAGCACGGAATCGCGGGACACGGGGCGGAGAGTACAACAGGACACGGGCATTGGGATAGCATGCTACACGCTGCCTGGCGGCAACTGGAGTTGGAGTTGGAATTGTTGGGAGCGGGGTATGCGGGAGAGAAAGGGCGGTACGGGAAGCGAGAAGTAAACTAGTGCTGCAGTGTCTAGCCGGGAAATCGTGATTTAGCGTGGCGTGTCCGGGGTGACGCGCGTCGGTGTCGTGGTTAGCTTCTTCATTGCTCAAAGGAGACCCCGCCCTGGAGCGAGGCCATCCAAATGCGAGTTTTGTATAGCCTGAACAGCTCGCGCACAAGCTCCCTAAAATCGATGCGTTTCTCGGCGATGAAATAGAAGGTAAGCTTGCGCCGATCCCTGCAGAGAGTTAGCGAGGGCTTATGGTTGGTCAAGAGGTACTCACCACTGATACTCAGCGTCAATCACCTCCATCGGCAGCTTCTTCGCGCGGACTTTAGTCTGGCAGAGCTGGAGCGCCTTCAGCTCATCTTGCAGTTTCTGCTGCAGCTGCTGTGTGTCCTGCACCGACGCCTTCCCGTACATCATCTTTGGGTTGATCTCCTTCTTGCTCGACGACGGCGCGCCGCCGGGGCTCGTCGGGTTTTCCGCACCGCTGTTGGCCCCGCCCTGCTGCCGCGTCTGCCACGCCTCGACCTCGGCGATAGTGATGCTGTCGTTGACGACCTTGCCGAGGTCCTTCCCGCGGTCGGCCTCAACAACGACGAGGTCGCCGACGCGAATGTCCTGCGACGTATCGGTGAGGTAGAATAGGTCCGTGCGACCAGCCTTGAACTCGACGATGAAGAGCGGCCAGGAGGGCGGGACTGCATGTAACGGGACACCCTTGCCGAGGTCGGTGAGCTGCTGAGGAGGCGCGGGCGCCTGCGCATCCGAGGGCCGGCGCGTCGGGTAGTACGGCGGAGACTGGGGATTCTGCACCATGCGCTGCGACGTCGGCGATAGTGGGCCACCAGTGTATGATGGCCTGCGTGTGCGCGCGTACTGCGCATTCTGGTCCTGCTGAATCGCCTGCTGAGACAGGTACTGTATACCCTGCCCCGGGATGAAGCGCGGCTGTAGGTCGTGCGCCTGCTCCTGGTGCTGAGGCGGGCTCGGGTCGCGGTGCAGGTCGCCGTTATGCGACGAAAGCGAACCGATGTTCATCGGCTGGTAGTGGTCCTGTGACGGCGGGCTGCGCGATATCGGCGTATACACCGGCATCGACGCTGGCTGGGAGGGCGGCTGCTGCGACGCCTTCGGTGGCCCATTGAGATCCAGCATGCCCAGGTCCGCTGCCAGGTCATCGTCCGACAGCATCAGCCCGCCACCGAAGCCTCCGCCGCCGGCGAAGGAACGTGGGACATCATCTGGACCGTCGCTGACTCCCGGGGCATTGAAGCCAACGATATTGCCGCGACGGGGCTGCACGACGCTGACGCTGTGCCGTCGGCTCGTCGTCCCGCTACCGCCGCCGCCGTTGACCTCGTCCCTGGGCGGGTGCATGCCGGCCCAGAGTTCGCGGAACGCGGACCCGTCATCAAGGAGGATCTGCCCCACGTCTCGCACGAATGGGCTCATGTTCGTGATGTCTGAGCGGGAAAACCCGTTCGGCATGATAGGCGTGCCCGAGGGCGACGAGGAGTGGATGGCGGTCGGAGAGCGTCCAACAGTGCCGAGGGAGCCGTACCGACTAGACCCCGGTGGCTTTCCGATCTCGCCATAGCGCGATGCGCCAGGGATATTGAGGGGCGAGGTGAAGGAGTCGTTCCAGCTACCCATGCCAGGGGACCCGACGACGGAGTTGAAGGCGCCCCCGTGCCCCGTGGCAAGCGACTGAGAGCGGCTGCGCGAGATCTCCGACTGGTACGATCGGCCGCGTGACATGGATGGGGGCAGGTAGCGCTCGTTGTACATGTCCAGCTCGTCGGTCTCCTCATCCTCGAAGGTCGAATCGAAGATGCTGCTCTCGCGCATCGCGTACCCGAAGTCGCGCTGCTGCGAGGGGTTGTTCCCGGTCGAGAACGAGGAACTTCGTGAGCCTAGACCGCGAGCCGGACTGAGAAATCGGGAGGAGGATCGCGACGTCGGCCATGGCGCGCCTGCTCCCATACTGGAGGCGACGTTCGGGGAGCCCATGAAGCCTTGCTGCGAGGAATGTGGGGGCTGTGAGGCTGCGCGCTCGCGGTGATTGTCGCTGCCGTTCGTGCCGTTTCCTGAGAACCGGTTCTTCCGGTCTTCTTCCTCTGATCGCTGCTGCTGCTCCTTGAAGGTGTTCATCTGCAGGAAAACGATGAGAAAGACAGCTACGTGCTACAATGTGGGGGGCGCACCGCTCTAATGTTCTACCCCACACCCGGATCTAAATCAGCTTGGGGGATCGCTGGCGTCTAGGGTACAAAGCTCTAGGAGCTTGAAGAGAAGAGGTATGAACGTTGTCTATAACGACAACGGCGTCGTATTCGTGAGACTAGATGGTGGGAGAAGACAAGCACCGAAGTTCGTCTGCTTGCTCCTCAGGCCCAATTGCCATTTTGGGAACTTTCCCCATATCACGTGAACAGCAAAATGAACCACAGCACACAACAAGGACGCCAACCCCCTCTGCAGACCACTCGCTCGAGGGGGATTCTGCGCACAGCTCGGTCCAACTCATAGCAGTACAGTCAATGGAATTTTGTCGCTGCGGGCGCACAAGCCAAGCCCCTCGTCAGCAAGTATTCTGCGGACTTTAGCGCCGCTCTACACAGTTCACAGAGCAGCTGACCGCGATCACGCAGACGCAGCATAACGATGGCAGCGTCACAAGAGACGGCCATTACTCTCAAGGGTGGCCCCCATGCACAAACTGTGACCATGGGACCCTGGCGCGCCGTATAGCGCGCCTGCTCATCCGCCAGCCAGTCATCTACTGACGATATGGGACTCATCAGCGATGATGGTTCACAGGCCCGCATTCGCAACGCGGAAGCAGGAGCGGCAGCTGCCGACAACGATCGAGGCCGTCCAAAATGCGTCCATTGTTCTCTTGACGGTGAGACCGCGGGCGGGTCTGACTTGGTTGCTGCCACGGGTCCCAGTGGTCGCTGCCCCGGCCTGTCTTGGTCAATGCTCGCAGCCCCGGCGGGCCTGGCCTCATGCAACGGATACTTCCATCCATCCAACGGAGCCCGGATGGCGCGGAGGAAGTACACACAGTTTGCTTCCATCCCCACGCGTACCTTGTTGCTGTCCTCGGGATCCCTGCTTTTGCATCGAGGCTCCTCTGCACTGGGCCTCGGGATGCCTACGCTTCACCTAGAAAGGAAGGTGGCAGGCCTCGGGATCCATTGCACTTGCTTGGACGCTCCGAGGGCGCGCCACGACCTCCCACGGGCGACAGCTTGTATTCGTCAAACTGTGTCACCCGCCCCGGCGTGCATAATCACGGGTATGACATCGTTTGTTCCATGTATCCCGTAGCGCAGATAGAGGGCATCTCTGTACGCAAATAAAGCGTCCCTCTGCCAGACGCAGGTCGGAAGCTACGAGACGGTGGCGTCAACATTGGAGAGCTTGGCATAATGAGTACGTACGGAACTTCATTGAGTGACTGAAGAAGGTCCCTAGAGCATCTGACAAGAGCCCTAGCGAAGCGCTTCTGCCATTCAAGTTGAAAGTCCGCGAAGATGTCTGCCGAGGCGTAGCTAAAGTCAGCGTAAGATCCGCGTGGTTGTTCTGCTACCTACGAGGCCACATGCGCGTTCAAAGACGCGTCCTGAATGCTGTGGATACTTCTCAGATGGGTTGCGATACACTGAAAAGTCCTTGGCGTATAGCCTCCTCCCTGCGCGCGAATGTTGATAGATGGTATCGAAGGCAATTATCGAGCTGTCCAGTTCACGTCGGAGTTTGCGAAGTTTAGAAGAAGCAGGCGAACTCTCTTAAGCTCAGCTGTGATTCCTCGAATGCTTCGTGCGGTCGAATAACGGTTGCCTGAAAATCGGCCAATAAGACAGTAAAAGACGAGAGGGCTCAGAGCGATGATGTCAAATTACCAGCGTCGAAAAATCTAGCTCCTACAGCAAGCTTGAGAACGGTAAAGTCGAACGTTGACCGAGGATGGTGAGTCATCGTAGAACCACGGAGATGCTTGTGTGCGAACACGCACAAGCCTTTTTGACGGCTTACCTTTTCGACGTCGTTGAGGCTCACCGATAGAGTTTGCCCTTCCTAGAAGAAGCGAAAAGCAAGCAACGCGGTAGCATTGCAACAAGTTGTCTATGATACAGTGGTATAGCTGGGATCTCGGGGTGAGATGGTCGAATCCACCATAAGAAATCGCAACGCACCGGTCGTGAAGGAGAAGGACAAAGAGGCGAGGCGCTCATGTGGATTCATTTGTTTCCTATCTTGCGCTCCGCCGTCACTGAAGTACAGTCAGAAGGATGGGGAAAAGACAATGCGCACTGCACCTACCCCAAGGACGTCGGTCCATCGGGCACTGCTGTTTCGACGACGCAGTTCCGATCCATTTAAGCAAGCAATGCATGTGAAAGACATGACTGCATTCTCCCCATACTGAGTTCAGTGAGTATCGAACTTGAAGACGCGGGGTAAATTGGACTTACTCAATGGACAGTCGTCGCCGGGCATTTTGCATGCGGGGCAACATCCTTCGTAGGGAACACGGCAGATACCGCAGACGTCGTCCTCGCTGTCATCATTGCCGATGTCCCAGCGCCACTGTGCGACGGCGTGCCAGTTTTTGATGACAACTTTCATGGTGGCTGAAAGTGAGTTCGGAATCCGAATCGGATTTGGGAAGCGGGCGTGACGGTGATGTGATGCACAATAGCAACGTGGGGAAATGTGTCACATCAATGCTGCATCACGCTTCTCCCGCTCGAAACTCCCGAGATAGATTCCAGGTTGTATCTGGGCTCCCGCACGACGACTGGCTGGACTATGCGAAGGATGTACACTTCTGCGGCTGGATAATGCCTACGACGGCGAGCGGGCTTGTGAGCGCGTTCATGCGGCAGGCGAAGATGCTGGCTACATCCCGATGCACTTCCTGTTCCTCACTACTTAGAGGCCCGAGAAGATTGGGGACACCCGGCGCTTACAGCCATGTTTAGCGCCCAACTCGACCAGCGCCCATGATCTGATGGGTCATAGGGTCGCCTCTTGACTCTCGCCTTACAGGCTTCTGTGTAAAGTCGTGTTCGTACTCCATCTCCTCCCACTGTACTGCACACGCCCATTGACGTCGCACGTTCGCAGAGAAGACATGCGAGCTGCATTGTGGTGCTTAGTCTGCGCGCTTTCGCTCGCGACCGGGGTTGTGTCCCAGCAATCCTCGGCAGGTTTTACCCCGCTTTGGCTGCCTCTCGCCGTACGGACACCCCACATGAATGCCTGGGTACGAACAGACACGACAACCTGGGCGGCCTCCCCCTTCGGTGCAGCGGTGCGTACCGACGGGTTCTGCGTCCAGGCAACGATCTGAGCTCGAGCAGGATCACGTCCTGGCGTGGACAGGCTGTGTCAGAGTCGATGGCACGGTCTACACGTTCACTGGCGTGCCATCCGAAAACGCGACAATGTCCCAGGTCTGGCGTGTGACCCCCACCCGCACGGTGCAGACATCGCAAGCCGGACCCGTTCAGCTCACAGTGACCTGGCTGAGTCCGCTCGAGGTGCGTATGCAGCTCAACCCCCCTCCGCCATCAGTCTCACCCCGCTCTAGCCCGATGACCTCGTCAAGCAATCCATGCCCTTCGTCTACATGTCTGTCAAAGCCGCCTCCACAGACGGCGCATCCCACTCCGTCGAGCTGTACTCAGACCTAACCGGCGAATGGCTCTCCTCCGACCTCTCCACCCCGATAACCTGGTCCGGGACCAGCGCCGCCAGCGCAATCTACCATAAAGCCGCCCCCATCTCCCCCAAACCCATGACGGAGACGAGCGATATTGCCGAGGACGCGACGCTGTACTTCGGAATGACCAAAGCCTCAGCGCTCACCTGGCAGAGTGGATTTGCCGACGATGTCCGCGGGCAATTCAATAAGTCCGGGTCCTTAATAGACAAAGGCGACGATGCGCATCGCGCCATTCAGGACCGCTGGCCGGTGTTCAGCCTCTCTTGGGACCTGGGCGACGTCGACGATAATGCTAAGGAGGCAGTGTGGGCCATGGGGCTCGCGCGGAGCCCCGTCGTTCAGTACACGTCAGGCTCGAGTTCCGAAGGGCGGTATCCGTACTATCTGACGGAGTACTCGAATGCGGACGATGCGGTGCGTAGACAGGTCACTGAAACATCACACTCGAGGCTGACCAGGGGGCGTAGTTCGAGGCATTCATCGCCGACTATGATGATGCTGCGAGTCGCGCGGACTCCTTCGATGCGAAGATCATGAGCGCGGCTGGAGGCGTGTCTTCCAATTACGCTGATCTGATCGCCCTGGGCACTCGCCAAACGTTTGCTGGTGTCGAGTTCACCGTGTCGCAAGGAGACAACGGATATGATACTAGCGACGTACTGGCGTTCATGAAGCAGTCGGGAGACTCAGAGTGGGTTCCTTTATCATCGTTATATGACTGCGAAGGTCGAAGTGCTGACGTCTATTCTCAGGCGCGTCAACGCAGTAGAGACCCTATATGCTTCCTGGCCGGCATTCCTATACGTCAACGCGACATGGGCGGGCTACCTCCTCGAGCCGCTACTCCGCTTCCAGTCGTCGAATGTGTATACGAAGGACTTCGCTGCTCCTGATCTAGGTGCTTGGTATACCTGTCTTCCGACCCTCTCGTTAGCTCATGCGTACCACTCCCAGGCACCTCGTACCCTTCTGCCCCTGGTAACAAGTCGCCCAGCTCCTCTCTCGCGGTTGAAGCCTGCGGTGACATGCTCATCATGGCCTTCTCGCAAGCCCAGATGTCCGGCGACGGTAGTTTGCTCGGGAAATATGTCAGTCAGCTATCCCCTTTCTTACCGGATGGCGCTCACTATAGCTACTCATTCAGTACGACACCTTCAAGGGCTGGGCAGACTACCTCCTTCGCAACGCGGCAAGCCCGCGGGGTTCACAGTCAGTTAACCTCATTTTACGCTCGGTTTTGCTGCTGATTTTGATGAATTAGGAAACTTCCCGGCAGCGCGGACGGCGTGAATAACGCGAATCTGGCTCTCAAGGGTATCATTGGTTTGCAGGCCATGGCGGGGATCAGCACTGCGGTTCAGAAGCTGGACGATGCGACGGTCTTTGCGGTGAGCATTACTCTCGCTTTCGCTGCCAAGGTTCACTGATCAATATTGTGAACACCAGAATAACGCGACGTCGATGATTGATACCTGGGCAGAGGAGCTGCAGAGCGACAATTTGGCGGACCCGTCGCACACGGGCCTCATGTATAATTTATTCGCGGATAGGTTGTTAAAGAGCGAGATGGTTCCGGATGATGTGCGTTAGGTGACCCTCGGCAGATGGAATGTTGCTGATGATGTTCTCTTCTTCGTAGGCGTACGCGACACTCAAGTTGGCGTACACTGCTACTGACGTGGAAGCTGCGTTCGGCATCTCGTTCGACGGCTCGTCCTCCGTGGCGCGTTCGGGTGCGTGTTGTTTCGTAGTATAGCTTCACAGGCTTGCTGACCTTTCGTTCGCACTTCAGACTGGACTCTCCTTACCGCGGCTTCTTTCCCTGACAGTGATTCGGACGTTCGCGATGCGCTCATTGGGCCTGTATGGACTCGCGCATCGAACAAGACGCTCGCTGGCGCTTTTCCAGCTGCGTACGACGACACATCGGGCGTTCAGGCAAGTGGTCAGACGAGCCCGGCGCAGGGTGCAATGTTCGCAGCGTTGGCTTTGGGGTGAGTCTCCACGCGCAGCACACTTGAGTGACGGGCATACTGATCACCCTTTCCTCAGGATGTCTACGACTACCATCAGTGTGCCCGCCTCCGCTTCCCCCACCTCATCCTCCTCCAGCAAGGATAAATCTCTGGCCGGCCCAATCGCAGGTGGTGTCGTCGGAGGCCTTGCGCTCATCGCTATTGTCGGCGGCGCCGTCTGGTTCTTCCTCCGCCGGCGTGCGGGAGGGAAGCCGGAGGGCATGTACGGCCTCGCGGACGGTCGTGATGGCGCGATGCCGCAGGAAATCATGCCATTCTACGGCTATGAGGGCGCGAGCGCGTCGTATGTCTCGGGGCAGCCGTACACCACGGGACAAGCGCCGCCTCCTGGCTTTCAACCTCAGCCTGGCTTCGCACCCGTCCCAGGTCCTGCAGCGGTTGCGTACCCGGGCGTACAATACTCGGGCGTGCAGCAGCAGCAGCAGGGCGCCCCATACGCGCATCCGAATCCGTCACGCGGCAAGTGGTTCGCGGTGAACGCGGCGCGAGGACAGCCACAACAGCGACCCGAGGCGCGCCCCGTCGTCAGCGCGATGGAGGAGAAGCGGCGGCTGCGGGCGGCGAGGAATGCGACGAGTGGGGTGTCGTCGGTGTATGGCTCTGGTGCCGGGTATGGCGCGGGCGTGGGCGGATTGCCCATCAGTGGGGGGCCGCCGTCGTCGGCGAGCAATGGGGCGAGCTCGAGTCGCAGTGGGCAGAGCTCGGGGGCGGGAGACTCATCGTTGCCGACGAATATGGTGTCGCCGACAGGTGCGATGTCGCCGCCTCAATCAGGCGCAGTCCCTCATTCAGACGCGACGCTTCCTCACGACGACGCCACACATACGGACCACGTCGACGACGCGTATGAGGCCCCGCCGCCGGAGTACCGGTCTGCGGCATAGTGAGAGGGTGCGCAGCGCTTGGGGCGCGTCGAGTGTCTACTCTATGATACAGTGGTATAGCTGGGACCTTGTGATGATGGTCAAATCCACCGTAAGAAAATCGCAACGCACAGAAGGACAAAGAGGCGAGGCGCTCATGCAGATCTACTTGTTTCCTATCTTGCGCTCCGCGGTCACTGAGGTACAGTCAGAAGGATGGGGGATAGACAATGCGCATTGGACCTACCCCAAGGACGTCGGTCCATTGGGCACTGCTGCTTCGAGGACGCAATTCCGATCCACTTTAGCAAACAATGCATATGAAAGACATGGCTGCATTCACCCCATACTGAGTTCAGTGAGTATCGAGCTTGAAGACGCGGGCTGGACTGGGACTTACTCAACGGACAATCATCACCAGGCATCTTGCACGCAGGGCAACATCCCTCGTAAGGAACACGGCAGATACCGCAGACGTCGTCCTCGCTATCATCGTTACCATTATCCCAGCGCCACTGAGCAACGGCGTGCCAGTTCTTGATGACAACTTTCATGGTGGCCGAGCGGATTGTGAAGGCGAGTTCGAATTTGGAAAGGAGGAAGTGTGTGACACGTGACACGTGATGTGATTTCAGGATGGTGTGTCACATCAGTTGAGCATCACGCTTGTCGCGCTCGCATTCAGTAGTCAAGTTCCAGATGCATACGACCATTGCACGGCGGCTGTCTGGACCTATACCAAGAATGTCTACTTTCGCTGCTGGAGAATGTCTACGTCCACCAATATACCCATGAACGTGTTCATTCGGCAGGCGACGCTACCCGCTACATACCGAAGCACTTCCGGTGCCTGTCTGGAGGCCCGAGGAATTGGGGACCCCCGGCGCTTAAAGCCAACTTTAGCGACCCCCATCAGCAACTCGACCAGCGCCCATAATCTGATGGGTAATCAGGGTCGCGTCTTGACTCTCGCCTTCACTGCCAGCCCTTCCGTGTTGGCAACTGAATCGCCAGGTCGTGTTCGTACTCCTTCTTTCCCTCCCATCGTGCTGTGCACGATAACTGACACCATTCGTAGTGAAGATGCGAGCTGCCCTGTGGTGCTTGGCCTGCGCGCTTTCGCTCGTCACGGGGGTCGCGTCCCAGCAATCCTCGGCAGGTTTTACACCGCTTTGGCTGCCTCTGGCCGTACGGACTCCCCACTTGAATGCATGGGTACGGAGCGACACGACGGCGTGGGCGCACTCGCCATTTGGTGCAGCGGTGCGTTGCAATGGAATATACGTCCCGCATGTTCTGACAGCGAGCAGAATCACATCCTCGCATGGGCGGGCTATGTCAGAGTGGACGGCACGGTCTACACATACACAGGCACGCCGTTCGAAAACGCAACCACGTCCCAAGTCTGGCGCGTTACGCCCTCGCGGACCATCCAGACCTCTCAAGCGGGACCCGTGCAGCTCACAGTGACCTGGCTTAGTCCAATCGAGGTGCGTATCCAGCCTGCCCCATTCTACCGTCGCGCTCACTCCCTCCAGCCCGATGACCTCGTCAAGCAATCCATGCCCTTCGTCTACATGTCCGTTAAGGCCGCGTCCACCGACGGCTCGTCCCACTCCGTCGAGCTCTACTCAGACGTGACCGGCGAATGGCTTTCCTCCGACCTCTCCACCCAGATCACCTGGTCCGAGACCACTGCTGCCAGCGCCATCTACCATAAAGCCGCCCCCGTCTCCCCCACATCCATGGCAGAGACGAGCGATATCGCTGACGACGCGACGCTATACTTTGGCATGGCCAAGGCCTCGGCACTTACCTGGCAGAGCGGTTTTGCCAACGATGTGCGCGGGCAGTTCAATAAGTCCGGGTCCCTGTTAGACGAGGGCGACGATGCGCATCGCGCCATACAGGACCGCTGGCCGGTGTTCAGCCTTTCGTGGGACCTGGGCGACGTTGATGATAATGCAAAGGAGGCAGTGTGGGCCATGGGGCTCGCGCGGAGCCCCGTCGTTCAGTACACGTCGGGCTCGAGTTCCGAAGGGCGGTATCCGTACTATCTGACGGAGTACTCGAACGCGGACGATGCGGTGCGTAGACAGGGGACTGAAACATCCGACTCGAGGCTGACCTGGGGGCGTAGTTTGAGGCATTCATCGCCGACTATGATGATGCTGCGAGTCGCGCGGACTCCTTCGATGCGAAGATCATGAGCGCGGCTGGAGGCGTGTCTTCCAATTACGCTGATCTGATCGCCCTGGGCACTCGCCAGACGTTTGCTGGTGTCGAGTTCACTGTGTCGCAAGGAGACAACGGATATGATGCGAGCGACGTACTGGCGTTCATGAAGCAGTCGGGAGACTCGGAGTGCGTTCTTTTATCGCCGTTTCGTGACTGCGAAGGTCAGGATGTTAACGTCCATGTCCAGGCGTGTCAACGCTGTGGAGACCCTGTATGCCTCCTGGCCAGCCTTTCTATACGTCAACGCGACCTGGGCAGGCTACCTCCTTGAGCCGCTGCTACGCTTCCAATCATCAAATGTTTACACCAAGGACTTCGCTGCTCCTGACCTGGGTGCGTAGTACACTTTTCCCACCAGTCTCCTTTGCTCATGCTTATTGCGCTCAGGCACCTCGTACCCCTCCGCTACTGGGAATAAGTCGCCTGGCACCTCCCTCGCGGTCGAAGCTTGCGGGGACATGCTTATCATGGCCTTCTCGCAGGCTCAGATGTCGGGTGACGGTTCTCTACTCGGGGAATATGTAAGTCAGCAATTCTTTCGTTGCGTGTCAGTGCTCACCTTTCGTTAATCCAGTATGACACCTTCAAGGGCTGGGCGGATTACCTCGTCCTCAACGCGGCAAGCCCGCCGGGTTCCCAGTCAGTTCCCCGCATCTCGTGCTCGGTCGATAGCTGCTGAACTTGATAAATTAGGAAACTTCCCGGCGGCGCGGACGGCGCGGATAACGCGAACCTGGCTCTCAAGGGTATCATCGGTTTGCAGGCCATGGCGGGGATCAGCACTGCGGTTCAGAAGCTGGACGATGCGACGGTCTATTCGGTGAGCATTATCTTTCGCGTTCGCTTCCAAGGTTCACTATTTATGATCGTGAACATCAGAACAATGCGACCTCGATGATTGACACCTGGGCGGACGAGCTGCAGAGCAACAACTTGGCGGACCCGTCGCATACGGGTCTGATGTATAATTTATTCGCGGATAGGTTGATGAAGAGCGAACTGGTGCCGGATGATGTTAGTGTTGAGTGACCTTTGCGGGAAGGCTCATTTGCTAATTTATCTTTCACATAGGCGTATGCGACCCTGAAGTCGGCGTACACTGCCACTGGCGTGGAGGCCGCGTTCGGTATCTCGTTCGATGGATCGTCGAGTGTGGCCCGTTCAGGTGCGTGACTGAGGCTCTACGTTGACTCTACATTCATCTGATTCGTAAAAATTGTAGACTGGACTCTTCTCACTGCAGTTTCCTTCCCTGACAGCGACTCAGATGTTCGCGATGCGCTCATCGAGCCTGTATGGACTCGCGCGTCAAATAAGACGCTGGCTGGTGCCTTCCCTGCAGCGTACGACGATACGACGGGCGTGCAGGCGAGCGGTCAGGCGAGCCCTGCGCAGGGTGCGATGTACGCGGCATTGGCTCTTGGGTTCGCTCCTCCTTTCACGTTCGAGGGCGATAAATGCTAACGCTTCTTCAGGATGTCAACGACGACCATCACCGTCCCTGCCTCCGCCTCCCCAACCTCATCCACCACCAAGCACAAATCCGTCGCTGGCCCCATTGCAGGTAGTGTCGTCGGTGGCATTGCCTTCATCGCCATCGTCGGCGGCGCCGTCTGGTTCTTCCTCCGCCGGCGTGCGGGCGGGAAGCCCGAGGGCATGTACGACCTCACGGAGGGTCGCGGCGGCGCGACGCCGCAGGAGATCAAACCATTCTACGGCTACGAGGGCGCGAGCGCGTCATATGTCCCGGGGCAGCCGTATACCGCGGGTCAAGCTCCTCAAGGCTTCCAACCTCAAGCCGGCCAGCCTGGCTTCGCTCATGTCCCCGGCTACAGCCCTGCTGCGGTAGTGTATCCGGGCGCGCAATACTCGGGCGTGCAGCCGCAGCAGCCGGGTGCCCCGTACGCGCACCCGGATTCGTCGCGGGGCAGCTGGGTCGCGGTGGATGCGGCGCAAGGACAGCCACAACAGCAACCCGAGGCGCGCCCCTTCGTCAGCGCGATGGAGGAGAAGCGGCGGCTGCGGGCGGCGAGCAATGCGACGAGCGCGGTGTCGTCGGCGTATGGCTCTGGCGCGGGGTACGGCGCGGGCGTGGGCGAGGTGCCGTTCAGTGGGGGCCCGCCGTCCTCGGTGAGCAATGGGGCGAGCTCGAGTAGTGGGGGGCAGAGCTCGGGTATGGGAGGCCCGCTGTCGCCGACGAATATGGCCTCGCCAACGTCTGCGATGTCGCCGACTTCGCCTCAATCAGGCGCGGTCCCTCACTCAAGTGCGACGCTTCCTTACGACGGCGCTACACATACGGACCACGTCGACGACGCGTATGAGGCCCCGCCGCCGGAGTACCGGCATGCGGCATAGTGACGAGGGTGCAGCGGTTGGGGCCCGTTGGGTCAGAGCCGGCGAGGAGTTGGAATCAATGGGGAGTGTTTGGCGAGTGACTGATTCAGTGAATGCGACTACGGCTTCGACGACGGGCGTCGAGAGGTTTACGAGACTCGCTGAGGTGGGGTGCGGACTGCATTGAGTATCCCGGCGTGGTGAACTCGACGGACAATACCGCGGCCACCCCAGTTCAGCGCATAGAGCTCACGGACACTGCTTCAGTGCTCTTGCCTCGCTTGTCGCACATCGACCATGCACTATCTCGACCGATTGCGCATCAACCTTTATTCTCGCTCGCCGCACCCGCTCATGTATCTGCATGTTTTTCACGCTAATTATTCGGGCTCTTGGTCACAGTACTACAAGGGTGTATTTACATGGCATGTAACTTATGTCGATGGGGCAATCAATTGTCCTTCTCTAGTCGTTGGCGCCGGCAGGCCGATGTTCGAGGAAGATAGACCGAAAGAAGTAGCGTCATTGGATGGAATGACCGCTGCTGGACGTCAAGTCGATCAAGAAGCTCGTCGTTCGGTCTCAATTAGCGCTTGCTTGAAGAGAGGAACGACAACACGCGCGCATGTCGCGACCGACAAATGCATCGACCGGGTGGCGCATAACCGCGCCTAAAGCTTGACTTTGGAGACCAATGCTTGAAGTCCACCTGTACCCAGTGACAGACCGAATGGAGGTTCGCCGCTGTATACGAGGCACGGTGTGCTGATAGACTGTCCACCTAGCTTGATTAGCGTACAATGAACCTGTGTGGGTCCAATGGATGAAGACACGAGGGAGGCAATGCCGGGCCACGAGGGAGGAGATCAGGGTCCAGGGGCCTTGTGTGCGGGGCAACCGGTGTCCGGATTCCATCTCTCGTTTCTGGAACGTGGTAGGGCTACAAATGGGCGGGGTCTTGCCGCGGGACAGGAGGTGCTCCCGGTGCTTTGGGTGGTGGGTTGGTGGAAATTCGAGGAGGGAAAGCAGAAGTTGAGAAGCAGTACGAGGAAGGAAGTGCTTCACGAGCGAGAGAACATGGCCGCTGAGGATAACGATAGCCGGTAACCATGCGCGAACTGTGACAAAACGAACGGTGACCGGGTGGAATGAGCGTGAGAAGATGCGAGTATGTAAATGAGTGGCCAGTCTAGGTTCCCGACGCGCTCAACCTCGACCTCGTCGTCAGGAGCGGCGAGCGTAACTTATTCTCTTCGTCGCGGGCGGGCTAGCTCTTCCAGGACCACCACACATTCCTCGTCCCCGTAAATAATTCCTGGACAAATTCCTCTCCTTTTGCGCGGCCATCAGCCAAGCCGAATTCAGACAGTAGCACCCCTTGCTCCCGACCACCATCCCCCCTATCCCCACCCTCTGCAACCATGGGCGTCTGCATCTCTTCCTCGGGAGGGGTCGAGGTCAGCGAGCGGGACAAGGCGCTCCACAGGGAGGCGGAGAAGCAGCTCAAGGAGGTGCGTGCTCAGCCACAGGACGTGGACCGTTGCTCACAAGTTTTCAGGCGAAGGTCAAGATGCAGCATCAGGTTAAGGTGCGTACCGAACACTACATACGTCTTTCCACCCCGCTGACATGTCTCTAGGTCCTTTTACTAGGCTCCGGTGACTCGGGCAAGTCGACGATCCTCAAGGTGCGCGCCACGCTCCCCCGCATACGCGCCGACGCGCTCAACTGACTCTACTCCTCCCCCCCAGCAAATGCGCCTCATCCACAAGCTGCCCTTCTCCCCCCAGGAGATCGAGTCCTACCGCCAGCTCGTCTTCGATAACCTCACACGCGGGCTCAAGTACGTGCTCGAGGCGATGGAGGACATGGACCTCCAGGTGCTCGACGAGAACGTGCCGCACGCCGAGATGGTCGAGGACGCGCGCGACCTGCGCGACGGCGAAGCCTTCCCCATGGACTTCCTCGGTCCTCTCAAGTCCCTCTGGAGCGACCCCGCGGTGAAGCAGGCCTGGGAGCGCGGAAACGAGGCGGCGCTGCCAGAAAAGTGAGACTCAGCCCATGCCTCCCTTCCACGATTGTATGCTGAGCTCCTTCCCTTCTCTTCTCCCTTCAGCCTCCTGTACTTCTTCTCGGACCTAGACCGGCTGTTCGACCCCGCATACGTGCCGGCGGAACAGGACATCATCCAGTGCCGCGCGCGGACAATAGGCATCACCGAGACGACGTTCTCGCTGCGGGACCACGAGATGCTCATGGTCGACGTCGGCGGGCAGAAGAGCGAGCGACGGAAGTGGATACACTGCTTCCAGGATGTCACCAGTATACTCTTCCTCGTCAGCCTGAGCGGGTACGACCAGTGTCTCGTGGAGGACAAGGATGCGGTGAGTTCGGATTTCCCGCGAAGCGGATAAATCTACTCAGCGGTGGAGGTGACGGCGAGGCTGACGGCGTTATAGAACCAAATGCAAGACGCGATGACAATATGGGATTCAATATGTCACTCGCAATGGTTCAAGCAGACCTCCATCGTGCGTGTCTCGGTAGAATTGGTTGAAATGGTCATTGACACCCTCGCAGATCCTCTTCTTGAATAAGAACGACCTCTTCCAACGCAAGATTCCACATTCAGATATCAAAAACTTCTTCCCAGTGCGTGTGCTTTCCGTTTGCATGCCCTCTGTCCTGCTGGCTTTTCTACCCTCGTTCGCGTACATCCTACCTGACACGTCGAGCGCCGCATCTCTGACTGGGCGCTTGCGCTTCCCCGCCATCACCCGAGCGGCTTCCCTTCCTCCGACGCGGCGTTCTCGAGTCCCCGAATATCTCGCACTTCAATTCCACGACCCTTCTTTGATCACTCCGAACTATCGCCACTGTTCTATTCACCTATTCGTCCTCCTCACCCATCTCACTTGTACCGTTTCTCTCGCCGTGCCACTGCTACACAAAATTTTCGCTGGTCTACCGTGACACATACTAACCCCTCACCCAGGACTACGAAGGCGAACCCGGGGATGTCCGTGCCGGCCGCGACTACTTCAAGAAGCGGTTCGCCAAATTGGCCCAGAAGGCCGGCCGGAATAAAGAGCGGGAAATATACATACAGTGCGTGGCTTGTCTTCTTCGGTGATGCCGAATTTCTGACCAAGCCTGCTTTTCCCCCCTCGTTCCGCCTCTGCACGCGTCTTGTTCGAATCTGACCTTGCCCTCGTGATTGTCGCGTGACGTCGCGCGTGTCTACCAAATGACATCATGGTCTCCTCCAACCTCGACTTCAGCATCACCACCGCTACGGACACAGCAATGTTGAGAGTGGTCATGGCTGCAGTCGAAGGTAAGTATTCTTCAGATTTTGCTCAAACATAGGAAGCTGATTGGTCCCTTCTTCCCCTTCCTCGCTATCTACCATCAGAGTGAGTCTTGTTCTTCTATCTTTTTTTGCCTTTTTCCTCCCCCTTTTGGCGTGCGCCTCCGTTTCGAGCCTTCCCCGGTGCTCTGCTACAGTGTTCGGTCCCTCCGCTGGACGTGCGCTGAAACGATCTCGTCCACCTAGTATCGTCTTGCGATCCAATCTCGAGACCGCGGCGCTGTTCTAGAGTTGGACCATGGCCATCCATGCCTCCCTCTGATCGCCTGTTGCGACACCGCGATCACAGCCCGCCTTCCGCCACGACACCCTACTCCCTCTCCCATCCTCCCGCCCTCGGCACATTCTGTTGTGAACTACATACACATATATTATTCGCACATCCATCCGGATTTTTTGGTTCGGCATTCGGTTTCCGTGTCTATCTTATTCTATCCTCTTGCTGCCGTTTGAACGATGTTCTGAACGTGCTTTTCTGTCTATCCTGCCTGCTTCCCCGCCTGGTGCTCGCTTCGGTCACGGTCCTGCAAATACGAATGGAATCGGTGGTCACGTTCGACATTTCCCGCTCCCCCGTCGCGCCGCCGCCGCCCGCCAAACAAACGAACAAACCGACGATGCATGGAATCAACTCCGCCCGGGCCAATCAATGCTCGACGCGATGGTCCGATGCTCGCTCGCTCCTCCCCGATCATGGATTTCGCTTACCCCCGCGCGGACGCGAAATGGACCCTGCCCGCCCACCCATGGACGCGAACCACCCTCGCTCTCCTCACGCGGACCCATCGCGCACCCGAAATGGCGCCCACACACCCCTTGTTCGTCCCCGGCACACAGCTCGATCATCAGTTCGAATGTGAGTGCCTGTCTTCTTCGATGCTATCTTGGCTGGCAGCAGATGTTCCCCGTCCTGCCTGCCTGCTTGGCGCGAGTTGTGGGCTCACGCCGCTGGCAGATCCGCGCAATCATGTTGTGATGGGGTGGATTTAGGTTGGGTGGAGGCCGAGGTGGTGCACGCACGCGGAGTCGGCGGCGTTCAGGTCATCGTTGGGCGAATCGGGTTCCAAGACGCGTGGGATCCGTCGTGCGCGTTCACGAGCCTCGTATGAGTCCGTGCATTCAGTAGGATCCTGCGTGGGATCCCGCCCGCATACTGTGTGGGTGGTCAACGGGGCCCTGGCAGCGACGGCTCAGACCCGACACTCCGTACTTCGCCGTGGCTGGTCCTCGATCGTCGTCCGACCTTTATGGCCTTTTCTTCGTCGTATTTCTCCGCCCATCACGCACGCGCTTGCGCCGCTGTCTAGACGCTCCATTCACGCTACCATCTGCCCGTAAACTCAGCTCGTCGATGCCCTTCCCATTCATGCTCAGTTCATCTTGTGTAGTATACATCCACACACATGCCGCGCACGTATATATCCAGCACACACCCCTTCACTTGGATCGCTTTTTCTATTTGTGCCTAACCTTCTTGTCTATGACTAGCCCTAGAGGTCGCGGTGCTTATCCGTTTTCTGGCTGGTTTTGTGTTTATTCTATTGTTGAGCGAGGTACGCTACGGTTCTTATATCCAGGTATACAGTCGAGAGCATGTAATGCTGTTGTTCGATGATACATTGCATGCGTAAAGGCGGAGGAGAGCGTGGCGACCCGTGCATGGAAGCCATCTATGACAGCGAGTTGAATGTGTGGCATGGCCTGACCATATGCATGCGATGCATGTCTTCCAGGTGAGCTGATCCTGCCCACGACTGTCAGACCAGATCCGAAAGATACGTAGCATGTTCTATCTATCAGCTGTAAGCTACATCCAGGAAAGCTACAGATCGACTACAGATCATCACAATACATTGACCGCCAGAAGCGCGGCTGCCCCATCCATCCACACCAGTCAGATACTATACAACAAGTCCGAGGCGGAGTCTACCAAGTCTCCGGGCTGACGGGGGTGTTAGACTGCGTTAGATTTCCGAGAAGACGATTTGCTTACCCGAATGTCTCGCCAGGTGCCAATGTCTTCAAGGGCACGCCGGCGTAGTCCGCCCCAGCGTATGGGACCTATAAGGCAGCGTCAGTGCATCAGATAGAGGGCCTGTTGAACTGCGTACCGAGTTCCCCCACCACGCTTGGATTGTATTCAAGCCGAGCTAGGAATGTATGTCAAGGCTCAGCACATCACGACGACCAGAACGACGTACCGTGCCGTTCATAGGGAACTGAAGTCTGTAGGCGAGTCAGCGCCGCCGTCTCAGCTCAAGAGCGGTGCCACGTACGCAAAGAAGATCACGACGACCGAGATGGCTGTTCCAGCATCCAGCGCGGCCGAGAGAACGTCTAGGGACCGGTCAGCAAAGGCCCCGAGTGCGGCGGTCGGGGGGGCTCACAGTTGTACTTCGTCCACCAGGAGAAATATCGTCTTCTGATGACGAACTGGAAGACGAAGCCGACCATGGCCCATGGCACATAGTTGATGGCCCCGGCTGGTGGGATGTAGTCGCACGACGCGAATAGCAAGGGACTAACAATGGTCAGAATCGGCTAAGCAAGCATTGCATGTCAAATATCGCGTACAAGCTAAGAGGAAGATTAGTTTCGTCTGGCTAATTCTCTCTTCTATAATGTAACTCACTTGATATATCGGACGAAGCTGCTGGGATACTTCTTCGTTATGAGCCAGGTGATGATCTGTAGGGAATGTAAGGGATACGTTGATCCTATCGTGATGAACACTCACTGGACACAAGGCGCCGACGAGGAAGAAATAGAGCAGTGCTTTCATAGTCAATGACGCATTAGCTGTCTCCCCTTTCGATGGGTTTTTACAGTACTCACAGCTGCAAAGTATGTCAGAATCCACGACGTAGACGTTGACGACGCACTCACTGATATATGGCTCCTGGCGAGAACTGGAGGCCAGGACCGATGACGCCCCACTATTGGAAGTCAGGACCCGCGCACGCTTGAATCAGAACTCTACGCACGATGATGCTTGCAGTGCCAAACACTTGTGTATCCGGGCATACAAAGCTGAGAGTTGTGGGTAAGTAGATGCCAGAATCGTCGGGATCCTTGTAGCATACCCGCTCGCTTGTGTTGGGGAGCACATATCACTGGAAGGGATTCTGCTCAGTCATGGACGACGCTCAAGCGCGTCCGCACGTACGGCACATTGCTAAACAGCCATTCTTGCACGCCGAGCTGCGTGGTGCCGGCGATGGCGGTCGCAATCATCTGCGCGCAAAGCATGGGGCGCGGAGGCTGGTGCATACGCGCCGTCAGCGATGTTAGGTACGGATGAATTTTTGGACGCTCACAATCTTCATGTAATGGCCGATCTTGAAGTTTAGGGTGAACTCCAGCGCGTTTGACATGGCCTATGCACAGGCGACGTGAGCGAAGGAGCTTTGTCGAGAAGCTAGGCAGAAGCATACGATGTAGCCTGTACACTCGTCAGATGACACATTACGGGTTTCGACGTCGAGGTGGACGTACCATAGGTCTTGAACAGCATCATGGCGACTGGCCGTCCAGGAAGCATATAGCTATTCCCATAGTCAGTAGTTGTCCACTATGGCAAATGTTCTGGGCTTCACGCACCCAACGACAAGCTCGCTGATGATTCTGTCGAAGTAGTCAGCATCCGGGCTTAGCCGACGCCCAATCTACGCACCCTAACGAAACTTGGTGATTCGTCACGGCCTGGATCATGCCGACTGGCACCACGAAGAGGAACGCTGAGCGCTGCGTAAGCAATGGTCGGATATCACTTTGAAAAGCACCCACATAACATCAGCGCGACAAGGTAGCCCCAGACCGGGAGCTCGGTCGGCCAGATCTCAATGCAGACGACTCCGAAGGTGAACGTCACGGCCAGGATCACCAGGAACCACCAATCCGGCACTATGACTAGAGTAAGCGCCAGTTGTTTTCCGAGGACGGAATTGTTTTACCTTGCTGCAGAACATGAGCGACTGGCTTTGTGACGGAGTAGAGGTGAACCACGAGACAAACGTACCGGATACCTCGTCATAAGCCGTGCGTGAACGTCAGGCTGCTCGCTTAGAGATCGCCGGAACTGCTTCATGATCGGCTTGCGGAAGTACAGGATCGCATGGACGATGGTGGCAGCGATGGACGCGAAGGACGTTCTGCAAATAATAAGTACTTCGCAGCGCACTCGCGCTATGCGTCACATCAACGTACCCGTATCCCAGAGCAAACGCCGCCCTGCGTCGAGGGATTAGCAAGCAGCGAATGTCGCACGAAAGCCATCGACGCACGATATATACAAGGGGCTATACTTCGAGTACTCCGTCCGGTTGAGCGCCGTATCGTGGGTCAAGATGCGCGTCAGATCGTACTCCTGACCCGTGTTGTCGAAGGACGCGGAGGAGGCCAGTCTGTCGAAAAGTGTTAGCATTGCATCCTACGACTGTTTTGCGGGTATCTCCGACTTACGGTATGTACTGCGAGTACCACGTATTTGTGAAGTACAGTCCGGGCGTGACAATCCCTTTAGAAGGGTCAGTGACGCTCACTCAAGGCTGTCGAGGATCGTCCACTTACAAAAAAAGACCACGAAGCCAGTGAGGACGTTGACTTGCGCCCACCCTGTCAACGGAGATCAGACTCGATCTCGTTACTACGGAGGTTTGAACACACAAGGCGTTGCTAAAGGTGAGCCCATGTACCTAGAGAAAGGTCAGCCAAGTCCTGTTTCCGTTTGCAGCTACGAGAACGCACGCTATCTGGTTCCAGTCGAAGGTCACGGCGGTCAACCCCATTCCGTGGAAGTAACTGGCGTGGGTTGACTTGAGCGTGAAAGAAAAGAGCGTGAATGATGTATGGCGCACCCGAAGACTGAGGCAATGACTGACGACCCATCATGAGCGTACCGCAACTACTGGAATGAACGGCGGACGCACCCGGGTCATCCGGCTTAATCCACGTCACCCACGAGAAATAGGACAAAGCGGTGACTACGAGAATCAGTCACCCTTCGAGAAACCGAAGAAAGTGCACGCACATAGGTATCCCGGGAAGAAGTCTAACGAGGTTCATCAACAATCATCCAAGGGACGGTCAGGAGCCCAAAACTTACACCACACGAACGACGCAATGAAGCTGTAGACGAAGAAGCGTTCCCTGGACATGCCGCCATGGCCGCCAATGCCGGCGTATCTGGCGGAGTGGAGGGTGTTGAAAAGAGCGCAGGTAATGAGGGACTCGGGCCATATCATGGATGGCGGGGCCACTAGGAACCGCTTGGCGACGCCGCCGACGGAGAGACCGATGAGCTGTGTCGAGATGACGAGGAGCCATTGGTCTGCGGGTGGGGTGAGGAGCACTCAATGGCGAAAAAGAGGTGCTGCGTACACGCGAAGATGAACGTCTGATTGTAGAAGTATCGCTGGACGGCGACGACTTCCTGTAGACGGCACGTCAAGAAAATCAGCACCAAACGCGATTGGGTCACATACTGTTGCATACGCGGACTGCGCGCCAATGGAAGACTGTGATTGTGGGCATGAGTTGCGCTAAACAATGACGTGCATTACGGGCACGCCGACTAACCATGATCTACAGAAGTTTCAGCTAAGCGAGCTCCGGAGGTAAGAGCCACTGACCGTGATCAGCACATGCTCCTTGACAGAAAACGGTCCTTGATACGCGATTAGGACAATAGCCTCCAGATGACGCGTGCGCGCTCAGCCTCACCTGGGTTCAGCGGTATGCCGAATATCGACCAGTTTGGGAGATATCGAGCGAAGGCGCAGCCGATGGGGAGGGAGAGGAGCTGAGAAACGATACCGCCAATGATGATGGAGGGGAAGCGGAAGGCGAGGAACTGATTGAGGCCGGGGATGAGGATGGCCCACGCAATCCCAATGATCCATGCGCGAATTGTTGACACGCTTTACTTCCGGTCAGCAGGAAGTGGCGACAAGAGATCGGGCCACTCACGGCATGTCCATGTCATCGGTGTTGGACACCGCGGAGCGCACTTCTGGGTAAGGGGAATCGTCCTCCCAGCCTTCAAAGTCGTCGTGCTGGAAGTTGGGGTCGTCGAATTCATCATCATCGTATCGGGTGTCCTGGGGAAGGCGTCAGTAGCTTGTCCCTTCCCCACTGCAAGCCTACGCACGTGAGTCTTCTGTCGCTCCAGGGAGTCCCCATCGATCGTCTCCCCCCAGAGGTTATACGGTGGGACGTACGATGCGGGCGAATCCGTGAAGGTCGAGTCGTACGGATCCACGGCAGCGTTCTGCTCTTCCTTCTTCTCCGTCTCGGGGTGCACCTGGTGTAAGCTCTCCGGCAGCACATACTGGCCAGAGCGGCGCATCTCGTACGTGAAGTCCTCGGCGGGCATAGTGGCAGCGGGAGGGGGCAGAGAGGCGCGCCTCCGAACACAGTTCGTCACTTAATAACTGCCTCCGCAGGAACAGTCAAATCGTGACCAGATAAGGGAGAAGCACATGCGGTCGTTGGGGGCAGTTCTGAACATGATAATCCGAGCCCACGCCGACATTCGGGGCTGGGGCGCTGCAACAGAGGCGCGATGCGGGCGCAGATGCTTTGCCGGCGTCGACCTACTTCTTTCTGAGATACTCAGCTTGTTCTTCTGGCACTGCAGCAGTGGCGTCGCCCGTCCTGATTTTCCCTTTCTGCGGGTCGTAAGGGGATAACATACATTGTGGCCTGAGCAGCATGTGCAACGGAAGTTCAGAAGCAGATGCGGCAGATTGATGGCTCATTTCGGCAAACACCGATAACGAACATTGCACGTGATTGGGATACGCCAATGCTCAGGAAATGGCGCAGGCTCCAGCGCGCCGGGAAACCATTGCGACGTATTGATCTTGTGTGGCTAGACGAGAAAAGTGCCCAATGAACGGCGTAGAATTTTTTTCGAGATTATGGCAACACTTGACGGAGGAGACGGCCCAAGACCTCGCCCCTTCATCATATGTCTGGAGACTTCGAAGGCGTTTATCTTCACCAACACCACACTGCATAGATATAGACGATGTCCTTCACCAAAGTTCACGCACACAAGGTCGGAAGCACAGTACCGGAACTCCTCGACCCCAGGGCCGCCCAGAGCCCATCACCGGCCTGTCGATACCCATCACGATGTTGCCAGATGGCGGTCATAATTGACCTGCGCTAATCTACCGCGAGAGGCTGCCAATCACCTCAGAATATCCAGCCATTTGCGCAGGATCACCTGGCGCGGCCAGCGCATGGCGCCCATGTTCTTTTCCCATCCCGGAGGCACTCGTCCCACGACAGCGCGGACCTTGGCGCGGGTCGGCAAGGCTCTGCGACAACGATTGACCGACTGTGATTGGGGGATCGACGACTCGGAAGCAAGTATTTGAGCCTAGGGACAACGCCTGATGGAATGGTCGACCGTGCAAGGCGATGCCGGCGACGACGAGTGCACAGCGCGCCAAAGGACGGGTACATAGCGCCAGAGCACACTGCGCCGTGCACGCCGTCGACGGCTTGAACGAGTATCAGCCAATGCACGACCGAGATAGACTTACCGTACGTCTCCATACGACTCTGATTATGAGCATAGCCTGAACGTGGCCCCCAGCATAGGACGCATCGCCTTGGCAGTGGCGATTCCTGGTATCAATGAGTTGTACCTTCGAGTCTTTTCCCGAGCCGACAAACAATTAGTTGACCTTCGATAGTCTTTTTCTTCATGAGGCCGCCATGCGCGTCATTGAGGCGGAGCTCGAGGCAGTTCGACATAATCATACCGCATCAGAGGCGTGCCCGAGAGATGGGCAGGAGGTCGCCCCCGAGCCCGTCGCAACGCCGCGGAGACCAGGTGTCCTGCGCCGCCGATATCAGGCTATTGCGCGTGCGCCGATATCGAGCCTCTGCGCGTGCGCAGAAAGCAGGCCTCTCATCGCAGAGCAATGCCCTCGCATACCATCGCGGCTAGACCGTCCCGCTCTATGGCACGGCTGGGCGGTCCCGCAATATGGCGCGGCCCGAGCGATCCCACCGCATACCGTATACTCCACATAGTGTGTATGCCAGTTCCACTGTGTATAGCAGTGGATCCCACAGTATATGGCCAGGCGCGAGGTGAGCTTGCTTCTCGATGCATAGACGGAAACAGACTCGGACGCACGCGCGACGGGGACGATACACCCGTGTGGTTTGAGCACCATACACTCAAGCGTATCGAGAGTGTGCACCCGCGCGCCTCGAGCCTAACTCGAGCCCATGGCTATTACACCCACGCGCAATGAGCACGATACAGGTGCACATGGCTGCCTCGTGAGGAAGCGTTTGTCAGGTCAAGAAGAGCCTCGAAGGCTGACTAGCCACTGCCAAGACTGAGATATACTGGGAGGAGGGGGTCAGCAGGCGTTCGGAGCAAGGGTCATGGTGTGTGGGCGTACGGCAGGTTCTTCGAGGTTGTACGGCGAGTCCTTCATTAACAGAGCGCGTGGAAGACGAGATAGCGTATCGTAGCCAGTGACTCAATCCGCTGCTCTTGCCCCTGTCGACGGCACCGCTGAGAAGTACGGCGAAGAGAGCCTGAGCACCCAAAGCAGAACAGTGACTGGCGAGCAGCGCGAATCGAGATTCAGAGCCTTGCACGCTCATGTGTGTTCATGGCCGGTCGTGGGGCGTTCGTCGTTTTCGTCGGTCGTGCATAATACGATATAATGGCCGTTACTGAGAAGGATCGGCGGGGGATATTATGGATCCGGACCGGGCTGGTTAGTGGTTACAGTACTGACATCCGAATCCCGATTTCAAAGTTCATTCTGGCGAAGCCTGAAGCAGCGAGCGTGTCCAATGTCCAGAGGGACTATGGATTCGCTTACGAGTGAATAAGGAGGAGCAGATGGTGGTACAAGACAAGGCTGTGTCCGTCACTGTCCGAGAGCGTGGAGGCGGCCGCGGCCCGAAACCCCATCAACAAACAAGCAATACTTCTCCGCTTTAGGAATATGCGTTGTTGGCCTTCCTGGTCCTTGACATGTCCCGCTCGACCCTGATCGGTTCTAGCAGAGTCTCACTTGTTGATATCTCTTGACCACTTGATACTTAGAGCGACTCTCACAATGGCTTTCCGGGAAGAGAGCACAACGTGTCACTCAGTGTATAATTCAGCAAGTGTTCTGCTGTCCTGAAAGCCAGACTATGTCCATATGTTTGTGCTGAACGACAGCCATACGATGCACCTTCATGCTCAGGGCCCTTGCAGTAAGCAGATAAAGCGGATAAAAAGATGACGGCTAGATCTCGTATTGGACACTGTGGGATTTGAACCCACGACCTCACGCAGTCAAACATGCGAAGCGTGCGCGCTACCCCTGTGCCAAGCGCCCGACAACGTCTGCATCACAAAGGGACATTGTTGTTTCTGACTTGTGTTAGGCTTTTCCCTTGGAGCAGGTAGGCATATCAAAGCGTGCATCCGATACTCGTGTCTCGTTGCAGTCATCAGTCATGTAGTCTGCCTAAAATAAAGATACAGAGAGTCGGTCTCGGTGACTTCCAGAGGAGGGTCCATCTCCCCCTTCCACCTCCTACACATCGAACACCACGTCCAGCGCCTTGAACGCAGTGTTCCCTGGCCACACCTTGATCGGCAGTTCGCACTCGACCGTCTCGACGCGTACCGGCCGCCAGCCGTCCTCCTTGCCCCCGAAGTTGACGCCCACGCCGACACCGCCAGCAGGGTCGGGCTTGATGCCGTCGGACTCGCCCGACCCGTTGATCGTGACGTCCGCCTTGTCCCCTTCATTCTCGCCCTCCACGCCCCCAGTACCAAGCAGCGCAGCAGTGAGCGTGCCCAGCCCGTATCCCCACGACGGCGCTGCGCGGTGCGTTGGCGGTCGCGCGCGTTGTGGCTCTCGCACGAGTGGCGCAATGCCTTCCGTCGCGCTCCAGGCAGACCCCCACTCGCCCCGCGGCCCGTCACGCACAAGGCTTTTCAGCCGGACGCCCTCCGTACCCTGATCTGCATCGTCCGCCGCGACCGCGACGAGCAAGCAGAGGCGGACCTTCCACTGCAAGCCGCCGGGCGCAAGCGGGTAGCCGCCGGCGCTCACGTCGAACGCGGGGCTGCCGTCGGAGGGGATGTCGAGGGCGAAGGTCGCGCGAAGGGTGGAGAGGACGAAGGAGGCGTGGTGCTCGGCGTGCAAGCGGCGGTGGGGAGGTGTGGATGGCGATTGGAGGGAGTGAGGTAGGGTTTCGTGGGATTCGAGGAAGGCAGAGAGTTGGAGGACGCGCGAGCGACTGTCGCGCGCGTTGACCTCTACGACGCCAAGGACGGTCTCGCCCAATCGGTAGGCAGACTTGGTGAAGGTCAGCACCGCGACCTTGACGTTGTCCTTGTTCACGTCGTACGAGGCTGCTTGCAGTCAGTACACGCATGAGGATAAAGCAAGCGATGCACCTTTCTTCGGTGTTCGGGTCAGGATCTCCACCGCCTCTCTGCAACTGGAGACCTTTTCTGAGGCGTCCTCGTCGGTGTCCATCTCGCTGTTTGACTTCCACCGCGCCGGGCGGCCAAGGATTAAGCTGAGCTGGGGCGAGTCTGTCACTCCGTGCGCCAGACCTTCCGCATACTCCCTCAACTCATTGATAGAGCCCTCTGAAGATATCATCAGCCTCGCATTTACACACTCAAAATTGCAAAGCCCACCTTTCTCCCCCTGCCCAGGCAACTTCGGCGACGGTCGCCTCAGCGCATGATCCACCTCTTCCCTCACCTTCCCATTCTCATCCCTCGCTATTCTCCTGCCCACGGGCCAGAGCAAGTCATACGGCCTCGATAAACGGCCCACTATCCGGCGTTCAGCGTGTGTCCCATCTTCCACCACACAAACCGCGCACCAGAAACGTTGTTGTAGAGCCGTATTGGCACCTTCATCACGCGGCTCACGCCGCCCGCTCCTGGAGCTGCGCCTGCGCGGCAGACGCCGATGACGAGCTCGTAGGAGAAGCGGAGATTGCGACCGCGGAATGTCGGAGGGAGGTTGGCAGGGAGGGGGAGGGTGTAGGTGTCTAAAGTTGGTAGTTAGCATGTGGGTTGGTGAATGGAAATTACACACGCACATTTACGCGACTCGCCGGGGAGGAGGCTGAGGTCGACGGCGAGCATGGCGGGCTGCACGTCGAGGGTAGGTAATGGTTGCGTTGGGTCTACGTCTTCGATGTCGGCGGGTGTGGCAGCGATGAGTGAGCCAGCAGAAGGTAATGACGGAAAGGAGGCGCTCCCGGTCGAGCGATGCCCGAGGCGGGCGTTGGCGGAGACCGAAGGCGAGAGGTTGGGCGAAGAGGCGAGCAAGGAGGATATTAAGCCTGAAGCAGACGCGCTGAGCGATGCAGAACGCGAATGTGGTCGTCTTCGTGCAATGGGATTGGGGGACAAGATGTTCATATTCCCACCGCCGATTGCACCGCTGCGCTTGAGCGACGCACGCAGGGCACGCAGTTCCTGCGTCTGTACGGTGTAATCCGGGGCAACATGCACGGTGCCCGAGAGCTGCGCATAGGAATATAGTACAAGTTCAGTATTTGGCTGGGGGAATGTGGTTGAGAAGGATGTGCGGCCGGTCAGGGGGAGCTTGTTATTTGACGGGGAGGGGAGGCCTAAGCCAAGCTTCGCGGGATGGCGCGGGAGAGGTGCAAGGTGCCCGGCAGAGGTGCTTTCGGCGATGGAGGGGCGCGGGACGAAGGCCTTGGCGAGGGGAGGGGACGTCTCGGAGATGGTGTCGAGGTTGGGCGTGCTGGGGGATGCGGAGATGTCTGGTAGCTGCACCTGGCCGTCTAACACAGACTGCTTGCGCGCGTGGGGGTGCGTGGAGGAGAGGGGGAGCGTATGCGAACGCGCGTTCAGACGCGGAGCTGCGCGAGGGTCAGATCGAGTGCGACGCAAGCGGTGAAGGGCACGCACCTTCCGGCGTATGTCGCGGGGCTACGTCCGGAATATTGTAGCGGGGGGATTCAACGGTTGCAGACTTCGGTCCACCTTCTAATATCTGCCGCCGCAAGTCGATGCTCAGGGACAGCTGCCTCGACCGTACGCTCGCGTCCTCCTCCTCCTCGTCCCGCTTTCCTATGAGGCCCTTCCGGCTCGATATACGGTTTTGTGATCGTGAGAGCGGTGACGGTGCATATACAGTTGTGGGCGCGCGCGGTGTACGCGGGGAAGTCGGCGGCCTGGCGAGCGGCGCGGAACTAATCGAATGAGCTGCCCGCTTATGTGTGGATATGGAAGGTCGTGGCGCGTTCGTCGTTGCCGGTGGTCGTGTGTTCGTGAAAGTAACCGTAACTGCGAAGGGTTCGCCAGCGAAATACGAGGACTGGGCTGGTGTTACCACCACCCGGATCCCGGTTTCGGAGTTCGTTTGGGAGGAGCCTGGGACTGCAAGCATGTCCTGAAGGGCTTGAAATACGCTGGCGCGTGAATGGAGAGGATTGAGGGAGGAGAGGGTGGTGGTACAGGACAAGATGCTCGGGAATAACTCCCATTTTCGGAATGCGCTTTGTTTTCTTCCCTTGACTCCGGCCATCATCTTCTACTCGACCCTGGAACAGCCCTGGCAGTCTTTCATGCTACAATGTCTCTTTCATACTTGGAAGATACTCTCGTGCAGCTTCCTGAAGAAGTAGCGCAGCGCCTCAGCTTGTTGGTAGACGTGGCCCAACTTCTGCGAATAGAAGATGCCACCCACTTTCTTAGGTCCGTCACCCGTCCAACTATTGAAGAAAGACATCCATTGAAAAGATTTCTTCGATTAGCTACTCAAACGCTCTTTCAAGGCTGTCGCAAAATTCTTTGGAAGCCAAACGCACACTAGCGCGACTGGACTACATAGAATCCGAACTGCGTGCGCATCTAGCAGAAATGAAGCACGAGGAACGATTGATCTCAAAGTAACCTGGCTGGAATATATCTGCGCGTATCATGACGTTGCTGACCACAGCCGACCAGATGGAAATTAACGATGAATGAAGAATACCCAGACGGCGAGGACTCACGGGCGGTTCTACGTCGTCGAGACGCCGTCCTTCGGAAGGCAAAGGAATACAAGACCGAGCTAGATCAATTGCAAGTGAGTGGATTCTTATGGTGACCTTTGTTGCCGAACACGAGGCTTGACTTGCTTTTCACCTCGATCTCACCTCGTTCTCCTGCATGGCTCCTTCACTCACGGTCCATGCTTAGGCTGAAACTCCCCAATCGCCATCTGTGACTATCGGTGATCTCGCCACGCAGCAGGAAGCTAACCGACAGAGGGAACATGCGATGAAGACAAAGCGGGCAAAACTGAAGGCATTCCAGGGATTATCGCCGGTGCGTCACTGCCTCTTGTACATGACACTCCTCTCGTTTGCGATCATGTATATCGGCTTGCACTCAAATCCCCGATCCTCATTCTTCTCGCAAATGGTTTGCCTCTGGCTCACTCCCTTAGAACCCCGACCTTGCTCGTGCCCAGCTGAGGGACGCCCAAGATGAGCAGACTCGGCTTATAGGCATTCGCGAGCAGATCCTGGCGAAGATGGCAGATAGCGTGGTATAAAGTCGGCGAGCTTCTATGTGCGTTGAGTCTCTATAGGCTTTTGACCCTTGATTCACCGACAGCAGAAGTTCGCCCTGTTCCGACGCATTGTTCTACCAGAACGCTGTCCTGAGCGTGCCTATAAACACGATCGACTCCTCCGACCCCCCTTCTCACTCGCGCGGATACAAACGGAGGTTCGATAGACGACATGGAATCCTTCATCATGGTTGCGGCAAGCTTCGGACCCTCGTTGAGCTCAATGAGAACGGCGCGGCCCACAGCCAACCCCATACGAGTGATGCAGGTTGACTTCTTCGGCAGAATTCCTTCCAGCTTCCTGACAAAGCACTCGTAGGGCTGCAGAGATAAAGGAGGATCAACGAAGTAAGCAATTGATTAGACGGCATGTAGGAAATTCCACGGAAGTCGAATAGTCGATGTACACCTCCTCGTCGGCTGTGCCGCAAACCACTCGATGCCCCATCCGCCAGTGTATCGTCTGGCATTCTCGCGAGCAGTAAAATGCACCACCGCTATGGCACATCTTGCACTCTTCTGATTGCTTGCCATTGCTCGGGCGAAGGTGATATTCGGAGCCTGGAAGTCGAAGACCTCGCCAGGTTGCTGATTTGGCAACTCCCGAACACATGTGGCGTTAGCTTGAGCCACAACCAAGCAGTGACACAGCCAACACCTGGCTCGTCCTTTCCAAAACAACGATGGACATGCATTAGATACGATGCGACAAGGTAGACAATAATTTAACAAAAAACTTCAAGAAACGTCCTCCTTGGTATCTTGCCCTTCCTCCCTCTTTGCCTGCCTTCTCCACGGCCGTCCACCCACACCACACCCCGTTATTGCTCCCTCGGCGACTCGCTCACCGCGCCGTACATGTACCGCGCGTTCGCTTCCCCATTTCCAGGCGTCGCCGTCCCGCTACTACTGCTCACCGACGAGTCCTGGCGCAACAACGACTGCCGCGCCGTCGCCTGGCGCAAGCTCGACGCCCCATGCAGCGACGGGTCATTCTTCAACAACGGCGACCCCTCCGGCGGCGTCCCGCCCACCGACGACGCGCCCAACAACGGCGAGCCCTCCGAGATCCTCGCGAGCGACGTCTTCCGCAACATGTGGCGCTCGACGATGCCGCGCATGATCGCGGCCGTGCCCTGCCTGCGCGCGCGCTTCTTGTGCAGGTTGTCCTCGTAGCGGTCGGTCTCGTCGACGATCTCTTCGGAGATGATTTCTTCGATGATGTCCTCGAGGGTGACGACGCCGAGCGCGCCGCCGGCCTTGCCGGGGGTGTTGCTGATCAGTAGGAGGTGGGCGCGGCCGGTTTGGCTGGGGAGGGGTTGAGTAAGGTATATACACAAGTACAAATATATGCGCACAAGTAGTCGAGGGCCTGGAAGCAATTGATAGACGGATGCGCCTCCGGCAAGATCGACAGCGGGAACGAGGAGACAGGAAGTCCTTGCGCAGGATCGTACTGCAAGAGCTTCTTGATGAGCAGCAGACCGATGAACGAGTCTGGCTTGCCAGGCTCATGAACCGGGAAGCGCGAGTAGCCGCTCAGCACACTATGCAATCTCGTCAGCGGCCTCCTCTCTTGACCCACCACCCCCTCGACTCACATCTTCTCAATCATATCGTGGTCCAGCACCGTATCCGCCCCCAGTGTGACCACATCCGGCATCGGCGTCATGATCGTCTCCACCTTCTTGTTGTTCAGCTCGAGCACGCCGTTCAGGATGTTGATCTCGTCGTCCCGCAGGGGCTCCTCGCCTGTGCGGTGGAACTGGAGGAAGGACTTGAGCTCGGCCTTCTTGTACGTGTGCGCCTCGTCCTTGCCGAGGACCCAGTCGAGGAGCTTGGCGGTCGGCCAGGCGATGGGCGAGAAGATGTACATGAGGCAGAGCACGAAGGGCGCGCAGGCGGCACCGATGGCGAGACCGTAGCGAACGCTAAGCGCTTGGGGGATCACTCTGGGGAGGATGAGCCTTAGGGGGATGAAAGCTTTGAAAGACTCACTCTCTAGATTGGTGAAAGAGAGGGCACAAGTTAGTGAACGCTCATCTTAGGGTTGAGTAGGCGCACCCGAAAATCACTGCGAATTCATTAGTTCATGTAGGATAGAACATCAGTAGATGTCGGCACTCACCGATGGCTACAGTGGAAATCGCGACTGCAGCTAGTCCGCCACCGATCTAGCACTCAATGAGCGAAAGTTCCTCATGTCGTCATTGTTCCACTTACAGCGCTGTCGAGGAAGATGGGCAAGCTTTCATTGATGATCTGGGGAAATGAGTGTCTTGACCGAACTGAATCGCGTCTGACGTACGACGTTGCCGAGAAGTAAGACCTGGCGCGGGAGATGAGGAGCAAATCGAGGTAACTATGGCATGTGTACGCACGACGAGGACCCAGTGTCTACCCTTCCTCATGAGGCGGAGGACTACTCGGGTGTCAGCTCATTGTCTGCGGCAAGCGCGACTACTACGCACCCTTCTGCGCATTGCGCTTCTCCTTGATGTCATCAGACGACGCGGAGAGGACACGCAAGTGCAGCTCGTCCAGACCCATGAGACCAAGGGTAAGACTAAGGGGGGACCATTAGCGCGCTGCACACTCCGAGCTCGATGACGACGCACCCCGCGAACACTCCTCCCGCAAGAACGAGCACCGCGCTGATCGCGAGCTTCCACCAGAACTCGGGGGAGCCTTTCGGTGCTTCCTCCTCGCCCGCGGGGACCACCTGCGCGTAGAAAGGCGACGCGAGAGCGCGGTGTATGATGAAGATGAGGACCGGGAGCCTCATTCTGCAGTTGAAAGAGGGTGAGAGTGCCGAGGTGCTTGTACGCTTCGCGCCGTACGCGTCGGACTCAGGCCTTGCGGTGGGAGAAGATGATGGTGGAAGGAGAGAAGGGAGCGAATTTGTTTATGTTGCACTTCGGTGTGAAGAGCTTGGCGGCCTCCGCCACCGGATGCCGATGACGCCTACTTCCGAATCAGGCAAGCCGCTAACCTCTTTTGGACTGCTACGGTGGCGTGACTTCGTGGACGCGCTCGGTCACACGCGAACGTTTGCATCTTGTTCTGAACCACGACGTGATGTCCGCGACACAGATCACCCCGATATCCTTTATTGCCCTCCCTCAGGAGATACTACTGCATATCATAGACTTTGCGCTTCCATACGACATCCTATCCCTGCGTAATGTCCGTACTCTTTGGCATTGCTCTAGTTGACTACAATTCATCGAGTCATAAAGACCTGCAAAACAATTCATCCCCTTACCAGGGCTCGCTCGGTATGGGCTAACGCTGTCCGCAAGATGTGCTTCGAGAAAGCTCTCTTCGCGCCCACATACGACCTAACTCAGTTATCCCGCCTACACCTTGAGCACGCAGCCACAGCGTCGCGTAGATTTTCCAAGCTATTGATAAATAACGGATCCTCAAATCTCGAAGACGCTTAGAAAGTGCATGCGATTTCCAAGCGACTACTTGAACTGCGTCTTCTCAGGAGTAGCGCTGCCAACGCCAACTTGAACGTCCGCGAGGATGCCTTCCGGGAGTTCCATCTACTACCGGGCGGTCGCTTTCTATGGGCGCGCTTATCGGAGAGTGTTCACTTCTGGGACCTTGGTAATAACGCGACGGACCTGGCGGAACCGTTCCCAATCTATCATCGACGTATAAAGAACTTCTCGGAGCAAAAGAGACTCCAAGGACCGAAGAGCCTGACGGTCCTAGCATGGCTGTATTGGCGGGCCCGCGGTGGTAGTAGCTACACAGCTCTTCTCGTCCCTTGGCCTGTCCGGGGTCCTCAAGAACGTCGCACTTGATGCCGCAAGCGGGCGATTATGCTTCATCGACGAAGCCGACGAGCACAATATCTGGATAGTGGACTTCCTCCTCCCCCAGCGAGAATGAGGAAGGTCGATTCAGCGGCAATGAGGTTGATGAGTTATGATATGGAAGCTAGGCTATGATAGGATGGGATGGTCTACTTCGTCGGCGTATGCCCCAACTCGGCCAAGTGGTCGACTCGGATTGGCGCCATCCCCTTACTCCGCTAGCCTCAGCACGGCCACCGACTCCACGTGCGCGGTCTGCGGGAACAGGTCGAACCCGCGCACGCTCTCCACCCGGTACCGCTTCCCCTCCACCTTCTCCATCTCCCGGAGCACCCAGCCCACGTCCCTCGCCTGCGTGTGCACATTGCAGCTCACATACACCACCGCCGCGGGCCGGAACTGCACGAGCTGCCTGAGGAACGGCTCGTCGCACCCCTTGCGCGGCGGGTCGATCACGACGGCGGTGCGCTCCGCCGGGAAGTCCTTGACGGCGCTGAAGATGTCCGCCGCGTCGCCCGCGCGGAAGGTGCACTTGTCCGCGGGGAGGCTGTTCAGCTCGGCGTTGCGCGTCGCGGACTTGATGGACTCGGCGGAGAGCTCGATGCCGGCGACGGTCGCGAAGTGCGGCGCGAGCGCGATGGCGAAGAGCCCGGCGCCGCAGTACGTGTCGACGAGGTGGGTGAGGAGCGAGGGGGTGGAAGATGACTCGGGGATGAGGGCGTCCCGGACGTAGGTGGTGAGCGGGGTGAGGACGGCGTTGTTGTTTTGGAAAAAGGAGTGGGCGGGGTACTCGAAGATCTTGTCGCCGACCATCTCGCGGACGTTGCCCTTGTGGCTTGTCACGGCAATGTGCTTAGTGTTTGTGGTGTCGGCAGGGTCGAGGGAATCGCGGAGGATGAGGGATACACCTTTTTTGTACGTCATGATGTTTCTGATGGGCATGTTAGACGGGAGTAGCAAGTGGAGTTGTAGCGCTTACTTCTCAATCTCCTCACGCATCGGCCCGTACGTTTCTCGCAATATCGGTGTGGCGATAGGGCAGTCCTATATTGTCAATTAGTGCATCGTCCTAGCAACAATATGGAAAGCATACCTCGATATCCATCACGTTCTGCGTGCCCGCGCGATTGAAGCCTATCCTCAACCATTCGGGCTTCTCCCCTGCAGGCGGAGGCTCCCTCTGAGCGGCCTTCGGAGGCGCATTGAAATGTGGGGTGATCTTCGTGCGGTAGCCATACTGCTCAGGGGAGGGCATCGTGGACCCAATCTCGGGTATCCACTCGGAGGGGACGTCTGCAATGTCTGTGAGCAAGGGCGACGATGGGTAAGGGCCAGGGCTCACCAGCGTAGTGCTTGTACGCCTTCACGACCACGTCCCGCTTGAGCTCGAGCTGCTTCTCGTATGAGAGCTCCTGCAAGTCGATCAGCACATACTCCAAGTGATCGGCAGGCCACGCACCTGGTACTGGCATCCAGCGCACTGTGCGAAGTACTTGCACTTCACGCGGCTCATATCCCTCATCTCCGCGTTCGGCTCGAGAACCTCGAGCATATCCGCGCGCGAGTGCAGCCAGCCGTGGCGGTAGACGCGAACCTTGACCTTCTCACCGGGCAAGCAGAACGGCACGACGAGCACCCACTTGTCGCGCGGAGCGGGTGCGACTGCGAGTCCGTCGCCTGAGGGGATGTGAATACTTGGAGTTCATGCACTCAGTCATGCGGGGAACTGACCTGAAGACGACAGTTTGCTCACCGTGGCCTCCAGCTCCTCCTTGAACTCGAACGGTGGTGCTGCCTCCGTTTCCCCTGCGACGAGAGCCTCCACCGTCTCCGCGCCTAGCACATCAGCGATGTCCCTCCGCAGGACGTCGTCTGGGGAGCACGGCTCGGGCGCAGCGTCCTTGTTCTTCCGCTTCTGCTTCCTGTTCTTGGGGTTCGCCTTGAACGTCCGCTTGTTTGGGCCTGCGCTCTCGATTCGCTGTTTCTTTGCGGGAGGCTCCTTCTCCGATGCGCTCTTGGGTGATTTCGGGGAGGGGGACCTCGGTCTGGGGGATTTGAGACCGAAGGGAGCGGCGCCTGGCGCACTAGTAGTGGGGGTCTCCATGTCGCGTTTATTCTTGTGCTTCCAGTCGTTGTATATATGTACAGGCTTGCCAGCAGGCCGGGCGTATGAGCGGAGTTGTCCAGATAGGATCCTGAGTCTGGCCGCTAGCATGAAAGTCGGAAACAAGAAGCGCGACCGCACTTTGATTGCTTTGCAAGGCAAATTTCCTCATTGGCCGATGGTCGATTAGGCGCCCAAGGCGGGAAAGCTATACCAGCCAACAGAAGACGGGAGATACAGTTCGATTAGAAGTGCTACATGCCTTACATCTACGGCGGAGCTACATAAGTTATGAGAGGTAAAGGGAAAGCGTTGTACATCGACGGTTTCTGCTACCAGTCAAGAAGGATATAACATATACACGCCCGGTATACACCCCGGCAGAGTCTTTCAAGACGCCGTGCAGAGAGCACAGTGATATTAGTCGTACACGATACAGTAGTACGCCGTAGGTCTTCAATACATCTGCGACACGACGCGGCGTCAGTACGCCCTCCCGATGCGCGAAGCCCGTGGGTGGGTTGTACTCACTATAATCGTAGGCAAGGTATGAGGAAGACTAGAAGCCGAAGAAAGTTTTGCGCTGCTTGCCGGACTGTGACTGCTTGTCGAAGCCGAGCGCGCCGCTCGAGCCGCTCGTGAACGAGTGCGTGCTGCTGCTCGTGCCCGGACGGCGCACGGGGCTCGCGCCCGAGACGCGGTCGCCGGGCGCGGAGCCCGGGAAGTACGACTCGTTGACGCCGCCCGAGGAGGAGCCAGAGCTGCCGCGCGTGGAGGGCGGGTGCTCGTTGATGGTGCTGAAAGAGCCGACGCTGGCGGAGGCGCTGCGCAAGGCGGAGACGTGCGTCGCGCGCTGGACATAGTGCCGCGTGAAGAGGTCGTTGTGAATCCAAACGACCTTCTGGAGCGCGCGCAGAATTTCTATGCGGCGGTCCATGTCGAAGTCTTCGTTCTTGAGGATGACGGGTGTAAGGATGTCGAGGGTCCAGGCTATGTGGAGAAATAAGCATTGAATGTGAGAGAAGAAGCACGATCACTTACCAAGGAGGATGGCCAGGTGCATGATATCAACATGCAACGAATCCTTCCCCATGAGCTTGCGGTGCTTCAGGCCAGCCTTGCCGGTGTGCATCACGCCAACGTTGTCTGAGGCGAAGGGTTAGCGTCCTGGGCCTTGAGCATCACACGGCCGGACTCACCAAAGTACTGCCACGTCGAGAACTCCTCGTAGTCCGACGCGAACAGCTTGCGCAGATAGACCGAGAACGTCTTCTTGCGCATCTGGATCTGCGGCGCATCAAGCGTCAAGTGGTGTAGATCCGCGAGCACCCTGCCCTCCGTCCCCTCCTTCCGCGGCATGAAGACCCGCTTCGTCACGTCGAACTTGAACAGCTGGTGGTACACCCGGTCGACAAGATCAGGAATCATCGGCTCAATCACGGGTGCGATCTCGTTCAGCGCGTCGATGTCCTCCGAGTCGAAGCCCACGAAGCGCGTGAGGTAGTCAATGCGTACGCGCAAGTTGGTGTAGAGCGCCTCCTCGTCGTACTCCGCGTACGGCGGGTTCTTCTCCCCGAAGGAGGACGTGTTCGAGAGGACGGGGCAGAGATTGGCTCCCCCGGAGTGTCCACTGACTGGACAACCGTGTGCCATCTTGGTGTGAGAGTTCCCGTTGGGTGGCGAACGCGAAGGTCCTCCCCGCGTTACGTGATCGAGCTGGTAGTCTTCGGAGTGGTGATGAGAGGGAAGAGGCGGGCACGGCGCGTATGCGCGAGTCTGCGGGTCGTATGGGGCGGGCATCGTGCTGTATCTCTTGACTTATAATCGGTGGATGTGGGAGCGATGGGGTGCTGGCGGGAGAGGAGGAAAATTTAGAGGGGGACGAAGCGCGTCGCGGTGGAGCATTATATCAGAAAGCAGCCCCGAGCGACATAACGCCATCCTCGCGCTGTGGCTGGACACCCGCCGCGTCCAGGCCTGCTCGCCTCGCGAAGTCGAGGCCAAGGTATTTGCTAAGGGTAACAGGCACTCGCAGGCCTCGTCCTCGGGCCGTGGCCGAAGTCACTGCAGAATGAGGCGGGTTGCCGCTGGGTTGCCGGATGGTTGTCACCTCGAGAGAATCAGAGATCATGGAAAGATCTATCGTTTGAATCTTGCCGGCGAAAATCGGCGCCCCGCATTTTCCCCAGAGATCGACGAGTGCCTGGGATGCTTGAAGACCGAACTCGCCCCGGAGTTCCTCGCTGACAATAATGCTGCGGAGCAAGGATTCTTCCTCCCGTGTTCAAAGAAGCGTAGATCAAACTTCGAGCACTTGGAAGCGTCTTTCGGAAAGTCAAGGAGACGAAAGGATGGTGTTTTTACCTCGGGAAATTACTTGAAGATGGTTGTTTCATACGATTAGTTTTCATTTTGGCGGGAGCAAAAGAGGAGGCGCTGTGATGAGGCGGCATTGGCAGGCACCACCAAATCCGTCCAGGTCCCGTTCACCTTGTCAGCGACGCCAACGCCTATCATTCGATTCGTTGCCGCCGTGGTCATCGTGGTGACCGGGATGCGAAGGTGGCGCAAAAGGGGGGAGGAGGCAACGGTTGACGCACCGCGAAGCCGAAATGTGACAGTCACGTGAAGGCAGTTCGACTTCCAGAATTTGACTCTGAGGGCATTCGAAAGCGCGCTATGGGCGTCAGCAACAAGCTCGAGCGATGTCTGGGCATAGTTTTACGGGTCGGCTACACTGTTCAAGTCAACCTACAATGTACGAGGTCCAGCACCAAGGTACGGCGCCTCAGCGCCACAACTCGAGTCTCGAGTGGCAAGTTTGGCGCGCACGGCTATTCGAGTGCCTTTGCAACGTCTCCAAAGCCGCAGAAGAGTGGTAGGACGCGCGCCAGGGCCTCATATCTGCGCGTCTAGCCCAGGGCTGCATGGCGCACCCAATTGCCGACCGGGTGTTGCGCGCCCAACTGCCGAGCTGGCGTGCACACAGGTTGCAGCCACCTACGGCGGCCTATTGCTGCGCGCGCGCATCAGCAAGTGGCAGGCACCGCGCAGATTGAACTCCCGACACACCTATGCGTCCCTCTCGAGGAACATCCGAGAGTCCAGGGATACGAGCGCTTCCACTCAGCATCCACCAATACCCTGCCCTGCTCTCACCATCCCCGGCTATGTCTCCCTCGGCTTTCGTCCCGCCTGGCCCTCTCCTTCCTGTCATCATCCCAGTAGCGGTCGCGGGTTCGCGAGCCACCTTCGCTCCTTCTTCTAGATTTGCGCGCGGCTTCGACTTCGTCGCGATTGAACATGTCGTCGTAGCCGCCGTGGACGGTGCTGGGTGTCTCACTCCCCTGCATCTCGCGCTTCTTTCGGCGGATGAGCTCGAGCGCGCGCAGTCGCTCGGACGACTCGCGCGATAGGCGTTCGCCGATGACGGGATCGGCGTGTTGTATAGAGGAGGGGAGGGACCTCCGTTTGGAGGCGGATGAAGAAGAGGGGGAGGGATGAGAAGAGAGTTGCTTGGTGATCGAGGTGAGGGGATCGTGTGCAGACTTGCGATTGCTGTCTCGTCTCCTAGAGGAGCGTCAGAACCGGCAAAGTCAATAGCTTGATGACACGCACCTCCGTTGCTCTTCCTTGTCAGTGGGTGGGGGCATCTCACGGGAAGAGTACCAAGGATTCAAGTCCCTTTCTGATGGCGCGAGCGCGATCCCCTTGTCGTCTTCTGCAGTGCTTGTAGACGGTCCTGCCTTCTTTGAAGCACTGGAGGACTTGATCGCGGCTACCATGCTCGACTGCAACGATGCTCAGCCTCTTCCCTCTCGCGATGCGGCAGGTCCCACGCACCTGCTCCAAATCCTCGAAGAAGTTAATATGCCCGTTCGTCCTCGGTAGCGGCGCCCCCAGTTCCGCATTCACCGAGTTGGGAACCGAGCTCGCTAGCTTGTCGTCATCATCCCGCCGACTCTTCTTCTTCTTGTCGGATATGCCAGCTCTATCGCGGAGGAGGGCGATGCGCGCTTCTGCGTCCTGAGTTCGCGGTCAGTAGAGTTTGGAGTACTGCAAAGAGACTCACATACAGCCAGCGCCATCTTCCCCTCCGCCTGAGCTTCCTTCAGCTCTGCTTCCTCCTCATCGCGGCGCACGCGCTCGATATTGTCTCTGCGGTACGGATGGTAGGATTTGTGGTGTGCAATGACGAGTCTTCCCATGATAGCAAGCAATACAGTCCGAGGGGTAGGAAGTGTTTGTAAAACGGGATCTGAACTTCGTACGCTTGCAGACGCCGTCGATGTTCTTGACAAGTCGAGGTCAGCGAGCACGCCGACGCCACATGAGTTCGGGACTTGCCGACCAGACCGCTGTTCGACTTCCTCTTTCAGATTACGGTTGGCAATGTCTCGGTCTGAAATCAAGCTCCTGTCTCGGATTGGCGTACCCCATAATCCATGATAACTATTGGTGAACAGCCGAACGCTGCTTGACCTGGTATTCCTGTCTCGTGGCGATGCCTGGGCCCCAACCTCCTCCAACCTTTGGCGGCGATGACAAGGGCCCCGTCATGAGAGATCCCAGCGTAAGTGGGGAACTCAGGGTGGTCAGTTGCATCTTGATGCGGCTCTTCTGCCAAACTCACCATTATGCAGTCGACCACCGCGTTATACGATGACCTCCTGGCGGACTGGAGTGTTCACGGCATGCGACAGGGTACCTTCCCACGTTTTCTGCAGCGCCCTATTCCTCAAGAAGTATTCGCTCGCCTCAATCCCTCGCGAATTCCAAAGCATCCCCTCGACAAAGCTAAGGCGGTGGCCATTCAAGATGCGGTGGAAGCTCTGTCGGCCTACATATGGTACTTTCGCGCCACGGAGGCTCACAGTGGCGCAGGAGTCAGTATACTGCTGGATCATCTTCCTGACGTCTGGAAGTGGGTCAAATTCTTGCTGCGAACGTCGGGGAATCTTCATCACACCCGGGACGAACGCCGCGACGTGCGCTATGAAAACAAGGTCTATCTGGACAGCGACGGCAACGTGCACATGGGGATGGCGACGTGCAACACTCTACTTGGCGAGATCTTCGTCCACATACTCCAGACTGATGCGGGTCCTGCGGCATGCTTTGCCCGCGCGGACTTTATCGACATCGTCTGCACAATCCTCACCACCCCATTCCGCACATATGCGCCCGGGAACTGGCCCAACTTTCCGGACGACCTCGCCAAGTCTCTCCTCAGCCTTCTGCAGTCCGCGAAATACGGCTCGCGCGTACTGGCGAAGGTGATGTCCTTCGACGAGCAGAATGACTGCTGTCTGGCGCGCTCTCTGGTCGACCGCCTGGCGTGGTTCTTCGAGGACCGTCTCTCCGAGTCAGAACGCCACATACGAACCTACATCAGCCTCGCGGCCATGCTCCTGCAGGCATCCCCGGAGTGCATGTCAAACTTCCGGCGTCGCGGCGGGATCGCACTCATCGTGTACTTCCTCGTGCAGGTGCGACCAGCCCCCAAGCTCATGCAGCCAGCCGCCAACCTGCACGGCGCGCCCAAATTCGGCATGTCAGTCCTCCTCGACCTCGCCGCCTCGATGGACACCGTGTCGCCCATCGTAGAGGCCTTCGATGCAGGCGTTCTCAGGATCCTGGTTCAGCTATGCTTATTCGAGGACGATACGACCGAGCTGGAGTTTCGCCAGCTGAGCACGAGGTACATACAGACGGCCCTCGGCCCCGCGCTGCTGTGGCCTGATGTCCTGCGCGCGTGCCGGAAGGCGATCAAGGTAGGGCACTTCATCGTGGACATAGACGATCGTCGGATGGTCGACCGCGTGCCTGAGCTGCGTGCTTTCTTCGAGAGATATCGCGTCTGTCTCAAGGCTCTGACGGACCTTCGTGCGGAGACGAAGGCCTTGCAGCACTGTCATAGAGCGGAGGTATGTTTGCCTGCGATCATCTTACCCACTGCACGCTCATATCGCGTTACAGTGCCCCGGCTCGACCGAGCCCATCCGCCACATATGCGCTTGCGGCGCGGTCTACTACTGCTCGAGGATCTGCCAGAAGGCGGACTGGCGCGCACGACATCGCATCACCTGCACGCGTGGGATAGAGGCTTCTGCCCCTCCTAGCGGCCCATGGCGATCGCTCTTGCACGGAGGACCCGCTGAGCCACCCGAAATGGACCCCGCGCCAATTTCCATGTCCTACTTGGAGCGCATGTTTATCAAACGCTGCGTCATGCATCCCAATAACCTGCCCGCGCTGCCGCAGCTCGACGGTGGCATGGGTGGCGAGCGACTGTACATCGTGGATTGGACGGGTCGCGAAATGATGCCCTCCGTGATAGATGTGCTGGAATCGGAATCATCGACAGAGGGAGTAAGAACGACGGCTCGTGTATATGCGCGCATAAGGAAGGGGAGCGCTGTAGGAACGATACATGTGGGCACGCTAGACGACCGGAGCAGTTTAGATGCGCGTTTGGGGGATATTACCTTGTAAGGATGGGCATCAAACCTGATCAGGGGTCTCCTCCCAGATCTATCGACAGATTGTCTACCTACACTACCCAAAACCATTCTGTGACTGCCATAATCAATGATGTTGCTCTTCGGTTGGAGTTGTAGATCCATATGATTGATGTCACGTGTATGAGCTTGATGCGTCGGCGTGTTTTTTTTTTTTTTTTTTTTTTTTTTGTCACTGCATTTTATTCGCGCAGCAGGTAACTATGTAGTACCAAGACGCGCTAGCCCATAGGCGGGCACCTCTACTATGTTGTCCGTAGTGTCCGATCTCCTCGGCGGTCTCCGCATGTGACATAGTTTCCTGTCTGGTTGTAGCCACTGCAGGCTGGTTCGGTGTAGAGGTCGTCGAAGAGCGGCTCGAGTCGCGTGCAGTCGGTACGCCGAAGCGCTGTGTGTTTCTCTCCTCCCCTCGTTGCCCGATCCCTCACTCGTCTCGTTCCTCCTCCTCCTCGCCCGTCTCCCATCCCTCGTCCTCCATCCACCCATCCTCCCCCACCGGATCAGGCTCATCTTCCCACCGCGGCGCGCGCGGTTCTGCCCGCGGGTGCCCTGTCTTCGTGAATGCGCCGCTCTTCTTGAGGAAGCGGGCTAGCGCGTCAATGCCCTTTGGCGTGCCCAGGATCTCCGCCAGCGCCACGTCCTCGGACACCTTGCGGAGTATGTGGCGGTGCTGTTCGTAGATAGGGCATTCTTGTAGAATGTGAGGTCGTGTCTGTACTGGTTCCCCACAGGGGCAGTCAATGTTCTCGCTGGGCACAAAGTCTTTGTAGTACTCGCCGAAGAACCCGTGGCCCAGGCGGCACTGTACGACTCGTCCATACAACTCCCGGTCCCCGCACAAGTCCCGAAAGTGTGCGAGCGGCTTCAACGACGGTGCTATGCGGTTGGCGATGGCGAACCGTCCGGTTATCGGGCGGCGGTCCCACTCGCGCCTCCACGCAGACAGCGTCTCCTCTCGGCTTCTGCGTAGAGCGTTCGTTCTCGAGCGCGATTCCGTCGAATGCTCCTCCGCTGCGCGCTTCGCGAGCTGGTCGGCTCGTTCGTTGCCAGCGATGTCCTTGTGGCCGGGACACCACTCGATCTCGACCGTGAGGTGCTCGTGGTCGTCCAGCACCTTACATATCTTCTCGTGGAATACGCGCGAATATCGTTGACCTGCGTGAGGCCTCGGGTCGAAAATGGTACCTATAGCGGCAGTGTTGTCAGCGAAGAAGTGTAGGTGACGGATTTGGGGATTTTCTCTGATGTAGTTAGTGGCGAACTGGGCTGCCAGCATGAGGGCGGCGAGTTCTCCATCGTATACCTCGGCCTCCTCTCCCAGACCGTGTGCGATGGTCTGGACCTCGCGCCCCTTCCGGTACGCGACCGCTGCCGCGCCAACACGCCGTCTGCCGTTCACTTCGCGTTGGGAACCATCCGTATAGATGAGCAGATGGTCGTCCCTCCAAGCCAACCTTCCTGCCTTGTTGCAGTGCGCTTTGGCTGCTTCATCCTTCTTCTTGCTCTCTGTCCCGCATATTTGCATCCTACCACCGAAGTCGCTCGCGGTGCGCCGCCAGGGTGGTGCCGCAAACGGCGCGAGACGCTCGTGGCTCGGGTCCGTGTGTTTGGCTGCCTCGAGAATAGGGGTCGTCTCCTTCGTGGTGGGGCGTCGTCGCCTTTTCTTGGCGGGGAGGGGAGGGAGGCGCGTTGGAGTGTTCCCGCTGCGCCAGGCATTCGGTAAGCGGTCGATTATCGGGCTCTGGGTACTTAGCTTGTTTAGTCGGACGCCATATCGGCGTACTTCTTGGTCCAGGACGTGCCTTAGGGGTGGGATAGATGCCTCCACCTCGAGGGCGTGTATAGGGGACGTCCGGAAGGCTGCGCATATGAGGCGTAGGGCACGATGTTGGATTTTGCCCAATACCGTCTCGTGCTTTCGTTTCCCTGTCCACCAGGCCGGAGCTGCGTAAGTGATAATGGGAATAACACATGCCTTGTAGAGCGTCCGAATGTTGGCTTGGGACAGCCCGCGCACGGTATTCGACAGCATTGTGAGCCGTCGATGCGTCGGCGTGTTCGAATTCAATCTTTTTCTTTTGCTTCACGCCACGACGAGCCTCCCAATTACGCGTACGAACCTGGTCTGCGCCTTTGATTGCGCTGACTCTGACTCGTCGCTTTCGACTTTCTGCGCTCATCCCACGGTCAGTTGAACACGCGCTGTACCTCGTTGAGGCCTTCTCGTAGGTGAGTAAACACGGCATTGAAGTTGCGGAAAGCGTCTCGTACTGACTGACTTTATGTCTTTATGAAGCAATCCAAGTCATGACCGATGAACCTGGAACGGCCGTGTGGTCAGAGTGGCAGCGCCGCTTTCAAGCGGCGATGAAACGTTCCGAGACTGGCCCGCTGCGCCCTCAGTTCCTTCGTTCGCCTATCGTGAAGGAAGCTCATGCTCGTATGGACTCGTCAAAAATTCCGAGACGACCTTTCACGGTCTCTGACGCCCAAGTCGTCGACGAAGCAGTGCAGGCGCTGGTTGCGTACATGCGCTTACTAGAAAGGGTCAGCACCATCGGAGGCAGCCTCGAGAAAGAGGCGTACGCTGTGTTCCATCATATCTGGAGATGGTTCATGTTCCTCCTCCCGTTTTCGAACAACGTGGCGGACAATGGAAGCCCCGACAACGCGGCGACGCACTTTGTGGACGGCAAGATATCGACGGGCAGGCTACCGCTCTTGATCATGATGCGGATGTTCCTGAACTGCGTGTTGGGGTCCAAGGTCGGGCGCGCCGCTTGCGTAGCGCAGTACGACTTCGTCGACGCCTTCATCGAGGTCTACACTGATCCCACCTGCCCTCGAGGGATCGTCCCGCAAGTATCATTCGTGGCGCACCTCTTGATCCAAAAGTTCGCGCGCCTTCTCGACGACCCCGAACACTCCCCCCGCCTCATGCGCGACATATGCGAGTACGACCGTCACTATCCCGGCCGCTTTCTCTCCGCTCTGATCGAAGAGCATCAGGGGACGTTCGATATACCGTTCGAGGAGGGCTTGACGCCTTATGTCGATGTGAGCCGAAAGCTCCAGGGGTCAGATGCCTTAGTGGACAAGTTCGTCAGGACGGGGGGTGCCAAGAAGATCGTCGGTCTCCTGCGGAGAGCAGTCGCTGACCTGATCGACGACACCCCGTCGTTTGCTGAGCGTTTGAACACGTATTGGATGTCACAATTCCATCTCCTCGCCATGACGAAACACTCTGAGGATATGATTATGGATGGCCTGGAGGCTGGCCTGCTCGTATACTTCTGTGACGTCTTCGTCGACGCCCAAAGCTGCTTGCGACATATGGAATGGAGAAAGCCTGCGACGACATTCATCAAAATGGTGCTAGCAGCCGCTCTCGTCTGGCCGCATATACTATATGCGTTCGACTGCGCTATTGAGGACGACAAAATCAAGTACGATATCGACGAGATAGAGCCCAATTGGGACGCGCTCAGCGAGCTCTATCGCCTGTTCGAAAAGCGCCTCGCCATGCTGGCGGAGCTGAGGGCGGAGCTTAAGCCGCTGAAGTGGTGCCACAATGCGCAGGTAGGTGGATTACCTTCCACTCTCCTCGGGCCAGAAGAAATCGTCACTCACGTGTGTCCGCGTTCAGTGCCCGGGCGCCAGCGAGCCTGTTCGCAAGATGTGCATCTGCGGTAGGGTTTTCTACTGCTCGCGGACCTGTCAAAAAGTCCACTGGCGCGCAGAACACCGCAGACGCTGCGGCAGCCACGCCCCTAGTGCCCTCGCGAGTACGTATCTATCTCCGACCACAATCAGCTACTCCATGAACCTCCTCATAGACTTCGCATTGGTGAACCCGGAGTTACCAATATCGCATCTGGAGCGCCGATTCTTTGTCAAAATTGCCAGAGATCTCGCCACCCAATGCAATCTCCTTCAGTCAAAAGGAAAATTTATCACCACGCACGTCAATGGGAAGCCGGCGTATACCGACTTCGGCAAACATGTCGTTGGATACGCCATCGCCATAGACTGCACGCATGAGTTCATACCACAACTAGTTGCAAAGTTTGATGACCCTTTACCTGAGATCGATCCGCCCCGCGTATATGTGCGAGTTCGTCTAGGTCCCGACGTCGCTACTGTCTACATAGGCAACATTTCCAGAGATAATTGGTGATTTCGGCGTACAATTACACGACTCTTGTCTTGGAGACCATAGAGGTATTTCTTGGAACCTTCATTTCCCTGAGCGCACTTGGAAGCAGGAGGTCACTTGGACTTAGGAAATGGGGTTGTCCTGAGTATGCGGTTGCGCTCTTACGATTCTTGGTCGTCTTGTTCACATTGCAGAATCGACAGTCAGTATCGAATTGCTTGTTCGAAATTGAGCTCTCCCTTTGTCTGTGAAGCATCAATGAAGCATTAACGTGTAAGGGTGCGTGGTGCTTGTCGTCAACTTGAGAAGTTGAACTTGTGGGTCCATGACCACGTGCGTATCGGTTCGACCCGGTTTGGTCACGTCTCGCGTCACGGCTGCCGCAGTTGAAATTGCTAGCTTTTCCTTCCCGCCTCCATCACGCTCCGGAAGTCCTCAGACTTTCAAGTATCTGCGGCTGCAGCTCTGCGTCTGAGCTCTCGAATTTTTGATTTCACAAGAGAACCGGAGGTGAGGCGTGCCCTATCTGAAATGTGCTGCCTTTTATCAATGCTCATACCTCGAGCGCGCAGGTCAAATATGGCCCATGCACGAGAGTTTGAGACGCCATGGCAAAGACGCTTCCAACAGGCCTTGGACAAAGTCGGCAAAAATAAGCTTCAACAGCGCTTCATGCGCTCGCAAATAATCCAAGAAGCTCAAGCCCGCCTCGCCGCTTCGAAGATACCCAAGCTCCCTCTGCAGGCATCTGACGTGCCCGTCATCGACGAGGCCATGCAGGCGCTCACGATATACTCCTCACGCTTGCTGAGTAAAGCCTCTGAGAGCGGAGGAGACGTCGAGCAGGATGCATATGCGATATTCAGCGACATCTGGAAGTGGATCGTCTTCCTCCTCCCCTCCTCGGGCAACCTGGGCGACACCGGCAACTACGAGAATATGAGGCCGTCCTTTGTAAATGGTGAAGTCTTGATCGGGCAGCTGGCTCTGCTGGGCCATCTGCGACCCCTCTTTGGCAGCATCCTTACTGCTGGCTATCAGACGGGCCGGGCGCACTGTCTTGCGCAGCGCGACTTCATCGATGTCTTCCTCTCTGTCTACACCGCCTGGTACCCCCGGGGACTCTCCCAAACTACGATGTTCTTCACGCATCTCATGGTCCAAGGCCTACACCGCGCGATGGAGGCAGCCGACGATTCCTCGCGCCTCGTCGCCGATATTTGGTCGTATGACAACCTCCACCCTGGCAAATTCCTGACCCACCTCGTCAAGAACATGGCACTGCTCTTCGAGATACCCTTTGACGTATTCCATCCATCCTACTTCTACGTCTGCAAACCACTGCTGGAGTCGGAGCCGATGGTCGAAAACTTCGTCAGGAGGGGCGGTGTGAAGAGGGTCATCGATCTCTTACGCAAGGCGTCCGACAAAATCATCGACGAGACGCCGCCGTTCGCCGAGCAGGTGAACATCTTCTGGATCTCCCAGTTGACGCTTTTCATCCGTACGAAGTACGCGCAAAGAGTTGTTACCGACTCTCTAGAGGCTGGTGTGCTCCCCTACCTCATCCGCGTCTTCATCGACCCGAATAACTACCTGCGGGGAGAGACGTGGACGAAGCCCGCAACGTTATTCATCGAAAATGTGCTGGCGCCCGCCCTCGTTTGGCCGCACGTCGTACACGCGTTCTCGCGTGCCATCGAGGAGGACAACGTCAAATTCGATCCCGAGTTGATTAAGCCTGATTGGGAGGAGCTCAGCGACCTCTTATATCATTATCAAGTCCGTGTCGAGATGATACGCAAACTGAGGGCGACACTCAAGGAGTACAAGCGGTGTCACAATATGGAGACTGTCAGTGATTATTTTCATATCACCGTGACTGCACTCTCTGACGTCTCCACAGTGCCCGAATCCCATTCAACGAGTGCGGAAGATGTGCATCTGCGGCCGCGCATTCTACTGCTCGGAAGAATGCCAGAGGTATCACTGGCGCACCGAGCACTACGCCATATGCAGGAGTCGGGACGCTCGAGCTCGTGCGTGTATGGAGTCCTGTATTTTCGCTACGGAAGGCTGATATGCTTCTGTCAGATTTCAAGCTTGAGAATCCAGGACTCAACCTTCAGCACTTCGAGCGGTGCTTCCTCAAGATGCTGGTCCGCAGCCTCACCGACAAGATTGGCCTGCACCAATCCAATGGCCACACGATGATCACCTATGTTGATGGCGAGCCCGCACTCGTCAATTATCGCAAGCTTTACGTTGGATATGCGCTTGTCGTCGACTTTTCGCAGAGCTTAGTACCTAGATTGTCCCATAACTTTCCAGATCCGCTGCCGCCCTGCGACCCGCCACATGTCTACGCGCGCGTACGCCTGGGTCAGGAAGTCGGTGTCATTCTGATGGGTACGCTTTCGGCTGATTACTGGTAGCATGTCGTTTCCTTCGCTACGTTGATCCTGTACTATGCGCATCGACGAGGCTTTGCTCGACGAGATGGGAAGGAACCTGTTTCGCGCCAACTCAAGCCGCCGCTCCGCGGAAGCCGAGGTAGGGCGAGTGACACTCACGCTCATGGTTGATGTCACGCGTCACGATAATCCCTTGCTTCCTGCGTTCACAGCGATTTCTGAAATCTCCCGCCTAAGCTCATTGCGCTTGCCCCAGCCCTGTTCACCGGTTTATCTCTCCTCGCTTGACTGGGAGCCTCTATGCTTCTCATCTTCGACGTCAATTTCCAATAGACCGAACTCTGCGCAAACGCAGCTTTGCAGGTAAATCAGGTTGTAGCGTCTATTTGGTACACCCCGCTGAGAGACACAAGTAGTCGAGAATGCAGCACTTCATGGACTTGTATCCGTTCCCGCCGACGGACCTGCAGACGCGCTTCCTTTCGACTTTATCTCATGCTCCTCGACGGCCGTCCCCACACTTCACGGTCTTTCGGGAATTGCTGCAACTCCTGGACTCGGCAAAGATACCGAAATGTCCTCTCAAAGCCTCTGACGCGGAGACGATTGACGAGGCCATACAAGCCCTCACAACATACTCATGCGCAGTCTCACACGCGGTCGCCCGCGGAGTGAGCCTGAATAACGTGTACCGGAGCTTCGAACAGATTTGGCAGTGGCTCGTGTTCCTCCTTCCGTCATCGCGCAATGTTCGCGACGGCGGAGGCGACATCGACGTTAGGGCCTTCTTTGTCGAGGGGGAAGTGCGCTCGAGCAGGATTCCGCTGCTCTATGTCTTCCGCGTAATCCTACAGGGCGCTCTGAACAACCCGAACGCACAGTCCTGCTGCCTTGCGAAGTCGAACTTCATCAATGTCTTTCTCGAAGTCTACACTGCTCCGCGCCCTCGATTTGTCCGCTCGGTCACTATACTCCCCATCACGCACGCCATGATCAGGGGTCTTCATAAAGCTCTCGTCGATCCGCTTCATGCTTCCCAACTCCTAGGCGACATCTGCGAGTACGACGAAAAGCATCCCGGGGCATTTCTTCGCACTCTTTTCGGTGACCTATCTCTGGCGACTCTCGACGCGCGTTCGGAGCAATCCGAGTCCTGGCCATACGTCGAACTCAGCGAAAAATCGCTGCAAGTCGATTCCCTGCGCCGCAACTTCATCGTAGCGGACGGTGGCAAGGTTCTGACGAGGCTCCTTCGCACGGCTGTCTTCTTACCAGTCCACAACCCGGGGGCAGTCTCATACGCTTCGATGACAAACCTTCGCTGGCTTCACCAACTGGCGCTTCTCGCTGCGGAAGACGACACACTTCAGCTCCTCGTGGATGCTTTGAGGTCGGGCCTTCTCCGGTACTTCTTCCATGCTTTCAACGATCGCGATGGTTTCTCTGTGAGCGAGTGGAGGGACCTTGCCGATAAATTCCTCGATATCGTCCTCGTGCCCAAGCTGGTCTGGCCCTCTGTTCTCCGCGCTCTCAACTGTGCGATTCGCAAGCTCGCTGTGCGCCACAGTCCGGATGCACTTGGTCGAATCTGGGAGGCCTATCGAAAGCTTCTGCCAGTGTATGAGCAGCGACTCGAGGCGATGGCAGGACTGAGGGCATCTATGAAGGAGATTCAGTGTTGTTCCAACGGAGGGAATGTGAGTGTGAAAATCCAGCGTCCGTTGTATCGCTGGCTCACATATGCTCTTCATAGTGTCCTGGCAGCACCGAACGAGCACGCAAGATGTGCCGTTGTGGTCGAGTATCTTATTGCTCGCGGGATTGCCAGAAGAGCCATTGGCTCCAAGAGCATCGTGCGCTTTGTAGCAGCCCCGACGCCCGTGCTCGTGCGTACAGCATGAATTGATTGCTGATTTGACGCGAACGCGACTGACCGATCACTATGCAGACCTCAAGCTTGAGGATCCAGGAGTACCGCTGACCAACCTCGAGCGCTGCTACTTGAAGGCAATCGTGCGAAGTATCACCGACCCGACAGGCTTGCACCAGAGCAGGGGTACACGGATGTTGCAAGAAAACTCCGACGGTGGCTTTCCGAGTGTCATTAACTACAGAGCGTTATACGCCGGTTACGCCCTCCTCATCGACTTCGCGTCCGGGGGCGAGCCCAGATTTTTGCCTAACTTCGAGGACCCTTTGTCAGCTAGCACTCCGCCACGCGTATACGCCCGCGTACAGTTGGGCATTGCCTGCAGTATCATCTTCATGGGTCTTCTTACTCCTGATCCTTGGTAGTCGAAGTTCAGCTCTGTAGCCGTGGAAGGCGATGTCCGGTACATTAGTGCAAGTAGGATCCGTTACATATCGATACAGCTCGAGTACAACAGGACGATTTGGATAAATACGAATGTTCGTTGGAATGTCCCTAGGCATGCGCAGGTGATCAGCGCTTTTCGTAAGTGTTGTCATAAGGGTCGGTGAAGGAATGGCGCGACGGTGCGTCCGTCAACCAAGCGGGGTCCAGGATGCCCTCGCGAGTTGGGTTCTTCACACGCGCGTACTTTCTCCGCTCGCGGGCAGATCGGAGGATGGAGGCGATCAAGGCGAGGAGCAGCACGCCCGCGGCAGCACTCACAGCGATGGTCGCGGTGCGGTACCTGTCGCGCTCGGACTCGACGTCCTTGAGCTGCTCATCGATAGGCGATGCGTTGGCGTCGTTGGTGGCCGTGTTGCCAGCAGCGGCAAGTAGGTTCGCCTTGACGCCCGCCTGGGTGACGTCGGAGTCGGGGAAGAGAACGACGCTGTCGTCGATTTCGCATTGCGTGTCGTCGCCCGAAGGTAGCTGCAGAGGACCGGATCAGATTTGGATGAAAATGGTCCAAGATGTCAACGCACCGAGCCGTCTTTGAAGTACTTCGTGATGATGTCGATCGTGCAGGTCGACTTCTCCGCCAATGACGAGTGACCAAAGCCATCCTGCTTGAGGAGAACGGCGCTATCCCCAAGCAGATCAGCCATGAGCTTCGCGTTCTCGAAAGGGGTGACCGGGTCGGCCTGGAAAGCACAATCAGTCGAGTGCCTTCGATTGGAAGACAACACGCACCGTATTCCCGATGACCAAAATCGGGTTCTTCAGCTTCTTATTCCACGGCCCCGTGTACCGCTCGACCGCCCTCGCAGGCCACGCGAAGCACACATTGCCCTGCACACCCCACAGCGGGCCAAACATCGGCGACACGTTCTCCGAGGCCCACACGATCGAGTCGAAGCCGCCGCGCATGGTCATGTTCCCCGCGTCGACGCCATCGCCGCAGTAGATCGCCTCGAGCGCGTACGTGTGCGCGCTGGCCTCGCTGATCTGGCGCTTTGCAGTGCCGGTGCCTATTGAGCGATGCGTCGACTCGTTGAGCTGGCGCTTCGCGTGCTCGAGCTCGCGCTTGACGGAGGTGGAGTTGCCCGGGCCCGCCGCGATGTCTTCGAGGGATTCTTGGATCGCGTAGATGATGTCGTCGAGCTCGGACCAATGGGCGGGCATGTACAAGGAGTTGTAGAGGTAGGCGCGCGCTTGTGCTGAGGTGAGCGAGCTGCTGAGGTCGGCGCCGGACTCCAGGAGGTCGTGGGCGAGCTATGAATTATTTTTTGAGCATGAGAGCAGCCAGCAAGACCTTGGAGACGCCTTACATCGAACATATCCTGAACATATTTAGTGATGTCCGCAGCCGTGTCGTTGTTGCTCTTCGCCAGCTTGCAGCTGCCCTTGCCGGCCATCGCACAGCCAGTCGCGAAGCCGGCGAAAGCCTCGTCGGTGGACTCGACGTCGTTCGGGAAGTACTGTGTATGGGATCAATATGGAGTCGCCGGACAGCAGAGAGACGAATACCTCTGTGGTCGGCTTACTGGTGTATAGAATCGGGTCTGCAATCGTGAGCAATGAGCGCAGTCAGGGATGCGCAGTGCTCACTCATGCAGCCGTCGAGTATGACGTGTCCGACGCGGTCAGGGAACACTAGAAGTGGTTAGCTGTGCAAGAAAAGAAACAGAAGACCCGACTTACTATTGACGAAGATGAACCCGAGCATCGAGCCGTATGAGACCCCCCAGTAGTTGATCGCCTGCACCCCCGGATCGAAGTACTCCGCCATCGCCACCATATCCCGCGCGCCCGCCGCCGACCCCAGATACGGCAACGTTTTCCCGCTCTCCGCCTTCGCGCAGCTCGCGCCCAGCGTCTTATATCTCTCTTCCATCTCGTCGACGTGGGAGTAGAGCTCGTCGATCTGGTCTCCGTCGGTGAGGTTGCCCCTGATCTCGATCCCGGTGACCTCGAGCGTGCCGTTGAAAAGCGCTTCCCAGTCGTCGTCGCTGTCGAAGCAGGTCGGCGGGCCCGGGGTGGAGTGGCCGACGCCGCGGGGGTCCCAGGAGACGATGTCGTAGTGCCCGCCGGTCATGGCGCTGATATTGTGGCCGTACTCGAGGATGTATTCGACGCCTGAGCCGCCGGGGCCGCCTGGAGGTACTTGAGTCAATTGATGGGGTCGGTGAGCAGGGAAGAGACATACCAGGGTTGGCGAACATGGTCCCACGCCGCGACTTCGTTGCCGGATATATAGCGACAGCAAGCTTCGCGGTGCCCACCGATCCGTCCGCCCAGTCGAGCGGAACCTCGTAGTACCCGCATGTGATGTTGAGCGGGTCGCCGATGGCACCGTACTGGTCATCGAGCTTTCCGCAAGAGTGCCATTCGATAGACGAGTCGCGCTACAATTTCGTGAGCTAAGTGCAAGAGAGAGCGCGAGAATGGGACTGACCCCTGCGATAGCGGGCAGACCCGTTACAGAGAGGGCCCCGACGGCCACGATGAACGCGAGCGTCAGGATAGGTGTCACCAAACCCATCGTGCGAGGTAAGGGGAGGGGAAGGAAAGGGTGGGCGCCGTACGGTCAATTCATGAACGCGTACATATATCCGCGCGCTTGGTGGGCGCTCGTACAGCCCCGGAGACGAAACGGAGAAACTGTGTCTTGCTTGTACTGATCGCCTCGTTTTTCTGATTGAGTAACATGGGCGGGAAGCAGGCAGAAACCCCATGACTCGCGGCCGTCTACTGAATTGGACGCGTTTGCGGGACAAGATGACCGGGGGAGACGATGAGGCGACGTCGTATACAGCAGATAGACGGAGGTGGCATACAGCACAGACTGTGCAGGCTAATCTTCCTATGAATTTAGCTGTGGTCGATTTCCAACGAAGCAGGGACGAAACACCAATGAACTTACCGTGCATATTCCAAGAAGCTCATAGCCTCAGGCCTCAGGCGTTAAGGCCGAAGGTCACGAGTGTTCCGCGCACCTCGAAAACTACAGGCAAGGCCACCGGCTCGACTCAAGGCCCGGGGTGAATGAAGATGGGCAGTGCGAAGCTATATCCCGTCGAACGTCGACGACCCAGGACGATGGTATTGTACCTCTTGGCCTGATAATATCACCTCATTCCACATCCCAGATATGGCGTCTCGATGATCTGGGAGAACAAGACCCTGACGACGTTGAACCTGGTGCAACATGAAGGTTCGGAACAAAAGGCAACGAAGGAAGAAAAAGTGGACACTGTGGGATTTGAACCCACGACCTCACGCAATCAGTGATGCGAAGCGTGCGCGCTACCCCTGTGCCAAGCGCCCGTTGGAGAAAGGTAAGCCAATAGTCTCTATCAGGCATTCTTGCATCATCTGCCCTTCTCATTGCCATCCTCCCTTCGAGAACCCTCTCATTTACATGCCCACAAGCTGGGCTTCGACTGGGAACATGCCATGGACATTCAAGGACTCCCTCGACCAAGTAGAACACTGCCATAGAGCACTTCTCCTGCTCGACAAGCGCGCCATACGATTGGGGTTTATGATGAACAAAAGCACTGGGGAACGCCTACGGACCCCGCGAGGGATTATACGGGGAGCTAGGGTACTCGGTACTATGGAGGATGGAGGGGGCAATGAGGATAGGGCGGTAGGTAAGGTGATAAGTACGCGGGCGCCAGGATACGAAGATTGATGTTATGCTCGTTGTACCGGATGAGTTCACAACCCCTTAAGGGCTGGAGGGTAAGTACGTATGCTGTGGCGATATGTTTGTATGTATGTGTGTACGTAGGTGGATTAAATAGGCGTGAATATGCGACAGGGGAAGCGGCAGCGTAAGGTAAGTTATGTTGTTGTATGAGTGGAATGATCGAGCAGGTTGGGATTGAAGGGTTGGATGGGTGGGTGAATGCAGATGCAAAGGTGAGCGTGAATGGGGCAGGCGTATACTAGGTGATAAGCGAAGACCGGGGACCAAGGACGAACAACGAATAACACGAACAGATGAGAGATGCTAGATAATACACGGAGCACGGAAGCGGCTCGGGGAAGATGCAGCGATTAGGCTTGATATGAGTTGAATGCAGCGATGGTTCCAGAGATGCCGGCGAGATTTGGGTTGTTGGATGGATGAGTTTCGGTTTCGATTGATTAGGTGTTGGATTGGGCTTTGGGTTGGAATCGTGGGTCAATAGCGAAGATGACGATGAGTATGAGGGGTCTTGTTCCCGTGCGTGCGAGAGGTCCAGGAAGCAGCGTGAATGAGCAATGAGCAGCATGATGTTGAAGAGAATCTTGACGGCGCCTATCGCCCCACCGACACCGGCACGTCCATCCCCAGCGTGAACTCGTCCTCCTCCCCAAGCACCCTCTCCACCTGCGACAGCGGCTTGAGCGCACCGAACTCGGTCACACCCGCCGACGGCTGCACGATCCCCAGCTGCGCGGGCGTCTTCACGTCCATCCGCTGCTGGTGCATACTGCGCGTGCGCCGCCGCGGGACCAGAGGCGGCGCCTGCAGCGCCACGGGCTCCTCGTCCGAGTCGCTCCCACCAGCCGCCCACGGCACGCGCTCCTCCGCGAGCGAGGGCACCGGCACGGGCTCGTCCGTCAGCGACAGGTCGCCCATGCCCAGCTCGAGCTCGAACTCGCGCGCCGCCGCGTCCTCGTCCTCGCACTCGCCGTCGACCTCCGACACGGGGAACAGCATGTCGCTCGCGGTCGAGCGTGTCCGCCGCAGCCCCGCCGTCAGCCGGCTCACATCCTCGCCGCACGCGATCAGCTCCGCGAGCGCGTCGCGGGGAGGATCCGGCGCGTACTCCCAGTCGTCTGCCGTCCACACTGCTTGTGCGAGCCGCGAGCTCTGGAAGGGCATCGCGAGGCCGGATTGCGAGATCGCACCGATACGCCCGGGGACGAGGGCGCGGTTGAGCCATGCGCGGCGCCGTGAGCGGACTTCGAGGACGGCCTCGCGGTGGCGCTGCTCATTCTGCATCTGCTCCTGGCGGACATGGCAGGCGAGAAGCAGAGAGCGTAGGCGGCGCGTCAGCTCAAAGAAGCCACGGTACTCTGCGACTTCCGCGGGAGGAAGCGTCGTTGTTGAGCGGCAGGTGTGGTAGGAGGACGTAGACGTTAGGTGGTGCCGAGCCGGGATCGAGCCAAAGTGTGCGGACGATGGTGTATGCACGGAGCTCTCGTCATCTGTCGATTCGTTGTCCCCATCCTCCTCATCCGAGGAGTAGAAGATCGACGAAGGGACCGACGTGTCGGGCAGGAAGTGCATACCCGGGCGCATATCGGGCACCCGGCCACCGAACATGTCGACAAGCTCTGACATGCGCGCGAGGGTGCGGCGAAGCATGCTTTGCAAAACCCAGACGTAGTACCCATGGACAGGAAATCGTCTGGATAGCTCCGGAAGGACAAAGCGGCGGAAAGCGTCCACGAGGGTGGAGCGCGCGCGACGTCGAAGCGCTCGCGGGGATAGGCCGGGCTGCTTGACGGTTTGCGAGGCCTGCAGTGCGAGCATGAAGTCGTCTTGCGGGGTGCTGGCTTCAGATGTGGAAGGGAGTGACGGGGTCGTCGGTGATGAGGGGGTGGACCGACTATGAGAGTGGTGGGGAACTATGGACCTGCATATATGTTAGTCGCGACGCCTATAAGAGGCTGGTGGCCACTCACGCAACAAGGGACATAAGCAGCGACCTCTGCTTCTTGTGCCGGTGCGTCTTGGCTGTCGCCGGCGGAGAGTTGAGCGACTCTTGACCTGCCGCCTTCTTCTGCTCCGCCCTCGAGCGCTGCTCGTCGCGTTCCTGCTGCGCTGCGGACTCGTTGACGTCCTCCAGCACCCTGCTGAGCGCGCGCAGGCATTCAACACCCTCCATCCGCCACTGCAAGACCGCGCCGTCCTGGTAGCGACACGACACCGCGCGTGCGGGAACATCGAACAGAACCTCATCCAGGAGGCTCGGGATGCCGGCTGCCTTGTCGAGCGCGTGACTGTCGCTGGGGACCTCGAGGTCCTCGTTCGAGAGCGCGCTCAGCTGGATGTTCCACGCGTGGGGCTTCTGCACGCCGCGCTCCTCGAGCTCGGGGAAGGCGAGCGAGAAGAGGACGGTCGGCTGCGGGGCCTCGGGGATGAACTTGATGAGCATCGCGCGGGGCTTTTGTAGGCTTCGGCTGGCTCTGATGGACTGGCGAACGTGAAGTCTCTGCGCATGCAAGGGACACAAAGCGCCTGGATGAACTCGGGGAAGCGCGCAAGCTAGAAGAAAGGGAGTCTAGATGCGATCCACGGATTCAGTGCAACCAGGGAGTCCAGTTCAGATACCTGCACGCGCGCAGCCAAGGTCCTGCAGATGGAGGCTGAAGGCAACCCGCGAGCTCGACAGCGACCGACGACGACGAGACCGAGGGGCTAGTCCCGTTTTGGAAACAGTTAGGGGCAGGTCCAAGCGCGCGTCGCGTGCCTCCAGGGGAAGTTCAACATGCACGTGACGGCGTTAATGAACTTGATTCATTTGAGAACACGAGGCTTTCCTTCCTTCTCAAGTCCATGGACGAAGGAGGAAGCCAAACAACGCTCTGTCCCTCTCGACACAACAATTTGACCATGAGGATAATATTTTTTGGTCTATACACCCTAGCAGTTCGCCGAAATGTAGCCTCGTTGCACCATGATTGCACGAGCAATGGTCCGCATGGCCCAGGAACTATCTCTCTCGAAGTTACGACAGAGACCATTCGTCCTCATACGCTGCAGTCGACGTACTGGACGGCTGTTCTCATGCCATCAGGACTTCGTAACCGGAATATTGGAGACCTTCCGGCCTCAAAAAACGAGTGTTTACATCTCAGAATTCAAAGCTTTCCCTTTGGGCTTTTGACAGAATCCCTCGAGCATGCAAGTTGCAGGTGCCAGTGGACTGGCGGTCTGCGGGCAGCCGCCTTATCCAGCGAATCGGTCCATCATCGCCGCATTGATTGCCGCTCTATCGCCGCGAAATAAGCGCGCGCTTCCTCGTGACGTCAAGCGGATTGCACAGCTCCTCCTCGCGATGGCGGCCGCCATCACAACCGACCCGCGCAGCGCGCAGCATGGCGCGCCATCCTGCTCTTGCTTCCTGCATTCACTTTCCTCGTGCTCGCCGTCTCTGTCCCAAGCTTTCATTGGAACCTTAAGCGTCGAATAATCACTGGATACGCCGATAGACTGCCACGAATTAACCGCCCCCGATAGATATCTCGAAGACCACGTAGACCACCTTGCTCCGCCTTCTCCGAGACACCCTGCCCCCGCCTTCCTACTTGCTCTTAACCCCACCAAACGCCCTTTGCGTTCACCCTCCACACCATACACCCACCATGCCCACCAAGCGGCTCCGCGTCCTCGCCGGCCCCACCGCCGATCCGGCGAATATGAGCGACATCACCCAGCTCGTCAACTCACCGACGCCCTTCGAGATCAAGTCAGAGGACTTCGAGGGCAGGATCGTGGCATGTATCAAGGATTTCCACGCGGGCGTGGGCGAGGGCGAGGGAGGGACGGAGGACGGAGAAGGGAAGGACGATAAGAACGACGGGAGCTGGTATTTTGGAAGGGCGGACAGGCAGGGGGTAACGTGGAGTATACAGGTGCAGGGTACGTCTTCAGCTATATGTGACGCCCTCCATCTGTGTTGAGTTCCCCTCCCTTCGCAGGCCGCTTCCTCAAACCGCACCCCGCCTCCAACATCCTCTTCGGCAACATCTTCGACCGCCCGCTGAGGCTGCCCTGGGGCAGCGGCGCCGCGCTGAAATTCATGAGCTTCATCGACCCCACCCTCACGCACGACCTCGGGTCGCAGACGACGCCGTGGGCGCTCTCGCCGCTCGTCTCTACGATGCCGTATCTGGATATCTCGCCCGCGGGGCAGGAGCCTGCATTCCCGCATGGCGACAAGGTGTCTGGGTCCCCTTCGTCTGAGCCATCACCCGTCTCTTCCCCCGAAGCTAGCCGCCCGCCTTCCAAAGCGCCGTCTCGTGCCTCGAGCATCAAGTCCATCAAGGGCAGGCTAAGGTCGGGGTCGAGAGCGTCGGTCCTGTCCTCTTCGAGGGGTTCGCCGCCTTCGGCGTCCAAAGAACCCTCCCGTAAATCCAGCCTCGCTTCCCTCCGACACAAGTCGAGCATCGCGTCTATCAAGAACAAACTCGCGGGCTCTTCGTCGAAGCTGACCGGCTCCTCCTCGAAGGCGCCATCCCGCGCAGGAACGAGGCCGCCGACGCCGGTGGACGAGGATGTAGCGGACGTGGAGGACGCGACGCCTCTCGGCGAAGGCGCGACCGGCGAGGCCTCCACGTCCATCGGCAAAGAAGCCTTGGCGGAGGATGCCGCCGACGCACTCTCCTGGACTTTTGACAACGCGAGCGCACGGAAAGCTCATTTCTCTACGCCGGCCGCACGCGAGGAGGCCGTGTTGGGGCCCGACACCGTCGTTACCTGCGACTTTGCGTACGGCTTCCTCTCCTTCTCGCCATCTATCTCTCTCGTGCTTCCTGGTGGCCTCTCGTTTGACTTAATGCGATATTGGGATGGCCAGCCGGTGCGCTTTGTGTGCTGTGAGCGAGCGAGCGGGGGTGGGAAGAGGGATGCGAATGGGGTGAGGCAGGATGTTGGCGGATCGGAGGAGCTGCCGTGGGGGAAGGTGATCTGGTCGGTGTGTATAGAGCTGGTGGAGGAGGATGATTAGATATTTTGGAGAGGACCAATAGAGGTACATATACGACTCGGACTGTAGCCGCCTAGTACTTAATAGCGCATGACAGCCGTGTAGCTTAGCAAACTATAGAACACGTAGAGAACTATACACACTGTACATTACATATACCATATCTACATATCTCTGTGCTGTTATGAACTCAACGAAGCTGACGATAAGTTCGGCGTGAGAAGTTCAAGATTGCACGTGACCGTGGAATATACCGGATACGGATGTGGCTGTGAATAATTCACACGCTTGTTGTCGAACACCTTCCCGAACGCCTGCTGCTTTCAGCTCCATCGCAATATATCACGAACATTTATCTGACCAGCGAGGTTCTCTTGTACCAGTGTTGTCTCCGTGATTACACAGTCTGAGTCTCCTGCGGGATGTTACTCAAGTTGGACGTTTGAGCCGAATGTGAGGGAGCCGCGCAATGCCTTCGGAGGTCGGCAGCGGGCACTGGTACTCCGGCTGGCCGGGAAAAGATGGGGCGCGCAGGGTGCGGGCGGTGAGCGCTCGACGGACTTGGACTGTGCTATCATCTGGGTCTACACGTCGGTGCGAAGCAGAACTTCCGAGGAAACCTGCCACGGTGAGTGTCCGCTTCATGTACTTTTCCGAACTCCGCTTGTGCTGATGTCACTTTTGGGTCTTTGGTTAAGAGCGCGAATTCGGATACCTTCATTGAAGCGCAGCAAACATGGTCAGCGACCGACTAGAGGATGCCTTTCCGGGTCTCCCGCAGGAGCTGTTCGAGCACATCCTCAGCCTGACAGATACAGCAACCTGCATAACTCTTGGGCTTGTATGCCATGCTCTCGTAGAGCCAAGTCGTCGACGCGCCTTCCAGCGGCTCAGGATGCACCGCATGAACACCCCTGCAGGCGTCGCATCCTTCCGCGCACTTGACAAACTGCTCGAATCACCACTCTGCACGCTCACGCCCCATATTCGCTGGGTGGCACTCGACAAGCCTCCGCCCTTCGACAAAAACATCAAGGAGGTACTCACGTGCTTCCAAGGCCTGCCCAACCTGTCCACTCTCCGGATTGAGGCGCCGACGAACGATCTATCCTCGGGCCTCATCGACGTGGCGCCCTTCGTGTGCCGCCTCCCAGCGCTGACGAGCCTCACTCTGAGCCACGTTGGCTTCCTCACCTTCGCCGGCTTCGCATCCACTATCTGCGCGCTCCCCCAGCTCGAGATCCTTTCTCTCTACCAAATACGCGTGGGGTACACCAACGGGCTCGCCGCCTCTCCCGCAGCGCCCCAGCCACAGGATACGCTCGCGCTAGCGAATCTGCGCGTCTTGCGTTGCTACATGACGGACGAGTGCATCGCCTTTCAGCGCGAGTTTCTGGCGTGGGCAGCGGCGCTAGGCGTGCGTCCTCCGATTCGGCGCCTGCAGGGGTGCCCGTCGTGGGGGGACTGGGGGATGGCGTCGATAGCGGCGGCGTTCATGAGCGGGCTGGCGGAGACGCTGACGACGCTGGCGGTCCATGCCATTGAACGGATAAATTTCACGTCGACGGATCGTAAGCAGGCGCTCGTCACTCGGCCACTCCTCCAGGCTTGCTAACCTTTGCGCGCCGTACAGTGCAACTCTTCGACTTTGCGCACATGCCTCATCTGCGCTCCATCATCGTCGAGCCCGTGCGCCTGACATGGCACGAAGTGAGCGATCTGGGCAGCCGATTGCTGGACTTCATCAGTCTGGCGCTCACGGCACCGGCGCTGCGCAAGCTCACTATCGCGCTCGTGTTTGACCGCGAGGACGCGATGAAGGTGTTCGATAACTTCATGGACTGGGCGGAGCTGGATAGCCGTGCGGCGCATGCGAAGCAGATGGAGGAGCTGCAGTTCGTGTTGGGCGGGTGCTCGAAGGCGCTGCAGCGGCAGGGGACCTACCATACGGCCGAGCAGCGTCTCCGACATATGATGCCTCGGACGGGAGAGAAAAGTGTCTTGACGATTCAAATGCCTCGCGACGCTCGTGGTACGTTCCCCTGAGCAGTGTATAAGACGAAGTGCCGAGCGCTAATCAGGTTTTCAGAGGCATCGCGAGACATAATAGCAGAAGAAAAGCTTGAAGCCTTGATATACTCGACCATGTTCTCATAGTACAGTCGACATCCTATGAAATATTCATTTGTCTCTTTAGATTGTTACAGGCAATGGCTTGGACTTCAGCTCAGAATGCAACCTCTGGGTATGCGCGTGACGTGACATGTTCAACTTTCGGCAAATCCCGTAAGGTAGTTTGTACAACTCCTCCGCTAGAACGCTTTCCTTTCGAGGTTGGAGAAGCTAGACGTCAGCCCTATATTGAGTTTCGTACAATCCCTCCTCTGAGTCCTTGCATAAGAGTCGTAAAGGGCTGACCAACCTGTTTCAAGGGGTGATCGATCTCGCGCGCCTGGGTGTGTAAGCTACGGAACGCTTGGACACCAAGGTGAATAATCCCATCCTCCTATTTGTTTCACTGCGTTATTCCTGATTTTATCACTTTACCAAGCTCGTGGGCATTGCGAGCTGCTTTCAGAGATTCTCACTTAGCACTCTGGCGCGTCTTGCAAGCGAGAGGGCTGTCTGTGCAAGCGGAAGAGCTATGTGAACAAGCAGGCGTACGCCTATAAGATGCATCCAGAGGCTACAAGAGGGCACATCCTCAACCCCTTCGCTACTTCCCGGCTTCACTAAGTTCGACTCTTCGCAATGTTCAATCGCATCCAAATTGCCGTCTTGTTCGGCATTGCGTCCTTTGCCATCTACAAAGCCCCCTCGTTGTTGAACCAAGGTGAGCTTTTCGACCGCTCCTGTCAGAGCTCCTCTTCATTCTCACCATCTGAAGTAGGACAGTCTACGACGCCTACCGTCCACGAAGTGTACGCCTTCCCGGTCAACACCTCCGTCGAGAATCTCGCCGTCCGACGGTCAGGCGAAGTCCTCGCCACAGTTGACTCTGCTCCTGAGCTCTGGCATATCAAGCCGTTCAGCAGCGAGAAGCCGACGCTCGTTCATGATTTCCCGGGCTACGAGAGTCTGCTTGGCATCGTGGAGGTCGAGGACGACCAATTCTACGTCGCCGCGGGTAACTTCTCCGTCTTCACGCTCGCGTCCGCGAAGGGCTCCTACGCTATCTTCCACGTAGACATGGCCCCCTTCCGCGCCTCGCATGGCACTGTGCAGACTCCGGCCGTCATTAAGAAGGTCACTGACGTCCCCGAGGGCGAGCTGCTGAATGGACTGGGCCTTTTCTCCAGAGAGAAGGGTCTGGTTTACGTCGCAGACTCCGGCTCGGGCATCATCTACCTCCTGAACGTGCGCACCGGCGCATACTGGCCCGCCATCCACGACGCGCTCAGCGTGAAGGGCGACCCGTACCCTTACTATCCCGCCGCCAACGGCGTGCGCTACGACGCGCGCGGGCGCGCGGTGTACTTCACGAACGTCGCGCAGGCCGTCTTCGCGCGCGTGCCCGTGTTCGCGAACGGCAGCGCGAACGGCGCAGCGGAGGTGGTGGCGTCTGGGGAGCTGTACGACGACTTCGTGCTGGATGAGGAGGCGAATGCACTCGTCGCTGTCTTCGGCAGCAGCGATGTGATCCGGATCGATGGGCGGACTGGGGAGAGCACGGTCATCGCAGGGAGCACGAACAGTACCGACCTGCAAGCGGCGACGGCTGTGGCCTGGGGCCGCACGAAGCGCGATAACCGCAACCTCTACGTGTCGAGGAATGGAGGTGTTGTCGGATTTCCTACACCGGTGGGCGGGGCCGTTATGCGCATAGATCTGTAGCGGATTACTTGGCGCAAGGATGCCCGCGTTTAAGTACAGGAGACTGAAAATGACAATGTATGTCTCGATCTTCGATGGCTCGCTCCCTCGTCCAGTTTACACGAGGATGAGTCCGGTTGTAGCACCCTTCCGCACGCGCACGTAACGCCGTATGTGATTTTCTACTGCTGGGAGCGGATCGTCAAATTGGATCCATGTCGGGTCCATCGACGCCGGCCTGACAGAGAGGTCCAACAGCCACGATCTGCGGTGGCCATGCTCTTCCGAGGCCAAAGGCGGAGGCTGCGGTGTAATCGTTGGGTCGCCGATGCATTGTCTGATGAAGTACCGCTCGAAGTAGGTTGTTTCCAAAGGACAGAGTGCTGCGGACTCGGACAACACATTTCGGGCTACAGGGCGCGCTGTCAGTTTGTCGAACATACAAAGCATGAGTGAACTCACATTCGCGCGCATTCAGACCTCGGGTGCACTCGACGCGATGATGGTCCTGCCAATGCGCCCGCTGACAGGGCTTGGAACAGTATGCCACTTGTACGCAAGCGCAGATTTTGGCGTGGTATGCGTTAACGGGCCGAGGGCACTGCAGAAACCTTGATAAGGGAGCGAGAACGAGCGCATGCACTAGTAGGGACATACCTTGGGGTTGTGGCAACGCTCGGTGACCTTGCGGACCCATTTCTTCGTCCTCTTCAGGATACGATAATACTTGATGTCGCGAAAGGTGAACCCTACGTACTCCGGCCAGTAGTCAAGCATGTATGAAATGTCCCACCTCTCCGGGTGAAGCTTCCCGCCCATTTTCCGTATGGCAAGCAAGGTGTCTGGCCAGACGAGCGCCGGGATCAGAGCGTCAAGGAGGTAGGTATTGAAGTATCCACGGTATTGCCGGTATTTGATTAAGTCAGAGGATCCCGGCCGGGCGTTTCTGTCTCCGGCGACGATCGTGGCAAGGATAGGGAGTACGCCTATGCGTATGGCGTCGAGCGTCGACTTGTTCGAATTACCATGCACAGTGAGGGGCGTCAAGTGGGGCATCCAGAACACGATGAGGTTGTGGCAATCAGATGCGCTGACTGACATCGGTGACCCCTCAAAGGCGCGGGCGAGAAGGTCGACCACAAAACGGATGCCCCTGGTGGTGCGGAACTTATTGAACACAGTCTCGGAGGCGCACATGTGCTTGCTGAAGGCGAAGTAGGCAGAGAGCGTTGTCGACCAGGATCTATGCCTGGGCGGCGCGTCGAAAAGCGACCTGGAGCCGCGGAGAAAGAAACACAGAAGGGAGCCTGGATTTGCGTCCTCAAAGCCGGCGAGATCGTCGGTGAATTTGGATTTGTATATATCCTGCTGGAAGAGCGCGAAGAGATTATCGACCAGGGTGTGAAGTGGAAGAGCGTGCGACAGTTCTGGGCTATTAGCCGAGTGGGCGAGGGCAAGAAAGCAGACCAGGAGAAAGTGGCCTTTCAACATGCCGGCTTCGCGCCCTCGAGGGACGCTCATCACGGCGTTGAGGCGTTCAGCAATCTTGCGACAGAATCGATGCATTTCTGTGTAAGTCGCCCCAACGGCGCCGGCTTGCACCAGGGCGGATTCTGTCGCCACCAGCATTCCTAGATTCAAGAGGCCCCTACCGGAGCATAGAGACAACACGCATTCCCAGAAGGCGTTGAAGAACTCTAAGACCTCGCCGACGCACGCATGCGAGCCCCTTTCGTGTGCGAACACGAGCATGTCCGTGTAGGCTTCCACCGCCCACTCGATGTCGGGGCCTGCATCGTATTCCCGTTCGATGCTCGCGCATGCCGTGGTGACCAGAATTTCGAGGACCTGGTGGACAAGTGGGATGTGGAAGAAGCTTTCTACGACCTGGTTGGGATTGTCGCATTCTGCCGAAAGAGCCTCGCGAAACCGGGCCAAGTTTGGTGTCGTCTCCGTCTGTGTAAGCGGTCACTCAGGAGACGATTACATGTCACGAGCGAAGCCTTACATCTGTTGGTGGGTGGACGGTGTCGCCGCCCAACATCGCTGAGCTGATGCGAGGGTTGCCTCTCGCAAAGGCGAGCGTCAGAGGGAAAAGACACGTGCCAAATAGGAGCGTGTCACGAAGTAAAGGTCTCACTTTCCCCATTGCAAAGCGGAGATAAGACACACTGATCGAATTATGGAAAAAGGAACGGGTCGGCGTCGTTCTGCAGCGCGGAGTGTACATGCTGCGCATCACATTGGAGAACAACAGATGCACATGTAACCTTCTCCATCGCTTTTGCAGGCATCCGCAAAAAGAAGCGAACGAGTGCTTGGCCATAGTGGAGAGATGTGCAGAGCGCTACGAAGTCGCTGGTGACGGCGAGATATTCCAGGAATTGCGTCTTCCATTCCGACACATGGAAAAAGTCGAAGAGAGATGATCTCGTCGCGTCGCGGCCTGAGGCAGAAAAGCGGTTATATTCCAATAAGCAGGGCGTCGATGACAGGCTTCCCCCAGTCAAAAATCACATAAAAGTCTGCGTCAAAGTTATAAGCCATCAGAAAGAAGCGAGCGAGAGGCCAAGTCGCAAAAATCGAGAGCGCTGTCCACGTGAAGCTATTTAGCACCGAGCAAACAAATAGAACCAAACAACACTGGCCATAAACGTACCTCAATCCGCGTCGCCACCCTGCCGAACGTTCGCCCGCTATTTGGCCTGCCCATCGTCCCCTCCTCCGGTCCGACACCTCCCCGACTCCCGCGCTCGCTGTCCCTGACCACGCCCCCGCCGTGGGACCGGATGGCGCAACGGCGCCGGGCGATGGCGCGATCCCCTCGCCGGCACAGCTGACCTGCTCCCCCTGCTCCTCTGCCGCGAAGAGCGCGGGTTGGCCGTAAAGTTCGCGACTTGGCTGTTTACAGGACCGCGGCTTGACCGAGAACCCGTAAACTGCGGGAGGACCTGACAGGTCGGCTAGCGAATGCGACACGACCAAGGAAGGCGTTGCCACAAGATAAGGGAGGGGCGCGACCGCCGGATCCGGTTCAATGGCGTGCTGCTTCGAGAGCACTGACCGCTGAAGGAGGCTAGCGGGCGCCCGTAGTCTTCAGCTCGACCTGGGCGTAAGGGTGAATAGGATGGGAAGTCGCAGTACGTAGAAGAGGCTGGGCGCTACAGATCACCTGCCCCACTCAGTCCGAAGACGTTGACAGCCCTGCGGCGGTCGGCAAACCCTACGGAGGTCGGTACTCAGACCCTGCGGACTGACAAGATTTTGTACGCCGCGGATGATGGACGAGCAGAAGAATTGCATTTCTTACGTCCCGTAACAGCACGCACGCGTAAAGAAAATGTTAGAGGTTGAGTGGAGGTAAAGCAGCCCTATCGCGATTCGTCAGTAACGAGATAAAGCACAGAATTGACTCTCACCGCACGAGCTGGTATCCTGAAATTTCGAATCCGATCCCTGAATTTCTGCTGCGAGGTCCATTTTGGCGTACGTGTCGTCTGCTCACTCAAGAGGTAAAATGGCAGATCTCAGCGCAGCGAGAAATCGAATTACCGCCAAACTCACGCACGGTGCGTGTTGCGCTACCCGTTGGGCCTATGGCGCATGCTATTGAGCGTCGTACTTCCGCATCTTATCCCCTCGCTTCGTGCTCATATCCACCCGCTTCGCACCCTATGTGTCCTATCTCCTCGCTGCCTGACACACCAGCTTTCATTGGACGGTACGAAGGTGGGGGGATGAAGCATGGAAGTGGACCAATGCAGCGGGAAGGTGGACGGATGAGGCAGGAAGGCGGACGAATAGGGATGGCACAATGGGCTCGGGCGAAGGCACCATAGAAAGCAGGAGCCTCACGGTGTCGTCTGGTGGGTCAGAGGATTGACCGCGTTGAGGCTATGAAGTCTAGACATGTAGCGCTTGAACGTTCATCGACCTTGGAGGTCTTCGACGGATAGAGAAAATCGGCGCCTCGCTCGAGAAGGTCCAGCAGCAGATCGCCCTTCTCCAGCAGCAGACCAGGATGTAATCGAGGCCAAGTGGACTGCGAGCTGTGCAGAAATTCGGGTAAACAGATCGATGGGTGGGATGGCTACGCCACGGAACTACGTGAGACCCACCGTCGTCGTGAGAGGTGCCACAGCATGGGAAGGAGTATGCCGTGGCGCGGGAAGGAGCATGCCACAGCAGCAGAACAGCGTGGCACAACACAGCACGGTCGGAGAGTAGGCGCGCCGCGGCGGGTCGAGAGACGGATTGCGGCGCATTGTACTCCATCTGGATACTTCGCGCGTTCGCAGGGATGAAATTGAAAGCGCGTTGGTCGAGTACTTGCGCGCCGAGTGCTGTCGATCCGAGCCGAACTTTCTTCATCTTTTTGCGGTGAATGGGAAACCGTGATACCCCTCGAGCCTCAGCGTATTCCTTCTTCCCCACGACCAGACGCTCCGTCCCTGCATGAGCAAGTGGGTTTCAGTCAGGCAGACGGACCGCATAGAAGTAGAAGACGTACAGGAATAGACAACTTGCCTCACTATCAATCGCAGATACCTCGTCATCAGCAGGAGGAAGCTAGCGCTCTCCATCTAGGAAGCCACCTAGACGTAAAGCCCTTGAATAGCAGTGAAGCACACTCGCCGCAAAAATGGCGTGCGCGAGGTAGCGAAGTCTGCGCGAAGTAGTTCGCATATGGGCTGGCGTACGCCTGTCAAGGCCTTGTATGCGACCTCGAGTGGCACGTACAAATCTATCGTCTTGGCCGCGAAGATGTTCAAAAACCTGCTCACGACCCCGGGTTCCTCTAAGTACTTCGGACGACCTGCGCAAATCGGAAAGCAGCCCGCGACTTGAACCACCCACAGGCGCCCACGAGCCGTCAAACTGAATTCGGGTGATCTCTGAGCTCGGAAGCGGATCTCGTCGAGACGTTTCCCCAAAAGGCGATTCATGTGCCACCCGCGCCGGTCTGCCGCGGCGTGCTCCACCGCCGGGAGCAAACTGGACAAGGGCCCCAGCAAATTGAGTGGCAGAGATAAGGGAGAATGGGGAGAGGAGCACAGGAGCAAGAGGGCGCCGCTCTTCGGAGGGAAGACGCTATGTCGAGGAGGCAGGAGTGGTTGACGAGGGCGAGGAACGTGGTCGACAGCCAAAGGCATGCAGCAAAGGATGAAGGGCATATATTGACCGCTTCATAGGAGAGGAGAGCGTACCCGTAGAAGTACAACATACGGACCATATATACTCATAAACTGCGCGAACGTATCAGAAAACCCGCAACACGAGGAAGGACGTCCCGCAACGCACCTGTACTACATTGTCCTCCGCTGCATGAGATCACCGAACGATTTTGCGAACTAATCGTCTCGCCCCCGCTTCGTTCCCGTTCCGCCCGTATGCTGCTGCTGACTGGGCGCGGTGGGCGGTGCGACGGAGCCCGTAACGCCGACCACGAGTCCCTTCAGCCAGTCGTTCTCACGCCGGAGCGTCTCGCACTCGCGCTCAAGCTCGGCGACGCGCTCTTCAAGCTCCTTCGCCTTGCCCTCGAGGGCAGCCTGTGAATGAAGTCAGCGAACCGCATGATGAGGACCCCGCTGCTGCCACGCACCTCGCGCTCCTTCTTCTTCATACGGAACCGCGCACTGGCGGCCGTATTCCGCCTACGCTTGTCCTCCGCTGCAGCGATCGCGGCTGCCTCACTTGACATGCCGGCCGTATTGAGAGGGGAGGGGGTCGCGGGGGAGGCCGCTGCCGCGGAGACCGTGCGCTGCCGCTTGGGGGGAGGTGGCTGCGAGACCGGGGCGGCGGGTGGCGCCTGAGACGGAGTCGATCGCGAGAGAGTAGGCTGAAGGGGCGGGAGCTGCAGCTGCGAGAGCTGGTTCTGCTGCTGCGCGAAGCCCTGGAGGGCGAGGAGGCTCGCGAGCTGCTGGGGGGCGAAGGACTGCTGCTGCTGCTGCTGCTGGATCTGCTGCTGTTGAAGCGCATAGAGGAGCGAGCCGATGTCGACCTGCGGCTGCTGCTGCTGGGTCTGGTTGGGGAGCTGGGGGAACGTCTGCTGCCCGCGCTGCTGGGCGCTCGCGCTGCTGATCACCGGGCTCTCGCTCTTGTCCGAGAACGACTTGGCGGACCTGTCGCTCGTGGGTCCGAGGGGCCCATCCTCGTTCGTGAAGTTGAAGTTCGCCCAGAAGTCGAGCTGCGCCGCGGAGAGATCGGGCACATTCGAGACCAAGTCCTGGTCCGCGCTCGGGGGAGGGGAGGGGTGGATGAGGTTGAGGCCCTGGATGCTGGGGGGCATGGCGAAGGCGGTTTATTGCTTCGAGTAAACCGATGTGTCCCTTGGTAGTGCGCCTTTACTTCCTGCGCGTATGCCGGAATGTCTTCTTCGCCGACGTGAGCGTTGGAGTCAAGGCCTAATAAGCATGTGCAAACAGAAGAATTCCGAATTCTCCCCGATGCGATCAAGTGATCAGCCCGATCGCCCCAACTGGACCCACAACTCTGACTGTATCCCCAGAAGGACGATGTGCCACGAGCGGCGGGCTCGAGTACAGGCTGTCCGGTGGATGATAAGAACTCGGTATTGTGAGGAAGCCATCGAGACGCTCCGGCTAGCTTGCTAGTAGTCACTCATATTAGACAGGCGATAATTATGCTCGCATACAGCAATACTGATGTTTTGGCTTTGATGTGCATTCTTCCCGATGTCTGCGCATGTTACAGTATGTGTATGTGGTCAGTGTAGAGTCAAGTACCAGCCTCCTCCACCGCCGCCTTCACCCTTTCTATCTGCAAGATCCCCCTCTCCACCGACCTCGGCATCCTCTCAGAAATACATACCCTCACGTCCTCCAACTTCACCCTCGCGAGCTTCGGTAGTACCTTCCGGAAGTCCATCATGAAGACGACATCCCGCAACGTCTCCTTCCCCGAGAGTCTGTTATCCAACGCCTCCCAGTCAAACACGGCCGCATGATCCCCTCAAATATATGAATTTCGTACTTGTCGATCTTGAAGCGCAGGACGAGGCGCTCGAGGTTTGGTGCAGCAAGGATGGGGGAGAGGAAGTCGACTAGGGCACGAGAGGGGCCACCGAAGCCGACGCGAAGGGTGCACCAATCGATAGGGTCGAAAGCGAGCGTGCGGAGGCAAGTGAAAGCCGCGAAGGGGAGGTCAATGGCTGGCGGAGATGTTAGATCGCTGTACGATGGGTGACAGTAACTATTTCCAGTGGCTCGTGGCTTACACTCAATTCCCAGAAAATCGTCGCCGTCGTCGGGGTCGATGCGCCATTCGGTGAGCGTGGGTGCGATGCGCTCGACGAGATCGCGCACGTGCAACAGCACGTCTGGCTCTGCGCCGAGCAGGCGTATGGTCAGTGCCCGGATGGGTGGCGTTGCTGGGAGCGCCAGCACCCAGGTCAGGAAGCGCCGCAGCAGCCGCGCGCCGATGTCGCGCTCCATGATACAAACAAGGTTCTCAAGGTGCGCGAGCGTGCCCTCCGGCGGGTTAGGAATAAGTTCGTCGGAACTGCCGTCAGTGTCTTGGTCTGATATCTCGTACAGGCAGAGGCTTTGTAGCCGCGGCAGTGCGACCATGGCATGCGCGATTATCGAGAACGAGACGACGTTGGCGTATTTGAGCGTCAGCACGGTCAGGGGAAGGAGACCGTGCGATATGGGCTGCAGATCCGGCAGAATGCAAGGCTCATCCTCCGTACCGTCCACGGTCAGGCTCGTCAGGTTGGGCAGGCGCCGCAAGACCCCGTCGGGCAAGCCGCCCCTGTAAGGCAGAGGTTGCTGTAGCGTGAGATGGCGAACGTGCGGGGAAATTGTGCAGAGCGGCGATTCGAGGATCGTGGCGAGCTCGTTCACCAGGTGGCTGATCCTGAGTGATTCCATCCGGTTCGCGGTCAGGTGTACGAAGACGCGCCGCCGGCTGAGGTCGACGAGCGCGCGACAAACTTCGCCCAGCACTGCATGCGTTTCGCTATCGGAGAAGCTAGCGATATGCTCAAGCAGTTCTTGCGGGAGACGAGGGCCTGCATCATGATTGAGGCCGCTGACATCCGACATCGGTTACAAGTGAGGATAAAATGAAAGGATCTACAATGGTTTCAATATTCTAGAATAAGCGAGCTAGTGGGCGAGATTCTTACTGACGTCAGGAACAATCTAGATGGAGACCCCAGGCGTCGAAGACTGTGCGACGCCAATGGCAAAGATCAAGGTGCGTCAAAGGCGCGGTTGTTCCCGGACCCACGATCACGAGCAAGTCCAACACCGGATGGCAGCGCTTCATGTCATGTCCAGCTCTGTTGTTCGACTTCGTAAATAGAAACTTTCAAAGGAGTATAGTGCATACGGAGGTTAAGACATACATAGGTAGAGAAATACGATATTGGGACGCCAGCGCCACCGAGTCCATGCAGTACGCGCTCATAGTCTAGCATTATAACCAAGATTATCTTACAGCCGAACAGGAAGGCTGCTTGAGTTCGTACCGATCCCCTACAGCGACTGCTCATGCCTCAGCTTTCCCTCGGAGTTTGTCCTGGGAAGAAGCTGTGGAATCGCAGTCGTGGACTCGTCCATGGCCCTCCTCGCCAGCTCGTTCTCCACATGGCTCGAGGCCAAATGGAATACGAACGATACCTGCTCCAGAAGAGGGCACTTCACGAGGCCGTCGTCGAGGGCGGCCCAATCCGGCTGCTCCGGCTCCCAGTGCAGTACGGAGTATTCGTCGTCAACCTTGAGGTGCACGACGACGTTTCGGAGCGCTGGTGCAGCGACCACTTCGAGCAGGAGACGCCGGAAGCGTCCGGGGTCGTGCCGGTATTGGGTGCGCACCATGAAGAGGCTGATCGGGTCGAGTGTGAAGGTGTGCAGGACGGTGTAATGCGAGAATACGAGGTCGCAAACTGTCACGTCGTATCAGCATCAACGACAACACCTGCCAAGGAAAAGCACGCGTACGGTCATATCCACTGAAGCCGTACTCGTCAGGGTAGATGGTCCACTCCGCAAGCGAGAGCCTCGTACGGTGCATGAACTTGCGAAGCAGAGATGAGGGGCGAAGATCGCAGTCACGTAACGTAAGGCCGAGGTTTCGGATGGGAGGGAACTGTGGCAGCGCCAGCAACCAACTGCAGAGCCGCTGCTGCATTGAGTTGCCCGTACTGTAGGCTATCTTGATGCGGAGACTTTCAAGCTGTCCTAATGTCTCGTCCGTGATTGGCAAAACGGCGTCTTCTCTCGTTCTGTCACGTCTGAAGAAAGCACCTATAGATGTCCAGAGAAGCTCAAGGCGCAGGAGTTTGGGCAATGAAACCAGTACGGACGTGAGGCTCGATAAGCGCACTAGGCGGACATGTTCCAGCGTCAGGCTCGTCAAAGCTGGATGTGCGGGAGAAAAAGGGTGGCAATTTTCGAGAATACGACTCGGAGGGGTATGCTCCAACCCTTCGACGCGCAGATCTGCCAGATTGGGGAGGTTCAGCAGTAACCCAGGCAGCCCTCCCTCGCTCCGGCGCCATGGTGGCAGTGTGAGACGATGAGTGTACCGCTTGAACGTGCATAGCGGAGAGTCGAGGAGAGCAGCAAAAGTCGTAATCGCAAGACGGGGTCGCTCAGGTTCGTACGACTGATGAACAGCGATTTGTTTGAATGCCAGGCGACGGCTGCGGTCTAGAAGAGCGCGGCACACTAGCGCAAGTGCTAGGCACGTGTGGGGATCGGTGTAGTTGGCGATGTGCTCGAGTAGCTCGAGGGGGAGGGATGGGCCTTCGTCTGGCGCGCTGTCTTGATCCTGAACGACGTTCATCGTATGCGAATGAATGCGTAAGATCGTTGATTTGAAGATGGCAGAGCTTACCTGGTCGCCGCAAGCCTTCGCAGGGAGTGATGAGGGCAAAGAGCAACAGCGCGAGGCGTGCACGTTGTCCGCCTCACGGTCACGGGAAAGTTGAGTTACGGTGGCAGTCACGCTTGCCACTGACGGTGACCCCCTCACCCGGGCTGGTGCGCCTTCGACTACTAAGTAGTCTGCGAAGTTGAATTCCCAATGAATGCGTACGATACGAATTGAATGAGGCACTAATGTATGATGGAGCGCGGCGCCCGTCTACCAGACCGCTCCGATGTGAGTAGCTTTTCTCCCCGATGTAGCCTATGTACGTCTATCGCTGTCCCTCTCCCGGAGGACACCCCTCTACAGCTCCTGGTCGCGATGGCGAATAGTCAACCCTGCGACCGTGGACACGCAGTCCTGTAACGAAGGGACCCTAGTCCTGTGACAGAGGACAGCTAGTCCCGCGACTGAGCACGACCGGTCCCGGAGCAGAAGACACCTAATCCCGTGGCACGTCGCCGAGCTTGTTGCCGACCTTGATCTTCTGTCCAGCCTGGATCGCGAACTCGAAATCGGACGGCGCCTCGAAGATGAGGACGATCGTGCTTCCCAAGCAAAAGCCGCCCATCTCCTCCGCGTATGAAAGCGGTTGACCGTTCAGAATTGGCGATGCAGCGGAGTAGACGGCCTCAGTGTACGTGCCCGGAGGTGGTCGACGGCCGCGAACGTTAGTGCGCAATTCCTAACCCAAAAGCATTAGCAGGAGCACTACCCTCACAAGCGCCAAACCCACCTGGTCGAAGTTGATCTTGATACTCCCCACATTCGTCGCGCCAACGGGCACCATCCCAAAGAACCCATACCGCCAGCGACCCAACAGCGCAACCCGCTCATTCAAGACAAACAAATTCTCCAGCCGCTTCGCCATATACGGCGACACCGAGAACAGCTCGCCCACGAAGTGCCGCCGCTTCTCGACCACCCACGCCGTCGGGCTGTGGAAGCGGTGGTAGTCGCCCGGCGCGAGGTAGATGACGGTGAAGAAGAGCGAGTGGCCCGGGCGGACGTCCTGGTCGGAGGTGCTGCGCCGCCGCGCGAGGGGCCGCGCGACGGGGGCGCCCTCGATCGCGGCGGGGACGCCCATGTCGCGGGCGACGCCGGCGTCGTGGGCGAGGGTGTCCTTAAGCGTGGCGGAGGGGTCGTGGACGGAGGCGTCGACGCGCTCGCCGTATTTTTGCGGCGCGGGGTCGCTGCTGCCAGAGGCAAGAAGGGGCGTGGTCTCATTGCTGCTCGTGCTGCCTGAAGGTCGCGCGTGGCCGTTCTGGCCACCGATGAGCTGGTCGAGGGTGTACTCGATGCCGTTAACGTTCGCAAAATCGTGGTCGTTGACAACTTCCATTTGATCGCGCGTGCTCTTGACCGATGCCGTTGGGGTTCCTGGACGTTCCACTCCGAGAAGCGCGTCCAGTGAATATGTGATACCCTTGACCTGTTCGACTCGAGAGTCCTTGATCGTGCCGAAGTGTAATACTGTGCCGTCCGCGGGGCTGACCTGCAGATATTATGAGCGACGGAGCGGGCTGAAGAAATGCTACACGCACCAATATCGCGTCGTCGACCGGTCGTGCGCCAGGTTTTAGTTTCCGGTAGAAGAAGTCGCCCAAGCTTGCGTATTTCTCCAGTTCCTGAGGGTCGATCTCGTCGAGGTTGCAACCGAAGGCGTAGGCGTACATCTTGAAGCCGTATGGCCTAAACCAAACTGGGAGTTGAAGGGAGTTCATGTAGCCCCATAACCGTGACATGTTCCGTAGAGGGAGGGCACCCATGACATGGACCTGAAGCGTGTTGTATTAGACTGCATGCTCATGATGTTGGGCAGGTCGACAAAATAGGTCGTGCGCCGAGTCGCGAAGGTACAGGGGCCCAGAGAGATCTGGCGCTATGCACGTGATATATGGTGGAGACTGAAGCCGTACTCTGCGCGCCAAGTGGAGTGTACATACCTGCCATGGACCCTTGAGCTTGACAACCTCGACACCATCCTCGTCAACGATGACCTCGGGGTTGCGCTTTCTCGAGTTCTTCCTGTACTGGATCACGACGAGGAGTATCGCGCCCACCGCGATCGGGATGGGATACCACTTGGTCGGCGTCTCCGTCCATGCCTTGATGAGCTTGCCTGAAGAGCGCATGTCAGAATTGAAGAAGGCAAGAAGGTTCTGGCACGCACGATATAACGGTACCTCCGCCCCTGTGGTCTGACCACCATTAAATTCCGGACCGTTCTTTCCCGTCGAGTACGCGCGACTCAGGCCGCGCTGGATGAGCGACGAGGTCTTGTTGCTGGCGCGCGCGAATGCCCGGGTAGCGAAGGTGGGTGCAGTCGCGTTGAAGACCCTCGACGCCGTTGTAGACGATGCGTGGAGGACGCGGGACGCGGCGGTGAACGGCCGCTTGCCCTTCGTCATCAAGGACTGCCTGGAGAACGCCATATCGTATCCCGGCGCCAGCGTCGACGTGGGCGACGCGGCGAATGTCGGTGAGGGTGCAGGTCGATGTGGGGGTGAATATTGAGTAAAGGTTCGGCCCTCGAAAGAGGTAAATGCGGCTTACGTAGGGCCGTATTTGCCGGGCCGTGTGCCGCAGCATCATGTCAGGAACGCGTTCGCGAAAACAGCGTTCAGCTTTTGTGCTTGTCGCCGACGTTCGCGGCGACGAGAGATGGCGATTTCGAAAGGAAAGCTGGCGCCGGTGGTGGTTTGGGAAAAGACGAGGTTCGTTGGCAGATGTTTAATGCATGACATCACGTGCCGAGCGTGCCGCAGACGTTGCGCGCCTCTGCGGCCATTTTGTAGCCTCGGGCGCGAGGCAAGAAGTCAACGAAGCCTCTTGAGTGTATATCAGAGTTATTTAGAGCCCATCGCACCTCGAAGACTGAGAAAGCGGCGAATTTTGTCGAAAAGTCGAAGTTCAACTTCGCCGGCATTTGCCGGAAATTGAGTTTTTGACCGGAAAGTGAGAGAAAGTCATGGTTTACGCACTAAGGCATCACATTCACATTCAATGGCCCCGACTATCAGCAGGTGCACCCAAGAAAGATGTAGATGATGTATGCATTAGACAGCCATACAGTACACCAGGAGTTAGGCATAACCCGGACACATTAGCGCGCCGGTTTATAAGGAGGGTAGGCATAGGACGATACAAGGATAGGCATAGGTCACATAAAGGATGGAGCACATATAAAGAAGGGCCTTGACTCAATTGCACGCTTGGGCATTAGTTCCGCCGGAGCGCGAAAGCTACGGTTCTCGCGTCAGCATCCTGCACCCAACCCGACTGACATGGCCCACGCACCATTTCGAAGCCCAGTCAAAATCCTGGAACTACGGGATTGTCGATTATCGGGGACAGGAACGCTGCGACGCCTCAAACTGGCTACACCACACCTCGGAGGCTCGCTTCCCGACGTCTCGCACACAAAGAACTCATCTGAGCACAGCACCGAGGGGTCCGAGAGCTTTCCAGTGTCAATGAACTCGATGACCGTCGTCATCAAGGCCATGCTGGTTTCCGTCGGCTTCTGTTTGTGGGTGGCCTGGTGCTCGAGCTTGAGCGTGGGCTTGGGCTTGTGCATGAGCTCGAGCTTGGGCTTGGGCGCGAACTTGGGCTTGTGCTCGACCTTGGACTTGGGCTCGAGCTTAGGCTTGGGTTCGAACTCTTGCGTAGGCGCGAAGAAGGAGAACCGATACATGCCCACCGGCACGACGATCGATTGGGACCTGTCGAAGACGGCGTCGACAATCACGCGCGGGGTCGCTTTGGCGGTTTGATGCGTTATGGCCAACACGGTCTTCGTAGGTGGCGAGTTCTCTTTGTTCTCGTCGTTCTCGGGGTCGTCGTCGTCTTCATCAGGATCCGCTTCACGCAAGGCGCCAGTCGAAAGGCAGAGGGTTACGCTGACGTTCGGCGCCCTAAAGTCAAGCCGCGCGTGTACGTCCCGCCCGCTCTTGACGACGGTAGGACGCTCGAGGAACGCGGAAATCGTACGCCAGATTTGGCCCTTGCGCTGCATCTCGCAATGGGCAGCGTACACGACGAACTTCTCATCGCGGGTACCCAAGCCAAAGATTTCTGTGATGTAGGCGGGAGTCGGTCAGCTCAGTTGTCATAGCTAGTTGGCGCGCAGTGAGGGCGACGTACCTAGTTTCGGGGGCGCTACACCCTTCGCGGGGCCATTGCAATAAGGCCGGTGGCGTTGCCGGTCTGCTGCTTGGCATACGGCGGAGCAGTAGTAAGTATCTGCACAGCAGAACCTAGCTCCTTCTTCGTGGCACTGTGGCATGGAAGTGAGTACGTTGAGCCTTCATCAGCGGTGGCGATACCATCGCACAGCTTACCAATGTGCAGATCAGAGTACGCCTGAAAGCATCCATGTTCAGCTGGCGTCGCGCAAAACGGATCATCAGCCGGTACCAGATCCTCGAGGGTGGGATCTCCCAGTCGACGACATTGTACTTCGCAACCGCTTCCCCGAAGGCCTTGAGGACCGGCCTGGTAACAAGTGCACTAGTCAACGCGCCGGCTAGCATGCGGACGGGCGCCAAGTCATTCCTGCCCTTGTTCAGGCGTATCTGGATGATATCCCCAGCCCGGGGCGTCAGGAAACGGTGTAAAGCAACGAGAACGCCCCTCCTCAGCGCAGCCTCGCAGGCTCTGAACGACGCCTCGCACAGCACCGCGAGCACTTGGCACACTTTCAGCGCAGCGGCCCGATCGAAGGAAACCATGGAGAAGAAATGGAAAGCGTTGATCACGTCCATCGCCGCCTCTCTCGACGACAAGAAGTCGTGCAGCGGCGCCAGCTCGACGAGTGCGACGCACACTTCGGCGTACCGGTACCGCAGGACGATGTGGTCTTCGAGCCGGGGAAAGTCGTGCACGTACCGCTCGCGCGGGATGTACGCGAACCCTTGCGACAGAGTCATGCGCTTTGCCGCCGCGCACATGAAGGGCTTCGCGTCACCATGGCCCTCAGCGAGGATCGCCTGCGCCGCCGCCGCTCGCGCATTCGGATCCGGGGCCGTGAGAACGCGCAGGAGAAGCTCGGTCATCGCCGCGTCGCGCCCGCGGAACAGGATGTCCGCCTCCTTCGGTTCCTCTCCCACGCCCGCGGTCATGGGGAAATGGCAGGGGAAGTCCTTCCAGAAGCGGAGGAGGGTCTTGAAGGAGACGCGCTCGTTGTCGAGGATGCCCTTGTTGTACAGCAGCTGGACGTAGCCAGAGAGCGCCTGCGCGATTGCGTCCGCGGGACGGGCGTACAGAGCTACTGAGCACGGACGCAAGTGCCTCTTGCATGGGTCGAAGAATCGGATCCAGGCGAGGGCGGACGGCCAGCGCGCGATGAGGAAGTCGGAGATGGCACTGTCGCCGCCGCATATGTTGCAGAGGAGACCGAAGGCCTTGAGCGCCTCCATCGCGTGCTTGATGTCCGGCTCCGTATCTGGGAAAGACGCGCGCTTATCCTTGTGATCAGGAATAAGCGCTTCATGAAGTGCATCCAGACAGGCAGTAACTGCGAACATGGAGTCCTTCATGAGCACGTCCAGAAGGTCCTCCCTGCGATGCTCATTCGGTGCCACAGCATCGTCGTAGCAAAACCGGGTAAGCAGCGCGAGGAGGTGGGTGGTCGGAGGCGCCATGGGTCACTGTGGCAATGCAGGTGAGCAATGGGGGAGGCAATGGGCAGTAAGGCAATGTTTATGGCAGATGCGGGGCGCCTACAGCAGTCCCCGTATATATACGCGCACCGCAATCGACGGGGCCACATAAGGAACAAAGACACGGGGACCTACACCTCCTTTAGGACAAGTGGATTGCCGTATGCGGATGCGATGCCGTCACATGAACAATTGCAGAGCCTTCTGGCCATGATGCCGCAGGGTGTATGTCGCGAGGCAACTCGCAAAAGACAATAAGGAAGTTCGAGAAGCTGTGGCATAACGTACTGCAGAAGCTGTTGGGCGCCTACACCAGTGGGCACGCATATAACTCGTGCGGCTTTCGCTAGCGCCTGGGTCTGCAATCGATAATCATAAGCCTTGAGCTGTAGCTGTGGCCAAAGCCTTCCATTCCACGATGGCTATGAGAGTGTCAAGCGACGACGGTGAGACCATGATGGTGGCAAGAGGATGGTTTATGACCCACGTGCATTCATTCATCTGACGCTCGGGCCGTGAGAATTTGCCACACACGGGTTAGGGGGTTCATTTCCCACGGCTGCACCTTACTCTCGACCATCAAGCATACGAGTGCAAGTTGCGCTACATGCATGTCATCCGGCATTCGGCGCAGTTACTTTGATAAGTGATAACGAGACGCTGCTTGCTCGATGAGAACCCAACTGCGATCTTCGAATTCGGAGTGGTGACGACGCTTTCCTCACGACTGTACGTGGCAGACGAAGAGACACACGAATGATAGAGGTACTTCCTGGGAATCGCTGATAATGTATTGTCTTGCCGATTCGAGCCTTGCGCACCTTATGCTGCAAGGCACTGACCCTCTTCAGGAGCCTCGCCCGCGTCTACGACACACCAACCGTCTGCCAGTTGCGGCAACGTTTACAGCAGTTAGAATGCTTTCGCCATGCTCAACCTGCACCCGGAACGTCCCGCTGGCGTGCGCGGTACTCACGGCTCATGGTTCCTGACCCGCAGGACACAGTGACGCCGTGGCACCTTGTATTGCGCTCGCTGCAGCGTTGAAGTCAAGATGAGCTGGCACGTCCTTCGCGCTGTGAGGTGTCGTCGTGGTCGTGGGATTCACACTCTCTGCTCGCGATGACTTATAAGAGACAACTGTCTGGCGCTCGTGCGTATCGCTCTTGCTGTCGACTCGCGAGATGACCACAAGCACTGACGGGCTGATTGTCGCGGCGAGCTTGGCTGCTCTGTTTTTCGGTGAGTCTCGACTTTCCTATACTACAAGGAATCCAGCGACTGACGAGGATGCTAGGCATTCAGCTTGTGCTATACGCACTGCTCGGATACACACTGCTGTGCGTGATTGCTCGACTGAAGTGTGGTGCTCGACTGATTTCTCCTCAGCACCGGCGGAGCCTTCAAGGGCCGCGCAGTGGTCCTGTCCACAGCGTCGCTCTTGACACTGATGAGTCTCTCGAACGTGGCTCTCAGCATTATCTACGCCGAGGCTTCGACGGGATCCGAGATAGAGAAGGGCGCCATGGCCGGGATCGACGTGACGATCAAGGTGTTCGGGAGGATCAGCGTGCGTTTTGCCTGATAATCATACTCATGTGGGACTAACTCGTCACTTCTCATAGCTTCTCATCGCACAGCTCATCGTCATATGGCGGACGTGGATCCTCTGGCAGACGAGCGTTGTCGTTCGAGCGCTCCTAGCCTTCCTCGCGTTCGCATCCTGCAGTGAGTTCGCAGTCGTTATATGCCAAATCTTGATTGCTGACGTATCGTCCAGCGACGACAATCATCAGCATCGGCCTCTGCTTCGTCGCCAGTCTCAGCACAGCGACCGTGGCCAGCGATGCGCTTGTCATGCTCATCCCGCTCATCGTCACGAATATAGTTAGCCTGCTAGCGACCTGGACGCGATTGTGGGGCGCGCCGAGTGAACGGTCGTGGTGTGTACTCCCTCTGAACTCTTCTGATTTAAGCAATACTAATGACCGATCTAGGTCCGACACGACCTCATCCCATCGGGGACGCATGGCTCGCATCGCAGTGTTCTTCCTGGACTCTGGATTGATACTCGGGGCATTTCTCGTGCGTCGCTCGCCTTCGGACCCACTACCCAGGCTAACGCGAAGACAGATACTCTACCTGGGCTCCGAGGTGTCGAGCGGAGATCTCAACGCCAGGAGAGAGACGGCGGGCGGCGCAGCGCAGTTGACGCGCGCCCTCACCGGAGCTGCGTCGGGTGTAGCTGGCACCATTGGGATTCTGGTCCTCTTGCTTGTCGTCCACCGAGTTAGCACTGCGGACGTTCTGTTGTACGGCGACAGTGACGATGCGGGCACCGCGCGAGACGACCACACCCTTGCGAGCTCGAGTACTTGGCGGATGAGCAAGAAATGGAAGGGGGAGAAGGAGAAGTGGGATCAGAGTGACTTCGCCTCCTCCGACCGCGCGACCATATCCACCGTCGACGAGCTCCCGCGCTATAGCCGGCATATGCGCGATGTGAAGGCGTTTCCGGTCCAGGAGCCGCCGAGCCTCTCTCCTCCTCGACTAACTCGCCCGCTGCATGTCGAGAAGGCGACACGACCTACGACCGAGGGCGCTGTTGCTCAGGAGCACCCGCGGAGCTGGTTCGAGGAGCATGCGCGATGTCGAGTCGACCATACCGAGTGCAGACCGCACTCATCGCCATCCATGCGTCCTCCAAGAGAGGAAATCGCGCCCAGCGTAAAGCATGACGCGTCTCGATCTGGCGAGCGGAATACGACGCCTGCCGCCGAGCAGGATATTGTCGAGGTGTCGACAGCTCCTACACCGCACACCGTCTTTGCCGGCTGGCAGACGGACCGGCCACTCGAGCTGCGTCCGTTCACTCTGCCACCTCCCACATCGCGACCGCGCACGGCGCATCCGGCATACCCACTCGTGACGCGGCCGGTGACATCCTACGCACCTCGGCGAGGCAGTCTACCTGCTCAATCGCCCCCTCGTGCTACCGGCGCCTCTCAGCCTCAGGCATCACCATCTCACTCCGCACGCGCACCACCAACATCAGCTTCCCACACCGCACGCGCGCCGCCCGCATCGCGTCCTTCGGCCGCGTCGAAGCGGCCATCACATACATATAGCTCTTCCTATGTCGCCTCGCCGCTTCATTCCATCCGCGAGCTGCCGCCGCCTCCAGCGCCCGAGTCCGAAGCAGACGCTTCCGAGTCGACCTATGTGCACGCTCCCGAGTCCCTATACTCTCGCGCGCCAGACTCCGATGGCGCACCATCCCCACAGAGCTCCGTCGAGTCCATCGCGGACCCGCCCACCGCATGGCGCTGGCCGGGCCCGAATCCCAGCAGCGGGACCGTGTACCGAGGGCATGGCGACCATGGGTCGTATCAGCACCATGACTACGCGCCGTATCGGCACCATGCTCTGAGCCGCAGCGCTGTGTCGAACCTCTCCAGCCCGAGCGCGTACTCTGTGGACTCGATGGCGCTGGCGATCCGGGACGCGGCGGATCCGCTGGAGCTGTACGGGAATTATCTGTGGGGTTTGAAGATGGCAGGTGAGGGAGAGTCTGAGGAGAAGCGATCGCATGGGGATCATAAGCAGAGTATGAGAGACGAAAGAGAGCGGCGGCGGGACGATAGAGAAATTCGGCAACGGGGGTGAACTCGAGACGCAGTATCCTAACGTATTATATATCCATGCAATTTACGCATTCACGACCGATGGTTTCTTTGAAGAAGGATGTGATCGATGATGCTCAGGAGCCCTTTCAGAGAAGCATCGCCGTGGTTCATCGTTCCGTGTGATATGATATGAGGACACTGGAAGTTACGAGACCTGCTTGCAGGCTCGTCCAACATCCACGTGTTCAGGCGCACGAAGGCACAACGTGCACGCCATGCGGTTGTTTCGATCCTTCTTCATCGTGCCTCACACCACCATCATTTGTGCGCAAGGCTCTGTCGAGGCTCTAAGCGATTAGGTTGGTTCCGCGCCTCACAGGATGACGACCATCTCGTGAATGATATCCTTAGCACAGGCTCGCATCGAGATGGACGCCGATCAGGCTGTGGACACCGTCGCAGAACAGCGTCCACTTCTCCCTCTGGAGTTACTGGAGCACATCGCTGGCTATACCGATCGCAGCACACAATTAATGCTTGCCTTGGTATGCCATGCCCTAGTCAACTTCAGCCGCCGTCATACCTTTCAAGCGCTCTATGTCCGCCAAACGGACGAGGTTCTATCCGGCATGCCCCGCCTTGCGTCAGCAACGTTCGCAACTCTTCTTGGATCTCCTATATGCTCATTCGGGACGTATACTAAGAGTCTCACCCTGACCCCCGGGAATTACGAGGAGGGTCTGTTCAAGATGTTGCGGCACCTACCCAACCTGACAGATCTACGCTTTGAAGGCACCAGATCCACCCTATGCGTTCTCACAGATGACCATCTACATCCCTCTCCCTCTCATTTTCCCACATTGACAAACCTCACCCTCAACTACGTTGTTCTCCAGAGCTTCTCGACTCTTACGTCTATCCTCGTCGCATCTCCTCAGCTGTGCAGCATCGAGTTATTGTGGGTGTCGACAAGGCAGAGCCCATCGGCGGACACGACCGTCGATCCGTCAACCTCTGCGAGACTTGTTGGCACGTTGGCGCAGCTTCGGAGCCTCCAGATGAAGATAGTGTACGGCATCAGCAACCAGCTGCAGCGACATCTCCTAGCATGGATATTGGAGCTGCCACAGTTCCCGCGTGTCGAAGAACTCGGCATTACTCTGCATGGCTCTGATTCGAGCCTCCCGCGGCCACTCAACGCGTTCATGCGCGGCACGGTCTTGTCACTGAAGAAGTGGACCATCAACCCTGACGAATACAGGAACTTTCTGCGGACAGACCGTGCGCACACTGTTATGACAAATGCACCGTCTTCTAGGCTGACCTTTTATCGCAGTTTGCGGCCTCGACTTCTCGCAGTTCTTAGTCCTGCACACGGTCATACTCGACCCTATCGGGCTGTGTACCGTGCGCATGCAAGATCGTCGTGAAGACGGACGCCTCCTTCGCTTCATGCTTCAGGTCCTCGCCGCGCCGGCCCTCCAGACCTTGATCATTCACCTCAAGGTCGACGAGGATCACTCCATCCTGGACTGGGAGACGGAGCAGCTAGACTGGGCCGCCCTAGACGCCGCGCTCGTGGAACATCCTTCCTTGGAGCAGGCGTGGTTCGCATTCCACTTGTCCTCGGCTTTCCTGTTAAGCGAGCCTGCAAAAAGAGCCATGTTCACGTCCGTATCCTACCTTCCGAAATTCCTGCCGAGGACGAACGCCAAAGGCATGGTGCGACCAGGGATATTACCGCAAAACAGTGGTACGTGAATATGTCATCCTCGCGTAAGACGTAAAGACGTATACTAATCCATTGCTTCTGTGTCATTACAGACTCCCAGGATTGAATGGTCGACAAGGGCACTCCCTGTGCCGCAGCTTCTGCGGCTTACTGGAAGAGTCGCCTGAGTTGAGTTCCTCGTAGTCACAGTATAACGATTGCGGCTGCAGGAGGAAAATTTATCGGTCCGGCTGAGACTATCGAGAGGTCACAGAACCTGGCTAGTTGTCTGTCTATGCCGTCCGACCATACTTGTAGAATTCGATGAATGTACGCTGCCAGGAAGGTGATAATCAGATATGCACTTATATTTGACACGTGAACGTGGGAACTCAGGCGAATTTGAACTGACCACGTGTGCTGTACTGCTTCTCTCATCCGACACCATATCGTTCAATTATCTTTACTCCTGCGTGATTACTGTCGGTACGAAGTATTGTATTTTGTGAAATCCATAGCTGATCCGCTATCTCAAAGGATATCCTCTGTTGAGGAGCAGAATTATGCATGTCAAGCCCGACGAAGCTACGCCTCGCTTGCCCTTCGAACTGCTAGAGCTCATAAGCGACCTCGCAAACGCAGACACACAGCTCGTGTTGGGTCTGGTATGCCGCGCTCTGGTTGAATGTAGCCGCCGCAATGTGTACAAGCAGCTGTGTGTAATTCGGTCGGAACCGCGATCGTGGGCGGCAAGTGATGACGAGTCGGACTCGTTCGCGGAGTTCGTCCATCTCGTACGTTCCCCGAAGTGCACGTTTACGCGCCATGTCCGGCAGCTCACTCTGCGCCAACACCTTACAAGGAAGGAAGGGCTGCCTAGCACGTTTTTGGGACGACTGTCCGCTCTTACAGATCTATGCCTTGAAGGCAGGGACTTCCGGGCCTCATGCGTCCTCGAAGATCTGCATCCCATATCGTCTGGAGTCCCGGCCTTAACCAACTTGTTCCTGACGCATGTCGTACTTGCAAGATTCTCTGCACTCGCGTCCGCACTGTGTGCGCTTCCCCAGCTCCAGGGTCTGTGTTTGAATGGGTTATATGTCCAGTATGAGGATGAAGCAGCAGACCCCGCGAATGACATTCCGCCAAAGTACGCGCTTACGAACCTACGCCGCCTCAGGCTGCATCTGCAATGGTCGGGTGACGCTTGTACATTGCGAAGCTTCTTGGCCTGGATGCTTGCTTTGCCAAACATCGCGCCTGTCGAAAACCTCGACATACTTCTATCTAGTACGGAAGTCGACCTCTCTCCGCTGGTTTGCAGCCTAATGCGTCGTCTGGCCACCTCACTTGCTCAGTGGCGCGTCGCACCAAGCAGCGAAATCTGGTACGGCTTCATGGGAGTTGACTGTATGTACAAAAAACTTGAACCCCTCGACGACTCTCACATGCACGTCCAGTCAGTAGCCTTCATTTCCCGCGCTTTAGGTCGATGCACACCATCGTCATTGACCCAGTTAGCGAATATCAACTGCGTTTCGAACACCCCGGCGCCCTGTTGATTCGATTCGTGCGAAGAATCCTCACGACATCGAGCCTTCGACGGCTTGTCGTACGTGTTCGGATGGACGATAATAGGTGGCCCGCCAACGACCGTTGGCCGCCAGCTGTGGACTGGCTGGAGCTAGACCATGGGGTAGTAGGGCATCCACTTTTAGAGGAGGTCTCCCTCGTTTTCTATTGTTGCTACAACATAGACTCGAGAGATATCTTGTCCGAGTGTTTGACCCGGGCTCCCGAAGTGATGCCTATGACGAAGGCGAAGGGCATCCTGCGAGTCGAAGTCTCTGACAAGGCGACAGGTATGCGCGCTTGTTGCTTATGGGAATGTTGTGAATACGCTAATCGCATGATACAGGATATCGCGCATCATCCGACTGAGACTTGTGAAAAAATAGTCTGATGCGTGGCCGTGTCTGGGGCAGTGGGTGGATTTTGCCTGATATGCGACATTTCGAAGTATAGTACAGATTATATGGTATGCAGTCATAAACGCAACGGTCGAGTGTGCTCGCCGACACCGACTGCGAGTTGTGCGCGGCGTAGGTCACGTGGAAGCTCAAGTAGCACGTGTCTCGCATGCGGCTGGTCACTTTGTCACGCAAGAACGCGCCTTGCCTTTTGCCGCCATCTTGATTCTGTAGCAGCGGGTTCAGTCAAAGGGTAAGCAGTATCCATTCGAGTAATTCTCGCTCTCTAATTCACCGGCTTTCTCGCATATCTTTAGACTCGGCTTTCACCCGGGTGCACGATGGATGTCTCCAGGATCAAAGCGCAGGATGCCGCGCTGCCACGATTCCCTTTGGAACTCCTGGAGCGCATCATGGTGTTCATACCCGACTTGAAGACCTTCTTGAACTCTGCTCTTGTCTGCCGTGCGCTCGTGGATGTCAGCCGACGCCTGACGTTTCGGCGCATCCGCTTCTCCCGACTGGGTTCTGTAGCCGGGTACAGTTCGTTCAAGGCGTTCGAAGCCCTTCTGGAGTCGCCGATGTGCACTATCCCCCGACATATTCGCTGGGTTGCCCTACACTGGCCTGCTACGTATGAACGCAACCTCGTGGAACCGCTCAGCTGTCTGCAGCGACTGCCCAATCTGGCGACGTTGCGCGTAGAGGGGATGCGTGATCTTTCCTGTGTAATTCCTCTCCACGAAATTGGACCATATCTATCATCGAAGTCTCTAACAAGCGTCAGCCTGGATCTGGTCGTCATCAGTTGCTTTGATGCCCTCGTACGGATGCTCAACTCCCTAGGCAACCTACAAAACTTCTCGATGAACATCGTCTCTCTCCAAGGCGGACAAGGCGCAAAGATAATGCATCGTCCACTATCAAAACCAGAAGGCCTCCTTGCGCGCCTATGTCGCCTCAAATGCTATTTGCAGGGCCCACTCGAGTGGGGCTTCCTCTGGTTCTTGTTATCCCTCCCATGTCTCCCGCCAATCGCGTACCTAGATATCCGTCTCCCAATCGCAGGTTCCGGACGGTCGGAAAGATGGTGCAAATTCGTTCATGGGCTCAGGCATACGTTGAGATCCTTGCGCATCCACCCCGGCTTTCGGGACTTTATCGAAGCGGAATGTGGGTGGTCCTCAGACGCTTGCTTTTCCATGTCGCTTACACATGTCTCAGATACGAAGTTGGATCTGCCGCAGTTCACGTCGCTCTCCTCTATCACCATCGAACCGGTCCTTACGTACAATCTGCGAACGGCCGGGACGGGGGACTGCTTTCTCAGCCTCCTTCTCTTCTCATTAACGGCCCCATCCCTCTCGAAGCTCACCGTCGTGTTCATGGTTGACCACGTGCGTTCAGTGGATGCTTTCGGCATTTCTTTCGATTGGGCGGTCCTCGACAGTCGCTTGGAGAGGGCGCCGTGTCTGAAGGAAATGAAATTTGTCATCAGCGCCTGCTCGGTAATTATGCAGCTGCAGGGCGTGCATCGGAAGGCGGAGGAGAATATCCGCAAGCTTCTCCCGAAGGCGCATGCGAAGGGCATATTGCGGGTGAAGGTTGCGAGCGTCGCCTTAGGTGAGAGCCTCATGACGTGTTATACGGCGCTTCTAAATCTCACCGCAAAGATGACTGAAAATGTTACCGCCTTCATGTGTGCGGAACCTTCATGTATGGGTAACGTTAGAATAAGATTTGGATGTCCATGTAGCGCACGTGCTTTCCGGTCGCCCTTGAACAATGCTTGCATTAAACATTAGCAAACAAGCGCTTGCTCTCGAGCATCATCATCATTCAAGAGTTCGGTGATTCTGTGCGTATTCGTTGAGGATGAAATTGAGTACAGGCCTTCATCTGAAGGGGCCCGTTACGCAGGATACACAATAACTTCATCGCTCCTTCCTCAAGCAGGCAGACCGTGACGATGGAAGGGGCAGGTGATGGATCCGGAGGCACTTCCCCTCGTCTTCCCCTGGAAATTTTTGAAAAAATCATGGACTGTACGACCGACCCCAAGACTCTCCTGAGTTTCTCACTCGTCTGTCGCGCGCTGGTCCATCGAAGCCGTCACCACTCTTTTCGTCGAATCGTCATGCGCTACAAGGGGTCCGACAACGCCGAAGCCGACTATCGAGAATTTGGCTCCCTGCTGTCATCGCCAGCATGCACTATCGCTCAGTGCATCCGATATGTGGAGCTGGATCGGCCCCTCGCATTCTTCTTCGACACTGGCAAACATCTACTATGGTTGGCACGCCTGCAGAATTTAGCGACGCTGCGCATCGACGGGATGCCGGAGTACCAGCACACTGCATTCAATACTCTCGGCCCATCTATTTCCTTATTGTCATCGTTGAAAAGCTTGACTATACGTCGTGCCGGTTTCGTCGACTTAGCCGCGTTTTTGTCTACGCTGTCTGCGCTTCCCCGACTGGGAGATCTGTCTCTATACGCGGTATACCCGCGCCATGACATGGACCAGCCATCCACCGATGCGCTACTCCAAGCCAACAGACACATCCTGCCGCACCTGCGGAGGCTGAGATGTTACATACATCGCGACCTCCAGCGGCCTTTCTTCGCCTTATTGGCAGCATCGCCGCGTCCGCCGCCAATCGTATACCTGGACATACCGATGGCTGCACCGAGGGCGGGAGACACACCTCTGTACTCCAATTTATTGCGTGCAGTCTAGCCCACGCTGACTGCTCTGCGCTTGGATCCGAGTGACCAGGAGGGCTTTCTCGAGTTAGCGGAAGGTGAGGCTTGATCTTGCGTGCACCTATCGTTGTATCTCATCTCAATACCATAGGTCTCCCTCTCGGCTTAGCGTCGCTCGAGCATCTGCGCTCAGTAACAATCGAGCTCGTGGTATTGACTTCACTGAACTTTCGGCGCACGGCGCAGAGCATAACAAATCTGCTGCTCTGCGCGCTCCAACCTCCTGCTCTTCGGAAGCTTACCCTGTCGTTTAATACCCTCCTCAAATCGCCAGGCCTCATTCGCCTAGTGATTGAAGGGGATGTGCTCGATGGCCGCCTAGAACAATTGCCCTCGTTGACGGAAGTCAAGTTCATATTCAGCGTTCCTTCCGACTTCGCGCAGATGCCGAACTTGCATCGGGATATCGAGGAACTGATCCACGGGATGTTTCCGAAGGCGAGCGCGAGAGGGATATTGCAATTGGTGACATTGAAACCATACGCCGCAACAGGTTCGTCCTTCATCATTTCTGAACGTAACGGAAGGTTAAGATCATGCAAGAATTTGCGGATGCTGGCCTCTAGAGACCTTATTGGTTACGCATACAAACAACATCATACACCCAGAATATCTACCTGGTTCATAGAACTCAAAGTCTCCTTCCGCACCCACTCGCCCTCGACACCGGATTCAGCAGGCGACAGCCCCCTCCAGAGCACGAGCCGAGTGGTTAGCGGACCCCAGTTGTGGCCATCAGAAGCCTGCATCGCTGCGCGCCACAAGTCTTTGACCGCGCGTCCCCAGGTCGCCTTATCTTCCATCGGAGATGCTTCGTGTAAGCTCGCAGCACGGTGCGGCGGCGCAGGTAGGTCAACGATGACAGCATCGCGCTCTGACGCAAGGTCCAAGCGCGTCTCCAAGCGCTGGAGCCCGCGCAGGGTGCTCTGAATTAAGCGCGAGAGGCCTTCTGCTGAACGGCCCTGGAGGCACGACAAGCGTAAGGTCGCGCGACATAACCAGGGCAGTGGTTTCTCTGTAGTGATGTCAGTCATGGATAGCACCGAAGCGAAGAGGGCACGTACGCGCGACATGCGTGTCCTCCGCGATGGAGGTAAGGGAGCGGCAAATCGTACTCCGCCATTCGCCATGTGTAGCCGTCTCGACGCGACCGGTATCCGCAAGCGTCATGCAGTTCTCGAGTATGCGGACCCAGACCACTGCCTCTTCGTCTCGAGCATCACGCGTCTGCATCTCGATCCATGAGAGGAGGCCGGACTTGATGATCAAGGAGGTCACAGCTTGCGGGACGCAAGTCAGGTTGGCCAGGACCTGACGGACGTTAGACTACAATAAACCCACGAAGAGCAATTTTCGCACCTCGAGAACACCTGAGCGCAAGGCCTTATCCTTCCCGGCGCTCTGGAACATGCTGGCCAGAAGGTCCCACGTATGCCTCCGCTTGAAGACTCGCCAGTCGTCCGTGCCGCACATGCCATCCGCGAGGAACTTAAGGATCCACCCGCGTTCCTTCTTCCAGTCATCACCGCTGCTGTACAACATGCCGTACAGCATCGGTACGTCGTCGACGTCGAGAAGGGGTCGTTGCAGCAAGAAGCGGGCGGTCAGCGGGTAGATGAAGTTGGTAGGGTAGAAGATTGCGCGCAGAGCGTGGGCGAGGATGAGGGTCGTGTAGGTTGGCAATCGCTTGGGCGCGTCATCGGACCAGGCAAACACGGAGAGTGCGTCCTTGAGCAGCGATAGGACGTAGAGAGCATGATCCTTTTCTTGCATGTCCGCGCTCTGTGAGAAATGGTAAGCGCGTATACGGACAGCGACGAGAATGGTAAAATACCTCAAGACATAACCAGAGCGAAGCTAGCTGGTTCGCCGCAAGCTCACGTACTTCGCTCTCCCTCGCCGACATCATGCGTATCAACAACGACACGATGTTCGTACGGAAGACCTCTACCCAGGCCAGAGCCGTTGCCGGTGGGCACTCGAGAATCATCTGCGCGAAGAGCAGCACGAGGAAAATAGGGTCGTACAGCGGCTCCTCCCATGAGTACGCCCGATGCTCAATAGGGGTATCAAGGTCGCGCCACTTCGGGTAATTCAGGCAGGTGCGGAGAACAAGGATTGGGTCCAAACTCTGCACGGCGTCGAGCGCGGTCTGAGAGGCTGAGTCGCCCACGGAGGACCACCGACTGATGAGGGATGTAATCGGGGTGCTGCGTTCCGCCTCAAAGAGCTGGAAGATGGCGAGGATGCGACGATCTGCGCTGGAGAGCGTCCCGCGGTAGACTTGCAGCAAGGGCTCGACGTGCGAGATCTGGCATGTGTTGCCCGGATGCAACTGGAAGAGGGTGTATAGGAGATGGACGAGGGGCTCGCGAGAAGGCGAGGTGACGCTGGCGGCCCTGGGGAACTTGGCACTCTGGACGATAGCTTGAATGTTGCGGTTCACGACGAAAGGCTACAAAGAGATAAGGTTTCACCAATACAGCGAGCATTGAGCGCACCTTCATCGACGCATGTCTGGCGAGCACGGCTGCCAGCTGCAGGATGTGGGGAAGGCCGAGCGCATGCTGCACAACTGCGGTCAAGAAGGTCTCGACGGAGTGGGTCTTGACGACGGAAGGCCGCCAGACGACGAGGTCATCTGCACAATGGTCAGCCACGATAACAGAAGATGGACGAAGACGCACTCACTCAAGACATGCGTCACTGCCCGGACATCCTCCATCTCGGCCCGTTCATCCGCCAGATGGTCTACAAGATCGCGAGTGGACCGCTCAACAATCGCTGCGAGGAGATCGTCCGAGTCAGAAACATCGAGGTCCACGAATATACCCAGGAAGTCAGAGGTGACCACAGCAGTCGGCTTCTGCACGGCGGAGACAATGCTCTTCAAAAGTGATTTTGGAATAGCCGACAAGGTCTTCAACAACCTCTGGAGACTGGTCGACACATTCCTGCGCGTTTCCGCAGGACAGCCAGGCTTTAGGATGGCCTTGATCACACGTGAGGCATGGGAGGCAACGCTATCCCAAAGCCCCACCACCTCCGTACCGTTCGAGTCGGCGAAAGCGCCGAGGACCATCGCTAGATGTTCGACGGAAAGCGACGCGGGCTTGTCGGACTGCAGCCACTGCACGAATGTAGACTCGGGCAGTTTGCCCTTGTAGATCATCCCGGACACGATCCGCGCAACCGAGTCGTCCCAGTCGTCGGCGCCGAGGAATGCGTCTGCGGAGAGCTCGGGCAGCGGAGCATGGCGCGAGCGCCAGCGTTGCTCAGCTTCTTGGATGAGGGCGGGCAGGCCTGCTTCTCGCCGCACGATCCCGTCCACACCCAGCGGTATGCTGCTGGTGACCGAGCGAACGAGCAGTCGGTCGAGAAGGGCGCGGTTGGTGAAGGTCGCCCGTAAGGATAGTAGCTCGGCTGAGCGTGCGGCGATGATGTCGATGGACGAGCTGGCATCAGGGGCCTGCCCAATGACATCGAGGAGACGGGCGATGAGGGTAGAAATGATGGTCTGATCCAAAGTGCCGAGCTTGGACATGGTGAGGTCGAAGAGCTGGACCAGATTGCTCGTCGATAAATAAGGTAACCAAGGCGAAGCGCATGCAATCTAGTAAGGGGGATAAGTGCATATGCGAAAAACATCATTGTGAAAACTTACGATGTTTACGGTCAAGCCCTTGCTCTCAAAAGCGCTTGACAGCGCATTGAGCCAGTAGATGGTGATCTCGGACACAATAACCTGCTCTCCTCTTGATGGAAGAAGTCCCTCGATGAGTCGCTCCAGAGCTGCGAACACCTAGTCAGAACTCAATCACCCGATGTGAGGCTAAATGACTTACCTTCCCTCTCATCCGAGCCGGTCGACACGCTAGTGCAGATCTGCGACAGCGCAGGAACATGCATAATGAACGCCACGATATCCGCCGAATCTTGCGACGACATCGAGGCAAGGTACGTCTTCGCGAGGTCGGCCAGTAGGTACAAGAGCGTCGCGCGCACGTCAACGCGTCCCTCTGTGGACTCGAGATGCTGCAAGACCAAGCAGAATGCTCTTCGCAGGTCATATGCAGACGGCTTGGAACAAAGGCTCGATACGAGTGCCTGTCGATGATCGGCGTCGCGGAGTTGCGCAAGCTCAGTGTTCAAAAGGAGCCATTCGAAGGGAACGCTGTGAGGGGTATCAACGATGACCACAGCGAGCCTCTAACCGATATGGAACGTACCTGTCTCCAGCTTCCTCGACTGCCTTCATTCGCTCGTCCGACTCTCCATCCACATCCATCTCCGCATCCCTGCCTAGCAGATCTCGCGCCAAGCATGCCTTCATCGCCCCCAATTCCCTTCTCACCGCCTTCGCCACATCCTCGCCCTCCTTCGTCAGCCTCTCCTTATTCCATATCTCGTCCAACCTCCCCTGCACGACGCGCAGCAAGGAGGGCGCATGGAGCGACGTAGTCGACAGCCTGAGCAACAAGCGGCGAACGAAGGTGGCGAGGGCAGGAGTGGGCGCCTTATGCTTCGCCTGCTCCAGCACGGTTGCAAGCAAGGGGCTCGTAAGCTCGTCGGCCGCATCCGCCGAGGCGAGCGCCCGGAGGTCATCCATGTAGCGATAAGGCGTCTTCAAGCACCGCTGGACGCAGTCGTCGAGGAAGGATACGACCGCGTCGAGCTCGCCGGCCTGCGCAGGTAGACAAGCCAGCCACAGCGCCGGCTCGTTGGGCGTGTCTTGGAAAAGCACGCTCTTCGCAAGGAGGTGGCATGTAAGGTCGTGCAGCGCGACACGCGTGGCCGACAAGGTAGCCGTCCTCGTCCCCTTCAAGAAGAGGGAGAAGTAAGTGTGTGCCGATCCTGCGGGCTTCGACCACCACGCGAAGTCCTCCGTTTCCTGCAGTAGGCGCAAGACATGCAGTTGCTGCACGCCGCGCAGCTTCGCAGAGACGCCGTCATCTTCTTCGTCCGACGGGCTGTCCACGGCTGCGTCCCCCATCCCAACGAGCGCGCGTCCGACATCGACGCGCACTTCGCGCACCGCGCCGGGGAGGACGCGGTGGTAGAGCCACATGAGCCGCGCGGCAGCTTCCCCGAGGAGCGCGCGCTGCGCAGGATTCCTCGCCGGAGGTTTGCTGACCCCGTCGGTGTTCTTGAGGGCGTCGCCGCCGTCGGTGCTCTTGGTCCCGTCCTCCGCCATCCTCGACAGCCCGACAATGACCCCGAACTCGGGCACGCGCCGCCGCACCTCGCGCTCGAGCTCCGCACGACGCGCGGCCCACGCACCCTCGCCCTCGTCCGCTTCTCCAGCCCCGACCTCATCAAATGCCTCGAGCACCGCCGCGTACTTTCCCAGACTGCGCGCCAGCGACAACGCCGCAGCGTGCTGCACCAGCGGCTTCGCATGCTGGAGCGCCTTCGTCCAGTGCGCCTTCATCGCGGGCCCGCCGGGTAGCGTCGCAGCGATGATCGCGTTCAGCGGCGGCGGGGAGGGGTTGGGCAGCACGTGCTCCGCGTCGAGGTAAAAGCACGCTTTCGGCACGGGCAGCGAGACGATCTCGCCCGCGAGCGCGATGTTGACTAGCCAGCGCGAGCTGAGGCGCGGCTCAAGGGTGAGGCCCGCGGAGGCCCAGTAGCCCGTGACGAGCTCGGGGCACGCGGCGAGGATGCGGAGGGTGAGCTCGTGCTGGCGGGGGTCCTCATTCGGCTTGAGGTGCTTGAGGAGGTAGGCGAGGATGCGGTTGTGGATTTTGAGGGTGGAAGAGGTAGGCGTAGAGGCGGAGGTGGAAGTAGACGGGAGAGCGGCGTCGGAGAGGTCTTCGCGGGGATACCAGCCACGGTCGCGGAAGCAGACGCCTGTGCCGGGGCGAGTGCAGATGGCGAGGAGGAAGTGGTGAAGAACATCGCGGGTTTCGTCGGAGGGGTTGTCGTAAAGCTTGAGGAGCTGCGAGGTGCATGTAAGCAACAGGCTCGGAAGCAAAATATAGCACGCACATGCCCCATCGTCGTCTCGTTGAAGAGGGCGACCTTCAACGTCCGCTTGACCTTCGGATCGCACCACAAGCCCTCCCAGAGGACTTCAAGAACATGCTTGACGACACTGGGTGGATCTTGGTGGAGGCCCTGATGTCAAGGTCAGCAATAAGCATGCGCATATATGCGTGCGTACACACCTTCAGAGCAAGTGCGATGCCGGGGATGTGTTGCTCGAGGAACGCCGCCTTGTACGGAGAGGAGGATGTCAGCGGTGACAGGATAAGAAGCATGGTGAGGGTGCGGATGTCTGTTGAGGTATTAGCGCCGCATAGGTTTCGTTGGAAAGATGGCACTCACCAGGCCGAACGAGTGCATCCACCAGGTCCTCCCCTGACTTGCTTCTCCTTCGCATGTTGACCAGCTTGGGGAGCGTCTTGCCCTCCCAGGGAAGTAGCTCCACTACCGCTTTTCGCTCCCTCCCGCTGGCGAAGTTGGCAAGCGCATTCACGAGCTTCAGGGTGGCGAGGATGAGATCGTTGCTGCTGCCCGAGAGTGCAACGAATAGGCGTCGGCTCCATTGATCTTGCAGTAGGTTTCGTACAATCTGCATCCCAGCAGCGTGGTAGGGTAGGTGGGTAGACAGCAAGGTGAGCATACAGGCGAGCACTGAGCAGCATAGTGCGGGGAGCTGGGGTTGACGCTGCGATGGACATTAGACCCAGTTTAACGGGGAGGAACGTTGCGACGCACTGGATTGCTAGTCTCCCATAGTTGCAGTACATCCTGAGCGCCAGGGGAAAGCTGCAGGAACTCATCCACAAGCACTAGCCTCGCATCCTGTGTAGAGATTTTCTCCTCGGTTGGCTTGATCGTGAGCTGGTTTCGCAAAGCAGTCAAGGCTAAGCAGTCTCAGCATCAGCGCATAGTCTATCTCGGACATGACCAACGCTCACATCGCGTCACAGTGTCTGGATCGAACGCGCGCAAGGCATTCCGGATCGCCTGCGCGCTAGTGAAGACCAGTGCGCTCTCCGTCGCGTCGGTCTTCTGTCGTTTTCTGGGGGGCTCAGAGGCCGCCTGAGTCGTGTGCTTGGCCATGTCTCCCGTCGTTTCCTGTCGCGTCTTGCGCGGCGATGATGGATGGAGGAGAACAATGGGAAAAGAACAATGGCTTTGTCTGTTTGCCTGTGTATGCGCCGATCAATGACCGCACGTATGCTACTGTCTCCTTTAGGAAAGTATTCTTTTCCTCCGCTGTCATCTCCGGGAACATGACATGTTCGACTTCGCAAAAAATATACCTATTGCTAGGAATAATCCTCTCGACGGCCTTCAGAATGCCCCGCACCTGCATCCGAACCCATGAGAATACCGGAAGCTTCAGGACCAAGTTATGCCTTCTTATCTGGACTCTGCCCATTGGACTTCATGGCAGTCTCGTTCCGTCTACGTTATCCTCCCTCGTGCTCGCCCTATCTTCTGAGCTATATTCACGCCCACATGACCCGAAGGAGTTTCTCCGTCCTCGTCCTTCCATGTCTGATCGGACCTTCCTTCTACTTATCGTCTTCTGGCATTGACAAACGGGCGGGCCGTCGTTGCATGCGGTGCTCTTCTCGTCGAGTGGGTACAGTATATAATGAGTGGACCGTATGAGCAAGGTGCTTCTGGCCCTCATCTTTACCGACTTCGGCGAGCTCAACATGATACTGACGACTGCAGTATCGTTCTTGGGTGTGGTGACTTCGACGGCGTATGCGCAGACGACGTGTAAGTACTTGATACTCTTTTTTTCCTATGTCACTCACATTCCCTATACCGCCAAGTGTTACCGAAGCGATACGAGACGCTGCCTCTGGGTCATGTCCGTCCTGCAGGATGGCTAGCAGACCAGGTTGGTACTACACCTCATCTTGAGGGATACCAGGTCCAACCCGAACTTCCCAGCTTCAACTCCAGATCGACGGCATGGCGGGCCACGAACATCTATTCTATCCATAGTCTGATACTTCCAACTCGCCGTGAGATATCTCGCTGACGAAGGTTGGGCTCCAGCGTCATGGAAAGCGACTGGATCGGCGGCGACTCCGCCTATTCGAGTCTTGAGGAAGGTGCGCTAAATCGCCTTCGCTATATCATCAATCTACCGATTATTACCATAATCCTACTAAGCCGGCAGCTACTGGTTTGTGCGTTGTATCCCTACTTTCCCGTACTTCCTGCTGACCACTGTCTCTAATCCAGAATGGCATGATCCCAAACGCCGTGCTCGGCAACAACGACGAGATCCTGCAGAAAACAAAGGATTTCATGAACTACGTGCTCGAGCACCAAGGAGACGACGGCTGGCTAGGACCGGAGGCTAACAACAATAGGACGCGCTACTTGTGGGGACGGTAAGCTTTTCTTCTCCTCGGTCACCCCCTCTTTCCCCCGTACTTTCCCTGTAACTCACCCTTCACCCCACTGCCAAGCCTCCACTAAGGCATGCCTAATCCCCTCTTCCCCAGCTACCCCTTCTTCTTCGGCGCCATCCAGCTCCTCGAGGTCTTCCCCGAGTACACCGACCCCTTCGTCAGCGCGATGTACAAGTTCGTCCCGCTCGCGAACCAGATGCTGCGCGACGGCGAGGGCCTGGAGATCTGGACGAACACGCGGTGGGAGGATTTTGTGATGGTGCTGGAGTGGTGAGTGGGCCACCTTTGCAGAACTCTCGATATAAGTGCACGCTGACAAAGACGCCCAGGCTGTACGACTACCATCCAGAGGGCCAGGAAGACCTCCTCCTTGATACCATCGTCCGCCTCCGCGCGTCCGGCGTGCCTTGGGAAGAGGTGTATAAGGAGGAAAACTTTCCCAAAATTGAGGTCGACAACCTGGAGAATCCGACGGGCTATGAACTGAGCGTCAGTGATGTTCTCCGCCATATGAGACGTACTAACGCCTCTCTCCCTCAGTGGCACGGCGTGAACTTCGCGGAAGGCATGAAGGCCCTGCCGGCGATGTATCGCGTGACGGCGAATCAGTCGGGTAAGACTGCCTCTAATCTCCTTGCGCTCGATTCCTTCTCGACTTCGTGAAGTTACGACCAGCTCACGATCCTATACAGAGCTCGACAGCATCAGCCACGCTTGGGATATGCTTTTCGAATATCACGGTAGACCGTCGGGGATGTACTCGTGCGATGAGTACCTGGCGGGGAAGGAGGCAACGAGAGGGTGCGTGCTAGACATTTTTCTCGTGTCTTTTGAGAGGGTATTGCGATAAGTGACTGACGCGTGCAACTAGGACTGAGCTCTGCACTGTCGTAGAGACCATGTACTCGGCGAACTACCTATACCAGGTCACAGCGGACGCGAAGTATATCGACCGGGTGAGGGACGTGCCGTCCGTCGCAGAGTGTCCACTGACTATTCTCTCAGGCCGAACGCGTTGCATACAATGCGCTGCCTGCTGAGCTCACTGGAGGTGAGTGGGGCAATGAGCAGTAAGCGAACGGCAGGGTGAGAAGTGATGTTGACGCGAATGGACAGATATGTGGCACCGCCAGTACAACCAGCAGCAGAACCAGGTCGCATCGAAGAATATGACACCGTGTGTTTCTTCAACAGTTCTGGTGGAGTATGTACTGACGATCTAACAGCAACCCCTTCTACGTCGATGGGTACACCTTCCCGTTATAGTGCCTTGCGCAATACAGCTGACTCTGCACAGACCGTACGCGAACGTCTTCGGGCTGGAGCCATACTACCCGTGCTGTACCGTCAACCATCCTCAAGGTTTCCCGAAATTCGTCTCCCACTCCTTCCTCAAGACCGTCGACGAGACGGCGCTTGTTGAGGTCTACCACGGGCCGTTGACTTTGAGCACTACTCTTGGAGGTCAGTATTCTGCATCACCTTTACTCGCCCTTCCCTTTCGTGGGTGCTGACATCCTATCCCAGATAACACCATCAGCATCACCTCCGACACCACGTACCCTTTCAGCGACTCCGTCTCTCTCGCCGTCGACGCCTCAGCGCCTTTCACCTACTACATCCGTGTCCCAGATTGGGTCGTAAATGGTACGGTGGCGACGAATGGTGGCGCGGTGGAGGCGATACAAGCAAGTGGAGGCTTGATGAAGGTGGAGATTCCAGAGGGAAAGACGACGCTGGACTTGGTATTCCCAGCGGAGATCACGACCGGTACGTTTGAGCGATAGACGAGGAAGGAGGATGGGTAGCTTAGGATTGTTCCCAGAGGACCGTCTGCACAACGCCATCGCCGTCCACCGCGGTCCGTTGCACTATGCATACGACAGTGAGTCCCTTTGACCCGCCCTCAGCGTCTCCCTCTGACCCTCGCTTACCAGTAACCTACAACACCTCCACCATTCAAACACTTTTCCCCGCTGAGCCGCGCGCCAGCGACCTCCAACTCGACGCCACCGGCGCCTGGAACTACGCCATCGACCCATCAACGCTCAAGTTTGTCAGCGATGAGGCCAGCGGAAGCCTACCCTCACCCATATTCGACTCGAACGTGCCTCCGGTGTATATAACTGTCCAGGCATGCCCGATTGAGTGGGACACGGCGGGAGATACGTTCGCTGCGCCGCCTCCGGAGAATCCAGAGTGCATCGGAGACGCTGTGGAGTTGAAGTTACAGCCGTACGGGGTGAGTAGTATCTACACCCATGCAGGTTCAAATGAGTGCTGACAGGAAACGGAATCAGGCTACAAAGCTCCGCATATCAGAGTTCCCAGTCGTAAGTCTTTGAAGGGACATAATCGGTCGACGGCGTGCAAAGCTGGATATCTTGTTTATGCTTTGGCAAACTGCAATAGTGCAGTTTTGATTACGAGAGTGAAAGTGAATAGTATGGATCAATGAGTAGGACTAGCGGAAGAATCGCGATTGTATGAGTTAAGTCGGTTCGCCTCAAAAGACACGACAGCGACTGATAACCGTCGTGGAGGCTGTAGCTTTAGAGCTTGAGTCTGTAAGCTAAGAGTAACTGAGCACCTCTGACTCAGTTCGAGCAATGAGCGATTTATGTAGAGGTGGATTTCCAATGCAGAACCCAAAGGGATGTAGTGATGCTCGATAAGGAAATCGCATGGTTGAACTTAGTGGCTGGTCACGTGAGTCACAAACTGTACAGACCCGGCAAAGTCCGAATAGCGCCAAATTGTGCTCATCGTTTAGAACAGCGCGCTCACGGCATCCTCAAGACAAGGTGAGTTGCTGCCCCTCTGTCCGATCGAACGTTCTGCTCACGACAATCGTCAGGCCATCTCCGCCATGGGTCAGTCCCTGCCAAAATTCCGCTTGAAAGGAGCAAGAACTGATCTTTTACGATGAATAATAGTCAACCTCCGCTCCCAAAAGCGCCTCGCCGCGTCCGTCGCTGGCGTCGGCAAGCGCAAGATCTGGCTCAACCCCGCTGAGCAGGCGGAGATCGGCAACGCCAACTCGCGCGCACATATCAAGAAGCTCTTCAAGGATGAGCACATCATCCGCGAGCCCACCCGCATCCACTCCCGCTCCCGCACGCGCGATCTCCACGCCGCGAAGCGCAAGGGCCGCCACACCGGCCCTGGTAAGCGCAAGGGTACGGCCGAGGCCCGTATGCCGACGAAGGTCCAGTGGATGCGGAGGCAGCGCGTGCTTCGTCGTCTGTTGCGGAAGTACCGGGAGGCTGGCAAGATCGACAAGCATCTGTGCGTTACCCGATCCGCTCTCCGATCCCCATTCATTGATACGGCGTCCCGCAGCTACCACCAGCTCTACCAGAAGTCCAAGGGTAACGTCTTCAAGAACAAGCGTGTCCTGATGGAGTACATTCACAAGGCGAAGGCTGAGAAGACTCGCACCAAGATCCTCTCCGACCAGATGGAGGCCCGCCGTGTCAAGAACAAGGTGCGTGCGCCTGCCCCCTTTCCGCTTCTGTTCACTCATTTCGCTTTAGGCTGTCCGGGAGCGTCGCGCTGCGCGTGTGCTCGAGAAGCGGCAAGCGATCCTCGCCGTCGAGCACGAGGCACCTGTCAAGGAGTAAAGGGAGACTCGCTACCATTACTCTGTACTACCACGCCACCCTCATCCTCTCCCTCCGCGCTGTCTCATCGCTGGTCCCACGTATGCATATGTCCCTACTGCAGAATGCTATGCACGCCCCCTTATGCCGCCTCAATCGTTGTTGTATTTCAAGCTCTTTCGCATCATGCCCCGAAACTAGCGTGAGCAACCGTGCATTCAAAAAATGGCTGTGCCTAATCATCGGCCAAGCGCGAACTGTTCAAATCAGGGCTCCCCCATTGCAGCGAAGCCCAACCAGGACACTACCATAGTCGTGTATTCCAGCAGGCCAGATTACCGTCATTGTATGCCCAACCGCGGCGCAGTCCTAAGCCTTGACTTTTCCCACTTCTGGCCGTATCTTCCGACATCGTACTGACTCAGGCGGGCCGGTGCCATGCGGTACGCTGGCTATATCTCGTATCTTTTGGCCGCAACCCTTTCAGTTTGTGGGTTGCAACTTGCCGCCATGTTCCTTGCTTCATGGCTGCTCGGCGCTTCCGTGTTGTCGACCTTTGCGAGCGCGCAGGTCCTCCTCCAGCAGGAGCCCTACGATGCAGGCCTGTTCACGCCCTTCGAGAGCCTCTCGGCATTGTCCGAAAATGAGTTCACGTCCCTTTCTCACCCGTTCTTCCCCAATTACGGCGTGCGAGTGAAGAAGACGAAGTTCTGCGACGGGATGGTCAAGTGAGTGCACAGATAACGAGACTGACCCGAATGACCTGGGCATACCAACAACGACGCGTAGCTCGTACACAGGGTATCTAGACATCTCCGAGACGAGGCACCTGTTCTTCTACTTCTTCGAGAGCCGCAACGACCCTGCGAAGGACGATGTGATTCTCTGGACCAATGGAGGTTTGTTCGTCTCATCTTAACACTCGCTCGTCGTAAGTGATACGTTTTCCAGGTCCTGGCTGCTCTTCATCTATCGGCCTGTTCATGGAGCTCGGTACGTACTCTCGGACGCAGGATCTTGAGAAAGACCAACACAGCTCAGGCCCCTGCCGCGTTCTGGACGAGAGTGGTGCCAAGTATCACTCCGAGTCGTGGAATAGCAATGCCAACCTCTTCTTCATCGACCAGGTTCGTGCTCGTCGTTAGCATCATTCTGATCTTATCCCTTACAGCCAGTCGGTGTTGGTTACTCGTACGCCGACTACGGTGAACATGTTGTACGTCCTCTCTGTCAGCAATGGGGTTGCGAGACGTGATAATGGTGACAGTACACCACTGAGGAAGGCGCCAAAGATATCGCTGCTTTCGTTGCTATATTTTTTGAGCACTTCAGTCAGTTCAAGGGACGGCCTTTTCATATGGCTGGCGAGTCGTATGGTGTAAGCACGTCCTATCTCTGGGTGTGTAGCGGTCTGATACTGTCCTGCATAGGGTCGCTACCTTCCTCTGTATGCATCAGCGGTGTACGACCAGAATGCCGCTTTGGTTAAGGCGGGGATGACCCCAGTGAACCTGTCCTCTGTGCTCATAGGTGCGCTTCTTACTTTCCAAGCCTTACTTGCGAGTAAAAACATCCAGGGAACGGTATCTCGGACCCCTTCCGCGTGTTCCTGTCCTACTACGACATGCAGTGCACGAACGCGTCTGTCCCGCCCGTCGTCGATATCGCGACATGCGTGCACCAGAAGACCATGGTGAGCTATACCGAACGATACGCACGTCACCTACCGGCATCGCTGACCTTGTACTTATCAAGGTCAAGCGCTGCACTCAGTGGTTCCAGGAGGCTTGCATCGACCAGTACGACGCCATCAACTGTGGCGCTGCTGCGTCCGTCTGTCAAGGCGAGCTTGAGAAGCCGTTCTATGCGACTGGTACGTCTCGTCCTTTCCTGTCGCCGTATCTCATGCTGAAACTTCTGCAGGCATGAACCCCTACGACATCAGCCAGCCCTGTAACGGTACTGTCGAAACTACGCTTTGCTACCCGATCACTGTGTATGTTCTATCCTTTCCCTCTATCCTCCCCACCCACTACCCGGACTCATGACTGACTGTCAATGCTCTGCACAGTCACATCAGCAACTACCTCTCCCAGCCCGAGATCCGCGAGCAGCTCGGCGTCGACCCCGCCGTGCCCGCGAACTTCTCCTCCTGCAACACGGACGTCAGCCAGGGCTTCGAGCTCGCGCAGGACGGGTACCATGTGACGACGAGGGACTACGTGGGCGCCCTGCTCGAGCGTGGCGTTCGGGTGCTGATATATGTTGGCGACTATGATTGGATTTGTAACTGGGTGCGTTGGCCAATCGTTGTCGTACCTGAAGTGGGGGAGATGTACAAGAGAATGCTAACGCCTCACCAGGTCGGCAACGAGCGCTTCACGCTAGCGCTGAAGTGGTCCGGGCAGGCCGACTTCGCTAGCCACGAGCTGCGAGACTGGTACGTTGGTGGAGCGTCGGCGGGCAAGACGCGCAGCACCAGCGATGGTCTGTTTACCTTCGCTACTGTGCATGCGGCGGGACATATGGTATGTACTCTCGAGTGCACAAAAGGAGCGTTTACTGAAGGTCTTGTCTAGGTCCCGTACGACAAGCCGAAGGAGTCGCTTGAACTGCTTAACAGATGGCTCAAGGGACAGTCGCTTTGAACGCTCCTATGTCAAGGTCTTTCTATCTTCCAGTTCTTGGTTTGATGATAGTATGTGCATTGAGATTGTGATACATACAGCATAAGAGGAAGAAACGAAGAGATAATACAGAGCAAGATCGAGTCCAGACAAAAGAAGAGATCAGACAGCATCACCACCTAACACGGCACACTCCACCCCTCCCACTCAAACCGCCCCTCCTGAATGTCGACGAGTCGTTGCCACAACGCCTTGCCCACCGGCCCATACCCGTCCTCGTACTTCTTGAAGACCACATCCTCGCCCTCGAACCCAATCCGGGCGAGGGGCACGACGATAGACGCCGTGCCGCAGGCGAGGACCTCAAGCAGGGAGCCATCCGCGTTCCACTGGCGCACCTCGGGCATGGTGATGAGGCACTCGTGCGTGTGGATCTTGAGCGTGGGGGAGAGGCCGGGGAGCGTGGTGCGTCCCTGCGTGTGCGCGTCGGCGAGCTCGAGGATGGACTGGCGGGTGACGCCGGGCAGGATGGTGCCGTCGAGCTCGGGCGTCATCAGGTCGACGTCTGCGAAGGGATCATCAGCTCGATGAACAACAGAACAAGGTAAACAATGTGCACGCACCCCCATCCTCCCTCTTCCGCACGACCATGAAGTTCATCAGCCCCGCCTCGCAGATCTGGCGGTTCTCGCCGATGAGCCACAGGTTCTGGTCGTACCCGCGCGCGTTCGCCGCCTTCTGCGACTCGAACGCGGGCGCGTAGTTGCCGCCCATCTTGTACGCGCCCGTCCCGCCGGGCCACGCGCGCACGCGGTCTTCGACAGCGAGGAAGGAGAGCGGCTTGCCAACGCCGGGGAGGAAAAAGGGCGCGCTGGGGTTGAGGATGATGTAGATCATACCGTAGTCGTCGGTGGGGGCGACGCCGATGGCTGAGTGAGTTGGGGGTAAGTCAATGGGTCATGGAGAGGTGGCGGAGACGTACATGGACGGGTACCGATGATGGTGGGGCGAATGTAGAGGCTGAAGCAGGGCTTGCCGGGGATCCAGCGTGCCTCGACAGCGATGAGGCGCTTGAGGAGGGTGAGAAGGGCATCGGGGTCGAACTCCTATCATGGGGTGAGTATAGCGTGTGCTACCCAGCAACGATACGTACGGGTAGGGTTGCCCTCTTTGCAGAGCGGAGGAGCCGTGCGAGGTTGAGCTCCGGACGGAAGAGACGAGGCTCGCCATCGGGGCCAAGGTATGCCTACGTGACAAGGTAAGCCAGGGTACACACAACATAACAATGAAACATACCTTCATGCCTTCGAAGACACAAGGACAATAGTGGAAGCACGACGACGAAGGGTCGAGGGACAAAGGACCATACGGCCTGATCTCGGGATCCTTCCAGCCATTGACGGGGTCATGCTCAATAACGAGCATATGGTCGGTGACGCTCTGTCAAGGCTAGGGTGAACAAAGGATGTAACGTCGAGGAGGGTCATATGGACGTACCTTGCCCCAGACCATGTCTTCCGCGCGAGTAGGAATAGGCTTAAGCTCTGAAGATAGAGATACGCGAAGCTTGTCCGGCTGGGGGGCGGGTCAGTGACGGCGATAAGGACCATGATGGTGATACCCACGTTCAACGGCGACGGCTGCGACGCCTTCGCAGGCTCGGAGCGTGCACCGACATCAGCGGTCGTGGGCTCGACAGTGATAGCCATAGCGCTATGCGTAGGGTGGTACGAGGGGGAGGTGCGAATGCGAGTGGGAGAAGAGGGCAAGGGCGGCTTGACCTTCCGCCCAATCCCTCCCCGTATTTATACGGAGGAAAAATTTGACATGCACGGCGTGACTCGGACTGGACTTCCGCGTGTTGATCGGTACGCAAAGCACTCTTTCCTTCTCGATTGAGTCCTTTGAGAACTGGAAGATTGGACTGGACTGCGCGCGGCCTTTTTTCAGCGTATCTGGCCATTTCGGCACGTACTGGGGGCAGGAGCGGGGTATAGAGAACATGCGTTGTCTGCGGAGGTCCTCTGCGTCGAGTCAGATGGCGTGGGGCGACGTCAGCGCTTTTCCCGGACGATAAAAGGTCCTGGAGGACGATGGACAAGTTGAACATGAACTTTGTAGGTCCCCCGGAGGCGTGATCATGCCAACTCGATGGCGCGACGATGGCGCAATCCTCGGCGGTATGCCCAAATCTGGACTGAGGTGGCGGCGGCACGTGATCGGCCGATACTCCCACGCTCCGCGCCGCTACCAATGTTCGACTTCGATTCCGCACGCAGACACAGCACAAACCACCTCGGATGACGATGACGCTCACGACTCCTTCAGAAAGTAGCGAGTAAGATGATACCGCAGACAAAGGACCTACGTCATTCATGGGACTGCACCCCAAAGCGCCTTCGCGCTCGAGCGGTCTTGAGTAACGCTGAGGGTCGCGAACGCATTGTACGGGCACGCCCATGGGCATAGGTTCGAGAACGTTCCTTGTCCAACATGCGCCTACCGGCCATGGTTATCGCCTATACCAAAACGTACGCGAAAACGTGTACGTCCACTCATTACATTTCTGACCTTCAGGGACGCTCCTAGACTGCGCGCCAATGCCCTGATCCTTCAGAGCGCTTCTCCGTTCAGCCACCTCCTGAGCAGCTCCAGCGACTCCTTTGGCTTGTCATACGGAACCTAGCGAAACCCTCAACAAGTGTTTTCCCCATACCGGTAGGTCCGAAGTTCACGTACCATATGCCCCGCTGCGTGCACCGTCGCAAAGTTGAACTGCCCGTCGCTGGTGCTGCGCGTCTTTCCCGCCGAGACGCCGTCCACGTACCAATTCCGCAGCTCATGGCTGGCGAAGTCGGCCTGCCCGGACCACTCCAGCGCGAGCGTGAAGCGCTCGTTGCCAATCTAGACACACTTGAGCCCACTGCCCTTCTTTACTCAGCACATCTTGCGTACCCAGCTGCACCTCCAATCATAGTCGCCGACGTAGATCAGCACCCTAACGCCGCGCTCGAGCAACGCGCCGACGTGGTCTCACGTCGCTACGTGGAGCGCGTCCTGCGACAGGTCGAAGCTCGTGCTGACGTCGGCGCTGCAGGAGGAGAAGTTCGCTGGCACGGCGGGATCGACGCCGAGTTTCTCGCGGACTTCAGTTCGAGAAAGGTAGTTGCTTATATGTCTGAAGGGCGCATTAAGGGGGTTGAAGGTGAGGCGAGAGGGCAGAGTGCAGAGGAGGAAGGTCCACCATACTTGGTAACTGGGTAGCACAGCGTCGTCTCAACGGTGCCATTACAGGGTTGGCTGATATCGTACGGGTTCATGCCTAGGGTACGATAGCGTCAGAGTGAAAACGCAACCCCAGTGAAAGACATACCAGTATCATAGAATGGCTTCTCGATTGCGTCTAAGCAGACGGAGGTGGCAGCCCTACAATTCATCGCATCGTACTGGTCGATACACGCCTCCCGGAACCACTTCTCGCACCGCTTGGTCTGCGTACGATATCAGTGACGCCAAGAGGGTATGAAACTGTCGCAACAACTCACCATGCTCTTCATCTGCACGCAAGTCGCGATGTCAACGACGGGCGGGAGAGACGCGTTCGTGCATTGCATGTCATAGCGGGAGAGGAAGATGGTGAAGGGATCGGAGACGCCGTTCCCTGTGTGGGTGTTGAGATGCGTCAGGTGATGCTCTTGCAAGAGATGAATCGCACCAATGAGTACGGAAGACAGGTTCACAGGGGTCAAGCCTGCCTTGACCAGGGCGACATTCTGGTCGTATACAGCGGAGGCGTAAAGAGGGAGGTAGCGACCCTATGCGGAACAAGGAGACGTTATTGCGCATGACAAAAGGGAGCGTAGGACTTACAGCATACGACTCGCCAGCCATATGGAACGGCCGGCCCTTAAACTGGGTGAAGTGCTCGAAGAATATGGCGACGAAAGCAGCGATGTCCTTGGCGCCGTCTTCGGTGGTGTACTGCGTGGTCTTGAGAAGTTGAAAATATCGCTGCCCATTGGAGAGACGTACGACATGCTCGCCGTAGTCTGCGTACGAGTAGCCAACGCCGACAGGCTGGACGTAACGGAGTCAGAAACAGGCAGAGGAAACGAGCAGCAAGCACAAACCTGGTCGATGAAGAAGAGGTTCGCATTGTTATTCCATGATACGGGGTGGTATCTGGGGCCATGCTCGTCCGAGATACGGCAGGGACCAAGCTCCATGAATAGGCCGACGGCAGAGGAGCAGCCAGGGCCTGCGTTCACGTTAAACTATCCGCTGAGAGGCACCGTCAGACTAGCAAACCTCCGTTCGTCCAAAAGATGACATCGTCCTTCGCCGGATCGTTACGGCTCTCAAAGAAGTAAAAGAACAGGTGCCTGGTTTCGGAAATGTCCAGATATCCAGTGTACGAGCTACGCCCTTGTCAGTCAGTACAAGTCACGATATTGAGCCTCACAGAATGATGTACTCACTTGACCGACCCATCGCAGAACTTCGACTTCTTCAACCGCACGCTGTATTCCGGGAAGAAAGGGTGAGAGAGGGACGTGAACTCGGTCTCGGGCAATGCCGATAGGCTCTCGAAAGGCGTGAATAAGCCTGCGTCGTAAGGTTCCTGCTGAAAGAGGGTCTGCGCCTTAGCGAAGGCCGACAGCGCACAGGCGCAGATGGTCCAAGCGGCGAGGATCATCGTAGCAGGTTCCAAGACCCGCTTAAAGCGCAAGTACATGTCGCCATAGGATTGAGTGAGCATGACTGTTGAGAGCAAGAGGCGGCGGCAGACACAAACACAAACACGAAGATGATGGTTCGAGACAAAGAGTACAATAGGAACAATGACTACCTAATTTGGCGGACTTCCCCATTGGGCCGGTCCAAGCACACCAATCCCAACACTCCCACCTGTGCGCCGGACCGCAAGAGAACTCCCACCTAACCAAGCTCCCACCGGATCCTGCAACTCCCACCAAATTCGCATCCTCCTATATCCATCACGTGAAGAGCATTATCTTTGGCGCACTCCTCTGCTTGTTCTTCGACGAGCGAGGGGGACGACCCTGGTGAACGGGGGTGGTGGCCGAGGACAAGTGGGCGGGGGAAGCAGGACGCGGAGAAGGAGGAGGAGAGGGGGACGACCGACGGGCAGGAACAATATACGTGCCATAAGCCTGCTCCATCTGGTACCCCTGCTCGGCCTCCGCGTCGAGCTCCGCCATAGAGGCAGCCATGTTCGCATTGAAGTGCACCTTGTCCATGATCTTCTGCTTGATCGCCTCAGGCATGGCGAACATGCAGAAGGCGGCGATATGGCCGGAGCGCCCGCAACGGTGACAGTCCCTGCTGTTGACGTTGCACCAGCGGTATCCCTTGTCGTCCATCCAGAATGTAGTGGGGTCATTCTGGCGCCCGTCCGACAGACTCTCCTGCTCCTGGCGGCTACGGCCAGCACGAGCGGCGTTGACAGCAAGGAGCGAGGGAGTGAACTCCTCCTGCTTGACGTTGAACGCCGCACCAGAGTTCGAGGTGAGCATGCTGATCGCGACGTCGAGAGTGAGGGAGGATTGGGAGAGGATGTTGATACGTATCTGGTCGAAAGAGTCATCCAGATTGATGAGGATGACGTCCATGACCTCGTTATCAGAGACGGTGATGCCTAGGCCAGTGAGGATGGCCTTCTGCGCCTTGACGTTGGCGATGTGCGTCTCGATGGGGTGCGAGGGGTCATGGCGACACTGCTGGAATGCCTTGCGAGCATGCATGCGCTTCCAGGGTGTGGCCTTCTCGTACTTCTCCTTCAGCACCTTCCAGAGCGCCTTGCCCCCTTCAGCTTCCTTGACCAGAGCCATGGGGTCTGGGCCAAGCTTGCTAAAGAGCAGCCACTCGAGCTCCGCATCGAGGGGCTTCTTGGCCTCAGGCACTGCAGCAGCAGGGTCCTTGGTGATATACCCAGCCTGGATAGCGCGGAAGAAGCGGGCCAGCTGCTCCTTGAAGGCATGCCAATCGGCCTGTCCCATGAGCTTGGGAACATTGTCCAGACCTCTAATGAGGGCAGGAGAGATGACAGACATGGTGGATGAGCCGAGAGAGGGTGATCAGATAACAGGAAATTTTTGTGAAGGTTTTATGAGGGTTTAAGCAAGCAGAGAGACTGTTTCGGAGGTGTAGAGTAAGCTAGAGCGCGGGGCTCATAACCTGTTGAGAGCAAAAGGCGGCGGCAGACACAAACACAAACACGAAGATGATGGTTCGAGACAAAGAGTACAATAGGAACAATGACTACCTAATTTGGCGGACTTCCCCATTGGGCCGGTCCAAGCACACCAATCCCAACAATGACATGAGCTGACAAAGGTGCAACAGTGTATAGTACAACCCTCAATTTAGATACACTTGATGCCTCTGGCCGAGGACGTCGGATCGTTTCGCCGCTATACATCGCAACCTTCGAGTGTCCACCTAGCCCGCAGTGACCGTAAGCACTATGGGGAAGTTCAGCCTCGAGAGCATGATTTCAGTCAGATTAGATCTCTTTTATTGAACATCGTATCGGTTTGTGGGGCAAGAGTGAAAACTGCAGGTGAGCGTGCTAACCAGGTGCTGTCCGCGTGACCGGCGAAAGGGTTTCAAATCCAGCTATATGTGGCGCTTTCCCACGGTAATGATGCGCATTGCGAGACCGGATTGGATGTCACCTTGCGCATGTTCATTGTTCAATAACTCTGAAGGGCCGTTTCACGGCAGGGCCCGCTACCACACCATCTAATTCACACCACACCAGTTGGGTTCGATCTTGAGCGGCTTCACAGTGAATGAATTTTGCCCCTCAAGCTCTCTCGTAGCGCCCGGTGATGATGGAGCCCGTACTCAGTGGGGCGCATCCAGCGACCCTGCCCATCGCACACTCGCACTGCCACCCGCCGCCCGAGCGCGCCTTCCCAGCGTCGTTGATAATATGCCCCCTCCCAACCCTCTCGTCCACTTCCCGCTCTCGCACCCCACGCGCACGTATTCGTGCACCCGCCCTCTGAGTATGTCTGCTCACTAATCGTTCCCTCTCGTAAGACGGTGGCGATTGAGAAGACGGGCGTGGGAGGGTGCGATATTGCAGTCATCGTCTGAGACACTGGTCAGGGTAAGGGCACCGCTGAGTGGGCAATGTGCGTTGCCATCGTAAATGGCCACAAGGAGAGTGGGAGACGAACAAGGAGCAATATTTCGGAGTCAGGGACAGCCACGTCTGGACTTGAGCACGTGCGAGCACGTGATGACTTTGCAGAATGGGCCATTTGCGATTTCGCGCTTCGTCCCTAAGACCCACTACCATAAATGGTAGCGGGAACTTCAATCCTCGCACACAAATAGCGCAAACTGCTTTGAACGACTTTTGGGTGTACACTGTCTTTCTCAGATGATACAGGATAGGAAGCAGTATGTTCCTCAAATGCACATTCTGGTCACGGCGGCCAGTGACTGCAAACGCCCTTTTCAGGGGGTGTCGCGCGCGAGTCTTGAGGTTCGCATGTGCAACTGAGAACTCCAACTTGAGCTTGGCGAATGCTCGCGCTCATTGGATTGAGAGGGTTCCCCGCCCTGCATGCGTCTGGCAGCCGTCGTTGCAAAGACGTACGCAGGAGCGTGGCCACCAACTCATTACGATTGCTACTGTAATGGACTATCCTGAACTCCGAGAGGGGAGTGGAATCCGTGGTCAAGTGAGGTCGCAAGTCGTCGCTCTACCTCTTGCCGAAGGGTACTCGACGACATTGACTCGACATGGAGATCGACGCGTGTCGGGTCGAGTCAGCGTCACCACCATGTTATAAATTGGCAAACCGGTTCTGCTTTCTTCCTTTCTTCCCCATCGTCTTACCCTTCTGTGATCTCGCTTCATAGACATGGGTGGTAACACTACCAGCTCGACCGCTCCTACCGCGGCTCAAAATGGCCATCTGAACGCGCTCGCCGACCTCGATGTGAATGGATGAAAACTTTCCGGACCTTGATGATTTACTCACTCACCTCATTATCAGGCCAAAAAGCTCACCATCACTCATGCAAAAGAGCTGAAGCCTCTGCCCGAGGAGATTATCTTCGGAAAGGTAAAGTCTATATTCATAGTGATTGACCTCGAACCCCTAACTCAAGCAAACATCCGTGTAGACGCCTACTGACCACATGCTGGTCGTTGACCATGACCCAATCCATGGTTGGAATGCGCCGCAGATCAAACCTTTCGGTCCTCTCTCGCTAGACCCGACCTCGAGCTGCTTCCACTATTGCCCCTGTGTATTCGAGGGTATGAAGGTGATTTGTGGCAATTGTCATCAAAGTGAAGATACTCATAGTCGCATAGGCATACCTCGGCCCAGATGGCAAGCCGCGTTTGTTCAGACCTCAGCTGAACATGGCCCGCCTGCTTCGCTCGGCCGTGCGGTCGACACTGCCGGTATGCAATAGCGTCGCCCTCTGAGTCCCGTTTTCCCTGACTTTTAGTAGGCCTTTGACCCTGAAGCCGCCCTCGAACTCATCAAGCGCCTTGTCGCACAAGAGGCGCGCTGGATCCCCGACAAGCCGTATCACGGCCTTTACATTCGGCCCACCATCATCGGGACGCGGCCATGTAAGTACCTTCCTATCGTCGTCGCACCCCCTGTTGCCGCTTCGCCACTCCCACGACTGCTTCAAACGCTGACCCTCTCACCCAGCCGTCGGGGTCATGCCCACCGACGACTACGGCCTGTTCTTCGCCGTCTGCGTCCCCGCCGGCCCCCACTTCGTTCCGGGGACAAGCCAGCCCCTCGCCCTCCTCGCCGTGGAGGACCGCGTGCGCGCGTGGCCAGGCGGGACGGGGGCGTACAAGATGGGCGGCAACTACGCGCCCGCCTTCGAGTCGCAGAAGGACGCGATAAGAAGGGGGTACAACCAGAATCTGTGGCTCATCGGCGAGAACCAGCAGATCTGCGAGGCGGGGATCATGAACTTCTTCGCGGTGGTGCGGAGGGAGGATGGGGGTGAGTACTTGTTATCGGGGAGGCGAGGTCGAGGCGGTTGGGCTGACGAGTTTCGTTAGATGTCGACCTTATCACGCCCGAGCTCGACGGAACTATCCTTCCCGGGATCACTCGCCAATCGATCCTCGAGCTGGCGGACGCGCACACTGCGGGTAGGACGGAGCTCCCAGGCATCTCGCCCTCGACGAAGATCCACACGCGCCAGCGCCTCATCACGCTCCCTGAGCTGAGAGAGCTGAATACGTCGGGCAAGCTGCTCGAGGTCTTCGCATGCGGTACGGCTGTCGTGGTCGTACCGATTGGCCGTATTGGGTACAAGGAGGAAGACATTGAGCTCCCGAAGTACATTGAGGGGTACGGACCGGTGGCGAAGGGTCTTTGGGAGAGGCTCGTGGCCATCCAAGAGGGTCGCTTCGAGTGGGAGGACTGGAGCGTGCCATGCATTGAGTGAATGACATAGTTAGACATTAGATGAAAAGATATTGTATGTACGTTCGCGAATGTAACAGAATATCAACTCTACGAGGGGCGGAAGGAACATTGTGGCGAAGGTATGTGTCTAGAAGGCACGGTTGATCTTTACGATGCCGCCGCCCACCACAGTGGGCTGCCCGATGCCGCCGTTACGCGAGACGTACAGGCTGTTGCTGTCGACCGGGGTGCGGCCCTTCGCCACCGCCGTCGCCGCCTGGAGCTCCGTGGCATTCTGGCTGCCCGCAATGACCGTGCTGTTCCCGCTCGCCAGATCCACCCGAATCACATCATTGCTCCCGAACACCGCAACGATCGCGCTCCCCGCGCCGTCCAACAAGAAATCGTCGTACAGCTCGCCCTGCGCCACGACCTCCGCCGGCCCCGCCTGGCTCCCATTCGCCGCGACCGGGACGCGAGCGAAGAGCTCCTGCGCGACGTTCGTGAAGTACACAGACTGCGAGTCCGCGTCGTAGTGCACGCCGTTCGCGGCGGGGTAGTCCGGGATGGGCTCGCCCTTAATGGAGAGCGGATCCTGAATGGCCGGCCAGTAGTCGCCCGACGCGACGTCGACGAGGTAGATGATGCCCGAGCCCGAGTCCGCGACGTACACCAGGCCCTCCTCGGCGGAGAAGACGCCGAGCCCGTTAAGCAGCTCGCCCTCTGGGATGTCCGTGACCTTCTCGATGGCGGCGGGCGACGCGATGGAGCCGTCGGGCTGCGCCTCGAACGAGGAGAGGTCGACGTGGAAGATGGACCACGTGCCGGGCACGGACTCGAGGCTGAAGACGGAGAAGTTGCCCGCGGCGACGTAGAACTGGTCCTGCGCGAGCTCGACGATGCCGAGGAGGCTCCCATAGCCGTCGAAGGAGTGCACGAGCGCGGGCTTCGGATCGACAGCGTACGGGGAGATCTGGTAAAGCTCGGGGGCAGAGTCGACGCTGGCGAGTACGTTCCCGTTGGACCGGACAGCCAGGTTCTCCACGGAGGTGTTCACAGGGAAGGCGTAGATCTCCTGGACGTTCGGGGAAGGCACTGATGATATTGTTAATTGACTTTCGGTTGAAAGCATTCGCCACTACTGACCGGGATTGCCATAAGGCGATGCATGAACCATGCTCAGTGCAAGGCTGACAAGGGCCGTAAGAGCGAACGAGGCGAACATTGTCTTCTGAGCGAAGGCTTTCCGGGGAGTGGCTGAAGAGGATGGGTTGGAGTAGCTGGCTTTTCCACTCGACAACCGGTTGCTTTATATGCTCGCGAGGACGCCGAAGACCCCTGCAAAGTTGGTCATCATTGTCCGCTAGTCTTCGAACTTGAAGATCGCAACAGGGACTGTCGACATCGAATGACTGAAACGCGCCTTGCGGTTCCCTCCCGTGGCACTGAGGGAGGATCTACCAGCTACCTAGGTAGTTGCGCGGGTGAGCAAACATGCTGAAACATCAAGTAATCCGGTCGTAAGGGTGCCCACCATAGCTTACCTCACCCGTCCCTGGCCGTGGCTATACTTCGCCGGGAGCATCAATCACTGACTGAGCCCAGCCTGGACGGTTCACCGGGCCGGCAACGTGGTCGATCCTGCTCGGTAAGACTTGCAAAATGAGACGCCAGTGCTCTAGTAAGTGACCCACCTAATTGGCGCACTTGCTCATTCGACGCAACTGCTGGAAAGCTGAAGCTGGAAGGTCATGGCACCCGTCTGATCACAAGCAGCCGTCGTTGTCGAAAGTCATACCCCGCCAGAACGCCCTACCTACAACATCACATGCTCCCTCTTCATACACGGCTCCATCTTCACGTCCCTTTCCTTCACCACCCGCTCGACCATCGTGCGCGTGAATACGATGAAGTCCTGGTCCCCGTCCGGCCCCGTCGACAGCGTCGCGTGTCTGTCCAATAACCCCATCTCGTGCAGAGCGAAAGCAGCGTCCTCGGCGCGCAGATTCGTCGCGCGCGCGATGTCCTCGAGCGTGCAGCGCACGTAGGCGTGCGTGAGCGCGCTGCCGTCTTCGTTGGGCGTTGTCTCCAGCGTGCGACAGGCGAAGATGGGATCTGCTGGGGCGGGGCATCGTAAAGACTAGGAAGGAAGGGCTGATATTGAAGAGCGTACCGATGTAGGGCTCGGGCTGCGGTACAGGGGAACTGACCTCGCCGGCCCAGCCTTTGGCTTTCTTCGGCCGGCTGCTGGCGGGCGAGCGCATCTCCACTTCGGGCGTGCCGATCTCGAAAGTCATGCCGTACGTTACACGCTTTTGGGGTACGACTGTGAGCAGTTGCCTACAATGGAATGTCGGAATCAATTCGCCGGTTGATCATCAAAGGCAAACCTTAGCAGCCTAACAATAGCGGCGACCCAGTATGCAAGATAACTTCGCAAGCCGAGGTCGGAAAGCGGACGCTCAGGTGAGCCAACCTTGCCTGCCCGACGCGATATTTCGTAGCCTCGTCGTGAATGAGCATCTTCGCGATGTCAACACCAGAGCGTACGCACTGAACTCAATCATGAGGATGCCGAAAGCTTTGCGCTGGTACGGCGGGAAGACCGTAATGCACGCGAGGTTGTAGTCGTCGTAGGAGACCTTCTCTTTGGAGAAGTAGCCAACGGGGTTATCTTGCTTCGTCTCGCCATCTGTAGTGACATAGAAGAAGACTGGACATGCGTTGGCACCAGTCCATAGTGAAGGAGAAGCAGGACTCACAATTGTCCAAGTCGAAGAAGACGGTCTTGATGTCGATGAACAGCTTGCCAAAGAGAGCAAGGTTCTGGCAGTATATCTATGCGAGTATGAGGGAAGGGCCAAAGTTCTTCTGGATAAAAGCGTACCTTCTCCTTCGCACCGTCAATCTCCCATATCGTGTGTGCGCCCCGCTGGTATACGCGGCGCCCTGGGGGATGGAACATGGTGCACTTCCTCTAAACGAATGGCCGTCAGGCTGGGCTGGATAGACGTGATCGGGGGAAGCGCACTTTGTGCACCTCGAGGTGCGCCATCTCGGAGAAGTATTTGAAGCATAGGTCGCAGACGTAGATGCACTCTGTGTCGCCCGATGAGAAGTATTTCCCAAGCGTCCCCGCGAACAGGTCCGACGATCGACCATGCTGGCGTAAGGGTTGGTGCACAGGTTGCGAGGATGTGGGCATGGGGATCTCGCTCGTGTCGACATCGAAGAGAGGGTACGGGGAGAAGTACCTGACGAGGGGGGAGGGTCAGTACGTAGAGTGGCGCAGTCCGGCAGGCTACGCACCATGTTCGTATCCGCCAATGCCTGAAGCACACAAACTCGAAGTTCTTCTGCTGCGTGATCCGCTTGTGGTGCTGCAGGTCGTACTCCTCCTCGGACATGATGATCTCAGGGCCTGGGGTCGCGCCATCCTCGCCGTATACGCTCGCCTCCGACATGATAGCATCCCCGTCCTGCGATACGCGCCGCCGCTTGCGCCGGTGGCTGTCGTGTTCGTGGTGGTCCCCATTCGCCTGACTGTCCATCATGGGCCTCAAGCTCTCCTCCGGCACCCACTCGTCCATCCGTTTGTCGAGCCTAATGTAGTGCACGTACGCGCGCCCATCTTGACTCTTGAGCACCTGAGCGGGTTCTGCCTTTCGAGTTCGTGTAAGAGCAAGGTTTGCGCATGCCATAATGGCTTACGCTCTATGTTGTTCTTCGTAACATAGTAGAGCCTGCTCTCAGACGCAGAGGGGACGACGACGTGGGTCACAGGCATGGGGGAACAGGAGGAGAACAATGGGCGGCTTTGTTGATTGATGCGTGCCTGCAATCAAATCGCGCCGGCATATGGACATGTCAATGTGCGCAATGCTCCTCCGTCTTGACCTTCATCCTCTCGCAAATATTCCAGGGCTCTCTTAGAGTCACTATCTCTGCTCAATAGGGAGGATGAAGCTACAAGATCCCTGTGCGGCATTCTAGCAATTTACTTGGAGGGCGTGGCACAACGGCATGCTCGCGAGATTGAAGGCGGGAGAGCATCGCTTGCGCTGAAATACAGGATAAATCATGTGCTGCGACGACACCTCTCAGCGCCTCCGTCTGCAGCAACATGCGTATAACAATCCAAGGATAACGCCGACGCCGACTGACAACGATGTTCAAGGTGCGTTCGAGGCTGAAAATCCTGGACACTCACCCACAGCGACGATGACACCGACGATTATGCCTACGGGTGGCTTGTGTGTCTCGCTACAGCCTCCTCTGTATACGTGTCAACACAAATCAACCGCGACGATATGCAGGAATCTACCCTGTGCAAGTCTCCGCGACAGCCGCATCGCACAGCAGCGCGACAAGGAAGAGCCAAATGTGACTAGAGGAAGGAGCGAGGAAAGGTGCGTGTACAACGGCATGAGCCATTTTCAGCGAAGGGAGAGCCAGGGAAAAAAATCAGTGGCAAGGATCGTCCTCTCCCGACGTTATAACTCGCCCTTCTGCCCGCCGTCACCTTGGAGCGCGCCTGGCAACATCGCAGCGCTAGCTCCTCTACTGAGCGCACTCGTACTGGCGCATCACTGTCTCGCCTATAGAGGTGGCGCGGACCGAAACACGCCGCTTGCGCAGAGCCAACTGACCGCGGGGTTGTGCATTCCCATATCCCTCCATGACTTTAACCGCGCTCCAATCCGATCCTACGCCCATTGAAGTTGGCTACCCCGGAACTGGACCTCTAACGCTCACCCATCATCACAAGCTCACAGGCAATGCTCGTCTTGATGAATGTACTCCACCGCAGCTTGATATACTGTTACAGACTCTTATATGGTCGACGCTACGCTGTTGGGAGCTTCTCTTTCCCAATCCCCCGCCACTGCAACATGATCCTCGACCTTTCGTACTTCGCAGCATTCTGCTTTGCCTTTACCTTCCTGCCCCTCGCGCGGGCGGACACAATTTGCAGTGGGTAAGTTCGAATGTTTCTGGTACCTTTATATGTTCGTCATCGTTCCCGACAGAGGCGGCTGCTACGACACGCACAAGCCCTCCACGCCCGCCATCATTGGCATCGTTATCGCCATCGGTAAGCGACTCGTCGTCCTCCACTCACAATACCTCCCGCTATTGTCACTAGTTTGCGAAACGACGCTGACATCTCCTTCACTCAGTCGCCTCCGCCTCTCTCATCGGCTGGTCCATCGCCCGGTGCGTCCGCGCGCGACGCCAATCTCAACCACGGAACGGTCAATACGCCTTCGTTTCTCACGGACCCGGCCACACGACGACCGAGTTCGGAAAAGCTGTACGATTGCAGAGTGGGATGAATGCGCGTGGAGGGGTGGTCGTTTGAAATTGAAGTGTTGATTGTTGTTTCCATCGTTCGATATTTATCCTGTATCGATAGCGCCAGTTGCACTCGCCGTATTTATTGCCCTTTGAGAGGGCCTTACAGAAGACAGTCAATCAGCCACAAGCATTCGCGTTCCATCGCGCTACCATACAAAGCTAGATTATTACAGGGCTTTAGACCCACAAATATACAGTAGTAGTAATCCATCCTCGTCGAGTCCGACGATACAACCATTCATAGTAAGGGCAGTCCATCGAGCGACAGACGAAAAACAAGCGACACAGAGAAAAAAGAACAAGGAGAATGCAGCCACAGCGCCGAGAAGCTATACAAGAACAGAAGACGAGCCTACTGGTACCGCTCGTCAGCGAACACGACTTGCCTCAGGCCCTCCGCCGGCTGCGTGACAAGGCGTAGGCCATCGGCGTCCATGCTCTTCGCCTTTCGCGGTCCATTGTACGCCCCTCGGCTCTGCCCATCGTACACGCCTTGCTTCATACCCTCGTACGAGGCCCGCCCAAGCGCATCTCCAAAGGGCGTCCGCGGCGTGAGAGGTCCACTCGACGACAGCGGCGACATCAGAGGACCATTGGACGACGAGGGTGTCATCGAGGACAGCGCCGGCGTCATCGAGGATAGAGCCGGCGTCATCGAGGATGACATCGGCGTCCCCGACGCGTACGACGGCGAAGCCATCGCCCTGAACGGGTCAGGCGACAACCTGGCTCCGAACGACGCGTCCGCGGCCACCACCGGAGAGTCCATCCTCATCATGGATGACCCCGCGCCCATTATCGCAGGTGAGCCCATCAACGACCGGGGCCCAACGACTGGCGACCCCACCATCGCCCACTCCGACTCCCCATACACGTTCACGATATCGATGATATCCTGCTCATCGCCCTCATCCAGCGAACTCTCGCGAATGAACGGGTCGTCCGGATACATCGTATCGCTGTTAAACATCGTGCTGGACAGCGCCGAGCTCGACTTCTTCCTCCCCATCCGCAGGCGAGGAACATAGACGCGCAGACGCGACCCGTTGACCTTGAGGCGGGGAACAGAATCGCGCAATCCGCCGAGCTTGCGGAGAACGGAGCCACGGGAGACGGTGAAGACGGAGCTCTTGGACCCCGCGGCGGCGGGCACGCGATACGTGAAGCCGATGCCGCTGCCGATCTGCTGGAGGCCTTCGGGGAGAGGGTGTGTTGCCGCATCGGCGGCAGGCGCGTTCTTCGCGTTGGCGGGCGCATTTCTCGACAGACCAGGAGCGCTCTTCTGCGGCCGAAGCTTGCGGATAGGCACGGAGGAGAGGACCGAGCTGCCCTTGTTGAGAAGCGCGTCGACGGAGGCACGGTGCTTGAGCCACTTGAGCGGGAGCGAAGCCGGAGAGGCAGCGAGGACGGCAGCAGCTTCGCGGTCGATGGAGTCCCAGAACAGGTCCATGCGTTCCTCGGCAGTGAGCTGGGGCTGATCTTGCAGCATCGAAGAAAGCGTGAGAGTCCGCGGCGGCGTGTGTGGAAAAGACGGCGCCTCGTCCAGGGCAAGAGTCGACACTTCCACCTCTTCTTCAATAACGGGGCAGGACGGGTACTTGAACTTGGAGAGGTTCGGGAGCACGTCGGCGGACTTGACAACGGGAGGGAAAGACGATTCAGAAAGCAAAGGCGTAGGAATGCGTTGTGCGACGATAGGGCGAGGCGGAGACGGAGGGACATAGACCGTAGGCGGAACGAGAGCGGCGAGATCCGTAGGTGGGGACGAAGGAGTGCAGATTGTTGGCGGAAGAACGGAGGGATAGCTGATTTGCCGCAGAGGCGGCTCGGTCGAGATCGGGAAGGACGAGTAACGGAAGACATCGCCCTTGTCGGGAACGCGCGATAGACGGCAAGAGGTGACAACGGGCGAGGCAACAGGGAGCGGAGCGTTGGGTTCTTCAGACCAGACGATTTGATCGCAGTCTTGCAGGCTTTTCATCATGTAGACTTCGCCAGTACGTCGGCTCTTGCATAGCTTGACCTTGGAATTGGAGACGGAGAGATCGAGAACACCGTCGCGCAGGAGCTCGAAGTCGGAGAAAGTGGTGTCCTGGCAGGAGTTAATCCAGCGAAGCTTTGTCAGAAATTGACTTACGGCAACGCCTTTGCTGGTGCCGACCCGTTCTTGAGGTTTGGGAGGAAGGGATGGCGCAGAATAGTCCTTGGGAGACATTACCATGATTTCCTGCATAATTGTAAGGGAGCTGAGTTCGGAAGACACAGCACGGCTCACATCGATATCGTCGTCGCTCCACTGCGAGTCCAATTCTTCTCGGATGTTGGTGAAGCGCTGTATGATGGGTTATATGCGCCAGATTACCAGGAAGAGGGGTCAACGCACATCAAGGTTGAAAGTCATATCCATAATCATGCTCGCGTTCTCGCCTTCAGGATTTGTGAGGAGAAAAAGGGATTGACCCTCGTCTATGAACCCGCTGAAAGATTGCTGCTGGACGTGAGTATATGCGCGTGTCGCGCAATGGTCTTCGCACCGAGAACGGTATATCGTCAAAAGGCGGCATCGTAATGCGAGGAGCACCTCTCAGACGTGCAACTTCTTCGTCGCCATCACAATCGCTTTCGTCAGGCGGGTTGTCGCATTCCGAAGTAAGGAACGAGTTCGAGCGTCTGGCGTCGTAGTATTCAATCATGCAGGAAGACGAGCGAGTGAGGGAGGAATTAAGCAGCCGCTCAGCAAAATTCGCCATTACTGTCGTACGCGGGGGGTAGCGCAAGGGAGAGGGCCTAATGGCGGTTGGGGACGAGGAGGACGGGCGTGACGACACAATGTGACGCGCTGCCTCGACGCGAACCGGCAAATGCCGCGACGCCCATTGTTCTCCTCAATCCATACCTTCATCATCTCGGCGGCAATACGCTCTGGGGGTCTCTCCGGATAGAGAAGAGGCTCAGTAAGCTGCTAGGTGGATAGTGACACTCTTGCATTGCTTTTGGGGTCAGAGGTGTAGCTCATAAGGCGTACGAAGTTACATACCCCGCACCTCCATTGCACGTCAAGATGGCCACCACGACGGAAGTTATGAGCAGTGCGAATGAGCTTCTTGGACAACACTCTGTTCTTCTCGCGCGCGTCCGCGCCAAGCAGATTCAGCATCGCGAGCAACTGCAGACCCTCATCTCACCACCTGAGGAGCTCACCAAGCTCCCCCTCATCCCCGAGCACCGCACCCCTTCCCCCACCCCAGAATCATCGGAGACACCACCACCAGAACCTCCAGCATGGCAGCAAGAGGAGCCGGTTGCTGCACGGAAAGACCTCCCGCCAGCGAAACGCGCGCGGATGAAGCGATACCGCAACTACGTGCCAGAGGAGGAAACGATCCGCAACGACTACTCGCAGCGATACGTTGACGGCGGGGAGTGGCCGCAGAACTGGGTGCAGGGTGCCGATCCCGAACGGCGGCATGATGAGTGCGTTCCCTCGTCGTCTCCAACCGCGAGCACGCTTTGATCGAACGCGACGCGTACAGATACCCCAAGCAGCATCGCTTGCTAGTCCTCAAGAAGGAATCCGTCGCAACACACGCTCTTCCCCCATTCTACCTCCCCTACTCGGACCTCTCACAACTTCAACAAACCAAGTTCGACTCCATCCTCGTCGACCCGCCCTTCACCTCCAACTTCACCTGGGACGACTTGCAAGAGCTGCCGATCCCCTCCTTGGCGGCGGACCCCAGCTTTGTCTTCCTCTGGGTCGGCTCAGGCGCGGGCGGGGACCTCGAGCGCGGGCGAGAGGTCTTAGCGAAGTGGGGCTACCGGCGATGCGAGGATGTGGTATGGGTACAGACGAACAAGACGAGCAACAAGGGACCCGGGACGGACAGACCGACGTCTTCTCTCCTCACGCGGACGAAGCAACATTGTCTAATCGGCATCCGCGGCACAGTGCGGCGCTCAACTGACCATTGGTTCGTTCACTGCAACAATGGTATGTCTATCTCTCCCTCTTGTTACCTCTTCTACTGAACGAACGCGGACTTCACTCGCTCTCCCCTCCAGACACCGACGTCATTATCTGGGAAGGCGACCCTACAGACCCCTTCCGCAAGCCACCAGAGATGTACACCCTCATCGAGCACTTCTGCCTCGGTCTCCGCCGCCTTGAGATCTTCGGTCGCGCGCCCTCGTCCCTCCGCCGCGGCTGGGTCACCGTCCTCGCTCCCGGTCAGGAGAAGCATATCCCGCCAGGTCTCGCGCTGCACGTACCTGGCGAGACAGGTGGCGAAGCAACGCGCTGGCAGGGCCGCGAGGCGTGGACGGCAGCCATCCGCGCGTTGGCGGAGGGCCCGCGCGCGGTGATCCCAAGTACGCCGGAGATCGAAGCCCTACGACCGAAGAGCCCGGTGAGGAACCAGCCTGGTGGGGGCAGTCAAGGAGGAGGAAGCCAGGGCGGAGGACGCGGCCCAGGAAGCGGAGGGATGATGAATATAGCCCCGAGGTTTAACAACGGCGGTGGAGGGCAGAAGGGCGGGCAGGGCGGCGGCGGCATGGCAAACAACCCCATGATGGGCGGAGGCATGGGCATGGGCATGGACCCGAGCATGCTCTGGGGCGGGATGATGGGCGGCGGAATGGGCATGGGTGGGATGGGAATGCCGGGAATGATGCAGAACGCGGGCATGGGCCAGGGAATGCAAGGCGGTATAGGGATGCAAGGCGGAGGGGGGATGGGTATGCAGGGCGGGATGCCTGGCATGCATGGAGGCGGCGGGCCGATGGACATGCAGGGCGGCTTCCAGGGCTTCCAAGGTCCTCAGCAGGGCTTCCAAGGTGCGCAGCAGGGCTTTCAGGGCCAGCCGGGTTGGGGCATGGAAGGCAGCTGGGACGGCTCGGACGAGATGATGATGGGTGGCGGTGGGAGTGGAATGGGCGGAGGCATGAGTGGCGGCGCAGTTATGGGCATGAACTCCGGAGGCATGGGTCAAGGCATGATTCCTTCGAACGCCATGGGAGGCGGAATTCCCGGGAACATGCACGGCGGTATGCCTCACAACGTCGGTGGCGGTATGCCCCATAACATGGGTGCGGGGATGCCCAATATACCCGGTATGGGTGGCGGCATGCCGAACCAACTGGGACTGAACATGTCCGGTGCGATGGGCGGAAACAATATGGGAGGCATGCCCGGGATGAACATGAATATGCGCGGCGGTATGGGCATGGGACAGAATATGGGACAATGGGGAGGTGGCGGTGGGAATTTCTAGCTTCGCCTACTGCTGAACGTGTACTGTAGTCTGCATTGCTTCCCTGTCGGACGTCGGACATCTATGTACTTAATCTGTCGGACATGTTGCTTCTCGCTGAGCTTTGTTTTGCATACCAATGCTCTCGTGCTGTATTCCTGGTTCAGACGTGACACTGCTCTTACTCGCTCTGCAGCCGTTTGACTCGTTCGTTGCCTGTGAGACCGACCTTTTGGCGTCCCAAGCACGAGTAGATATGTGTCATACATCGTTGAGGATACTCGATACATCATAATACACGGTATGTCGAACTCGTCTATGTAGCAGTCTACTCGTGACCGCGAACGGGCTTCGGCTGATACGGCTCCTCCAGATACTTCGCCTCCTCATCCGTGAGCTCACCGTCCACGATCGCCTGACCGACACGTTCGACGGAGTTGAAGCCAACAATCGGGCTGGTGACGGTTCGCTGTGCCCAGGCGAGGGCGACCTGAAACGACCATCAGCATCGTCCGATAGAACTCAGTGGGAATGCGTCGGATTACCTGCGACATAGCCCAGCCGCGCTTCTTCGCGATCTCCTCGACCCGCTTGATGATCTCCGCGTCCAACGGGTGATCCTTGCCCATACCAAAGGCTTTGACGAGCTTCGTGCGCGGCGTCTCGGTGTTGGGGGGACGCGCGAGGGCGCCTCCGCCGAGGGCCTGCCATGGGATGATGCCGATGCCATGGTACTTGCAGTACGCAATCATCTCGCGCTCCTAAGCCGCGTCCGTCAGCGACGGACCCCGTCACACCGATACCTAGTCACTCACTTCTTCCCGATAGAGCAACGAGTACTCATTCTGCATGCTCACAAACTTCGTCCACCCATTCTTCCCCGCGACCTCGTTCAACAACGCAAACTGCCACGTGCGCATCGAGCTCGCGCCGATGTAGCGCACCTTGCCCGACTCGACTAGGTCGTGCAGCGCCTTCATGATCTCCTCGGGCGGGACCGTCGAATCGAAGCGGTGAATCTGCAGGAGGTCGATGTATGGCGTGTTCAGGCGCTTCAACGACTCTTCCACGTTGTAGAAGATGGACGCGCGCGAGAGGCCTGACTGGTTGATATACTCCTTGCGCTGGTGCATGGCGGGGTACAGCGCGGGCGTGAAGACGTCGTGGTCGGGGCCCTTGCCGACGAGGCTGTGGCACTTGGTCGCGATGATGATCTCCTCGCGAGGGATTTGGTACTGGTTAAAGCATGTGAGCTTCTGCTTGTCCAAGCCGAATTCAAAAAACGTACCTTCTCGATAAACTTGGCGATAATGCGCTCAGAGTCGCCGTTCGAGTAGATGTTGGCGGTATCGAAGGTGCTGTACATCGCTGTCAGGTGTGAGAGCGGTACACATTGCGTCTACTCACTTAATTCCGCGGTCCCAGGCAGCCTTCATGACAGGAAAAGCCTTTTCCTCGCCAAGGACCCACTGGGTGGACTCGTCCGCAGACTGCGCGGGACGTCAAAACACAGCCATGGGGACTACTGTGTCTACTTACCGCCCACTTCGGATTTCCATACGCCATCGCCCCGACCTGAAGGAAACACGCGTCAGCAAGGCATCGATATCGACGGCAAAGAGGAATTACGCACGATGGGCACAGAGATACGGAGGCCGCTCTTGCCGAGCTGCACGTACTTTGCCGATGGAGCAGACATGTTAGAGTAGAAGTGGACGAGTGCTTAGAGGAAAGGGAGTCGCTGCTGATAGCTTCAGATGCGCAGAGATCCCCCTTTTATACCTCCTTGCACCCCGGTTCTCAATCCGATAATAGACATCGGGAGGGTATGTCATACGTCGGTTGTGCAAGCTATATACCTCGCGCCTTGCAGATCATCTTGAGAAGAATTCCTGTCTCATCAGCTGCTTCATCCAATAGGTCTCCAGACGTCCGAGTCGGGAGGCGACACTGCTTGTTACCCCTTACGAAAGCGTCTCGATGTCCTGTGCGCTTCAACATGAGAGAGAGGCAGAAAGTGGCACGATAACAGCTATATCCGCAGTTGAGTCCTTCTTCGCAGTAGTATATTCGAGTGCAAAGAACGCAATGAACAATGGGCGCTCAAACCCAGTGATCATCAAGGAGGTGCTAGCAGATGCGGGCCGTAAGAATGCGGTATGCCGTAGAATTTGCAAATTCAAAAGCTCAGCGCTCAGAGCTTACACGGTCACATGACACAGAAGCCCATCAGGCTTCTATCGATCATCTATACCTTACAGCCCCCTCGACCTTTAGATCTACCCAAGGATAAATGGACCTCTGAGGACTCTCGCCTGGTAGGTGCACAGCGGCTGTGATGGACTGCCAATATATATTGGCGCGCTTCCTGATAAATCTAATAGTATCGGGCTGATATTTGATGACAGATTTTTTACCCTGGATTGGATAATACAAGGAGCTCTGGCTCAATATCCTGGAAACAAATGATATCTACATGAACAAAGATGGGGGCAAGGACGAGGGGAGTCGAACATGACTCACGTGCCATTCGGCATCTGCCGTCACTTCGGTCACTCGGTGACTTCCGGCGCCGAACCAACTTGTTCTCAACCATCACCTTGTTTTTCCTTGGTCCTTCTATACCCTAGCCATCCTAGTTGGCTGTCCGCTCTACGCGCTAGATATACTCTACTTATAATGTCGAACCTCCTCCGTCGCCTGGCCAGCAAGCGACTGCCAACCTCCGTTCGCTCCGCGCGGCTCTCTACGGCCACGCCCCCACCGGCCCCAGCGCGACGGGGCATATCGGTTTGGACCGCCTCTATAGCTGCTGCTACACTCGGTCTCGCAGGCTACGCCGCCGGTGCCGTCTTCCCACCGCAAGCCGCGACAATCCTCTTCCCTCGCGTCGCGCCGCCGCCGCTCCCGGAGGACTCGCCCGAGGGCCGCGCACACATGCAAGAACTGGAGGACCAGATGCAGAAGTTGCCCTTCTTGCAAGAACTGCGCGCGACGCAGGACCCCGAGGAGTGGTACGAGGCGCGGCCGTATCTGCTGTTCCCAGAGGAGCGGCGGGTGAACAACCTGACGGCGGGCGTGCTGAGGGGACCGGGGAAGCTGGCGGTGCACGCGCTGGTGAGAGCGAGGAAAGACGAGAAGGAAAGCTACGTGATTCTGCATGTGGGGCGTGCGCTGTGCGGGCATGACGGCATCGTGCATGGCGGCTTGCTGGCGACGCTGTTAGATGAATCATTAGCGAGGAATGTGAGTCCTTCTCCACCTTCAGAAACACAATGCACATATCTCCGTCTCGCTGTCATCCGATTTCTGTCTTATTCTACCGATACTGACCCGTCAATCTCGCCTCTAGGCAATTAACAACCTCCCCGAGCGCGTCGGCGTCACCGCGACCTTGACCATCAACTACAAGGCTCCAGTCCGCGCAGATCAGTTCATCGTCATAAAGACGCAGGTCGGCGACGTGAATGGGCGCAAGGCCTTGGTCTCCGGTATTGTGCAGGACTTGGAGGGCAAGGAGTTGGCGAACGCATCGTGAGTTACTTTCGATTTGAGCCTTTGACTCCGACGTCCCTCCTGCGGTGCAATTGGCGCCTTTCTTTACCGCACGCAAGTTATGACGTTGGCAACGCCGTGTAAACTTGTGGCTAGAAAATGTTGACGGTGCCACAAATGCACCCAGCTGAGGACCCAATAATACGTGAACTAACGACCTCCACAGTGCCCTTTTCATTCAGCCGCGCTACGCGAAGATGCTGGACCCGGACATGCTGCGCAAGCGGATGGGTGAGCCGTTGAAGAAGACGGGAGAGCCAGTGGTAATTGACTAGACGCTCGGAGGGTGGCCGATGACTAGAAGTGCGGGTCTATGGTATATTTCTAGAGATCGAGCGAGGCGCTACCCGTGCATGACGAGCGCGATTCGATAGTACATTTTCGTCGTATATGGCTCGCTAGTAGGGCACGTTATGCTACACTTGCGCACGGCTTGCATCCTTCTACCAACTTTTTTACTCCTCAACCAAGCAGACTCGTCAATGATATGACCCTCACGACATGCCGATGTTCGTTGGCGTCTGCCCATGGCAAGCCTGAGAGGCCTTACAGGCCATGGAGTTATCCGGTACTGCGTCAGCATAACGACATGCTCGCGGATTGCATGACTTGAGCAATTCGCTTGTTTGCTATCCGTGTTCTCAGCAAGGCGAGGCAGCAAAAGCAACTAGTACGCACGTTACTGAGTTCGGTTGACTGGCTCTTGCAAGGGTGCGTCAATCAGGCTCGCCACAGCGCCAGCAGCCCTGTGCGAGCGATCTAACTGCTCGTATAGCCGGTCAATGGATTCTTTCGTCATGGCCTCCAGCTGCGCCTCGGTAAATATTGTCGGAGGATCTGTAGATGCCCTGTTCACGACAGGCAATCCTCCAACGCCGGAATGTAGCAGCAGTCTGGCAAGGAACTCGAGTTGGCCCCTCAGCGCCTGAATGTAGGCTAGCCGATCGTCAGCTGGGTATACATATAGGAGCGGAAGCGTCTCGAACCGACCTGTGCTCTTCGATGGGCTATTTCCCTTGTGGTAAGCATTCTGCCTAGCCGCGATTCGACATTAGTGCAGGAACGAGACGCCCAGATGGCCGTGGCGCGTACATGCCATCCAGAACCATGCGCGACACCTGCAGCACCTCGCCAAGGAAGCTCGTCTGGATCGTCTCCAAATTCTCCATGAACATCTTCGGCGAGTTCGAGTCGCCCTGGACCTGCTGTCCCTGGTTCTGCGCGTCCTGCGGCTGCTGGTCTGGCAGTTTGCCGTCCGCGTAGGCGGGGAAGACGTTAGCTTGCATGGGAAAGCCGGGTGATTGTGCAAATCCAGGGCCAGAGGACATTCTGCTTCCGAGATGTAGCGAGATAGACTTCGGATGTCGACAAATGGCTGATGGCAGGGGGAGGAAGGAAACAAAGGGACGCCGCGGGGCAGCAGCGGCGTCACACGTGCCCTCCACGCCGAGTTCCCACGCCACCCTTCCTGCCTCCTACGCCCAAGTTCGACTTTCATGCCTTTGCTAAAGTCTTTTGCTGCACTTATGATCGCTCGAGGATGTCTTCTTAGCTAAAAAAAAATACGCGAAATAGCGAAATTTAGACGGCATAACCAGCAGAAGACTTGAGGCTTGGCCTTTCTGCAGCCTCATTTTTTGACGCGTCTTTTACTCCCGCTTCAACTTCAGGACTCTCTTCGCTCGATTTCGGGCCCTGCGCAGCGCCGAACCTGTCGACAACCGAGAATGATCTCTTCAAGACGTGCTCCTTCATTTGGCGCCCTTAGTGCGCTTCCGGCTTCTGAATGGCGTGCCCAAGTGACGCAAGCGCGCAACGTGATCGCGCAACAGCGGTCTCTCGCAGTCTTGTCCTCCCCAGCCCCCTCAACAATTCCGAATTACCTGGAGTATCATACACATAGCGCTTCTTTCAGCCCTGTCCTTTGTTCCAAGATGGGTCTGTGCTTCATATCCCCTCATACCCGGGCATGAAACCCATCCCTGAACCGCTACCGACCATTGTTCCCATTCTGGGACCTGATTTCATATGTTCCCCTATACCGGATGACCAGGTTCTCTGCTGGATGGCGAATGCGGAGCGCACCTGATAGCAAAATTTAGGGATTGGCTCCCGAGTGGACGTTGATGGGCCTTATATACAGCCCATGCCGTACTGGGCTATCACTCGTCCCCTTCCTACACCATCAACGAGCTTCGGGCAGCCGGACTCAAGTGGAAGCTGACAATCATCGAGTGACGGGCGCTTAACGACTCTCTTGACTTCGCCATGTCTTCTCTGGACGAAAAGGACAACTCCTCCGCCGTCGCGGCCTCTATCAACAACGTTGAGAGCCAGGGTGAGGTGCACAAGGTCATTTGGTACGTCTTATCGCCGCGAGACTCGTTTACATTCACTCATTCTATTGCAGGTACCGGTCGTCGTACTACAATGCAATTATCCTGGGACTTTGCAACTTCTGTGCGCCCGGTTTGTGGGGAGGTGCGTACCGTCCGTTACGTCCGTACTCCTCTCTCACGATGGCTTCAGCGATGAACAGCTTGGGCGCTGGTGGCGCGCAGAGCCCGTACCTCGTCAAGTACGTCCCAAAGTCCTTCATCTGTCTCTATCGCTGACCTCTCACCTTACAGCACCGCCAACGCTCTCATCTTCTGTCTCATGGTCCTGAGTGCATCGTTGTCGTCATCCCTCGTCAACCTCGTCGGGATCAAGATCACTTTGATCCTCGGGGTAAGTACATTCAATCCCCTTCTCTCCGCTACCTCTGAACAATCACCAGACTCTCGGGTACGCTCCCTACGCTGCCGGCCTATATGTCAAGTGAGTTCTTCTCCGTGTGCGCCTGTGCTCGGTGTAGCTGACTATCTCGCAGCAACCGCTTTGGCACCGAGTGGTTCGTCCTCTTCGGCGCCGCCCTTTGCGGTCTGGCGGCTGGGACATTTTGGATGGCCGAAGCCGCCGTCGCGCTGTCGTACCCTGAGCCCGAGCGTCAGGGCAAGTTCCTCGGTCTTTGGCTTGTATGTCCCCTTCTCTGCACTCGCCTCCTTCCTATCATTCTGACCCTCTCGCAGTCCTTCAGGATCGGTGGCCAAGTCGTCGGTGGTGCGATCAACCTCGGCATCAACGCGAAGAGGAACGAGGCTGGCTCGGTGTCGTACACCGTCTACCTCATCTTCATCGCTCTGCGTACGTCCGATTTCCCTTCACTTCTCAACTTTCATCCTGACGATAAACGCAGAATGCCTCGCCCCGGTCGCCGGCTTCTTCCTCACGAAGCCGGAGAACGTGCAACGCACGGACGGCGCGATCGTGAACCTGCAGTCGAAGCACTCGGCCTGGACGGAGTTCAAGCTCGTGTACAAGCTGTTCACGCGCCCGAAGGTGCGTAGCTTGACTTGACATTCGCGTATTCGCCTCTGACCCTCCCCGCAGTTCCTGCTCATCATCCCGCTCATTGCGAACTACGTGTACTCCGAGAGCGTGTTCTTCACGTACATCAGCTGTGCGTTCGTCTCGCTGCCGTCGTGCAGAACTCCACTGACGCCCACATAGTATGGTTCACTGTCCGCTCGCGTGCCCTCGGGTCGTTCGTGTCCGGTCTGGCTGCCGCCCTCTCGGGTAACCTCATGGGCCGCCTCCTCGACAACGAGAAGTGGTCCCTCCGCTTCCGCGCTCGCGCGGGCTTCTTCATCACGGCTACGCTTCAGGGCGCCCTCCTCGCCTGGAACGTCGGCAATTCGTACCACTATATCCGCACCAAGCCCACATACGACTGGGTCGACGCCGGCTTCGGCAACGGCTTCGCCGTCTTCGTCCTCCAAGTCGCGTATGTATTCCCTCCTTCCCTCCTCGTTTTCTCTTACTGACGCCCCACCCCGATAGCAACTTCCAACTCTGCTACATGACCCTCTTCTGGATCTGCGGCGAGATCGCCGAGACGCCCGAGGAGGTCGTGCGCATTGCGGGCCTGCTCCGCGCTACCGAGTCCGCCTCGCAGGCCGTGTCGTACGGCCTCTCGAGTATTCCGTCCTTCGCCAACATCGGTGGCGCGGCGCTCAACTTGGGCATGTGGGGCGTCGCGGTCGTCCCCGGGTGGCTCATCATCCGCCAGATTGGGACGAAGTATGGGAAGCAGTGAGTGTCTGGTTGCTCTTGAGTTGCGGATGCGCTTGCTAATGATGCGTTCCTCAGCCTTCGCGAGCGCCACGAAGACCGTATCGACCAAAAGCTCACCGAGCCGCAGCTGCTCAACGGAAGCGCGTCGAGATAGTTGAAAGGGACGACGTCATTTAATTGTTCGCTTTCTCTGTCAATATTGTGTATCACTAGTTAGAACCTACAGTTGTAGACTCTAGAGCTTGCTGGAGGGAGATACTTGGGAGTGTTTTGGATTACTCGCGGCTATTTCGAATATATGACTACGTCTCCAAAGACTTGACTATCTTCTGAAGCCTCTGAAACCAATCGCTCGGGAAGAGGACGTTCACAGAGGATATCAAAGGTCAAGGCCTTTGCAAGCTTATTGCAAGCGGCGCCCAAAATCGTGGGAATGGACTCGGCAGTTTCCGACACTCACCCAAAAAGGAAGGTCTTGAGTTCAACTTCCAACTTTCGCATCTCTTCACCGTTTGACTTCGTTCTTTCGCTGTCGTCCTCCTGGAAAACCACCCGAGTTGATAGGTACAAAAAGGTTTGACGAGAGTGGGATTCGAACCCACGCCCCGAAAGACCAGATACGAGTTCGAATCTCGCAGATGTGCCAGCTTGCGCTAGCTGATCCTTAGTCTGGCGCCTTAGACCGCTCGGCCATCTCGCCTTGCAACGAGGTATGAGTAGAGTAGACTCAGAGATGACTATGCGCTTGCCTCACCGTAGATGCTATAGTCACTGAAGTAGGGAAACATGGGGACGGCGGTAGCTGTCACTCATAGAACGACTCTCAGATCCACTGACCTGACTTGTGGAAACAATGGTCTCATGAGCCTCTGCATCAGGCCGATAGGAAAACCTCTCTACTGCAAATTCTTGCAAGTACGCTAAAGAGGCGGTCGATTTGCTGAGAGAGTTGCAACAGGAATTCCAAGTTTCGACAGCAATGTGCCCTCGTTCGTACATATTACGTCTGCCTTGTCGGGGAAGTGCTGATGCGCCGCCGGTCCCGACGCTCAGAAGGATCCGCGTTGTGACCATGGCGCGTAAACAAGGGATTTCCCATCGTTCTCGATGTAGCCCTCGAGTTGTCGAAGGTGTCCGGCGGCGCGCCTGGCGTTCTGTGATGCTTCATTCGAGTCCGGAGGGGATGACGCACTCTCAACAGAAGATGATGATGACGCACAATTCTAGAGCTTCACATTCAATAACAGTCAAGCCAAAAGGAGCATAAGAGACAGCAAACACGGTCGGTACATTCCCATCGTACCCGTCTTTATAGCGGGAGATATCCGGACGCCGCCCGGCGCTTCGAAGGAAAAGGACCACAAGCGAAGCTCAGGCAGAGAGCAAGCGTTGAGGTGGAGCCATAAGACCCTCGGAAACGCTGAACGAAGTTGAAAGCTGACAGTGTCTGCCTGCACGTCGGTCCGAGATGCAGCGTGATTCCGTGACGGATGAAGGAGGTTGATTCCGGGGTGTTCTTGCAGGCTTCTGAGCGTGCTCTCGCAGATCTGCTGCCGCATCGCGCATCAACGCAAATCCCCACCGGCACCGGAGACGACGAGGGTGCTGGACGACGGCGGGCGTCTTACTATATGGCAATGTTGTTCTAGCAGCTCAAATTTGATCTTTCCGCAGCTCAAGAGTGTTGCATTGCTCTTGGCCGCTCGAGACCGGTGAAGTCCAAAACTTGATAGACGTCCGTGAGGTCCGAGTGGCGCAAGTGATTGACCCGCGATGTCCGACCTTGTCCTGCACAAAAGCGCAGATATTCCGTGTGGAGCTGCCGTACTCCGTATCGAGCGGACTACTTCGATGAAGGCACAGGCCAATTATTGATCACAATGAACATCGCTGAGTCCGCGCCCGGTGGAGTCTGTCCTCTCGGGAAGTCGTCGTTGCTTCTGTAGTGATAACGGAGGTGGGAGACAGATGTCTTCCGGAGAGAGATCAAGCTCTTGATGTCGACGTCGCGGGAGCCCCGGCCCTCCTTTCCGTAGATATCGCCACAAAGTCGTCCCTACCTTTCGGAGGGCGAACGAGCGGCCCCTGTGGCGCGCAGAAGTGCTCTCGCGGCGGTTGCTACATGCGGCGAGAATGGTGTGCTCGAACTGAGAAGGCGTCCCCAGGTAACGCTTTGGGGGTACGGCTCATAGTCGTCGTGGCAAGGGAACGAAGGATAAAACGATAGAACGGTTAAGACAAGCGTCCTGGAGTCCATTCTGTTGTCTGGAACGATGTGAGAGGCGCTCGCTACCCCCGAACATGCAACGAAGCCCGCCACTGCGGTTGAAGATCGGATTGTGCCACTGCCTCAGAGCTTAGGGAGGGGTTCGGGAGGGCACAAGAAGCCGCTTTGTCGGGAGGGCGGGGGCGCCGCCAGACCTCGCGCCGGGGGTGACGCATGAGACGTTGTACTTTGAGCGCCGTCGGCTGCCAGAGCATAGCTGATTGATGGGCGGTTATGCGCGCACGACGAGCGATGACCGCATGACAGAAATGCCCTTCGAGTTGAGCGCCCTCGTGAAAATCCTCGTGGACGTGCAGCAAAGCAGAGTTCAGGACCGCATGCCCGGCGGGAGGCTGGCGTCGCGCAACGAAGTTCCGCAAGAGGTCTTGGACGGTGGCGCTTTCTCTTCATCCTTCTTCAGTCTTTGTGGGCTCTTGTTTGTCGTGTACTTCTCGGGCCCGGCTTAGCAGGATGTGTTCTTCAATGAATAGAAGATCTGCAGGATGAACTCGGCACATATGAAACGCCCGGCGGGCTGTCTGCGGTCGGAAGCGAGCGCGGAGTTGGGCTAGCCGGAGGAAGAAGATCGTCTCAAACGCTGCCTTTTCGAGTGCTTCTTCTTCGCGAGGGCGCTCATCAGGTGATGCGCGCCGTTGAAGGACGACGGTAGACCGGAGAAGATCTGTCATTCGTGGACGACAATGGCGCTGAAAAGATATTCCGGGGAAAGTGGAGAGAACTGGCCATTGTGATTTTCGCTGCATGATAGGGAAAGTTCTCAGTGAGGCTGATTGAAGCTGCGGGCGAGGCATGGTCGAAGAAACGTGCAACATCCGCCGCCAGAGCGGGAAGAAGGTCGACGTGCAGCGCGTCGGAGCGATAAGAGTTGGGCTGTAGTTGGGCTTTAGGGTGGCAGGAGCGGTCCGGATCTGGCCTAGGTTCAATTTAGCATTTGGCTTCGGCCCCGGCAACTGCCAGACGCGCCACTGTCTTCGCGTCTCTTCGCGTCGCCATTATAAATGCGTTTGAGGCGACGGAAAAACGAAGCACGCACCCCCACGATGGACAGCCCCCCGCGCCGCGCGCCCGCATTCTCCATCGACGAGTTCGGCCAGCTTGTCTCGTCCGCACTGGAATCCCAGGAGCACTTCAAGCCCACGCTCGACTTCGCGTTCATGGAGCCTCGGTATTCGGAGTCGCGCTTCTCGCTCGATACCCTCGACTCGGATCCGACGGACGTGTTTGCGAGCTCCAACACGCGTCCGGAGGCCCCCCGAAAGCTCTTTCGCTCCCTGCGCGCGTTGGTGACCGGCAAGCGCGCCACTGAGCCACCATATCGATCTCCTGTCGTCGTGTCGAGGGACGTCGACCCCTTCACGCAGTCGACACACTCGAGCGCGTTCGTCCCATATGGCGTGCCGTATCACGACGGTCTCGAGGACTATCCGCCGCCGTCCCCGACCCTCTTCGCCCGCAGCTGCGCGTCGCCCGACAGTTTTGAGGAGCTCGACCGCCGCGCGAGCGTCCACAGCGATTCTTCGGCTTGCGCCACGAGCTCGCTTTCCACCGCCGGCAGCTCGTCCGCGTGCACCGACAGGTCCGCGCCACCTCTGTCGCCGTTGTTCTTCGCGCCGTCCGATCCGGACGCGACGCGTCGCGCGTACAGTGATCTCGGGCATGGCACCGAGGAGCGTGCAGCGGAGTTCGACGCGGACCCTTTCGCGAAGGACACCGTGCAGATCATGCCACGCACCCCGCCGCGCCGGGTCGCTCGCCATCCGCGTAGTGAGCCGCCTCCACGCTTACTTCCCAAAAGGACGCCCCCGCCGATGTCGTCCCCGCCTGCATGCCCGCTCCCTGGTATGCCGCATGGTGGATGTGGCGACTGGACTTTAAGCCTGCCGCTGCCGGCGCCTGCTCCTCTAGAGGAGGTGCACGCGCGCGCAGACGTCAACGCGGCACTGAACAGGGACTTGACGTGCTCGCGCTGGTTCCCCTCGCCGCCGCCGAGCCCGTCGCCTCCTGCTCGTCGTCGCGGTGCGCTGCGCCCGTCAACGTCGTCTGGCGCGCTCGAGACTTCGACGCCATCGAGGCTACGCGGGTCCAGCTCGGCGTTGTCGTTGCCGCCGCCCATCATGCGCCGCCCAAGCCGCGCGTCGTCGACCACGTCGTCGAAGAAGCGCGTTGCTTTCGCCGTCGAGGTCATCACTCCAGTGCAGGAGTTGAAGGCGCCCACATGGGAGCCGAGTTCGCCGCCGGAGTCCATCCGGACGGACCCGGTCGTCGACGACGACGACGACGACGTGCCTTTGCAGCAGCTGGTGCAAGCGTTGGAAGGTGTCGCGGTCCGACGGTCTGCAGAGATCGCGTCGATGCTCGACAGTGCGCAGATGACGGCTGTGAAGGCTCCCTCGGTGACGCGCTTGACCGACGAGGACTCGGCGCGTCGTCCGGACTCGCCCTTCCCGTTGCTTCAGCCGAAACGGTCTAAGCCTGAGGGTGAGCTCGTCGTATGCCGGGTCCGACTTGTCTTCTGACCGATCTCCCAGTGTCTTCGCCCTCGTCCAGCACGCCGACCCCTCCGAGCTCTGGGTCCAAGTTGACACGGTCGAAGCCTGTCTCTCCGCGTCAGCCCATGTCCTCTCGCATCCCAGGCTCGCCCTCCCGGACACCTACATCACCCCATAGTCGCACGCCCACGTCACCTCGTAGCCGCACACCCATCGCTCCCCGAACGCCAAAGTCGCCTCGTACCCCCACCTCGCCGCGAAGTGTCGCATTCCCAGCGCGCTCCATCTCGCCACCGTCACCTCGATCAGGACGCTCCCCATATGGCCGACCCTCATCCCGCATCGCCATCCGCTCACCAGCCCCGCGACGCTCGAGTCCCGCACCTCCCATGCCCAAGGTCGTCGTCCCGCCTATGCCGCCCATGCCTCGGACACCGCCCCGGACAAGGCTCGCAGGGAGGAGACCGACAACACCGGGATCGCCGTCGACGGGTCCGAGTACGCCTGCGTCGATGAGCTCGGCGTCGTTCCATACGGCGCGGTCCAGCTTTGAGACAGAGGCACTCTGAGGCCCTAGGCCTAGTATACCCTTGTCGTTGACGAAGGAGGTGCATATATGCGCGAAGGCTGGTATATGCGCCTGGGTTCTCGTATGCCTTGTTCATGCTCCCTTTGCTTTAAATGGACCATTCCGCCTACGCTCCTTGTTGTTATCGATGCCTGCTTAATTGTTCATTGCCCTATCTTTATTGCTGTCGTGTGTGTTATACTGACCTCTCGTTCGCTGTACTCGCTCTTCATCGTGCCCTTGCTTTGTTGTTGTAATTTGCCGTCTTTTATATACCGTCGATTCGTTATTGTTGCAATGTTCTTAGTCAAGGAGTATAGAGATCCATCGTCGTTGCTTGCCTTTCTGACATGACGGTTCTGAGAAAGTGTGGTCGGCAATTGCCGACGACATGGAAATCAACGTAACCCGGCACTTACCGATGTCCTCCAAACACCACCATGTCTGCGGCTTGTGCGCTCGCTCTTGGATCGAAGGCAGTCTGCTACTTACACCTGACGCCGGCCATTTACTCTCCGGTAATTACTGGCAGCATACTTGACAATAGTAGACAGGGGCGCCCTGTACGCGGCGATTGAGCTGTTCAGCGTGCCGTAAGTTCCAAAAGGCGTGTATCTGATACTCGCCAGATGCAGATCCCCCTTGGGATCTTCAGTCGAGGAGTCTGACGCTGATTGAGCTAGATGCGTTCAGTGCAGAGGACAATCAGCCTGGCCCGCCGCAGCATTCTGACGAAGTTAACATGTACTTAACATAGGACGATTGTTATGTATGCCTGCTCGACAAGCTCTTCGACACTCAAACCACCCATGGACAATGCGCCCGTACGGCATCGCTGCAGGACCCACTCGCTTCTGACACTGCGCTCGGGAGAGATCTTTGGGCTTGGCGCGAGGAGCAGCTGGTGAAGGTTTTTGGGGGGACACCAGAGGCGAAGGCGACTAGATAGAAGTCACTGATCCGGATACTTACACTCTGTGAAGACAGGCTAACTTGACATACTCTGCACATACATAATTGAGTTGCAAGTAGAGCAATTGGTTGTGCGCCAGGATCGAACTTGCGTACATCCGGCGACAAAGATTAGATAATGTTATCTCCACCGGGTCTCCCGCACGCCGTCATCGACCTGAAGCATCCATGCATCCTTTCCTCCGACTCCCACCCTCCTTAGTTGAATGCGCGCTCAGAGAGGGGGTGCACTGTAGCCCCTCGACTAGAGTACCAAGAGCGTCCCCAAGACCTTCATGGAGCAGCAATTCAGCAGGACCGGCGACCCGGAAGGACTCATCGCTTGCCTCGACGAGTTCTTCACCCTGGAATACACCCTTAAGCGTTGGTCGGCATGGTCAGACACCATGGCGGGGACAGCTATACAGACCTACAGATGGACGGGCCCTCCATACGTCTGCTTGTCGGGCCGATCACTATAGCACGCTGGGTATACCCCGCACTGCAACGAAGGCGCAGATCAAGGTGCGCTTGCTTTCCCTTTAAATGCAGGCTGGTAGACTGACTGTATCTCGCAGAGTCATTTCTACAAGGTGAGCTTAATATGCCTGTCTTGCTGAGCCCGACGCGGTTGGCTTGCCACCTCCTCTCAATCTTCATGACGCGCCGGACATCAGTTGACGCGTACATTCGTTCGGCGGATATCGTGCTGACGGTCCTCCCAGCTCAGCAAGCAGCACCACCCCGATGTGAGCAAGGATCCGAATTCGAAGCAGGCTTTTGCGCGTGTGAGCGAGGCCTACTCGGTGCTGGGCGATGACAGGCAGAGGTACGCCGCAATGCTTTCCGCAGGACGTATGTCTTCTGACCCCTCTTTGCTCCCCTCTTCTCCCTCCGCACCGCCTACCTGTACCGCTCTCAATAGGCGCCTATACGACCGCACTCTCGGCCATCGACACGCTACCGCCTCCCATCACCCCTCCCGCGATCGCCGACCTCCTGCATCGCAGTCTTACAACGCCGAATGGTCCTTCGATCCGCACCGCCGCGCGCCCGGGGCTACGCACGCCTGGGAGCGGCGTAGACCACGACCCGACTATACCCAGCAACAGCAGCACGAGCCGCAGCGCCCGAACATGGGGTCACAGAGGCCACCGCCTGGGCACTATCAGCCGACAGGCTTCTACCAGCCTAATAACCATCAGCCGTTCGGCGGGTCAACTGCGCGGCAGGCGGCGTACTCGGCGCGAATGGAGAGTGTGGAGCGCGAGCTTAATCGCGTGCAGAGGGTGTCGTCGGTGGGGAGGGCGGCGACGGTGACGTCTGTGGTGTTCATCGCGCTATATCTGCTGTCGTTTACTAGGGTGTAAGTGCCTTTGTGCTCAATAATGGCGGGAGTATACTGATGGTCTACGGATGCAGCTCTAACGATTCTGAGGGTGACTTCTATGCGCCTTCGACAGTCTCAGAGGAGCAGGACTCAGGCCGGGCGAAGCGAGGGAGCTCTGACGCTCAGAGCATCAGTGGACACCCGACTTAAGCTCAGCATTGCTATGTATTGTAATGTAGCGATGCTGTGCACACCCTTCGAGAAGTATTACAGCAGCAGTATGGACAATTACCTTGCAATCAGAGGCCACGAAAGGCTTTGCGATCTAATGCAAGCGCTGGCCACACTCCCTGCAGTACCATTTGCTCGTCGCAGACCAGCAAGAGCTCTGCGTCTGAAGCTGGAATATTCTGCAGGGGGTGCCACAAGTTCAACATGCATGTCTTGTGACTGTGAGAAGTGCCTGACTAAGCGAAGTTGAAATGTTGGCGTTGACCCGGTATCCACAACTCGTAGCGAACGTCATTCTTCCCGCAAACCAACACAGCAAAGGACCCTCTCCTCCTTGTCCTTCTACTTCCACATCCCCGCCTTGCCACCAGATAACTGGTATAGACCCGTAGCAATCGCCGATAACCAGTTTCATCCGATTCCGAGAACCCCCCGACCACCCGAATACCGCAGCAATGACTTCCACCGAACAAACGATAGCGCAGGCGTCGACATCGATGGCGACGGCAGCAGCTCACAAGACATCACCTCCTGGCACGACGCCCAGTTCTCCGCAACCACCACATTCCTCGGGCCCATCGCCGCACCACGATCTCCGCCATGTTACCTCCATCCCTTCCATGCCCACGGGCGCTGGTAGTAGGAGAACGAGCAGGCTGGTCAGCAGCGGCAGCATTCCGAGCTCTCCTACGAGCATGTACGTGCCACGTCGAGTTTCTGGAAGTAAAGCCACTGATATGCGATTTCCCGACAGACATTCCGCCGAGTCCAACATCTTCGAGCGCGATATAGAGGCCCCCGTCACCCTTCACCCGCCCGCGCACCACCACCAATCCTCGCACTCGTCGCCTGCCTCCTCTCCTCCCGGCATAGCGTCCCCGAGCTGCCCGCAGCATAACCCGCATCTGATACCCCGCGCGCATAACACCCTCGAGCACTCTGTCCCGTCTGTTCTCGACAGCGCTGCGACCGTCTTGACTGAGCTCTCGCCGCGCGAGGTCGAAGAGTGAGTCTCCGTTCTTCCGCCGCGCCACCACCAATCGTGCTCTGACACTGCTTTGCTCTGCAGGATCAGCGTCGTGACGCCCTCTGTTCATGCGCCGAGCCCCCAGTCGCGGGGCGCGTCGCCGCGCATGTCGATGCTCGGCATTGGCTCGCCCCCGGGCACCGTTCGCAGTGGTTACACGTCGCCCGCGGCCGCAACTAGCCGCAGCCCTAGTCCGGCGCTTGGTCGCGAAGGGCTCATGCTGAATATCCCCCAGGTAGGCTTTCTATCATTGCATCTTGTTACCTTACTGATGCAGGGTTTCAGCAACCCCCGCTCATACGCGAGGACAGCGGGATCACTCGCAGCTCGCCGACCACCTCTGCATACTTCAGCACTGCAAGCTCTCCATCTGTCTCGCCCCGCTCTACGCACGCGGATCTCGAAGGGGATGCGGCGCACCAGGGGCACATACGCGAGGAGACGGTGACGACTCGTGACCGCGGCGCGACCATCCGCGGCGGCGAGAAGCCCCGCCAGGCGTCGACCTCGACCACCGCGTCCGCCGCCTCGATCGCCTCGCACACCATCAACAAGCGCCTGTCGTTCATCTCGTACAGCGATCTCCTCGCGAGCACGCCCGCGTCTACCCTGCCTCTCTCCGCCCTGACGTCCAACCTGACCAGCGCGGATGTGGAAGGCCTGGAGGCCCAGGGTGCGAGCCCAGGCGGCAGCCCTCTCCTGGGCGGCTCTGCGTCATGGGGCGCCGGGTCCACGTCCGGCTCGCTCGGCGCGGGCTCCGCTGCTGGGTCACGTGCGGCGTCCCTCCGCGGCAACCGCGACTCGACCTACCTGCCGTCGCTCGAGCTCTCCCTCAACGGGATCGCTGCAGCCGCCGCTGCTTCTCCCAGCCCCGAGTGGGAGCGCGAGGGCCTTGGCCGCGGTCTTGAGGAGCGCCTCCTCGCTTGAACGGTCGCAGGAGGTTCACCCTGTATGTGTGATATAGTGCGTCGCTAAAAGGAATTTTGTTCGTCTCTCGCTTCATCCCCCTATGTATTCTCCGTCCGACACTCGATCCATCTATGTGTACAACATATAAATCCCCCACACAAATCCCGCTGTTTATGATGCTCTTTATGACTGATCCCTCCTCACCCTCCTCCCTCTTCTCGCATATCCTCTCCCCAACCTATACTCCATACTTACCGTATCCCTCCGTCTAATCTTCATACCTCCCCCCTATGCTTATCCTATCATGTTACTTTTCTGGAAGGCCTCGCTATACTACCTTCCTCTCACGTAAATGTCTCTCCTCAGCGCCGCCTTACTGGGGGGCATTCCAGAAATCATCTGTCTCTAGGGTCTCGAGAAATACTCATGCACGTACGACGTAGGCATAGTTATAATGCATCTTGCAGAAGTGAATCCTTGGACAGGCGATGCGGGTGACCTTCGATTGTTGCACCACATGGAAACTGTGCGCACAAGCTCGTGTCCGACTTCCCTTCAATGCTTACAGTGCAGCTTCTAGGTGCGAGTTCCGACCTCTCGAACTGTATAGATTTAAGAGGACCTTGTTCTCTGCGGGATGCCGATCGCTGCTTGTGCGGCGGATTCTGCGAGATAATCGCAGAATTACAACGAGAGTAAGTGCGTTCGTGAGGTAGGTAGCATTAGTCGTACCGAGGCCTTGCACGAGGATATGCCAAGAAGTACGACTACCGCTTGTCTCAAGACTGGCGACTGATATCGCACTGGAAAACTGACCCGGGACATGAGGGTCTCGTCCGACGAGCTATAGCAGCACAGGAAAGAGTACAGTGACATTTTGCACAATTGACCGCGCCAGCTGAGGAAGGGACGTATGAGTAACAATATGGGTACGTGCTTACAATAATCAAGACAAAGTTCGCGCGCAGATAGCCTTCAGTAATTTTCGAGCCAGTCGAGCTCTGTGTCCGTGTGATGTATGCATGCCCTGGGTTCCTTCACCACCAGTCTGGGGTCCTCCTCCGACAGCTGCTGCACCGCCTGCAGTACATGCATGTGGCAAAGCGCAAGGTCAGCCTGCGGGGGCCTGTCTCCGACTTGGATCGACACGACCCGGACGCTGGGTCCCATGGCGCGCAGCGTGTCATCATCCATAAGCATTCGCCGCCGTCTCGAGCTCTTCACATCGCAGGAGCGGCGGCGCACGATTGCGCGCAGATCCGTCACCAGGTGCCGCGAGGGATACTTGATCTCGAGGTCGATGTGCTCGAGATTGGGCGCGATATTCCACAGATCGTCGATGCTCTCCGGCCTGTAGTCCGAGAAGCCCGCGAAGCCTAGGTAGCGCAGGGAGGGGAAGCGCTCCGCCGTGGGCGCGTACCACGTCGGCTGCGGCCCGTTCATGACGAGCGACGTGAGGTGCGGCATGGAGCAGGGGAGCATGTACGAGTAGCGCGATATGCAGTGCGAGACGTAGCACGTGCGCAGGGTGGGCGCGACGAGCGCGAATATGCGGCGATACGCCGCGAGCGTGGCGGCCTGTCAGGGGGTGGTGGGTCAGATGGGCGCCCGCGCAGGAGTGGAGGATAGCGACCACGCACGTATCCTTCGCTGCCGGGCATGCGGCAGACGTGCGCGTGGGCGATGGGCGCGTCGCGCGACTTGGCCTGGGGGCAGGAGGAGACGAAGATGTGGCGGACTTGGCGCTCGTCGGGTGGGAGGGATTGGAGGTGCGCCTCGAATGCGCGTATCTGGTAGGCGCCGGTCACGGAGACGCAGCGCAGGCGGACGCGTCGCGCGATGTCATGAAAATGCATGCAGGTCTGCGAGATCGAGCGTCCGGTTGCGCCGGTGTCGTTACACGCGTACTCGAAGATGATCGTCCATAACTCCGGGGGCAGTCGGTAGGCAGACATGGTGGGGGATAAGGACAGAGGGTGGTTGTAGACACTCGGAGGAGGGGAGAGGATGGGCTCAGCAGGTTCCAAGGCAGTTGCTATAAATTGAATGAGCGCCTCAATCTTGCTTGAATGTCTAATCAGCAGCAGGGGAACTCGTACTTGATGCCGGACGCTTTCGTGACTTGTCCTTGCGTAAAATCCCTCCCAACCTCGTCGCCCAGCTTCCAAGGGTAGAAGGCAGCTTGAAAAGACAAACAACGAGATGAGGGGAAGAGCAGGAACGAAAACTCAGGACCCTGTCCTCGGCAAATCTGACCTTAAAGGTTCCGTGTGCTTTCCCCACATGTGGCTGTGCTGCTTCACGGCATCGGCCGTGTTGAGTTGATCTGCCGCTGGGTGGCAAGTTCGAACTTTGTCTCTTGCGCTCCTCGTCCTGCTCTTTACCCCCTCGTCTTCTATCTCGGGGACGCGAAGATACATGGAGAATACAGCATCTGAAGCTGTGGACGCCTCCTCCGTACGTGCGGCTTGAGGCTGAAGGTGCTCCATCACCAACTGCGTGATGGTCATTAAACGATAGACAGGGCACTCTTCGCACGCGCATTCTCTTGGAAGTTCTCCTGGGCATCTGTCGCGATGCCGCGGGCGCTGTCGACGACCCTGATGGACTAAATGACGTCAAGCGAGCTGTCTATCGGTCGCTTATGCTGAAAAACTGCGAGCGCGAACCACTGGATGCTGAGCCGACCGGAGACGACGAGCCTTCGTATGTTGAACGTCTCTTGGGTCCTGCGATTACTCCCGAGGTACTTCTGGCGACTACTTTGTAGTATCACTGGCCGACATTCTTGATCTTCAGAACCTTGAGCCTCTATACGACGAGATTATCGATTCGCTAAACGCCACCCTGGATTCAATATCGAGATTTGCCACTGGCCACGACCCTGATGCTACTGAGACAGACGACGCCAAGCTAGAAAGACTCGGCGATGTGTACGACGTAATCAAAGCCCAGCACGATGCTCTCGAAAGCGACACCGACCAAATCCGTCAAGCGCACCAGCACATACGACAGCTAGAGAAAGACATCGAGGAGGTGAAGAACTTCGTGCCGTCGAAGTTACTCAGTCTGCTCAAACGCTCTCAGATCCACCCTCGTTTGCATGCATCTCTTGTAGAAGCCATCCAGACTCTTCCTCCAGTGCTGCACACCAAACGAGAAGCCTCGCATGATCTACTTGCCACCACAATCGAAACGCTCCTCATCAAGCTCTCCGTCCTCCGCGCGCGTGCTCAGCAAGCCGTTTATGGGCCACCAGAGCGACGCCAGGCCCTTGAGGCCGCGTACGCCAAGTTGAAGGACGATGAGGCGAAATTAGCGGAAGAGGAGGCTGTAATGGATCGGCAGATACGCGACTACGAGGCTGCGCTGAAGATTGGGGGCGCGTCCGGGTTCAAGCAAATCGTGGACGACTATGCGCGCGTGCAGAGGGATACAGAAGAATGTAGGCGTGATCTGCGGCGCTTAGGGTGGGCGGGGGATTGAGGCGGGCTGACGTGCGCCTAATGGTGCGAGGCGGATGAGGACGAGTAGATAGGCGGGAAGAGACATCATATCATGCAAATGCAAACGTAGAATACAATGGGATTGGTGGTCTATAGCTTGAGTTTCTTCTCCATCTCCTGGTGCATGTCAAGCGGCGGGGCACGCTCGGGGCCTGAGGGACGAGGTGAGCGATCTGGTGAAGGATGGGATATGCATGCGGCGCACCAAGAAAGATATCCGCCGGCTCGATCGTCTCGTCGCGGCCCATCAGGATGTCGAGGTGGAGGTTGGATTGTGGCATGCCGGGGAGGCTTTGCATGCCCTGTCATGCTGATCAGTACGTGTTCTGGGGGTATTTGGCGTACCACATACCTGCGTGACAATCTTGCGCTCCATAAGAAGCCGCATCGGCGCATGCATCCCGTACACATTGCGCTGCATGTTGAGCTTCAGGTTGTCCTGCGTCTCTGCCCACTGATTGGCGCGTGTCAGACGAAGTGAAGTATACGGATGCTATGTGAGACGCACGTTCTCTATCCGCTGCTGGAATCCATCCCCTCTGTTGATCTCAGTTGCGAGAGTGCGCGGGCCGTATTGCAAGGTGTCGTGAAGGCCGAGGGTGTTGGCGGTGTCCTTGATGTTAGTGGACTTCGCGCCTGTTGCGGGGACAATGCGGAGAGTGGGATCCTGGAGTCGTAAGCAAGGGTGTACACCGATATGATGCGCCTTGAGACGTACCATGGTGAGAGATTGAGGACGAAGACAAGGAGGACGCGTAATGAGCAGGCGCGTGACGTTCCCCGCGTCACAGCCAGCCCATCACATGGGCCCGGAGCCTGAGTCGTGAGTCTGCAAGTTGCCTCCCACCACCATCTCCTTCCAGCGAGGACCACTCACAGCGGCCGCGCACTCTCAACTCTCTCTCGACACTGCGCACGCAACAGAACAGGGAGACAAAGCTATATCCCCTGCCCCACGAGCCAGCTCAGCAGGGCTTGCCATCTAGCCTAGATTCATAGCCTCAACACCTGCATGAATCGGAGATTGACGACGTCGTATCCTTTACTGGACCCAAGACGCCCACTTCACCCCCTTCCTTGAGCATTGACTCAAGGTGAACACAACTCATACCCCTTCACGAGAAAGGGACGGCTCGAAACCCTTGCTCAGGATCCAGGCCCCATCCATAGCTTCCACGTACCGCTTCGATCTCGCATTCTAGGCCAAACCCCAGCGCTTGGACGACGGCGTCCGCATTTTTGACTCCTACACCCATCCTTGAAGCCGACAACATCAGACACGATGAGTGGCCGACCCCCGCGGTCCGCGAGCATCCCTATCCCGAGGACCGCCTCAGCATCATCCTCCGCGCGCAACATCGAGTCTGTCATCTCCATCCCCTTCACGACCTCCGCACGCACGCGCACGACGTCCGCGCACCACGAGCACAGAAGCAGCGGTACCCCGCGCCCAAGCAGCAGCTACACTACTGACCCAGCCCCTGCACGCCATGTCTCGAGCTCGCTCCCTGCCCGATCGAGCGCCCGCGCCGCCCCCTTTGAGCCCCGCATTATCCGCGCAGACTCCTCGGTGTGCGCTACCTCCCCGCCCGCGAACCCCTACAGCACCTCCGCCATGCGCCGCACGAGCTCGTCCTCCGTGCGCCCGGCCCCTAGCATTCACCGCCACAATTCCACGGGCCCGGCGCCTGCTGCTGGCCCCTCTGCCCCCGTGAATTTCCCGCGCCCCGCCTACCTCGACGCCTCGATGCTCCGCGACAGGCTGCAGACGGAGCAGTACACGGCGCTGCCGCCCCGGCGCACTACGAGTGTCGCTGACCCGCGGGCTCACGTGCGCGGGTACGGTGCGATGTCGCCGTTCTTCGACAGCGACGACGACGAGAGCACGGCGAGCGGGTACACTGGGCGTCCTGCTGCCAAGGCGCCGTCGCCCCCCGCGATCGCCGCGGACGAGGTGCTAAAGCTGCCCTCCCGCTGGAGCGAGCAAATGCGGCACCCGCTGCTCTCGGTCTCGCCGGACGGGCGCGAGCTTTCATACGAGGGCATCTCGTGCAGCGGGGACCGCGACGCTGCTGCTGCGCGCACGAACGTGCCCATCCCTCCCGCGTGCGGGATCTACTACTATGAGGTGACCATCATCTCGAAGGGCCAGAAGGGCCACATCAGCATCGGATTCGCAGGGAAGGACGTGAAGCTGGCGCGCCTGCCTGGCTGGGAGCCGCACTCGTATGGGTATCACGGGGACGACGGACTGTCCTTCGCGGCGCAGAAGGACGGCACGCCGTACGGTCCTGTGTTCGGGAGTATGTGTCAGGTCTGACTTCGAGTGCGTCCTGCTGACCCTTCACTCTATAGCCGGGGATGTCATCGGGTGCGGGATTGACTTCACGATGAACCGCGCTTTCTACACGAAGAATGGGGCATTCATTGGTGGGTAGCGCGTATTGACTCCTTGTCAAGCTACGGCTCACCAATCATCCCTTAGGCCACGTCTTTGACAATGTAGGGAAGACATTCCCGCTCTATCCCTCCGTTGGCCTGCGTCACGCTGGGGAGATGGTCCGTGTCAACTTTGGGCACGAGCCCTTTCGCTTCGAGATCGAGCACCATGTGCTCCAGCAGAAGGCGACGGTGTGGAATCGCATCCTCGAGACGCCCGTGGACGTTAACGCGCTGGCGCGCGGGATCAAGCAGGAGGCCGAGGAGCCTGGCCCTGCGTCAGAGCGTGACGTCTCTGGCGCGCTGCACCAGCTTGTTATGTCGTACCTCGCGCATCATGGTTATACGCGCACGGCGCGGGCGCTGCGGCAGCAGGCGGCGACGCGGTCTTCGGCGAAGGCGGACACGGACATGGACGCGGACGCGGACGATGCGGATGTCGTGCGGCGCACAGGGATCGTCAAGGCCGTCAACGAGGGCGACATCGAGCGGGCGATCGAACAGACGCGCGCACACTACCCAGGCGTGCTTGACGCGGACGATGGCATCATGCTGTTCAAGCTGCGCTGCCGCCGGTTCGTGGAGATGATTCTCGAGGCCGCGGAAGAGAAGAAGCGGGCTGTGGCCGAGGGCGCTGTTGACGGCGCGGTTGGCTCGTTCGACACGCTCGACGATGATGACGAGGAGGACGACTCGATGGACATCGACGAGGGCGCGACAGCCCTGAATGGCGGAAGCAGCAGCGAGTCGACCATGAGCGCGCACGAACGCGCGCTGCAGGCCGCTCTGCTGTATGGCCGTGCCTTGTGGAATGACTACAAGCGTGACCCGCGGCCGGAGGTGCGGGCGCTGTCGGAGCGCACGTTCGGCATCGTCGCCTTCGACGACCCGCTTGAGGCGGGCGGCATCGCCGCGGAGGTCGCTGGGCATGCGGCTCGCACGGAACTGGGTAACGAGCTGAACCAGGCGATTTTGAGTGCGTGTCTCTCCCACCTGAGCCAAAAAGCCTTCACTAACCGACTATCCCAGAATCGCAAGGCTCGCCCGCCCACCCCCCGCTCGAGATGCTTTTTCGGCAGGTGTCCGCCTGCGTGCAGGAACTCGGGCTGCTTGGCGTCGGCGAAGCCGCCTTCGCTGACGTGCCCGGCGAATTCCTGGATGCGTAGGCCATGCTATTATTATGGGATAAGTGTACGCTCAGGGTGCTGCTACGGATGTGTTGAGGATTTGCTGCTGCTGCTTCTGTTACTCTTTTTGCTAGTCTCTGCTGTACAACAATGCGAATGTAAAGTATGCTGTGTATTATTGACTTCGCTATCGCTGCCAATAAAGGATATTCCCCCGCTTTGGATGAGTGGTTTCCACGCACGGACGATGTGTCTGAACCGCGAAGCCTCTGATTCTGTCACGTCGTGACGTGACACTCGAACTTCTTCTCAACCCTCATCGTCTTCGGTCTCAGCTTTGCTATGGCTACCAAGCAATCTCTTTTCCCAAGGTACACTCGAGTAGATGACTTCGGTCCCGACGAGGACTATGAGGACGGAGAAGAAACCTCCTACGTAACCCTTGACCTCGGCGGCACTGAACCAACACTGGTGCCAAATTCGTCGAGTTACAGATTGATTGTAGGTTCAGCAGTCATGGCCCGAGATGCACCCTTATAATGTTTTTAAAGGGTCTGGACACGCCGACACCATATCTTCAATTGTCGGGCACAATCCTCAAAGGCATACACGACAACCTGCTTGGAACAGAACTTTTGTTCGCAAACAGTGAATGTGAGTGTAGTTTCGGTTGATTGACTCATTACTCCTGTCCTGTCTTCCAGAAACTCCTTTGGCTGACGTTGTCACAGCACCGTCCAACAGCACCATCTCGCACCTCGCCAACACGTCTCAGCGCATATCCTTCCGCGCTGTTCAGCTACGCAAAAAAGACGCGACTCCCGCACCAACCAAACGCAAGGGAAAAGGTCGCGGCGAGGGTGTGATTGACCTCACCGACAATCGTGTCGTCGAACGCATGACTGGCAAGCTCCCGAAAGAGCGCCGCAAACGAGGACCGAAGAAGAAGGGTGACGATGCGAATGAGGATGAGGTGGCTGAGGCGGAAGGAGGCGATGGGGATGGCGCGGAGCCTTCTGCCTCGCAGCCTAAGAGAAGAGCACCTGCCAGGAGAGCGTCTACGAGGACGAGCAAGGGGAAGGGGAAGGCAAGGGCAGAGGAAAGTGACAGCGATGACGACGACGAGTGGGTAGGAGATGATTGAGATAATCTGAGGAAAACCACGCCGATTCTGAGAAATGGCTGTGTAATATTGGATGTGAACAAGCCTTCCCCTTCTCCTCAGCCCCTTGAACAACAGAAGGTCAACAGATGAGCCAGTTCATGCCACCGGGCGCTTGGCACAGGGGTAGCGCGCACGCTTCGCAGTCTTGAATGCGTGAGGTCGTGGGTTCAAATCCCACAGTGTCCATTACTTTTTGCCCTTCCACGCATTCATCGCGCTGAGAATGAGAACGCTAGAGAATATCGCGAGTATCGTTTTTAGGACAGTCGGTAGGCATACTTCTTCGCATATCCTGGCAAAACATGTCAAGTCTCAGCTTATCTGTACATGGACATTACACTCACTCTCATTGAAGACTCCCAAGATGCGGACGTCTCCCAATACTCGCTTCACAAGCAGTTTGAGGTCCCTCTCCTGGATGTTCGCCTGCGCGCAGGCTCGATAGAAGTCTGCATTGGACAATTCCGGTAACGCATCCGCCTGCGCGGAGGTTGGTAAGGAGACTGCCTCTCCGACCGATTTGAGGATCCGACAAGTCCCCTTGTGTTGCTTGCCTTCGCATCTCCACTTGTCCTAAATTAGCTTGTTTCCGGCGAGCGACAGGAGAGAAAGACCTACGTGTGCTGATTGGCATGCGCTGGAGCAGTAATACACGCGACTGCATCCTCCGCATCGACTCCAGGACGTCGGATTGGCCGTCGAGCAGTCGGGGTTGGCACAGATAGTGTGAGACATGAGAAGATACAGGATCTTTTGCACCGTCTGATGGGATGTCTTGGCTGCCATTTCCAAGAGTATTTCTTTGTGTTCTGTAGAGGCCTTGACGATGTCCCGGTGATAGCGGTCCTTGTCGTGCGGGAGCCCAAGCTTCGCATGGATGGCGCCGCCCGTTCTCTCAAGAGTGCCCCACATATCGAAGTCGCCTGTCTTTTCGTACAAGCGGCCGACGCGGGTGAGCACGTCTAGCATCGGTAACGCCTGGTCGTCGTAGAAGTAGGCCGTGGAGACGTTGTCTATGACTAGCGTCTCGATACATTGCATGAGGGTGAGGACGAGGTTTAACGGCATGATGTAGAACATGCGCGCGCCGATGTCGGAGCTCTTTATGCCTGGCGGGTACGAGTCGACCGCGCGGTTGAGCAGGAGGACGAGGTTTTTGGGTAGCGTGGCGGAGTGCAGCATGGCGGTGATGATGGGCGTGCTCAGGTCGCCGATGTCAGCGAACGAACCCAGAAGGTGTGCAACCTGGAAGGACGGATACTCGTCCAGCCATCTGCAGATCTGTGTCGTGGTCTGGGACCAGTTGTCCCCTAGAGCGTCCTGGGATTTCTGAGGCCACACATCGTGCCGCTGACCTTGCTTCCAGTCCATGCACGCGGCTTCAATGGGTAGAGCGAGCAGACTTGAGAGAGCGCAGACGAGGCTCTCCATTGTGTCCGTGCGCGGCATGAACTGCTTGACGTACTTGCCAGGCACGGTGTCGTGGTCAAGCCAGTGCCAGGCGTGGAACTCGTCCACCAGGGGGTCGGTGCGGTCGCAGGTGCAGGTCTCCATCTGCGTTGCGAGAGCGCGCATATCGTCGCGAGACCTGTCGATACGGAGGAACGTCATAAAGGCCTGCAAAACCCCGGGATGCCGCCCGCGCATGTACGTGAGGGTCACGTCCGGCCTCGCGTAGAGCGAGTCGGGCTTCTCAGATGCGATAGGTGGAGGACGGTCGTAGGATGTGTCGTCGAAGTGAATCAGATGGACGAAGTAGAGATAGTAGCGGACGCAAAACTTGGGATTCTGAGGGTCATTCAACGATTCGCGCACTTGCTTTGCAGCGCTGGTCAAGAAGTCCAAAGAGGGCATTCTGCTACAGATGAGACCTAGGTCACGCATGAGATAAATATCGACCTCGAGATCTCGGGGACACACACCAACCCTTTCTGGAAAGACGAGAATGAGCTTCGTGAGGGTAAGAGGGAAGAAGGGTCTGAAGACAAACACGGGTGAGGACACGCGCCGAGTCGAGAGCGCGTGACGTAACGCGTTGAAGTTCAACACGAGCCCGAAATTTCGCAAAGTTGATTTTGGGGGCGCCACACGGTCAGATAGTCCATTTCTTCTGGGCAGGCCAAGTACAGAAGAGAGCATACTATATCCAAAGACGTCAATCAAGACGACGTCGCTTCTCCTCACGATCGGGCTCTGCCGACCTCGAGCGCCTCCGCTCCTTGGGCCCGCGATCACCATACCCGTCGTCATCCCGCCTCGGTGAACGATCTCGTCTCCTGGGCGAGTAGTCTCTCCGCCGCGGCGGAGACTCGCGCCTGCGTGGTGAAGCGCTCCGCCTTCGGGGCGAATGATCTCTTCGTCTCGGCGAGTAGTCACGCCGCCGTGGGGGCGAACGAGAACGGCGAGACCTATCATCACGGAAGCCGCCATTACGGCGGTCATCCTGCGGTCGGTCGCGGTCGCGGTAATCATCTTGCCGCCGCGGACGGTCACCTCCGTCGCGGTCGCGCCATGAACCTGGAGAGTCCCGCGGTGGACCGCCCCATGACCTTCCGCCAGCAGGTGCAGAGGCATTGGCGCCTGACATCAGAGGGCCAGTGTTCTGGGGGCAATCTAGAGGGGTATACGTTAGCTATGTCAATTAGAAGCTACGGCGACAAGGTAAGCAACATACCCTTCTTCAAGTGCGGCCCACCGCAGATAAAGCATCCGCCACCGGCGGTCGAGGTGCCACCTTGCTTGACAGAGCCCGCGGCGCCGAATCCGCCATTCCCAGCCGTCGTATCCTGGTCGAGCAGGTGCGTGTACTTCGTGCGGCTCCGCTTACCGAAGTTCTTGACCTGCATGACCTTCGGAAGCATCGAGACGTCGACGGTCGACTCGGTCGCTTCGGTATAGTCGTGCTTGCGGAGGATCTCCTCGTCCTGGTGGAAGGCGCCCTTGTGCCAGTATTTCTGGAGGAACTTCTGCGAGCCTTTGGGCTTGGACTCGCGGAGCTTTTGCGCGTGCTCGAGGTCTTCGCGCAGGCGCTGCTCCTCTGGAAGGGCCCGGCGGCGTTCGATTTCTTCGCGTTCTTCGTCGCGGCGGAGTTGCTCTTCCTTGTCACGCTTGATGCGCGCGAGCTCACGCAGGCGCCACGCCTCGAACTCGCCGTCGGGGTCGATGCCATCCGTGTCGTCGACGTCCGGGACTTCCTCTTCCTTCTGCTCTGTAAGAGTAGCCTATGTTAGATTGGGGGATGACTTAGAGGGCCGTAGAGACGCACTCTCGGCCAATTCACGCTTGATGCTCTCAGCAACAAGGTCGTGAGACTCTTTCTTGCGCTCGGCGGCCTCTTCCTCTTTGCGTCTGATAGCCTCCTCGGTGTCCTCAGCTATAGCCTCACGCTCAGCGATCGTGACACGACTTCGCCTGCAAACCTCGTTAGTCCATGCATATGATCGTCTGCATTGTATATACGCACTTTGGCACAAACACGGGTCGGAATTGGAGCTTAGGCTTCTCTTCCTCTTCGGACTCCGACTCGTACTCGCTGGACTGGGATGTTGAGTCAAACGCGAATCGAGGGATCGAGGGAGCAAATGGACATACGGACGTGGCCTCTGGAGCGCCGGGCTTCACGTCATCTTCCTCCGACTCTTCTTCAGACTCTAGTACACGCGTCAGCCAGTCACACTGCGCTGAACACAGCACACGCACCTTCTTCCTCTTCCAATGTTCTCCCGCTCTCCTCCCTCCCCGCGACTATGACCTTGCCGTCCTTGGAGATGTTCACGTCCTTCAGCGTGACGTTCATCGTCTTGGCCGCCGCCTTCTGAGCAACAGTCCGCATCTGCATGTCCTCTTCCTCGTCATCTTCCTCCTTCACGAGTTGGTCCCCCGCCATCGAGACATCGCCCTCTTCCTGGAGTTCATTCTGCTCCTCTTCGTCTTCTGACTCGGATAGAGCGGTGACGTCGACACCCTTTGGTGCCTTCCCCTTCCAGTAACGGGCGGCTGGACGCGCAGGACGCGGCGCCTGCTTGCGGACCGCGGACGACATGATGGCGGGAGGAAGGTGATGTAATTTCCAAAACAGGCAAATGCAACTCAACGTGACGGCGGAGCTCGACTTTTACTCTTGTTTCCGTCTTCCATGGTCCATTCGAACAATTCTGCCTTCAGAGCGTTTTTGGATTTTCGATAAACAGCTACGAGGATCAGACGCCACCTAATGTGAGACCGACTTTTGCTGCGTTCTGAAGGATCGCCTGGCAGACGCTATGAATGGCTCAGGAAGTGTTATACCGATAGCAGCGTCCTCGCACCCGCAAGGGCCACAGTCTATCCCTGATCTATCGCCAGCACGACTACGTGCCTGCAAGGACGATGCCACTGTGCACCGCAAGTACTGGCGACTCCCACGAATTTGTGGCACGGTGGCCAATTATATGTATGGTTTTTCTTCTCTGGCACGCATACACAGGCTAACAGCCCTAATCTATAGGGTCTGGACAGCTAGTAGATCTTTTGTGGGCGCGGCCTGGTAGGCATTCTGGCCAACCCGGCAGCAACGCACTTGATCGACGCCAACGGCCTGCAAGTCGCAATATTTCGCACGCAATTTGGTGCATGTCCTGAACACTATATATCCCTGCTTTGCCAACTGGCTCTCCGCTCCTGGCCAATCTCTGTAGGCAGAGCGAGGTGCGCCTGCCTATAGTCCTGTCTCTGGGAGCGTACCCGCATCAAGATTTATGCGCGACCATCAATCGCTCCCGTGTACGAAGGGCATGGCCATACATAGGACTTGCTGCAGATATACCAGATGCGGGCTTCACTTCTTGTGCGCATCGGTAATTTGGGAGCAGACGGTTAGGTGTGGTTCAAATGGACTACCGCGTGACCCATGATTTCTGACGCGCTCGGACGCGTGGACTTCCTTCGTCAGAAGCGCAGCCCAGCTGCGTCAGAGCGTTGAGGCGTTCAAGAAGGTGCGTTGATTATTGTAAGACCGCAACGTCTCAGTGGATTCTCAGATGCTAAAGCTCGTCTTTGTCCTTCTTCACGCTCGACCTCGGTGTCGTCGTTCTACAACTCAGTTTTGTAGGTTCGCACGCCGCCCTCGACCTGGCGTCCATCATCCGGTACCCTCGGAAAGACAATTTTCGCTCCCGTGTCGTCTTCGCGTCCTCCATCGTGGGCTTGTCCCAAGCAAGGCTTGCGCACGAGGAGGACATCAAGGTCCCCAATACGTGTGAAGGGTAAGAGTCCAGGCAAGGCGAATATGTTGCGGAGCGTATCCAGGCCGTCGGTGCTACCTCGTCGAGCTTGATGCGCGTCGGGTACGTGCGGAGAGACAATCGCGCAATGTGCCGACGACTACTTGCTTTCAGATATAAGGGGCGGCTGACGCTGGGTGCGCTGCAAAGCGACGCGAGGGTGAGTATCCCCCTACGTCTGCGAAGAGAATGACTGCTAACGATGAACGTAGGTCCCCGTCCCGCATCTCCACGAGGTGGAACACGTGTACGCCGCCCATCTCCTGTGCTGTAAATTCCGAAATAGGAAGGCTTTGTGGCCGCCGCAACAGTTGCCACCTCCCACGCTCGCGGGATTTTCATTGAGTCTCGGCATACGTATTTTCGTTATGTGTCCGCCAATCGTCCGGATCCCTGCAATTTCGTAGGCAACACGGTGTCCGTTTCATCATTGCATCCGCGCAATGAGCGGCGCTCGAGGGGCCTGGTCGTAGCCATCTGCTCGTCTCTCCGCATATTTTCGGCGGCGCGAGGTGAAAAAGCGCAGTGCGACTTACGCCAACGCGTCTCAAATGATCTACCGCTAGATCACGCTTGCCCTGGCGCTTTGGATCTGGGGACGAGCGCCGTAGTATAAAGCTCACCCTTAGTCGTTCGGTGCGGACATCAGCCCTACCCTCGATCTCTCCAGCGCGCGACGTCTTGTCCGGGCGACGAATCCATGTCTAACGTACGTCCAGCTCGCCGAGCCAGCTTCAACCCTCACCATATATTCCAGAAAGACCACTGCGAGGAGTGCGACAAATGGTTTGAGCGCAAGAATATGCCTCGACATAGACGAACGCATTCCTCACAGCAGACAGAACGCTTGTAAGCTTCTATAGTCTTTTTGTAACCCTCGCTTACAGTTTCTTCAGCCGCTGTGATACATGCCAAAAGACATTCACTAGACAGGATAACTTGCGGCAGCATAAATTACGACAGTACGTATACACCTGAGATCACTTTCCTACTTCCCTCACGCTCTGCTTTAGCGGCGGCAAGAACATCCACTGCGAGGTGGAGGGGTGCTTTGCGGCCTTCAAGACGCCGAACGATCTCTCGCATCACCGCAAGGAAAAGCACCCAGAAGTCGCCGCCGAGCGCCGCTCGTCCTCGGCCCGACGCGGTAGACGCACCAGTGCGAAAACATCGACTCCCACCACGCCGTCGACACCTGTCACCCCTGGCGCTGACAGTCCGATTGCATCGAGTTCCTCAGCGGGCTCCCCGCGCTCCCCTGGCGTCCGCTCACCCCATTGTCCGCAGAGTGCCGCGGGCTACCTTCCGTACAATGAAGGTGTCAACTCTACCTTCGGAGGCACGAACCAGGCGTCGGGATCGCACTACGCCCCACAGGTGCCCCATGGTCCCTTCGCCCCGGCCGGCACAGCTTCGTGGTACTCGTCAGGCCAGCCCACGACTGCTATCGCGCCGTATGCACAGTTCAACGGCCCCTTCGTCCACGCTTATGGCACCAACATCGCACCATATCCGGGTGAGGTGGCTTCTCCTCAGCCTCAGTATCCCCCCGGGACCGTGCCACAGATGGCGAGTTCGGCCTCCGCAGGACCAGTGAACCGGCAGGGGTATCAACAGCATGCTAATGCAATTCCCTATGCGGCGCCGATTCCTTCCTTCGCCGAATACACGTCCCGAAGCGGGCACCACGGACAGAACCACCCCCTCCCACCATACGAATACACCGAATATCCGGGCGCCCCGCGTCGATGACGGGTCCGTACTTCTTGGCGATTGGCTACATGAGGCTTGTCTACATGCTATCTGCGCTTTTTCGCATCAATTTCGTTCCCGCAATTCCCTTCGTGCTGTTTGATACGCCGAAGTTTATGTGCTATCTGCCCTCATTGAGTCTTGACGAGCTTCTTTCGGAATACCCTATACATGTACTAATAATTGCCTTGTCAAGTCGTTCTATACCTCTCTGACACGAGGTGCCTGGAGCACATTGTACTCGCGGAACTCAGTTGTACAACGAATGCAATCCCCGTAAGGAAGGCTTTGTGGTAGCCGGAACGGTCCGGTTGGCGGTCCGAGCTCCAGTCCGCGTGCCACAACACGTGTGTTCACAGCACGTTTCGTCCCGAACCATCATCGCCCGAAAGTTGCGCATCGTTGACTGTGATCTCTATTTGCGCCATGGCATTTTTCACCGAAGAGAATTGTAGCGCGCTGTGAGTTCCGAGGCTCAGAGACCGAACTCGCGTCTCAGCGGTGAGGGTCCGAACTGGGATCTATCCGGAGCTATCTACGAATGAAGACACAACGACTGCCTAATCGGGAATGCCTAAGCGAAGCTACCATGCGCGTTCCAAGCCCAGTGCGGACCCATACCCTACAGAATCTCTAGAAGCGTTACGGTCTGCCACCATTTCGTACTGAGCAGCAAACTAATTCATAACACAGTCGACGAGCATTCAGCGGCTTTTGGAAGATGAGGGCATGAGAAACACAACGTCGTGAAGCTTGTTACGCGCTGGTAGCAGTTGTTCAGCATAGTAATACACTGCTTACGGATATTCGAGCTTTGTTGGCTCTTTTTCCCAAGCATAAGTGAAAGCGATGGAAAGACGCCGAAGTAATGAAAAGACGGTCTGCCTGCACGGCAGCTTCGTTGTCTAGATGACTATGCTACAAACTGACAGTCATAGGTCAGACGAGCTGCTCTGCCGATTTATGCCAAAGACTCACCCGTTGCGCTTCCTCTTCCGACACCGAAGACGTCCCGCCATGCTCCTCCGCTTCCTTGTCGCTGATGAGACTCAGTTCTCGCCCAGCCTCCTTCACCCCCCTCCAGAACTCGTCGACACCAACGTCCTCGCACGCCTCCTTCAACTCCCGCATGAACGCATTCCACGCGTCCACCTCGTCCTCCGTCACGCACGTGTGCCGCAGGAAGCGCATGCATTCGATAAGCTCGTCCTTCCGGTGCAAGGGTACGAACGGCTTGCGAACGATCTCGCAGATGACGAAGGCGAGGTCCTCGACGGCCTTGCTGACGACGTCGCCGCGGGCAATGTTGGCTTTGAAGTCGTCGAGGGGGAAGACGGAGCCGATGATGCGGTCGGGGGCGCGCCCGGGGTCAACTTCTTGAGGTGGAGTGGGCAGTGGGGCCTTGGATTTCGGTTTGCTGACGGGTTTGCTCGGTTCGGCTTCGAGTAGGAGCTCCTCGTCTTCGTCGTCGTCGGCTTCTCGCCTGTCGGTGGGGGCCACCTTCGCAGGGACTGCCAAAGGTGCAGGCGCAGCGGCTGGTGAAGAGGGTGGATTGGGACCGAGCAGCATGGGCTCGTCCTCCTCCTCGACCGCATGCGCGTGCTTCGCTTCCTTCGCTTTCGGGATTGTTTTGGGTACTAGCAAGGAAGGTGAGCTTGACTATAGACAGTTTCGGTGAGCAAGACACACCTTGCTTAACCTTGAGCTCCCGCTTCGCCGTCTCCAGCGCGTCGCGCGCCTTGCGCAGCACACGATTCGGCGGATCGAAGAAGCGTACGATATCAGGATGTGGCGGTGGCACAGGATCCTTGTCCAAGTTATGCACGACCGCGCCGTGGAACATGGCCTGCTTCGTGCGATGAAGGGCGGGGTTGTACGATTCGATTGTGGTGAACCATTGGCCGCGTTTGCTGGTGTGAGAGGTTAGCACACCTGATGACGAATGACTATGCGCAAGGGCCACTCACCCGTCATCGTCCTTTTCGCCCGCCTCCATCAGATCCATGGAGTCCACGAAATCGTCCATGGCCGCACATTGGGCTTCGGTGGGTATATATGGATGCTCGGTGACGCGCTCGCCTTTCTTGTTCAGCAGGTTCATGAGCGAGGGGAACGTGTACTTGCGCACGTCGTCGGCGAAGGGCATCTAGAGAAGACGCAGCTCAGTTAAGCCCTACATGGTATGACTTTTTCCCTCAAATGCTCACCGGCGCCCACAGCAAACAATCCACGTCGGGGAACTTGCATGGCGCGAGGACACCCATCTTCGGGTCCGCTCCATCCTTGCCGACCCATCGGCCAATGGCGTACACCTTCTCCTTGAACATGGCGCGAATGATGGACGAGAGGGCGATTTGTTGCCTTGGCTGCGCCGGGTCGGCCCAAATGTACTGAACTTCACCCATGACGAGCTCGCGGCGGAACTAAACGAGAGAGATTGTCGCGTTAGCTTACTCATAGGTGGCGAGAAAAGCAAGGTGAACACGTACATTGTCCCTCTTGAAGAAGGCACAAAAATCGATTCCCTTCTTCGTGTTCAGCTTTGGGAAATGGCCCTCTGGACATGGCGCGTACGACGTCCCGTACTTGAACCCGCGCACAAGGGTTTCGCGCTCAACCTCGTCGTAGTAGGTCGCGCGTACTTGGGGGTCTTCGAGATCGAGGACTTCTTCAGCGTCGGAGTCGTCCCCGTCTTCGTCGTCGGCGTCCATGTTGACGTCTTGGGTGCTGGCGGCGTTGGCGTCTTCCCCTTTGGCCTGTTTGGCCTTTCGGATCTCCGCCTTCGACTTGCGCACGTAGTACTTGGTGCGCGTGGCGACGGGCACGTAGACCTGACCGCGATGGCGCTTGCCGTCGATCCAGACGACCTCGGTCTCTGGGTCGGACATGTCGACGTCGCTGGAGGAGGAGGCGCGGGGTTGGGTGCTGGACTTATTCTGGGTACCGGCTTTCTTCGCGTCCTCGTTCAATTTGCCATTCTTCTTCGCAGGTGCACCCTTGCCCTTTTTCGCCGGCGCACCCTTCCCCCTCGCAGCCTTTGCCATCTCCTCGTCAGTGTCCTCCTCTGTCTCGCTGCCATCTTCCGTGACGCTGTCATCGTCTTTCTCCATATCCTCATCAGGCTTGTCTTCGGCTTCGCTCTCATCCCCCTTGACCCTTGGCGCGAACTTCTTCCACGACTTGGGCCGTTGCATAGCCGTGCACTTGGCCGTCCTGACGATAATCTCTAGCGCGGTCTCCGGTCTATTGTCGACGTCCCCCAGTCTAAGGACGTTGCTCATCAGCACCGACTTGGTCTCCTTCACGTCGGGGGCGGCGGTGTCCTCGAGGGCCTCCTCGCACGTGCCGACGACGCCGTGGCTGAGGAGGGAGGTGAATTGGGTCCAGAAGTTTTCGTTGGTAGACTAAGGTGAGGAGTTAGTATGATTGGGTTGGAAGAAGAAAGGTGGAGAAAGCGAGTAGGGGATTGAGTCAAATTAACGCGGTGCCACATGTGAACGAGGTACTCGAGGTTACCTTGACATGCGGCTTGTTTTCCTGATGGTATCCATATTCTTCGGAGTCAAAGTCGATGCCACTACAGAAAAAGTCAGTTTGAGGAGCGGCGAGCACAACCCATCCAGACATACACCACCGCCAACCGGACCCCCAGCTCATTGATCTTCTGCACGGTCGCTTCCCAGTCCTCAAGTTCCATTGGCGACTCGCCGTCGGTGACGATCGTGATTTTCCGTGTCCATGTCTTCTTTGAGTTGAGGACTTCGTCTTGCATTTGGACGGCGACGATGAGGGCGTCCATGGCTGCGGTGAGCGACGTGAACAAGGAGTTCCGTATTAATTATCAAGGCAAGCCACTCACGATCACCGGTGCTGTCCTCTGAGGCGCGCAGCTCGTCCAGCTTAGCTATGGTCGACGAGTTGGGCTGTTCAACGGGTATATACTCGCTGACGTTTTCGTAGCCGCCTTCGCGCTCGTTGACGGGGTTATTTGTCTCTGATACACTGTAAGAACTGTGAAAGCTTATATGCGATTTTTCCTACCGTCGCAGCCAAAGATAATTACGCCGCATTTGTCTGTCTTCCGGCCGTTGTATATCTGCAAGACAATAAGAACAAGGGAAGTCAGACGAATCGTTACTTACCATCTCCTGAATCTTGAGCTTCACGAATTGAAGGCCCCATTCGAGGTTGGTGATCTCTCTATGGTATGGTTCGTCGTTCGGGTTCTGCCCAGGTAGTTCGATTTGTCTCTTCTTCCCCATCGACTTTGAGACGTCAATGAGGAACATGGTGACGGTGAACTGTTGTCCGTAAGTATGGATATACCTTTGTCACCAAGTTTACTCACCCCCGCGCGTTCTGCAGGCATGATGGTGGTTGAAGTCAAGACGCGTCGCCGTGGCGCGGGCCCGCGCCACTTTAGGTTGACTCATGTGATCGCGGAGCACGTGGACGGCTCGCACGCTTTCTGTCACAATGTGTGACCAAATATTCCCACGTTTCTCTTGCTTTCGCCATTGCCGAACTCAGGCGCGCGCGTCGTTGAAATCAGGCGCCGGCGTCGTTATCGGTGTCACCGAGCATGTCGACCCCAATGATGCCCAACAACATGGGCGCGCCCATGCAGGGCTCCCCCATGCGACCAGATGCACAACTGGCACAATTACTCAGCGTACGTGCAGACAGCAAGGACGAGAGCGTTGTGCTGAACGGGATATATGCAGCGGATATCCTTACTCCGACAGAACCCAGCCGAGGCGAAGTTCCCAGGAGAGTTGCAGAAGCTGACCATGATGGCGCAGCAGTTCCGTACGTGGCCGCGTTGAGATCGACCAGCCGAAAGTTAACGCTTTGTAGACATGCGCAATATGGCTATGGCCAACGGACACGCGAATGCGAACGGCACAAATCTGGATCCCGCGCAGCAGGCGGCTTTGAGAGCTACGAGTCCCCTCACCTTCAATGAGGATCAAGTCAACGTCCTCAAAGCGCAAGTCCAGGCGTTCAAGTACCTCTCCCGTGGCATGCCTGTCCCGGAACCGATTCAGGCTGCTATGCGCGTGCCCCACAACACCCTCAACGACCTCCAGAAGCTCATGACGGGGCAAGACGTGAAGACGCGCATTGCGGACAGCGCGGTGAAGGCGGCCAGGGGAGAGACTGTGGCCCCAGAGGACGCACCAAAGACTGAGGACCCGGACATCGACCCCGCCAAACTTCCCAAGGGCCCTTTCCTAGAAGAGGATGTCAACTCTGGCATCTACCCCTACAACTCCTATCGACACCCCTTCTCCCACCTCCGGCGCCAGAAAGACGCCGACCCGGCGATGTTCGAGAGTCGCCTCCAGCGCCTTCTTGTCCCTACCGTTATGCCCACTGGGCTCGACGCGCACCAGATCATCGCTGAGCGCGATTCTTTCATAGATGCGCGGATAAACCAGCGAATCCGGGAGTTGGAGAACATCCCAGCAACCATCGGCGACGGTGGCCTCGAAGACAACATGGATCTCGACGTGAAGGAGGAAAAGGTCAAGGATGAGAACACCGATAAAGACCTTAGCTCCCTCGTTCACCCCGCGCCCAACGCCCACGGCAAGCTCCGCGCGCTCATCGAGCTCAAGTCGCTCAAGCTCATCGACAAGCAGCGTAGCCTCCGCGCGCTCGTCGCCGAGCGCCTGATCCATGGCGCCATGCTCCCCATCACGCGTACCGACTTCCGCCGCACGCGCAAGCCGACGGTGCGCGACGCGCGCAAGACGGAGAAGCTCGAGCGCGACCAGCGCGTCGAGCGGGAGCGACGCGCGAAGCACAAGCACGTCGCGCAGCTGAACGTGATCTGCACGCACGGGCAGGAGGTGCGCAACGCGAACACGGCGGTGCGCGACAGGTTGGGCCGGCTCGCGAAGAGCGTGCTGCACTTCCACACGGTGACGGAGAAGGAGGAGCAGAAGCGCATAGAGCGGATCTCCAAGGAGCGTTTGAAGGCGCTGAAGGCGGACGATGAGGAGGCGTATATGAAGCTCATCGACACGGCGAAGGATACGCGTATCACGCACTTGTTGCGGCAGACGGACTCGTATCTGGACTCGCTGGCGCAGGCCGTGAGGGCGCAGCAGAGCGAGGGTGGGAGCATGGTGCCGCTGCCGACAGAGGCGACGAACGAGGCCACGTTCGGCGCGCAGGTCGATCCGTACGAGAGCACGGAGGACAAGTCGAAGGTCGACTACTACTCGATCGCGCATCGTATTCCGGAGAAGATCACGAAGCAGCCGAGCCTGCTCGTCGGTGGCACGCTCAAGGAATACCAGCTCAAGGGCTTGCAGTGGATGGTCAGCCTGTACAACAACCGCCTGAATGGCATCTTAGCAGACGAGATGGTACGGTTTACCTGGATATATGCGCCTTTGAACCTCTTCTCACCACCCCTTTAGGGTCTCGGAAAAACCATCCAAACGATTTCTCTCATCACCTTCCTCATCGAGGTCAAGCGGCAACGCGGGCCGTACCTGGTCATTGTCCCGCTCTCGACGATGACGAACTGGGCGGGCGAGTTTGCCAAATGGGCCCCCGCGGTGAAGGTCATTTCGTACAAGGGCAACCCTGCGCAGCGTCGTGCCTTGCAGGGCGAGCTTCGCAACTCCAACTTCCAGGTCCTCTTGACGACGTATGAGTACATCATCAAGGACCGCCCGCATCTGAGCAAGCTGCGCTGGGTGCATATGATCATCGGTTGGTATTCTTGCCTTACTTCGGGGGAAGCCTGGAACTAATTGAACGCCAGATGAGGGTCATCGTATGAAGAACACCCAGAGCAAGCTTTCGCAGACGCTTACTACCTACTACCGCTCCAACTACCGCCTCATTCTCACCGGTACCCCGCTTCAGAACAACCTTCCCGAGCTCTGGTCCCTCCTCAACTTCGTCCTGCCCAAGGTCTTCAACTCCGTCAAGAGCTTTGACGAGTGGTTCAACACGCCGTTCGCGAACGCCGGCACGGGCGACAAGATCGAGCTGAACGAGGAAGAGGCCCTGCTCATCATCCGGCGCCTGCACAAGGTGCTCCGCCCCTTCCTGCTGCGTCGCCTGAAGAAGGACGTGGAGAGCGAGCTGCCAGACAAGCAGGAGAAGGTGATCAAGGTCCGGATGAGCGCGCTGCAGAGCCAGTTGTACAAGCAGATGAAGAAGTACAAGATGATCGCGAACGGGAAGGGGAAGGGGTGAGTGCATTTTGGGCCAGCGGCGTTCATTGACAGGGGCAACTGATGCTTATGAAGGCAAAGCACGGGTGGGGTCAAGGGCCTGAGCAATGAGCTGATGCAGCTGCGGAAGATCTGCCAGCATCCTTTCCTCTTCGATGAGGTGGAGGATGTGGTCAATACGACGCAGCTCATTGACGAGAAGATCATTCGCTCGTCAGGCAAGGTTGAGTTGCTCAGCCGAATTTTGCCCAAACTCTTTGCGACCGACCATCGAGTAAGTCGCCCGTTTGTGTCAACTACGGCACCACATTGACAATCGTGTAGGTCCTTATCTTCTTCCAAATGACCAAAGTCATGGACATCATGGAGGACTTCTTGAAGATGATGGGCTGGAAGTACTTGCGCCTGGACGGTGGCACGAAGACGGAGGAGCGTGCCTCCTACGTGCAGCTGTTTAACGCCAAGGACTCGGACATCCGCGTCTTCATCCTCTCCACTCGTGCTGGCGGTCTCGGTTTGAACTTGCAGACCGCCGACACTGTCATCATGTACGTCTCGTTTGAGCTTGGTCTCCTCTTGTCCTGACCACGCCTCGTAGCTTCGACTCCGACTGGAACCCCCACGCCGATTTGCAAGCTCAGGATCGTGCGCATCGTATCGGTCAGACGAAGGCCGTGCTCATCCTTCGGTTCATCACGGAGAAGAGTGTGGAGGAGGCGATGTACCAGCGTGCGCGGTATAAGCTCGACATCGATGGCAAGGTCATTCAAGCCGGTCGTTTCGACAACAAGTCCAGTCAGGAGGAGCAAGAAGAGTTCTTGGTACGTGCATCGTCATCAACATCGTGATCATCAACTCACACACATTCAGCGCGCTATTCTCGAAGCCGACCAGGAGGAGGAAAGCGAGGAGTCGGGCGACATGAACGACGAGGAGCTCAACATGCTTCTGGCTCGTGACGACAGCGAGCGCGAGGTCTTCCAACGGATTGACGCTCAACGCGAGCGCGAAGCCGAGGAGATGTGGCGCGCCGCTGGCAACAGGGGCAAGCCCCCTCCGCCGCTCATGCAGCTCGAGGAGTTGCCTGAGTGCTACCAGAAGGAGGAGCCATTCGTCCCCGACGAGTTGGAAGAGGTGGCCGAGGGCCGCGGCACGCGCAAGCGCAACGTCGTCAGCTACAACGACGGCTTGTCGGACGACGCGTGGGCGATGGCATTGGAGGAAGGCGAAGACCTCGAAGAGCTGTCCGAGCGGAATCGCAAGCGCCGCACCGTTGACCGCCTGCGCGACGACTCCTTGCGCGGGACCCCTGTCTCCGACACCGAAAGCCGTGACGGGCGCGGCAAAAGGCGCAAAGGCAAGGGTCGTATGGCTGCGCCTGACTTCGGCGGCAGCGAAGTCGGCTCGAAGCGCAAGCGCGGTGCGGGCAAGTCGAACTCGGTCACACCCTCGATCGACGGGTACGAGGACGAGACGCCGAGCAAGCCCAGCAAGCGGCGCAAGGTGCCTGACGTCAGCCCCGAGGTGCGCGAGCGCATGAAGAGGGCATTCAACGAGTGCTACCAGGCCGTCTGCGCGGTGGAGGACTCGAGCGATCCAAAGTTCCCCAATCGCAAGAGATGCGAGCTTTTCAGGGAGGTTCCGAACTCCAAGGTCCGCTTTGTCTGCTTCCTGCTTTCTTTGCTACGGCTGACGTTCAATCTTGCTAGGAATACCCCAACTACCGCGCGGTCATCAAGCAGCCCATCGCGCTCTCGCACCTGCGCAAGCGCGCGCAGAGCAACTACTACAAGGACGTGCAGGCGTACCGCGCGGATTGGAAGCTGATGTTCCGCAACGCGTACACCTATAACGAGGAGAACTCTTGGGTGTGGGTCGATGCGAAGGAGCTGGAGCGCGTCTTCGACGAGACGTACGACCGCGTGATCGCAGGCTCCGGGCTTCCTGGCGCAGGGCCGCCTGCGGAGGGCGGGAGCGCGTACGACTCGGCGTTGACACCCATGGACGAGGATGACAGACCGCTGCCACCGAGGCGGACGGGGTCGAAGCGTCAGCAGGTTGTGAGCGATGACGAGTACAACTCGGAGGAGGAGTAGGGGGTGTGCTTTGTACTTGTCGCGCTGTCTTCCTGCCTTTGCTATGTATACGTTGTGCTGTCTTTAGATCGAGTTATTTGGGACGTTTTGTATTGTACCCTTCTTGCGTCTTGCTGTGAGATTGACCTAAGAAGAGGGAGGCTCGATATGGTACTCTGGGAACTCGTACTGAAGCATGAGGCCTGAGGGAGCAAGACGGCACGCCACAATCGATTGTGGCACCGTACATGCTGAAACTGAGACTCCATTAGGCAACCTTTGTGGCCATGATGCCAAGCTGTTGTCGCAAACTCCTGCGCGTGGGTTGGCACTGCTTTACCTTGTCTTCCTCGAAACAGGTCCCAATCTCCCAGCCTCGATATGATGAGCAATCTGTGGCCCATGGCGTTATGTGCTTCGCCCACACATCATCTCGCTCGCGGTCACCATTGAACAAAGTCCCATTATTGCACGAATTCGAACAAGAGATTGTACAGTACAGCTAGTAGAAAACCAAGGAATGCGGAATTATCAAGCGAGGTTGGCCCCAGTATTGTGTGATGATGTGGCTGGCATATATACGAGATGGACTTAGTGATAGGCAGATAAAGCTTAGCGAGTGCAGGTACAGTATGGTCGTAATGGCGGGGTCATGGACAAAAGCGGGAGGGGGCATGCACAGAAGCAGCCGGAGTCATGAACAAAAGCAGCCGGGTCGTAAACAGAGTGATATGACGGGAGATGCGGCCGTTATGGGGCGCGAGGTACCTACCTAGTATGGGTGGGGGAGGGTGGGATAGAGAACGAAGAGGAAGGGGGGAGGAAGGGGAGAGAAGGCGAGCGAAGACGCAAGCGATAAGGGATCCGTCTATCAGCGGACCTTGAGGATTAGCGAACCTCGAGGGCGGCAGTCGAATGCCCAAGCCGCCGCTTCCACCATCGCTCGCGACCCGTGCTGTGGGTGCTGTTGCTCCCACTGGCCATCGTGCCGCCGTCCGAGCTGCGCATACTTGAAGTCTCCGCCGCCACGTCCGCAACCTCTTCCTTCGCTGCCTCGCCTTCTGGCGGCGCCGGCTGGTACACGAGGAAAGGGCGCAACGTCGGGTCCTCAGGCAGCGGCGTCGCCATCGGCATGGGATTGAAGAGCGCGTCGATGAGCACCTCGGTCGCCTTAGGCGATGTGAAGGGTCGGAGGAGTGCTTCTTTCGCCTCGCTGACGGGCTTCGCAGCGTCAGGGGGCACGACGCTCGAGGCCGCCACGTTCGACCCCGCGTCACTCGAGCCATCCGCGCTGCCAGAATCCTCGCCTGTGTTTGAGGAGAGCGCGCTCGGGGCCGCGTTAAGATGCGTGCGCGAGCGGGAGGGGTTGTACAGCGAGTAGATAGAGGATGTCGGCGAGCTGGACGGCGGCATACCGTCGCGCTCGTGGCCCCAGCCGAAGAGACTGGATGTATCCGGCCGCGTGCGGAAGACATCGTCGCCGCCGAGCTCACCCAGGCCGAAGGAGCTGATCCCGGACAGGATCTCCCCCTTCGGCAAGGGCGGGCACAAAAAGGCCCGCGAGCCGCCGAAGTAGGTCATGGTGATCGTGAGCTAGACAATGGCAAAGATACGGGTCAGAAAAAGTGCGGGCGTCACAAAACGTGCCGAGGACGGACCTGGAGCGTCGCGTTCACCTTGCTTTCGCTGAGCAGATATCGCCGCGTGAGCTTATGCCCGCCCTTCTCGTCGCGCGTGAGGGACGCGTACTCGCTCAGGTCGAGGTACACGGCGCCCAAGCGCGGGTTTGTGGGCGCGTTCTTGGGGTCCTGAATCACGACGAGTTTCAGCGGGCACGGCTCGAGGATTCCGGGCTCCTCGGAAGATCCGCCCGCGGGCGCAGCGTAGGGGGCGAAGTTGTCGGCGTCGTGCGAGCCGTGCGGAGGGCGTGTTATCGGGATCTTGACGACGGCGTTGATGCTCTGCTCCCAGCGTACGCTGTGATCATCACGCAGTGACTTGAACGGCGTCTGTCCGCGCGTGCCGGTGATGTACTCCCCATCGCGATCCCGCTCGTCCGCTGTCGATGCGTCCGAGACTGACAGCGAGGGCCCGGACTCGGGGGACGCAGGGGGCGAGAGGGGGGCTGATGGGGTGGGGCTGGCGAGCGGGGATGACGAGGTAGACGGGCGCTCGTCGGAGTGCACCACGACGGAGGGGATGCCAGGGGATCGGAGGGAGGACGAGGAGCGGCCGGATATCGACGCATTGTCGGGGCTCGGGGCGAGTTCGTGGTCGCCGCCCCGATCCTGCGGCGGTCGCGACTTGCTCCTCGAGCGATGGCCGTGGTGGTGACCGTGCGGCTTCTTCAGCAGGCCCTTGCCCGCCGGGTTGCTCTGCACGCCCTTGAGCTTCCAGCGGCATGCGAATTCGCCGGATACGAGGGGGACGCTCGAGAGCTGGTGGATCTGGACGTTGACGTGCAATTGGGTGTGTCTCGGGAGTAGATGGTTGAGGTGCGCGCGGAAGCCGCCACCGTTCGTGCTGCCGCCGCTCCCGCTGCTGGACTGGGATAGCGGGGAGGGCGTGATGGTCCCATGCGTCGAGGGTGGTTGCAGCGCGGCCGTCGAAGGCTGAGAGGACGGAGTGCCGGGGCGGGAGACAGGGCGTAAAGGCATGTCTGACTTCAGATCATGGGCGTTTGAGGCAAGGAGGGGCAAGGATCATTCCCGAGTGGAATATACGATGGTGGCGGTCAAGGGGAGGTCAAAGACGACGCGGTTACGGGGTCTGGCGCCAATCTATCTGGGGGTAACCGTTAGCCGGCCGCCGCGCAGCTAACGTGTTCCGGCTTACGCACCTTCCAGACGCGCTGAGCGCTGAAGCAAGAGCTTCGAGCTGTGGCCCGAGGTACAGAACACGGGCGACGTGGAAGAGGGAACGAGAAAATAAGATGGCGGTAAGAAACAAGATGAGCGCTGCCCCGCCGCCCCGTACTCAGCTTCAGATAATCGTGAGAAAATTGACTTCATCGCATTTCTGTCCTCTGGTTGGACTTCGCATTCGACTTGAATTCCCTTCTCATTTGTTCAGGAATACCTTTCTATCTACAGAGACGGTACAACTCTAGAACGAGTGCTCAATACAGAGCACGCGCTGCACAACATGAGAGCCGCGAAGGAGAAAGGGTTGACAATGACTACTTCCTACAAGCTCGCTAACCTTTACCTGAATCGTGTACCTCAATAACTAGTACCCGAAGGCTCGTAGGCGAAAGCGTGCTCATGGGTATCACCGTGAAACATTACGCCAGTGCATTTACTTCGCATACAGCAAAAGAGAAGGCGGTCAAGTTGCCCGGACGTCTTCCGCGCGACCGAGGCCATTATGTCGATTCTTAGAACTTTTCGAGTCAAGCTTTGTCAGATTCGGTAGAATAGCGGGCGAGACTGAGGGAGCGCTGCCGAATATCGGCCATCCCAAAGATATGTGCTTGTTGAATAGATATTCTGATTTTGGACTTGAGAATAGATCGTCGGGACGTCGAGAGGGTCCGCGTTTCGCGGCGAAGTGTGGGCCGACATTGAGAAAGGACGGTATAACATGAGAGGGTGAGATCATATGAGGCTGACCGTATTCCCTACAGCCAGAAGCACGTCCAGAGCAGATGGAGCGTCTCATTGCTAGAGGAGAGGAGTCGCATGAGGTGTACATGCTGCTTCTCGAACCACCGAATAGAGCAACATATGCGGCATGTCAAGAGAGAGAGTAACCTAGTAACAACACGGTCGAAGTAACGTCTGGAAGGATGGTAGGCATCCGGGTCGTTATCGCTGGAGCAAGCATTCAGTTGATTGAGTACCGAGGGGCGAGTTTGCAGCCTGTATGATGATAGAGAAGGAAGAGCATCGCAGATACAATTTCGATGAGTTCTGTCGCATTAAATCGAGATGAGAATGAGCCAGAGAGCCATGACATTATAATATGTTGTTGGTGGACGGAGAGAAACGACATGGGAGTCGGACGTGACAGAAGTTCAACTCAAAAAGGTCCCACGGTCTTCGGATCACCGGCCCGACGGTTTGGATCAGGCATTGATCATGGTTTTGTAGTGAGTTCGATCACGATTTCCTCGTCGTCTCGCTCGTCTTCGAGAGTCAACACCGTCACCCCCTCCCCCCTCTCTCACGATCTCCCATCGCTAGCCATGTCTAACGAGGCGGCTGTGAAGAAGGAGAAGAAAGAGAGGAAGGAGAGGAAGGAGAAGAAGCATGGTATATTGCCTCCCTCACCGCCTAGCAAACTGCATACCTAATCGTGGACAGAGGTAAAGAAGGAAGCCGCAACGGAGACAGAGGACGTGGAGATGAACCTCGCGGTGGAGGATGAGGCGGCGCGCAAGAAGCGGGAGAAGAAGGAGAAGAAGGACCGGAAGAGGGAGGAGAAGGAGAGGAAGCGCAAGCTGGAGGAAGCAGAGAGCGCAGAGAAGCAGGATGGTGAGTTTTGTTGTTACCCCTTGCGTCGCCTCAATCACTGATTGTGACGCAGCCGCAGGAGAGCCAGAGAAGAGGAAAAAGAAGAAGAAGCACGGTGAGGAGGACGTGAAGGTCGAGGCCACGGAGGACGGTGCACGCAAGTTCCCCTCGCGCACAGTCTATCACTTCAGTACTGATGCTCAGCAGAACCAACGAAGGAGAAGAAAAAGAAGCGCAAGCACGAGGACGTCGAGCCCACCACCTCAGCGGAAGTGGACGCGAAGGCGGAGAAGAAATCCAAGAAGAAAGCCAAGCTTGCCGCTGCTGCGTCCTCCTCCGCCGTAGCCACCTCCACGTCTGCCTCCACCTCCTCCGCTCCCATCACCACTACCTCCGCCCCTTCCCCCGCTGAAATCGAGTCCTTCCTCGCTAAGCATGCCATCACCATCCACACGCCCGACGGCGTCCCGCGGCCCACGCCTGTCGTGTCCTTCGCGCAACTTGCCGTGCCAGACGAGATCAGGAAGTCGTTCAAGGGCTTCAAGGAGCCGACGCCAATCCAGGCGTGCACATGGCCCCCCGCGCTAGAGGGCAGGGATGTGGTGGGGATTGCGGAGACGGGCAGGTGAGTTGAAGGGATCATTCGTTCAGCGAAGTACTTGGCTGATTATCCGACCTTCCAGTGGCAAAACCCTCGCCTTCGGCATCCCCTTGCTCAACCGCCTGATCACTTCACGATCCACGACCACTCAATCCGCCCCCGTCACCGCCCTCGTCGTCGCCCCTACGCGCGAGCTCGCGATTCAGACGCACGACACGCTCTCCGCGCTCGGAAAGCCCTTTGGTATCGCCAGCGTCGCTGTGTTTGGCGGTGTGCCGAAGGAGCCGCAGGTGCGCATGCTCCGCAACGCGAACAAGGGGAAGGACGGGATGACCACACGGGTCGTGGTGGGCACGCCAGGGCGGATATTGGACCTCATGAATGACGGGGCGTGCGACTTGGGAAACGTCGACTACCTTGTCCTCGATGAGGCAGACCGGATGCTGGATAAGGGCTTCGAGAATGATATTCGGAATATCATCTCGGCGACGAAACCGCTAGCGGAGAGGCAGACATTGATGTGTGCGTATCTGAGATTTGACGACCTTCTTACCTTGCTTGGTGACGAGTTGGTATGGGTTTACTGACGTTTTTTCAGTCAGCGCCACCTGGCCGGACTCGGTGCGCAAGCTCGCGTCGACGTTCCAGAATAACCCTGTCCGTGTTACGGTCGGGAGCGACGACCTGACCGCGAACAGCCGCGTCGAACAGATCGTCGAGGTGCTCGATGATGGGCGGCAGAAGGAGTGCGTCTTGTCTACTCCTTAGTCCCCTATACTCTCATACTGACCCCTCTTCCTCTGCCAACAGTTCCCGCCTCACCGCCCTCCTCCGCAACGCCAACCTGAAGAAGGTCGCCGCCGGCATGGACGAGTCCCGCGTCCTCGTCTTCGCGCTCTACAAAAAGGAGTGCTCGCGCGTTGAGCAGAACCTCCGCCGCCAGGGCTTCTCCGTCGGCGGCCTCTCCGGCGACATGTCCCAGTCCGCGCGCATCGAGGCACTCGAGGCGTTCAAGACGGGGAAGACGAACCTACTGGTGGCGACGGATGTCGCTGCGAGGGGTTTGGATATCGCAAATGTAGGCCTGGTGGTGAACTACACGTTCCCGCTGACGATCGAGGACTACATCCATCGAATCGGGCGAACGGGTGAGTGGATATGGGGCGAGGCAGGGTGACAGGGGACAAGAGGCTTACGCAAATGCGCAGGTCGCGGCGGCAAGTCCGGAAAGTCGATCACGTTCTTCACGGGCGAGGGGCACGAGCGCGCGCTGGCCGGCGAGCTTGCGCGCGTGCTGCACGACAGCGGCTTCGAGTGCGAGGGACTGAAAAAATTCCCGATGACGATCAAAAAGAAGGAGCACAGCGTGTACGGCGCTTTCTACCGGGACGATATACAGATGCCTAAGGCGCCGACCAAGTTGACGTTCACATAAGAGTTTGATATGGATGGGAAGGACCCATTGTAGACGCGTTGTTGTTATGGTATATCTGACTGTTGTACGCTTGCCTAATCTATGCTCGCACTTCCACAGAAGTTGATATTGGATGACCTGTATCCTTTATTCATCGAGTTGCAGCTGTGCAAAAATTGTCCACGGCAAAAAAGTACCCTTGGACTTCAGGCTCGAACCACGTCGTAAGATTAACAGGAAGAGCAACTCGGTGGGAACGACGCAGAGAGCCAAGTTTACAGGCGGTGTCACTTGGACGCTTGAACAGAGAAAGCAGCTTGTGGGCTCTGCTTATGATACAACACAGAGCACATTGAATTGAAGAACAGGCGGCGGAAGAGGCCTGATTCAGCACAGGAGACCATGCCCCTGTTTTCCTACGAATCGGGTAAGTTCGGCCTGTGACAGTGTGACGAACATGTTGACAAGCACGTGATGGCCATGTGACATCATGCCAATTTCGCGACACTCCTCCTTCAAGTCCTTGTCATCGACGCTCACCCGTGCCACCCAAGTCTGGCTGGACCATTCCGTTCTCTTGCATACAGTCAAGTTGCAGGACTGTCTCTCCTTGGTAAGTCCATAGCTCACTCCGTTGCTCCGAATTTTGCTGACTGCCTCGACAGAAGACATAGATGACCTCGGAATCAATGAAAACAAGGTCAATGACACTACATACAGGCCTCTGCGCAACCTGCAAGGCTTGTATGCATGTTCGCGCAGTGGCAATACCGAAATGCGTTACCAGCTCTGCCTACGCCGCCAATCAGCGCGAGCGATTCGACATTGAACGGAAACTCGCCATGGACGCCACGTCTCTCGCCGCATATGACGACGCTATTCTACGCGTGCAGCAAACTCTCGAAAGTCTCAAGTCGGACCGGAAGGCGCTAGAGGAAAGCATGAGTACAAAACGCGCCATGCTCGCTCCCATTCGCCGTCCCCCAAACGAGATATTCACCATGATCATCTCCTTCGCCATCTTCAACGCATGCTCTTCCATGGAGGACAGCGTGCGCATCTTCCGCCACTCCGTGTTCCGGGTCTGCCAACGCTGGCGCGATCTTGGCTTTGCGGCCTCGCCCGTCTGGTCCAAGATCACACTCTTCCCTCACGTTTACACTGACTGGGACGACATGATGCGACTATGTCTTGAACGCTCTAAGGCGCACCCTTTGGATATCTATCTATCCAGTGGCAGACGAAGCACAAAACCTGGACGATATTCATGGAGCGATGAGATCACACTCAGCAACCGCGACATCAAGGCGCTGCATGATCTCGTAGCCTGCTCGACACGCTGGAGATGTGTACGACTGGGGACCTTCCGCTTTCCGGACGAAATTCTAAAGCGGGAGACGCCTTTGTCGCTTCCGCAGCTCACCTCTCTCTTTCTGGAGAAACCGTACTATGTGTATGGCGTACCTGGCACCGGCAGGTTCAAAGTTCCTCTGTCCTACGAACACTTGTTCTCCGACGCACCCGCGCTCAAAAATGTCCGCATCGAAAGGCACGAAATTCAACATCTTCGTCTGCCGTGGTCTCATCTTACGCGGCTATACATCGCCCGAAACTTGGAAGAGGACGTTGAGCACTGGCTCACCGCCTTACGCCAATGTCACTCGCTGCGTTCTCTGACGCTCGAGGATACGCTCACTACCATCAAAAATGGAACCCAACCCATTATTTTGCCATGTCTTCAAGATTTGGATTTGCGAACGGGTGCATGGGGCATCCTTCCCTACCTCTGCGCTCCGATGCTGCAGGCTGTCAAGCTCGAGCGCGTCGTATTCTTCAACTTCTCGGAGATTGAGCCTCACCCGTACCTCGAAGCCCTCAAGCGCTGCGTGCTTCAGAGCGGCACCCGCGTCTCACGATTGAGCCTCGAGGTGACCGCCTACGACGGCGTCGTGTTCAACTGGAAGGAGATCTTCGAACCATACCACAGCACCCTCACGCACCTGGCGATCAAAACCAGCCCCAAAGCGATGTACTCCCTCATCTGCACGCTCGCCGCCAAACCAGACGTTCTTCCCCACTTGACTTTGCTCACGCTGCCCGAGTTCAAAATCGACACTGAAAAGGCGTTCGCTGCGATGGTGCAGCTCATCGATTCTCGCGCTATCCTGGAGGAAATCGAAGTGTACCCCGTGGAAGGATACGCAGAGTATCTTGACCGGTTGCAAAAATCCAGTCTGGCGATATACTTTCGCCCTACCAACTGGCGTTCTGCGACTACCACCGAAAGGGCGCGTGCAGAAGAGGAGACTTGGATTATGGACCCCGTGCCATCCACTAGGGTGCCAATTGCTGTATGGCACCCTCCTCTTCAATGACGAGGAGTATTGAGCGCACGCTTCATACTCACTTTAACGCAGGTGTTCTGGTTTGCAACATAATTTATGTAGAGCCGTTCGTTCGCCATGAAACCATAGCGACACTTCCGATCGTAACGAGAATCTCTGGTGCGTGCACAGTGCAGCGCCCCGGGAACGATATTTCAAGACTAGGAGGTACAACAGCATTTCAAGATATAAGAGGGGGAGTAACATAAAACCAAAGGGATGGTCCTCGAAAGCGAAGGGTATGCATAATAAATCGAGAACATAACCAAGAAGGACGGTCCGTGAAGAAGCAAAATGACGATGCATCGTCCGTATATCGTCCCAGACCCATACGCCGATTCAGACCCATGGTGGCCTGTCATGCAGATTAAACCAGCCCGAGCACAACACTCGCCCTCAGCGTGCGTGCTGCACCCTCCCCAACCACATTCAGGTCCCGACTCTTCCACCCCCAGCTTTGGCTCACCTTAAACACGTCTGGTGCACTCGAAAACCGCACCTGCCCCGCGCCGCCCAGCTCCCCTTGCACCTTCTCCCCCTTGCCCTTCGCACTGTCCTTGCCCTCCTCGCCACGGGTGGCGCCGCTGACATGGCACGTCACGCCAAAGTAGGCAAGCACGGCGGCGCGGGGGTCGCGATAAGCTTGATTTGGAGCAGCCTGGGGTGGCGCCATGTACGGTCCTGCTGGAGGGGCGGGGCGCTCGGGTTCGTCGGGTCCCGGCGGACGTGTCTCGTAGTGCGCAAGTACGCCTCGTTCAGGCATATTCGATGACGATGGGAGACTCGAGCTGAGAGGCGTTGTCGCGGGTGGCGGTGAGTTAGCCACTGCGGCGCTGGTTCGCGCACCCGGCGTTACACTGCGCGACAACATGGGCATGAAGGATCGTGTGGGGCTGCCGACGTTGGAAGCTGAGTTCCCGGAGAGATTGCGAGTATGCCGGGCGTGCGCACTCGATGGCCGCGGAAGAGTTGCTTCGATAGGCGGTGGTGGTGGTGGTGGCGTAGGCTTTGGAATGGCAGCGAAGGTCAGAGATTGTGCATGTCGCAGCGGACGAGGCGCACTAGCGCCCGGTGCGGGGTCGACGCTGCTCTGCCTGTGCACATATATCCCCAGCTGCGTCGCCCCATGCGCCGGCTTCCGCCGAGTCGTAGTGTTTGTGCTCGTGTTATTCACCTGCACATAGATGTTGAACAGGCTCCCCGCGTACCAGACGGTGCGCGAGTACAGGCGTGTCTTCTCCGAAAGCAGGTGCACGTCGTAGAACTCGACGCTGAAGCGCATCGGTGGGTATGGGGTATACTTCGGCGCGTCGGGGGGTATTTGCTCGACCGCACGGCCCTTGCCCTTCGTCACGTCGATCGGGCTCTCTGGGTCGACGAGGCCGAAGAAGCGTTTGGAACCGTGGTCGGTGGAGGGCATGTGAGAGGCGCATACGTTGAAAAGGTCCTCCATGGAGGTGGTTTGCGCGCTCTTGTTATCCAAGTTGAGGTTGATGTCCCCGACGCGGAAGCTGGAGTCGCCATATACCTTCCAGTAGCGGTCGCCTGCAGCGCGAGGGTCATCGGGCGCATGGATATTCTGCGTTGTTATTCGAAGCTCTTTAGAGCTGGGCTCCACGACAGATGTAGAAAGGTTGCGAAGAACGCCCTGACTCCAATATGCACTCTGCAGAACGTGAAGGGGCACGTATGGGGTGCCCGTTGTTGGCGATACAAGCGAAGATATTTCGATTAGGTCTTGCATAGGCTGATTGAAGGTCAGGAAAGGGTATACCAGGGTTATCGGCTCATCGCGCACCATATTGGTATAGTAGATGCCCTTCTCAAACAGCAACGCCCATTCCTCCTCCTCTTCATCCGTGTGCGACTGCAGAAGACTTCGTCGATATTCGACGACATCCCTTGCAAAGTAGAATCTTCGTGTCTCATCCCTGATGAAGAATGTATCCGAGGAGATGAGTGCGCGAATCCACGACGGTGACAAGCGACTCCAGATGTGGAGTGGTCGGTCGGGATTCACACCTGGAACCGTAGGGGTATGATCAAGGTCCGGCACCGTCCCGCTAGGGGCAGACTTGGCTCGTTCGCGCTTGCGGGTAGTAAGGAAGCTGCCGTCGTGCTCAAGGGAGAACACGTCTACGCCCCAGCGAGCGAGCCACGCCGCACACGCCTCGCCTATCTTGTCAGATATGGCGCCGTAGGTGTGCCGTTCATTCGCCCCTGGGTCCGTCCCTGCGGCATAACTATCGAGTGAGGCAGTCGAGGCGGTGGATGGCGCGTGTGATGCGATGGAATGTGCGGTGTCGAACTTGGTGCTGGAGAGCCGGTCGTCTTCGTCCTCGTACTCTTCAGCCACGCTTTCTAGTCCGACAGCAGGGGGGCCGCTATCCGCGCGGATGGGGAGGCCGAGGGCGAAATCGAGGTACTGAATCAGGGTGTACGGGCCGACGGAGCTGAGGACGGCGGCGAGCGCCTGTGATGCAATGTGGGGTATTGAGAGGTAGAGTGCCGTCGCCAGTAGCGAGAGGAGGAATCCTGGATCAGCGACCTGGTGTCCTTCTGGTACAGGGGATTCCGAGTTGAAGTGAAGAGGGGGGCCGCCACCGTAGAGTCGTGCGAGGCAGAGTCTGGGGTAATCTCCGTCAGCACGGGCGACAGCGCACTCGGCACACGACGCACTCGAATGCAGCCCTGCTAATGTTGCGATCAACGAAGACGAGGTCAACTGCATCCCCGCCTTCTTCGACGAAGCCGCCATCGAAGAGCCCGCGAAAGAAGCCAGCCTGGATAAGCACGACCTTGTGCACGCGGTACAGGACATTCCAGGCGGCGATCCTGAGCGTGGCGTCCGCCGTACGCCGCTGGAGGAAGGAGGTGTAGAGGTGCCGCTGTATATCGTCTGGCGCCGTCATCGCGGTCGGCGACAAAGCCGCATCTGCAACCGAGCACGCGATGGAGCGCTCTTCTTACCCCCATCCTCGATTGTCAATTCTTTCCCAGACGTCGTCGGCGGAGCACCTCTCGCCGACGCCCTCCTCCGCCCGCTTCTCGCTCCCGCCCAAGACGGGCGCGCGGCCGAACATCTATGACCGCAACCTGAACAAGACGCGCATCGCGGAGGTCTCGCTCTCCGCGTTCGCCTTCCTCTTCTCGGAGCTCGTGCAGTACACGCAGAAGCGCGTCTCTGGCATCAATGACCTCGAGCGCAGGTGAGTGTCGTGAAGCGGGAGATGAAGGGTGGGCGGCGGCTGAGACGGCACGCAGGCTAAACACGCTCGGCTACCGCGTCGGCACGCGTGTGCTCGAGCTCATGAGCTGGCGCGCAGAGTCGTCGTCGAAGGCGCCCAAGCGCGAGATCCGCTTCCTCCCCGCGCTCATGTCCATCCACACGAACGTCTGGCGGACGGTCTTCGGCAAGCCCGCGGACGCGATCGAGAAGAGCGTCGAGAACGCAGACGAATGTGAGCGCCCACCTCACCCCATCACTCCATTCATTCCTCATCTGACCCTCTATCCTAGACATGATCATTGACAATGACCCCCCGATTGAGCGCAGCATATCTGTCCCGAGGGACATGTCGCAGCTCAGCTGCTCGTCCTTTACGGCGGGCATCGTCGAGGCCGTGCTTGATGGGCTGGGATTCGTACGTCCCCCCTCCCCCTCTCTGTCGATCTTTATCGCTGACGGGATCCCAGCCCGCGCGCGTCACTTCTCACAACACGCCCACAGCCCAGTACCCGAACCGAACGACGATCCTCATTAAGCTCGAGCCATCTGTGCTGGAGAGGGAGGAGCTCCTGAAGACCTGATCGAGTGCGCCGTTACTGTTGTTTCTTTGTACATATATCGCCAGGAGTAATATACGGACAGTGGACTTCATGATTCCGCCCCGTTGCCGCCGCCCGATGTTCATGTACTGCCGAGTCAATGGCTTATCTTGCAGTGCACAACTTGAATCCGCCCTCCATGGCCGCTATCAACACGCTCAAGATCGACCCTCCCCTCGTCAATACTGCCTGCGCGTGGGTGTCCGAGTACGAGCAGCTCAAGGCCTGCTTTGAGTGCCCATATACTGGGGCTGTCACGACGCGTACAGCTGCTGGTGTCGATGAGGGCTACCCCCGTCTTGCCGGCGTGCATGGGGTGCGCATCGTACCTCCACTACAATCCCCTTGCTCATCCTTCACAGGTTGCCTTCAGCAAGACCTCGATCACTAGCATCAACACCTACGCGTACTCCCCACACCCCCTTTCCGCCTACCTCTCCTGGATAAAGCAGATCCTTGATGAGCATCCCACTTCCACCAAGCCCTTCATCGTCTCCGTCACCACCACCGAGCCCGCCGTCCTACGCGCCATGATCAACGCGATTCAGGCGTTCCGCACCACCCTCCCCGACCCCGCGCGAATCGCGATCGAGCTCAACACGTCCTGTCCGAACGTCAAAGCAGGCGCACCACCGGCCTACCACTTCCCTACCTGCCGAAGTGCGGAGGAGTACCTCGCATCGCCGCTGGGGCAGCTCATCGCCATCTTTGCGGACGCGCGCAAGGCTGATCCGGGGCTGACAGTGGGCCTCAAGCTTCCTCCATACGTCCACGCAGGCCAGTTCTCAGCATTCCTTGACGGTTTGGCGCTGTTCACGATTGATGGCACTCAGCCCCCCGTGTCGTTCTTCACATGCACGAACACGTTGGGGAACACTCTCATGCCCGCGAGCATGCTCGAAGGCTGGCAGGGCGAAGGGATGGAAGGAAAAGACATGTTGGGTGGCGCTGGTGGCGAAGCGATACACGCGCTGGCTCTGGGGAATGTCGCAGCGTTCGCAAGGCTGCTGACTGAGAGGGACGTCTTGCGAGAGATCAAGATCATTGGGGCAGGTGGGGTGACGACACCGGACGCGGTCAAACGAATGCACGATGCTGGTGCGACGGTCGTTGGATCTGCAACTCTGTTCGGGAAGCTGGGTCCGGATGCAGCGTTCGCGCTTCTGAGCGGCAGGTAGTTGGCGAAAGTGTATATCGTGCACAGTGTCTCATCATGCACTTTCGTTGTGAATGATAGCTTGCGATGTTCTGCTTGGTATAACCGCATTTGGAAGGCCTTGAAGTCTGAAAAAGGAAATTCCGTCGTCGGCTTCGCTATTTGATCCGGTGCAACGTGGCCACGGTGGCTGTGAACGCAGCATCGTCAACCAGCGCGCGAGCACGTTTGCCTCCGACCACCATGCCGCGGCAGCCTCCAGCCCATTCCTTCACCACATTTGGCTGGATATTCTGCTGCTGGATCCTGCTCATATCCTTCCAAGTAAGATGGTGCAGCAGTATCTGCTCGACGAACTGGTGTACTGAATGAAACTATCTCAACCAGTATGGCTACCACATTTCCGTCCTGAACCAGATTCAGGCGGTCATGAGCTGCAAGGCTCAGCCGTCTGCGATACTCAGTAATGGTTTGCCGACTTGCATACCCATGGATGACTTCACTTTTTCGGTTGTGACCTCTGGTACGTCCTGTTTCGGATTCGGTAAGGTGGTTGACCTGAGAGGCCCTTGCCAGTCTTCACCGTGGGCGGACTTATTGGAAGTATTGGCTCGAATGTTATTAGCGACAAATGGGGTCGTAAAGGTGCTGCGCGAACTAGCTCTCTCTTCGTCGCTGTTGGCGCGGGGCTCATGGCAGCGAGCAACTCAATTTCTATGCTGGCCATTGGGAGGTAAGCGCTATTTCGTAAAGGCTGTTATATGTACTTGAAAATATCTAGAATCCTTGTGGGTGTCGGGGCGGGCATTGGTAAGACCCCAAACCGGTCGTTTGTGCACCTTTACTAATTTGATCAGGCCTCTGCGTTGGGCCTGTATACCTCGCGGAGATCGCACCGCCGAAAATCAGCGGTAGTCTTGGTCGGTAAACCACTCTCCCCATATACTGCCTCCATTCACATCTCTGTGCAGGCGTCCTCACCCAACTTGGGATCGTTTTCGGTATCATGATTACTCAGGCGCTCGGCCTCCGCTTTGCCACGCCCACCCAATGGCGCTTGGTCCTCTTCATCTCTTGCGCACTCAGCGTCGCACAGTTCCTCGTGAGCCCGCTGATGCTGGAGTCGCCCGCCTGGCTCGGCGGCCACGGGCACGCGGACGCAAAGCAGCGCGTCGCGCAGAGGATTTGGACATTCAAGGATACGGATCATGAGGGTAAGTCACTTCTACTCTATATATATTTCCTACGTGGAATGAGGTGGTCTGACGATGACAAACAATACTCCAGACTACCGCGGCGACGCCGAAGACCCACTCCTTGGCGACGAGGACGAGGCGGACAGGCGCCGCTCCGAGTCGCCGCGTCCGTCCATCAACGCGCTCAAGGTGTTCGCGTCGCCGGATTTGCGCAAGCCGCTCTTAATTGTGTCCTTCGCGATGATGTCGCAGCAGATATCGGGCATTAATGCTGGTCAGTGCCTTCCATTTCGCTCGCACTCCAGCAAAGTGACAGGCGCTCATTCAAATCGCCAGTGCTTTACTACAGCAACGCCATCTTGTCGAAGGCACTGCCTGATCTGGGGCCTTTTGTTTCTCTTGGGATCACTATTGTGAACGTGATCATGACGTTTCCGCCGATTTTCCTCATTGAGGTGAGCACTTGCACTTTCTATGATCGCTCTCTGGAGCGCAGTGCAAACCCAACTGAACCAATGTCCCCAGCGTCTCGGTCGTCGCTGGTTGCTGAGCCTGTCCACCGGCGGTGCCATTGTCTCGCTCATTTGCGTCGGCATCGGCCTCGATACCAACCTTACGACGCTCGCTAGCGTGTTTATCATCACTTTTGTCTGGTACGCTGAAATATGCTGGTACCTTCCCAACTTGCGTTGTTGATGGCCTTTTGCAGCTCCTTTGCCATTGGTCTCGGGCCCGTACCCTTCGTCATCATCCCGGAGGTGTCTCCGTACCATGTCAGTGGTCGTGTAGCGCACACCAGGCTTTCTATCCTGACTTAACCCCCTCTAACAGGCTGTCTCCGCACTCTCGTCTATTGGCTTGTCCTTGAACTGTAGGCATCAGTAGTCCTATTTCTATCAGCTAGTCTCACTGACCTCCACCCCAAGGGATCGTAAACTTCATCGTCGGGCTCATCTTTCTGCCCCTGCGCAACTTCCTTTCGGGAGGCGACCCAGAGAAGGAAGGGCGGGTGTTCTATGTCTTTGCGGCAGTGCTGGCTGTGTCGATGTTCTCTTTCATGTCGCAGTATGGGAGGCATTGAGAGGGGAAGGTAGTCCGTTAGGAGTTGGGTTATATGACGAGTCTGCTACGAATCCAAACGTATCATATTGCCGCGGATATGGAAAGCTGCTTTGGCTCGTAAAAGTATTCAGTGGCTTTTGAAGTCGCTTTCGAAACGATTTTCCGCGTTGCAGTCAACTGACCCCACACTAATACAACTTGCCACCCACCATCATGTCCACCGACAGCGACAAACCAACCTACCTCTACAAACTCGTCCCCTCGACCTCCCCGGTACCAGAGCTATCCGCCCTACCCGAAGCTCTGCCACTCAGCGACCTCGACGCCAAATCCGGCTTCATCCACCTCTCCACCGCGCATCAGGTCGGGGGCACGCTCAAGCACTTCTTCGCGGAGGACCCACACGTGTGGGTGCTCAAGATCGCGTTCGCGAAGGTGGAGGATAAGATACGGTGGGAGAGCCCTGATGCGAAGGGTGAGTGTGATCTGGGATCAGAGGGAAATCGGTTGGTGGGGAGCGCGCTTTGTGCTGACGAAAAGTGCAGTATGCGGCCCGCGACCCGGGGAGGGCCTGTTCCCGCACCTGTATAACGGGCCGAAGTTGGGAAAGGCAGAAATCGAGGACGTGGCGCGCTGGGAAAGAGGAAACGGATGGGACGAGGCGCTGGAGAAGGCCAATAACTGGCTCGTGTACTGAGTCCGTGCGCAATTCCCGCAGCAGGTTCCAGTCAGAACGATACATTGTATTTTACGTGCTACCCCAGGTGGCCCTCTTAGCTACGTCCCCACCAGCCGCCAAGCAGACTGCTGAGGCCCCCGCGCTGCGGAGCGGCATTCTGCTCTTGCCCTTCTACCGGCGTCTGCGGACGGTCCTCAATTTGCTCCTTCGACTTCGATGGCACCTCCGCCGCGGGGACCTCCTCCCTGACCGGCGGCTCCTTGCCCGCCCGCGCGTACATTTTCTCAACGTCGTACGGCACGTAGTTCATCGCGATGTCGAAGAAGACGGGCTTCTTGTAGGTCTTGTGCGCGTTCGGGTCGAGGGAGCCGCCGTTGTAGGTGAACCAGTCGCGCTTGTACTTGAGGGCGTCTTTGGAAAGCGCATCCTCGAGGGCGTCGAGGTCATCAGGTGGGAGGTCGACGGAGGTGGATGTTGCGGCTTCCGGGTCGGCAAGCTGCTGGCGTGCTTCACGAAGATGGATGTTGGCATGCTGGAGGAGGCTGAGAGCCTCGGCGTATTTCTTGAGAGGCGCGTAGCAGCGTGACAAGTATAGACATCTAGAAAGCGGTTAGTTATGCGCGAGCGATGCGAGCGGACGATCTGACTCACCTTCTAGCTTTCGAGTAGAAGAGCTTCGCGTCGACGATGGCGGCAACTCCCGGGCTGTCGTCCACGATGCTGAGCGTGCGCATCTGCGTGAGACTCTGCACGATCGTGTCCAGCATCTTGACGACCGCGGGGTAGAGTCTTCCATCGACAGGCTGCGTAGGCAGTTTCGACTGGTTCGTGCGCTCAGAAGCGAGGAGCGACGACAGCAAGAGCACATCGCGGTGGATTCGCCGGCTGAGAAGCTGGAAGAGAATATAGTCGTGCACAAAGTGCATGTCTGGCGTCGAGGTAGACGTGCTGGCGCCTCTCAGCTATTACGCCCGATCAACAAACGAAAATCGCATGGTCGGCGTGCACGCTTACCTGCTGCGCCTCTGAAAGCTTCCTCGCCAATTCCTCGGCGTCGCTGAGCGCCGCCAGCACATGGTCGTACGCGGCGACATTCTTCTTCGACGAGCCCTTCTTCGAGTCGAACGCCGCCAGCCGCGCCTCTGCGTCCTGCACCTTCAGCAGCGCGTCCACAAGCTCGGGATTGCGGATCGATACGGGCTCGCCCTCCCACACGGGCTCCTTCAACTTGTATCGGTTGTTCTGCCCGCCAGAAACCGTCGCGTCCACCTTGAGCTTCTGCAACAAGTCGCTGCATCCATCCACGTATTCGTTCCGGTTTTTCAGGCCGACTTCCGCGACGATCGCGTCCACGTCGTAGGACTTCTCTCGGCCGAGTTCGTGTGCGCAGTACCGGATTTCGGGGCCAATCGAGTCGGAGAAAAGGGTCGCGAGGGCTTGATCACGGCTCGTGCTTGCCGTCCGCAAGAGCTCGTCGAGGAGGCTGCGGGCGACCGCTAGCTGTACGAGAGCATCTTCGAACTGCTCGCGGTAGCGAAGAGTCTGGCCATTGAGGACGAGGGTGTAGATGGACGCCTGCACCATGCCATCCGCGGAGAGGCGGCCCGAGGCGTAGAGAGCCTGGCAGTGAGATAAGAGCTGCGTGGACCAGTGGAGTGCTCGGCGAAAGCGGCCAGACGCGGTATGGCGCAGAGTACTAGCCCGATCGGCGTCGGCTGGCTGGAGGGAGGAAGTGTAGAGCTCCTGGCCGTACGCCCATGCGCGCTCAGCTTCGCATAGCAGGAGCTCGAGGCTGAGGGGCTCGCATGAGTAAGTATCCTCAAAGGGGAGAAATAACACTCACTGGCCATCCCCCATCTTCTCACTGACGAGAGGGGGTAGCTTCTTGAAGTCGCGACCCTTTCCGTGGGTCATCTTCAGCGTCGACCGAAGCCGATGGGTCCTGTTCGCGCAGTGCTTCCTAGCCAGGGCCTTAATACCAGAGCCAGACACACATTCATCACTGAACGCTCACCGATACCGCGCATAATCATTGTATCGCAGACCATACGCGTTCCGCTGCTCATTCGCGAGCTGAAGTGCTATCTCTGATGTCAAACACGTTCCCCCTCGGCCAGACGGGCACATACCTCTGAAGTTGAGAGGTTTGTCGGACATTCTAGCGGCCTCTACGACGTTCTGGTGCTTTCTGGGGCAGCGGGGATGATATAGACGGTGCCGTGATGGTGGATGCTGAAAAGACGCGCGATCACCGACAGTGACACGCGCCTCCTTGACCTCGACCACAATGACCGACACCTTGCCGCCGACTCTGCAGAATGTGCTGGACCAGAAGTCGTTGAAGTGGATATTCTGTGGTGCGTAGCGCGCTAACACATTCAGGGAACGACTGCTGACCGTCATACAGGAGGAAAGGGTGGTGTAGGCACGTCGAATGCCTGTTCAACCTGAGCTTCCCCTGACGTTCAGTGCAGGGAAGACTACTACTTCGTGCTCGCTCGCAATTCAACTAGCCTCAGTCCGAGAGAACGTTCTACTCATCGTGCGTGACGCTCGATGTCGATCACCGCGGGATGCATCGCTCACGGTGCTCCCAGTCCACCGATCCCGCGCACAATCTCTCGGATGCGTTCGGCCAGAAGTTTGGGAAGGACTCGACCAAGGTCAACGGGTTTGATAACCTGTACGCCATGGAGATCGACCCGAACAGCTCAATCCAGGAGATGGTGGAGAACTGTCCGTGGCGCGCTATCCTGCCTCCACGACGCGTCCTCTGACATTTTCTTGACATTTTCCGGACAGCGGATAACAACGGCATGATGGGCAGCATGATGCAAGACCTGGCGTACAGCATACCGGGTGTGGACGAGGCGATGGGCTTTGCGGAGGTCATGAAGTGCGTGGCGTATGGTCTCGCGCCTTTGTGGTGTCGCTAACTCTGCTAATAGGCATGTCAAGTCCATGGAATTCTCGGTAATTGTGTTCGATACTGCACCAACTGGCCACACACTGCGCTTCCTCTCCTTCCCAAGTGTGCTCGAGAACGCACTCGGAAAGCTCAGCTCCCTCGGCTCCCGATTTGGGCCCATGATCAACCAGGTGCGTCGGTTTCCCATGCATTTGCTCCTTTGTACCAATGTCTTTCAGTTCTCCAGCATGATGGGTGGCGAGGCTGCGTCTCCTGAGGACATGTTCGCGAAGCTCGATGAGATGAGGGCAACGATCACGGAGGTCAACACACAATTCAAGGACCCGGTATGTCATAGGATCACGGAACGCGAAGCAGAATTTCTCACTCCCTCGAAGGAAAAGACGACTTTCATCTGTGTCTGCATCTCCGAGTTCCTCTCCCTATACGAGACAGAGCGCTTGGTGCAAGAACTCACCACGTACGGCATTGATACGCATAACATTGTCGTCAACCAGCTTCTCTTCCCGAAGAAATGTACGTTTGACATGACCCCGCTACTGCTTATGTTCGTTCTGACAAGCCGAACTTCAGCCTCGAACTGCGAACACTGTCGGGTCAGGCACAAGATGCAGCAGAAATATCTCGCAGAAGCGCACGAACTTTACGACGAGTTCTTCCATATCATCAAGCTGCCATTGTTGACAGAGGAAGTCCGAGGACCGGAGAAGTTGAAGGAGTTCAGCAAGCTCCTGGTTGAGCCATACGAACCCAAGGACGATTAGACAGGACAACCGCCCACTTACATTCTCAAGTGCACGCGTACAATGAGAATGCGCCATATGTAGCTCTATATATTGAGGTAGGATTGCGGGTTGATGAGGACGACTTGGGGTTGTAAGCCGATATTTCCATAGCGGGCTCCAGCTTTATTGTGTACGATTTGGGAATCTTTGGCCGTCTTTGGACGCAACAAAGGGTGCCCAAACGGGGATGCCGGCGATGCCCGAAAGGAAGTTGATGCGGATCACGGGGGCAGTTGAACTTCAACATTTCGAGCACGTTCAACGCATGCTCACCAACACTGGCATGTATGCAATGTTTGCGATCCACCGGGCCTTCCTTTCGTGCGAGACTCATGCAGCTTCCACCGCATGCCCCTCACCCGTGTACCCGTGTTATCCTCGTGCAGCGCTGATCCATACGCCGTGTGAGGATCGGCCAGCGGACTCAATACGTGCGACCACACTGCATAGACTCTTTGAGGAGCGCCCAGCACGAGCTATTCATCCTAGACTACACCGTCGCCCATATGGTGCTGCCGACTCTCTCATACCCTTGAGGTCGGCGCGCAGTGGGAGAGCACGCGCTCGGCGCGCGTATCACTTGCGAGCTTTCCCATGTACGAGTTCGCCCTGACGGTCCGCGCGCGGCGTTCGGAAAGCCCCCTAGGTGCTATGGCCGAGAAGTTGCGGATGGGTTACAGGAGACGTCTGTGAACAGAAAAGGATTCCGGGTTGGATGCCACCGGGAGTTATCCGAAAGCCCCACTCTCCGACGACGGAGAATTCAAGCCGCAATAAGCCGCAGAGGACTACAAAGCATTGAGGCAGCGCAGTCCTGATGAGCAAGATTTGAGGTGGGTGGCGATACGATGGGGAGCGAGGTGGCGAAATGGATTCCGCGCGCTTCGGGGGGTGCAAACATACCGGGATCGTCACTGATCAGCAGGGTTTGCGACGCCTTTGCGTCTGTCGGAGTGGCGCGCAGGAGAAGTGGGCGCTCGCGCTTCCTTACCTGCGACGCGGAGTCAACGGGCCATACTCGCAGACATCAGAACTCCTTCTCGACGACGACGAAGGCTCGTCGCTGCGCACGATGGGAAGAAGGGCCGGGGATAAATAGCCATGATACATATGCTCGATTGTGTATACTACAGTGAGCTCGACAACGGCGCATGCGCCAACTCCGTATTCCCCAGACGACGGTGTGCTGAGCAAGGTATATCTAGATATCGTACAAGTACAGGGTGCAAGAATACATAAACAAGAATATCCAAGAAGAGGGTCATGACCATCGTAAGCGGAAGCGGACGTCCCTAGAGAAGCGGAGAAAGAAAAGCGGCATAGAAGTGGGGGTCTGAGTCTACGGCGGAAAGCAAGAGCAACACCGACAGCTAAGGCTAATTGAGGTCGACTGGAAGAAGCGTATTGGTACTAGTACGGATCGCGCGCGCTGGATATGGGGATGAGGCGCGGCGAGAACGAGGAGGCGGAGGAGGCTGGGGAAACCGAGCGGGAGGGGGCGCGTACGTGCGAGTAGCTCATGCGATAGAGCTCATACCCGTAGCGGTCGTCCCGCGGCTTCTCGTACCTAGAGCTCTCGTAGTCGAAACTCGACCGTCGCTGCGAGTAGGCCGGCTCTGGTACCTCATCCTCATCGTCCGAGTCCTCCTCATTCGATTCAGGCGGCGAAAGCGCCGGCTGGGGTGGCGAGTGCAGATACACCGGTGGTGAATACGGTTTGGGCGGCGGCGGCGTCTGCCCAGGACGCACTGCCGTATGATTGCGGAGATGGCGGCGCATGTTCGAGTTCACGTTGAACTCCCGCCCGCAATGCGGCCACGGGCAGCGGAAAGCTGTGGGTGGCATCAGCGGATGAGTAGGAAGGTCTACCAAGGGATTGTACTTACGTGTCGCGCCGGTGTGGGTGTTGAGATGGATGCGCAGGCTGCTTGGGCGGTTGAACCGCTTATTGCACGTGGTGCAGACGTGCTTCTTGGTACTGTCCCCGCCCATGTCCTCCTCGTCACTCGCCGAGATGCCGTCCTCGCGGTGGCCGGCGGAGGGGGCGTCCCGGGCGGTGTAGCCGGAAACAGAGAAGATCATCGACGAGCAGCCAGCGTCGCGGCGTGGCTCCTCTGGATAGTCCTCGGAGTGACTTCGAGTGGGCCGCGCTGCGGAGCGGAGAGAATATCCGTGCGACGCTGTGGATGCAGACCGCTGGCGCGAACGGACCGGCGACTGGGGCGCGGGTGGTATCTCGATCCGGTAGGGGGCCGTGGGCGCAGAACGGGGGCCATCATTAACAAGATGAATGTGACCGCGGTCCGTGTGTGAGCGAGGTTCTTGAACTGAACCAAAGTCAGTACCTCGGACATGACACCTCGTATGAAACTGCTCACTCTGATGCACGCGGGGAGGGTAAGGATAGGACGCTGTCTGTCTAGGGCTGCTCAGGCTTAGGCGTCGATGAGAGATAATGGGAGACGTGGTGTATGAATGCTGTTGAGTCATAAGCGCTCATGAACACAGCGTACAAAATGTGGCGCACCGTCAATTCGTGCTGAGGCGTCGGTGGAGACGCGGTATAGGGTGTTGGGCGCATGAGATGCTCTGAGAAAGACAATTAGTGGCCAGGTCGAGTACAAAGGATGTCTGTGGCGCGCACCGGGGAACATCTCGTGGATACTGGGGAGAGACATTGAGGGCATGCAGTCCGTTTGCATGTGTTGTGGACGGTCTGGAAGAGGGGTAGCAGATGGGTATCGGCCAGTATGTGGGCCTGTGGCGCGAGGAGGGGGCAATGGGAGAGAGCGGGGACAAGCGTGGACACATGGACCTTTATAGGCGAGCAGATGCTTCGCTCCGGACAAGGCCGGCACTCCGAGCGCAGATCCGACGGTAATAGAACATGAATGTCAATCCCACGGCTACGTTCCCTGCACGCAACCAAGAACTCGTCTCCGCAAGCCGCTCCCCGCGCCCGTCTCCCACGCCTGGGGCGCGTTTCCGAGAAAGGCACGAGCGCTACATCAGCGCACTTGCTAGCAGTAATTCTGCCGTACCCGCCTGCTATTACCTCAATCGCGCACAACGCCTCGGATCGCCGCACCTCTGTGCACTCCTACGAAATCGCGCCGAAGGTTCCCCCGGAAGCCTCGAGGCGCGCAAGCGCTGCCACTCCGGGCGCTGAGCTGGCGATCTTGTCAAGATCAGGGGGCCGACTGCCGGATCGCTGAGTGGGAGGCGCCCGTCTGAGACTGTGACCGCGTGGATCTGCGCCCATCGCACCGGATCCGTCGTTGGAGATAGCGCTGCTTTGGCCGATTCAACCGCCAATCCGGCCTTCCCCGTTGGGACAATGATTGTCGAAAGCCCTCTTGCCATCGCCGATGTTCAAACGATTGAGGAGCGCCCATCCCGACCAGAACATTCGGTCGCGGCGTAGCACGGATGAGGGACAGCTGCTGAGTGTCATGGTGGTATGCACGTCTGCCAAGTAGCTCGTGCGTACGACGTGAGCCGCTTCTTCCGTTTCGAGAAAGGGCGATGGTTATACCTGATCTTCATCTAACTGCTCACCAGACGCCTCATCCATCCATTTCCGAGGATATGATTGGCGATGCCCGCACAATGCCCGACTGCTATGCGCGCCCCGAATCGCATAAACGATGAGTACCGATTGAGAAACGCCGCGTCCGCGAAACCGCCATTGAACGGAAGTATGCATACGTTGAGACGGCTTGAGTGGTGTCGAAGCGCGGTGGGCGGTCTCTTCGCGACGTCTATCTCCAGGAACCACGAGCGGTCAATAGATCGAGGGCACCGGGACTAACGTCGAAATGGTCTGCCGATTCGCCATGGTGGCACCTCTCCGAGAAAGCATCCGCTAAGGCTTTCTCGTGCTTCTGAAATTGTCCGCCTACAGTGGTAGATAGGCGATCAAAGGCTCTTCGCCGGCACATGACCGCCAATCTGAACAGAATGTGTGATGATATGCCGGTCGCTGTGAAGGCTATACAGTGCAGTCTCCGTGCATTGCGCGACTTGACTCAGCACCCGAGATGGTCGCAACCAACGTTTGACATGGTAAAGTCGATGGAGATGCACAGTGACCTTGAGCATCAGTGTACAGATACATGCTGGAGCCGGTACTTACAGGTAACAGGCAATCATTCCGCTCATCACCAGAGTAATGTTACACTCGAATCCCTTCCAAGCGCCGTGCCATGGACTTGACAAGCCGTCAAGCCTGCGTCAGGCTGAAGACTAAGGATACATGCCCATCTCTTGCATGGGGCCTCAACGTAACCGACCCACAATGCATCGTGAGAGCTGTGTTGCGGGACGCAGGATGTCAGTCAGAGCGTGCTGCAAGAGGGCAAGGATGATACGTACGGCCCGTCTGAATCGCGCCGCTCCTACTAGGCAGAAGGACTGGAGAAGGATGCGGTGAGCTTGGAGCAGCGAAATTCACGGACGATAGCGCGCACCGTGGTGGGCATAATTCGCCTCGACGGCCCCACGGGGCGTGTAATTCCTCACTTGCACGCATAACGCAAGTAGAACGCCTACCTGGTCTCATAGTCCAGGCAGCCATCGGCGACCATAACGCAAAGAGGCTCCCTAAGACCCGTGCTCAAGCGCTAGGTCCTGGAGCTTTATGGGGAGTTGCCGGCAATCCAAGACTCGAGGACTCTGCCCATTTGACCGGACCGTCGATCCCAACTCAACAATGGGATGCCGGATTTGGATAGACTCCCTCAGATCAGGGACGGCCACGTTCGCATCATAATTGAACGGCAACCAAACATAGACCGGACGCCGCCCGGTCCGGAAAGTGACCTGGGGTATTGCGGGCCGCCATGGCGCGTACAGATGGCTGGGGGGGTACATTGTCAGCACCGTGTGATGGATAGAGAAAGCCAGTGCCCGCAAGCGCACCGTGAAACTGCAGGCCACTCTATCGCGATGGCTTATCTGCGAACCCGACTTACTTCCGCCTTTTCTTATGCCTTCTAGAGATCAAAGGTAAATCATGAGCTTGGATAGCAACGTGAGAGACGGCAGCATTCTGACCTTCACGAAGCGAAGCATATTTCGGTCTCTGCCGACCTGGTGTTGACAGTCCTGCAGTTCGCTCTATACGTGAGTGCAGATGATACGCCGAAGGTTCATGCTCGCCAATGCAATACCTCGGTCCCTGCCGTGGTTATCTTAACGGGACCGTGCTTCAAGCGAGGCTGTAAGGCTGGCATCGATACATACATACGACCGTGTAGCTGGTGGCGTCGCCAATCATGGACCTGCTGTGAAGGATGGCGTCGTCGTGAGAAGGATAGAATGTCGTCCAAGAATGCAGATGTATTCCGTGGGGACTGACGAGGTCTTGGTTCTCTGGTATTAGCGACGATCCGCGCTACCATGAAGGAGCACCATGAGGTCGTCTCAAAGCATGAGACGCACCTGAAGTCCTTGCACACGATGAGATCGGCCTTGCGGTAGGAACTGTTGATGTGTGGGACAGTTTCTCATGCCCGCATGTAAAGCGCGTGCAGGAGAGCAGCTCGCTTGAAAAGCAGACAGTCGTGTATCGGGACCTGTTGCACGCTAGGCTGCCACAACTGACAAAGTACGCTTGGAAAAGGTCCGAGGGAAAGTCAAGGGAATGACCCTGTAAATTGGCCACAATTTATTGAATACATTATCGTCTGCATCATAGCGGCAATCAGCTTCGTTGGGGATGTTAAGACGCACCTGAAGGCGTACGCAAGGATCGATGGGAGCGGGAGAACATGTACTTACACAGGAGAAGGTTCCCTTCATGTTTAACTTGGCGTAGAGAATGGGATCTTCGCCGATCTACGCGCTCTTGGGCGTGTGCTGCACCAACAGCGCATCCACGAAGTCGGCAAACGAGTCTGCGATCTCATCCGGAGGCACAGTACCTGCCTTCTGCTCATCACCGCTCCGGTACTTCCCTGTCTTTACTGCTCATTTTATCAGCTATTCTGGTTTATGGTCGGACACGATGCACTCACCGAGGACGCGCCAGAGGCCTAGCTGCACCGCGCCCCCGCCAAGATCTGCGTCCACATCATCGCCTACAACAGCAATCACGCCATCCCCGGAGGCAGTAGGCCCCAGGTCGTCGATAACCATCTGAAAGAACTCGGCGGAGGGTTTGCCCACTACGTGCGCCTGTGCGCCGCTGGCGTACTCGAGCGCCGCAACAAAAGGGCCCGGTCCGAGTGACAGGCCAGGCGGCGCGGTTCCCTCGATATACTTGGCTTGGTGGGTCGCGATGAGGCGGGCACGTGTGCGCGGCGCGGCGCCCGGGCCTGAGACGCCCCGGGCCTCGCCTGTGAGCAGGCGGAAGGCTTCGTTGAGGTGTGCGTAGTCGAAGGAGGGCGGATCGAGTCCGATAACCACCGCGTCGTGCGCGTCCGAGCCCCCGGCTGCGCGGGGCGCTAGACCGGCCTCAACCTCCTTGCGCGCCGAGTCAGAGAGCAGGTAATACGGGCTGCGAACGGCAAGTGAGATAGCTTGAGGGTACGGGGTGATTCGCGTACCGGTTGAGGCCGAACTTGTGCAGGGCGGCCGTCACGGCGCCGATGCTAGTCCAGAGCTCGCGTCCAGGACCGTCGGAGCGCACGTCAAAACACATGGAGCGCAGGCGCTCCGTTAGAGAATCTGTTGATTCCTTGCTGGTATTGCTACAGAATCTGAAGGGGATACCGGCATCCCGCAACCGCTGTAGGGCTTTCACCGCAGAAGGGGTGGGGTTGGAGCCTATGTGCAGCGTCCCAGATAGGTCAATCAGAAGGGCACGGATCATGGGACGATTCCCAGGTCGGGCGCTGGGTGCGGCCATAGCGATACAAATGCGGGATCAGGAGGGACAGATAGTACACAAAAGATGTGGGCTCCCGTGGGCTATGCAGGTCGCCCGGTTAAATCGGAAGCTCTCGGCTGAAGGCGAGCGTGAGAGGCGAGTCCGTAGTGTGGACGTAGACGAGGATCGACGCTCTGGTTAAGGAAGATCAACTGTGATCGTCAGTCGATCCTCGTTGTCACACGCAGCGTCATCGCGTGACACCGTGATGGTCACAGTTGAAGTTCAGCGGCGATAGGGCGGCCAAGCGACATGGAGACCGTGGAACAAGTCATAGCCAGCTGAAGTGACCACGTAAGAGACGACCTTCGCCTCTGTCATATCAGTCAAGCATGGCAGGGGTCGCCTTCAAAGCGCCTGCCATCGCACGTACAAATAGTATACATACACACGCAACACAACGAAGCTCAGCCGCAGGCCACTTCAAGGCCTCATCTTGATGTTGCTGACAATCAATTGCTGCAAAGTTTCATGAGCGTCTTATCTCTCAACACGAAATCGGACCCTCCAAACCTTGTAACTCTGCACATCGCCCATGAACTTCGTCACGGTGCCATCGCCGCACACCCAGAGCTGTGTTCATAATGTCAGTGATGCAGACCCGGAGGTACAAGACGCCATCAAACGCACCTCTTTTGCGACCTTGGTGATGAAGCGCTCGTCGTGGGAGATGATGATTACGCCGCCGTTCCAGCTAAACAATGCATCCATCAGGGCATCAAGACCCTGGTACGCAGCAAGTCAGTGTCAGAAAGCGATAGCGGCGGTCACCCGAGGATCAGAGCGCACCTCGATATCGAGGTGGTTAGTCGGCTCATCAAGCAAGAGGACGTGCGGCTGTTGCAAAGAGAGCAGTGCGAATGCGACGCGCGACTTTTGACCTCCGGAAAGCGTGCCGATGAGTTGCAAGCTACACGCCAAGGTCAGTGGCTCGAAACAATCCGTTCACTTACTCTCGACGCACCCGGTCATCCCACTGATTTGGAAATTCCCGAGGTGTTGACGGTACTCCTGCTCGGTCTTCCCAGGGAAGCGCGACGCAAGGAATTGCACAGGCGTCATGGTCGGCACCAGCGTGTCAACATGATGCTGCGCGAAGTAGCCGCTGCATAACACGGATTTTAGCCGCCACCTCGCGTTCTACGCGAAAACAGCACTCACATCCTCAACCGCCCGTTCCGTGTTACATGTCCACCGAGCGGGTTCAGCTCGCCTGTGAGGAGCTTAATCCTGTGCGAGGTGAACACAGTTAGGGTCAGCAACAGAATGGCGCGACAGGCCGAAGACGAGGGAATACGCACAAAGTGGATTTACCGGCACCGTTGGCACCGACAATGGCGACTCGACTGTCCAGCCCGACGTCGAAGTTGACGTTCTTGAGGACGAGCTTGTCCGGGGTGTACCCGAAGGTAATCTCGTTGGCTTGCAACAACGGTGGCGAGATCTTCTCGGTCTCGGGGAACCTGAACTTCTCGGTTTCTTCCTCTTCCGGTGGGTGCAGTTCGGGGAGCTATGTGGCGTCAGCAAGACACGGTGTGGCACCAGAAACGATGACCCAACCTTTTCCAAAATCTTGATCTTCGACTGTGCTTGCGCGGCTAGAGAAAAAAGACAATTCAGCACTTCGCAAACTCACTAGGAGCGACGCAACATACCCCGGTTTGCATTGTACCTCCAACGATCAATGAAGGCCTGCAGATGCCGGCGGTACTCCATCTGCGTCTCGTACTCCTTCTTGAGGTTCCGGTCGCGCTCTGACTTCGTGGAGTAGAATTGCGTGAAGTTGCTGAACGAGTTGAGCGTAAGTGACGAAATCCACAATGTAAGCAGAGAAGCCCATTGTGGACAGGTAGAACGTACCCCTTGTAGTAATCGAGACGCTCGGAATGTTGGTGGATGATGTCTGTTGCCACGGCGTCGCTGGAAGAGGGCTATTAGGCCCCAAACCATGCCAGCATGGAGGTGCATGTACGCACAGGAAAGCACGGTCGTGAGAGCTGGTGACGAGGGTCAGTGGGGCGGGAGCTAAGAGCGGTCGAGGAAACTGACACGACAAGGATTGTTCCCGGCCATGTTTGCAGGTAATCTTCGAGCCATGCCAAGGCGTTGAGATCGACTACGAAAAGGTCAGAAACTGTTTTGGAGACGGAGGAACGTGCAACGCACTGTGATTGGAAGGCTCATCGAGAAGTAGAAGGGCGGGCTACCAAGCAAGCCTTTCGTCAGCTTCCGCGCAGAATCCTGCAAGCCTTTTACACTCACCTTCACGAACAGCGCTCTCGCCAACGCCAATCGCATACTGGGCACCCCATCAGCCTCACTTCCTCGAATCCCTCAAAAGAGGCCACTCACCGCCAACCACCACTGAACGACTTCGTCGGCCTCTGCTGGTCTGCCTCACTGAAGCCCAGTCCCGCTAGCAAGGACGCTGCCCTCGCTGGCCCGCTCTCCGCCTCCATATCCGAGAGCCTTGCGTGCACGTCCGCGAGGCGGGCAGAGGCTTCCTCCCGCGCGTCCTCGAACCGCTTGTCGTCGCCCTCCTTGTCGAGCTCCGAGAGGCGCGCGTTAAGATCGGCCTCCTCGCGGAGGAGGGAGTCGCGCCAGACGTCGGCTTTGAGGACGGATTCGAGCGCGGTTGTGTCGTCGCCGACGATCTGAAGGGGGTGAGGTTTAGTAGATGACACAAAGGAAGGCGCGGCGACGAAAAGGGTACAATTGCGATCAAAAAGATTGCCGGATTGCGAGCATCGAGCGTTATTCGCCCTCAGTAGACTCCGAGCTCAGTCATACTGCGTGCATGATATGCCGGTGCAGTACGCATTACAGCGATGGGGCGCAGTACTGGAATCCACGAAGCGCTGAGGCAATATCCTGATCTGGATGTCCGTCGATCTTGCAACCATTTTGATCGCAAGATCATAGAGGAAGAATGCACGAACCTCTTGCTCAACAAAGAGGATAGTAATATGGGCAGGAATGGGAACTTCGCGGAGGGCGATGTGGCGCAGGAGGGTGGATTTACCAACACCATTACGACCAATGAGACCGTACCGGCGACCATATGCCAATGTCAAGCTCGCGCCAGACCTGCGTATATCGTGAGCACACCGGGAAGGAAATCAATCGGAAGGCTGCGTACAAAATACGATTTGACCCGAAGTTGACATCGATGGAAGGCAAGTGAATATCCTTGCTCTTGTTCTTTCCGGCATTGCTGGCTTCCAAGGAATTGATCTGGTAGCAATCGTCAGAAATATATCTTCTGGCAGAGAGATGTGCAGCGTACCTTCATGAACATCTCTTCGTACGTTTGCTAAAGCGCGCAGTCAGTGAGGGAAGAAGTATGTGGGCGATGTTGTTCTGTACCTGCTTCTTGTGGCTATCGAGCAACTTGGAGCCTTCGTAAAGATCGCGACGAGCGCGTTTCTCAATTTTGGCCTAGATAACATGTTCAGCAATGATGTTAGAAGGGAAGAGTCGGGCGACGCACTCTGAGCTTCGCCTCCTGCTTCTCGAGCTTCTTGACATCGACCCGAGACGCTCTGCGCATCCTCAGCAAGTCACCGAGAAGTACAGTCATGTATACTCACTTGCCCTTGTTGATAGACTCCAAATCCACACCCTGACCGAGACCGATGGTCGAAGACATCTGCGTCTTGCTCATATCCAGCACCTTGTCCAGCTTCTTCGGTCCTTTCCTATTATTCATCCTCGCCTGCAACTGATCCTCGAGCAGATCGGCGAGCTTGGCCATGAGCTTCTCCAGGACCTCGATCTTGTTGCCGGCAACTGAGGCGAGGATGTCGCGCGCCACCTGAAGGACATCTTCCTCTTCCCCCGCATCGTCGATCAGGTAGCCGGCGAGGTACTGGACGATGACCTCTTCAGTACCGGGGAAGCTGGCACGGATCTCTTCGGCTATGTCTTCGGAGGACATGATGACTGAAGACGAGGGAAAGGAAGAATATGTTACGAGACCTGCTTGCCAGCCAGGCTCAAGGCCAGGCTGCCTTACATTGAAGCACGATCATACGTCCAAGCGGTCGATCAAAAGCTATCTCCGGATGTCGAACAGTCGGTTGTTCACAATCCCTCCTCGACATCGTCTTTTTCCTTTCGGAAAATTTAGACGTGGTCATCTGTATATACCCGTCTGCGTCCCCAGATACTAGCTTTTGTTTCCCTGTCAGTGTGATGCCTTGGACAGCGCTCATACACGTGCGGCCCCGGCAATGTCCGTCAGCACAGCCACATCATTCGACCAGCGAGTCTTCAGCGCTTCAGCTGTTACACCATAGTCTAAATTGCTCAAAGTATTCCGGAGCGTATCTTTAAGTCATGCTCTATCTTCTTTCAGCAACTGACATTGATGCAAGCGCTTGTCTGTGCATATGGCCCGTGGAACGGCCCTGTTCATTTCCGTCTTCGGCGATGGACTGAATCCCTTCACCTACGGCCCCCCAACTGCTTCCTGCTCTTCACCCATCGCTCGACTCTCACTCCCCCCATCTTCTGGGTGTTCTTCCTGCTTTCTATCCTTGAAAGTTTCGCGCGGATCAGTTATAGCAACAGAACATAACGCGAGGATGGGCGCGGGAGGACGGGCGAGCGCGAATGCGCGTATCCCAGGTGCGTGGCTACGCTATACTCCACGGCGAGTACTAACTTACAATACAGGACTACTATAGCAAACAAAAGGGATAGCGCGGTCAAGGCTTCGCAGTCGCAATGTTGTGGAAGAAGCGTGGGGGCGATCACGGCTCACCCTCCCATCCCTTCACTACCCCTCCGTATTTTAGTTCCCCTTGATGCGTCCGGATGTGTCCTCGACGCGCGAGAGGCTGATCGCCCCCGCGCGATCTGAGGTTTCGCCGCCCTGTTCGTCGTAATCCTAATCCCCTCCTATCCTACGCGATCTATCGCGAACGCGAGAGGTTCCGCGTTCCGTGTCCCTCATGCACCTGGCTGATCACCTACCCTGACCCTACCTTTCTCCCCCTTCCCCTCGCGACGCGTAGAGCGCGTGTACTACGCATCAAACCCCTCCTTCTCCCTAGCTCGCGCGCTTCGCCTCCCTGTCTCATTCCTCGCACATCCGTCGATCGTGGGACGGTCGATTAGGAGCCGTATAGCGTGCGCTAGGGCAGTCGAGGGTAATCAAGTAGGGGAGGTTGGGGGGGGAGGAGGTGCAGTGTGTCCATTTAAGAAGTCCTCACGCGTCGAGCGCGCGTCCGGACGCGTCGCGGCGAGGAACAAGAGGATCTTGGTGAGAGAAAGGCTAGTGTGGGCCGTATGCCGAGCGCTAGGATGGACGTGCGGAGGGGGAAGGTGGTGGAACTCGCCGAAAAATCAATGTTTTCGCTCTGGTTGCATCAGTCGGCACATGTCACGATCGCCGGCTGGGTTGCATGCATACAAGGAGGTGCAGCTTTGGCAGGTCTCGTATATGCCCGAGGGCTACTTAAACCGTAGGAAATGGTCACCGCAAGTCAATGTCAGAGCCAGCTCAGGAGGATCTCGTAATTGATCGAGGCGCGCTACCGGGCCGTTGATCCCGGAGAGACACGTGCTAAACGCGTGCGAAAATCAGCATTGCAGTGAAGCTTTTTGTTGCTTCTTTGTGGCACTCATCTGGCCCAGAAATTCGAGGGCAACTGTCGTACGGCGCGGTGTCAAAGTCTATGCAAAGACTTCTGGCCAGTACCGGGACATACGCTTCACGTTTCCTGAATCCGTGTCACCGTCACGTGCTGTCGCGTCTGAACGCGTGTCACGGGGCAATCAACATCTTGCAAACAACGACCATCTCCCCACCGCGCCACCGTGCGTACACATCTTTCTCGCGCGCCATGAGCTCGGACGACGGCGAAAACTTTGACCTCGACGACGTATCCGGGTCGGACTCGGACGGCTACGCGCCTGCCCCAAAGAAGGTGCGTGCTCGACGACGCGGCCAGGAGCAAAACTGACGTTGGCGAACAGAAAGCCGCACCCAAAGCCAAGGCACCCGCGAAGCCACGAGCACCTGCGAAGCCCAAGTCTACTGCCGCGAAGCCTGCGGCCAAGGGCGCTGCGAAGGGGAAGAAGAAGGTGCTAGCGGAACGCGACGACAATGCGGAGGACGAGAGTGACATCGACGTGGTCATGGCCGATCCAGATGAGGTCAACGACGCGGATGGTGTAGATCCGACATCCTCAAAGAAGAACAAGTCTGCCTCAGAGACCTACCAGAAGGTGTGTGTCGCTACCGTGAACGCTCACCCCATTGCTGACCGTGTTTCCCTTGTCAGCTTACCCAACTGGAGCATATCCTAAAGCGACCAGACTCGTACATTGGCAGTGTGGAGACAATTCAACAACCCATGTGGACTTACGATGCTGAGAAGAAGCGCATGGTGCATCGTACCGTCAAGTACGTGCCCGGCTTCTTCAAGATTGTAGACGAAATCCTCGTCAACGCGGCGGATAACAAGGTACGCGAGCGTCTACACCTTGCCCGCCATCGTCTAACACACCTGTCAGATCAACGACCCCTCCATGGACACCATCAAGGTCAGCTACGACCTCGACGAGAACACCATCTCTGTGTACAACAACGGCAAGGGTATCCCCATCGAGATGCACTCGCGAGAGAAGATGTACATCCCTGAGCTCATCTTCGGCCACCTTCTCTCTTCCTCCAACTACGATGACGACGAGAAGAAGCTGACCGGTGGCCGTAACGGCTACGGAGCGAAGCTCGCCAACATCTACTCGCACGAGTTCACCGTCGAGACCGCGGACAAGAACACGAAGCAGAAGTACAAGCAGACGTGGACGGACAACATGAGCAAGTGCGGGAAGCCGAAGATCACGAGCAACGGGAAGGGCGAGGAGTACACGCGCGTTACCTTCCGCCCCGACCTGAAGCGCTTCGGCATGGACCGCATCGACGAAGACACAGCGAGCCTGCTCCAGCGCCGCGTGTACGATCTTGCGGGCACGGTCAAAGACGTCAAGGTGTTCTTGAACGACGAGCGCTTGAAGATCAAGAACTTCAAGCAGTACGTCGAGATGTACATCAACTCGGCGCAGGCGGAGGCGAGCGAGGTGTCAGGCGGCGCCGCGCAGACGAAGCCGACCATCGTGCACGAGATCTTGGGCAAGCGGTGGGAGGTCGCCTTCACCGTGTCCGAGGGCACGTTCCAGCAGGTCTCGTTCGCGAACTCCATCGCGACTATCAAGGGTGGCACGCACGTCAACCTCATCGCGGACCAGATTGCGAAGAACCTGCTCGCGTCGATCAACAAGAAGAACAAGGCCGCGACGGTGAAGGCGCCGCAGATCAAGAACCATATGTGGATCTTCGTCAACGCGCTCATCGAGAACCCGACGTTCGACTCGCAAACGAAGGAGACGTTGACGTTGCCCGCGTCGAAGTTCGGTACTAAGCCCGTGCTCTCGGAGGATTTCATGAAGAAAGGTATGGTCCATGGTGCTCCGTACGCATATATTTGCTGACCTTTGTTCAGTTCAGAAGTCCCCGCTTGTCGAGAACATCCTGAACTGGGCCAAGTTCAAGGCCGACCAGCAGATCAAGAAGACCGATGGTAGCAAGCGCAGCCGGTAATGTCTTACCGTCATACCGTCTTCCTCGCTTTTCTAACCCTATCTCAGCCTTACTGGCCTCCCCAAGCTCTCCGATGCCAACAACGCCGGCACGAAGTACGCGAAGGACTGCACCCTCATCCTCACGGAAGGAGACTCCGCCAAGGCGCTCGCCATTGCCGGACTCGGCGTCGTCGGTCGCGACAACTACGGTGTCTTCCCCCTGCGCGGCAAGCTGCTCAACGTCCGCGAAGCCCGGCACGACCAGATCATGAAGAACGAGGAGATTCAGAACATCAAGAAGATTCTGGGCTTGCAGCACAACAAGGACTACACGGACATCGCGAGCTTGCGCTATGGCAAGTTGATGATCATGACGGATCAGGTGAGTCTGAGTGGGGTTGGTAGGCGAGCGAGGGCTAACAAGATTCCTAGGATCACGATGGGTCGCATATCAAGGGTCTTATTCTAAACTTCCTCGATCACTTCTATCCGTCGTTGCTCAAGCTTGACCCGGCGTTCTTGCTGGAGTTCATCACGCCTATCGTTCGTGTCACGAAGGGCAACCAGCGCAAGGACTTCTTCACGCTGCCGGAGTACGAGAGGTGGCTGGAGACGACACCGGACGCGCGCAAGTGGTCGGCGAAGTACTACAAGGTCAGTATTTGACTCTTAACCTGCGCTGCCAGAGACTGATAGGTTCGCAAGGGTCTGGGTACGAGCAAGGACTCGGACGCCCGTGACTACTTCAGCCACACGGAGAAGCACGTCATCCCCTTCGCGCAGACGCAGGAGGGCGACCGCGAACTTATTGACCTGGCCTTCAGTAAGAAGAAGGCGGACGACCGTAAGGAGTGGCTTCGGACTTGCAAGGTATGTCGACTGACATATATAGAGGTCCGGTGTGCTGACGACTGTCTAGCCGGGTACCTTCTTGAACCACGATGTCGACGAGATCCCGATCTCCGACTTCATCAACAAGGAGCTCATCCTGTTCTCGATGGCGGATAACATCCGTTCCATCCCTTCCGTCGCAGACGGGTTGAAGCCCGGTCAGCGCAAGATCATCTGGGGCTGCTTCAAGCGCAAGCTCAAGAAGGAGATCAAGGTATGTCGTTTGCGCAATGAGCGTATGTAATCAATACTCATCCCCATCTCAGGTCGCCCAACTCGTCGGTTACGTCTCTGAGCACGCCGCCTACCACCACGGTGAACAGTCTCTGACAATGACAATCGTCAACTTGGCGCAGGACTACGTCGGCAGCAACAACATCAACCTGCTCATGCCGAACGGTCAGTACGGTACGCGCGACCAGGGTGGCAAGGACCACGCCGCGGCTAGGTACATCTTCACCGAGCTGTCGCCGTTGACGCGGTCGCTGTTCAACACCGCGGACGAGCCGTTGCTCAAGCAGCAGAAGGAAGACAACCAGCCGGTAGAGCCCGAGTACTACATGCCCATCATTCCTATGGTGCTTGTCAATGGCGCGGATGGTATCGGCACAGGTAGGTCCTTATGTGCATTCACCGCCCTATTGCTAATCCTCGCATTAGGTTGGAGCACAAGCATCCCGTCGTACAACCCCACAGACATCGTCGCGAACATCCGCCGTCTGATGGACGGGGAGGAACAGGTTCCCATGTTCCCCTGGTGGCGCGGCTTCAACGGCGAGATCAAGTCGACCGGGAAGAATAAGTACGACGTGACGGGTATCGCGCGCAAGCTCAACGACACGCAAGTTGAGATCACTGAGCTGCCGATCCACAAGTGGACGCAGAACTTCAAGGCGGAGCTCGAGACGATGATGGTGTCGGAGAAGGGCGAGGCGCCGGTGAAGGCAAGTTGTTCAACCCGCGTGCGTCAGGTCGTGGTAAGCTGACCATCTTGTAGACCTACACCGAGCACCACGACAACACGAACGTGCACTTCATCATCACGATGAGCGCGACCGAGCTCAAGAAGGCCGAGGAGCAGGGCTTCGTCGAGTACTTCAAGCTCACGAGCAAGATTAGCACCGCGAACATGATCGCCTTCAACTTCGACGGCAAGATCACGAAGTACGACTCGCCGGAGGAGATCGTGGAGGAGTTCTACCCGCAGCGTTTGATGTACTACCAGAAGCGCAAGGTACGCTGAATCGTCTGTCTGGATCCCGACGCAGAAGTTGACGCCTTGCGCAGGACTACCTTGCCGATGAGCTTCAAGTCCAGCTGTCCCGCTTGAACAACCAAGCCCGCTTCATCCAGATGATCGTCGATAGACAGCTCATCGTGTCCAACCGCAAGAAGGTCGACATCGTCGCCGACTTGCGCAAGCATGACTTCCGGCCATTCCCGAAGATCGCGAAGGCGAAGGAGGCAGGCGAGGACGAGCCGACTGTCGAGCAGGAAGAGGAAGAGGAGGAGGACATCGACGACGATAAGAACGCGTACGACTACCTCCTGAACATGGCCATCCACAGCTTGACGCGCGAGAAGGCACGTACGGCGCGACGCTGATGTTGGGCGGCGATACTGACAGTTACTGCAGATCGAGAGGCTACGCAAGCAGAGCCAGGACAAGGAGGAGGAGCTTAACACGCTCCTCGCCAAGTCCCCGAAGCAGATGTGGAACGAGGACCTCGACGATTTCCTCGTGCAGTGGGATGTACGCACATAACGCCGGTATCGAAAACCTCATACTGATACTCTTTTAGGCCTCACTTCGTGAGTGGGATGCCAAGAAGGAGGTGGACAGCAGCGGCAAGAAGGTGAAGCGCGGCAAGAACAAGCCGCTGCTTACCCGCAAGTCCATCGGCGAGAAGCGTGGGCGGAAAGACGACAGTGATGATGACGACTTCAAGCCTACGAAGGCTGCGCCCAAGAAGCGTGCCGCGCCTCAGTCCAAGGCTGCGGGGACGTCAAAACCTAAGGCGGCAGTGAAGAAAGAGGAGAGCGACGACGACGACGATGCCCCTGCCAAACCTCCGCCGAAGCGAGCGCCAGCCAAGAAGGTGATCAAGGACGACTCGGACGATGACTTCGACGTCGTGCCTGCGCCTAAGGCTGCTGCAGCTGCGAAGAAGAAGGCGCCAGCGAAGCGGAAGAGCAGCGACGACAGCGATGTCGAGATGCCACCGCCAAAGAAGGCCCCTCAGCGGCGAGCACCAGCGAAGAAGAAGGTGGTGGACTCCGACGATGATGACGACTCGGACGTAGAGGTTCTGCCGGCGAGCAACGGGAAGGGCAAAGCTAAAGCGCCGCCGAAGCGTAAATCGTGAGTCAGCTCCGCATGTTTGGCTGCGATGTGGACTTACCTTGTTGCTCTAGTCTTGACAGAGACTCCGACGGCGAGGACGACGAAGCACCGCCCGCCAAAAAGAAAGCGCAGACGTCCATGACCGACTTCCTGACCAAACCCGGCGCATCCAAACCGGCGGCGGCGCAGCGCAAGGTCTCGAAGCCCACTGCAAAGCCTCCGTCAAAAGCGAAGAAGGTGATAGAGAGCGATGACGATGACGAGCTGGACATGAGCTTCGATACCCTGCCTGCGCCGCCACCGCGCGCCGCGCCGCCTCGAAGGGGTGCTGCCGCTGCCGCCGCTGCTAAGAAATACGTGGATATTTCGGACGACGAGGATGACGATTAGATACGTTTCGAATCCTTGTTATGCCACTCCGCCTCCCGCTACTTATGCTTACACATGTGCACCGTATGCCTCATATTGTATCGATACCACTGCTTACGACTGGAACGAATGAGCTTCTTTACTGTGCAATTTGTTGCGTGTGTTCGAGCTGAGTTGTCAGCCGACCTCCAGGGTGTCTTTCCATTGGATAGACTTGAGTGCAAGCGAAGGTAAGGCAACAACCATATACTGTCAGTACTGCTCATAATATGTGTCTTCACGAACCCGAAGGCCTGCACCAGGGTATAAGCGTGCGCCTACTATTCTATTCCTCTTACCCGATAGATAAAACGGGGTCCATGATCCATCTCTCCTCCTCTGAACGTGCCTCCTCGTCGATGTACGCGCGGCGCGTATTACTCCTATCGTAACCGTGTATCGCCACATCGGTTCGTCGCAAACGGACGAAGTAATCCTTGCATCCATCCTCGGGGTTGACTACAATTTTTCTCAGCTTCCCGTCAGCGGTGGCGCGAGCATCAATGAGGTGTTCTGTCGCGGCACACGCCTTCTCGGTGTCGATCTTGAACCAGGGCAGAGCGAGCGAGGTCAGATGAGGAAGAAGATCCAGTTTGGTGGCGAGCGTGTGCATAAGGGAGTGCGTTGCCTCATCGTTTGTCCCGAGCGCCAGGTGGGTGAGGGTGCCGCTGTACGTGCTCAGGATATCATCCCAGTCCAACGAGTGGCCGGCGCATTGGAGCACGCAGAGTTCGATTCGTGAGAGGCAGCAGGCCTCGTCGCCTTGTCTGGCCACGAATCGTTTGAGACCTTCGACGTACCCTGGCAGCCCATTCCGGATGACGTCGTATCTACTGTCCTTAAGCTCGACAGCTTGAAGTTTCGGGGCGCGAAGAGCAGGTAGATAGGTCCACGCGCCCTTGCACAAGATCAGTTCGCGCAGGGATGGTAGAACAACCGGTCCGTCCGCGTCAGTGATGACCTTTTCCCCATCAACCAGCGTCAGCGAACATAGCGAATGGCATTGACGCAGAGCGGCGAGGCAATCTCTGAAGTGCTCGCTCACAACTTCTCGGTCGATGTGCAGTCGTAACAGCTGTGACCATGGCAGACGGAGATCTTGGAAGCGGTGCTTTTCGATGCGGACATATCTGAGCGCGGGCGCGTTGGAGAACAAATGGTGGGGCAACTGAGGGAACCCGGCCATGAACTCGGCGGGCCTTTGGGCCAAGCATGTCTCGTTCTCGAGGTACAGGGATCTGAGCTGCGGAAGCGGCAAAGGCGTCTCCAGCTTCATGGTCTCGTGCGGAAAATGTAGGGCTCCTAACCGCACACATTTCCAGCGCGGCGAGCAGGCGACGAGATCATGCATCGCATTCATATCATTGTGGTCGAAAACGGCCAGATAGGGTAGTGGTGATTTCGTTGCCTTTGGTCGCTGTCTTTCGCCGGATAGAAAAATGTTCAGAGGATGTGCCTTCGAGCGCTCGAGACAAAGTCGCAGTGCGTTATACCAGCCATAGTACGCGTGAGGATAGAGTGTGATCGTCGACCAGAGGGGCGCGGCTGCAATGCCAAGATCGCGCCAGCGGTGGCACACCCGCAGCACGGGATGCTGAATGATACACGTGCTGTCTGCTTGGCAAAAGAATGCGTCGAAAATGGCGAGGGAGATGATCATGGTGAGTATCTCGCTTGGGAGACGGCGAATGGGTCCGAGCATAGCGCGCTTGGAATATAAGCTGTCCTCTATCACCTTCCGCTCGGCGTGCAGCCGTTGCAAAGATTGTCGCACATGCAGGATAGCGTTATCGTACGCATCGAGAGAGGCGGTATCGGATGCGATATTCCTTTCAAGTTCGAGTCGTTCGAGCTGGCTGGGGACGTGGGGCGAGCTTGTGACGCATTTGGATATTGCCACTGTGCGAACATACAGACCGGCCTTGCAGGTTGTGCAGAGGCTAGTATGTAGCCTTGTTGCTTTTGTTTTCATTGATTCCATGGACATCAATATCTATGTTCTTCTTGGGTCAGTCGGGAAGCTGGGTAGAGCAAGGAGTGGGGTAATGACCTTCAGAGTATCGCTTCTGCGGCTTTGTGCGCTTTTGCGAAGTCGAGCGATGCAGTTGATGTTCACGACAGGTGAGCGTATGTTGCAAGGAGGTTTTCGCACGGTGTAACGGGGTCGTGATGATGGTCACAATGCTATCACCTGCCTATTTAGGTGGAGTAAAAACAGACCAGGATTGTTGAAAAGCCTTTGTCCCAGACTCCCAGACGTTCATCACGCGTGCGCTGCAATCTCATTCTGAAGCTGCTGCGCGCTCCTTCGCTGCAGAGACGACATTCAAAAAGCCTCTCACCTTCCCTTAATCCTCCGGAAGATCGTCTCTATATCTCGGCCTCTGCTCTGGTCCAAACGTCGGTCCATACCCATCAGGTGAGTAAACTGTTTCTCACTATCACGATAGCATACATATTTTGCGATTCATAGAGATGCACGCGACCACAACTAAGCTGCACACATGTCTCTGCACGACTTGCAAAGCATGCGTTCATGCGCGCACAGCGGCAATTCCCAAGACTGTCACAAGCTCTGCCCACATCCTTACTCAACACGAGAAATCTGAGTTTGAACGCAAATCCAAATCTGACATCGCTTCTCTGGTCGCGTATGACGACGCTATCCTGCATATGCAGCAGATTCTCGAACGACTGAACACCGATCGACAAACGCTACAGGACAGCATGGACTCAAAACGCGCCATGATCGGTCCTATTCGCCGGCTGCCCAACGAGGTTCTCGCTATGATCATCTCCTTCACCGTCCTCGGCACGTTCTCTCGCCACCCGGACAGCACGTACATTGCACATCACCTGGTGCTGCAGGTCTGCCGACACTGGCGCGACCTTGGGATCGCAACCCCGCATATCTGGTCGAAGATAACGCTCTTCCCCCGTGTATATGACAATTGGGCCACCATATTGCAACTGTGTCTCGAGCGCTCCAAGGCGCACTCCCTCCAGGTACACCTGAGCAGCGATAGAACCGCGCCGTCCAATCCTGCACGAAAATCGAGAGAACGATGGCGACAGTCTCTGCATACGGATGAAATGGACGCAATCGACGTTCTCTTCAAACAATCGGCACGGTGGAAATACGCGCGACTGGGCGGTATCATCCTTTCCGACGACGGCCTGATCGAAGAGATACCGTTGGAGCTGCCTCTGCTCACCTCTCTGTACCTCGAGAAACCAGACTGGTTTGGGAATTACTCCAGGTGTCTCCCCGGAAAGACGTTTTTCAATGCTCCAGCACTCAAATATGCACGCATCGAGAATCACAGATTCGAGAACCTCTGCCTGCAATGGGGTCAGCTCACTCGCCTGCACATCGTTATCCGCGACATGGAGGAAAACGCGGAACACGTACTCTCAGCCCTGCGCCAATGCGGATTACTCTATTCGCTGACGTTTGGTGCCCGACTGGCTGGCATCACAGATACGACCCCGCCAGTTGTCCTGCCCCTTCTACGGGATCTAATCCTAAAACGATATGGTCAATCCATCCTCCCTGCTCTTCGTGCGCCAGCCCTTCGAGAGATTGCATTCAACCCCGACGGCTTCAGCTATGGCGACGAGGGCGTGCTGGAGCCCATTGAGGCGCTCAAGCACTTCGGAAAGGATACCATCCAACACGGCACAGATATGCCCTCTATCTCGCGAGTCGAGGTTCCAGTGTACATGAGTCACGCACTCAACTGGGCAGAGATCTTTGAATGCTACCCCGGCGTCACGCACCTGCAGCTTGCGGATTGGTGCAATGGCGGTTCCGGGAAAGCCTGTTTGAGCCGTTTCGTTCGAGGCAGTCGAATACCATGCAGCAATATCGGGCTAGTTGCCTGCTTTGAAGACAATAGACGACTGCATCAAAGGCCTGTAAAAACGATGTGATTCCAATATCCAGGATTACTGACATCCTAGCGTAGGTCGAGCGAATCGAGGACTGACTGGCGAAATGGCGTGGAGTGGCAGGGCGTCTCACCGTCACCAACAAGTCATCAATGACTCGTGTTTCGCTGTCGATGCGGCGGAGGCGCATTATGTCAATTGTGGAACTTATTGAGACTCTTGAGGTTGGGACGGCGACGGAGCCGGTGACCGTGGGCCTTCGATGTAAGCAATCCAATATGAAGCGAAGGTCCGGGAGCCAATAGGCTTCTAAATGCTAAGCCCATTTCCTGAGTAGTTCGAGTGGTCGCACCCTTTAGCAATCAAGATGAGACTGCGAAAGTCTTGGGGGTGACAAGGAGCGCAGAAACCAGGCCGAACAAAGGTTGCCTAATTTGGCCAACCCCGGATGCTGACTAAGCATATACGGCTTGTCTTCAACGACCATCTCCCCGCGCCTTTATAATCCCATTTCTTCCCCCACTCGAATCTTGTGTTCCGTGAGTCGAATCTTACGGATCCTCCCTCGTACAGAGTGATCCCTCTCCTCCGTCCTACCTGTCTCTGTCTTAAAGCCGGATCGAGTGCGATCGAGGCGGGGTGATCAGCATCATCATCATTCATCACGATTAGATAAAACGTCTGACGTACTCTGCCCTGCCGAGTGCTCCCAGGTGCTCCCCTGTCCTCGCCCCTTCTCTTCTTACCACCTCATCCAGCACTCTCATATCCAAACTTCAAGTATTCGGCGTCGAAGAGACACCACCGCTTCACGAGCAACGACTCCGGATATCGCACTCGCGCCCACTCAACAGCATCTCCTCGGGGTCATCTGAGCGCTTCGGCGAGCGCGCTCCATCGACATCACCAGCATAGACATACAATAGCACTTGAGTCAAGCAGATAGACCTGCAAGACACGCTTGCCGACCATGATGGGGTTCTTCACCAGCACGGCGTCGCATATCAAAGGAGCCAAGTCGGAGGACAAGGCCCCCGAGGATACTGAGCCCGATGACACGTCGATTCTGTGCGTCTACCATCGCAGAGACGGCGTCCTGGTCACTGACGACCCGGAGCAGTGACGAGAACGAAGGTTCCATCATCATGTCGCTCATTTCGCAGCTGAGGTACGTCTTTCGGGGCGTCTCACAGCTCCCACCCCGCTGATCACCCCTCACCAGAGTCGGGATGGATCTGTCGCGTGTGACGTTCCCAACCTTCGTCCTCGAGCCGCGCAGCATGCTCGAGCGCATCACTGACTTTATGTCCCACCCCGATCTCATCTTCGGGTGCGTGGCGAGGCAGGCTGCACGCTATCCTCACCGCTGACGCGCGCGTCTTCCCCCGCAGCGCGGACAAGTGCGATGACCCGGAGGAGCGTTTCCTGCGCGTCCTTCAGTACTACCTGGCCGGATGGCACATCAAGCCCAAGGGCGTCAAGAAGCCGTACGTGTCCTCCCTCCTCGTTTGCGGCGCGTGAAGTGAACATGCGCAGATACAACCCCGTCCTCGGCGAATTCTTCCGATGTCGATACGACTACTCGAACGGCACGCAGGGCTTCTACATTGCCGAGCAAGGTGAGAGACGCGCGCTTGCACGGCTATCCCGGCGCTCACAGTCATACACAATCAGTCTCGCATCATCCGCCCATCTCTGCGTTCTACTACACATCACCCGAGAACCATGTCAGCGTAATCGGGGAGCTGCGACCAAAGTCACGGTTCTTGGGCAACAGCGTGTCGACGCAGATGGATGGCGAGAACCGTGTCATCCTTCACGGCGCGCCAGGGGATGGCGGTGCGTATTGCTACCTCGCTGGGGCACGGCTTTCTCATACAGGCATACAGACTATGTGATCACGATGCCGAACATGTACGCCCGGGGGATCTTGTTCGGCAAGATGGTCCTCGAGCTCGGCGACACCTGCACTGCAACGAACGAGAACAATGACATCCACTGCGACCTGGAGTTCAAGACCAAGGTCTGTTTTCTCATAGGCGCGCGCCACAGTTGCGCCAACCCCGTCACAGTTCTGACTGTCCATCCAGGGCTTCTTCTCCGGCACGTACAACGCGATCGCCGGCCGCTTGCGGCACAAAGACAAGGACATCGGCGAAATCACAGGCCGCTGGAGCCACGTTATGGAGTTCAAGGACACGAAGGCAAGCACGAGGCGCGGGCTCGTACGATCATCCCTCGACTGACATCCTCGGCCAGACTGGCAAGAAGCGTGTGCTGTTCGATGCTGTCAAGGATGGGCAGAATGTGGCGCCGAAGTGGGTGGCACCAGAGGACCAGCAGGAGCCGAATGAGTCCAGGAGGTCAGTCACGCGGCGGGAAGGGCGAGCTCGGAAGGCTAACTAGAATGTAGGCTATGGACGGAGCTCACTGCGGCGATCCAGGCGAAGGACATGGAAGCAGCGACAACGGCGAAGGCGAAGGTCGAGGACGCGCAGCGCGAACGGCGGCGACAGCTGGACGAGAGCGGCACCTCGCACGTACCGCGCTTCTTCAAGGAGCACGACGGGCGGTGGGTGCCAAAGACCCTGTACGTGTTCGTTGCGACATCGTTGGAGCTGCTACTGACATTTGGAAGGCTCAACACGGCGAAGGACCCTAAGGAAGCGAAGGCTGAGATCGAGACCTTCATCTTCGCGACAGACATCCCTGCGCACAGCAAGACGTCGTCGGAGGCATGAGTTGCTGGGCCGTCGAGCGTTTTCTTTCAGTCATACGCACTACGATCGCTCACGACCCCAGTCAAATCTGGCGCTTTGGTTCGGTCTCAATCCGATAATTGTGCCACTCTCAAAGCCATGTACAAACAACACCGCCTCCGTGAACACTCCTCCGTACGCACAGGTCCGCTTTGCACCTCGAGGCAACGTTCCCCTCATGACCCTGTAATGTACTCACTACTCTCCGCTCCGCTGCGTTTGGTTCCAATAATATATCTACGAGTCGGGGAGAATAATGAAAGCGTATCAATCTATAGTCGCACTCGAAGGTGCCGGACCTGAAGAAGGAAATATCCCCAAGATAGTCCTTTGCCAGTGGTGGCTTTGTGCCGTGACGCCCGGTGACGTTCGTCACGCTTCGCCTCGAATTCCCATTTTCGGGCTTGCCTTTTCCCCCAAAGGACGTCGCGCGCGGAACAATGGCCAAGAAAAAGAATAAGCAGGTCGGTCCTCTCAACGACCAGTCCGCATGGAAGCTAACTAGTAGCAGATCATCCGGCCATGGTGCTGGTACTGTGAGCGCGAATTTGAGGATGAAAAGGGTGCGCGTCAACGTGTTGTGCACTCGCGCTGTACTTATCCCCCTTCCCCCAGTCCTCATGCAGCACCAGAAGGCGAAGCACTTCAAGTGCAACATGTGCCCCCGTCGACTGAACACCGCCGGCGGTCTCGCCGTCCACATCCAACAAGTGCACAAGTTGGAGCCCGAAAAGTGCGTTTGCTATGCGTCCCCCTACTTCCCCGGCTAATAGCCTCCTACCAGCCTCCCGCGCATCGAGAATGCCATCCCCGGCCGCGATGGCTACGAGGTCGAGATCTTCGGCATGGAGGGCATCCCCGCGCCTGACGTTGCGGACTACAAGCGGCGCAAGGAGATCGAGCTCGGGCTCGCGGCGGGCTCGATCTCGCAGCCGCCGCCGAAGCGCCCGAAGGTGGAGAACCGCGTGCTGACGGAGGCGGAGCTGCAGGCCGCGCTCGCGCAGCACAAGGCGCTGATGGGGCAGAACGCGGACCCGGACGCGCTTGCGAAGGACGGCGCGGCGGGCGGGGTGGTGTATGGCGCGCCCCCGCAGGCGTACTCTGCGCCGCCGACCGCGGCGATCCCGCCCATTCCCCCGAATATGCCCATGCCCCCCTTCCCGCCTGGCGCGACGCCGCCGTTCCCGCCCCCGTTTGCGATGCCGCCTGGGTAGGTCTCTAGCAAATCAACTTGATATGTGTGCTGACATCTTTGTCTAGTGCTGTACCACCTGGCATGCCGCCATTCCCTCCACCACCTGGTATGGTCCCGCCAGGGATATCTCCCGTACCTCCGGGCATCTCGCCACCGCCTGGCATGCCCGTCCCGCCATTCGGGCCACCAGGCGCACCTCTCCCGCCGCCAGGAATGCCGGGCGCTCCGCCGGTACCTCCTGGCGGCTTGATGCGCTTTGCGGCGCCTCCCGCCTTCGTGCCCGCCGGTAAACCTCCCGCTGGACAGAATGGAACACCTACCCCGGGACCGCCACCACCACAAGGACAACAATCCGCACCGACCGTGCCAGCACAGATCCCCAAACCTGAAGTGCTTATCCCGCAGACCAATCCGGATGTCAAGGGTGATCTGAAGTTCAAGGATGCGAATATTTCTGCGGTACGTGGCCTGCTTACTTGTCTCAGTCTATCGCTAATTCGTTTGCCTAGGCCGAGCACCGGGCGTACCATCCGAAATACTACTTCGACAAGGCGACCGCAGGAGAGGATGCGCCGCGCGGTACGAAGCGCGCACGGGCGGAGGACTTCTTGTGATCAGGCGGTCAGCACAGATTCTTGGTGGTTGCGCTCGCTGGTGTTCATCCTTGTACAGGAGATCGAGCCAGCCAGTTCGTCCCTCCTTGCCATGCCTTCTCGTTCTTGACGCGTGCCGCGCTGAACGCTCTCTAGTAACGTGTACAGTCGCCTGCTACAGTATGTCCTCCTTCTCCTCTATTTGACCTAGCTCGCGGGGGGGAATTAATGGGGTCGGTACGTGATCTTCTCTACGTGTTCGCCTGGTCAGTCCTCTTCTTTGTCGTTGTTGTATCACGTACCTCGGTTCTGGAACAAATCCGACTGTTATGTACATGGCCAATGCAATTTGACAAGGGCGGCAGCAATGTAACAATGCAAAAGAACAATGGAAAGATGAAGTCTGGCCAATGTGTGACCACGTGAAGCCAAATTCAACGAGTCACGCTACCGTGACTCGCCATTGCTTGTTTCCCGCCGCCATCAATGCTCTCGTCAACGACGAAGACCGTGAAGCCCTCGCACGGCGGCTCAAACCTCGACTTCTTCTCCAAGTCACGTACGAATGTCACCGTCGCAGCGCGAACGCCCGCTGTCAATGTCAGGCATGTGAAGCGCACAGTTCCGATCCCACCAAAGGCCGGTGCTGTAGCCCCCAACCCCAAACCTCGACAACCCACCACGTCCTCTGCCACGACATCTCCGTCCCCCGCACCTCCACTGAAGAAACGCAAGGCACCCGATGCGAAGCCAGCGCTGCCCAAACAGGTTAAGCGCATTCGCACCGAGCATGGGTACATCAAGAAACGCGTCGCGTCCTCGTCAAGCTCGCGCCGGAGCTCGCCAGAAACGTCCCCCGAACCCATCTACCGCAATAGCAGCAAGTCACGGTCATCGTCCGTACTCCCCCCCGCGGATGACGCTCCCCCGCCCAACCAGAACCGAGAATGGCGCACCGAGATGGACGGAGTGCCGGGGGAATACAACCGGAGCTCGGAGAAAGTGGTGCAGTCCATGGAAAAGGATTACAAGCCTTGTGCGTATCTGAACGGCATACACCAAACCATGAACTGACATATCATCGCGCCCAGATTTCGACGAATTTGGGCAATACCGTGTGGGCTACCCGCGCATTGAGCTTGAGTACCCAAATAATAATGCGACAGAATTGTGCGTTCTGTGCTTTTATCGTGCCCGCGAATACCAATCACTTCTTCAGCTATCTGCCGCTCTATCCCAAGGACCCAGATCACTATAATCCCCTGAAAGATGTGGTAGACTCGCTGCATGTGATCATTGGTGCGCGCCACACTTGCTCGGTTCCCGTCTGTCTAACTTGTAGCAGGCATTCTCGACCCTCAACTGCAAAAATTGTTCGGCACCCTCCCCGAAAATGTCTTCTCAAACCTAGTATCCCCGGAATCATCCCCCAAGTCCGCCCCCGCGTCTGCCTTATCCTCCCCGCCCTCATCGCAAGGGTCCTGCAATAGCTCCCTGACGTCGTTGTCTACTCCCTGTCTGTCCGAGGCAGCTGCCAAGGCACTCGAGAGAGCTAATGACGATGTGCTTAGGTGTATACGGCGAGCGCTTCACACCGAAAATGGCGCTATGTTCATCGAGTTCTTTGAGGAAGCCATGCGCCGGATGCGCGACATCAAGTACCCCATGCTACCCCCGGACATCTTCGCCGACCCGCCGCCCAATGCCTTCCTCCTAGCCATCGACAGGTGGAGAGAGCGCGGCGAGATCCCCTACAAGGTCCTCATGCGCATCCTGGAGGAGAACTACCAGCGCAATGTCGGTCCCTTCGTGCCGCAATTGCGCCAGTACGAGGCATTCTCGAGTAAGGTGTACGGAGAACTCATGCCCTCGCTCGTCTACGAGATGTTGAAGCACACGCGGCTTGACGAGAACTCGCTCTTCCTCGACCTTGGCTGCGGCGTTGGGAACGTCGTCGCTCAGGCGAGCCTGCAGACTGGATGTCGCAGCTACGGCATCGAGTGCATGGAGACGCCGGCGAGGATTGCGTCGAGGATGCTGCCCCAGTTTAAGGCCCGGTGCCGCATGTGGGGCGTCAACGTCGGGGAGATTGAGCTCGAACACGGCGATATGCTCAAGAGCAAGCGCGTGGACGAGCTCATCCCTCAGGCTGACGTGGTATTGGTGAACAACAAGGTCTTCGACGACTGGCGTAAGTCATGCTGGGATCCCTATTCCACGCCTTACTCACTCCCCTTTCTAGTGAATGAGAATCTTCGCCCCAAGTTCCTAGATCTCAAAGAGGGCGCCATCGTTATCTCGCTTAGGCCATTTGTGTCGTCTCTCAACGCCCGCGTTACCGAGCGTAATGTGAGTGTGCTGTGACGTCTCTCCATGAACCCCCGCTTATGTTCCCCAAGGTCGACGACATCAGCACGATCTTCGACGTGACTGAGCGCACCTTTGCGTCAGGGAGCGTCTCCTGGGCGGACACAGGTGGGAGCTACTACGTCCACCGGGTCGACCGCGCAGGTTACAGTGAGATCCGTAAACGCTTCGAAAGCTCGCGCGGCACCCGCTCCACACGGCGGACCCGATGAGGAGACTGGCACCAATACGCGGGTCCTGGTCGTTGCGCTTTCTGAATACAATTGTAGAATCACCTGCTGTTTTGACGCTGCTTACACTTGATCTCGAACAGACTTACTATGCATCGCTCAAATCAGAGACAGTGCCGCACGCACCAAACACATAATTTATCGTTGTCTACAAAGCTTAGCTACCTACCTCTTTTTGTTATTGTGATAACTGCTATTCTCCGTTCTACATGACGCTGGTGGTGATGCCTTAAGATATGCACAAGGCCGTGTGCTGAACGATGTAAGGCAATTGCAATCTACCAGTCCTGCTCAACTTACTGCAGTATAGTACCGCCGAAGACAATAGTAGTCAGGCAGTCTGCAAAGGCGAGATGGTTCTCATAATGGCGGTGTCCACGTCTTTTCTACGCTATCATAGTGTATAGAACCGTACAAGGCCGGGAACGCTATCAGTGTATTGAAGCAGACGCGTTCTGTGCCGACGACAGTCAAAGAAAGCGGACAACAGTTCTTGCATGTCGTGCCACACCTGCGCTTGAAGCGGCCGAGGCTCATTCGCACGTCCAGATAACGAATGGTCTTTATTCTCCCAATCAATGAGAACAGGGTGTCCGTTGTTCTCGTCGACGATGATGTGCGCCTCCTTGATATCGCAGTGGTACGCGTCCCTATCGTGCGCCTCGCGGAGCGTAGTGACGGCTTCGAGAAACTGTCGCGGTGTTGGGGATGACTCTCATCAAAGCGGGAAAGCGCTCACCAGGCCAATATACTGCTCGTAATTCCAGAATTTAGTCGTCAGAGAGCTTGCGTCCAGCGCATCGATCTGAGCCTGAACCTCCTGCAAAGTAGGTCCCACGATGTACTCAAATACCAAGAGGTACGCAACCTCGCCATGTGGCAGAGTGACCTGTGGGCCTCATTGAGTATCACAGAGACTGAGAAGGCTACGATGCTCACGTTGTGCATTCCAAAGAAGTAAGGTATCGTACTCCCCTGAAAGTCGGCAAGCTTTTTGTACGCGGTCGCTTCCTTCATGGCGCGAACCTCCGGGAACACATACAGACCCATTATAATGTCGGCGGAGGTGATGTCATATTCGGGAAGCTGGGTGTAGCTCGGGATTATGAATTTGAACACCAAAGTCACGTCCGGGTCGACGTCGGCGCCAGTTGTCGCCAGCCGTGCCAGCCAGACTTGGGATCGATACCCGTAGTCTGTCTGCAGTGGCTCCACGAGCAAAAACCGTGCGGGTGTACCCAAAGGTACAAAAGGAGGAACGCGGGGACGTGGCTCATTCAGCGGCGGTCTGGCATTGGAGTAACCTGCAACGAGAACGAGCTCGAACTCCATCCCTTGCGATGTTGGTTTGCGGGCATATTCGCACTGCAAATCAAACATGCGGGATTGATATTCAACAACAGAGGCTCGGTCACCGGGTTTGAATGGAAGATGCACCATCTTGAAAATGCAAAGGAGGAAAGAGAACCTGCACGACGATCAGGGTTTGCTGTACTGGGTAGTGAGTGAAGGAGGGCGCGAGAGCTGTCTAGGGTGACAGGAGAACAAACACGCTTAGCGGATTGTAGCAGCTCTCTCGAGGACTTCAAATACGATGATGGTCGCAGGACGAGTCTGACAAGCATGGAGGCCTCGTTCCCGGGTTTTGCCGCCGCCTTTTATTGTTCCTAATCAGGAAATGTTCGGTGATCGCCGAATCCCAACGGCTGCAACCTTAAAAGCCCACACTACCTGGATTAGACCTCCATCTCTGCCTTTACCCCGCTTCATCCCTCACCACGCCACTTAAATTCATCTTGCTCTGTGCATCACACTCCTCGACACTTCTCTCGGTTTACTGCCGCTGTACTCATCCGAAGTCGAGGAGCTCGAAGAACTCCAGATAGATCCCAAAAAAGCGCGGGAGATCCTTGCCCTATAGCCCTTCTCGCGAAACAATGGACCAACTCATGCTAGAGGACGTTCGGCTATGCACCAACATTTGTTCCAACTGCAACGCTTGTGTATTCGCGCGTACCTATACTGTCCCCGCGCGCCTTACATCGTCACCACACATCCCATCACCACAGCAAGTCAGCGCTCTCAGTCAGCACCTCTGGAACGACGACGTCTCTCTCGCCAATCACACTGCCGCCATCAGGCGCACGCATCAGATGCTTGACCACCTCTATTTTAACCGCTTGGTCTTGTTGAAGAGTGTCGAAAGCAAACGCGCGATGCTCGCCCCAATCCGCCGCCTTCCGCCAGAAATCCTCACCATGATCATTGCATTCGCCATTGCCGACTCGTTCGCTCAGTATCCCGACAGCACCGTCATTGCGCAGCACCCTGCTCTGCGAGTGTGCCGTCGCTGGCGAGAGCTTGGGCTTGCGGCGCCGCAAATCTGGAAGAAGATCGTGCTATATCCCCTGCACCTCCGGACCTGGCGGGAGACGCTCCTCAGCTGCGTGCAGCGCTCGAAGGACCTTCCTCTGGATATCCGCCTCGTCCGATGCAACGCCGAAATACCTTCCACGCTTGAGCGAGCGTGGAAGGACAGGGCGTCGAACATCGATCCTGGATCGCTTGACGCGGTCGGGGATGCTCTGCTCGCTTGTGCGCCTCGGTGGCGGTGTTTGCAGCTGGGCAACGTCCCTCTGCCGACTAGATTATGTCTTGGGGAAGAGCCTCCGCCTTTGTTGCAGCTCACGTCTCTTGTTCTGGGCGAGTCGCGCTATGGACTTGCGCATGGATTGACCAGCAGAGACACGGGCCGATCCTTGCCTGAGAACTTCTTCCTCAACTGTCCTGCGCTGAAGTATGTGCGCATCGGGGGACCCAAACACAACGGTCTCCACCTGCCTTGGTCACAGCTAGTCAGCCTTCACCTTGACGGATGTCCACTCACCTACGATAAGAGCGCTTGTCTGGACACCTTAAGGCAATGCCTTTCACTTTGCTCTTTGGCCCTCGGCGCGACCACGGACTTCGAGCCTGCTCCAACAGACGCTCCTGTCGTACTCCTGAAGTTGCAAAATCTTACTTTGCTAGGCTCTGCGATCGAAGCTCTTCACCTGTTCAACGGCCCCGAGCTGCAAGCGATATCCCTTGTAATCGACCCATATGAATGGCCAATCGAGGAGGAAGAACTGGAATCCGCGCCTCACTATGAAGCTCTGATGCGATTCGCCTCTTCGGCGCCAGCGACATCTGCGCGCATCACCCGGCTCAGTTTCGAGGTCTATGCATATACTGCGCGGGACCTCAGCTTGAGTAAGCTGGCTCGCGCTTATCCCAATATATCTCATCTGCGATTGGACGACCAAGCAGGAACCACCGCTACTCGCACCCTCGCGAGCTTGGTCAATACTAAACCCGATGCCTGGCCCATGCTGACCTCCCTAGAGCTTCCGGGGCTATCCACTCGAGAGCTCGCAAACAAAGCGCTGATTGCAGAATTCCTGTACGGGCGTGTTCAGTGCCCGTCCGTGAAAGGTGTCAAGCTCGAGGAGATCGAGGTGGATATCTGTTATCCGAATAAAGACAAGTTCTTCATGGAGAATGTGAGGCGCTCGGGAGTGAAGCTGTTTGCACGGCTTCCGAAGGATATGCAGCGTGCATCTGCTTTTGGGATGATCCCTGAAGAGGAGTCGTTCATAATGGACATTGAGCACACCGTGTTGGAGGAGGAGGAGATACAACATGCACAAGAAGACGTGTTCTACGCGAGCAACCCATCCGAGGGCGGTTGAGGTCCAAGCGACTTGTCACTTGTGCACCTACTGCCTGGGGAACACTGTAACATACTGCACCATTTCCAACGGACTTGGATAGACTGCTGTTGTTCTTTCGACGTACCCGTATCTGTGAATTATTGCCCAGGGGAGTACGCCACGAACATAAGCTTCCGAGACAGACATGTACTGTACTTTGCTTCCGCTTTTGACGCCGTCACAAGCAAGTTCAAGCTTACGTCTCTAGATTATTGTTTGAACCGTGAAAGTCTTTTGTCTATGCGCCGTGCTATCAGCTGTTGTTGAACGACAAAGCGCGAGGGCAGCTTGCAGGCAGCTTGTAACTGAATAATCATTGTTCGACCGCTGTTTGCCGTGATGCACGTGTCGCCTCCTGTGTCGCCGGAAATTTCGAACGGAGTTCTTCAGGCTTTCCTCCAACCTTCACCTTTTCTCGGTGGCGAGAGCAATCCGCTCGCCTCCTCCTTATACCCTCCGACGTGGAGCCATATCCATAAACTTCCGCATCCCCGCCGCTCAACTCTTGCGCTCGGTTATAGCGCCCTAGCAGCCGATATCACCCTCCCAAGCCTTTCGCAATGGCCATGCACTCGCGCGACGCGCTTCCGCGCCTCAACATCGGCCCACCACCCTCGCTACAGATGCAGCAGCCCATGTCGTTCAACCAGGGCCAGATGTACTCTCCGGCCCTCCCGACATCGCTCCAGCAGAGCTTTCATCCGCCGTTTCCCATGCACACCCCCATGCAGCAGCAATTTGGCTACCCAATGCCCCCACCGTCCGCCCCCGGGCGCCCGAGTCATCACGCAGCAGCAGCGAGCGTAGCGCATCTCGCGGCTATGGGCATCCACCCGCCGAACGGGCCCCCGATCATCACCCCAGTCGGCGGCCACTTTCCCCGCGGCTCAGTCATGCTGGGCCCGCCCGGGATGCCTCCGCCGTTCGTCGGCCACAAACGGCGGAACATGAGCATCGGTGGACCGCCCAAGGCCGTGTTGGGAGGTCCGCAGCGAAAGACGAGCCCGCTACCGCCGGGTACTTCGGTTGCATCGACGTCGGCAGCGCCGGTGAAAGCGAAGAAGACGGTGGTCAACCTGCCCAAGGAGACTATCCCAGGCGAAGACGGCGCTCCACCGACGCGACCATCATGGGCGCGCGCACCCTTAGACGCTCCTTTCGAGTACAAAGACGTCCCGGTACCCGCTGCCGAGATGACATCTGCGGCGCTATTTCCCCCAGATGCATATAGATACGCGATGCCGCCAACAATCGACGTCTTCTTGCCCGGCAAGGTGAGTTGCTACATTATCTCCAGTGGCTACGCGTTCTTACGTGTCGCAGCAAAACTGGGATAGGCTCAAGCAGATGGCGATAGAGGAGAAGCTGCAGAAGCTTGGTGTGGAACGAGGCTCGGGAAGTGACGTCCCGCACATCTTCGCCCCTCACGCTCGCGCTGCCTCGGTGAGTGATACCCATGGCTACCCAGCAACTCCCACGCTCATCATACGTATCAACGCAGATATCATCACCAGCAGACCCTGCACTCCTGCATTTCAAGCTTCGCAAACTTTGGGATCAGCAGGCGCAGGGCACTTCCGCAACCACTTCTCCCCAGCCCTCCTTCCAGTCGCCGTCCCCCAACCAGGCAGCCGCACCTCCACAGTTGCGACATGGCCACAGCATGTCGCTCGCGCAACCGCCGACCCACACCCAGAACAACGGCTTCAATCCGTTCGGTCCCAACGCCGTCTTGGGCTCTGATCATATCTCCAACCCCTCAGATTCGCCTGCCATGTCTTCTGATGCGCCCAATGGGATTATCGCGCCCCAGGGCCGTGTTCCATTGCAGCCACCGCGGCTCGCACTTCCTCCTTCGACCTCCCGCCCCTCCAGCAAGCCGGATTTCACTCGCGGTTTCGGCTTGGATATACCAGAGGAGACCGAGGAAGAGGAGGAAGCCGAGCGCGAATTCGCGCAGGAGGCGAACGGTGACGCACACCACGAAGGCGAAGCGAATGGTGCTCTGGGTGGCGCTGACTATAGCGGCGCCACGACGGAGGTGGACGTGAAGGAGGAGCGTGATGGCGAAGAGGACGATGTTATTCGGGATGCCCCTACGATTGTGGCGCAGAGCCGGCATCACTCGCGCCATGTGTCGCGGCTGTCGGCGGCGTTGTCGTTACGGTCAGTTGGTGGAGTGGCGGCGGATGGGCTGCAGGACCGGAATGGCCACAATCCCGATGGGAGTCAGGATATGGATGTCGATGATGCGATCGCCGAATGGACTGGGTCGGAGGATGTGTACAATGATGTGTCCAGCTCGGACGACGAGGTAAGGCGGCACGTTGGTCATTCTTCCCGAGTATGACTGATCTATTCACAGAGCATTGGCGAGTGGTCGAACCCGTCCGATGAGGAGAGAGCCCGTCAGCAACGCGCAGAGCGCAGGATACGGCGCCGGGCTGCTCGCCAGCGTGACACGGAGCAACCTCGTCGGATACCGAACTTCCCTCGGCCGCCTGAAAACACCATCGCTCTCGCTCGTCTGGACGACGATGTCATCTCCAACCCAAGCGACGAGGAGGGTGTTGCGAAGCACTACCTCGGTACCAACTACTATGACGCGCCTCGGCCGCTGCCTCCCTTGCCACACTCGCGTGGCCCTTCCAATCACTTGTCGGTGCACGATCCCGCGAACGCGCACTCGAGGCATACGTCGAACGAGCACTTCCAGCCGACGCACTCGCAGAACCCGTCTCAAAGTGGCCGTCGCGAGCTCAACCCCTTCGCGAAGCCCTTCGTGTTCGGCGCGCCCGCCGCGCCTCCATGGGGCACCGAGGGTCTCAATCTCGGGTTGCCGTTGCCTCCGAATGCGCCGTTTATGGGACACTCGCCGCTGCCATCTGTGGGCTCTGCATCCCAGGGCCCTCAGATCGCATCGGCAGAGTCGAAGCCGAAGCTTAACGCTGCCGCGCCGGAGTTCAAGCCTACGCTTAACGTGAAGGCTCCCGAGTTCAAGCCCAGCTTCACGTTCAGGCCTCCCATGGGTGCCCCGCCGCCGCAGACGTTCACTGCACCGGCGGAGCTCCCGCGCCCGTTGCCGGTGCCCCCTGTCATCACGGACGACGCTGGGGAGACACTGTACCCGCAGGGTGGGCCGGCTGCCAAGAAGCAGCGTCGCCAGTCGACGGGTTCGATCGAAGAGGGCGACAGCATGTTGTCGTTCCGCTTCCCGGCTACGCTCGAGTCGCCGATGAGCATCCGTCACGACAAGTCTCCCAGCGTGCTCAGCAAGTCACTCGACCAGGCCGCCGTCGAGCCCATGTCGTTCGCTGCCTTCTCCTCGGCCGCCGCCGCCATGCCGCACATCCCTACTGCTGAGCAGATGGCTCACGACGAGGAAGTTGATCAGCAGCTCGACCAGCTCAAGGAAGAGGACCTCATCCGCCCAGATAGCATCCAAGAGCAGTTCAAGAACTTCTCGTTCCCGCAGAGCGCCTCCAAACCGAAGCGTGCGCCGATCCCGCTCGACTTTAAGCATCCGGTCTCACAGAACACAGTGCCCGCTGGCCTCTTCAAGGCCCTCGGCGAGGAGCGCACGCGCAAGACGGTGCGCTCGCGTCTGAGCTCGCGCGACGTCTTCGAGCACGAGAATCGGCCGTCGCTCGACGACCTCAACGTGCCGCCAATCTCGCGGAAGGTGTCGCGGACCCGGCTGGTCACGGACCCGGGCAACCGCCCGGCGAGTCTGAGCTCATCGGGGTCGGATGTGTTCACGTCTGCCCGCCGGCATTCACGGAGGCGGTCGTCGCTGCCCGACGCGCTGCATGATCGGTCGGGCTCGCAGTCGCCTGTGCCATCCATTTCGTCCGCGATTGAATCGCCCGCGATGGATCTTACGAGCCGCCTGGAGATGCACAGATACGAGGACCGCGTGGCGGCGATGCTGGACGACAAGTTGACGCTCATTCGCAGAGAGATCTCGCGCAGCAACGGCGCATCCATGACTGGGGAATTGGAGGCCAAGATTGAGGAGATGATGTCTCTGTTCCGGCAGCACCTCTCCGACGCGGCGGCGAAGAGCATGATGGACAGCCAGATGGACGCTCGGGGCGATCTGGACTTCGAGATGTTGAAGGACGCGGTGCAGGAGGGCCACCAAGAGTCGTTGAGGATCATGCAGAGGGAGCTGTCGTCGCTGACGCAGAGCCTTGCGCAGGCTCAGGTATCCAATGGCACGACGCAGGACCTCGGCCCTCTGTTGCAGAAGCTCAACGCGAACACCATTCAGGCCGTTGGGCAGGCTGTTGCGCGTATCCCCGCCGAGGTCGCGGAGATGCACAACGTTGCGATGGCGCATGCGAAGAAGACCGCAGCGGAGGACGTCGTTGCGGCACTCAAGCCCGCTCTGGAGAACCTGCGTCAAGAGCCGGTCAACTACGACTTCCTCACCGAGCAGCTGACACAGGCCGTCAAGCCGCACATCACGCAGCTTATCGACCTCGCTTCCGACAAGCGTGAGACCGCGGGCCTCATCGTCGACCGTCTTGTGCCTATTCTCCCCCAGATCGTCGCCCAGCAGCCTGCTATCGACGTCGAGGCCATGACCAGTGCGCTAGTGACCGAAGTTCGCCGTGCTATCGCACCGATAGACGCCTTCGAGATCAAGGAGCAGGTCGCGGACTTGGTGGTCGAGCGCCTTAACGCTCGCCTTGCCACGAGGGACCAGCATATAGATGGCCTCGCCGGCAAGGTCAAGGAGATCGTCACCTCTTCCTTGGCTCCTATTACGCAGGCCACTTCTGTTCTCAGCTCTTTGGCGGAGGGTCAAAGGTCGTTGACGTCGAAGCAGACCGAGCTGACGGCGTCGCAAAAGCATGCCAACGAGCTTGTCTCGCAGCTTCCTCAACAGCTCAAGGCCGCTATGGACGGCTTCGCCGCGACTGTCAAGGAGCTCCAGACGAGGCCCGGCCTCCGCGCCGACCCCGTCTTGCCGGACGAGAATATCCTTGCCATCAAGGCTGCTCTCGACAACATCGCCTCCTCCTCTACCTCCAACGCCACCACCGAAAAGATCCTCGCCCAGCAGCGCGACTTCGCCGAGAAGCTCAACGCGCTCCCTGAGACCTTCGCCTCCGCGACCAACGTCTTGCAAGCCGCGCACGCCGAGTTCGCCCTCACGCGCGAGCAGAACCGGCGCGAGATGGACGACTTGCGCAAGGCTGTTACCGAAGCGCAGGTGCAGGTTGCTAAGGCCCGCGGAGCGCACGGCCAGGTGCGGGTGGAGAAGGACGTCTTGAGCGAGAAGCTTGGCGTTGTGGAGGCCGACCGCAGCAGGTTGCAGGAGCAGGTCAAGAGCTTGCAGGCTTCTGCGACGGCGAAGGCTTCGGAGGCGACGGTGATGGAGGCGCGGAATAAGGAGCTGGAGGATGCGCTCGCGAAGGCATTGGCGCGGTTGCAGACGTCGGATGTCGAGGCCGCTGCCAACAAGGAGCGTATCGAGAAGCTCGAGAAGGCGAACCGCGAGCTTGAGAAGGAGAAGATGGGCATGAAGGCACAGGTGCGTTTTCTTTCCTCGCAGCTGGTGCTTTTCTTATCTGACTTCAATCTAGATCGACTCCCTCGAGATGAAGCACTCCATCGCTGTCCGTGATAAGGACTCGGCGGCTGCCTCCGCCAAGGCGTTGCAGAAGCGTCTCGACGAGGTGCAGTCTCACGACGAACAGTGGGACACCCTTCGCCGCGCCTGCGCCCAGATGACCGAGCTGTCCTCCATGATGGGGCAGACCGACACCCGAGAACTCCAGGAGCTGCGCGAGGTCCGGGATCGTGCGAAGGTCCTCGAAGGCGAGCACGCCGCGCTCAAGAGGCGCTTCAAGGAGCAAGACGGCAAGATGGCGAACGCGGAGAAGATCGCCTTCACCGCACGCCAGAGCCTCACGCAGGCGCAGCAGCGCGCGTCCGAGTGGGAGCGCAGGGCGAAGGAGTACGAGGCGAATCTGGAGCTCACGCGCACGAAGCTCGAGCATGCGGAGCAGACGCATGCGCAACTCGACGCCGACCACTCTGTCGCGAAGTTGCAGCTCGAGGAGCGTGAGGCGGATGATCGTTTGGCCAAGGTGAGCATGGGCAAGGACCCTCCTAGACTGTCGCTGACCCGCATTCAGGACCGCGAGAACAAGATGCGCGAGACCATCTCGGCGCTCGAAGCCAAGGTCCGGCTGTTGCAGTCAGAGCTTCAGGCAGCGGTGCTTAAGGCGGCACAACCGAAGACGAACGGCACGAACGGCGTGAACGGGCACTCCATTCACCGCCCGTCGTCACGCACAAGTACAGTGTACGCCGACAGCCGCGCGGCAACCCCGACGTTGAGCCACGCACCTTCGCCCACACCCGCGCGTGCAAGCATGTACGCGCCTGTACCTAGTCGCTATCCCGGTGTCGGCCAGGGTACACCCAAGAGTCGTTCGTACAAGAACTACAGAATACCCTCGCCGACACCCAGCGTCGTGAGCATCGTCACGCAAGGAGAGGATGGTTGGTGGTCATAGACGCCCTGCCTCCTCCCTTCACTTCTCATCTCCCCACTCCTCTTCGTCCGCTTTCTCTGTGTATCCTTGTCCCACCACCTTATGCATACATATTTCACACCCTATGTTACCGCCGTCCTGTCATTTGCTACACTACCGCTCTGTTCACTAGTTCTTGCTCCCCGGATCTCCTCGCTGCATCTACCTATCTGGTATATATTTTGATTTCGCTTACACGTCTGGAGGCTGGAGCACTCGCCGCTACCGTTTGGCTGCTAGCGTCGTCGCGTCGCTGGGCCGGCTGCGCTGTATATAATACCTTCCTTCGGGTCTACGCGCCTATATCCTGTGTACGTGGCTAGGGTTGGAATGGAATTCTCGAATAATAGCTTGTGTAGCCTGAGTTTGGTGTTGAACTTGAGTTGTGGGCGCCAGGATGATCTGCACACTCGCACGTGCTAGCGGGGAAGAGCGTCCATGTGTGCTGCTTAGACCGCTCGCCATCCTGCCCTCTGCCTTCTCGGCGACGCCGACAGGCATTCTACTACCCTTTACCGCACTGGCTTCGCAAATTCCATGACATGACCTCGGACACCTCGCCCCAGAACGCCGACCAGGACTCCTTGACGCCGACGTTGGCGCCGCACGATCACCTCGCGTCCGCCACCCCCGACGACGAGCGTAAGGACTCTGGCACGGGTGCTTCCCCGCTGTCAAGGAGCAGCGCGGATGAGCGAGAGGAGGATCAGGAGGAGAAGCGGACGGATGAACCAGAGGAGTCAGCAGCCACCCGGCGCCTATCCCATCTCCCCAGCCCGCCCTTGACGCGCACGAACACGCGCGAATCCACCTCTTCTACTCGCCGCCAAGAGCCCGATGCAGACGAGAAGACCGGGGACTGGCACCCGCTGCACGACGATGCGAGGAGTGCGGTGAACAAGGAGGCCTCGCGACCAGACCTGACTGTGATCGTTGAGGACGGGGAGCAGGTCGTGGACTCGCAAGGCCGGCTGCTCTTTCCGGATGACACCAGCTCTGTCGGCGCGGGTACGGAGAAGCCTGTCGCTGGTCGCCGGACGTCGCACTTGCACCTCGACCTAACGCGGAGTCGTGAACCTCAACCATGGGACCTCGTCGATCCACCAGAGACGGACGGGAAGTCGTGGGGCGCAACCCCGCGCGAGTTTGGCACGAGGCGCAGTGGTGCGAAGTGAGTCTCGCCTCTAGCACCTACCCAGAAGTAAACACTGATCAGCTGTCCCTCCAGCACGTCTCGTCCTCAAATACCTCGCTCGGCCTACTTCACTGGCCCACCCCCGCCAGACGCGGCCTTTGGGACGGCGCCCGTAGGGCAGATCGGGCTTCATCACCCCCGCGAGATCGTCCGCATAGAGCGCGACTATTCCGGCGGCGAGCTCGTCCAGTTCGCGCCGATCTATCCGTTGGAGCTGGAGGGCCGTGTAAGTCCTCATTCCCCGAGTGCTGTGGAAGCCAGGACTTCATTAACCTGACGCGCTTCCCCTCGATTCAGATAACGCCAACGCAGTTCCTGGAGTCCATTAACGCGATCAATGAGCTGCTGATTCTGGCGCATAGTACGCGGCATGCGTTCGTGGACAACACGCTGGCTGTCTTGACGCTGCAGCTGTCGCGGCTGTTTGTGCAGTCGTACTATGACAGGGTAGGATTGCGTGACTGACGTTGTGGGCAGCCAGGCGTTGACTATACTTCGGCAGATGATGCGGCGGTTGAAGAACCTCATAGACGAGCTGAACGTTGAGATATACAATCCAGCAGGGCTCAACATCCTGTGGCCGCGGAAGGTGGCCTTTTTGTTTGTGAGTACGGTCAGTAGCCAATCGTCACAAGTTGTACTGACCTCCTATCTACAGTTGGAGATCGAGTACTATGTGAGCCTCCTCGTCCCATTTGATGCCCTTACTAATGCGCCTCCTGCAGTAATTATGTCCACACGCTATCGTTAACCTTCCCCGCGTTACCTCCCTGTCTCCGCCGCCACCGACCGCTCCTTTCCTCCCCCGCGCATCCGCTCCCTCCCTCGGATATATCTGCGCGCTTCTTGGTTATACCTCTGCCCATACACTCATCGCCCAGGATGATTTCATTCACGCTACACAGGCCTGCAGCTCACTTCAACGTACACTTCTCCGTTCATCGTACGCTCGCACACCTCTCCGTTCGTCGTCCGTTCATCTTTCATCTCTCCCATCTCTTTGCATGTACCCTCCAGCTAGTCGCTTTCCGTTGTATTTACCGTATTTCCAGGGATAATGCCAGAACGTACATAACTGGGTTCGTGGTGTGGAATGGCGAGCTTGCCGTGGTCCGCTAGCCAAGGTTCGCAGCAGTCTTCGCAGTAACCCAACCGTCAGGCGCGCATGCACAGGAAGCCCCCTTCGCGGTAGGTACGACCGTCAGCTGACCGTCCGCCCGCTGCAACTATGAGCAGGAGAATGCAGAGGTCGTGGAGGGCCGGGTAGGCCAGCCAAAGATAACGCTCGCTGGGCTGCTTCTTCGCCCTTTCGCGCGGTGCGGGCTTCGATGTGCGGGCGATCTCCAGCGCCCAGGAAGGATGACATCGAGGTGACCAACCTTTGAAGTCACCGTGAGTCAAGGTGAGGCATTTCACTTCCTGTCGGCCGATATTTATTGGGTGCGAGGAAGGTCAAACGTCGGTGGCCGCCACGGCGATGCAGAGCCCGTGGACTTTGGGGACGGAAGAACGGATGACTGCCGCTCGACGATGCGGGCGTCGGGTTCGAAGTTCGACTATAGTCACAGCTCGTTGACGTCTAACTGTTCGAGGCCAGCCAAGGGCGCCGTCGCCGTGGGACACTCGTGCTGATAGTGGTGAAGTTCTGTTGATCTTCGATGTACCTTGGGGGAGAGTGCGGACTGAGCGCGGGTACCTCGTCCCGTATTCATCGGAGGCAGGTCAGGCGGGAAGGGCTCAGAAAATCCAGGAATTATTCTAGATCGCCCAGCAGCAGCCTCGACGCCTGAATTCATCTTCCAAGACCTGTCTGCAGGCCGCCGAGTGACATGGCCGCCTGAACAATGAGCTGCAGCGTGCGCTCGACTTCCAGCAAGTTCCGGCGTGAGACCGTTGGGAGCCAATAGGGGCTTCACGTGACCAGATCACACGCTTTGTCAGCTCGGCTGGCGATCTGCGACAAGCCGACTGACGACGTTGTCAATTCATTGCTCCTTGCCCTCTTCTCCCATCCGAAAGTCTTATCGACCCTCTCGAGTCTCTCGACCCCGAACGACTCAGCTAAGCAGCAGCGGAATATTCGTCAGCGAGCGCCCGCGAGATGGAGGCCTTTACCGATATGAATATGACACCTTTCTGGGACTTGTCGCAGGCGTCGCAGTTCTCGCAGCTCCCGGACGACGACTTTCTGGCGCTCCTGCAGAAGCAGTTCCCCGCCGTTGGAGGAGATCTCGCGGCGAACAACACCTTCGATCGCGATAGCGTCAACCCACGGAATGTGACCTCCTTCCCTCCCCCGACTTTTTCCCCGCCCTCCGAGGAGAGCAGCCCCAGCCCGCCGTCGTCCAGCAAGGATTCGACAGATGGAAGGAACGAGGAGGAACTGGGGGAAACGCCTTTGAAGCGCAAGGCGAGCCAAGATGACCTCGACGATGAGGGTCCGAGCCACAAGACGCAGCACACTGGTAGGCGAAGTTCGAGACTATCTGCTGCCCGTCGTCCTCAGTCCCGCACCCCATCAGCCCCTGCTACCTCCACATCGAGCAAGAAAGGTGCCTCCCATGGACGACGCAAGTCGGCAGGTGGACAAGCGGGTGGTTCGTCTGGTTTGTCACAGGTACGTAGTCATCGGTCGAGGCTGTTCCATATACTTATAGTGGCACAGGAGGAGCAGAGGTTGCTGAAGCGGAAGGAGCAGAACCGTGCCGCACAAAGGGCATTTAGGGAACGCAAGGAGAAGCATGTTAAGGACGTACGTGGGCATACTTTCCTTTGTGAACGCAATCTGATCAGTTGCGTAGTTGGAAGATCAGGTAGCTGCGCTGGAGGCCAAGAATGCAGAGGCGAGCTCGGAGAACCAAAACTTGCGCGACATGTTGCAACGACTTCAGAGCGAGAATATGGCCTTGAAGCAGGCGCAGTTCACATTCGCCGTTCCCAAGAACCCGTCAAATAACCAGCGCGGCTCGCTCACCTCAGACGCTATGCTTTTCAACCTGCCGCGGTCAGGCTCTTCCTCCTCTTCCTCGCCCTCTGGTCAGCCCTCACCTCCAAACAACGCGGACGGCAGTCCGATAGATTGGAGCACCTTGACCACTTTCGATAACAACAATACCGGCATGCACCTGTTGGACGACTCCCCTCAGGCGACGGCCAGCTCGAGCGCCATGCAGATGAACATCGGCGGGTTCGAGAATGGCAAAACCCCATCGGAGAGCGGGTTCAGCCTGAACGGCATGAACTGGCAGTCGGAATCGACGAACCTTGACGAGCTCTTCGCAGGATATCTCTCGCAGAATCAGAGCCCGCTCGACTTCAACATGCTGGGCGCCAGCCCTCCCGCGAACGGCAACGGCCACAACGCCGGGAACAACGGCAATGGCAACGCTAGCAGCATCAGCATCAGCCCCATCATTCATAACTATACCCCCGCAGCCCTACGCTCGAACCCCAGCCTCAACAACACGCCATCCATCTCGAACTCAGCATCGTCGCCAGAGTCGGCAGTACTGCGCACGCCTCCCGAGCAGGCGGGCGAGCACAAGGAGAAGGAGTGTCCGAAGACGAAGGCCGAGTTCCAGAAGCATAGCGAGGAGCTCGGCGAGTCACCCTTCACCTCCTCCTCGCCGACACCTGAAGACGAAGCGTGCGCGGCGGGCGAGGCGTGCGCATCGCCGGGTACGGTCGTGAACAACCTGCGCAAGGGCGTCGACGGGACGATCATGTGCAAGGGCACGCAGTTCCCGAAGACGGAGAAGAGCGACAAGAACATTGAGGTGCTGAAGGCGTGGCGGACGATCACGAACAGCCCATTGTACAAGGTTAGCATCAGCGATAGCGAGACCGAGGACGACGAGATGGGGTGAATCACGGGCTCGAGCTGACATATCCCGCAGGATGTCGACATCAATGAGCTGTGCTCGGAGTTCACGTCGAAGGCGCGGTGTGACGGGACGAAGGTGGTGCTGGAGCCGTCGGGGGTGAACAAGATCCTGGAGGGGCTGAAGTCGAAGCAGGCGGGTGGTCATTAGATGGCCAGTGGTTTGGCGCGGCCGCGCTATAGACAGTCGGCGCCGTTGCCTTGCTCGCCGGACACCTACCCCGCGCTCGCCAACCCGCCGCGCTCGCTACCGAGCGCGCGATCCCGTTGCCCACCTACCAGTTTCTCCCTCGATGTTCGTCCCATGTCACGTCATGTCCGTCTTCCTTCCGCATCACTGGCATCTCGCACTGTCTGCCGTCTCGCTTCACATAATCCTATATCTATATAACGCTCTCCTTCTGTCTGGCATTTGTATCCTCTACTCTGCGTACGCTCTCTATACGAGGTGTATACGATGTATATCATGGTTTTGTGATGGTTAGCGGGGCGGCGGGAGCGGGCGCGTTGGGATAGTCGTGGGGAGGTCACCGCGGTTCACTGACGCGCGAGTGCTAGCCGGGCGCTGTCGACTGGGGTTGGGGACAAGAAGCAGCAAGTCGAGGTGCGGGTGCGGGTGGGTGTTGGCTCGATTTTTCGTTCGGTCGTCTGTCCAGGTCATCGTGCTGTTCCGATGCTTGTTTTCATTTTTACTGTACACATAGTTATAAGGACGATCGCGCTTGCGGTAATCTGATACGGTAGTAGAATGACAATGAAGTTACTGAAGCATATCCTGTAGGCTGTGATACAGAACGCCGCGCGGGTCGGCCAGAATTGGGCCTTGCTATAGAGCGCTGCTGGGGATCAGTAGAGGGGCGTAATTTATGATCTATGGTCGCGTCCCGAGGTCGCCAATCAGGACAATACAGCTAGTGAGGCAAGGTCGCAGACTAGTCGGGAAGTTCAACATGGCAGTGACATGTGACTGTCATCTCATCACCCGGAATTTGCCGGTCCGCACATTCCTTCCTGCCAGGATGCCACGATGGCCGAGGGATTGAACCTTTCCGTTCGCTGCTTTCCCTCTGGCTGGCCTATGGCCAATGGTGAATGGCAAGGGAATCTCCGTCGTGCAACCAGCGTCGTGAAGCAATGGAGTGTTTGCCAGCCCGGAGCTGTACAGTAACCCCACTTGGGCATAAGTGCGTAGTCATGGCGCCTAACCAGAAGTCCTTCTCACTACTGGGGAAACGGCGCAGTGCCCTTCCGCGGTGGCTCCCTTGGATACAATGTGCTTCCAAATGAATCAAGCAATTTCGACCATTCAGATTGCTGCGATAGGCAAGCCTTTCCTACGCTACCCCGTCGCTTAAGAAGGATCCTAGCGGACGGGTTGAAGCAGCGGCCGTCTCCCGCTCTCATCATGGACCGTGAGCAGGACCCGCTCAAAATTCCCGAAATTCTCGGTGCCATATTTGACGCCGACATCCCGGGGCGCTACCCCATGCTTGCTTCGGCGTGCCTCGTCAACAAGCTTTGGCGCGCCCTCGCTCGGGAGCGTCTATATGCGAAGATCGATCTGTCGGTCGTGCTCAGACTCCTGCCCGAAGATGCATGGTACATTTACGATGTGAGTCGCCACACTCACTTCCGCGAGTGCTCCTCATCTAATTGGTGTACAGGACCCGGGAGACGGAGGTGACCTGCAACCGACACAGGATGATCTGAACCGGCACCATGTCACCAAGAACGAAGGCTTGAGGCACCCAACGCTGGTGCGTCGCTGCACTTTCTCCTCGACGTCTGAAGGAACTTGCTCACGGAAGGCAGACACTGCGCCGCGCGATCACGCAACATGATTGGGCTACTCTATCTCATCTCACAGAGCACGTTCACGAGATCGTAACCATTGGCGATTATACGGTTACGGAAGATAACCAGGGTGTCTACGAAGTCTCTGAATGGGGCCAACTCGCTCTAAATCAGCCCGTCGTCTACGGCACACTCGCCGCATGCCTACCCTACTTCTGTCTTTTCCCTCGCCTCCACACCCTCTATGTCACGTCCTTCGGGGGATTCCCGGGCGTGCTCCGTCTTTTCTTCTCTCCAGAGCTTCGCGCCGTCCATCTGGAGGCAGCGATGTACGACTTTGACGCTGCGATCTGCATCAGCGCTTTCGTTGACGAGAGGACCGGCATCTGCCCGGTCCAGTACATGACTCTGAATCATAAGCTCGACAGCTCGCCATCTGGTACTCTGGCCCTCGCAGAGAAGTTGCTCGCATGCACGACTCTTCGCGAGCTCGCGATCGACTACATTGACCCTCTGCTATGGCCAAGCATCGCTCTTCTGCCATCTTTGCAGAAGCTGGAAATAAAATGGAGTCCTAGAGTCATTTTCGGCCGTAGGGATCGCGAAAGCGACGAGCCTGAATTCGAGGACTATGAGGGTGCAGACGAGCCCAACGATGCTGACGTCCTTCCCTCCCGGAACGAAATTAGAGGGACGGCTTTCCCGGCGCTCAAAACTCTTATCTTCGCGTCCGAGGAAGCTTGCTCGCTCACTGGCGTTCAGTTGCGCACCATTCTCGAGATGCGTGATGCACCATGGGCATTGGAGAAACTCGACATTCCTTTCGGGACGCTTGATATGAACTTCAAGTACTCCGCCCGCACCATTTTCCGCTATCTTCGAGATCACATCCAGGCCGATACGCTTACTCACCTCACGCTGGGCACCCTTCGGGAGTGGCGCCGCGCGTCCATGGGCTACAATCCCCTTTCAGGCATTTCAGAGCTTTTTGGGTTCTCCCAGCTCACCGTACTTCGCCTGTTTTGCTTCTTCCATCCGCCACAGAGCTTCGAACCCCTCGATGCGGCCGAGACGCAGGACATTGCACGCAGCTTCCCCCGCCTGCGCGAACTCCAACTCGCGATGCCCATCCTTCCCAGCGAGATTGGGGTATTTGCGCTGCACTGTCGGGAGCTGCAGACGCTCGCGCTCTGCCCATCCGCAATCGACCCCGACACCGACCTTTCCGAGCTTGTTTGGCAAGAGGTGGCGCCAGCGCATACAGGGCCTGCGCTGCGGCGCTTTGGGATTTGCACAGAGCAGATGTCGAGGCCGGATAGAGATTGGATATATCTGCGCTTGTACGCGCGCAGCGTGTACCCGAATGCAATGATTCGACAGGTACCTACACTAGGCAGTGATTCTTTGTCTTTGGATTTCTTCTTCGAGGAATGAAATCCTCGCAGCCTTCGCGATATCGTTGACCAGAATTCAATCAGTTCTACTACCATGCGATGTCAAGGACTGTATAATCAGCCTGAGATGCTGCCCTGTGTTCATGCCGTTCCAAACTAACACATGAGCCTCATCTTTTATGATTTTTCGGACAAGGGGGCTCGTTCTCCTCAGTACGTGTTGTCGTCTCGGGCTGTATCGTAGGTGCCAGTGCCCGTATCGTCTGAATTCAACTTGCCACGTGATCGTCGGCATCGGCCGCAGCGGTAAGTCCCACTGAGCGACGAGGCATTTCAAACGAGTCTTCATTCTCATCCTTCGACTCGCCGACTCTTAAATTTCGTTCAACATCTACCCAACGCTAATCTATACTGACTTCTCGCAAGGTAGCTGGCCCCGGCTTTACACATTTTCGCTTTGGGTAACGGGCCCTAGGGGCATCGCCCCATTCAGATCGCTGCGCTAGGCAGGCATCTCCTCAGTTGAACGACGACGAGAAGCCATATGGCCCAGTTAGCAGCGGGGCGCAACGGAGTTTTTGCAAGTCCGAAGCTATGCATATTCCTCATCTGCACACAATAACGTAGTCATGCGCTCAGGAAGGGTCCTTCTCACAATCAGCAATCCAGTGCAATGCCGTTCTAGGTGAAGCCCTTGGATACGGAATATCGTCAATTGACATGGAAAAGCACTGCTCATTCAGATCTTCACGATAGGCAAGTTCTTCCTACGCTAACACCGCGCTTAAGAGGTTGCCTCTGGCGATTCGAAGCAGCAGCCTCTGTTCGCCCCCCGTCATGAGTTCCGCACGGGTATTCCAGGTGCCAGAGCTCCTCTCCATCGTTCTCGACTTCGTCGTTGAAGACGGCTACGACCACGGCATCCGATCTGCGTGCTATGTCGCCAGATGTTGGCGCAGCATTGCCGAAGAGCGTCTTTGGGCGCAAGTCGATCTGTCGATCGTGCTCAGGAAGCTGCCGGACGATGCATGGTACATCTACGATGTGAGTGATCAATGACCCTGCCACGCCTGCTTCTCAGCGCTGTTTAGAGCAAGGCCCAGTCAGCCACCGATGTCAATTGTCATCGTATCATAGGCGAAAGTCCTACTCTGGCGCGTTGACCCTCCGTATTTCTGACTCTATGGACTACTTGACTAACTTATGCATCGTAGACTCTACGTCGCGTGATCTCGCAAGCTGACTGGGCCGCCATCCTCCCTAAAACAGGGCTCGTCCGCACTATGCAGACTGTAGGCGGTCCCTCTGGCCCCGCAGAGCTCCTTTCCAAGTGGGGCCGCCTCGCCCTCGCGCCCGTGGTCTACGACATGCTGGCTGCCAGCATTCCGAACATCTGCCTGTTCCCTCATCTCCACTCGCTTTCCGTCCGTGCCTTTGGCAGGCATCCAAACGCGCTGCGTCTCTTCCTCTCTCCCCAGCTCCACCTGGTGCAGGTGGAAGCGCAGGTCCAGGCGAGCGCAGCGGCTGCCAGCATCGCGGCTTTGATCGACCCGACGACCGGTGTCTCCCCGGTCCAGGAGATGATGCTGAACCACAGATATGGGAGCTCGGACGCCAACTTGGCCGTCCTCGCGGTCAATCTTTCGGCGTGCACGGCTCTTCGCCGCCTCACGATCGAGTACATGGACCCCCTCCTTTGGCCGAGTGTCGCTCTCTTGCCGTCTTTAGAGGAGCTGACCATGCGGTGGAGGCCGGAGGTGACCTTTGGCTACGATGTCGACATCGAAGATGGCGTTTACGACTCCGACGACTTCGACGGGGAAGATCCAATGGACGATGCCCAAGTCCTCCCCTCTCGTGACCAGATCAATGGAACGGCCTTCCCGGCGCTCAAAAGTCTGGTCTTTCCATCCCAAACTTGGGGGACGTTCACATTCACCCAATTTCGTACTATATTGGAGATGCGCGACGAGCCATGGGCACTCGAGAAGCTGGTCATTCCAGATGAATCGCTTCGTCTCCGTCTCAAATACTCCGCGCGAACACTTTTCTGCTACATCCAGCGTCACATTCGCGCAGATACGCTGACTCACCTCTCTTTGAGCAGCATGTGGGAGTGGCGTCAGGGCGGGCGAGGCAACCAGTACGACTACTTGTCCTGCATCTCAGAGCTCTTTGGATTTTCCCAGCTCACTGTCCTTCACTTGCGTTGCTTCTACTGGGAATCCGAACCGGGCGAGTTCAAACCTCTTTCTGTGGCCCAAACGCGCGAGCTTGCTCGCAGCTTTCCGCGCCTGCGCGATCTTCTGCTTGCGTTTCCCTTCCGACCGACCGAGATTGGGGTATTTGCGCAGTATTGCCCCGACCTGCGCGAGCTCAGGCTCAACGTCCAATTCTACTCAGAGGATGCTGAGGAGATGGATGCGGACCTGGAGGACCTTTTGGAGCAGCTCCTTCCCCCAGCTCATCAAGGTGTCGCCCTCGAATGCCTGGAACTTGGCACGGAGGAAGTTCAATACGATGACGATCGGGAGGAACTCCTCGAGTTTGCGCAGCAAGTGTACCCAAATGCGACGATTCGAGAGGTTAGACGCGCGGAAGATTTAGGCCGCTAGTCTTTTAGTATGTAAATGTAGCTAGTTATCGCATCGTACCGGAAAATCTAGCAATTGTTGAGAGCGACGTTGCCGAAGGAGGCTTACTCCGACGATTAGAAGTGCATTTCACTTCAGCTGGATTTACGATTGAGTGCGCAGGCATTGCCTTGCGTACCTCTGATTCTCGGCATTGTCGGGGGCCGCAAAGGCGGAGTTGTCCGTTCAAGCCAGCAGCGAAATCGGAGTGTCCGTACTGAGCGTGCATGATCCTCAGGCGTCAGTCCGGGGCCTCAACTCGGGTTATCTTCGCATCTCACGCTTGGAGGTTGAGTTCCAAGGGCTTGTTAGAACTCGGCGGAAACGAGGCTAGCACATATATACGTCTGCCAACCGCGTCACGGTTCAAGTTCAACTTTGTGGCGTACGAGTCGCGGCCATTGCCGATCCGGCGCACGTCTGTCTCGCACAGCGAAACGTTGCGGCTGCAGGTCCCTCAGTACTTACACGTCGCCACGTACGACGAAGAGCGCGCTCATACTTCCGACCATCAGCATTTCGCGCGCCGACAACGAGAGCAGTCGCAGCCGCAGGCCCACTAGCCCCTAGGCCTGCGTATCTCAGGACGACGAGGGGGCAAATTTTCCACCATTTCGGTATAGCCGGTCGGAGCAGATCTCCCTTTGCGCCTCCGTCAAGCAGACAATGACTTGGCATAAAAGCAACATTGCGCAGGATAGGGCAAGGAGCAACGGCGGGCTTGCAGTTCCGAAGGTATGCACTTTCCCCATTTGCCCACAATAGCGTAGTCATGGCGCTTGGGAAGAAGTCCTTCTTTCAATTAGCAATCCAGAGATAGGTGAAGCCCTTGGATACGGAATAAAGTCACTAACATGGGGACGTACAGTTCATTCAGATCATCACGATAGGTAAGTTTTTCCTACGCTGACGCCGCGCTTAAGAGGGTTACCTTGGGCGATTCGAAGCAGCAGCCTCTTCTCGCCCCGCCATGAGCTCCGCACGCGTGTTCCGGGTGCCAGAGCTCCTCTTCCTCGTTCTCGACTTCGTCGGTGAAGGTGGCTACGACCACGGCATCCGATCTGCGTGCTATGTCGCCAGATGTTGGCGTGGCATTGCCGAAGAGCATCTTTGGGCGCATGTTGATCTGTCGATCGTGCTCAGGAAGCTGCCGGACGATGCATGGTACATCTACGACGTGAGTGATCAATGACCCTGCCACGCCTGCTTCTCAGTGCTGTTCAGAGCAAGGCCCAGTCACCCCCCGATGTCGATTGTCATCGTGTCATAGGCGAAAGTCCTACTCTGGTGCGTTGATAATACGCATATCTGAGTTCGTGTAATCCTCGACTAACGTATGCATCGTAGACTCTACGTCGCGGTATCACGCCCGCCGAATGGGCCACCATTCTCCCTAAGACAGCGCGCGTCCGCACTATGCAGACTGTAGGTGGTCCCTCCAGCCCAGCAGAGCTCCTTTCCAAGTGGGGCCGCCTCGCCCTCGCGCCCGTGGTCTACGACATGCTGGCTGCCAGCCTGCCGGACTTCTGCCTGTTCACACATCTCCGCTCGCTCTCCGTTGGTGCTTTTGGCAGGCAGCCAAACGCACTGCGTCTCTTCCTCTCCTCCACGCTCCACACGGTGCAGGTGGAAGCAAGTGTCCAGGCGAGCGCAGCGGCTGCCTGCGTCGCGGCTTTCATCGACTCGACGTCCGGCGTCTCCCCTATCCAGGAAATGACGCTGAACCATAGATATGGGAGCTCGGACGCCAAGTTGGCGGTCCTTGCGGTCAATCTCTCGGCGTGTACCTCTCTTCGCCGCCTCACCATCGAGTACCTGGACCCTGCTCTTTGGCCCAGCGTCGCCCTCCTGCCGTCTTTGGAGGAGCTGACCATGCGATGGAGGCCGGAGGTGACCTTTGGCTATGATAGCGATGTCGAAGATGGTTTATACGACTCCGACGACTTCGATGAGGAAGACCCATGTGACAATGGCGAGGACCTTCCCTCTCGTGACGAGATCCAGGGGATCGCCTTTCCAGCGCTCAAAAGCCTGGTTTTCCCATCCATTCAGTGTGCTTCGCTTACTTTCACCCAATTCCGCACCGTTTTGGAGATGCGCGACGAGCCCTGGGCTTTGGAAAAGCTTGTCCTTCCCAAGGGTTCGCTTTACCTGCACCTCAAGTACTCCGTTCGCACGGTCCTGCGCTACATTCAACAGCACATCCGCGCGGACACGCTCACACACCTCGTTGTGAGCACCATGTGGGAATGGCGCAACGGGCAGGGGGAGTGCAACTGTCTGACAGCCATTTCGCTACTCTTTGGTTTTTCCCACCTCACCGTCCTCCATCTGCGCTGTTTCTATTACGACGCACATGGCGACTTCGAGCCTCTCGATGCAGACCAGACGCGCGAGATGGCGCGCAGCTTCCCACGACTGCGTAGTTTGTTACTCACGATGCCCTTCTTGCCGTACGAGATTGGGATCTTTGGGCAGTACTGCAAGGACCTGCGCGAGCTCACGCTGAATGTACAGTTCAGCTCCGATGACAGAGACAAGGATCTGTCAGAGCTTGCAGAACAATCCGTTCTGCCTGCCCATCAAGGCGTAGCTCTGGAGCGCCTGGTCATCGGCACCTATCTGCTTCACGGCGCGGACGAGGAGGATCTTTTTGAATATGCGGAAAGAGTGTACCCCAATGCGACAATCCGTGAAGTAACAGCAGAGTATGACTTATGATTTGTCCTTATAGTTTGTACAATTACGCTCTTGCATCCATCCATATCATTGTCGCGTGAATTGTAGGAGGGGAACTGGCATTACTTAGTGTACCAATGCGAAGGACTCTTCAAGTTCCGAGGTAATATTCCGGGATTAGCTCCCGGCAGCATATCCTTAGCCAGCGTCTCGCGTGAAGCGACCCAGCCTCATGCCAGCACATATATTTTGGCTGCCAGCCGCGTCACGGTTCAAGTTGAACTCGGTGGCGTGCAAGCCGCAGTTATGGCCGATCGGACGGCACGTGTCAATCGGAACAATGGGAAGGCCAAGTCCGTCTCAAACCGCGAAGCGTTGCGACTGACATTAACTATTTACACATCGGCACGTACGATGATGAGCGCGCTATTGGTGCCGGCCGCCAACGACGACGAGAGCAGTCACAGCCGAAGACCCTCCAGCCCCTGCGTAACTCAGGATAACGAGCGGCCATCCACCATCATTTCGGTATAGCTGGTCGGGGCAGATCTTTCCTTGCACCTTCATCCAGCAAACAATGACTTGTAATAGAAGCAACTCTACGCAGGATACGGCGGGGAGTCACGGAGGGCTCGCAACTCTAAAGGTATGCGTCTGCCCCATTTGCACACAATAGCATAGTCATGGCGCTCAGGAAGATGCCCTTCTCACCATCAGCAATCCAGTGCAATGCTCGTCTGAGCTGAAGCCCTTGTATACCGCATATCGCTCACTGAGATGGGGATGTACCGCTCATTCAGATGACTGCGATAGGTAAGTTCTTCCTACGGTGACTCCGCGCTTAAAAGGGCCGCCTCTGACGATTCGAAGCAGCAGCGGATCCTCTCACCCCGCCATGAGCTCCGCACGCGTACTCGGTGTGGCAGAGCTCCTCTCTATCGTTCTCGACTTCGTCGTTGAAGACGGCTACGACCACGGCATTCGGTCTGCGTGTTATGTCGCCAAGAATTGGTGCGGCATTGCCGAAGAGCGTCTGTGGGCGCATGTTGATCTGTCGATCGTGCTCAGGAAGCTGCCGGACGATGCATGGTACATCTACGACGTGAGTGATCAATGACCCTGCCACGCCTGCTTCTCAGCGCTGTTCAGAGCAAGGCCCAGTCACCCCCCGATGTCGATTGTCATCGAATCATAGGCGAAAGTCCTACTCTGGTGCGTTGATAATACGCATATCTGAGTTCGTGAAATCCTCGACTAACTTATGCATCGTAGACTCTACGCCGCGGTATCACGCCCGCCGAATGGGCCGCCATTCTCCCTAAGACAGCGCGCGTCCGCACTATGCAGACTGTAGGCGGTCCCTCCAGCCCAGCAGAGCTCCTTTCCAAGTGGGGCCGCCTCGCCCTCGCGCCCGTGGTCTACGACATGCTGGCTGCCAGCCTGCCGGACTTCTGCCTGTTCACACATCTCCGCTCGCTCTCCGTTGGTGCTTTTGGCAGGCAGCCAAACGCGCTGCGTCTCTTCCTCTCCTCCACGCTTTACACGGTGCAAGTGGAAGCAAGTGTCAAGGCGAGCGCAGCTGCCGCCTGCATCGCGGCTCTCATTGACCCGACGACCAGTGTCTCACCTGTCCAGGAGATGATGCTGAACCATAGATATGGGAGCTCGGACGCCAACTTGGCCGTCCTTGCGGTCAATCTCTCGGCGTGTACCGCTCTTCGCCGCCTCACCATCGAGTACCTGGACCCTGCTCTTTGGCCCAGCGTCGCCCTCCTGCCGTCTTTGGAGGAGCTGACCATGCGCTGGAATCCGGAGGTGACCTTCGGCAATGACCCCATGATCGAAACTGGCTTCTACGACTCGGAGGGCTTCGAGGAGGAGGACCCGTACGACGATGCCGAGGATCTTCCCTCCTGTGACCAGATTCAGGGGATTGCCTTTCCGGCGCTCAAAAGCCTGGTTTTCCCATCGAAGACATTTGGTTCCCTCACCTTCACGCAGTTCCGCACCGTCTTGGAAATGCGCGACGAGCCCTGGGCGTTGGAAAAGCTCGTCCTCCCCGTTGGTTCGCTCTACCTGCACCTCAAGTACTCCGTCCGCACCATTTTGCGCTACATCAAACGGCACATCCGCGCGGACACGCTCACACACCTCGTTGTGAGCACTATATGGGAGTGGCGCAGTAGTGTCTTCGGGACCTACAACTCACTGTCAGCTATTTCGGAGCTCTTTGAATTTTCCCAGCTCACTGTCCTCCATCTATGCTGCTTCTGGTACGACTCGCGAGGCGACTTTGAACCTCTTGACGAGGATCAGACGCTCGAATTTGCGCGCAGCTTTCCACAGCTCCGCGATCTTCTGCTCATGATGCCATTCCTCCCAACCGAGATCGGGATTTTTGGACAGTATTGCAAGGATCTGCGCGTGCTCAGGCTCGACGCACAGTTTTATTCCAACCAGGCCGGTAGTATGAACCTGTCGGATCTAGCAGAGCAATCCGTTCCACCTGCTCATCAAGGTGTTGCCCTTGAACGCCTGGTCATCTGCACGCAGATGCTTCGCGACGAGGAACGGGATGATCTCCTCGACTATGCGGAAAGTGTGTACCCCAATGCGACGATTCGGGAAGTCAGACAAGTACATGAGCTGTAGTGCATGTTTATTCACAGGATTGCAATCATGATCAATGGCACCATTGACGAGTAATTTGGAGGATGGAGTTCAAGAGGGAAAGTGGACCGCTGCACGAAGTCGGCACCAAAGTCACATTGCGAGGGACTTTTGAATTGCGTACAAGGTCCAGGGAGTTATTACATGAAAATCTTGGCTCAGAACCCAGCAGCATATCATCAGCAGGACTTCTGTGGTAAAGAGCCCAGCGCACAGGTTGCGGCTGCAAGCCGCGTCACAGTCGAACATGTGCCGCGGTCATTGCCGATCAGGCGCACGTGTCAATTAAACAATGGGAATGCCAAGTCCGTCTCGGACCGCAGAACGTTGAGGTTACAGGCACCTACTTACACATCCGCACGCACGATGAAGAGCGCATTCTTGCTGTCGACCGCCAGCACCGTGCTCGCCAACGACGACGACGAGAGCAGTGACATCCGCATATCCCCCAGCCCCGGCGTACCTTAGCGCAACGAGGTCGCATCCATCATCACCCCGGTATAGCGGGTCGCGGCGACGCACCTGACAACCGCCCACATCGTTCTCGCGGCCTTTTGCTCTCGACGCTCACCTCGAGCCTCACCTTCAGCAGGGCCTTCGGACGTTTACCTCTTTCTTTCACGTATCTTGGTTCTTAACCGCAGGTGAGCGAATCGGCCCGCCAAGAGATCCTGTGCTGGCTGCTTACCGAGATGCTGTATGCTTATAGGTCGGGGCTGACCTGCTTTTCACTCGCTTTCGACCTTCCCTTCGCTCTTGCTCTTGCTCTGCCCCGCGATGTTAGTTCGGACACTCACAACCGCGCTGGTCGTTCTCCTTCTCCATGTCTTCCCCTCCTCGGTAAACGCATCAAGCGCGGAGTCCAAGCCGCTCGCCCGCGTCGCACACCCCCGCGTTCTCGCGCTCGACATCCTGCCCCGCACGTCGCCCAGCCTCCTGCACAAGCGCACGCTCCAGGAGGACCGATCGCCCGTGCTCCGGCACACGGACTCCTTCCGCCTCACGCTCGAGGCGTTCGACGACATCTTCCACTTCCACCTCCGCCCGAACGAGCACCTCATCCACCCCTCCGCACGCATCGTCTCTCACGACTCCGCCACGAGATCCGCCACGACGCTCCCCCTGCTCCCCTCCCACGTCCTCGCCTACGAGGGCCATGTCATCGCTCCATCTTACACGGACACGCGCATGCGCAAGGACGCCGCGTCCCTCGTCAACGACGGCGAGGGGGTGCTCGGATGGGCGCGGATCGTCGTCCACGACCAAGGGGACGAGATCCACTCCCCCATCTTCGAGGGCGCTTTCCAGGCGTACGGGACCACATACCACGTTATGACGAGAGATCACTACTCCCGGGTCCGCAAGGAAGTCGACCCCGACCTCGGCGACGTTGTCGAATTATCGGACAGCCTGGTCATCTTCCGCGATTCCGATATGGGTGTACCTCCCACGGCGAAGGCGTCGGTTGCGGCGCCGCAGACCTGCGGTCACGATGACTTGCTATACAATGTTGAGATGCCGTTTACCACCAGACCCAAGGACTCCTGGGGTGGGCTTGAGATCTTTGGCCTCAGTCGCCGGGATGATGTCGCTGGCAGCGGTATGGGTGTGAAGTCAGTGCATATATGCGGTCAATATTCGTTTGCTAATGTGGAGCCAGTTTCGCGGACTCGATCAACAAGACCGATGGGTGCCCGAAGGTCCAGAAAGTTGTGAGTAGACTCCCTGGGGGTTCTTGACGCTTTTCACCTCATATATGCTATCTTAGCTGTACATGGGCGTCGCGGCCGACTGCAAGTACGTTAAGAAGTACGGCAACAAGGAGAATGCAACCCAGCAGATCCTAAGCGACTGGAACATGGCTAGCGCACTCTACAAGGTTCGTTCCCCTCAATCTTGACCTTCGTCTCCTGACCTCCTCCCAGAGCACCCTCAACGTCTCCCTCGGCATCATCGAGCTCCAAGTGCAGGACCCTGACTGCCCGGACCCCGCAACCGACGACATGCCCTGGAACACCGAGTGCGAAGCCGACACCGGCGTCACGCTGAACGATCGCCTCAGCCTGTTCTCGCAGTGGCGCGGGGACAAGGGTGATGATGGTGTCGGCCTTTGGCATCTCATGAGTGGCTGCCCGTCTGGTAGCGAGGTCGGCATTGCGTGGTTGGCGACGCTGTAGGTTGATCACTGTACGATGATGAGGTCGTGCTAACAAAGCTTCCTCAGCTGCCAGCAGTCCGCGGCCGGCGAACATCCGCAGACGGTGTCGGGTACCGCTGTATCGACGTCGGGCCTTACGGAGTGGCAGGTAGTCTCGCATGAGATCGGTCACAATTTCGGTGCAATCGTGAGTGTCGCCGACCTTCCCCACGATACCTCGCACTGATCAAACCCTGCGATGAACAGCACGACTGCACCGACGGCTGCACCGTCCCCTCCACCAGCTGCTGCCCCCTCTCCGCCTCTACCTGCGACGCTGACGCCCAATTCATCATGTCCCCCGTCGCCCAATCCTCCGAGAAGAACTTCTCCCCGTGCTCCGTCGGCAACATCTGCGCCGTCATGCAGGGCGTCTCCGGCTCCCAAACGAACACCTCCTGCCTCATCGACGCCGCCGAGGCAACCACGCCCCTCGTCTCGCTCCAGATGTGCGGGAACGGGATCGTCGAGGACGGCGAGGACTGCGACCCGGGCTCGGGCATCGACTCGGCGTGCTGCGACAGCCAGACGTGCAAGTTCACGCAGGGCTCGGTGTGCGATCCGACGAATGACGCGTGCTGCACGGATACGTGCCAGTTCAAGGGGAAGGGGCAGGTGTGCAGGGCGAGGCGGGACGCGGTGTGCGATGTGGAGGAGGTGTGCACGGGCGATAGCGGCAAGTGCCCGGATGATGTTGTTGCGCCTAATGGCCAGAGCTGCGGCGACGATGACCTCGCCTGCGCCAGTGGCCAGTGCACCTCCGTCTCCCGTAAGTTGCGGTCCCGCTATCCTCCAGCTATCTCACTCATCCATCGTAGAACAATGCCAGGCCCTCGGCGCAAGCATGAACCTCACCAAGGCCTGCCCCGATCACTCCGACTCGACCTGCCGCGTCTCCTGCCAGGACCCGCAGCATGCCAACGGCTGCGTCGTCCTCACCAGCAATGTCATCGACGGCTCGCCGTGTGGTTATGCTGGTACCTGCCAGAGCGGGAAGTGTCAGCAGGGAGGTTTGCTCGATACGGCTAAGGTGCGTTTGTCGGCGTCAGGGGGGCGAGGAAGGTGCTGAAATTCTGCGTCTAGGGATGGTACAAGTCGAACTTGCAGATCTCCATCCCGGTCACCGTCGTTTGCGGAATCATCGTTTTGGTGTTGTTGTGGGGGATCGTCGCATGTGCGTTTAGCTTTTGGCTCGTGTTGGGAGACTCGCTGACTCTCATTAGGCGTGCGCCGCGGCTGCGCTCGTGGACGAGCAAGGAATTATGGGACCGTCACAAGCAATGTCAGCATCCCAGCGGCCGGCGCACCAGCGCCCGCGTTCGTTCGCAACGTCAGCACGCGACGACCACCTCCACCACCGCCAAGCGGCCATCGGTACGAACTCATCCTCTCGAAGTTGGGGACCTCGCTAACTCAGTCGTCCCTCAGGTCAACGGGCTCCGGCGCTTCGTCAAGTTCACGGTCGCAGCGCTCGCGCATAAGCGGCCCGCAATGGCCCGCACCCCAGTATAACCCCGCCGCGGGACAGGACCGCGTCGACTGGGTGGACGAGACGCTGTACAATGGGCCGCGAGCAAGCAGATAGAGGGTAGGGATTTACTGATGCATCTTTGGCCGCCTCGTACCTACGTCCTGGCTGCCTATCACTCACTTACTTACCACCGAGGACTGACATGGACTTGTATATCTAACTAGCATCAGCATTGATAATTATGGCGGCAGCCTAGTCTGTCGCCGGCACATTGGCTACTTCGCTGGATGGGTGTCGGGCGTCGTGAGGCATTTTTGCAGGATCTTCGAGGGCTGGGCAGCACTATTTTGTGGCCTGGAGAATTGACGGGGGAATCCCCATGGCCTGGGCGATACTTGCCCTACACTCCCGTGCGTATCGGCGTTCCTAAGCGGGGGTAAATATCATTTGTAGAGCTCTGCGATCCCCTCCTTCGGAGGGAGGAGGCCCGCTGGCTCCCGCTCTTCAGCTCGGTATTTTGTGGCACTGCGGTTGGCAGACTCGTTGTGATGACCCACGCTCGTCAGGGATTTAAAGTGCGTGTGAAGCGACCTGCGACTTTTCTTCCCTCGCAATTGAACTGTTTATGGTCGCAGGGCGTGGTGATATAACCTTTGCGATTGCCCCTCGCGGAACGTGTGAACACGCGGATGATCGTCCTGATCGCTGCGCTCGCTCACACGGCCCGTCATGTTCAAGGTACCCTAGCCTGCCCTCAGCCCCTCAACCTAACCTTAGCCCTTTCCTTACCCCCTCCTTTGCGCCAGGCAACCCCGCTGAGACCTCTGCCGCCGAGCGAAGATTTCTGACTGGACGCCATCCTGATGCACATGGCTGTCGCTAGGCGCAGAGACCACCAACGATGACGTTCCTGTGTCGGAATCCGCGCCGCACGCCTCCTTTCCTTGTGCTGCCTGTGCCACTGATCTCATCTCATCTTCGGAATTCCTGTTCGCCGGCGCTGATTGACAATGCTCTGGCTGTAACCACGACCCCACTTCGCTTTCTATCAAAAGAAAGTTCAACAGAAGCGAAGGTCAGACTTGGAGTTGGCTTGGAGTCTCCAGGCAGGGATGTCTCGCGCGTCGTCGGCCTCGCGGGGCGCGCGTCCTTTCGCTGCACGCGCTGCATCCCCTTCTGGCGTAGTCCATCTGGGCTTCCCGCGTTCGTGGACATGGAAGCAACGAGGGACCCCCTCATGTTATTGTTCCCCGACCCCGTGATCTGCCATAAAAGGACATCCAAATGTTGAGCCCGCGGACTCCTCCACCATCTTCGCGCTGATCTGTGATCTAAACACAAAGTTATTCCCCCAGAGACCGCATCAACGACTCGAGAGGGTTTGCGTCAGAACAAGGGGCTTATCGGCCCTTGGCCTGCGTCCTTCTGACTGACGTTGTTGTTGCCGGGCGACGCGCCATCCACGCGCGCGTCGCCCCTGCGCGCCCCCGCCACCGTGACCAATTCGGCGGTTGGAAATCGGAAGCTGATGTTTAACCGATCCCCCCAGACACTCATATGATGGATTCCCCTTATTCAGACCGTTAAAGATACTGGGCGACTGCACCCGCTCCCTTTTCCTACTTTTGCCATCAATCGCGCCCTCCCCCTCCTCTCTGAACAGCTCGTCGTCCCCATCCCCTAGCCCTTCCCTCACCACCTCCCCTTCCCCATTGTCCGATCATGCCGAGCGTAAAGATAAAGGCTGCCGCTGGGTCGACGACCATCTACTACACGATCTCCACGCCGACGAAGACGAACGCGAAGGCGATCGACCCCAAGCTGCCCACCCTCCTCTTTCTCCACCCTGTCTACGTATCGCAGGAGGCCTTCCATCGTACGTCGCGCGATCGCTGCTCAGTGCCCACCAAGCTCACCGATCCCCTCTCTCAGCACAGTTCGCCGACCCGCTGCTGCGCAAGTTCAACCTCGTCACGTTTGACATGCGCGGGCATGGGGAGACGGGGAGCAAGCTCGACGGCCAGTTCACGCGCGTCGAGGGCGCCGACGACGTGATCAAGTTTATGGTAAGCGCCGGCCCTGATTTGTACCTTCGACCCACTTGTGCTTCCCGCCTCTGGTTACGGCTCGACACAGCCGTCCATCCTTTGCACTCCGCCGTCTACGCGTCTGCCATTACCATTGGATGAGTTGCTTACTCACTGCCCGCTCTTACAGGATGCAATCAAGCTCGACCAAGTACACCTTGTTGGCTTGTCCATGGGTGCCTGCATTGCCCTCCAAACCTCAATATTGCATCCCACCCGTGTCCTCTCCACCATCATGATCGGCCCGCTACCACTACGTGAGGTGCGTACTCGTCCGCCTCGCAGCTGCACCTCTGGCCACTCCGCCGCTCCTTCGGCTCACACAGCCGTTTTTTGCTCAATAATCAATCCACACCATCACCTCACGAACGCGCGCTGACGCGTCGACAGCCGGAAGGTGTTGCCGAGGGCCGCAGGGAGATCTACGACTGCTGGGTCGAGTCCTTCCACGACCCGAAGAACATCGACTACGAGATCCTGCGCGACGCCGTCTCCGGCACGATGCAGCTCGCCTTCAACAGCAAGGTGACGCCCATCAGCAAAGCGTGCGTCTCCCCCCCACTTCCTCCGACTCCATGCTGACTCGTATCCTCCTCGCCCAGCCTCGTCGAACGCGCCTCCGCCCTCGCCGTCAAGAACTGGACGCCGAAGGCCTTCAACTGCATGTACGAGCTCACCGTCAACTTCTTCATCTGCCGCTCCCCCCACCCGCGCGACGCGCTCGCCCGCATCCGCTGCCCCGTGCAGATCATCCACTGCGAGGGCGACATTGCGTACCCGCTCGAGTACGCGCAGGAGCTGCGGAATCATCTGCAGGCCGCCGGCGTCGATGTAAGGCTGAGCAGCATCGGGAGGGACGCGCCGCATTTTGGGAGCGTGACGCATCCGGATCTGTGAGTCTTGGACTTTCTCAATATGTTCTGACAGGAGGTTAATGAACATATTTCAGGGCGAATCCAATCATACACGAAGCCGTGAAGCGGGCGGTGAAGGGCCCTTTGCCACCAGCGCCAGAAAGCGTAGAATCGCCCTTCGAAGACATCCTCGTCAAATGCGGACTCAACGACGGCGACTCGGACGAGGATATCCACATATTATGATCCTCCGATTTTAACCGCTTGTGTGCCTCTGCAAAGCTGTATACTGCTGGTGTTCTGCTTGCTATAGGGATGCTACACATTTCTGGGCTATATACGCTGTCGGGATGCTGTGTGCGCACATTTCTCTTGTCACCCACGTCTATTTTTCTTCGGATATGCATGCACATCTTCTCGGGATCTACTTGCACTTCCTCTTTCCTCATTCACGCTTGCGCTTCTATTCACGATTCTTCATGACCTACCTTTTGGGCGTTGATGTAGAACATCTGGCTGGTTGTATCATCATCGTGGACTCTTGCTTTGGGGGGCCCTTGTAGTGTAACAAGAAAAATTATGGTTCTCAGCGATAGATCAGGGTCGATTCCTTGTTGGAGGACAAGAGCACGAGCGCTCTAGTGTCATGGTAACGCCTATGCAGCGAACAAGGCGAGCCACCTCTCCAGAAGACGTCGCCTCAATAAAAACCTTGCGCTACACAAGACCCCAGCTTCGCGAATGAGATGACCGCTAAGCCAAACAATGTTCTCATTGTATCCAATGTACAGAGGTGACCCATCGTAGTCGCGCTTAGCGCTTAACCCTCTTCGCCCGTCCTGGCCGTCCTCCCTCCGACAACCTATCCCACCTACTTCACCTTCACCGCCGCCCCACCCTCAATCCGCCGCCTCCTCGACGGCGCCTCCTCCTCTTCCTCCTCGCCCTTCCGCCAGGGCGGCCTTGCGGTCCACTCCGGCTGCGGGGCGCCCAAGAAGGGGTACGGCGCGGCTACATAAGGCGGCGCGTGCGCAGGGTGCGCCGGCGGGGGCTGTATGCGCGCGCGGTAGAGCGAGAGGAGCGCGTTGATGAAGACGGTGAGGAAGGTGAGGGAGACGACGGTGAAGGCCTGAGTGGGGGCGTTAGTATACGAGGCGAAAGCAGCAGAGCAGGGGCGAAGGACGAGAAACCCCCGCAAACCAAACACTCACCAATGTCTTCCAGCTAATGGGCTCGACGAAGCTGTTCACGACCTCCGCGATGAGCTCTGCGCTGACGCGCGCGCGGCCGATCTTGGTCGGGTCACGGTCCATGCAGGTCTTCCATTGGGCGCACTGGGTAGCCATGGCGGGGATGGGGCTGTGGCAGAAGTTGTTCTTGTACTGGGCGACGCAGAGGGTTATCTCGCGGACGACATCTGGGGACGATGACAAGAGAGGAAGGAGAGGGCAAGGAAGGTCAGGATCAGACAGATGTAGGAAAGTGGACAATGCAGGTACGCACCCATAGAGTATTCCGAGATCTGATGCTCGACATCCCGTTGCACGGTGAGGATGAACTGAACGAGGAGGTAGAGGAAGACGAGAACGAGGGATAGGTTGAAGAAGAATTGGAGGTAACTTGAGTCAAAATGTCAGTAACAGAAGGTATCCAGAGAGGTAGCATACACACCCAAGTAAAATATATGGTGTCTCGGACTTGGGTGCCTCGGGCGACGGCATGTTTAGTGTGAAGTGATTCGACGTCTGCTGAGCGCCCTTCGCTCGTCTGACACGCAGCCGCCCGCCCTTCTCCTCCTCATCCGAGTCTTCTGACTCATCTTCGTCGTCGTTATCCCTCACACGCGCAATACGCGTATCCCGCGATTTTTGCCGAGCTTTATAGACGCGTCGGAGCGCGCCAGCGGCCACTGGTCGGGTGTCTTCCGGCCGCGATGGGCTTGCTTCGGCCATATCGACGTCGTGCACTTCAGGCTGGGGGAAGGCTTGGCCAGCAGAGAAGCCAGTCGGGGGCACCCATGACTGCATCGGCGGAGGCTCATGTCGAGGTGTCGGGAAGATGAACGGGATGTTTTGGTTCGAGCCGAAGTTGGGGGCCAGTGGAGAGCTGGGGAAAGGTGGCTGCGAGGGGTTGAGGGCTTCATGGGAGCCTGATGCGCGCGCTTTAGAAGAGGTGATCAAGGGTGAATAGAAGAATAGTATGATACGCACGCTTCTGCGGAGTGCTCCAAGCTGGGGGCGTATTGCTGCTGGGCCTGTTGGTGTATTCGAAGTCCATGGGCGCCTCCGTCGAGCGCGTCGTCGTCAGCGGTCGTGGATGCAGTCGTGAGCTCATGACGAGCAGGAGGTCCAGCAGTATACACGCGCGTCGGCGACAATGGCGAGGAGCAAGAGTCCAAGCGGCAAGCGCCGTCGTGGCGCGATCAGCACGTGATCCCGCCGACCTCGGCGCCCGGGCCGGAATGCCGAAAGCAAGCGCCGGCTGGAACGCGATCCTCGAGACGCCCAAGTCGCGTTCTTTGTCCAGAGCGCGAACAATTGGACGCTGGTCGACATGCTTGCTTCTGCTTCTCGCGCAGCTCTCCGAGCAAGATCTTTTGCACGTCCATGTGTCAGCGCCAGCAAGGGCATACGGCGGTTCCACCCCTTGGCAGGCCAATGGGACCCACCGTCCGCCAACCTCGTACCAATGGTCATCGAGCAGACAGTATGTTCGCTCTGCTTCCACAAAAGCTCTTACTCACAAAGGTGTCTACTCCCTAGGGAAGGGGCGAGCGCTCTTATGACATTTTCTCTCGTTTGCTGAGGGAGCGAGTCGTGATGCTTTATGGACCGGTGCGTGGTCTATACATTCTCTCCAGCCTATACTGAACTTATATACCTCATCGACACACAGATACGAGACACTGACTCTGCGCTCATTGTCTCCCAACTCCTCTTCCTCGAGGCCGAGGAAACGTCTAAACCCATCCACCTCTACATCAATTCACCCGGCGGAAGCGTCACTGCCGGGCTCGCAATATATGATACGGTACGCCCATAAACCCTCATAGCCCTCCCTTGATATCAATGCCCGTCCAGATGCAATACGTCTCGTCCCCCATACACACATACTGCATCGGCTGCGCCGCTTCCATGGGTTCACTGCTGTTGGCAGCCGGTGAAAAGGGCAAGAGGCATTGCCTGCCAAACGCTAGCATCATGATTCACCGTACGTCGCCCATCCTCCCCTACGTCCCCTCGCATCTAACGTTCCATGCCATGCTCAAGAACCGTCCGGTGGCGCATCCGGTCAAGCCAGCGACGTCGCCATCCACGCGAAGGAGATCCTGCGCGTGCGCGAGGCGCTCACCGGTATCTACCAGAAGCACTGCGCAAAGCCGGACGAGAGCGAGGCGGAGGGTCTGGCGCGTTTTGGTGAGTGCAGCCGTCCGCTGTCGCGCCGATTTAGGCTAACATACTTCGTAGAACGCGCCCTTGAGCGAGACTACTTCATGACAGGTACGTTTTCTGGCATCTAAGGGGCCATGCACGTAGCTGACTTACTTCCCTCATAGCCAAGGAAGCTATCGACTTTGGCATCGTAGACGGTATCTTAGAGAAGCGGCCGACAACAGGGAATTGAATGCGCCGAGTGACTTCATGAAGCCGAGTTTCTTGAGCGACTTGCGGAAGCCGAGCGGCCTGAGCGGTTGGCGGGGGAATGAACGTTCCCAGCAGATTGAGGTACTTATGCGAGTAATGTGCTATACTCGCGTGGGTGACGTGCTATACTTGTGTGAGCAACCCCTCTAGTTCGGTCACTGATCATTGCGCTGGTTGGTCGTTGGCTGCCACCCAAATGCGCTCGTTGCTTCTCAGCCCAGCTTCGCCCACCCCGGAAGTCGAAGCACCGGTTCTCCAATGTCGCGGGGTGATATACACACCTCGAATCCCAATGCGCGCGAAACCGAAGCTCACTGCGCGCGAAGCCGAAGCCCAGGACGAGCGAAACCGCAGTCCGAGTTCAATGTCAGCGAACTTGGTCAAATGCGCTCTCAGGCTTTCGAACCCGCTCTCACAGCAGCCTTCATATCGATCGCGGGGAGGCGTGCGCCGCTCATGCAGTAGCCCATCCCTCTCATACAGTAGCCGTCCTTCGTTACGCAGACGAAGACGGCGACTGCATTGACGAAGGCCGAGCGAACATGGGAAGCGGATGGGGATCGAATTCGCAAGGTCCGAGTTCGTTGCATCAGCTGAGAGGGATGTCGCCGAGCTGGCGTTCCATCTCGTTCAGGACGGCGATAGCACATGAGAGCCCACGACCGCGCGAAGCGATGTCTATGACCGTCGAGCGGGTGATTCTAGGAGAAGCTGAGGTACCGGGTGCGAGAGACGCGGGGTGCTCAATGAATGCCTGTGCGATCCTTGTGAATACCAGCGGCGGGGAGGATCCCATAGCGACCGAGAGAACTGTATGTGTTGACCTTCCTAGTGTTCGCGATACTTCCCGTGAGATGTCTACTAGCTCTCACTGAGCATGGTCCGAAAGATTGCATACTACCGAGGCATAGGCGCGTCAATAGCAAGACTTGACTGCGATCAACCCGCGAGAGCCAAGGAATAAATGCGGGTCTTGAGCAGACAAGGTTTGGTACGCATTCGGAGCCTTTGATATCCATAATGGTCCTGCTAGCACGGGAAGGCACATGTTAGTAAACCCTCATTATGGACTGGTGAATAGGGAGGAAGTCTGGTTGACGGTCAGTAGGCCACAATAGTAACCGACGGCGCACCGGGATAGCACTAGGAGCGTGCTATCGAGTAAGGCCTTCATCTTGCATTGCGCACTGATAGGACCTAGTAGAAGCCTTGAGGGGGATGCGCCGGACAGTCATCGCCGTGACGAGACAGGATAGGATTGCACCGGAGACCATAGATACATACAACAGAACCGACCTTCCCGCAGACATTAGAGCGAGAGCCAAGCCAGCCCAGAGAGCAAGCAGAACATTAACGAGATTAGGGATGTATGCGACGTCGGGACGTCGATCGAAGGGGGACGAAGGAGGGTGGGGCGCAATTAGCGGGAGTTCGACCTAGGGTAGGGAGTGCCCGCCGCATGCGTGTTATTTCTTTCCTCCCCCTCCTCCCGCTGCGGCTGCCGCCGCTGCCCGCTCCTCTTCCTTCTTCTGCAAGGAGGGTTAGCGGAAGAAGGGAGGCAGATCGACAAAGGGCTCACCTTCTGCTTTGCGCGCAGGATCTCAGCGTCACTGTCGCCTTGTGTGAGTTCCTAGTACGAGTAGAAGGGGAATGACACGCACGACTCCTTGCGCTTCTGCAGAGAGGCCGCGCTCTCCTTGGGCTTCTTCGCGTTCGCGGCGGCCTTCTTCTGCGCCTTGAGGCGGTCCTGCTCGCGCTGGTTACCACCTAGCGTGCGCGCTATGAGTGACGCGACAGACGGGCTAGCGGGGGCGCAACGTACGGGTCATGGCGGACGCCTCTCCGATTCACGGGATGTGCACGATGCGGGCTGGTGATGGTCAGAAATGAGAGGAAACACGTGCGCTTTGCACCCTTCGGCGATCGCCGGATGGAAAGTTCGAGTGTGCGTTCATTCCGCGCGCCTTGTCCGTTACGTCCGTGGTCCACCGTGCTCGCAGCGTTGCACTCGTCCCTCCGAGCTCATCTGATCCTCATTATTGAATGGCGACTAGTTCTGTCCTGATTTGACTGATCAAACCTGCCTAGTACGGACCATTCGTACTGGTAAATGCGACTTCAAGCGCTCACGGTGATTTGGCTTCGACGTCCAGCTTTTGGACCTTGTGCGATCCCCTAGGTAGGAAGAAGGGTGCTAGACGATATATACGCTACTACCACTAAACTTACCATTGGGAAGATAGCGCGTTCATCTCTTCCTTGATTGCCTAGCCGTCTACTGCCACCGATACTCGTTCCGTGGCGCTCAGACGAACCCCAAAGGCTCGCATACTAAAGACGCCTGCCTTGTCGGAAATACTATATCTCACCGGGTCTTTCGAAAATCCCGCCAAATCTTCGAAACTCCCGGGTAACTCCCTCAAAACGGGGTGCTTTTCTTCCGGAGAAAGATGAGTAGGAAGCTCTCGACGTCCCCTATCGGATGGTGGTACTTTTATGGGCTCTGGAGGGAGGCAAGGATCAGGACGCAGGCGAAGCGGATGACGCACGTGTTTGATGGCCATCAAAATCGATCGGACCATGCTCCCCTCATAGCCAGCCACTTTCACCGCAATTACCGCAAACCAGCGCACAAAACAAAAGTATAGGCGGATAGTATCAAGCTCAGAGGTCCCTACTGACTTTTTTCCGCGTCGAAATACGGTATCTGGAAGGGTGCTACCGGGAGTTTCGAAATTTCGGTGGGATTTTCGAAAGACCCGGTGAGATATAGTACGGTAGCTTTCCGGTTTCGTTTACAACGGGCATCCCCGAAATGGCCAAGACTGCATGACCGGTACGTGACGTGCCTTTCGAAGCAAGGGTATACCCCCCGCAGATTGCACGATCCCGTTATACACTGTTCCCTCCCCGAGTCCCGCAACACATCGGCGTATATCGATCACGATACACGCGAAGGCAACCCTATTGGCCATCTCAAGCTATATGGGGGTGTATACAGAGTCAGTTCAAGTTGACGCCACAGTCAGCATCAGCCCACGGTAAGCGCCTCGAGATCCATCCTCATCATATCATCAGCGCTGCGCCGCGGTGGCAGTTCAGTAGCTCTATCGCGCTTCAGAAGCTATCGGGGGCAGTGTCAATTGCAAAGATGTGTCCTACTTTGGTATGTGGTTTCCTATAGGCTCAGAAGACCTGCTACTTTCCTGGCAGCGGCCAAGATCCGAAGATCGGGGCCAAGGGCCCTAACATCTTAGCTGAGTGAACATCGTCCATCCCTATCTACTAGCGCTTCATTGACACAGGTCTACCTGAACGCTGACGCAAGGCTTGCATACGACCTACCCAAGCATCTGGCGGACACTGCTCTCATTAGGCTGCCAGACGTTCGATTCCCGCGATCATTCATTCGTAGCGCTGAACGTGGGTCGCCTCCCTCGCACTCTTATATCATCCTTCGACAGGGCCGCGAATATCTTCGCCGGTTTACGCTACGCTTGCGTACTGAATCTACCATTATTTGGGCAGGTCTTGCTACGTTAGGCCGCCTTGCGTCCCTTCATCCGTAAGTCAAAGCCTTCCCAAGAAGTACAGATTCACTGACGTACACATTCAGGCGCTCCTTAAGCTGCGCAATTACGCGCACCCTCTCACCACGCTGAAAAGGGACGTCTGTACGTGGGATGGATCAGCCGCAGTCCCCTCCCATCTCCGACCGCGAGCCCCGGCCTCGACCGCCTATTGAGCCGCACTCCGGTAGCCAGGGCTTCTGGTCGCCACGCTGCCGTCTCGATGCGGGCAGCCTGCCTGGCCTCTGACGTTCGCGCGCCCCGGTTCCTGTGATAGCGACAGCCCGAGGCAGACGCATCAGGCTCAAGATGTTACCCAATCTAAGCGGTCGGCGCTTTCCAGCGGCGCTTCCCGGCCATAAAGGGTTCATACGCGCGCCTCGCGCATGCCCTCGCGCTTCTCCAGCGCTTAACGTCGGCACCGGGGCGTAGCGCATCTCCTGACGAGGCCTAATCAGGGTCGTCGTTTGGCGCTAGACTGGTATGCCCTCTGCATCTAGCCGACATTGCTTGCCTGTCACTCACTCAATGATCCCAGTATATCACAACAAGCAGACTATGACGCCCCGCTACCGCCGGCAACGGGGCGCGCTATCGTTGTCTGCCAAAAGTCGAACCGTTTGCGTGACGTGACATGTCCGTTTTGGGCTGAAGGACCAGCCCAGCGAAATACCTCCGTCTGTCTGCCGTTCGGGTTCCTGTCCGGGGCCGCTGCTCTGCCGCGACACGCGGGTGAGAGTCTCGGGAGGCACGACAGGAGGCGACCAAGGTGGAAGGTGTCATCGCGATGGGTATGGTCTCGGATTTTGATAGGGGTGGCGCGCACGTACTGCAAACGACCGAATTTCTAGCGGCTCTACTGCCGAGCATAGTACATCCTTGACTGCTTCACCTTCACAATTTCGCTGCAAGCCATTATACAGGTGACGAGAGTTATGCTATGAAGCCGTACATGCCATACGTACCGATTGTGACACCAGCCATTCGAACGGCTCGGCGAAGATTGGTGCGCGGACGAGACATCGAATACTTCCACGGAGTACGCGGGGACGCCGTCATACTAGGCGTTGCCTCGCCGAGACTGATCCCCACAACGCTCCGGAGGTTCTGGCCTAATCTACTTCCGGATGCAAGGGTGGCGCGCGCCGAGTCCCTACTTGTTATGCAGGCAGCTTCACCACCCCGCGTATACCCTACGCGACACCGCAGCACTGCCAATGCACCACGCCATAGGGGCAGGCAGTGGAGATACGCGTCTCGAGATAGACATGGAGGGAGCGTAACGCGAAGCAGGGTTCCCTCCCCCGGCAATGCGGAACGTGCATGAGGGTCACGCGCGTGCGACGATCAACGACCTGCTCTATTCGGTCGAGCTTGAGAAGGACAATAGACGGGTTCGAAGATGCGGGGGTTCGATGTTTGGCAGCTGCAAGCGTACCTTTTGACGCTCTGAGGTGCCATTCCAGTGCCAAACGTCCTCGCCAACACCCGAAGCTAGAAGGCAGGAATTTAGTATAGGATTCTCGGAGGGATGGTCGGGGCGGGGATGGATGCCTGAAGAATGAACTTACAGCCGACCCGGGGAGGGGCGTTGTATGCGATGAATGCTTCACTGAGTTCGTGCGCCGCGCGGGAGAGTTCTCTTCATTGTGGTCGCATACTCGTATGAAGGGTATGTATACAACGCCCACCTTCGCGCCCTCATCGGTGCTTGTGAAGGCGCGGCTGTGAGACCGGTCGCACGAGGCCCTCTCATCCAAATCTGATTAGATGCGCGCGCATAGGCTACGATCCGCCTCTTTCCGCAGGTCTTGTGGTCAGTTGATCCCTGTGGCTGTCTGCGGATCCATGGGCCGCGGTAGACGATAAGCAGCTAGAAGGGGTGCTTCTTTTCCCTGGAAGTGGGGCTGAATTGGACCCATTGTCGATGATGGTGCGCTTGGGAAGCGCCGCAGGGAATCGTGCCGGCACATGAGGCTCGCGGGGTTTGAAAGACCGTATGTTAGCGGGGTGAGCTAGGGTGAGTCACAGCCGCGCTACGTCCGGGTCGTGAGGCACCTGAATGGGATGGATGGATGGTTCCGTTTACCGTTTAGCGCGCATAGAATTGTGACGACGTCCCGTCAGGCTGTTATAGCGCTCGAGCAAGGCTCGTGGCGCGCGGGACGGCGAGATTAGCTTTCTATTAGAGGTACGTATGAATGGCCGCACTGAGTACGTACCGCCGACGCAGTCGCGCCATGGGAAGATGTACGGAGATGTTTGACGTTGTCCTATGTCCTATGCACGTGGAAATGAACATAAAAGCCCAAATTCGTCCGACACCGGGTCGAACACACTTCGCGTGGGCATGGGAAAGCGGTATAAAGCGATTGACGGTGACAGGATCAGATTCGCGAACGACAGCCTCCGACGGCGACCACGCGAAGAGGGACGCAGAGTTTGTGTGACTGCCCGGAATAGGGGTGGTGGCGGCGCCTCTGGCCGAATACGCGAAGATTGGTCGCCCCGGCACGCGGACAGAAAAGGGACCAAGGCGGGGTCGGGGTCGGCAATGGGGCGGCGTCAGGAAGGACAGGCTCCAAGAGGGCGAGGAGAGGGCGCAGACAGACACAGGCAAAGATTGACGTTTTGGGACCGCGGAGACGCGCTGCTGTGGCGCGCGGACGACGTGGGATGAGCGCGCCGAGAAAAGCGGAGGAAAAAGCTTCGGAGATTGGCACGACGCGTGCTTGGGCGACGCCCTCGAGCATCCGCATGACGATGACAGACGCGCCGCTTGACAACGGACCAGGAGAGCTGAGAAAGGAGGTTATTTTGGATGGAAGTCAGGAGGTGAAAGGCTTGAAAGGGGTCCGGCACGCGGAATTGATTTCGGAGGAGAGCAACAGGGGATCGGAAGCGTCGGAATGTGGGTGTGGCGTCACATGCGCAGGTTGCGGTTGCCCAATCATGGTGACAAACGCCCCCGCGATCCAATGACGCCAGGGCTTGATCTGGATCAGTACCCATTCGTCGGTCGCGGAAGCGAAGTTCGGAAGCAAGTTTGCAGATTCGGCCAATTAATCAAATGCCATCATGACCGTGGGAGAGTGCTCTGCTGGTCCAAGTCTATCAAGGTTCGCGTGGCAAAGTACACGTCAGCGCAACCACTCTTGGCCTCCTCGAACACCTTCGGACCGTTGGCGGACAGCCGTACGACTTCGTGAATGGCAGAAGGCAGAGGAAGTAAGATGGATTGACGTGTAGGTTGAACATATAGCAGGGTCCGTGAGGGCCGCGGGGGAATCGAGGACGAGTGCGTTGCGGGCGTTCGGTCGCTCGAATTGGGGACCGAAAGTCGAGACCCTTTTGGGCGCGAAAGGCAACGTGTGATGCCCGTGGCATGTTTGGATTGGCGATAAGCGAGGTGTCTTGATGGCGGCAGCAGAGGACTGCATTCGCGGCAAAACAAAGGCACCCGGAGGCACGCGGCAGGAAAAGATGGATACGAGGTGGCTGTGCACGGGCGGTGGATTTTGGGAAGGACGAGACAAGATGGGAATGAATTGGGGAAAAGGAAGCACGGAGAATTGGAATGAGGAGGGTTGAATGGCATGAGGGGAGGGCGCGGGCGGTGGCGGGCTGCGAATGGATGAGCCGAATCAGCTGCGATCAGAAGCGGGAGGAAGCAGGAGGAAGGCAAGATGACAGCAGCGGGCGCGCGGGGGGCGGGCAGGATGCCGAGAAGGCCCCGATGTGATCTAAGGCGAGTTGCATCACCGTGCGCCGGGTGATGTCTGGAACAGAAGTGACCGTGTCGTGTGTAATGCCGCTGATCTCTGATTCCTGATCTCGCGTGCCGCCTGCTGCCCTGGCGCCGGCCCCGTTTATATACCCCGTCCCATCACGCGTCCACCTTTTCGCCCCGCCCCGCCCGTCCATGTCCCACCGCCACGTCTCGCGCCAGCAGGACCGCGAGGTCCGCATGGCCGACCCCTCGCCCACACTCGCCCCTCACCTCAACGGCGCCCCCGCCCCCGCCGTCGCCGTCAACGGCGCTCACCATTCCCACCATGCCTCTCCTTCCGTCGCCCATGCGGTCGCAGTCAACGGCAGCACAGCTCCCCTCTCGCTCACGCAGAAGCTGACTCGCGCAAATGAGGATATCTGGATGCTTGTCGGTGCGTGCCATACTTCCCGCATGCTGTGGCAGTGGCTCACTCCACCGCAGGGCGCGTTGCGGAGCAGATGGGCGAACTTGATCTTGCGCTCTCCGCATACGAAAGCGTGCTGCGCCACAATCCCAATTCTTTACAGGGATTGAGTCAGGTTGCCAGCATCGCGCGGATCAAGGAAAACTACCCCAAGGTATGGCTGCCTCGTGGCGCGATTTGGACGGCCCCTGACAATGCCTTCCCGATTAGGCAATCGAGTACTTCCAGCGTGTCGTTGCGGTGGACGAGCGAAACGGGGAGATATGGTCGGCCCTCGGTACGTCCTGATACTTCCTCGTACTTCTTTGTTCTGACTTGCCTCAGGCCACTGCTATCTTATGCAAGACGATCTCCAAAAAGCTTACGCCGCATATCAGCAAGCCCTGTACAACCTCCCAAACCCGAAGGTGCGCGTGACGTCATGTTTCGCCGACATGAACTGACAAAGGCGCAGGAGGACCCCAAGCTCTGGTACGGCATCGGCATACTCTATGACCGGTATGGATCTCTTGATCACGCCGAGGAGGCGTTCTCGTCCGTCCTCCGAATGGATAAAGGTTCGTCTTCCCCGCGCTTGCAGGAAGATCTCAGATATCGAACTCATGACTAGAACTAGACTTCGACAAGGCCAACGAGATCCTGTTCCGGCTCGGCATAATATACAAGCAGCAATGCAAGTACACGGACTCGCTCAATTGTTTCCATCAAATCCTTCGCAACCCGCCAAGCCCCCTCGCGCACGCCGACATATGGTTCCAGATTGGGCATGTGCACGAGCAGCAAAAAGACGTAAGTGGCGACGTTTAGCCTACGCGATACGCTTCTGATCCAGGTTTCAGTTCGTGCAGGCGAAGGAGGCGTACGAGCGCGTCGTGCAGGACAACCCCACCCACGCCAAGGTATTGCAGCAGCTCGGTTGGCTGTACCATCAGGACGGTTCCTCGTTCCAGAATCAAGATGAAGCTATCCATTACCTTACGAAGAGCTTAGAAGCTGGTATGTGGCCTTACTTGCAAGAGTCTATCAGCGCTAATCATCGCCTAGATTCCTCTGACGCGCAAAGTTGGTATCTTCTCGGCCGCGCCTTCATGGCTGGCCAGAAGTACAACAAGGCGTACGAGGCGTATCAACAGGCGGTCTATCGCGACAGCCGGAACCCAACCTTCTGGTGTTCAATCGGTGTTCTTTACTTCCAGATCAACCAGTTTCGGGACGCGCTTGATGCGTATTCGCGGGCCATCCGCATCAACCCCTACATCTCGGAAGTTTGGTTCGACCTCGGCAGCCTCTACGAGTCTTGCAACAACCAGATCTCCGACGCGATCGATGCGTACGCGCGCGCCAGCGAGCTCGACCCGTCGAACCAAATCATCACGCAGCGCCTCCAGCTTCTCAAGAACGCGCAGATCAACGGCACGCGCGTCGGTGCCGCGCCGGGCCCGCAGGACGTTCACCCGACGGCGTACGCCAACGTCGTTCCCCCAGGTCCTGGTGGCATGAGCGGGATGCAGCTGATGTTGCACCCGCCGGGCGTGACACCTCGCCCAGCTGCTCTGCGCACCGATTCGCGTGGCCCGGGCAGCGAGATGGCGCTGCCGCCGCCTTCGCAGATGACGGCGAACGCGCGCAGTGGGTCGCCGCCGTTCCGTGGAGGACCGCCGCCGCCTGTCGTCCTCGACGATCGCCACCCGCCCTCGCATACACCGCTCGCGCCGATGGAGCTCGACCGCGGCGGTGGGCCGCTGCGCGATGGTGGTCGCTCGCTGCTCAACAGGGACAGCGTACCGCCCCAGCAGCTTCGCAGCTCGAACGGACACGTCGACCCCTTCTACACTCGCCCGGCAGGCGCGCGTCCCTCGCGCTCATCATCTCCGGCTGCCCCGGCTCCCGCACCCATCGTCGCCGTGCGCGGTCGTTCGCCCGAGTCGTGGCAACAGCGCCCGCCCAATGGCTCGCCCGTCATGTCCAACCGCCAGTTCGCGACGCCACAGCGCGAGTACGACTCGTCTCCAATGGACAACGTGCGCTCGTGGAGCCGCAACCAAGCCGCACAGCAGCAGCAGGAGATGATGCGCGGGCCCGAGCCGCCGCGCCGCGAGCCGTCGCCGCCCGTGAGCGAGCGGCAGCGGTCGGTGTCGCGGTCGAGCGCGCGCGTCAGCCGCCGCTACCTGCCGCCGGGTATGGAGGAGGGCCGGATGCCCGGGTACGAGCGCGAGCGCGAGCGCACGACGCGGTACGACCCTCGTATGGACCTGGGCAACGAGCGCGACGCGATGGAGGCCGACCGCCGCGCCAACTACGAGCGCTCGCCCGAGAGCATGCGCGGCAGGGCTGCTGCCCAAGTCGCCGGCTCGTCTCGCAAGCCAAGCCCGGGCAGCCCGCACGCACCAACGGCTGTGAAGCGCGGTGCTCCGTCTGGCGACCAGAACGCAGGCCCGAGCAAGCGCAAGCGCCGCGCGGGCAAGTCGTCGGGGTCGGATACGCCCAAGCCTGAAGGGTGGGCGGAGAAGAGCCGCGCGGGTGCGCGTTCGCCCGGCATGATGAGCAGCTCCGGCAACTCGTCCTCGCGCTCCGTGCAGCCATCGCCGACCGCGAGCACGGGCATGGTGCGCCCGCCGTCGCGCATCGTCGACGAGGACTACGACGAGCCGGGTGCGAGCGCGGCGGATGCGCTCATTGGTCTCGCATCCGCGGGCAGCGGCTCGTACCGCCAGGCCGAACCTGTGCCGAAGAGCAACTCACCGACGGTGTCGACGGGGAGCCGCCACAGCGACAACGCCCGCGCGCCGTCGCACCGCAACTCGATCTCGTCGCAGCGCAGCCCCCTGTCGCCGCCCGCGCCGCCTCCGCCTACTCTCAAGCGGCCTCCCAGCCACGGCGGTTCTGAAGGCTCGGAGCCGAAGCGTCCTCGCATGGACTCCCGTGCTCGTCGCCCTTCGTCGCCGGGCCGTCGTTCTCCTGTGCCGTCAAGTCGGCCATCCCCCATTCCCTTCCGCACTCAGCCCGCGTCGCGCTCGCCCGACACGCACGAGCCGTACCAGGCGAGCCCGTCTCTGCCCGCCGTACTTCCACCCCACCCGCGTCCCATCGGCAACGGCGGCGGTGGCCAGGGTAGCTCGCCGAACATCGCTCTTCCGCCCATCGCGACGTTGCAGTCGCCCAAGAGCCCGCAGGAGGAGAAGGAGGACCGGATGCAGGTCGACCGCAGCCGCTCGGGCACTCCCAGGCGGCGCTCGCCGAACACCCGCCCTTCGCCCCCCAAGGTGGAGAAGGATTGATTGTCTGCTTTTGAGTGACTGCTTCGTGGTGGTATGTATGTCATGCTATGCATTGATCTTATGCTCGGATATGCCGAAGGGGGTGCTCAAAGACACTGAGAATGCACTACTGTAATATACCATATCATGTTGCTATTTCTTGCTATATCTATCTGCCTTATGGAATCACTCCTTTGAAACATACTTTGTGAGTGAGGCTTTGGGAGCCGCAGAGCTTGAAGACCCCTGATGGACGTGCCGGTTGCTGAGCTTGTACTTATGGCGTCCGGCGATCTGCACGGTGGCGCGCCCCTATCTGTCGCCGGCTTGCTTCCGCCCCTCACCTTTCCTGGTAGGCCACAATATGGCCACAGCTGATCTTCCCGATGAAATTCTTAAGGAAATCCTCTCGCTTGTCATGAGCGTTCCAGACGAGGACTTCCTACATGGCAATCACGGCGACGACTTTTTCGCGGGCTCTCCATTCGCGCGGTACGGGAAGGTTTCGACATCGACATTGTTGCTGGTCTGCAAGGGATGGCTACGAGTGGGGACTCCGCTGCTGTACCATACTGTTGTCTTGCGGTCTACAGCACAAGCTCAAGCGCTCGAGCTCGCATTGGCACAAACGCCGCAGCTAGGAAAATTTGTCAGGTATGGGGTATATGCGCGCATATATGCAGTATCTACTGACTATCGACCTCAGGAGGCTTAGGTTGGAGGGAGGCTTTGGTGATCACGTCCGCGGCGCGTGCGTCAAGTGCCCGAACATAGAAGAACTCGTATTGCTGTTTGACTACGAGGCGAGGGACAGCACTGCCGGGATCCGGAAGGCCCTCAAGCAGATGAACATCAAGCATCTGGTTCTGACGCCGTCGTACAGGCGCAACGCGCGCAGCCTCAGCGTTGCAAACAAGAACTCGGTCGAGCTCAACACTGCTGTGCACGAAATGCTCGTCCGGTGCAAAACCTTGGTGAGTCGACATATACCCGGAACGTTTTCGCGTGCTCACGATATGTCGCAGAATACTGTGACGATATATCCTCCCAGAGCGTTCAGGTACTTTAGCAACTGGGATAGAGTGGAGGAAGGACTAGGAAATGCCCTTCGGCTCGCTCCCAGTCTGCAAAAACTAAATGTCCCGATCAACCTCACCTGGAAGCTCTTTTGCCCGAACTGGCTTCCGCTGGCCTCGTACAATCCGCACCTCAAGGTCATATGTTTCGACAGGCCCAAGACAGAAGACTGGCAAAAGCTCGAGCCTGAGCTGCCGAATCGACTGCTGTCTTTGGTGTGGTTCAAGTGCGAGTGTGTCCGTACATTGTCTTGCTAGAGCCGTGACTGACCTGACCAAGGACGAGCGATGGCGACGACATAATGCTTCGACCGTGTCCTCTTGCGCGGGCGCCCAGGAAGGTCCAGCCCATGATTTGGAGAAGGATACTAGATTACTTCTACTGCGTGGACGAGGCCGACTTCAATCCCTTCTCGCGCAAGCCCCCCTCATACCAGTCGACTTCGAACAAATATCGTTTCAAAGTGGCCACTCTCTCGCGTGATTTCTACGTGCGTAGCACGCTAACTCAACACGAATAAAGCTGACTGTAGCAGCGTATCGCGGTTGAGAGCATGCGCTCGACTTTCGTTATCGACGGCTCGCCAGCCTTGCGGAAATTCGAGAAGTCAATACGACAGAACCCGCACGAGTACGACGAGCTAGAATGCCTCGTCTTCCGGCGCTTATACCCCGAGTCGGCCGTCGTGCAGCTGTCGGATGACATATTCGCTGACCATGACTTCCCGAGCTTGCGGCGGGTGTGCGGCAGCGTCGTGGCACCCGGGCGCATGAGTAGCGCATCCCTCAAAAATTTGCTACGCAAGCGGGGCCGTTTTCTTGTGGAGATTAGCGGTTTTCGGGTCATGGGCTCCGGTGTCCTTCCCGCGGCGTCCTTTGCGGACCTCGTCAATATCCATACGTTCTATTGGCATAGCAGTGTCAAGATTAATACGCGCCAATATGTTCCGCCGCCCGAGTGCTTTCGAAGCCTCCGGGCCCTTTGGTATACCGGCGTGAATTCCTTTATCAAGCTGCTCGAGGCCTGCGAGTAAGTTACAACTTCGTAGTCCTCTAGCATTACTGATTAGAGCTAGGTTACCGTCCCTGCGCGTTCTGTGGATTTCCAAGGTCGGCGAGAGCACGAAGCCGTTTTTCGAGAAACACGGTAGCAAACTCGAGGAACTCAAGATCATGGACGTTTCGTCGGACACGTCGGATGTTCTTGATCTATGCCCCAACCTGATGTTGTTGAGACTGCAATCTGTGGTATGATACTCTCATTTTCCTCGGTTCATACTGCTCACGATTTCAGGGTGAAAAAACGACGCTCGACTGCAAAACTTCGCATCAAAAGCTCGTTAAAATATATATTGACGACGGCACCATAAGCCGGGAGTGGGATCCTTTCTTCCTGAGCATAAGTCGGGACAATCTGCCAATGTTGAGGGAGATTATTGTCGATTCCTTCGACTACCCAAAGACTGAGTGAGTTCGGTGTTGCGCGGCGTTTACAAGCAGCTAATGACTTGCAGACAGGATATTAGGAAGAACGCGTGGGTGGAGAGGGCAGAGGCATTATTGGAAGATGGTATACGGTTGATAGATAGGAGGGGTCTGCACTGGGTACCGAGATTAGAGCTAGTTACAAGGCTACGACGCTGATTCGCCTCGTTTCGAGCGGGAAAAAATCGTAAAAAGCCAGGGAAAATTCTGGGATGTACCTGACATCTGTCCTACCCCTCTAACGGCCGCCGTAGCCTAATGGTCATGGCGTCGCTTTCCTACGCGCGCTTCGTTTACGTTCTGGCCCTTATGCTAGGAATTTAGGCGGAGGTTGCGGGTTCGAGTCCCGCCGGTGGTTTGTTGCACGCTTTTTGGCTTATTCTGACCGCTGTGGTGGTCAGAAATTTTTGTCTATGATTTCCCCGACTTCTCTGACATCGAATGAACGTCAGAAAGCACTTTTCGTGATTTTTGAGCCACTATCGCAAACAGGACGAGCTGAAGAGCAAGCAGTATCGCGTGAAGCGAAATCTCACAGGGGCGAAGCACACTCGCCCAAATATTCTTTCTAACACCATGACCGTGGTCCAACATCATGCAGTAGACACCCTAGCTCAATATGAGCATGTACAACTTACCCAGTCCCTGTCGGGATCCTTGAGAGCGCGAAAAGCTATGGAAACAACGTTGCGCTCGAACTCGCCGTTGCCACCGGCACTCTACAAGTCTGCCGTCTTCCACTTTTTCCAGGCCGGGACAGATTACACTCGTCGGGGGCAGGGAACATCTTCACAATAAAAATTAGGCGCCCCGAGATGGACGATTGAGGGAGGTCCGATGCACGCACGATCAAAGCTGAACGCGTAATAGCGAACACGGGGGCCATATCTCCAAACCAACAGAACATTATATCGTGAAGTAGGTAGTCGAATGGTATAGTAATGTACAATCCCAATCATCGCGAATAGTCCCGGAGTGTACGTGAAGTCCATAGCAAAAGGCCTTTCGTAGCAATCATCACGAAACCCTACATACGCTTTTCCTGATGCGTGTGTTACAGTAACAACGCGACGTCCAGTCGTTTAACCGTAATGGAGGAAATCGTTGAAGTTGGTGTAGGGGATAGTATCGCCCGTCTGGGTCCAGTCGAGGAGAGCGCGCCAGCCATTGGCAAGCAAAGTGTCGACGCTGCTATGGGGAAGTTAGCGCCCTCGATCTACAAGGTAACCGTGAAGGCGACGAACCTCGGCCAGTCGCTGGACCCGATCTCGCTCAGGGTGCTGTAGATGAAGTCGATGTAATTCTGCTGGGTGATAGGGCAGCCGTTTGGCGCCCAGGCGCAGTCACCGACGATGCTGGCATAGAGCTGCGACGACAATCAGTACATGGAGCGCCCAAGGGACTGGCTACACTTACGTTGTAGTCGAGGCTCGGCTCATTCCAGATGCAGGTGAGATTCTGGTGGTTGCAGCTCGCGAGATGCTGGACGGTCTCAGGCTGAAGGACTTGATTAGGAAAAACCGACGCTTGAAGGTGAGCAAGGCAGGACGTACCCCAATTTTCGTGTCGCTGACAGCAACGGCGACGCACGCCTTGGTGCCCCACAGATTGCCAGTGCCGCCGACGGCGTTCTCGTCGTAGCGGCAGGCATCCATGAGGTTGCCTTGGTAGGGCTCGTAGTTGATGAATCCGCCCCAGTTGTGCACGCCGGCATAGCAGTTGGCGCCGTTGTTGCAGTACTCCTCGGCAGGAGCGGCGAGGGCAACCGCGGCAGAGAGAGCAGATAATGCGAGAGCGAGCTTCATAGTGGATTGGGAGGGAAGATGAGAGGAAGTGTTTACTAGCTAGTACTGAACCGAAGTCGAGGGAGTACTGTGGGGAGCACGACGAGGGCACTCACGTACATATTTATACCTGGTCCCGAAGCCTCTTCGGCATACCTGCCTCAATAGATCCGACTCTAGAAGCCAACAGAGAACAAGCGTCGGCAGTGATGGGCCAGGCATCGTCGAGCAGGAATGTATGAGCAGCGGGGAGGCGTCGCCGTCGTTTCGATTGTCTTGATCATGCTTTTGACAGCTCTGTGGGTTTGTACCTCATGTTGCACTGCCTCCAAAAGCGCTATTGAGGCCACAAGGATATCAGGTGCCCAGACGCAGCGGTGATCAATAAGAGCGGTGTCTTGCAGCCATCCTGGCCGCATGAAGAAGGCACTGACCCCATCCAATGTCTGGTAACAAAGAATATCGGCGCTGCGGTCGAAGGTCTGGTCGTTGAGGGCAAGGACTTCCGACGCGAACTCTCCGCCGCGGGCGCACCACGGCAATGCGCCCGAGGGCTGACATGACGCCTGCGAGTCGGCGATAGGTCGAGGTCTGCAACACCAGGCACTGAGCAACTGCTGATGTGCCGATTGATGACGGCCATCCACCGAGTGCGGCAACGGAAAGGCCCTTCTCACTAGCTACGCAGTCAGAAGGTGTATTTCCCAATTGGAGGCCGGTGTATGTTAGCATACTAGAAATAAGAGTCTCTACACGTCAGACCTCACCTAAGACCTTTGCCATGCCACGGTTACTGAACACTTTAGAGATGCATAGCTAACCGGCCTTGGCACGCTGTCAGCTTGCGTCGCTGATCCATAGGATCTCCACGATATAGCAGGAGATATGTTGGCACGCGTTTGTCTCGTTGCGTTGCCCCAACGACGTTCAGTGCTGTGCACTTTAAACAATATGGGAATGAGTAAAGCTGCGATTATGGCTCTTGCATAGACGTCTGCTGCAACCGAGCGCTGCTACAATGCCTTCACGCACCGTATACAGCATGGCACGTATACAGCTTAGCGCTGGGCCCGAGCCATAGCTTCTCGCATGATAAAGCCTGCTATTGGGCCTGCATTGATTTGGCGGTACGCCTCAATCGCGGGGTGATTTATGCTCTCGCTCTCGAAGTGATATCCCGATGACTGCACAGCGGCGTAACTATGAGACTGGCTTCTGGAATGGGATGAGCGTCAACAGAGACAAGAGGGCGAAATATACAGCGAACGGCGATTGCGCACTGACTCAGGACCGAAATGACAATTTCAGCCGCATATATGCGCCCAAGGCTCCGAGGTTTGGCGGGACTGGTCTGTCTACGACGACTTGAAGTGACGGAGCGTTTGTGCATATTGATGAATCGCATATAGCAGGCTTGTTGCGAGTCGTAGGGGGAAGACGACTGGGGTCCAAGTGCGAAGGGTGGCGCGGATGTGATTGCGTAGAGTATTAATGGCCAGCAGGCGCACGCTGAGCACCTTCTAAGCTTGACTTCCGATACAGATATTTTGAAGCGCGAGTGAGTTGAGAGATGGAGAGAAGATCAAACGGCGTCGAGGGAGACGTCAAGGGAGGGTATGCTCGATCTGTCGCCGCCCACGGGACCTTCACATACGCCTTCCCGCGGGTCCTATGCAGGGAAGTTGAATTCAGTTCATCGGCAGTAGGATACTACGCACTGATAGAGCCCCATCGCGGCGACTGCGACGATACATGAACGTTTCTGCAGGCGGCGACAGAATTCACCCTGGGCGGGTGACTCAATAAAGGCGTGTCGGCCCAAGATGGCATACACAGTCCTGGTGACCGAGCGGGAGGATGACATTGCGCTTGTCGATGATGGCGGGAAGCAAGCCGATGTTGGAACATAACGCGAACAAACATCCGCTTTTAGCCCTCAAGGACTTCTAGATTTGGTAAAGCCGAAGGCTATCGAACGGACTTCACACGTCAGATGACAATACGGGAACAGAGTGACATCTAAATCGCATCGTATTGGACAGCACTGTCTGCTGGAAAGTCAATTAAACATAGGAGGCGATGGGCGGGAGACACGCACACAAGCAAGATAAATAGTACACTTGAGTACATTCTATGACAGATCTACTAAGCTTCATCCTTCTTCACCTCCTCAATGACCTGGTCGACACCAGCGCGGCCCATGCCAGGAGGGAGGCTGAGCGGGGCGAGCCGAGCGCGGGCGGCATGGCGGGCTTCCTGAATGAGCATCATGTCCATCACGACGATGGCGGCCATAGCCTCAACGATGGGCACAGCGCGCGGGACGACGCAGGGATCGTGACGTCCGCGCGCAGCGAGCGTGCCCGGCACCCCCGCGTACGTCGACGTCGCCTGCTCCTGCGAGATTGTCGCTGGCGGCTTGAAGCCAATGCGGAAGTAGATGTTCTCCCCGTTCGTGATCCCACCCTGCACACCGCCGCTCCAGTTCGTGCGCGTGCCGAGCTTGCCGTCGCCTTTGGCGTAGAACGCGTCGTTGTGCTGGCTGCCGTGCGCCTCAGTGCCCTTGAAGCCCGAGCCGATCTCGAAGGCCTTGGTGGCGGGGATGCTGAGCATGGCGTGCGCGAGCTTCGCCTCGAACTTGTCGAAGACGGGCTCGCCAAGGCCGCTTGGGACGCCGCGAATGACGCAGGTGACGGTGCCGCCGATGGAGTCGGCCTTTGCAGCGGTCGAAGTGATGAGCTGAGGGTGAACGGTCATTAGCGGAGGACGGGCAGAACGGAGTGAAGGGATGTCGTACATCGGTCATCTCTTTGTGCGAGGCAGCGTGGGGGCAGCGGATGGTGTTCTTGTCGACCTCTTCGCGTGTGACCGTATTGAGGAGCTTCATGTAATCCTCGGATAGGATCTCGTCGTCGTCTCCACCCATTGTGCGAGGGACATGGACTTTACCAACGCCAGAGACGAAGGCAACGATCTCGATGCCATATACCTCCTTGAGGTACTTTTCTGCGATCGCACCGGCAGCGACACGACCTTAAGACCGTAAGCCTGTGTCCTGAAGAGGGGGAGGGCGCGATGCAAACTCACCGATCGTTTCGCGTGCAGAGCTGCGTCCGCCACCGCTGCTTGCCTTGACATCGTACTTTTCGAGGTAGGTGTAATCGGCGTGGCTCGGACGCGGGTAGAGGTCCGTCTCGGAGTAGTCGTGCGGCCGGTGGTCAGTGTTCTGCACCATTAAGCCAATGGGCGTCCCCAGCGTAATCCCCTGCTCCGTGCCGGACTGAATTGAAACCAAGTCGGGCTCATTGCGCTGCGGGCGGGATTAGCACATTCGACGTGGCAAGTAGTGGGGAAGGGTTTGCGGTGCTGTGTGCGGATGACAGAGAGCGCGATGGACGGGTAACGTACTGGCGTGGTAAGGGCACTCTGGCCAGGACGCCGCCGCCTTAGCTGCACCTGGACGTCCGCGTCCGTCAGGCGCATGCCGGGAGGGCAGCCATCGATGATCGCGCCGACAGACTTGCAATGGGACTCGCCAAAGGTCGTGACGCGGTAGAGGGAACCAAAGGTGGACATGGTGGGGAGAGACGAGCGGGGGGATCCTGCGATCGGGGTGAGACACGCGCAAAACGCTGGAAAAGAACACACGAACAAGGGGATAGGTTGGGCGTTGTAGAGAACAGGCTGGGGAGGGAGAAATCTTGGTGCAGCATCGCGATCGAGTCACTATATAGGTGGGGGATGCCGGTTAGGCGCCGGTGTTCAAGTCCAGATCACGGCCTCGGCTTGTTTGCATCAAGCATCGCGGCGTTACAGTCCTTTCATCACCCTTCCGCTTACCTCCACTGCCACCACCGCTGTCCGAAATGTCCGCCGCTCGTCGCAAGAAGACACATGCCCACGACGACGCGTCGTACTTTGCCCCATCTGCCGCGTCGCTGACAGGCCCGGGGACGGCTGGCACGAAGCGAGCGCATCCGGACGACGCTCGCGCACCTGCGAACAAGCGCAAGAAGGTCGAGCCACCTGTAGCGGAGAAGCCGACGAAGGATGAGGAGAGAATATGCCCAGTACGTGACCCTGCCCGCCCCACGCTAGCGCGTCCTGACCTTTGAACAGATCGACTTCAAGTCTCTTCCGCCCCCGGTTATCCACAACTACCTTGCAACATTCGACCTCATCCCACCCATATACCCTTCGCCACTCTCCAAGGAAGACCCTATACCCCCGGCCGTGCTGCTTTCCACCGGCCTCCACCGGCAGGCCAGCCCCCCACCTCCCCCGCCCCCCGTGCAGAGTGGACCCGGGGCGACGCCCGCGAACCGTCCGCGGCGCGACCCCATGACGCTGAAGGAGCGCGAGACAAGTCGCCGCCGCAGCGCGCGCCTGCTCGAGGACGAAGAACTCTGGCGCGCCCGCCCGCCTATCCTTAATGACGTCAAGGAGCTGAACGTCGTGCTCAGCACGCTTGCCGAGCGACACTTCATGGGGGAGATTCCTGGAGGGTACAATGCAGCGGCGGCAGCCATCTTCGGTGGGCCAGGAGGATCTATGGGCTTGAGCGGGGTTAGGGAGGAGGTGGACATATTGGCGGCCTTCATGTGCGCGGTGGAGAAGAATAAGAGCGCAATCGCGCTCAACGGTGGACGATGTCCGTAGCTTCTATATACCCTGTTTGTTATTTGTCTTCCTATCCCCGTTCGCATTGGAGTTGCTCAAAGTCAGATTGCTGCAGGCTGTAATGATGCTTCAGTGATCGCCAATTGATGGTGCTAGTGACGAATATGTGGCGTAGGCGCTCGCTACTTGAGTCTTGAACACGTCGAGCCAGAGTCAAGACACGTCGTCCACCCGCGCGCCGAACGCGGTACTTATGCTCCCGAACACATACATATAGACGCAGCACCTTTACAAGCTTAGAACACTACGAAAGAAATGTCGACAAGCAATTCCAACCTAGCCGTTCACCATCGCACTGGAAGCGACAGCGCCAGCTCCTCCGTCTTCGATCTTCCCATCCAAAGCAATGTTCCTGGGCTTTCACAAAACCCCTCTCAGACGACAGTCAACATCGCCTCTCCGTCCCTTCCATCCCATCGCTCGACTTCTTTTGTCGTCATCTCAGGCGGCACAGGCGGCAATGCCATCTGCTCTGCGTTCGCACAGAGTCAGACCAGTCACGTTCTTCCCGTCTCTGACGACGGCGGCTCAAGCAGCGAGATCATACGTGTCCTAGGAGGACCGTCTATAGGTACGTGTCTTGCGCGCGCCTCTTGAGGCAACGGGCGCTTATCAGCTGGGCAGGTGACATCCGCTCGCGCCTCGTGCGCCTCATTCCTGCCTGCCCGCCAGGCTCGCCCCTGGATGCGATCCGGAATCTGCTCTCCTATCGGCTGCCCACGACGCTTACCGAGCGCGAGGCAAGGGATCAGTGGCGGGACATCGTGGAGGGGAGCAGCGACCTGTGGAATGGCATCCCAGGTGACCGCAAGGAGACGATTCGAGGTGCGCCACCGGCAGGATTCCTTTCCGTGTGGAATGCGGCTCAACTGTGTTAGGCTTCCTTGTGTACTTCGAGTCGGAGCTGCTGCGCCGTGCGCAGAAGAAGTTCAGCTTCGTGAACGGCAGGTAGGGGCATTTACGTCGAGAGCGGCTGGGGCAAGTACTGACATCGACCGATAAGTATAGGGAATTACTTCCTGGCCGCCGCCCAGAACTTCTTCCGCTCCCTGCCTTCTGCCATCTTTCTGTTCTCGTCGATAACGAACAGTAGCGCTTCGCCGAACGTTCTCCTGCCTGCGATCGTTACGAATCATACGGTCACCATTGCCGCGGAGCTTGTGAGTGCCCTCGGATAGGTGTATCTCGCTCTAACTTGCCCTCAGGACAATGGTGCAAAGCTGGTAGGGCAATGCGAGATATCGCATCCTGTTCAGCCGTCTTTCGACATGCCCCGATTCACTGTCACGAACCCAGAAAACACCGATGAAGATGAAGATGGGATACAGGCAGGCCAATTCAGTCAGAACAACGCTAAGTTCGACCACCAGGCCGGCAAGGAGGAGTATCAGCCTTTGGGAGCTCGCATATCTAGTGAGGTACACCATGATCCGGCAAAGACACTGCTGTTGAACGTCGTCATTAGGGCTGTACTACATCAACGCATACGGTATGGAGATCCATCCGTCACCAAATACAGAGTACATCAGTAGCCTGAACCGGGCTGACTGTCTGGTCTACTCGTGCGGATCCTTATGGACGAGGTGCGTTCGCGACCACTTGACCCACCACGCCTAAGCCCAACGCTGCGCAGTATTATGCCTTGCCTTGCCTTGCGAGGCGTAGCGTCGGCAATCGCCCGCTCCCGCTCCCTCCGAGCGAAGGTTCTTCTACGTCAGTGTTCCCTACCTCCTTGGGGCCGTCTGCCGACCTCCAGCAGTGAATTCGAAGAACGATCGCGAGACGGATGGATATAGCGCAGTGGACTACGTGCTGTGCGTACATGTCGTCTGACTGACAGGCATTGGGTGGGCTAATACGGCGCCACTCGCAGGGCCATCGCGAATACGTTGAACACGCAGTATAGCCCGGGAAGCTATAGCGGCCTTGGGAATGTGGCGACGAGATATCCCGTCTCTGCGTTCATCACGGACCTGGTGTATTTGAAGGAGGCGCAGGTCGATGTGGATGTTGCCGCGATCACCGTGAGTACGTTGTTCTGTGGCTGACCTTCCCTGACAAGTCCATCAGTCCTTGGGTGTCCGTTGTACGCCCATCGAGGGTGCTTCGTTCAGCGCAGACTCGGTGAGCGCCGCGATAGATAAGATCCTGCGCATTGAGTAGCCGGTCTCGATCGCCGGTGGCTGAGGCGCGCGCTCATCATGCGCCCCTCCATATCAGGGGAAGCTTGGGCGAGGCCACTTCTCTCAGCGCGTCGTCATCGGGCAGGGGTGGGATTTGGGTGTAGTTGGCTGCCCCGTGGGATCTAGTCGCGCGCTATCTAGCGATGATGTACTTGATGCAGATTTTACATACACTCTATCCAGCATGACGGCGGGATTCTCGGCCGCGCGCAGTCTTACTTCTCGCTCTCATCTCGAGGTCGTCCGCGGGCGATGGGCGAAGCGAATGGGCCTCGGTACACTGCGCAGGGGATAGTGGATTGCAGTCTGTTGTGTTCGTTGATCGTGTGTGGGGGACGAGCTGAGACATTTATGCAGGGCGCGACGATGCGCGGAGGGATTCCATGTCCGAGGACGGGTCCCCTCAGCATTCCCCTTGGCCTGCCGTCCGGTCCGTCGACGTTTCGCCCCATGGGGGCCTGCGCCCCGACGAGCAGGTCATCGTGAGCCACGGCGAGCGCTACATCATCTCCCTGAACGACCCCGCCGACCCCGCCGGCCGGCCCTGCATGATCGAGCATACGTCCTCCATGTCGAGCATCCCCTCCCCCGCACACGCACCGACCTCCCCCATACCCAACGGCGTCACCTCCTCGCCCTCCTCGGCTAGCGACTCCTCCCCGTTCTCCCCCTCCGACCCCCCACCCAAAAAGCGCAGTGTGCGCTTTCGATCACGCGTACGCATCACGTCCGGGGTGCGCGGGCACTTTGTGCTGCCCGATACACCTCCCGCGGCCTTCAGAGCGCGCTCTCCCTCGAGCTCGTCATCCATCTCGGACTCGTCGAGCATCTCGGCGCCGTTGAGGTGGAGGGATGGGGAGAAGAGCCTGCGCGACCGGCCGGGATGGGGGACGCTGGGGCAGCGAGTGAGTTTGCTGGCGGGGGGAAGTGGGAGGCGGCAGCGGGTGGACGACGGGAATGGCGATGTAAGCGGGGGAAGTGGAGGGCCGGGGAGACCGCCGACGGTGCATGAGGGGACGCCGCTCATGCAGAGTTCGATTCCGAGGCAGTACGTGTATGCGGACGAGGAAGAGGACGAGGAGCGGCTACGGCGGGAGATTGACTTGGTCTTCGGCAAGTGGCCAGGACGATTGCTGAATAGCAACGTACGTATCCTGCTTGTGCGCTCCAGTCACTTTGCTGACATGCCTCCAGTGGTGGTGGTGGCAACTCGAGCCTTTCGTGTGTTGCCACTGTATTTGTAGCGAAGACTCCGATATAGAGGATTGACTGAGAACACACGACTCCGCACCCTCACCCCTGTACTCACTCTTTCTCGTGTTCTGTATGTCTGATGTTTGTATTGCAGGCTCGGCCGTGTTGTCTTGTATCTCTCTCTGCTCCGAATATACCATACTCTTGGGGCAGCAAACTCATCTAGCGTGTATTAAGGGGAATAGTCTACGCTGCTTGCGACTGGTAGAGTGTCAACTGCTCGTCTCTGGACAAGCCCATGCGGCCACGCCAGTGCTCGGGGAAGAGGGGTGGATCCTCAGCGGTGCGTGGGCGCGAAGGTACGGAAAGGGTTTCCTGAAGGAATTCGGGGACATGCTCAGGGCGAAGCAGCCCAAACCACTCTCCGTGCGGGTACAGGAGGACATTCGCAGCAAACCTGTAGCCCGTTAGTACGAGAGTATGGAAAGAGGTAAAAACACTTACGCATGCTGCCCTACATGACCGCACTCGTAGACGTTGATGGGCGGCAGCGTCTCCTTGAGTCGCCGACGAGCGATTTCGGCCTGGAGTGCCTCAACGACTGGCTTGCCGTGTTCTAGGCAACGACAGTCTCGCTCTCCGTGCGTGCAGACGTAGAAGTCAAGCCCCTGCTCCTGGTGGACCGAGCGATCCGGCGCAGTAGAGATGTGCTCGAGGATCTGTCTCTCGACCTCGTCGATGTTTTCGAGCGCGATATTTGTGAGATTCAATCTTCCACCTGCGACGGTGTACGCGGTCCCTTGGATGCGCGACTCGTCGGACTTGGCTTCCGTGTCGGTGGACCAGGAGAAGTTGACGACGCCGCCCCAACGGGAAGCGCGGAGTTGCAGTGCGCGTTGAATGGGTGTGGATTTGCGGGCAGGGAACTCAGTGGGAGGTTCGGAGGCGTGGAGGAAGATGTAGCATTGGTGCGCGGGTGCCGTAGCAGTGACCAGGGTGGGTGGAAGCGGTTTGGAGCTCAAAGTGCGTCGCTGGGCAATGCTGCGAGGAAGGGGATAGAGTGCACTTGCTCGAGGGGATACGGGAAGGCGGAGCAGATAAAGCATATTCGGACGCCTTCGTAGATGTAATGGGTTGTTCTGTGAGGGAATGGCAGCGCTGTCAATCTCCTCTCATGAGTGATGAAGGCAAGGCAGGTCTCACCGAGTGCCCGTCCTGGACCGTCTAGCGACAATCAGCGCCCTATGTATATTCCGCGTGAATTACTATGCTCATCCAAGGGAAGCATGTTCTGCGCACCTAGATGCGACGATGGATGCGCGGGTCTGTCAAGCCTGGGCTCAAATTGCATGTTTTCTAGTGGTTCGGACTCGATGCCAGCTTGCGCGGCGGCACGGCCCCTAAAGATGGATACGGTCCGTCGGGCCGATGATCCGCAATGTTGATGACGGGATTAGAATGTGCGGGGGCGCTTGCTGCTCTCGAACCGCGAGGTCTACCCAAGAGTCGACCTCGTAGCTCGCCCTGCCTCGAAGTATGCTTCGACGCAGCGGACGGTACCAACCAGTGAGCTCACTCTGTATGTGTACCTGCCACGAATCGCTGACGGATCAGTAGCGTCGGGCATACCCAGCTGCATCAGCGGCGCCTGCTACAAGGTCGCCACTCGACAGATACGAGATCGCTGATCAGACGCGTCCTTGTCCTTTGACGGAGCTTCCTAACGAGCTTCTCATTGAGATCTTTGAGAGCGCTGTCGCGAATGGCGGACGATGCGGACCGCTGGTGCTCACGCACGTCTGCTGGTTTTGGCGCCACATAGCACACTCCCTTCCCCGTCTATGGACCGACCTCCGACTTGAGTTCTCTCATGGAAGATTCCCTGATCACATCCAGCTTGCGATACAGTGGCTCGAGCGCGCTCAAAGCCACACACGATCCCTCACCATCGGCAGCCGAACGGGTAGCGCCAAATCCGTCCCACGTTCGATCTTGCGGGTCGTGCCACTCTTCGCCGACCAATTGCGCATCCTCGACTTCGCGCTTCCTTTTGATGCCTTTCTTACCATGATACCCTTGGACGCCACCTTCTGCAACCTGGAAGAACTTCGAATGAGACCGCTGAACTTTCCCCGTGGCATCATGTCCAGGAGGCGCATCGACGGATTCGCACGCGCACCGAAATTGCGATCCCTGCAGCTGGTACTTCCTTCTGTCGACTGGGACCATGCCTTTCTATCCATCCTTCGTGTTCCGTACGCCCAACTTACCGACCTGTCCCTTACCCTCCAGGGCTCCTGCACACCGCGGTCGACCTTCCGGTACATTTCTGCCTGCACTCAGCTTCTTCGCTGCACCCTTGAAATTCCTCCTTTCGCAGTTGTCTTCGAAGGCATCGCTCCAACCGAGTACAACATCCCAGAACTGCAATCGCTGAGGATACGATTCGTCGCCTCCGCCCGGTATAGCAACTTGCGACACGACCGCGACGAGCCTCTCATCGGGCAGACTGCCTTTCTGCTGAATTCGCTCACTATGCCCAAGCTGGAGAAGTTCGACCTGGAGCTCTCGTCATCGGTACATCGAGCATGCACATGGGATCACGCGGCGATGTTGGCCCTTGTCCGAAGGTCGATGATGCCGCTGAGATCTCTGCGCCTCGCTCGCATCGAGGTCGTCTCTGCGCAACTGGTCGAGCTGCTTCACGCGCTGCCGTCCATAGAATCGCTGCATCTGCACCTCGAGAACACCATCGAGTCGAACTTCTATGAGGCACTTGGCTACCGCAACCGCGCGGTGAGCTTCTTACCTCTTCTGAAGGAGCTCGTGGTGAGCGAGGACGGCTACTCGCTGGACCGCGGGCTCGACTGGTTCATCGAGGAGGCGATCACCGTGCGCTGCCAGTGGGCGGAGCCGGTGGCGCTTGGGCAGACGCCGCTGCAGAAGCTGCACATAACGGTGACGAGGGAGCTGCAGTCGTCGCTGAAGTTGCTGCTGTATAGCATGCTATACAAGGCGCATAAGACGTCGCAGGTTGCCGATGTGTACGTCGCGGACGCGAAGGAGTGGCTCGGTGTAGACAGGAAGACCAACGCCGTGGTTCTTCAGCTGAAGAAAAAGGCTCACGAGTAAGTCGGGGTGCCGAGCTCGAGCATCATAGCTCGCTGGATTGTACAGTTTCGTTCTCTCGTCTCGTCTGGCTGGATCCCATCTCATGCAACTGCTGTTGTTTGTCTGTCACTATCCATCGCTATCGTCGTATATGTTCACTGCTATGTTCAAGGACTATGTGGGGTCGGATATTTCTGGATCGTCGTCGTGTTGTATCAGGCGGTTCACGAGGAGGAAGTCGATCTTTCTGCTATATTCAGCTACAACTCAAGGAACGATCTGCAGTCCCGAAAGTGTGGATTTCTAGCGCTGCTGTCAGCCCCTTCTCTCCGTCGTGACATTCGTGGGTGAGTAGCTACCGCTTGACGTTCGTCGCCGAGGACCTCTTGCGCATCGATGGCGGCAGCTCGCTCTTCTGACGACTTGTCTTCGACGTTGAGCAATTCATGAAGCGCGGTGATCCCGGGGGCGGGGTATGAATGCGATCGCTTGCCAGCGCCGAGGTAGGGGCACGGTGATGGTGTCCGGGAGGTGCCTTGTCAACGGCCAATTTTGACCCTCGGTCGTTTTCTGGTGGTTCCTCGGCGCGAAGCCCCTCCCAGATTCCCTCCCATTCCCTCTCGCGCAACGCTTGCTGGCGCGCGAGAAGACAGTACGACGAGGTTCACACTGACATGGGAAGCTGCATAGGTGAATTGGTAGAGCTCGGCTGCCTTGTCTGCGGCCTGCGACTGAGCTCATGGGTATGCTTTGTGAGCGATCGTCGACGGTAGCAACCGTGATCAGAAATAACGGCGTGACAGCACATGATTGGACTAAAGTCCAACCGTGGGAAAGCGTACGGGCGGCTCGGCCCACGACCTGGACTACACTGCGCAGTCTGGCTTGGAATCCAACAACGTACATGGTTTGTTCGATGCTATCGCTCGTCAAAACCTTCCTTAGAGGCCTCTGTAACGTCTGAACGTCGAGGAGGACCGTCCGCTGGCCATTGTACGCATGCGGGATGGGCTGATCTCTGATTGGATAACATGTCGTCGTGGAGACGTGTGCTTGGTACCCGACTTCTGGGTGATCAAGGAGGCAATAATATAAAAGCCTCACGTATCGGGGTCACCATCCTACTCCCCCTTCCCTCCCTTCGTTTCAACGTCGTTTCGTTCTTCTATTTCGTCTTTCTTCTCCGTTCTTTTTTGCAGCTGTGCTGCCTGGCTCATCAACTCTTTGTACGTCGGGTCCCCTCGTCATGCCATTCCTCGTACTCACGGTAGCCTGCCTACGCAGCTCTCTTCGCCAGTCCCGAGCTCCGCGCCGTTCACGCTCTTTCATTGACTTCCGAGAAGTCCCGCTCATTTCGCGTATTTTACATCATGAAGCTTTCGATTATTCTCCTTGCCCTCCTTCCTGCCCTCGGCCAGGTCGCCGCGTCGGACCTGGGCGTCGATAGCGGTCGCGCCGTCCGTCCCCGTCAGTTCGGCGGCGGGCAATTCGGCGGCGGCTTTGGGGGTGGGTTCGGTGGTGGGAACAATGGTGCCAACAACGCCGGCAACAATGGTGGTAACAACGGTGGTAACAACGGCAATAACGATAAGAGCAACGTGAGTGAACTCTCCATGCGAAGGTCAACGATCGCTCATGCATCCTCACAGGGTAACAACAACAACAATAACAACAATGGCGGAAACAACAACAATGGCAGTGCCGACGATTCGTTAACGTTGGACCCCTCGGTCGTCTCGGATGGCTTTGGTGCGTAGTCCTCGCTATCGACTGCAACTCGTACTGATATACTTCCAGCACAGGACGGTAACAATCCTCCGGCGGACGGGCAGGCCGCGTCGCTCACGTCGAAGAACAACTTCATCAACTTCTGCGTCGGCCAGACCCTCACCAACGGCCAGCAGATCGAGTCGGGCTCATGTAACACGGCACCCATCGGCCAGATCCCCTCGACCGACAACATGCCCTCCTCCAAGTTCGTCTTCCCGAAGAACGGCGACACCATCGAGGCGAACCAGGCCTTTACGATGCAGATGGCGATCAAGAACATGAAGACGGGCACGTTCGTCAACCCGGACACGAACTACTTCGCGGCGCCCCAGCAGCTCGTTGGCGGCCAGATCGACGGTCACTCGCACGTCGTCATTGAGAAGCTGGACAGCATGGACCAGACCACGCCCACTGACCCGAAGAAGTTCGCGTTCTTCAAGGTATGTGTAATCACTTTTCATTGGAGAGCAATCCGCTGAGTTCGCGTAGGGTTTGAACGAGGCAGCGAAGAACGGTGTTCTGACCGCCGACGTGACGGATGGGTTGCCTGAGGGTGTCTACCGCATGGGCTCCATCAACGCTGCCGCCAACCATCAGCCCGTCATCGTGCCCGTCGCCCAGCATGGTATGCTGGACGACATCGTGTACTTCACTGTCAAGAAGGGTGCCGGGAACGGTGCCAACAATGGCGGGAACACCGGCAACCAGAACAACGGTGGTAACAATGGTGGTAACAACGGGGCCAACAATGGCGGCAACAACGGGGGCAACAATGGCGGTAACAACGGTGGGAACAACGGCGCCAACAACGGCGGCTTCGGTGGCTTCGGCGGCGGAGGCTTCAACAACGGTTTCGGCGGCGGCTTCGGCGGTTTCGTCAAGACCGATGTGCGTGCTTCGTCCCCTTCCTTGCGACGAGTATACTGACCTCGTTACCAGAAGTTCTCAAGAGAGGACTAAGTACCTTACCGCGCCGTCCCGATCTCTAATCCTGCCATGACCATGCCCGTTCCCCGCCTGTATTCCGCTTCTTTTGCATACCCGCCTGCTCGCCATGGACGTTATTGTTGACCATGAACTTTCGGACATTTGCTTTCGTATTCCTTGTTGTACGCCGGCGACAGCTTCATGTGTATTTTTTACTCGATTTTCTTTACAATGGCGCGGATCGGTGAATAGATAATGAGTCAGCCAGCCTTGGGCGGGTTGAATTTCGAACCAGCGCTTTGTGATGAGAGAGATTGGGAGGGTCGTTGGCGAGACTGGTGAAGTAGGACTTTGTGATGATGCGCCCTATAGGGTGCGGGCTATGGCGTAGATTCCGGCGAAAAAATAATCACGGTCGCGCTTTCACGCCACGCAATCGCGGTTTGGCTTAGGGAGGTCCCGGCCATCTGAGGGGGTGAAACATACTTCTCTTGACTGCTCCGCACTCTCAGATGGCCTTGGAAATGAGGTAGAAGGTGTAGAGAGCGCCGACGACGTTGTTCGGCCGTTGCCGACGAGGGCGGCAAGTCGGTCCGAGGTCTCCGCCCAGTCCTTGGGCTGACGCCGCTCGTCCTTCTTCCTCCTCTGATCTTCTTATACCGCACTCAGAGTGGTCTTGACTCAATTTTCCCAAGTAATTGTATCAGTATTCAGAGAATTACACAACCGACTTCATCATTTTCGTCCAGCCTGCTTTACCTAGATTGCGCGCGCCATCGTCGCCCTCCCTGAACACCCGGTGCGCGCGACTGAGATCCGGACAAGGAAATGGCAAGAAAAGGGACTTGCATGAGCTCCATCGTTGTTCTTCTCTTTCCGCTTTTCACGCAGGCAGGAGCATTCAGGTCAACGCTCTTTTGCACAGGGGCCACAGCTTATCTGCCATGTTCCTCATCAGAAGCTATACATAAGTCAGAAACAAAATATGCACGGGGATACTATTCCCGTCAGGCAATGTTCGGTTCATGTAAAAGATGGGAGGAGGACCCACGGACTGGGCGGAGACCTCGGACCGACTTGCCGCCCTCGTCGGCAACGGCCGAACAACGTCGTCGGCGCTCTCTACACCTTCTACCTCATTTCCAAGGCCATCTGAGAGTGCGGAGCAGTCAAGAGAAGTATGTTTCACCCCCTCAGATGGCCGGGACCTCCCTAAGCCAAACCGCGATTGCGTGGCGTGAAAGCGCGACCGTGATTATCTTTTCGCCGGAATCTACGCCATAGCGGGCCGGGTGACCGTGCCGTGGACGCGTTCACTTGGTCCGAAGTTGCTTGTTCACAACGTTGACGACGCTACTTCGCCATGCCTTCAAAGGGCCCTGCAACCCTTTCTACAGATATCTGGACATCAGATACTGGCACTATGAGCTCCAAAAACGATCCGATTCTCTATAAACCTCCCTTCCCCTCTCTCCCGGTTCCCCAACCACCGCCATCGTCCTACGATCCCTTTCGAGGGACAGAGACACCGTTGGTGATCGATAATGGCAGTACGACATTTCGGTACGGGTTTGCTACCAGCAAGGAGCCCAGGACGAGCCTCAACGTAATGGCACGGTACAAAGAGCGGAAAACCAATAAGCCTCTCCTCCTCTTCGGCGATGGGATCGAGGTCGAGAGTGGGGCAAAGGCACAGGCGAAGTATCCGTGGGAGGGCGATGTGCTGCTCAACTTCGATGCTTTGGTGAGTATGTAGTCTTGCCTCCTCTCTGCTGCGCATGTCTGATTTCATTGGGTCGAGGCGTAGGAGAATGTCCTCGATTGCGCCTTTGTCAACTTGGGGATAGACACAGACACGGTCGAGCATCCCATCCTCATGACTGAGCGGATCGCCACCCCCATCCATTCCCGAACATGTACGCAATATGCTGCATGTTATTCCCGCTCGAGCTGAATCGCCAATAGTAACGTCCGAGCTCTTGTTCGAGCAGTACTCAGTACCTTCTGTTGCCTACTGTCTCGACGGAGTGATGTCCTTTTATGAGCGCAACAAACCATCGAGCCCAGGCCCTTTCACTGCCGACGGACTTGTGATATCCTTCAACACCGCGTCTACCTCCGTCATACCCATCTTGAACGGGCGCGGTATTCTCAGCCATGCCAAACGGTGCGTTCATGCAATCGAAAGTCTACCCAGCCCATGCTCATGGCGACATCAGTCTGCAATGGGGAACATCCCAGGCGTCTGACTACCTCTTAAAGCTCGTTCAGCTGAAGTATCCGACTTTTCCGACGCGCGTGACGCCGGTGCAGGCTTCTGTGAGGGTGTCTCTATTGCTGATTCGCATGAGCTCACACGCTAGTACAGTGGATGCTGGAGCGCTTCTGCCTTTTCGCGACAGACTACAAGGCTCAGATGCGCGCACTGCGCGACCCGATCAAACTGAGAGAAGTGGATTGCATCATCCAGTATCCGTTCACGCAGCCTGCATGGGAGACGAAGACGGAGGAAGAGCTGGCGAGGGCGGCGGAACGGCGGAAGGAGCAGGGCAAACGGCTGCAGGAGATTGCGGCCAAGAATCGGCAGGACAAGGTGCGCGGTTTCTCATAATGATTCTGCGTGAGGCGTGATAACCACGGTTGTGTAGGCCGCGAAGAAGGAAGAGGATCTCGAAAACTTGATTGCTCTACGAGATAGCCGCGATGAAATGGACATCAACTATTGGCTTGTCAGTGCAGGATTTCACTGATTCTATCGATCTTTCTGAGGCTTCTTAGGAAGAGCTCGAAGAGCATGGGATCAGCGACGAGTCTGAGCTCGACGAGGCTATCGAAGTCCTGGAAGCAGAGATCAAGAAGGCGAAGAGGAAGGACGCGGATGGCGACGAGCTTATGGTCAGTGCAATGTAGCTTGCTGTCGACACATTCTGACTGGATGCAGGACGAACCACAGTACCCTCTGGTCGACGTACCTGATGAAGAGGTACGTATCCTGCTGGCTCTTGTCTACCTACGCTCACAATGGAAATGTAGCTGGACGCCGACCAGCTCAAGGAGAAGAAGAAGCAGAAGCTTCTGAAGGCGGGCCAAGAGGCGCGCATACGGGCAAGAAAGGAGAAAGAGAAAGAACGCGAGATCAAGGAGCGCGAGGAGCGCGCCGAGCAGCAAGAGCGAGCCACGGACCTGGATGGCTGGTCGCGTCGGCATCGTCAAGAGCATGAGGCACGTTACTCGTGAAGCTCCTTACAGGCTTTAGCTGACGTTATGTCAGGCGTTGATGCAAAGGATCAATCAAAGGGAGAAGCACAAGGAGGCTCTGGCGGATCGGAGGAGCGCGGCTGCTCAGGCGCGTATGAAGAGCATTGCGACGTTGGCGGCCGATGAGAGGGTACCAAAGCGTGGGAGGAAGGTCGGCGGTGGTACGTTGGCGATTCTACACCGCTTGCATGCATACGGCGGCTAACCGAGTCCAGACGATACGTTCGGCGCCAACGACGCTGATTGGGACGAGTACCGCAAGATTGTATGTTGTTGCTGTCGGAGCCTCGTCGAGCATTTGAGGCTTACCCCTTTCAGGATGTCAGCGCTCCTGCGGAGGATCAGGAAGAGGATCTCAAGCGTCTCATGGCAATCGAGGAGAAGCTTTTGGTCCATGACCCTACGTTCACCGAGGAGCACACACATGCGGCCATACAGCAACAGCGGTCGCCGCTACTGTGTGCCTTCAAGCCAGGATACTCAGAATGGGATGTGGGCGGCGCCAACAGGATACATCTGAACACCGAACGCTATCGGGCTTGCGAGACATGGTTCTCGCCGTTTATGGCTGGGCTTGACTCCGCTGGGCTAGGGGAGGTGATTCAGAATATCCTTGCGCGATTCACGTACGAGGAGAAGGGCCGGCTTGTCAAGGTGCGCTTCACGTTGTATGGATGACTTGAGTCTGTGCTGATCGTGTACGTGCAGAATATCTTCCTAACTGGTACGCCTTCAAAGTTCCCGGGGTTAGTCGAGCGGTTGCAGACAACGATGCGACCCATTATGCCACCGGAAATGCCGATTGAGATTGTGCGCGCGAACGAGCCATCATTAGACGCCTGGAAAGGGATGGCATCGTTCGCGCAAACAGAAGAGTTCAGGACGGTCGGCGTGACGCGCCAAGAGTACGAGGAGCATGGAGGGGAGAGGATTCGGCGATGGTGGGGTGGAAATTGGAATGGTGCTACGCTTTAGCTGTTCTTCTGCTTGCTCTGTATGTACTGCTCTGTGCGCATATCTGACTGTTTGTGAATGTACACACGTTGCTTGAAAGTGTTTTCCCCGAGTCCACTCTCAGCAACATTGAGGTTCGCTTACCGGCATCTGCCGACACACATGGCGTTCCATTACGTAACTCGCGGCGGCACATTCACACCTCGCCATCGCCCGTCTCACTGCCGCCCCCTGCGCAGCCCTCACGACGACGAGCTGCTCGGCGACCTCGTCCCCAACGTAACGTTTCCTTATAACCGTCATGCCTCCTCCTCATTACGACTTCCTCATAAAGGTATGCATTATAGCTCGACCGTTACTAGGAGTCTAACCTGCTGGCACCAATAGCTTCTGCTCATCGGCGACTCGGGTAGCGCACTCCTTTTGCGAACGGCGCGTTCTTGGTATTGACGAGGTGTAGGTGTGGGCAAGTCCTGCCTCCTTCTCCGATTCTGCGACGACGCATGGACGCCGTCATTCATCACGACTATCGGCATCGACTTCAAGATTAGGACCATCGAGCTGGATGGCAAGCGGATCAAGCTACAGATTGTGCGTCTGCTCCTGTGGTGTAACAGGGACCTACGCTGACCCCGCCCAGTGGGATACGGCAGGACAGGAACGTTTCAGGACGATCACAACAGCGTACTACCGCGGAGCTATGGGCATCCTTCTTGTCTACGATGTCACCGACGAGCGCTCCTTCAACAGTGCGTGCCCTGCTACCCTCTCACACCGCTGCTAACGCACGCATGTAGACATCCGGACGTGGCATGCAAACATCGAGCAGCACGCCTCGGAGGGCGTGAACAAGATTCTCATTGGCAACAAGTCGGACTGGACGGACAAGAAGGCGGTGACCGAGGAACAGGGCCGCGAGCTCGCCAACGAACTCGGCATCAAGTTCATGGAGACGTCTGCGAAGGTCAACGAGGGCGTGGAGGAAGCCTTCTTTACCCTTGCTCGGTGCGCCACATGGATCGAACCCCATAACACATTCCTTACACCCTGTGCAGAGACATCAAGACTAGACTCATCGACTCTCAAACCGATGCTGCTACTGCTTCTACCACCCAGAACCCCGATGCCGTCCGTATCGGCCAGGGAGCGAACGCAACCGCCGGCAACGGTTGCTGCTCGTAATTGGCATCCATCCCTGTGTTCGTCCACCCCAGTATCCTCGTTGGGCCACTTCCTGCGCTCGAGGATATCGTCAAGCTGTTCGTCGTGTCATCTGCATCTGTTTTCTGTTCATCTACATAGGTCCTATATTGTAATGCATCTGCACGACCGGCGTATACACTTTACCAGCGCGACGCCCACACAAGGATGCAAGCCTGGGCGTAGGCACCTCGATTGCGTATACATGACGAGCCTACGACGATGATGACTACCCAGAACTCTCGAATGCAACTCCCTTCAGAAATGTACGTGACTGCCGCCTCTTCCGCCGGGGTATCGACGCCCATCGCTGTGTTGCGGGAATTTGGCGGCCAGGTGCGAAACACTTATTCGCCCATTGTTGAAGCAATTCCTATGGGGAACACCCTTGCTTTGCGGCAGTTTACTGTCCATGTGCCAGTGGACTTCGCGGACAAGTGATTGGTAGGAAGGCCAGCGCGAACCATTTTGTGGCGTAGAGGGGGGCTGGGGCCCCACGGTCTTCGCGCTTGTTGATCGCGCCTCGAGGTTCCGTTAAGCGCCCACCTGTAAGCTCAAAGAATTGCGTCGCGTAACTTGTCCAGAACGTCCACCTCCTCCCAGTACATCTGAGAGAAGCCACCTTGCCGCTGCGAGCCTCGTCCGCACCCTGAGCCTTCGTCACGGGCGTGTATCGTCCGCAGACTACTCGCAGCATTCAGACTCCATGGCCTACGTCGCGGCGCTTCTACAGGGCGACTACGAGAAAGCAATCGGGCTGATAGATTGTGCGCTGTTGACATGCAGTGCCGAGCAGGTGGCTTCAGAACTGCTAGGAGCCACCTTGCAGATGAACGCCGTGGCTCTCGTTCTAGGAAGTACGCACTCTCTATTCCGCGCTCAGAATCTCATTGACGCTGACTCACAGGAACGCCGTCTCTACGTCAGATACTAAAAGCCCAATTCCCTGAAACCGTGGCGGAGTACATCCAGTCCATTCACGCAGACTTCGTCCCTAAGTTGGCACAATACATACACTTCGAACTGTCCGACCTGCTGGACGACCATTCTCTGACGGACGCAGATGATCTACGGCTTGCGTCGGGCGCGCTACATGCCTGTACAATCCTGGCGCATGGCAAGTTTCCTGAGGTCGATCCAGAGGATATTGTCGACGAGGAGGAAGAGGAGAACGACACGTTCTTCAAGGTCAAAGCAAAGGGAAAACGCCAAAAGAAACGTACCAAGTCGCAGATTAGCGTACCAATCGACCCGAAGCCCTTTCAGGACGCTGGCTACTCCCCTCCCCGAACGCGGGCGCAAGCAGAGGCACTAGCGAAGTCTATGCTTCGCGAGATCAAGTACTTGTTCTCGGTATGTGATCTTAGCGTGTTGGCGCCGCCAAAGTCTGACTCCCGATTGACAGGACTATCTCGAGATTTTGCAACTTCCTGGGACGACGGACGCGATAGAGCGCGCTCTAGCAGGATCGTGCTCGTCGACGCAGGTACCAGAGGCGACAGACGATACAGACGCTCGAGCTTCGTCGACGACAGACGCGGCTGCCGGCGGAGGAATGCAATCGGTGTCTGCAAACCCGGCGAGTGAACGAGATCTCAGAGCGTGAGTTTGTCTTGCTCTATGGCAAACTATCCCTCACATCGACCCTCAGGATGATAGAGTTCGACGTCCCAGAAGAGCTGGGAGATTGGAACATCTTCCTCTCAACGCGTGCATATCAAGATCTGCGAAAAGCTCGTCGCGAGGATCAAAACCGCTACAAAATCATACTCAAGAAGATTAGGTCAGTGCTTCCAGTTTCTGTGCTGATAAGCACAGACCATGACCCTTGGCGCATGTAGACATCTGTCGAAAGGCCATTTCTCCGACGACAACCAGAAGCGTTTGTCCAAGACGTCCTCCAAGGTTCCCATATACGAGGCAAAGATGACAGGAGATACACGCCTTGTGGTAAGTCACTGAGTGTATGTGCGATTGCCAGCGGTCCGCCTAAGCATACTTCTGCAGTATCAAGTTGATTGTGTCGCCGACTGGCAGGTACGCGCTCAAAGCCTTCGTTCTCAACGCGACTGATATCCCTTCCTAGAATCCGGGCATGGAGCGACAGGGTGCGTCGAGTACCGAGCCAGCATTCCCAAACATCGCTGACATCCTCATGTAGTGATCAGCCTCTACGGCGTGTTCACGCACGCGCAGATGGACGATCGGTTGCGCCGCATCTTCGACGCTATCGGCAAGGAGGTTGGTAGGAAGGGGAAGGAGTACCAACAGCGCTGTATCTACAGGCAGCGGCCCGCAGTCAGCGGCGACAATGTGTTCGAGCCAGCCACGTTCCCTTTGGCCGAGGAGACGCCGGCGCGCGACTCTGACGAGGAGGAAATACAGCTGCCGCCCGAGGACATGGAGCGCGTCAGTCCTCCTTGCCTGAGTCGCGACTAACTGTTTCTGACGCTTCGTATCAGGTACACGAGCTACTGACGCTGGACAAGTACTTCCTGTTCTCTCAGGCAAGTTGACGTTCTGCGATAGTATTTTGAATACGTGACTGACAGCCCCGATTTGCAGAACGTCTTGAAATGTGAGTCGATGCGTGTGCATGTTCGGCGCTGAATTCACGAGTCTTGCAGGTCTCATGGCAGATGTCGACGTCGCGCATGTTTTCCGCCTTTCGTAAGCCACTTGGGACTCGGAGTATGCACGCACTCCTGACCCGATTATTGTAGCGGCAAGGAGCTTGAGATCGTCAGCCATGTTGGATCATGCTATGTTCTCGGACGTAGCGGTACCGGGTATGCGGTTGACCGATCTCTTGGCCGGCTATTCTCACCCTTTCGACCATAGGAAGACGACCACTATGCTCTTCAAGATTCTTGGCTTGGAGAGATCTCATCGGCTCAACACGCATATCATCCCTGAACGGCCGCGACAGCTATTCGTCACGCAGTCGCATGTCCTGGTAGAGAAGGTCGAAGAGGCGTATAACAAATTGGCGAAGACTCTGGACATCGAGACATACTCGAAGGACGAAGTAAAAGCGCTGGCGATGAAGAAGAATGAGACCGCGAGGGATCATCTAATCAGGAGTGATGACAAGAAGGACCGGGGCAAATCCTTGCCTCAGCGCTTTAGCGACCTCAAGGACGAGCATTTTCCTCTGTTCGTCAACTACGACAGGGTGAGCCGTATCATTGCTGATGGAACCGGTGTCTGACAGCATCATTAGCTGTGCCAGCTGTTCGAAGGGGATGCCGCCAAGGTCGCCACCGACATTGGGAGCGCCGACGAGTCGAACTTGACTTCGCGCATCATGCGGCGCTCTGGGCGTTTGGTGACATACGAGCTCTTCTTGACGGCATACTGGCCGCATTTCTCTCAGAAGCTGACAAAGGGCCTTGGTAAGTACTGCGGCTCAGTCGTCGCCGCACCTTGATTAATAGTACCTCAGATCCTTCACTCGTCTTCAGCGAGATTATGGGTGCGTGCAGTCGACAATGCCTGCTTTCTTTCTCTCGAGCTCGGACGAACAGGTGTCATCAAGGGCTCCGAGGAGGCAAGCCTCTTGCCTGACCGGTGTTTGGACCGCCAGACGTACGAAGGCCTTAGCGTCCGAAGACAGTCCACTTTTGCCAACCGCCGAAACCTCATCTACGACATCTTCATGCAATACACTAAGGAAAAGGCTTTGCGCAATGATTACGATGCGGCTGATAGGTGGGATCGCAGTTGCCATCGACAGACACCGGCTAATGTTGACGCTCGCCAGAACATACAATATCCTGCGCATACTTCAAGAGTACGGTTTACAAGGCAAGAAGATCGACTACCTGTGCGTTCCTCCAACAGCGTCTTGCACATCAACTGATAAGTGTGCTTAAGCTACGTGGACGAGGTCCAGGACAATCTACTCATCGACGCCCTGGGTATGTCATTAGTATGCGTGCGAACGGGCTCATCAACGGATTCGATAGTTCTTCGCTACATCACTGGAAACCCCAATGGCTTATTCTGGGCAGGCGACACGGCGCAGACGATCTCAGTTGGAAGTGCTTTCAGGTTCAACGACCTGAAGGCCTACCTTCACAGGCTCGAGGAGAAGCAGATCCGCATCACGCAAGGCAGAGAGCCGCGGGCCTTCCAGCTAACGACGAACTACAGGTCCCATGGTGGCATCGTGGATTGCGCTCATTCCATCATCAGCCTCATCATGGAGTATTGGCCTGACAGCATCGATATGCTTGCTCGCGAGAGGGGACAAGTCGGTGGCCCGAAGCCTGTATTCCTCACGGGTTGGAGCAACGACAACGTGCGCTATGAGCAGTTCTTGTTCACTTCATCGTGCGTCGTCCGATTTCAGTCCTCGAGTGCTTCATAACGATCTAGCGGTATACAGGACGGGCAATGCCATCGAGTTCGGGGCAAAGCAGTGTACGCTCTGACTTCGCCGCGTTCGGATATATACTGATATTTCCGCAGGCATTCTCGTGCGACACGAAGAAGCGCGCCAGAGACTTCGCAAGGAAGTGGGCGATATTGGCTTGATCATGTCAGTACAACTTCATGAATGTTCTCGGGCTTCAATGGCTTACTGTGAAGTGTAGGACCCTCTACGAAAGCAAGGGCTTGGAGTTCGACGATGTGCGCCGCCTTTTCTCCCATAGCATGACGCGCTCATTTACCGTATGACAGGTGTTATTGTTCAACTTCTTCCATGACTCTTCCGTGGAAACATCGCAATGGCGAGTCGTTCTCAATGCTATGGATTCTGAGCATCGACAAGAGGTCCCAGCACCGCGCTTCGATGAGAATCTTCACGCCGGCGTGTGTAGCGAGGCGAGTACACGCACCCGCATCCCCATTTTACGATGGCTCATGAAAACCTGCAGCTCAAGTTTCTGTACGTCGCGATCACGAGAGGCAGGAAGAACGTGTGGATCGTCGACACTTCGGATCGTGGCGAGCCAATGCGGGTGCGTCGACCGTCGTGTACATCCAAGATCACGCGCGCTGATGCACTGCGGCGCAGATGCTACTTACTGCGCGTGAACAAGTCGAGAACTGCAGTCCCGAAAACGCTCCCAGGCTCGCAGTGTCCTCGTCGCCGGATGAATGGAAGGAGACCGCCGTCGAGCTCTTTAAGCTGGAGGTGACCGACCCAACTGATGATTTCGAATAGAGCTGACCTGTGACCCAGCGATATATGCAAGCTAAGATGTGCTACGAACGAGCAGGGAGTCTGGTCGAAGCCGCCATCTCGCATGCGCACTACCTACGACAGCAAGCCGCGCTGAAGCCATCCGTGGGCCACAAGAACGCGTTGGCAGAACGCCAAGAAGCATTCGCGGAGGCGGCAACTGCCTTCACAGAGTGCGCCCTCACAGCGGAGACCGCCGGGCAGAAAGAGCGACAAGAGGCCTACTATCGTGCTGCTGCAAATGCGTACTTGGAGGCGAGCGACGAGGCGAGCGCTGCGAGGGCTTTCATCAAGGCTGGGGACTTCGCTGAGGGTGCTCAACTGTACCGCAAACTCGGGAACTTCGACGAGACTATGAGAGTCGTCCGGACGTACCGATCACAGATTGACGAGACCTTGGGAGAGAAGTTGACCAACGTGTCTCGTCTCTACTACTTCCAAGCCAAGGAGTTCAAGTAAGTACACACGTCCTCCTGCCGTTGACTTGACCTGACTGGCCTCTAAGGAAAGCTACTACGCTATTTGAGTCTGTGGAAGATGCGCTGGAGTTCCTCGAGGATACTCCCTTCGACGTTGAGAAGGCGTCACTGCTGGAGTCGGCCGGCAGACTTCAGGAAGCAGCAGAGCTTTACCTCGACGACAAGCCTCTTCATGCTGTCCAACTCTTTCTCGAGGACACTAGTAACAGTCATTCCGTCGAACGAGGCTGGCAATGCGTGCAAGATGGCTTGTGGAGGGAATTGGCATATGGTGCAAATGTGGACGATGCAAAAGCAAAACCACTAGTGTCAGCCTACCTCGAATTGTCCGCAAAGCTGATCAGCGAGCAGCCCAACTCTGCACGCGCACAAGAGGTAAGCGAATGAGTTCCTAGATCTTGATGCATTGCCTCACCTCATGACCAGTTCCGCATGTTTCATGCCCTGTGCGAGAGGAAGACCCTGACACTGCAAGCTCTCGCACGGTTCTTCTTGATCGACAACAATCCAGCGGCCGCCTTCAGAAGCTTGCAAGGAGTTTTCCATCCTCAATTTCCCAACATCCGAGAAATGCGGGAGGACGAGCTCATCGAAGTCCTGCTGCTCTATCGAAACTACGTCCGCCTACTTCACGACCTCGCCTTCGACCCCGCTCCGTGCCAGAAATCCAGCGTCCGACGTATCTTTGGTCTGTACCGCGCGGAGAACGGCAGGGCGTGCTTCATCCCAGCTGGCACCTTCCTTCATGAGAAAATTCTGAACTTCGCACCAGCCGGTACACAGTTCACTGATGATGGTGTCATCGTGCCAACACAACCCCTTACACGGATGCTGTCTATTCTGCTGCAGAACAGGTTACACACGTCATTGTTGGACGAGAACCATCGATGCCAGCATGCGACGGTCTTTCGTACAGTCTGCCTGACATTCACGCTCTTGGGCAGCTGCAATTCGTACAGATGCACGCGCGTCCACCCGGAGCCAGCGTCCCTGGATGCAGCTTGGTACAATCGACAAGTGCATCTTCATCTGCTGCAAATCTCCATCTTGGACTACGACATCAAGGAATTTGCGGACGATGATCGTCCTCGATACCAACGGTCAGACCCTATGACGTCTCCCGCAACGCCTCATTGACGCGTATCTTCAGGTTTTGGATTCACAAGCTGTACGAGACGCTCTTCCCAGCCACCGCGAAGTTGGGCGCTGTAATAAGCTTACGAAACAAACTCGTCCCCGAAGCCCAGAAGTACTTCCAGCAGGTCAAGTACTGGTGTCAAGACTTGCTGAAGGCTGGAGCTGGAGCCGGCTCTCAGGTCTTGCCAGTGACAACAGTGCTTCGCGTTGCTCATCTGAGCTTCACATTCGACCGCATCGATGCGCCAAGGTATATGAGTGGTACACCCGCGATCGAGGATCTTCGCCGACGAGGCGGGCCAGCCTACTTCTACAAAGGCCAGTACATCGTACCTCAGCTACTTGCGGCTTTCGAAGGACATGGTCTACAGTTTATCGACGCTGGGGTTGTGTTTTTCCGGTATGTATATGCTTGAATGAGCGTCGCACGTTCACTGACAGCCCTCAAGACAGGTTCTCGACGCCAAAATCTCGACCGACATCAGCGCTCTCTGCGACCTTTGCGAATACTTGACTGGGTGTTTCGTGCTTGGGCGGTCCAAATGGGGATTCCACGATGTAACCCTGCCAAAGAGCTGGATTCTTCCTCTCGTAGACCGCTTCAAGAACCCCAAATTCAACCCCAGCACCACCACATTACCCATCTTCGTCGAAAATCTCGCGGTACTCTTGAATCTCTTGTATAACGGCCTGGAGAGTAAGCGGTGTGCAATCTCCTTGTCGAAGTCGACTTATCGTGTTTCAAAGGGACGCGTTTCCTTCGCTTCGAGGGCACAGAATTATCCGATAGTAACATCATTCGAGGCGTCTTCATCGCGAGAATGTAAGTCAATTATATCCTGTTGCAAGAGTACTGAACTGATCATTCCACGCGCGTCTTCAGCTGCCGGATGCTCTGTGCTCGTGCGTCTCCGATCTCTGCCCAGTTCACTCACTGACATCGTTTAGTGGGATATAATATCAGCAGATGGAATGACGAGCGGAGAGTACGAGAGGCCGTAAAGAACAGCATCATGAAGGTCTTCGAACGTCCGCATGCCCAGAATCCAATTTTTGAACAGTAAGCTCTGAATTCCGCGATGGTCGACGTCCATCGCTCACACCTGTACAGGTACTTGCGTACCCGCGGTTGGGCTGATCTCAAGCGGGCCTATGAAGAGAGCGCAAAGGGCCAGCTCATGGACGAGCTGATCACACTTCGGCTCGAGAGGACGCTCTCCAAAACGCCGATACAGGTACCTGGAATGCCGCGCCATGTTCCTTTCAAGAATGCCAGCACCATCCCCGCCGTGATAGGACACGACTTCTTCATCTCATCTGAGCTCCGCGCCGATGCGCCCGTCTTCGTTCCTGCCGCACTCAAGGTGCAAACAAAGGCCCTTGCGGACTCTAGCGTTACTGAGGGAGATATGGGCCCTCTTGCGCCACAGACAAAGGATGGTAATCCGGAGGTCTCGTCGTCGGCGCGGCAGGAGAACGAACTACAGCGGCCCCCTCCCACGACCGCCCAGAAAGTGGTCGCATACAGATTGCTGTGCGCTTATCGGCGCAGGAGGCGACGGCGCGAGGCGAAGCGGGTGCGTGCCGCTGAGGTTCTTCAAGCAGGATATCGCCGGCTCGTTGCTCTCCGCTCTTTGGCGGATCTCGACAGGACGAGACAGAACTTCTTCTCGGCGTGCGTTGATCAAGGCCGCGAGGCTCTCTTTCCTAGTCGCGCGTCCAAACGGATCTACTATGGCGCCCTACCTCATGTCCTCACCGCCCTCGATGTTGTCATATCCCACCTGGAGTCGGTCAAGTCCAAGGTCAAGCAGGAGTTTGCGAAGCAGGATCACCTGAGGCTTGAAGCGATGAGTGAGAGACTGACGGAAGTCAAGTACGTCGCCCGTTAGGATCGTAGCATAACGACCATATCTGACTGTTGGCTTTCAGCAAGGCTTTGCGGCAGGCCAAGTCCTCTGCGGAGAAGCTCCGTCCTCGAAGCTCAACTTATAGCTCCTCGCAATGTGTTGAGCTGCTGCAGGAGCATACGCGCAGGCTCATTACGCTGGCGGAGGGTCTTCCCTCGGGACGACGAATGGCCATCGAGTATGATCTAGAAATGGCCGTCGCGAGCATCGTCGAGTACGAGGAGAGGGAACGGAAGAGGAAAGAAGAGGAGCGCAGAAAGCAGATGGAGAAGCCGATGCTGAACACTTACGACGAGTACGATGAGTACTACTAAATATCTGACTGACTTTCCTGTAAGCTTGCCGGACGCCGCAGGACTTTGCTTGTATTTCTCCATGTATGATGTGATCACGGTTCTGTTGACTATACGCAGTTACTCGGCCTCAATTTGCTCTTCCAAAAGACTGTACCGAAAGGTGAACTCGAAAAATCATGCAGGTTGCGAACATTTTGTAGGTCTTCACATCCTCAAGCCGGCGGAGGCGGAGAGTCACATGATAGTAGCGACGCCGAATATCTGCTCGCTCGTAGGATGGGCGTACATGACAATTGAAAGTGGTGACATCCTTCGAGTATCCAAAGAGAGCAAGGACCAGTACAAGTGGACGCTTGTCGCGAGTTGTGGGTCCATATGTCACGTGACTTGTCGGTCAGCCGGCTCCGGCGGTGACCATCTCCTTTCTTCGCACTCCATCAGTCTCGAGGTCGCTCGCCGCCTTCGCCCTCATCCCCATCGCCAATATCAATTTGTTTGCCGCCTTCATGGCCGATGCGCGTACACAAGATGACATGCGCAACCCGCTAGCACTAACAAGCGCAATGACAAGTGCCTTTTCCGAAGATAAGATGGTGTTCTCCTGAGCTTCTCCTGCACAGATGAGTGCATCAAGAAGAAGACATGTCATTTGTAGGCCGGACGACGCTGTAGACAGAGTATGCGTGCGATTTGCTGTCGTTGACTTCAGCGTGAGGTTTCTCAGGATCTCACTAACGACGTCCTATCGGTGAGTGTATGCCTCACGTTTCCCCTGCCTGGCTGACGATTCTGTAGCTGCAGAAATAGTTCTTATCCTTCACGAACCGACAACGAATAAAGAGCTCTTTACAAGCGCGTCTGCGTGTGTGTAAGCACTGCCAGTGCCAGTGATGGAACTGAAGGTGTATCTCTACAGGTCGCATCACAGAGGATTGTTTGACTGACTACCGAAGTAGAAGCGATAAGCCAGCACGTCATTACGCCAGGCGCGTATATTCGCGATGGCCCGGTGCCCTTCAGGGTGTGGCTGATGGGCAATGGGCGGCCATCGCTTATACGATTGCAATTGCGAGCCAGTCTCAGTACTATGACTATGCGTGCAACTCGCGCGTGAATGACCACCAGAAGAGCCCGCGCTTCGTGTCTAGAATGCAGCGCCATGACGTGAAGCGGAGAGTTTGTGGCGTTGAGGGGGGAATCCTAGTAGACCCCAGAGAAGTACGGCAGGTGGACGCCTCGAGGTCTCGTTAGGCGCCGACCTATATATTCCTCCGATTGCGAGAACTGACTTCTCCTGAACCGCCATTACGCGTCCCGCTTAGGCAGTTCCTCTCAGAGATATCGACCTCGCTCATACAGCTCCAACTTCCCTTGCGCATCCCAACATTGAGGACACCTTCATGGCCGATCCGATTCCTTGGCAAAGCGGGTTCAGCACGGCCCACAAGTCCACATCAAACGATGGGACGGGCAAAGACGCCGGGCTCATCATCGCACAGCTGACTGCAGATGGCATCCCATTCGATGGGGCGGCCGTTATGGCCATCGGCGGTGAGTCGTCGTTCCGCTCGTCGTCGTAGATCATGGCGTCTGATGGCTTCCCGATAGGCGCGCCCGTCCTCTGTCACGAGCTCGTGCACTCTTTCCCATCCACGGCTGAAAGCTATGCGGACTCATCGCAGGCGAAGCTCCTTCCAAAGCTCGCCACGTACATGTACTTCTCGCTGTCCGATATTCTGGGCGAGAAGTGGCTGTCGCGGATCGATGATCTACGGCTTGCGACAGTCGCGTGCGATGCCTTTCGACAGTTGTCCGACGCCCGCTTCGCGGGAGTTGGCGAAGAGGATGACGACGTCGGAGAAGGAGAGCACGATTTTGATCTAGGTTTAAACATCAAGGTCAAGACGCAGAAGCAGTTGCAAAAGACACGCGCATCAGCTGCCGCTGCTATCGACCCCGAGCCTTTCGAGACCATCGGCCACCCTGTACCTCGCTCTCACGCGCAAGCCCAGGAAGTAGCGACGAACATGCTAGAGGATGTCAAAGAGCTGTTGGCGGTTCGTGTCCGATACGTTATAGTGATCATCGCTGAACCGTGTCGCAGAATTATCTCGATGTTATTCAACTGCCGCAGACATTGGAAAAGATAGCAGCCGCGCTCGAAAGCGCGAATTCGCAAGCCAACGATCTTGAAGAATCGTCCGCTACCTCGTCTCATGCGATGCCCGCTGCGACGCCTTCGGCCCTTCCAGACGCGTCGGCTCCTGACATCGCGATCGAGTTGGAACATGACCTGAGAGCGTAAGCAGGTCTACACTCGGCGCTTGCAGCGTTCTGACTTTCCCCCAGGACACTCGATTTCGACCTTCCGGCGGAGTTGGGTGACTGGCATGTCTATCTGTCGAGCCATGCCCATAGGGACATCCGGAACGCCCACCGCGAAGACAAGTCCCGTTACAACATCATAGTAGCCAAGATCCAGTATGTCCGTTGACTGAAATATGAATATATGTTGTAATGAAACTCTGCTTAGACAACTATCCAATGGCCACTTTTCCAACGACAACCAGAAGCGCCTCACTCAGACGGGCGCGAAGGTCCCGATATACGAAGCCAAGTTGACGCGTGATAGTCGTCTCGTCGTATGTACTTTCCGCAGATGGTCTGTGCGCCCTGCTCAATCACGCTGTAGTACCAGGTCGATTGTGTCATGGATGCAAAGGTGATGGATCTTGGTTGCCCTCGTACTTGATAACTTAGACCTTTTCATCGTTCGCAGAATCCCGAGTTAGAGCGTCAAGGTGAGCGTGGTAGCGCACTACTACAGAAGACATTGCTCATCGCGAGTCCGTAGTAATCAGGCTCTATGGCGTGTACACGCACGCTCAGATGGACGATCGTCTCCGCTGCATCTTCGACGCTATCGGCGCGGAGGTCGGCAGAAGGGGGAAAGAGTATCAGCGGCGCTGCGTCTTCCGTCTGCCGCCTGCCAACGAAGGCGACAACGTCTTCTCGCCTGCTACGTTTCCCCTCAGCGATAACGTCTTGCAGAAGGAGTACGAGGACGTTCAGTTGCCCCCTGAAGACAAAGCGCGCGTAAGTCCTGCATCACCTGGCCTCTTTATGTGTGCTAGCTGAAGTTTGCGATAGGTGCACGAGCTGATCAAGCTCGAGAAGTACTTCCTTTTTTCTCAGGTCCGTCGGTCGAACTAATGGTCATTGCTCTCGTTGTTGACCCCTCATATAGACGGTGTTGAAATGTGAGCCAAGTCGCGTCCGAGGCTGACATTAACTCAAGCTGCGCAGGTATCGTCGCCGATATCGATGCCGCGCACGTCTTCCATCTTACGTGAGAGAGAAGACGGCCTAGACCATGTAGGCGATGATGCTAATGGCATTGCAGAGACAAAGAGCGTGAGATCGTCAGGCATGCCGGCTCGTGCTACGTTCTTGGTCGCAGCGGCACTGGGTAAGGGCCCATCGGCTTCACAGTTGGCTTCTCACACCTTTCACGTTGCAGAAAAACGACCACGATGCTGTACAAGATGCTAGGCATAGAGCGCGCTCAGCGACTCAACACGGAGGGAACATCGCGGACCGTGCGCCAGCTCTTCGTCACGCAGTCACATGTGCTCGTCGAGAAGGTGCAGGAGGCTTACGATAAGCTTGCCAAGTCTTTGCACGTCGAGGTCAGCTCGAAGCAGGATCTGATGGCTCTGAAGGAGAAGAGGCCTGACGCCAGACGGGACTACCTCATCAAGGACGACACCATGACAGTGCAAAATGAGACGTCAGTGCAGCGCTTCAGTGACCTCACGGATCAACATTTTCCTCTATTCCTGACTTATGACAAGGTGCGACTCATTTCCATGCAGTAATCGCACATCTGATGCCTTTCCAAAAGCTTTGTACGCTTCTCGAGGCGGATGTGCTTCCTTTGGAGGAGGATTTAGTCGGCGAGGACTCCAGCAACCTTACCTCGCGCGCCATGCAACGTTCTGGACAGTTGGTAACCTACAGGTTGTTCTTCACAGCATACTGGCCCCATTTTTCTCAGAAACTGACGAAAGGACTTGGTAACTATTCCCTCGAGTCGAAGCGGGCAGGATCTCACATAGTTGCATAGATCCGGCTCTTGTGTTCAGCGAGATCATGGGTACGTGGATATTCCCAATGTTTCCGAACGCGTGCTAATTTGACTGCTTTGTTGAGGTGTCATCAAAGGCTCAGAAGAAGCAAGCGCTCTGCCGAGCCATTTTCTGAGCCGAGAGGGCTACATGAATCTCAGTAGAAGAAGGCAGTCTACCTTTGCGAGCTGCAGGAACGTTGTTTACAACATATTCGTGCAATACGACAAGGAAAAGGCACGCCGTGGAGACTACGACGCAGCTGATAGGTAGGTGATCTTAAAGCTGTGAATCACTGAATTCATCGTGAATAGGACATTCAATGTATTGCGGATCCTTCGCGGGCAGGGCACAGCGGGTGGGAAAATCGACTACTTGTGCGCGGACCCTTGTCTAATTCCTAATGTCTCACTGAGCGCAATTGACAGATACGTCGACGAGGTGCAGGACAACCTGCTCATTGACGCGCGGGGTGCGACCTATCTCCAGTTCATAGCAGGTTCGACTGATGTTTGCTTCACTCAGTGCTGCGCTATATCACCCGCTTTGCAAATGGCCTGTTCTGGGCAGGCGATACAGCGCAAACAATATCCGTCGGGAGCGCTTTTCGCTTCGACGATCTCAAGGCCTACCTTCATCGGCTTGAAGAGAAGCACAATTCCGTCATCAACAGAAGGCCACCACCCAGCTTTCAGCTTACGACAAACTATAGATCTCACGCCGGAATCGTGGACTGCGCGCAAACAGTCATCGAGTTGATTACGAAGTATTGGCCCGACAGTATCGACCAACTTGCTCGCGAGGAAGGAGAAGTAGCAGGCGTGAAACCCGTATTTCTCACCGGGTGGAGCAGCGACACGTTGTGCTACGAGCAGTTCCTGTTTACGACGTCGTGCGTATGCCTTAAGGGCCAAGCCTTCCGTCCTTTTCTGATTGTCCCGATACAGCTCGGGAAATGCTATCGAATTCGGTGCGAAACAATGTACGCCTAGGCCCTTTTGGCTGATCGCGTGTCTATGCGACACGGTTAGCTGAATATGTAGTACTGATTATGCTGCTTCTCAGGTATCATTGTTCGCCATGAAGAAGCGCGTCAAAGGCTGCGTGCCCGCGTTGGCAATATTGGCTTGATCATGTTCGTCTTCCGTTTGTGATACACAATGAATAGCTGACTAAGTCGAACCTCCGTTTACAGGACTCTGTACCAGAGCAAAGGATTGGAGTTCGACGACGTGCGTGATACTTACATCATGAATATTCTCTTGATTGAGAATTTCTAGGTTGTACTGTACGACTTCTTTCAGGATTCACTCGTAACGGCATCGCAGTGGCGAATGGTGCTTAACCACATGTCACCGGACTATCACCCCCACATACCTGCTCCTCGATTCGAGGAGACTCTGCATGCTGGCGTTTGCAGCGAGGTATTGTAGTCAACCTCTTTCATCCAGCGATTGCGTTGACAATGTCCAAGCTCAAATTTCTATACGTTGCCCTCACGCGTGCCAGGAAGAACGTGTGGATTGTCGATACCTCTGAGCGTGCCGAACCTATGCGGGTAAGCGCCCTTCTCTGGAAAATTATCGTGCACGTCTAAACGCTTCATCAAGCTTCTTTTGACATCCTGGAATCGAATCGACAACCGGACACCCGCTAACGTGCCTCGACTCGCAGTCTCGTCGACGGAGAAGGAGTGGGAAGAGGAGGGAATCGAGCTATTCAAATCCGAAGTAAGTAACATCATGGCCTCAACGCTGTCGCCCTGGCTAACTTTGTTTCAGCACTTCGACGAAGCCAGGTTCTGCTATGAGCGAGCTGGCATGCACGTAGAGATGGCCATCGCACACGCTTACTATCTTCATGGATGTGCCGCCCTCAAGCCATCCGATGGGTCCAGGAGCGCAATTCTGGAACGCCGGAAAGCATTTTTGGACGCCGCAACTGCATTCATCGGATGCGCAGAGACTGCAGGAGCGAGTGGCCTCCCTGAGCGACAGAAGGCATACTATCGTGTCGCTGCGAACGCTTATCTAGACGCCGATGATGATGCCAATGCAGCAAGAATATTCGTCGAAGCCGGCGAATTCTACAAGGGCGCTGAGATCTATCGCAGATTGGGCAACTTCGACGAGACGGTCAATATCGTACGAGCTCACGGGCCACACATCGACGCCACCTCGAAGTCGAGACTCCTTCATGTATGCCGACTCTATTACTTCCAAGCGAAGGAGTATAGGTGAGCCATACGGTGCTTACTAGCGAGTTCAACGAAGCTCATTGTGCTACGAACACGCAGAAAAGCGTGTGATTTGTTCGGATCTCTGGATGAGGCGTTGCAGTTCCTTGAGGAGACGCCCTTCAACGTCGAGAAGGCCGCGCTGTTGGAATCGGCCGGCAGGTTCCATGAAGCAGCAGAGCTACAGATAATCGACAATCCAGTGCACGCGGTAGATCTGTTCTTCATGGATCCTGCCGATGATCTGGCTATCAAGCGAGGTTGGGATTGCATATTGGATGGCCTGTGGACGGAGCTCGCGTTTGGAGCCAACATTGAGGCGGTCAAAGGGACACCACTCGTCTTGTCCTACCTTCGTCGCTCCGAGGAGTTCATTCGTGCTCATCCAGAATCTGAACGAGCGTTTGAGGTGCGCTACTCCCAAATGAGGATATTTAACATGTCATTGATATCCTGCTCCAGTTTCGCATGTTCCTCGCCTTGGTGAAGCACGACTCCGACGAGTTGAAGTCTCTTTCTCGCTTTTTCCTGGGCTCCAAGAAAGCGGCCCCGGCTTTTCGGTGCTTGCAAGGCGTATTCCAGCCTCAATTTCCAAACATACGAGACCTGCCAGCGGACGCGCTGATCGACATTCTATCATTGTTCAAGGAATATGTGCGCCTTCTGCATATCATGGCCTTCGACTTCTCCCCGTGCGACAAGACCAGTATCTGCCGTGTACTTGGACTGAGGCACGCGGAGAACGGCAGATCATGCGTCGCTCCCAGCGGTACCTTCATATATGAGCAAGTCAGAATCTTCCGGCCAGAGGGGTCGCAGATCACCGACAATGGGGCAGCCGTGCCGACGTCATCACTCACGCGTCTTCTGTCTGTGTTGCTCCAGAGCAGACTGCACGCAGTATTGTTGGATGAGGAGTTCCGTTGCAGACAGGCGTCGGTCTTTCGTACGATTTGCTTGGCGCATACGCTTCGCGGCAGCTGCAACTCGATGATGTGCACACGCGTTCATCCGGAGTCGTCTTCCCTCGATCCCACATGGTATAATCAGCAAGTCCAGCTTCATTTGCTCCAGATTTCGATTCTCGACTTCGATGTCAAAGACTACAGCGATGACTTCAAGCGTCCTAATTACCAAAGGCACCGTGTCTAGCAGAATTTCGGTCTGTCCGCCTTCTAATTCATCTCCTCAGATTTTGGATCAACAAGCTGTACAACGCGATCTTTCCGGCAACTCCAAAGCTCGGAACCACAATGTACCTATCCACAGCACAGATTCCCGACGCTCAGAGATACTTTCAGCAGGTCAAGTATTGGTGTCAAGACGTGCTCAAGTCGAGCCCCAGCATGGACATGTTTCTTCGTGTTGCGCATCTGAGCTATACGTTCGATCGAAGCGACGCCCCTCGGTACCTCTACGTGTCCCCTGCACACGAGCAACTTCGAGCCACGGGTTTTTTCATCCGAGATGGTCGATATATCGTTGCGCAAATGCTCCAGGCTATGGACGGCGAAGGAGCGTATTTCATTGCGAATGGGGTCTCTTTCCTCCGGTATTTAATTCTCATGTTTACTATAAACTTGCGTCGTCTGACAGGAGCACAGGCATACGGTGGAAAATATGCTGGCCGTCGACATCGGTGCCCTCTGTGACATGTGCGAGTATCTGACAGGCTCTTTCGTCCTTGGACGTTCCTTGCTTGGTTTCCACAACATAACGCTCCCCAAGAGCTGGATAGTCACGCTCGCCAATCGGTTCAAGAACGGCGGGTTCCGGCCTTCCACGCACAAGCTATCTGGCTTCGTCGATGGCTTGGCTGCGTTACTGAATGATCTCTGTAATGGCTTTGAAAGTGCGTGTCTCTTCTCCTGTATGATGTTTCTGATATCTTTCTAAGGGGCTGGGTACTTGCGCTTCGAAGGCGGGAAGATTTCGGACAGCTTCACAATCCGAGGGGCTTTCATTGCGAGGATGTGCGTCCAGAGCGAAACGCGAAACACTAGATGAATTTGTGGCCAGTGCTAATCAACCCGTTTAGATGTCGCATGCTCTGCGCTTGTGGGTGCTATAATCATAGTCAAGGACGGGACTGACTTTCAGGAAGTGGCTTATAACACCAGCAAATTCAACGACGAGGACCTACTACGACGAGACGTCGAGACCAGGCTTCTGATGATTTTCCGGATCGTGGAGCCAAGGGACTTCATCTTCAGGCAGTACGTCCAGCCAATGTGACCGATAAAAGACGCGCTGAGTGTTTGCAGATATTCGCGCAGTCGCGACTGGGCGGACCTTAGCAGAGCCTTCGAGGACAGCACAAGAGACCAATTGATGGACGAACTGATTACGATGAGGCTGCAAGGGTCGCGTCCCGTAGCGCCCGCGCTCGCACCCGGAAAGCCTCGGCAGGTGTTTTACAAGGCGGTCGACGCGATCCCAGTCCTTCTAGGCTACGAGTCCCCCTTCCCCTCCAGCTTCCGGGCGAACGCGCCTGCCGCCATCCCTCCATCAACGCAACCGAAGGCTTGGGCACGCATTGCAACCAGCGCGACTGTTGATCGCAGGGAGACGAGCTCACCAGGCATCCAGCTCATAGCGATTGAATCGAAGAAACCAGCCCCAACATTAACGTCGGAGCGTGAACAGATAGAACCCTCGCTTTCGCTGCCCAGTGCAGCACAGAAGGTCGTAGCCTACCGACTTCTGTGCATGTACCGCCGAAGGATGCGACGCCGCTCTAGCGAGCGAGTTCGCGCCGTGATCTCGGTCCAACGGTGGTACCGCAGGCTGGTCGCGTCGCGCTCCCTAACGGGTCTGGATCGCACACGGCAGGGTTTCTTCGCGGCGTGCAAGGCACTGGAGACGGAAGCACAGATAGCATTCCCCCACTTCCGCGCCCGATTGTTGTATCGCTATACCCTGCCTCGCATCCTCACATGTCTCGACATCGTCATAACCCACCTCGACTCAGTCAAAACCCAGATTCGACAGGAATTCGAGGTGCTGAACAATCACGAGAAGCTGGAGTCCATAAGCGACAAACTGGAGGGTGTCAAGTGCGTACCTTTCGCTCGTCGTCCACAGGTAGAATGACTGACCTTCATCACAGCGCTGCTCTGAGGGAGGCGAAAACTCTTGCGTCCGCCGTTGCACCACGGCCAGATACATACAGCGCCCCTGACTGCCTATCACGACTGCAAGAGCATACGCGCACGCTCGTTGCGATGGCGGAGCGGCTACCTCCTGCGCACCGTCTCGTCATAGCGTCCGACCTCGAGGTGGTGGTTTTCAGCGTGCTGACGTATGAGAACTTGAAGCGGGAGAAGAGGGTGGAGATGCATAGGAAGAAGGCGAAGCCGGCGTTGAACACCTACGACGACGAGTACGGCCAATACTACTACTAAAAGCCAGGAGAGATATCTGAATACCACGCATCGCATCTTGATTGTCATACTTACCTGCTGCTCAGATGAAATGGATGTACATTGAATCCCTTGACCTTGTGGCGGAGTTAATGTGCTTCACACACCTACCCTTCGACTCGGACGAGTGTCAGCCGCCGGTCAATGTTGTGGGTCCACTTGTCTGCGCCCACGTGATGAAGCGGCACTGCCACCAGCGACCTCCGTGGCGCCGCCCTTGCGCAGCCATGTTCATACACCGCGTCAATATTAATTCGTTCTTCTCCCCCTTGACTGCGTATCGGCTGTTGATGACGTTCACGACATTCACGAAGATATAAGACATCCTCAACATCCCTTTTCTTCCCTAACTCTGAGCACAATCGCTTCAACAAAATGATGTCTATGGGACCACCCCCAGGCCCTCCCCCTGGCGGCTTTGGCAAAGGACCGCGCGGCGGACACCATGAAGGACCGCGAAGGAAGGGGGTCTTTAACCCCGAAGACGAGACGAAGGTCATACACTCGAAAATTGGTGTATGGGACTTCTACGAGGAGAGGCCGCCCCAGCTCGCGCGACTTCCGTACTTCCTGCAGCTAGAGTCGTACTTGGAGATCATCCCCAGCTTCCCGTACGTCGTTCGGATGCTCAAGGACATTGCAAGCATACGCGACTGCCAGGTGTACATGCTCCTCTACCTGGTTCTGGAGGTTGTCGCGGCGCTAGTGCCCGCCATCTCGCTCTGGTGCGTGTTCAAGTGTTTGAATCTATGCAGGTCACTGATAGCATGCCCAGGTACTCGGGGCAGCTTCTTCGTATAGTGCAGACGGCAGTCGATGAACGCGCTGTGAACACCGAACAACTCTTCCGGGTCGCTTCCGGGCGCTTCATATGTTCGATCGCGGAGCGCGTCCTCCGCTATGCGAAGAACAGGGTCGGACCCGGCCTAAACAAACGCATCAAGCAGTACTACTCGATCCACACCTTCCATTCCCTCGCTCGGCTAGACGTGCCCACGTTCGACGATGCAGCGGTGCAGACGCAGTTGCAGCAGAGCGTCTCGCCGAGCAGCCGTACCACCATAGCCTGGACGACGCTGACGATGGCGCTGAACATCATGAGCACTGCGCTGAGGTTGGCGAGTCAGTTCTTGGTGCTGGTGCGCGTGCTAGTTGAGCAGCGGGACGGTGTGCTCCTGGCGAGTTTGAGCTTCGCGCACAGCTTGATGAACATCATGAACTTCAAGAAGGATTTCGGGCTCGCAGGAGGTAAGTCGATCCACACCTTTCCGTTGATTTGTGGCCAAGACATCTACAGTGTGGGCTGCGACGACGAAAGACCCAGATTACATTCGTACCGAGGGGTTGAAGAAGACGATCAGCACCACGGCTCACCGGAAGGAGATCGTGGCGGGCGGCTTGTGGAACTACATGTTGACAGGTAGGACACTATCAACGTCTTCGTCGTCCATTGCTAACGTGTACTGCAGCATACGCTCAGGGTATCAAGAGATTAGGCACTCGCGCGGGCGACTTCTTCGATCTGCAATCCGAGCTGCGAACGCGAGACCGCTTGAACTTGTTCACCCTCCTTGCCGAGCCGCTCAAGGAGCTCCCACAGGTGTGTTCCTTCGGCTGCCGTTGACCATGTATGCGTGCTGACCGCTCTCCCAGATCGTCTTCACGCTCCGAGCCGTCCAGTACCCCTCGTCGATCCCCGTCTCGCTCGCATCGCTCAACCTCATCACGCAAACGACGATGGAGTTCACGATGGTGCTTTACCGCCTCTTTGAGCAGACGGGCTCCATCGCGGAGAAGTTCGCGTCCGTGCGCAAGATGTACGAGGTGGCGAACATTCCGAATCGCGTGCAGGACGGGCGGGAGGCGTTTCCGGAGGACCCATCGACGTTGCGGCTGGGCATCAGCGTCGAGTTCAAGAATGTGTCATTCAAGTATCCGGGAAGCGATGCGTGGGCGTTGAAGAACGTGTCGTTCAAGGTCGAGAGGGGACAACTATGTGTAAGTGAACTTCAACGACCAGGGGATAAGCACAGAAACGCTGACGCGACCGGCAGGTCATTCTCGGCGCGAATGGGTCGGGCAAGTCGACGGCGCTCAAGTTGATCTCGCGCATATATGATCCGACGGAGGGGCAGATCTTCATTGACGGGCGTGAGATACGTCAGCTGAAGTTGGATGACTTGCGCAGGGCTATCAGCGTGCTCTTCCAGGACTACACGCTCTTCCCGCTCAGCGTAGGTGTCCTGAAGGGATATGGAAAGGACCGCAGCTGACGCCTTGCAGATCAAGGACAACATCGCCATCGGCGACCCGGAAGCCCTCGCAGCGCTCACAGGCGCGCAGGAGAAAGGCGAGACGGCGCACGATATCGAGGAGCGCATACGGGAAGCGGCCCGACTCGGCGGCGCGGACGGGTTCCTGGAGAAGCTGCCGGAGGGCTACGACACGTACCTCGACCCGCCCGTGCGCGACCACTATGCGGGGCTGCCGGAGGGCACGAAGGCGCTGTTCGGCCGCCCGGTGAGCTTCGGGCGCATGCGCGGGATGGGCGGGATGAACAGCGCGGTGTCGTCCGGGCTGAGCGGCGGGCAGGTGCAGCGGATTGCGCTGTGAGTAGCGTTGTAGGCGGGTGTGGTAGTGAAAAGCTGACTCATGCCTAGGTCGCGGACGTTCATGCGGTCGAATACGGCGGAGCCGCGGGTGGGGCTACTGCTCTTTGACGAGCCGTCCGCAAGCTTGGATCCGGTGGCGGAGCATGGTGAGTTCTGGGTCATCGCTGTTGAGTATACCTTGCTGATGGTTGGTCGCAGATCTGTTCGAACGACTACGTGCGCTGCGCGGGAACAAGACGATGATCTTCTCGTCTCATAGGTTTGGGAACTTGACGAGGCACGCGGATGTGATCTTGTAAGTCGAGAGATCTCCCTCCTTCCACTTGCGAGCTGAGCTGACAGCGCGATATAGATACATGAACGACTCCGTGGTGGTCGAGTCCGGGACACACGACGAGCTGCTCAGGAAGGAAGGGGACTACGCGCGGATATGGAACTTGCAAGCGCAGGCGTTCATGTAGGACGGGAGCGCGCGGTTATGTCAGGTTTGGGACGTCGGGCGTATGGACTGCTCTGTGCGTATCTAGACAGTGTAATGATATCTGATAATCCCTAGACTTGCCATCGTGATCGGAGAGGTGTGAACGCTAGTAGGGCGGCGCGGAATGTTGGGTGGTCCGAGGGCGTTGTTCGACTGCCTGTTCGTCTGACGATCCCTTGTGATGTGGGATGTTCTTTGTGATGGTTGGTGATGGTAAGTGCTTTGAGTTGTCGGATGTGGCCGTCGGAGGGTGACAGGAAGCTCTTGAAGTCGGAGCTCTGCGCTTGGTGTGCTCGTAGGCGGTGCACGTTTGATCGTCGGGTACGATGGCGAGGTGAAGCCTTCAGTGCTTTCTTCCTTTACTCTTGCCATCGTTGGCTTGTGGTAAAGCCGAATGCTCTCAGTTTTTCTATCTCTGCGAGCTGCAGATTTGGAGACGTTGGTAGAGCCGAAGGAGAGGGACCGTGCGCGCTCTCAAAATCTGGAGTCAGACGATGACCGGGCGGCTGGACCTTGCTCAGGTGGGTATTCTGTGCATGGTTTACGAAGGCAAGCCTGAGGCTGATCAATCGGCTGCACTACCTAGAGTCTACAAGAACATTGTCGATCAACGGACACCGAGCGGCACAGGACCTCATCGCGGCTTCCACGCCATCGACCTCGACGACACCCTCGATATCCATCGGCGCTGCCGTGGGCATAGGCACCGGAGGTGCAGTCGCAGTGCTCTTCCTTGCTGCAGTGTGCGTGTGCGTATGGCGGCGGCGGCGGAAGTTGAGGGCGTGTCGGGAGGCGGAGCGCGCCGCGCGACCTTTCATGTTGATCCCTGTGGGGCAGGGTGCAGGAAGAGGGGAGGAGAGCCCAAGGCAGTGGGGTGAGAGCCCAAGGCAGCGGGAGGCGTCGACACCACAACCTTTGCTCCCACCTTTCCGCTCTGCGCCGCCACGATCTTCTCACCGGTCGCAACATGATGGTTCTCAGGCAAATTCTCTACCGGGCGGCCGGAATTCGGCCACACACCTTGAACTACGACCTTCGGCATCGAACAGCTCTCTGGCATTGACAGCGAACCAGGTTTTGACGTCGAAGTCGAGCCAGCATCTAGCGCCGGCGTCGCAGTCAAGTCCATTGAAGTCGCGCGCAAATCCGTTCACGTCGCGGGCAAGTCCATTCGCGTCGCAGGCTAGCTCGTCCTCATCTGCCGCTGGACCAAAAGGGGCGCGTCGTGCGCTGCAGGCACGGGTCGCCGCGCTCGAGCGGCGGATCGCGGTGGAGGAGACGCTGCTTGAAGGGGAACAGCTGCTACAGCCACGGCGCAGCGACGCGACATCAGAGCTGCGAGGAGGACCAGTCAGTGGCACTCCAAGTAGAGGGGAGCAGCGTCCGCATCGGTCGGGGAAGAGTAGGGAAGAAGGGCCGCGAGACGGAGGTGCCATAGGACGGGAGAGCAGAGGACGAGACAGCCGCAGCTCAAGGGCGTCGTTACGAGCGGACATCGCTGCGATACGGCAGGAGCTGCAAGTCATGAGGGGGCAGTCATCGTCGTCGTTGCCGCCGGGTTATGATGGGGCGGTTACTTGACTGTCGACCGAATCTGTATTGAACCCTCGGATATTGGCGCTTGTTTGGTCTCAACCGTTGTTTGTTGATCTGTCAACGCCTCACGTGTTTCGGTACCGAGAAGCCACGAGTTGATTTTTACGTGCGTTCTCGGCCGCCTGTCATGCCCGCTTGGCTCCCCACCATGTCTTCCAGGACTCCCGCCTCGTCCTTTCGTGCTGGAGACTTTCCGCAATATGGGCACGCTCACGAGCAGCCGCAAAAGCAGCCGCCTCCCTCGCATGGTCTATGGTCTAACGATCGACCAGAAAGCCATGCGTAGCTTCAGCCTCGCCAATGACCCGCCGTGGATTCCTCCCACTAACCTCTCTGCCGAGGAACTGGAGGAATGGTGGATGTGGCGGTCGCCAACGCTGTGGCTGCATGTCATCACGTACTGTACCTCCGAGTTCCAGCTGCCAGCAGTCAATGGCCTGACATTCGTCTGGGATGGGGACGAGCGCAAGCCGGTGGTCCCTCTCGTCGATAGCTACGAGACCACTGCTATCCCGTCGGATGAGGAGGTGGCGGAGGTGGCCAAGTATATGCACCAGGAGGGTCAGCGCGCCAAATGGTATCAGGTCACTTTTGCCTGATAGCGGGTGTGTTGCGCTCCTACTCTTCATGGTTGCGAGTCATGCTCACCTTTTCCTAGGCTTTCTCTTGCCCAGTTGCTGGCGCTGTTCGTCATGTCATCAACCCAACGTGTTTAGTCTCGCTTCCCAAAACCCACTGCAATTTCGTCTTTATGTTGCCAAGTGTGCTGTCTCGTTCTACGCTATGGTTGTACGTCGCTGTTTCGGGTCGATCTTCGGACCATGCATGAAAAAATATGTTCGGTCATAAACTCGTAAGCCAGCCGCTTGCCGGCGGCCGCGCATGTGTGACAACGATTCGCGGAAAGGCAGATGACAGTCATACGGTCGTTCTGCTAAGGGAGTACAGTACTTCCACATAAGTTGAGTGAGCCGGTACCGAAGTCGCAAATGCACGTGCTTCGGTGCCGAAAAGCCACGAGTTGCTCCCTTTGCGGTAATTGGAGTTTACGCGCGCACGCTCCCGTCTGTCCATCATGACTGGTGACCGCCTCGCTCTCACTCCCATGTCTTCCAGGACTACCGCCTCGTCCTCTAGTGATGGAGACTCTGCGCAACCTTGGGAAGCACAGGCTCCGCAACCTGGGCACGCACTCGAGGAGCCCAGAGAGCAGGACGAGCGGCCCACAAAGCAGGACGAGGAGCCCAGAAAGCAGGTGACTTTTGCCAGTGGCACGCAGTTTGAGTCCCCAACCGCGACCGCGCGCAAATCCAACAAGTGGGATCCCAGTCGTTCCCGCCGTCACCTTGTATACGCCATCAAGCTCACCGAGGAGGGATTCCGCGGCTGGAGCGCCGCTCATCTATCCCCTCCTCCCGCCGACCTGGAAGGAGAAGCCCTGGAAGGGCAGGGAAGGCCTCTAGAAGAGCAGGGAATCCCTCCAGAAGAGCAGTGGAAGGCCTTGAAGGGCGTCATGTCTTGCCTTATCCCCTGGGATTGTAGCGAGGACTTCGATCTGCCGGTCGTCAAGGAGTCGTATGTCACGCTGGCGAGGGATGGGGACGAACGCGTCCCTGTTGTTCCTCTCGCTGATAATCGAGCGAGAGCAAGACACCATCGTCGCCCGCCGCCGGAGGAGGTCATCGCGCAGGTGGCGGAGGCTATGTTCCAGCCTGGGGCGGTTCCGGAGTGGTACCAGGTTGCACGTTGAGGTGATTTTGGAGACTGTCCTACTGGTTATACGTCTTTTGCTGACGTGGGCTGGTATACCGTATCCCAAGTCGGCCTCATGGATTCGTCGCTTTGACTTTTTATCTGTCTTTACTATCTGCTACGCCTGTGCCTGGCCCAAATCACTCCTCTCGAACGATGAAAGTGTATGCTATTCAAGAGCAAGCCTGCGAAGTATTTACGGAAGATGCGCTACAAGACTCCAATATGCCCGATATCATATACAGTGTGCGAGGCTGAACTCAGCTGCCCCCATGCGCACGCTGACGTGAGGTGTTAGAGAACGTCAAGACGATGGGAAGCTCTCACACGCACCTTGAAGTGCGACCTGATACCAGTCCGGTACAGCCCCAGGCTGGAAGATGGACTCTGCTACCTCCGCGACGACCTCATCCGAAGGCGGGTGGCGATGACGCTTTGAGCGCGCGCGACTGTCCGCAAGAGGAACAACAGACACGCGCCTGTCTCCCTCCCTGACCAGCGTGATATGCGACCCGTGAACGACCGGGAGGCCGAACTTGTCGCTGCAGCGCCAGGGTTTGAAGTCCTCCTCGACACGATAGAAAATAGGCTTCATCCTGAGACCGATGGCACCGAGCTCATCATGCGGCGCGAGACGGTGACATGAGTGCACGCGATGGGAAGAGAAGGGCATGCCACCATAAGTATCAGTGCGTTGCAGCAGCACACTCGCGAGATGGCACGTGCTTCGGTACCGAGGGGGCAACGAGTTGTTTGAAATCTGTTTGTTGCGCTGCCTTTTCCTTTCCGTCGCCATGTCGTCTGCAGTCCACGATTCATCGTCTTCCGGAGGCGACTCACGGTCATCAACCGGCGTGTATCCTGCGAAGACTGAGGAGCCTGACCACAATCCAGAGTCGCCTCACCCGTTGATAGAAGAACAAGTCGCGTTGAAGGACTCGGAGCCTCTGTCGTCTGGATTTACTCCTCCGGGCGTACACAACCCAAGCGCACGCAGCCTAGTCAGCATGCGCGCGTACAACCGACCCGGCAGACCGCGCCGGAGCCGCCGCCGCATGGTCTATGGCCTGACGATCGACAAACACGCCATGCGCACGTTCAGCCTCGCGCACGACCCGCCGCGGCTGCCCCCCGCCGACCTCTCCGCCAACGCGTTGGAGGAGTGGTGGGTGTCGCGGACCCCGGCGCTGTGGATTCACGTCACCACGTACTGCACCGCGGAGTTCGAGCTACCGGCGGTCAATGGGCTGACCTTTGTGTGGGTTGGGGACGAGCGGGTGCCGGTGGTGCCTCTGGTTGATAGCTGGGAGATTGAGGGTGTTTGGAGGACTGCTGAGGTTCCGTCGGATGAAGAGGTGGAGGTGGTGGCACGGTATATGTGCCAAGAGGGGCAGAGGGCGAGGTGGTATCAGGTAACTTTTGCTTGAGGGTAAGTATGTGGCAACTCGATTTTTTTGTGGTCGTGAATGCTCATTCTCCCCAAGGCTTTTTTGGACACTCATTTTTGCACCGTGCGCATCCTTTATTCCCATCATCGGCTCGCCTTTCTTTACCTTTGGGATACCATGAGCTATCACGCACTGCTCACTGAGGTTGGTCTCAAGCCGCGCACGGCAACTGCCGCTCGCTTTCCGCATTCGGAAGTTTATGTTCGGTGTCATAACGTGCCTTGTGTTTATTGTCACGGCGCCGCTGGAAAGTCAGTTTGAGGCCAGACCTGTCAGACTGAGTCATGCGTGCCCCTATTGAACTGCCTCGTTCCGTAAGTACGGTCTTGAAGCATTGAGAGTCCTCATCCGGAGCACTCATCTGCAAACAGGCAAAGGAGCTGCGAACAGCGAAAGGAGCCGTGAGCAGCGAAAAGACCTACCACATCCGGAGATCCAGACAGAGACTTAGCGATGGCATCTACGCAGAAAGAGAGTGAGTGCTCCGATATTTGTATGCGTAGTCCTCCGCAGGCGTTTCTGGCAACTTACATGCCGTTCCCCGCGCCTCACATGCCGTTTCCCGCACCTCACATGAGGTTTCCCGCTCACGCAAATACCGCTAGGCGAGTTTCCGTACACCGACGCGCAGTTGGAGGAGGCGGGACTGATGGGCGAAGGCGAGTCTTCTTGCCACCCCTGTTGCCCCCAACACCCAGCCCCATCGTCTAGTTCGTGCTGACCATCATTTCTGGTGCTCTTTGCCATGCCTCATAACCCCTCATCGACGTGCCTGCATCGTCGCACCCGTGCTGGACGCATCGTCGGACCCGATGGGCGTCTCGTCGTACCCGATGGACGCATCGCCGCACCCGATGGACGCATCGCCGTACCCGGTCCGCACCCTACAGGCGTCTCCGCCGAGGTCCGTGAAATCATCGCGCACATGCGAGAGCACCCGGATCGGTATCGTAAGTCTCCTTCCCCTGACTCTATCCTGGCTCCTATCCCCCTACCCCCCCCCGCCCACCGAGTGCGCACACAACGCTTACCAAACCATTCCTGTCTTCCAGCAGACGCCACCATCGCCCTCCTCCAATCCACCAACGAGCAGGCGCTCGCCTACGAGGCACTCGCCGCCGCCCGCGCGCACCCGGAGACGCTCTCGACGACCACCGACGGCGCGCCCTACGCGGTCTCCGAGTACGAGCGCATCATGTACTACCACGCGCAGAGCGCCAAAGCCCCCGCGCTCCTCTACCGCTCCGACCTGCACGAGCGGCCGTACCCGCTGCCGCCCGCGTCGCCCCCGCCCCGCTGCCCGCGCCCGTTCGCCAAGCGGCGCACGGCGATGGGCGGGGTGTGGAACGGCAACAAGGACCTGTACGCCGTGTGGGATAAGATGGCGGAGCGGGGGGTGAACTGGCTGACGATCGATCTGTTCTTCTACAACGAAGGCGGGGACGGGGAGGAGCTGGAGGGGGAGGACGAGGAGGCGAAGGGTAAAGTGAAGGAGGGTATCACTACGAGGCCGGTCATCATGATACACGTCCATCCGGGGGGCGCGACGGCAGAGGCGGCACACGCGGCCAGCGAGGAGATGTTGGCTGTGTGTGAGGCGAGGGGTGTCTCGCGCGGGGAGGTGGCGATCGAGTGGCAGGAGGGGCATGTGCGAAGGTGGGGAAGTCATGGTACGAACTATGTGGCGCTACAGAGGAGGCGTTGGGACTAGTCTGCACGCTTTGCAGATGCTCTGAACCTCGTAGATGTTGCTAGCACCAGAGGCGGTCGCGAGCTTTGTGGGCGTTCGCTGGCTTCATGCGTGTGCGCTACAGGCGCGTTCGCTCTGCGTCGGTAATTATAATATGTCAGTCTTGTGAAGCAGATAGAAGGCTACGTTACCTGGATTGTCGTATTCTTCGAAGGAACGATTCACAAAAAGACAAGGAGCAGAGGAGCGTGTTCCAGAGAATTATAGAAACTCAATGAGCCGCAGACTCACCTTCAGACTCGAATGGCTTCGCACTGTACTCATTTGGCGAGTCGATCCCCTTGGCTCATCATACCAGCCACCTCCACCACCATTTGGTCAGATGGAACGATAGATGTCTTCCAGCTGCCAAACAAAGATTTCGGGGCGTCTGCAGGTCAGATATTCCGCGCCAGTTATCTACAAGCCTATGATATGAGATGAGAGATGGTATGCGAGTGTGTATGCGGAGGTCAAGTACTTTTGCGGGGGCCGAGGAGTGCGCAGGATTGAGAAGTCTATGACCGGTCTATGCCACGGATGAGTCAAAAGCGAGACGAGGGGAGGAGAGGAGAAACGCGAGGAATTGAAGGAGCGGTATGAGGGTGAATGGTCTTGGAAAGTGCTGAAGGAAGATGTGAATGCCGATCCAAACCAAATGAGGATCCAGTACGACCGAACGAAGGGTGCCGACGACGAGATGAAGAAGAGATCAAACGAGAGAAGAAGAGATCAAACAAACTAAAGACAGTGGTAGCAAGCCCGACAAGGCGGGCGAGGTAAGATAAGTAGGTTAGCGAATGACACGGATATATACATGGATGTCGCGACGCGACCTCTGGCAACGCGCGAGCGGTATGCTACCGTCGCGTTGGGCCACCTGTGTGTCCAGCCCATGAGACGAGGCAGCAATTCCTCGTGTTGGGTCGGCCAGAAGCACCTCGCATCGACGCGAGTCCTGTGGCGCCAGTCGACTGTTGTCTTGCGTTAGGCAAGATATTTGTGGCCATGAGCGGTCCTTCTTCCCCCTTTTCAGGCCACTTTCATTGATACTTCTCCTTGTAGATCCACTCGCGCCCTGCGCGACCTGAGGGTGTCTCGTAGTATTTGACTCCTCCCTCTCCCGCCACCCTCCCTCCGCACCGAACCAGCTCTCTCGTAGCCCCTGCCCACTTCCCATGCTCTCCCCTTCCCATGCCATCGCCAGGTATAAATAGGTAGAGTCACTCACCGCCGCCCGGTACCACCTCACTGCCGCCCACCGATCCTTCTTACACCCCTTCCCCTCTGCCAGGCAGAATCCGAGATCCGCCTGCGCATCCGCGTCCCCGAGATCCGCCTGCGCATCCGCGTCGCCGAGATCCGCCTGCGCATCCGCGTCCCCGAGGCGCGCCGCAACCGTGTAGTACTGGACGCCCATCTTCATGTCCTTGGGCACGCCCCAGCTGTGGAAGAAGCATTGGCCGACCTGGGGCAAGGGGTCAGCGCGATGGCCTCCCTCGTCTTCCGTGCGAGGCGTCCGCGAGCTGCCGTGCGTCGGGACCACGACTCGCGGATCCCCTCTCCCATTCGCACTTCACTCACCTCGTAGATCGCCAGCACCAACTCCGCCTGCACGCCGCTCGCGATGCGGTCCATGCCCACGCTCGCGATGAGGTCCATGCCCACGCTGTGCGCGGACGCCTTTTCCGCGGCGGCGATCGTTGCGCCGTTGCCTTGTGCGGCGGCGATCGTTGCGCCGTTGCCTTGTGCGGAGGCGATCGTTGCGCCGTTGCCTTGTGCGGCGGCGATCGTCGCGCCGTTGCCTTGTGCGGCGGCGATCGTTGCGCCGTTGCCTTGTGCGGCGGCGATCGTTGCGCCGTTGCCTTGTGCGGAGGCGGGACTCCCAGGTGGGGGGCCTGGAAAGGAGTGTTAGCGATGAGGTGAGTAGGGATGGGGAAGCGAAGGAAGGGAAGAGGGGAAGGAATTGAAGGGCAGGGAGGAAGAGGGCGAGAAATGGAAGGAGAGGAAGGAAGAGGGCGTCAGCAAAGCAACCGAGCGAGTAAGGTAAGCAAGGATGCGTAAGGTAAACAAGCATGCGTAGCACAAAGTAACAGCGATGGAAGGTATAAGTAAGCCGACGGCAGGTCCGTCTACACAATTAGGTCGTAGGAGATGCACAGTCAAATCGTAGGAGATGCACAGTCAGATCGTAGGAGATGCGCATCCACCCTCGCACCCAGGCACCCGCAGTCTGAAGCGAGAGGGGACAGGACGCGAGCACGCACCGCGGCTGCGCGAGTGGAGGAGGCCGCGCTTCTTGGAGGGAGAGGTCGTAGGGGATTTGGCTTGGGAGTCGTTCGAGTGTTTCTCGTTTGAGGGGGAGAAGGGGGGTTTGGGGCGCTTGAAGAGGGAGTGTCGGGAGTGTTCGGTAGGGGTTGTGCTACGCGTATGCAACTTCTCCTCGGAGGGTACGTGCGCGTTGGGAGAGAGGGGTATCTCGCGGACGATCGCAGCTGGGCGGTATCAGTCGTACGGGGTGGGGGGGTGGGGTCAACTCGGACGGATGGGATGCTCGTGCGCGAGGGACGCGGCGAATTTCGTAAGAACTCGAAGTTCGAGGGCAAAAAAGCGGATATCAGCTGATACGAGGACGATGCGCAAGATACGAGGCAGGCTGAGAGCCTTTCATGCGCTGAGAGCCTTTCATGCGGAAAACGGTCGGCATTTGCGGCTAACTGCTTCAGGGCGAGGCTCAGTCACCGACACGATGAGCACCTCGGGTTCGACACTCACTTCTGTAGCTACACCGCCCGACGCTCGTAGATACAGTAACCTCACGCTGTTATCCTTGCCGCACACTTGCTCTTTCCACCACCAAGTCGCACCTGTTCCGTTGAGGTCAAGCCGCGCACGGCTTGTTCCGTTGAGGTCAAGGCGCGCACGGCTTGTTCCGTTGGGGTCAAGGCGCGCACGGCACCTGCCGCTCGCTTTGAGCATGCGGAAGGTTGTGTTCGGTGTCATGTCTTGCGTCGTGTTTATCGTCACGGCACCGCTGGAAAGTCAATTAGTACGAGTTCGCGCCGGGGGGAGGGAGGGGGGAAGGTGGGAAGGGGGAGGGGGAGGGAGGAAGGGGGGAAGGGGGGAAGGGGGGAAGGGGGGAAGGGGGGAAGGGGGGAAGAGCGGAGAAGCAGGAGGGGGGAGATGGAGGAGGGGGTGGAGGCCAAGTAAGGGAGCCTGGGCGGCTGATCTCGCGAAACAGCCTGGGTAAGGTCTCGGGAAGCAGCCTGGGTCAGGTCACGCGAAACAGCCTGGGTAAGGTCACGCGAAACAGCCTGGGTAAGGTAGCCTCGCGAAGCAGCCGGGGCAAGGTAGTCAGTCTCGCGAGTTAGCTGACCACCTCGGTCGGCTGCAGAGAAGAGGGGGGGGAAGAGATGGAGGGAGGGGGAGGGTGGGGGGGAGGGTTGAAGGTTGAAAAATGGTTGGAAAGGCCGGGAAGAAGGGGGAGTGAAAAAGGAGGGGAAAAGAAGTAGGGGGAGAAAGGAGGGGAAAAGGAGTAGGGGGAGAAAGGAGGGGCGAGGAGAAGGAGGGGGGAGGGGGAGGATGAATTTGAGGGGAAGGGGAGGCGGAGAGGGGGGTGCGAGAGGCAGAGAGTGAGGGCAAAGAGGGAGAGCGAGTGTGAGAGGGAGGGAACGATGGGTCAGAGAGAGAGAGAGAGAGAAGGAAGGGGGTTGCAAAAAAGGTAGGGGAACACAAGCGAACTGACGAGGGAGGGCGAGGGCAAAGGAAAGAGGGACGGGGCGCGGGCGCTGGAAGGCAGCGGGTTCAGGGAATGAGAGGGAGAAGGATGATGTTGCTATTCATCCAAATGTGCTTGCAGGCGTTGCGCAAAGTACGCATATAATATCCGAGCGCAGACATCGTTTAGAACATGTATGCATCGACCGCGGCGCGCGTGGATATGTTGGGTAAGTGGCTGAGAAGCTGCATGATGGCGAGGTGGGTGGCGAGATGCGACAGCGTTCGACGATGGCCACGGAGAGAAGGGCGAGAACGAGCTTGGACGCGCGAGGTGGACGGCGGTGACGCTGAACCGACTTGGCGATGTCTGAGGGTGGGCGGGCGCCGGGAGGGTACGGCGGGGAGTATAGGCCGTCCGGCGTGATCAATAGAGAGACGGGGAAGACGATAGAGCGAGAAGGCAGTGCGAGCGAGGGCTTGCAGCGGTGCGAGAGAGGATGACAGCGGAGCAAGCAGCAGGCGGAAGAGCATGGGGCGGGTCGCTGGCGCACTTGAGGCGGCCCGCCTCGTCGCTCCGATGACACCTTGCGCGATAGAAGATGTGATGTGGCCAGCACACGAAGCACAGAAGGGCGCTCGACACTCGCCCGTGGAGGCCGTCCTGATCGAAGCCCCAACTCGAGCCAGCCTGCGCGCCTCCGCCGACGCCACACCCGTGGCTGTGCCGCTCCCTCCGTCGATCGCGCCCGCGCCGCACGGAGACCGGGCCGGTCCACAGTTGGTTCGCGCCGCGATGGCTGGCTACCGCCTCCCAGCGTCCTCTCCCCTCGACACACTCGTCCGCAAGACTTCCCAGCGGAGGCCGACGAACGAACCAGCCCGCGCTCATGCACCCCCGCCGCGCCCGGCTCCACCCCCGCGCTCGCCGCTCATCCGCTCCCGCTTCGACCAGGCGGTCGAGTGGGGGGAGCAGTATGTGCGCATGTGGGGCTCTCGTACGAACTACATAGATATTCGGGACTGAGAAGTGGTGAAATGGGCGGGGGGATTCTATACATCGATTGAGCGCTGTCGTTTGAAGTCTCGCCTGTCGCGCATCGCAATTGCCATTTGCTATCCGCATGCGGAAGTTTATGTTCAGTTGCCAAAACGGTCCATTGGAGAGTCAATTCGAACCCAGACCTCTCATATTGAGTCATGCGCGCCCCTATTGTCTCGATAGGTGAGTTGGGTCGTGCAATAGCGACAGCCCTCGTCCGGAGCGTTCATCTGTGAACAGTGAAAGGAGTTACCCCAGCAGCAGAAACAACCCAAGACTCAGCGATGACATCCACAGAGGAAAAGGGTAAGTGCCAGCAATGCTCTCGCAGTCATCAGCGCCCGCACTCCGCAGGCGTTTGCGGCACCTCACATGCGGCTTCTTGCTAACACCCATCCCGCCAGTCGAGTTTCCGTACACCGACGCGCAGTTGGAGGAAGCTGGCCTCCTGGGCGAAGGCAAGTAGTACTCTGCCACGCTTTCGTCCTGCTCATACTAAAGAAATAACACACCTCGTGCCCCTTTACCATCGTCCATAACATCTCATTGGTGTGCCTTTACTCCGTGCACTCTTCGGACGCATCACCTACCCGCTGCGCGCATCGTCACACCTCGCAGGCGTCTCCGCCGAGGTCCAGGAGATCATCGCGCACATGCGAGAGCACCCGGATCGGTATGGTGAGTCCCCTCCCCCCTGCTCGTCCCCACCGCGCCGAGCGCGCACTCACCACGTCCCGAACTCACACACCCCTTCCAGAGACCGCCACCATCCCCCTCCTCCAATCCACCAACGAGCACGCCCTCTTTTGGGAAAAGATCGCCGCCGTACGTGCGCATCCCGAGCAACTGTCAACCACCACCGACGGCTCGCCCTACGCCGTCTCAGAATACGAGAAATGGCTCTACTATCACGGAAACCGCAACACGCTCGTCTACCGCTCCGACCTGCATAGCAATCCCTTCCCCAGCCCTTCGCCCGGTGCGCGGCCCCCCCAGAGACGCCTCGACCACTTTAGCAGGAGGATGCACCCGGCGTTGCACGGTGCGTGGAATGCCCCGGCGCGAGTGCACAATCAGGTCTGCGACGCCCTCAGAGCCCGGGGCATCACGTTTTACGACGCGTGCCTCTATCGCGTTCGCGAGGGCGACGAGGACGAGGACGTGTGGCCAGCGCCGGAGGGTCGGCCGATCGTATGGGTCCTCGTGCCCCCGGGGGCTGTTACGGCGGAGGTGGCGCACGAGGTGAGCGAGGAGATCTTCGCGCTCTTGGAGAAGCAAGGGATCGCGCGGGGTGATCTGGAGGCCGAGTGGGCGGAGGGGCATGTGCGGATCTGGGGTCCCGGCGAGAACTATGTGGAGCTACAGAAAAATTTCTCGTTCTAGTCTGCGAGTCGTGGAGATGCGCACTGGCATTGTAGGCGTTAGCTAAGTTTGTCGATGTTCGGTAGATCTGCAGGTGTGCGCTCGCTCTCTACTGTGTATCGGTGATATGTCAGTTCGGTGTCGCTCAGGAATAGCCACAGTATTGTCACCATCGTATCGAGTGAAGGAAGATTCTTCATCGCTCATTTCTCGTTGCTCATTCCCCCTGCTCTACATCAACCTCACGTCCAAGCAGAGACAGTGGGGGCAATCACAGCAGCGCACAGGGAAAGTGAGATGTATGAAGTCACTGATGTGGGGATGGAGGAGGGGACGAGGGGGTGGTAACGTGGATGGAGGGGAGATGGAAAAGACCGGGAATTAGGGAAAGGAGTGGACGAGAGAAATGTGAGGGGGACAAAGGAAAGACGAGGGGAGAAAGAAGGACGGGCGTCGAAGGTGAAGGGAGCGGAGCCAGGTGGGTAAGGGAAAGAAGAACAAGGAGAGAATATTGTTGCTGTTCATCCGAGTCGCTTGCAGGCATCGCGCAAAATACGCATATATTACACTTTAGAATAGCATATATATCCGATCGCAGACAGCTCCCAGAATACGTATACATCGCGCATGGAGATGTTGGGTTGGTGAATGAGAAGCCGAGTGGTGGCGAGGTGGGTGCTGACATGCGACGGCGTTTGACGACGGGCACGGCGAGAAAGGGAAGGGCAAGGACGAGCTTGCACTCGTGAGGTCGTCGACGGCGACCTGGAAGCGACTTGGCGATGTTTGAGGGTGGGCAGGCGCCGGAATAGAGGGTACGACGGGGAGTATGTACGGCGCGATCGACAGAACGGGGCGGGCGAGGCGATAGAGCGAGAAGGTTGTGCGACAGCGGCTGACGGCGAGGCAGCCTGCGGGATATAAGGTGTGATGTGACCAGAAGGATGCTCGACACTCGTCCGTGGAGGCCGTCCTGATCGAAGCGCCCATCCGAGCCAGCCAGCCCGCCGACGTGCCCTGTCGATCGCGTCGCACGGATATCGGCCCGGTCCACAGTTGGTTCGCACCGCGATGGCAGGCTACCGCCTCCCAGCGTCCTCTCCCCTCGACACGCTCGTCCGCAAGACGTCTCAGCGGAGGCCGACGAACGAACCAGCCCGCGCTCATGCACCCCCGCCGCGTCCGGCCCCACCCCCGGGCTCGCCGCTAATCCGCTCCCGCTTCGACCAGGCGAGGGACGACGAGAGCGTGTACACTGACGCCAGCTCGTTTCGCGCCAGGCACGCCTACTCGGAGAGCAAGGCGAGCACCTCCTACGCCGGCTCCTCCTACTCTATCTATCCGGCGGACGCCGGGCTCGAGCACTATCCGCCGTTCAATACCAACGACCCGTCATCCAACTCTCGCAACCGCGCCGGCCACGCCAGCGAGCCCTCCGTCGACTCGTACATCGACATGAACTCGCCTGTGGACGACGACCAGCCGCTGGCGGACGCCCAGGAGGCCGTCCTCGCCGGCCTCACCGACACCTACCGCGACGACCGGCCAGGCTCGCACCAGAACTACGACTCTGCCCTCCGCGACTCCTGGCCGGATGCGAAGCGCGCGAGTGAGGGCGTGCAGAGGGCTGCCGGTGGGCGAGGACGTGGTCCGCCGTCTTATGCTCACGACACCGTCCGCGCCGACGCCAAGCGCCCCACCCCCGGCCGCCAAGACAACCCGCACGCGAGCAACGCGTTCAAGAGCGTCTACTCCAACGTGGATAGTGTCTATTCGCAGGATGATGATCGCAACTCGTATGGTGGTCCTAGGTACCCTGCCTCTGGACGCTACACCCGCAACCTCGACAGCATCTACTCCCAGGACGACGACGATCAGGCGTACTATGCCGATGCGTCTGGTGCGGCGTACACGGACACATCTGGTGCTGCATACGCGGACGCATCGTACACCGCCAACGAGGACGTACCGACCGTCGTTGTATCCTCGCCCATCACATCCAGCTCTGCTTCCTCCCGCCAAGCAAGCCGCCAGCCCATCCAGCAGCACATCCGCAACTTCAGCCGCCCGATGCCGCAGTCGGACGCACCCCCGCCTGGTTCCTCTGCCTCTCAACAGGGTCACGCACCCTCTCAGCAGGGCCGCACACCCTCCCACTCGCAGAACAACCACATCACCGGTGGATTCGACCCGCACGCTTCGACCATCTCCTACGCCGACTCGTCGTACACGCAGGACGACTCGTTCGCGCATGATCCCGCCACCAATCTATCCTCCTCTTACGCATCCCAGGACGGTTTAAATCCCCACCTGACCCATCTCTTCGCGCAGACGGCCCCTCCCCTCGCCCTGTGATGATGCGGAGTGACAGCAAGAATCGAATTGTGTTTAGCGCCCACCCCTCCTTTGCCGGGCCCCCCGCGCACGGTCTCCCCGTCAAGGGGCCCGTGCGCGGGGGGCGTGGGGGTGCTATCTACGGTATTCTACGCGTGCGCTCTAGCATGATCCCGACGTGACCCCTCCCACCAGCATGGTCCCTCCTACCAGCATCCCTCCTACCAGCATGACCTCCCCTCCCCGACGTGACCCCGCCTACCAGCATGACCTCCCCCTCCAGCAGTGATGAGCAGCATGACCCCATCGTGAGGGCAGCGAGACGGGAGGAGGGAAGGAACACGGTAAGCCTCTACCCACCTCCCCTCGTCTTATATACCCCCCGTCCTGCTGAAGCGAGCCGAGTACGGACACCGCGCGGGTCCCCACCCTAGTACGCTAGCGCACGTAGTCGGTAGCGCACGTAGTCGGTAGCTTATCCACAATAAGATCTCATTGTCCTTGTCTTGACGAGTGCGAGTGCGACGAGAGCAAGCGTGTGGAGAGACAGCTCACTGCCCTCCCTGCACCTCTGCAAGCCCAAGGCATGCTCCACCGTTCACCCTCCCCACCCGTTTTTGACGTGCAAGTGCAGCGAGGGACTCGCCGACAAGCCCGGTGGTGGCGCAGTTACCCGCCCGCGGCAGTCTCGCTGGAGGTGCCGGCGAGTGCGGCGCGTTCCTGACCGACGTCCCCGAGGACTAGTGGTATATGTTGTCTTTCCACGCATGACTTTCTCGATTCGATTTTGAAAAGTACAGCAGAATTCCATTGCATGTCGTAGTTATTACAAGCAGTATACCAAGGAGTATCAACTGAGCAGTAACCTAACGTCCGCGAGAGAAGATATGCGAGATGAACACCAGGGGCATGCACTCGCGAAACACGCGCACAAGTCGAACATATCACGTGATGTCGGCTCCGAGAGCGCACACGCGACATGTTCAACATGAAGATGAGAATCGAGGGGGCGCTGAGAAGGGCGCTGGACATTTCCGCACGTCTCCGGATGCGCGTCGCGCGGCGCAAATGAAGAAAGCGCACTGGAATCAAGTCAGAAAAGGGTATCTCGACTCGCGTGAGAAGCACCTACCCTCGCTCGGCGGACGACGATACGTTGCCTCATCGCCTAGGGGGGTGGGCGGGGACGCGCAGCAGGCGAGCGACGGAGGGGGAGCGCATGGCGAGCAAAAGAAACCTCGAGAGAACGTGAGTGAAGCGAAGAAAACCAAGACAAATATCTCTTACCTTCGCTCGCCGGACGGCGATATGTTGCTTCAGCGCCTGGGGAGCTTGTACGAGGGCCACAGAGAGCGCAGGTAGGCCTGCGCGGCCTGGGACCTGAGGAAAACATCAGCAATGAGGACAAAAGCAAGAGTAAGCCACGCTTACCGGCTCGAGAGACAACGATATCTGGATCCTCGGCATGCGACGGGCGTAAATCATGACGAGGGGGCGCGTGGGCCGTAGAGGGAGTGCGAGGCGAAGCTCCTGATAAAGCTAGGGAGGAGGTAGAGGTGCCTGCAAAGGAGGCACATGAGCAAAGGGAAATGATGTACAGCGAGAGACAGGGGGGGAACGAGGAGAGGATGGAAGGGGTCAGGTTCCAGGCGAAACGTATATGTGAAGGGGAGAGGGGAGCGCTAAGTACAATGAAGGTTGAGGCACTTGAAAGAGAGGAAGGGGTCACTAAAGGAGGGAAGGGGGACCGTGCAGAGGGACACGAAAACGCGGGAGGATGGCGGCAAGTGGGTGTGAGAAGGGACGGCGAGATTTGAACGGGGAACGCAAGGAAAAGGGGGGAGGTGGGAAGGGGGAGTACACACCTTAGACCGCTCACAACGGAGTCGCATCGTGCAGAGGTCCTCGGTATTGAGGGCGGCGCTGCGCGCCTCTCCCCTCTCCCCCCGCTCGCACAAATCACCGAGAACTTGGGGAGCGGGCCTCGGCACAATTGACGTCTATTTGCGGATTTTTGAGGCTTGAGATGCATGGGAAGATGTCTACAAAGGGGTCAGCAGGCGGAAGGAAACCAGCAAATAGTGACGCGCACCTCGGCCAGACGGGCGCCTATGGCGGCGCTTCGCGCCGCCCTCCTCTTCCCTGACGGCCGCGGGGGACAGTTAGGCCCCAGGGCGCGGCCCCCGGCCCAATCGACGTCGATTCGCGGAATTTCTCGTTTGAAAAAGCGCGATAATTCGTCTACAAACTCGTTAGAAAAAAGAGTGACAGCAAAGAGCTCCAAGACACACCTCGCGCGTTGTCGCAGCCGAGGGCAGCGCTCCGCGCTGCCCCCTCCCCCTCCCCCCTCCACAACCGTCGAGGCTCTCAACGAGGGATTCCCGCGCGGACCTCCGTGCATTTTGCGTCAAAATGCGATTTTTTGGCGTAAGAAGGCGCGTTAGAAATCGCCTGAGAATGCGTCAGAAATCGGTGATATACGCGGCCAAGTTGACGACGCACCTGAGACGACTACTGCGGATATGCTCGTCGCACGTAGAGCGAGCCACTATCCGCCCCTTCTCGTCGTTGGGTGAGGTGTCGGACGCGAAATTGGGCGTTTTTGAGCCGTCTTTGAGATGTTGACAACGCTTCTGGCGCCTGGGATCCGACGCGCGAACGAGCGAGGCCGGCGCGGTGTCTGCACAGGTCAGTCAGCATTCGAATGCGACGCGTGCGTGAAGGAGCACTCACCGACGCGTCAGCACCGCGCAGTCGAGGGCGACGGGAGAGGCAGAGGGATGTGAGTCCCGGACGCGATTCGGGTGCATGGGGATGAAGGGGAAAGTAAGAAGGAAACTCGTACGCACCGGTATATGAGGGCGGCGTCAAGGCGCCCGCCGCGACCGAATAGGTTAAATTTTTCCATTCCCGCGCCACATCCGGGGGAGCCCGTGCGCATCGACGCTTTCGGCTTGTCGTAAGTTTGAGTGAGTCTGATGGAAGATCAGCATCTCCGCGCATGTATGCAACTCACCGGTTATGCAACGTGTTATTTCGCGCGAGCCCGTCCGCAAGGGTCACGTACTCGGCGCGACCTCCACCGTACACGAACATGGGTTGCACCAGGGGAGCTTTCGCGCGCTGCCGGATATTGGCTGGTGCCAGGTATTCAGGGAAGGCGAATTGAGTTGACATCGATTCACCGTCGAAAAGACACTCGAGTTCATGTCTCGCGCGGAGTATGTCCGCGGATTGAACCTAGCGCCCACGAGAGTGAAGTTGATCTTTACGTGCCGTTATGCTTGAGATGCATCGGGAGGTGCCTTTGAAGAACGGAAATACATCTGGGTTAGCAATGAATTCTTACCATATTTCCTGTTTAGCCTGCCCACCACGGCGAGGGGGAGTGCACCCAGAATTCGCTCGACGAGCAACGCACGAGGCAAGCTTATCCGCGCGCGGTACGGCGGCGCGTGCATGTGTCCAAGTTCGCGCGCGCAAGCCCGACGACCCAAGACAACACCTTCCGCATTGGGCTCAATAGCCAGCCCCGCGTGCTATCAAGGCACAGCGCTAGAGCTCCGTTGAGGCCGTAATGACGGGAGCGGGGATCGTGACGCCTACTTCCTCACCTCCGTGGCATCGTTGAGCTGAGCAGGACATGCTTTGTTGTGCAGTTTGTGAGCCTAACAGAGGTATTCAGGGTCCGAGCAGCTATCGACTAAATATTTGGTGCGCAGAGGGGAGGTCGACGATGGTCGCGGACAAGACGGACGGAGTTTGTGGCGCCGCCAATCAGGGACCGGAGGACGGCCCGTCGAGTCCGCGCGGCCGCGTTCTGCGTCTTGTCTTTGAATCTCACCCAGCGCGTCCGTCCGCCGCATCGGAATACACGCCAAACTGCTCGCCCACATCATCGGCAGCCATCTTGAACCTCCGGCGCTGTGTGCTCTACTCTGCGGGCTGATATACGTCAAAAGCGCTGCGGGCGCGATCCCCAGCATCTCAGACGGCCTTCGCCGCGATCCCAACGCCAGCGATGGGTCGCAGTAGGCCGCGGGCACTCGCCCATGCGCCCTGAACCCATCGCCGGTTCTGCGATGGGCGAGATCTACGAATTTGCTTATCGTGGTGAGAGGTCAAGGACATTTGCATGCGCAACTCAACCTCTTTCCCTCCTTTCTGTGCACCGTCCCCCAAAAATACGAAACGACGGAAATCGATGCAGTTTTTGGTTCTGAACAGGTTTTGTATACCCAATCCTGCCATCCGCGCTCTCGCTCGAGTGCTATAGCGCGACGAAGAGCGATTTGAATATGTGGCGTCGTTTTTCGTCCGCCTATAGCGTCGTCGCATGGGCGCCCCGCCTGCGCAAAAGTGCACGCCCATGGTCGCCTGTACTGCTGCTAGCCTCACAGGAAGTACGGGGAGCTCTTGATGTCTGTACGCTGTGCTATTCCCGACGCTCATCCCGCATGTTCTCAACCCTGCCCCGATCCCAATCTTCCACCTAGCGCCACCCAATTTCAGGCAGCGATCTCGTCGGATGCACTGACCACGCGGATGCCGTTGCGCCGGCCGAAGAACGCACGCGTAGCTCGCAATCCCACACTTGCAAAACCAACCACCTGAACAGTACGCATCTTCCACTCATTCCTCGCTCGTTTCCGCTGTGATTCCGCAGCTCGGCTCGGATAGTGTCAGCATGCACGTAACGCTGAAACGCGCCCTCGAAGGCTGGAAGATAGCGCTGCCATCGCGCCCGTTGACACGGTTCTCATGGTCAGAGGCGAAATCTGCCCCTCCCCGAGCCCCCCGAGGCGCCATGATCTGCACGCTGTATGTCAGAAACATACTGAATATTTTCCGCTAGTGTTTCTGCCGCCAGCGCGAGGCCGCGCCGCTGCTCGACGGGCGCGCGCGAGCGCGCTGCCTTTCCGGCTCTCAATGCCTTCCCAAAACGGCAGGGCACGCGTCTTCTCAAACCACCACGCTCAAGTTCGTCCCCCCCCCCGACATCTGGTGCCACCCGCTCTTGTCGCGCGCCATCTCATAGCTCGGCCTTCTATTCAGAACAGTTTCCTGCGCTCATACAGCCGATATACGCTTGAATGCGCACGGAGAACACGTCAACACGCCGCGGAGATACTCAGCCAACACCCTCCTTCCACCCTCGATCCGCATCCGGGAACCAACATCCCCGACTCTCTCTCGACGTAACCTTCGTGTGTATCGTACATACGCGTACCGCGCAGGCAACACGCGCTATACAACGCCGCGCGCGCCAAAATTTCGCAGCGGGCAATCTTCCGCATTCTCGTAACTCAATCTTCGCGCGCGGTTCGTATTCGGGGGCGCGTCGCCTCCGCGCACGAGGCTGCTGCGGGCGGAGAGGCTAATGGACGCGGGGACAGGTACATAAGGCGAGGGGAGGAGAGGTTTCGGACAGAGCTCGGTGCTCTTTCCTTCCCCCCATCCCCTCCCTCCTCCCAGTCACTGCCTGGCGATGCTGAGCGTGCCGAGGTAAGTCTTGCCGGCATCTTTGACTTATGTATTGCTGACTGATTCACTCAGAAGTCCCAGGACGGGCCAATGCGGGTACGCGTCGCTTTTGTTGTCGTTTTTTCCCTTTGCTGATAACCCTTACAGGCCTACGCTCTCGCCAGGCCGGCGGTCAGCATGGGTAAGCACTTTTCTTGCTGATCTCTACGTTGTTCGGTGCTGATCAGTTCTGTTAGACTCCCCTCCCTCTCGTCGACGGTCAACGGCACGGCTCGGCCACATCGAGGGCTAGAAGGTGTGTCCTGCGTTCTACACTACCACCCGTGTTCTCACTCGCCCCTGAAGTCGCCGGCCTTTGACAACGAACAGGACGACGAGCAGCTATCCAGGCGACACGTAGGCTGCCCCCTCTAGCGGCCGATGCGCTCCTCTTGTGCCGTGTGCGCCATTCCCGCCCTCCTCCCCGTCCATTGGCATCGACCACCACGCATGAGCGAGCTGCTCGCCGTCGTCCAGTACGTCCTCACCGTCGTTTTCGCCATCATGCGCTGATCATCACACGACAGCTGTGCTACTCTCCCTCCGTACCGGCACCGAGAGCGCGCACGACGTCGACGAGGGGATTTTGCTCGACATGCACCTCCTTCCCCCTCGTTAAAGTCGTCTCGTTGGCGTCGTCTACCCCACGTCGGCGCCGCCTGCCGCCCCTCTGCGCTGGGCGGCCGACGCACGCATGCCGCCATCCGCTCTCGGCCCCACCACGCCTGCTTGTTGCCGGCGATACTCGCAATGCCGCCCTTCTCGACGCAACGCCGCCGCAGACGCTCCTGGTGTCTCCGCCCGACACCTTCGACGCCGTCTTCCTCACCACCGTCCCCTACCGTCTTCTTCACCGCCGTGCCCCACCCTTAGCGTACGCCTGCAGGCCTGAGGTGCGCCGCTCACTCCTGCGTGTCGACCTCTTATCTGATTCTCTCCCCAGCGGCGGGCCGTTGATGATGGCGGGGGCGGCGACAAAGGAGGAGGAGGACGACGACGACAACGAGATGAAGGGTCTGGGACGGGATATGACGTCGGGGGCGAGACGGGATGTCGAGGAGATGGTGGGGACGCGGCCGAGGGCGGCGACGAGCTGGGACCTTCGCGACGAGCTGGGACCTTCATGACGAGCTAGGACCTTCGTGACGGGCAGCCAGCGACGAGCCACGATAGCGCTCGCCACCGCCGCAGGCGAGCTGCTCTCAGGTGAGTCTTATTGTATCGATCTCGCGTTCAATTTCTGACTCTGCTATTCCGCTGACGCCGCGTCTCGCAGACCATCGCTCACACCGCGTCTCGCGGTCGATGAGCTGACCCTCGCTCTGGGCTGAGGTGCGGCGTCGCCCGCGCGACGATGTGTGTAGTCTCGTAAGCCCCTCCCTCCTTCGTTCCGATCCCCCATGGTTGAATGTCTTTTGCAGGTCGTGTACTCGTCGTGCAGGTCGCGCACTCGTCGTGCAGGTCGTGTGCTCGTCATGCAGGTCGCGTGCTCGTCGTGCAGATCGTGTGCTTGTCGTGCAGGTCGCGTGCTCGTCGTGCAGGTCGCGTGCTCGTCGTGCAGGTCGCGTACTCGTTGCCAGTGTGATTTGTTGACTGAACGCGTAGTATCTGCTCATTCGCTGCACTCGCCGTCGTCGTCGTTGATTAGCTGGACTCGTCGTCTTCGCTAGTTAGCTGGACTCGTTGTCTTCACTGATTAGCTGGATCCGTAGGCTTCGCTAGTTAGCCGTACTCGTCGTCTTCGCTAGTTAGCCGTACTCGTCGTCTTCGGCGTTCAGCTGCACTATCAGTCTTCGTTATTTAGCTGTACTTATGGTAGTTACACTGTATGTATATGGCGCTGACCTCGACGTCGTGCGAGTTGTCCCCGACGTCGTTGGAGCTGCTGTCGATGTCGTGCGAGGTGCCCCCGACGTCGTGCGAGCTGTCCCCAACGTCGTGCGAGCTTCCCCCGACGCCGCGCAAGACCCCCGAGGCCGAGCGCAGGACCTTCGAGGCCGGGCGCAGGACCTTCGAGGGCGCGCGCGCGAGACCTTCGAGGCCGGGCGCGGGACTCCCCTCCACGACGCGCAAGACCCGCGGGCAGGAGATCCCCCGTCGTCGTCTCCCTCCCGCCTCATATCAGCTCCGTGAGAACCCCCCTCATCGCTTCCCTCCCAGCTGCCCTCCTCCCTCATCTCCACCCTCCCGCGCTCCCTCATCTCCTCCCTCCCGCCTCATAGTTTCCTTGCCTCCTCCCTCCCTCCGTACTTGCTGATCTCGCCGATCTCCCTCATCGCCCCCCTCCCTCTCTCAACGCCCCCCTCCCTCCCGCCTCATATCAACTTTGCAAGAGCCCCGCTCCTCGACGTGCACGGCCCTGCTCGTCGACGTGCACGTACACGCACCTCCTCGACTTGCACTCCTCCATCCCCCCCTCCTTGACGCGCACCCACCTCCTCTTCAACACGCGCACACTCCTCCTCCTCCTCAACACGTGCGCCCGCTTCGCCTGCCGCCGCCCTCCTCCTTGCCCCACCTCCTCCTCGAAAGCACCCACCCTCCTCCTCGTCGCGCCCCACCCTCTTGGACATCCCTCAGAGGGGGTGGGGGTGAGGTGGTGGGTTATGTGGAGGGGAGGGGTGGAGAAGTGGGAAGCGAAGGGGGGGAGGAAGGAGGAGGGAGGGGAAGGGAAGGGAGGAGGAGGGGGGGATAGGTGGGGGATCGAGAAAAAGCGAGGGGGGGGAGGAGAAGGGAGAGAGGGAAGTAGAGGATGGAGGGCAGGGGAAGGGTGAGAAGGGAGGGGGAGGGTGAGAAGGGAGGGGGAGGGTGAGAAGGGAGGGGGAGGGTGAGAAGGGAGGGTGGAGGGAGGTAAAAGAAGACTAAGCAGACAAGTAAATAGGTAGATGGGCAGATGCGCGTTGTTTCGAAGCGCGTAGGGATGCATATAGGTGATATAGGCGCGTATTGAGTTGAATTCTACAGATATATGCGCGAGCTGAGTCGAATTCTAGAGGTAAGTATATGCGCACTGAATTCCCTTTTACTCCCTCCCGCCGCATATCAACTTCGCAACAGCCGCGCTTATTCGCCCTTGGGCACGCTCCCGACCTCTTGGTCATCGCTCGAAGGGTGGAGTGGGGGAGGTAGAGAGAGGAGAGGGTGAGGGAAGGAGGGGGAGCGAAGGGAAGGGAGGCATACGTAGTCAGAGGGGCGGGCACGCGCACGGGCTGGAAGGGCGGGAGACTGGTTGTAGTGGGGCAGGAGAGGGCTTGTAGTGGGATGAGAATCGATCGATCGAGGAGAGAGCTCGGGCACGCACCTCGCTCAGCGCATGGAGACGTCGCGGTGGGCGCCGACATGCGACTGTGATGGACAACGGGCACGGCAAGAAGGGCAGGGGCAGGGATGAACGTGTACTTGGACGAGACTTGGCGATGTTTGAGGGTGGGCGTGAGTACGGCGGGGAGTATAGGCCGTACGGCGCGATCAACAGAAAGGGGCGGGCGATGAGATGGAGCAAGAGGGCAGTGCGAGAGAGGCTGGCAGCGGTGCGAAAGAGGATGAGAGCGGCGCAGACAGAAGGCGGAAGAGCATGGGGCGGGTATGCTGGTGCGCTTGAGGCAGATCAGGCGTCCGCCGTGTCGCTCCGATGGCAGCCTGCGGGATAGAAGGTGTGATGTGACCAGAAGGATGCTCGACAGTCGCCCGTGGAGGCCGTCCTGATCGAAGCGCCCATCCGAGCCAGCCAGCCCGCCGACGCCACACCTGTGCCCTGTCGATCGCGTCGCACGGATATCGGCCCGGTCCACAGTTGGTTCGCGCCGCGATGGCAGGCTACCGCCTCCCAGCGTCCTCTCCCCTCGACACGCTCGTCCGCAAGACTTCTCAGCGGAGGCCGACGAACGAACCGGGTCGCGCTCATGCACCCCCGCCGCGCCCGGCCCCGCCGCCCGGCTCGCCGCTCATCCGCTCCCGCTTCGACCAGGCGCGGGACGACGAGAGCGTGTACACCGACGCCAGCTCGTTTCGCGCCAGGCACGCGTATTCGGAGAGCAAGGCCAGCACGTCCTACGCCGGCTCGTCCTACTCCATCTACCCGGCGGACGCCGGGCTCGAGCACTATCCGCCGTTCAACACCAACGACCCATCATTCAACTCTGGCAACCGCGCCGGCCACGCCAGCGAGCCCTCCGTCGACTCGTACATCGACATGAACTCGCCCGTCGACGACGACCAGCCGCTGGCGGACGCGCAGGAGGCCGTCCTCGCCGGCCTCACCGACACGTACCGCGACGACCGGCCAGGCTCGCACCAGAACTACGACTCTGCCCTGCGCGACTCGTGGCCGGATGCGAAGCGCGCGAGCGAGGGCGTGCAGAGGGCTGCCAGTGGGCGTGGACGTGGTCCGCCGTCGTATGCTCACGACACCGTCCGCGCCGACGCCAAGCGGCCCACCCCCGGCCGCCAAGACAACCCGCACGCGAGCAACGCGTTCAAGTCCGTCTACTCGAATGTCGATAGTGTCTATTCGCAGGACGACGATCGCAACTCCTATGGGGGTCCTGGGTACCCTGCCTCTGGACGCTACACCCGCAATTTGGACAGCATATACTCCCAGGACGACGACGATCAGGCGTACTATGCCGATGCGTCTGGTGCGGCGTACACGGACACATCTGGTGCGGCGTATAGTGCCAACGAGGACGTACCGACCGTCGTCGTCTCCTCGCCGATCACATCCAGCTCTGCTTCCTCCCGCCAAGCAAGCCGCCAGCCCATCCAGCAGCACATCCGCAACTTCAGCCGCCCGATGCCGCAGTCGGACGCACCTCCACCGGGTGCTACCCCTTCCCAAGGTCGCTCGCGCTCCCCTTCAGCTTCCAACGATTTCGGCGCCTCGCCAGGCTCTCACTCGCAGGACGGCTGTAACGCGCAGGACGGCTGTAACGCGCAGGACGGCTATAACGCGCAGGACGGCTATAACGCGCAGGACGGCTATAACGCGCAGGACGTCCCCAACGGCTACATCGGCGCCCCCTTCGACCCGCACGCCTCGACCATCTCCTACGCCGACTCGTCCTACACGCAGGACGATTCCTTCGCCTCGGACCCCCACCCCTCTGCAAATCCCCACCTGGACCCATCTGACTCACCCCTTCGCGCAGACGGCCCCTCCCCTCGCCCTGTGATGATGCGGAGTGACAGCAAGAATCGAATTGTGTTTAGCGCCCACCCCTCCTTTGCCGGGCCCCCCGCGCACGGTCTCCCCGTCAAGGGGCCCGTGTGCGGGGGGCGTGGGGGTGCTATCTACGGTACTCTACGCGTGCGTCCTAGCATGATCCCGATGTAACCCCTCCTACCAGCATGGTCCCTCCTACCAGCATCCCTCCTACCAGCGTGACCTCCCCCTCCCAACGTGACCTCGCTTACCAGCATGACCTCCCCCTCCAGCGGTGACGAAACATACGAACAGCATGACCCATCGTGAGCGCAGCGTGATGGCGTGCAGGTTGGATGGAGACGGGAGGAGGGAAGGAACACGGTAAGCCTCTACCCACCTCCCCTCGTCTTATATACCCCCCGTCCTGCTGAAGCGAGCCGAGTACGGACACCGCGCGGGTCCCCACCCTAGTACGCTAGAGCACGCAGTCGGTAGCGCACGTAGTCGGTAGCTTATCCACAATAAGATTTCGTTATCCTTGTCTTGACGAGTGCGAGTGCGACGAGAGAAAGCGTGTGGAGAGACAGCTCACTGCCCTCCCTGGACCTCTGCAAGCCCAAGGCATGCTCCACCCTCCACCCCCGTTCGACGTGCAAGTGCAGCGAGGGACTCGCCGACGAGCCCGGTGGTGGCGCAGTTACCCGCCCGCGGCAGTCTCGCTGGAGGTGCCGGCGAGTGCGGCGCGTTCCTGACCGACGTCCCCGAGGACTAGTGGTATATGTATGTTGTTTTAGACACACACGACTTTCTCGATTCCAAAACAACAATGGGGGTTCATTGCATGTCGTAGCTATTACAAAGAAGATAACAAGGACTAACTACTGAGCAGTAACCTAGTACTATGCACTGACCTCTCGATGGTGGTACGCGAGATGGGTACCAGGGGCATGCACGCGCACAAGTCGAACATCTCACGTGATGTGCACGCGCGCCGTGTTCAAGTTGGATATGAGAATCGAGGGGGCGGTGAGAAGGGTGCTGGACATGAGCGTCGCGCAGCGCAAATGAAGAAAGCGCACTGGAAACAAGTCAGAAAAGGGTATCTCGACTCGCGTGAGAAGCACCTACCCTCGCTCGGCGGAAGACGATACGTTGCCTCATCGCCTAGGGGGGACCGCGCAGCAGGCGAGCAGCGGAGGAGAGCGCATTGCGAGCAAGGGGGGATTGTAGGAGGGCCACAGAGAGCGCACATGGGCGTGCGCGCCTTGTCAGAGGCCTGGTGATCTGAGGAGAACATCAGCAATGAGGACAAAAGCAAGAGTGAGCTACGCTTACCGGCTCGAGAGACAGCGATATCTTGGTCCTGGGCATGCGGCGGGTGATTTATGACGAGGAGCGCGTGGGCCGCCGAGGGAGTGCGGGGCAAAGTTCCTGACAAAGCTAGGGAGGAGGTAGAGGTGCCTGCAAGCGAGGGTAGTGAGCAAAAGGGAAGGGTTCAGAGCGAGCAAACGAGAAGGGGGCAACAAAGAGAGGAGGGGAGGGGGGAAAAGAAACAAGGTATATGTGAAGGGGGAGAAGCGCTACGACGAGGGAAGGCGGCGCTTGAAAAGAGGGGGAGGGGTCACACAAGGAGGGAAGGGGGACCGTGTGAAGGGACACAAGACCGCGGGAGGATGGCGGTGAGTAGCTGTGAGAAGGAAAGGCAAGATTGGAACGGGGCACGTGGGGAAAAGGGGGGAGAGAGAAGGGGGAGGACATACCTTAAACAACGCGCAACGTGGTCGTATCGTGCGGAGATCATTGGCGTTGAGGGCGGCGCTGCGCGCCTCCCCTCCCCCCGCTCGCACCAATCACCGAGAACGCGGGGCGCGGGTCTCGGCACAATTGACGTCTATTTGCGGATTTTTGAGGCTTGTGATGCATGGGAAGATGTCTACGAAGGGGTCAGCAGGCGGAAAATAACCAGCAAATAGTAACACGCACCTCGGCCGAATGAATGCCTATGTCGGCACTTCGCGCCGCCCTCCTCCTCCTCCCCGACGGCCGCGACGGGCAGCCAGGCCCCAGGACGCGGCCCCCGGCCCAATCGACGTCGATTCGCCGGATTTCTCGCTTGAGGGAGCGCGAGAAGGTGTCTGCAAACTCGTCAGAAAAGAGAGTGACAGCAAAGAGCCCCAAGACTCACCTCGCGCGTCGTCGCCGCTGAGGGCAGCGCGAAGCGCTGCCTCCTCCCCCTCCCCCCCTTCACAGCCATCGCGGCTCTCAACGAGGGATTCCCGCGCGGACCTCCGTGCATTTTGCGTCAAAATGCGATTTTTTGGCGTAAGAAAGCGCATTAGAAATCGCCTGAAAATGCGTCAGAAATCGGTGATATACGCGGCCAAGTCGACGACGCACCTGAGACGACCACTGAGGAGACGCTCGTCGTACGTAAAGCCGGCCACAATCCAGCCCTCCTCATCGTTGGGCGAGGTGTTGGACGCGAAATTGGGCGTTCGTGACCCGTTTTCGAAATGTTGACAGCCCTTCTGGCGCCTGGGATCCGACGCGCGAGCGAGCAAGGCCGGCGCGGTGTCTGCACATGTCAGTCAGCATTCGAACGCGACGCGTGCGCGAAGGAGCACTCACCGACGCATCAGTACCGCGCAGTCGAGGGCGACGGCAGAGGCAGAGGGGCGTGAGTGACAAGCGTGATTTGGGCGCGCAGGGGGATGAAGGGGGAAAGTAAGAGGGAAACTCGCACGCACCGGTATATGAGGGCGGCGTCAGGGCGCCCGCCGCGACCGAATAGGTTAAATTTTTCCAATCCCGCGCCACATCCGGGGGAGCCCGTGCGCATCGATGCTTTCGGCTTGTCGTAAGTTCGAGTGAGTCTGATGGAAGACCAACATCTCCGCGCATGTATGCAACTCACCGGTCATGCAACGTGTTATTTCGCGCGAGCCCGTCCGCAAGGGTCACGTACTCGGCGAGACCTCCACCGTACACGAACATGGGTTGCACCAGGGGAGCTTTCGCGCGCTGCCGGATATTGGCTGGTGCCAGGTATTCAGGGAAGGCGAATTGAGTTGACATCGATTCACCGTCGAAAAGACACTCGAGTTCATGTCTCGCGCGGAGTATGTCCGCGGATTGAACCTAGCGCCCACGAGAGTGAAGTTGATCTTTACGTGCCGTTATGCTTGAGATGCATCGGGAGGTGCCTTTGAAGAACGGAAATACATCTAGGTTAGCAATGAATTCTTACCGTATTTCCTGTTTAGCCTGCCCACCACGGCGAGGGGGAGTGCACCCAGAATTCGCTCGAGGCAAGCTTAGCCGCGCGTGGGTACAAGTTCGCATGCGCAAGCCCGACGACCCAAGTCAACACCTTCCGCATTGGGCTCAATAGCCAGCCCCGCGTGCTATCAAGGCACAGCGCTAGAGCTCCGTTGAGGCCGTAATGACGGGAGCGGGGATCGTGACGCCTACTTCCTCACCTCGGTGTCATCGTCGAGCTGAGCAGGACATGTCTTGTTGTGCAGTTTCTGAGACTGACAGGCGTCGTCAAGGTCCCAGCAGCCATCGACTTGAGATCTGGTGCGCAGAGGGGAGGTCCTCGATGGTCGCGGACAAGACGGACGGAGTTTGTGGCGCCGCCAATCAGGGACCGGAGGGCGGCCCGTCGAGTCCGCGCGGCCGCGTTCTGCGTCTTGCCTGTGACTCTCACCCAGCGCGTCCGTCCGCCGCCTCGGAATACACGCTAAACTGCTCGCCCACATCATCAGCAGCGATTCTGAACCTCCGGCGCTGTGTGCTCTACTCTGCGGGCTGATATACGTCAAAAGCGGTGCCGGCGCGATCTCCAGCATCTCAGACGGCCTCCGCCGCGATCCCAACGCCAGCGATGGGTCGCAGTAGGCCGTGGGAACTCGCCCATGCGCCCTGAACCCATCGCCGGTTCTGCGATGGGCGAGATCTACGAATTTGCTTATCGCTCTGGGAGCTCAAGGACATTTGCATGCTCAACTCGACCTCTTTCCCTCCTTTCTGTGCACCGTCCCCCAAAAATACGAACCGACGGAAATCGATGCAGTTTTTGGTTCTAAACAGGTTTTGTATACCCAACGCTGCCATGCGCGCCCTCGGTCGAGTGCTATAGCGCGACGAAGGGCGATTTGAATATGTGGCGTCGTTTTTCGTCCGCCTATAGCGTCGCCGCATGGACTCCCCGCCTGCGCCAAAGTGCACGCCCAGGGCCTCCCGTCCTACTGCTGGCCCCACAGGAAGTACGAGGAGCTCTCGACATCTGTACGCTGTGCTATTCCCGACGCTCATCCCGCATGTTCTCAACCCTGCCCCGATCCCAATCTTCCACCTAGCGCCACCCAATTCCAGGCAGCGATCTCGTCGGATGCACTGACTACGCGGATGCCGTTGCGCCGGCCGAAGAACGCACGCGTAGCTCGCAATCCCACACTTGCAAAACCAACCACCTGAACAGTACGCATCTTCCACTCATTCCTCGCTCGTTTCCGCTGTGATTCCGCAGCTCGGCTCGGATAGTGTCAGCATGCACGTAACGCTGAAACGCGCCCTCGAAGGCTGGAAGATAGCGCTGCCGTCGCGCCCGTCGACACGCTTTCCGCGCTTAGAGGCGAATTTTGCCCCTTCCCGAGCCCCCCGAGGCGCCATGGACTGCGCGCTGTATGTCAGAAACATACTGTATATTTTCCGCCAGATTTTGTGCCGCTAGCGCGAGGCCGCGCCGCTGCTCGACGGGCGCGCGCGAGCGCGCTGCCTTTCTGGCTCTCAATGCCTTCCCAAAACGGAAGGGCACGCGTCTGCTCAAACCACCACGCTCAAGACCGTCTCCCCGACTTCTGGCGCCCCCCGTTCTTGTCGCGCGCCATTCCACAACTCGGTTTTCTATTCAGAACAGTCTCCTGCGCTCATGCAGCCGTCAGACGCTTGAATACGCACGGAGAACGCGTCAACACGCCGCGGAAATATCCAGCCAGCACCCTCCTTCCACCCTCGGTCCGCGCCCGGCATTCGACATCCCGACTCTTCGTCAACGTAAACTTCGTGTGTATCGCACATACGTGCACCCCGTAGGCAACACGCGCCATACAACCCCGTGCGCGCCAAAATCTTACAGCGGGCAATCTTCCGCATTCTCGTAACTCAATCTTCGCGCGCGGTTCGTATTCGGGGGCGCGTCGCCTCCGCGCACGAGGCTGCTGCGGGTAGAGAGGCTAATGGACGGGGGGACAGGTACATAAGGCGAGGGAAGGAGAGGTTTCAGGCAGAGCTCGGTGCTCTTTCCTTCCCCCCATCCCCTCCCTCCTCCCAGTCACCGGCTGGCGATGCTGAGCGTGCCGAGGTAAGTCTTGCCGGCATCTTTGACTTATGATTCACTGACTGCTTTACTCAACAGTCCCAGGACGCGCCAATGCGGGTACGCGTCGCTTTTGTTGTCGTTTTTTCCCCTTTGCTGATAACCCTTACAGGCCTACGCTCTCGCCAGACCGGAGGTCAGTGTGAGTAAGCGCTTTCCTTGCTGATCTCTACGTTGTTCGGTGCTGATCAGCTCTGTTAGACTCCCCGCCCTCTTGTCGACGGTCAACGGCACGGCTCGGCCACATCGAGGGCCAGAAGGTGTGTCCTTCGTTCCACACTGCCACCCGTGTTCTCACTCGCCCCTACAGTTCCCGGGCTTTGACAACGGACAGGACGACGGGCGGCCATCCAGGCGACACGTAGGCTGCCCCCTCTAGCGGCCGACGCGGTCCTCCCGTGCCGTGTGCGCCATTCCCGCCCTCCTCCCCGTCCACTGGCATCGACCACCACGCATGAGCGAGCTGCTCGCCGTCGTCCAGTACGTCCTCACCGTCGTTTTTGCCATCATGCGCTGATCTTCACACGACAGCTGTGCCACACTCCCTCCGTACCGGCACCGAGAGCGCGCACGACGTCGACGAGGGGATTTTGCTCGACGATCACCTCCTTCGCCCTCGTTAAAGTCGTCTCGTTGGCGTCGTCTACCCCACGTCGGCGCCGCCTGCCGGCCCTCTGCGCTGGGCCGCCGACGCACGCATGCCGCCGTTCGCTGTCGACCCCCACCACGCCTGCTCGTTGCCGGCGACATTCGCGATGCCGCTCTTCTCGACGCAACGCCGCCGCAGACGCTCCTACTGTCTCTCTGCCCGACACCTTCGACGCCGTCTTCCTCACCACCGTGCCCTACCGTCTTCTTCACCGCCGTGCCCCACCCTTAGCGCACGCCTGCAGGCCTGAGGTGCGCCGCTCACTCCTGCGTGTCGACCTCTTATCTGATTCTCTCCCCAGCGGCGGGCCGTTGATGATGGCGGGGGCGGCGACGGAGGATGACGACGACGACGACGACGAGATGAATTGTCTGGGACGGGATATGACGTCGGGGGCGAGACGGGATGTCGAGGAGATGGTGGGGACGCGGCCGAGGGCGGTGACGAGCTGGGACCTTCGCGACGAGCTGGGACCTTCATGACGAGCTAGGACCTTCGTGACGGGCAGCCAGCGACGAGCCACGATAGCGCTCGCCACCGCCGCAGGCGAGCTGCTCTCAGGTGAGTCTTATTGTATCGATCTCGCGTTCAATTTCTGACTCTGCTATTCCGCTGACGCCGCGTCTCGCAGACCATCGCTCACACCGCGTCTCGCGGTCGATGAGCTGACCCTCGCTCTGGGCTGAGGTGCGGCGTCGCCCGCGCGACGATGTGTGTAGTCTCGTAAGCCCCTCCCTCCTTCGTTCCGATCCCCCATGGTTGAATGTCTTTTGCAGGTCGTGTACTCGTCGTGCAGGTCGCGCACTCGTCGTGCAGGTCGTGTGCTCGTCATGCAGGTCGCGTGCTCGTCGTGCAGATCGTGTGCTTGTCGTGCAGGTCGCGTGCTCGTCGTGCAGGTCGCGTGCTCGTCGTGCAGGTCGCGTACTCGTTGCCAGTGTGATTTGTTGACTGAACGCGTAGTATCTGCTCATTCGCTGCACTCGCCGTCGTCGTCGTTGATTAGCTGGACTCGTCGTCTTCGCTAGTTAGCTGGACTCGTTGTCTTCACTGATTAGCTGGATCCGTAGGCTTCGCTAGTTAGCCGTACTCGTCGTCTTCGCTAGTTAGCCGTACTCGTCGTCTTCGGCGTTCAGCTGCACTATCAGTCTTCGTTATTTAGCTGTACTTATGGTAGTTACACTGTATGTATATGGCGCTGACCTCGACGTCGTGCGAGTTGTCCCCGACGTCGTTGGAGCTGCTGTCGATGTCGTGCGAGGTGCCCCCGACGTCGTGCGAGCTGTCCCCAACGTCGTGCGAGCTTCCCCCGACGCCGCGCAAGACCCCCGAGGCCGAGCGCAGGACCTTCGAGGCCGGGCGCAGGACCTTCGAGGGCGCGCGCGCGAGACCTTCGAGGCCGGGCGCGGGACTCCCCTCCACGACGCGCAAGACCCGCGGGCAGGAGATCCCCCGTCGTCGTCTCCCTCCCGCCTCATATCAGCTCCGTGAGAACCCCCCTCATCGCTTCCCTCCCAGCTGCCCTCCTCCCTCATCTCCACCCTCCCGCGCTCCCTCATCTCCTCCCTCCCGCCTCATAGTTTCCTTGCCTCCTCCCTCCCTCCGTACTTGCTGATCTCGCCGATCTCCCTCATCGCCCCCCTCCCTCTCTCAACGCCCCCCTCCCTCCCGCCTCATATCAACTTTGCAAGAGCCCCGCTCCTCGACGTGCACGGCCCTGCTCGTCGACGTGCACGTACACGCACCTCCTCGACTTGCACTCCTCCATCCCCCCCTCCTTGACGCGCACCCACCTCCTCTTCAACACGCGCACACTCCTCCTCCTCCTCAACACGTGCGCCCGCTTCGCCTGCCGCCGCCCTCCTCCTTGCCCCACCTCCTCCTCGAAAGCACCCACCCTCCTCCTCGTCGCGCCCCACCCTCTTGGACATCCCTCAGAGGGGGTGGGGGTGAGGTGGTGGGTTATGTGGAGGGGAGGGGTGGAGAAGTGGGAAGCGAAGGGGGGGAGGAAGGAGGAGGGAGGGGAAGGGAAGGGAGGAGGAGGGGGGGATAGGTGGGGGATCGAGAAAAAGCGAGGGGGGGGAGGAGAAGGGAGAGAGGGAAGTAGAGGATGGAGGGCAGGGGAAGGGTGAGAAGGGAGGGGGAGGGTGAGAAGGGAGGGGGAGGGTGAGAAGGGAGGGGGAGGGTGAGAAGGGAGGGTGGAGGGAGGTAAAAGAAGACTAAGCAGACAAGTAAATAGGTAGATGGGCAGATGCGCGTTGTTTCGAAGCGCGTAGGGATGCATATAGGTGATATAGGCGCGTATTGAGTTGAATTCTACAGATATATGCGCGAGCTGAGTCGAATTCTAGAGGTAAGTATATGCGCACTGAATTCCCTTTTACTCCCTCCCGCCGCATATCAACTTCGCAACAGCCGCGCTTATTCGCCCTTGGGCACGCTCCCGACCTCTTGGTCATCGCTCGAAGGGTGGAGTGGGGGAGGTAGAGAGAGGAGAGGGTGAGGGAAGGAGGGGGAGCGAAGGGAAGGGAGGCATACGTAGTCAGAGGGGCGGGCACGCGCACGGGCTGGAAGGGCGGGAGACTGGTTGTAGTGGGGCAGGAGAGGGCTTGTAGTGGGATGAGAATCGATCGATCGAGGAGAGAGCTCGGGCACGCACCTCGCTCAGCGCATGGAGACGTCGCGGTGGGCGCCGACATGCGACTGTGATGGACAACGGGCACGGCAAGAAGGGCAGGGGCAGGGATGAACGTGTACTTGGACGAGACTTGGCGATGTTTGAGGGTGGGCGTGAGTACGGCGGGGAGTATAGGCCGTACGGCGCGATCAACAGAAAGGGGCGGGCGATGAGATGGAGCAAGAGGGCAGTGCGAGAGAGGCTGGCAGCGGTGCGAAAGAGGATGAGAGCGGCGCAGACAGAAGGCGGAAGAGCATGGGGCGGGTATGCTGGTGCGCTTGAGGCAGATCAGGCGTCCGCCGTGTCGCTCCGATGGCAGCCTGCGGGATAGAAGGTGTGATGTGACCAGAAGGATGCTCGACAGTCGCCCGTGGAGGCCGTCCTGATCGAAGCGCCCATCCGAGCCAGCCAGCCCGCCGACGCCACACCTGTGCCCTGTCGATCGCGTCGCACGGATATCGGCCCGGTCCACAGTTGGTTCGCGCCGCGATGGCAGGCTACCGCCTCCCAGCGTCCTCTCCCCTCGACACGCTCGTCCGCAAGACTTCTCAGCGGAGGCCGACGAACGAACCGGGTCGCGCTCATGCACCCCCGCCGCGCCCGGCCCCGCCGCCCGGCTCGCCGCTCATCCGCTCCCGCTTCGACCAGGCGCGGGACGACGAGAGCGTGTACACCGACGCCAGCTCGTTTCGCGCCAGGCACGCGTATTCGGAGAGCAAGGCCAGCACGTCCTACGCCGGCTCGTCCTACTCCATCTACCCGGCGGACGCCGGGCTCGAGCACTATCCGCCGTTCAACACCAACGACCCATCATTCAACTCTGGCAACCGCGCCGGCCACGCCAGCGAGCCCTCCGTCGACTCGTACATCGACATGAACTCGCCCGTCGACGACGACCAGCCGCTGGCGGACGCGCAGGAGGCCGTCCTCGCCGGCCTCACCGACACGTACCGCGACGACCGGCCAGGCTCGCACCAGAACTACGACTCTGCCCTGCGCGACTCGTGGCCGGATGCGAAGCGCGCGAGCGAGGGCGTGCAGAGGGCTGCCAGTGGGCGTGGACGTGGTCCGCCGTCGTATGCTCACGACACCGTCCGCGCCGACGCCAAGCGGCCCACCCCCGGCCGCCAAGACAACCCGCACGCGAGCAACGCGTTCAAGTCCGTCTACTCGAATGTCGATAGTGTCTATTCGCAGGACGACGATCGCAACTCCTATGGGGGTCCTGGGTACCCTGCCTCTGGACGCTACACCCGCAATTTGGACAGCATATACTCCCAGGACGACGACGATCAGGCGTACTATGCCGATGCGTCTGGTGCGGCGTACACGGACACATCTGGTGCGGCGTATAGTGCCAACGAGGACGTACCGACCGTCGTCGTCTCCTCGCCGATCACATCCAGCTCTGCTTCCTCCCGCCAAGCAAGCCGCCAGCCCATCCAGCAGCACATCCGCAACTTCAGCCGCCCGATGCCGCAGTCGGACGCACCTCCACCGGGTGCTACCCCTTCCCAAGGTCGCTCGCGCTCCCCTTCAGCTTCCAACGATTTCGGCGCCTCGCCAGGCTCTCACTCGCAGGACGGCTGTAACGCGCAGGACGGCTGTAACGCGCAGGACGGCTATAACGCGCAGGACGGCTATAACGCGCAGGACGGCTATAACGCGCAGGACGTCCCCAACGGCTACATCGGCGCCCCCTTCGACCCGCACGCCTCGACCATCTCCTACGCCGACTCGTCCTACACGCAGGACGATTCCTTCGCCTCGGACCCCCACCCCTCTGCAAATCCCCACCTGGACCCATCTGACTCACCCCTTCGCGCAGACGGCCCCTCCCCTCGCCCTGTGATGATGCGGAGTGACAGCAAGAATCGAATTGTGTTTAGCGCCCACCCCTCCTTTGCCGGGCCCCCCGCGCACGGTCTCCCCGTCAAGGGGCCCGTGCGCGGGGGGCGTGGGGGTGCTATCTACGGTATTCTACGCGTGCATCCTAGCATGATCCCGACGTGACCCCTCCTACCAGCATGGCCCCTCCTGCCAGCATGGTCCCTCCTACCAGCATGGCCCCTCCTGCCAGCATGGTCCCTCCTACCAGCATGACCTCCCCCTCCCAACGTGACCTCGCCTACCAGCATGACCTCCCCCTCCAGCGGTGACAAAACATACGAACAGCATGACCCCATCGTAAGGGCAGTGTGATGGCGTGCAGGGTGGATGGAGACGGGAAGAGGGAAGGAACACGGTGAGCCTCTACCCACCTCCCCTCGTCTTATATACCCCCCGTCCTGCTAAAGCGAGCCGAGTACGGACACCGCGCGGGTCCCCACCCTAGTACGCTAGCGCACGTAGTCGGTAGCGCACGTAGTCGGTAGCTTATCCACAATAAGATTTTGTTGTCGTTGTCTTGACGAGTACGAGTGCGACGAGAGAAAGCGTGTGGGGAGACAGCTCGCTGCCCTGCACCTCTGCAAGCCCAAGCATGCTCCACCCTCTACCCTCCCCATGGCCACCCGTTCGACGTGCAAGTGCAAGTGCAGGGACTCGCCGACGAGCCCGGTGGTGGCGCAGTTACCCGCCCGCGGCAGTCTCGCTGGAGGTGCCGGCGAGTGCGGCGCGTTCCTGACCGACGTCCCCGAGGACTAGTGGTATATGTATGTTGTTTTAGACACACACGACTTTCTCGATTCGATTTTGAAAAGTACAGCAGAATTCCATTGCATGTCGTAGTTATTACAAGCAGTATACCAAGGAGTAACAACTGAGCAGTAACCTAACGTCCGCAAGAGAAGATGTGCGAGATGAACACCAGGGACATGCACTCGCGAAACGCGCGCACAAGTCGAACATATCACGTGATGTCGGCTCCGAGAGCGCACGCGCGACATGTTCAACTTGAAGATGAGAATCGAGGGGGCGCTGAGAAGGGCGCTGGACATTTCCGCACGTCTCCGGATGCGCGTCGCGCGGCGCAAATGAAGAAAGCGCACTGGAATCAAGTCAGAAAAGGGTATCTCGACTTGCGTGAGAAGCACCTACCCTCGCTCGGCGGACGACGATACGTTGCCTCATCGCCTAGGGGGGACCGCGCAGCAGGCGAGCGGCGGGGGAGAGCACATCGCAAGTAAACGAAACCTCGAGAGCACGTGAGTGAAGCGAAGAAAACCAAGACAAATATCTCTTACCTTCGCTCGCCGGACGGCGATATGTTGCTTCAGCGCCTGGGGAGCTTGTACGAGGGCCACAGAGAGCGCAGGTAGGCCTGCGCGGCCTGGTACCTGAGGAAAACATCAGCAATGAGGACAAAAGCAAGAGTAAGCCACGCTTACCGGCTCGAGAGACAACGATATCTTGATCCTCGGCATGCGACGGGCGTAAATCATGACGAGGGGGCGCGTGGGCCGTAGGGGAGTGCGAGGCGAAGCTCCTGATAAAGCTAGGGAGGAGGTAGAGGTGCCTGAAAAGGAGGCACATTAGCAAAGGGAAATGATGTACAGCGAGAGACAGGGGGGAACGAGAAGAGGATGGGAGGGGCAAGATTCCAAGCGAAACGTATATGTGAATGGGAGAGGGGAGCGCTAAGTACAATGAGGGTTGGGGCACTTGAAAGAGAGGAAGGGGTCACTAAAGGAGGGAAGGGGGACCGTGTAGAGGGACACAAAAACGCGGGAGGATGTCGGTAAGTAGGTGTGAGAAGGGAACGCGAGATTTGAACGGGGAACGCGAGGAAAATGGGGGAGGGGGGAAGGGGGAGGACATACCTTAAACAACGCGCAACGTGGTCGTATCGTGCGGAGATCATTGGCGTTGAGGGCGGCGCTGCGCGCCTCCCCTCCCCACGCTCGCACAAATCACCGAGAACGCGGGGCGCAGGTCTCGGCACAATTGACGTCTATTTGCGGATTTTTGAGGCTTGTGATGCATGGGAAGATGTCTACAAAGGGGTCAGCAGGCGGAAAATAACCAGCAAATAGTAACACGCACCTCGGCCGAATGAATGCCTATGTCGGCACTTCGCGCCGCCCTCCTCCTCCTCCCCGACGGCCGCGACGGGCAGCCAGGCCCCAGGACGCGGCCCCCGGCCCAATCGACGTCGATTCGCCGGATTTCTCGCTTGAGGGAGCGCGAGAAGGTGTCTGCAAACTCGTCAGAAAAGAGAGTGACAGCAAAGGGCCCCAAGACTCACCTCGCGCGTCGTCGCCGCTGAGGGCAGCGCGAAGCGCTGCCTCCTCCCCCTCCTCCCCTTCACAGCCATCGCGGCTCTCAACGAGGGATTCCCGCGCGGACCTCCGAGCATTTCGCGTCAAAATGCGATTTTTTGGCGTAAGAAAGCGCATTAGAAATCGCCTGAAAATGCGTCAGAAATCGGTGATATACGCGGCCAAGTCGACGACGCACCTGAGACGACCACTGAGGAGACGCTCGTCGTACGTACAGCCGGCCACAATCCAGCCCTCCTCATCGTTGGGCGAGGTGTTGGACGCGAAATTGGGCGTTCGTGACCCGTTTTCGAAATGTTGACAGCCCTTCTGGCGCCTGGGATCCGACGCGCGAGCGAGCGAGGCCGGCGCGGTGTCTGCACAGGTCAGTCAGCATTCGATCGCGACGCGTGCGCGAAGGAGCACTCACCGACGCATCAGTACCGCGCAGTCGAGGGCGACGGCAGAGGCAGAGGGGCGTGAGTGACAAGCGTGATTTGGGCGCGCAGGGGGATGAAGGGGGAAAGTAAGAGGGAAACTCGCACGCACCGGTATATGAGGGCGGCGTCAAGGCACCCGCCGCGACCGAATAGGTTAAATTTTTCCAATCCCGCGCCACATCCTGGGGAGCCCGTGCGCATCGATGCTTTCGGCTTGTCGTAAGTTCGAGCGAGTCTGATGGAAGACCAACATCTCCGCGCAAGTATACAACTCACCGGTCATGCAACGTGTTATTTCGCGCGAGCCCGTCCGCAAGGGTCATTGACTCCACCGTACACGAACATGGGTTTCACCAGGGGAGCTTTCGCGCGCTGCCGGATATTGGCTGGTGCCAGGTATTTAGGGAAGGCGAATTGAGTTGACATTGATTCTCCGTCGAAAAGACACTCGAGTTCATGTCTCGCGCGGAGTATGTCCGCGGATTGAACCTAGCGCCCACGAGAGTGTTGAACTTTACGTGCCGTTATGTTTGAGATGCATCGGGAGGTGCCTTTGAAGAACGGGAATACATCTGGGTTAGCAATGAATTCTTACCATATTTCCTGTTTAGCCTGCCCACCACGGCGAGGGGGAGTGCACCCAGAATTCGCTCGACGAGCAACGCACGAGGCAAGCTTATCCGCGCGCGGCCCGGCGGCGCGTGCACATGTCCAAGTTCGCGCGCGCAAGCCCGACGACCCAAGACAACACCTTCCGCATTGGGCTCAATAGCCTGCCCCGCGTGCTATCAAGGCACAGCGCTAGAGCTCCGTTGAGGCCGTAATGACGGGAGCGGGGATCGTGACGCCTACTTCCTCACCTCCGTGGCATCGTTGAGCTGAGCAGGACATGTTTTGTTGTGCAGTTTTGAGACTGACAGGCGTCTTCAAGGTCCCAGCAGCTATCGACTTGAGATCTGGTGCGCAGAGGGGAGGTCGACGATGGTCGCGGACAAGACGGAAGGAGTTTGTGGCGCCGCCAATCAGGGACCGGAGCACGGCCCGTCGAGTCCGCGCGGCCGCGTTCTGCGTCTTGTCTTTGACTCTCACCCAGCGCGTCAGTCCGCCGCCTCGGAATATACGCCAAACTGCTCGCCCACATCATCGGCAGCCATCTTGAACCTCCGGCGCTGTGTGCTCTACTCTGCGGGCTGATATACGTCAAAAGCGGTGCCGGCGCGATCCCCAGCATCTCAGACGGCCTCCGCCGCGATCCCAACGCCAGCGATGGGTCGCAGTAGGCCGTGGGCACTCGCCCATGCGCCCTGAACCCATCGCAGGGTCTGCGATGGGCGAGATCTACGAATTTGCTTATCGTTCTGGAAGGTCAAGGACATTTGCATGCGCAACTCGACCTCTTTGCCTCCTTTCTGTGCACCCTCCCCCAAAAATACGATCCGACGGAAATCGATGCAGTTGCTGGTTCTGAGCAGGTTTTGTATACCCAACGCTGCCATCCGCGCCCTCGCTCGAGTGCTATAGCGCGACGAAGGGCGATTTGAATATGTGGCGTCGTTTTTCGTCCGCCTATAGCGTCGCCGCATGGACTCCCCGCCTGCGCCAAAGTGCACGCCCATGGTCCTGTGTACTGCTGCTAGCCCCACAGGAAGTACGGGGAGCTCTCAATGTCTGTACGCTGTGCTATTCCCTACGCTCATCCCGCACGTTCTCAACCTTGCCCCGATCCCAATCTTCCACCTAACGCCACCCAATTTCAGGCAGCGATCTCGTCGGATGCACTGACCACGCGGATGCCGTTGCGCCGGCCGAAGAACGCACGAGTAGCTCGCAATCCCACACTTGCAAAACCAACCACCTGAACAGTACGCATCTTCCACTCATTCCTCGCTCGTTTCCGCTGTGATTCCGCAGCTCGGCTCGGATAGTGTCAGCATGCACGTAACGCTGAAATGCGCCCTCGAAGGCTGGAAGATAGCGCTGCCGTCACGCCCGTCGACACGCTTTCCGCGCTTAGAGGCGAATTTTGCCCCTCCCCGAGCCCCCCGAGGCGCCATGAACTGCGCGCTGTATGTCAGAAACATACTGTATATTTTCCGCCAGTTCTTTTGCCGCTAGCGCGAGGCCGCGCTCCAGCTCGGCGTGCGCGCGAGCGCGCTGCCTTTCCGGATCTCAATGCCTTCCCAAAACGGCAGGGCACGCGTCTTCTTAAACCACCACGCTCAAGTTCGTCCCCCCCGACATCTGGTGCCACCCGCCCTTGTCGCGCGCCATCTCATAGCTCGGCCTTCTATTCAGAACAGTTTCCTGCGCTCATACAGCCGATATACGCTTGAATACGCACGGAGAACACGTCAACATGCCGCGGAGATACTCAGCCAACACCCTCCTTCCACCCTCGATCCGCATCCGGGAACCAACATCCCCGACTCTCTCTCGACGTAACCTTCGTGTGTATCGTACATACGCGTACCGCGCAGGCAACACGCGCTATACAACGCCGCGCGCGCCAAAATGTCGCAGCGGGCAATCTTCCGCATTCTCGTAACTCAATCTTCGCGCGCGGTTCGTATTCGGGGGCGCGTCGCCTCCGCGCACGAGGCTGCTGCGGGTAGGTAGGCTAATGGACGCGGGGACAGGTATATAAGGCGAGGGAAGGAGAGGTTTCAGGCAGAGCTCGGTGCTCTTTCCTTCCCCCCACTCCCTCCCTCCTCCCTGCTCCCGGTCACCAGCTGGCAATGCGGAGCGTGCCGAGGTAAGTCTTGCCGGCATCTTTGGCTTATGATTCACTGACTGCTTTACTCAACAGTCCCAGGACGCGCCAATGCGGGTACGCGTCGCTTTTGTTGTCGTTTTTCCCCTTTGCTGATAACCCTTACAGGCCTACGCTCTCGCCAGCCCGGCGGTCAGTATGAGTAAGCACTTTTCTTGCTGATCTCTACGTTGTTCGGTGCTGATCAGTTGCCCTCTTGTCGACGGTCAGCAGCACGCGCTCGGTCACATCGAGGGCCAGAAGGTGTGTCCTGCGTTCTACACTACCACCCGTGTTCTCACTTGCCCTTGCAGTCGCCGGCCTTGACAACGACCACGACGACGAGCAGCTGTCCAGGTGACACGTAGGCTGCCCCCTCTAGCGGCCGACGCGCTCCTCTTGTGCCGTGTGCGCCATTCCCGCCCTCCTCCCCGTCCACTGGCATCGACCACCACGCATGAGCGAGCTGCTCGCCGTCGTCCAGTACGTCCTCACCGTCGTTTTCGCTATCATGCGCTGATCTTCACGCGACAGCTGTGCCACACACCCTCCGTACCGGCACCTAGAGCGCGCACGACGTCGACGAGGGGATTTTGCTCGACATGCACATCCTTCCCCCTCGTTTGCGTCATCTCGTCCGCGTCGTCTCCCCCACGTCGGCGCCGCCTGCCGCCCCTCTGCGCTGGGCCGCCGACGCACGCATGCCGCCACCCGCTCTCGGCCCCACCACGCCTGCTCGTTGCCGGCGACATTCGCGATGCCGCCCTTCTCGACGCAACGTCGCCGCAGACGCTCCTGATGTCTCCGCCCGACACCTTCGACGCCGTCTTCCTCACCACCGTCCCCTACCGTCTTCTTCACCGCCGTGCCCCACCCTTAGCGCACGCCTGCAGGCCTGAGGTGCGCCGCTCATCCCTGCACGTCGACCTCTTATCTAATTCTCCCCTCAGCGGCGGGCCGTTGATGACGGCGGCGACGGAGGAGGAGGACGACGACGACAACGAGATGAAGTGTCTGGGACGGGACATGACGTCGGGGGCGAGACGGGATGTCGGGGAGATGGTGGGGACGCGGCCGAGGGCGGCGACGAGCTGGGACCTTCGCGACGAGCTGGGACCTTCGCGACGGGCAGCCAGCGACGAGCCACGATAGCGCTCGCCACCGCCGCAGGCGAGCTGCTCTCAAGTGAGTCTCGTTGTTCCGATCTCGCGTTCAATTTCTGACTCTGCTATTCCGCTGACGCCGCGTCTCGCAGACCATCGCTCACACCGCGTCTCGCAAACTACTGCTGACGCCGCGTCTCGCAGGCCATTGCTCACACCGCGTCTCGCAGACCATTGCTGACGCCGCGTCTCGCGGTCGATGAGCTGACCCTCGCTCTGGGCTGAGGTGCGGCGTCGCCCGCGCGACGATGTGTGTAGTCTCGTAAGCCCCTCCCTCCTTCGTTCTGATCCCCCTTTGTTGATTGTCTTTTGCAGGTCGTGTACTCGTCGTGCAGGTCGCGCACTCGTCGTGCAGGTCGCGTACTCGTCATGCAGGTCGCGTGCTCGTCGTGCAGATCGTGTGCTTGTCGTACAGGTCGCGTTCTCGTCGTGCAGGTCGCGTACTCGTCGTGCAGGTCGCGTACTCGTTGCCAGTGTGATTTGTTGACTGAACGCGTACTATCTGCTCATTAGCTGCACTCGCCGTCGTTGTTGTTGATTAGCTGGACTCGTCGTCGTCGTCGTTGATCAGCGGCACTCGCCGTCGTCGTCGTTAATCAGCCGTACTCGTCGTCTTCGGCGTTCAGCTGCACTATTAGTCTTCGTTATTCAGCTGTACTATTAGTCTTCGTTATTTAGCTGTACTTATGGTAGTTACTCCGTATGTATATGACACTGCTACCGATGTCGTGCACGCTGCCGTCGACGTTGTGCGCGCTGCGTGCGAGGCCGCGCGCACCCCGCCAGTTGAACGGACTGCCGCCGTCGTGCTCGCAAGCCCCATCCACGTCGCGCAAGCCCCCATCCATGCCGCGCAAGCCTCATCCACGCCGCGCGAGATCCCCGAGGCCGGGCGCGAGACCTCCAAGGCCGAGCGCAGGACCTTCGAGGCCGGGCGCGAGACTCCCCTCAACGTCGCGCAAGACCCGCGGCAGGGGATCGCCCGTCGTCGTCGTCTCCCTCCCGCCTCATATCAGCTCCGTGAGAACCCCCCTCATCGCTTCCCTCCCAGCCGGGCTCCCTCATCTCCACCCTCCCTCCTGCCTCATATCAACTTCGCAAGAGCCCCGCTCCTCGACGCGCACCCCCTCTCCCTCCTTGACGCGCACGGCCCTTCTCGTCGACGCGCGCCCCTCCCTCTTTACGCGCACCCTCCCCCCTCCCCCTCCTTGACGCGCCCGCCTCCCCCTTCTTGACGCGCCCCCCTCCCCTCCTTGACGCGCACCCACCTCCTCCTCGACACGTGCGCCCGCTTCGCCTGCGACGTGTGCCTGCCGCCCCCTCCTCCCCGTTGCACCCCACCTCCCCGTTGCACCCCACCTCCCCCCTTCCTTACGCGCACCCACCTCCTCGTCGCACCCCACCCTCTTGGACATCCATCAGAGGGGGTGGGGGTGGTGTGGGTTAGGTGGAGGGGAGGGGTGGGTTAGGTGGAGGGGAAGGGGTGGGTTAGGTGGAGGGGAAGGGGGGGATAGGTGGGGGGATCGAGAAAAAGCGAAGAGGGGGGGATAGGTGGGGGGATCGAGAAAAAGCGAAGAGGGGGAGGAAGGGGGAGGGCGAGAAGGGGGGAGGGAAGGGAGGGGGAGGGAGAGGGAGAGGAGGGTGAAGGTAAAGAAAAGACTAAGCAGACAAGTAAATAGGTAGATGGGCAGATGCGAGCCGTTCCGAAGCCCGTAGGAATGCATATAGTTGATATATGCGCATATTGAGTCGAAGTCTACGGACATATGCGCGAGCTGAGTCGAATTCTAGAGGTAAGTATATGCGCACTGAATTCCCTTTTACTCCCTCCCGCCGCATATCAACTTCGCAACAGCCGCGCTTATTCGCCCTTGGGCACGCTCCTGACCTCTTGGTCATCGCTCGAAGGGTGGAGGTGGGGGAGGGAAAGGGGGGAGAGAATGAGGGCAGGAGGGGGAGCGCACGGGCTGGGAAGGCGGAAGACTGGTCGTAGTGGCGTGCGGGAAAAGGAGAGGGGACGGAATGATGAGCGTGGGATGTGTGAGGACGGCGGATAGCGGACGTCTGAGTGGCAGGGAAGGGCTTGTACTGCTGTGATGAGAATCGATCGATCGGAGGCGAGGGCTCGGGCACGCACCTCGGTCAGCGCATGAAGATGTCGCGGTGGGTGCCGACATGGGACTGTGTTGGACGACGGGCACGGCGAGAAGGGCAGGGGCGGGGATGAGCGTGGACTTGGGACTTGGCGATGTTTGGGGGTAGGCGGGGGTACGGCGGAGAGTATAGGCCGTACGGCGCGATCAACAGAACAGAGCGGGCGATGAGATAGAGCAAGAGGGCAGTGCGAGAGAGAGCGGCGCAAGCAGCAGGCGGAAAAGCATCGGCCGGGTTGCTGGCGGGGATGAGCCAGGCCAGGCGGGGGATAGAAGGTGTGATGTGACCAGACAGTCGCCCGTGGACGGCGTCCTGATCGAAGCGCCCATCCGAGCCAGCGAGTCAGCCCGCCGACGCCACACCTGTGCCCTGTCGATCGCGTCGCACGGATATCGGCCCGGTCCACAGTTGGTTCGCACCGCGATGGCAGGCTACCGCCTCCCAGCGTCCTCTCCCCTCGACACGCTCGTCCGCAAGACTTCTCAGCGGAGGCCGACGAACGAGCCAGCCCGCGCTCATGCACCCCCGCCGCGCCCGGCCCCGCCCCCGGGCTCGCCGCTCATCCGCTCCCGCTTCGACCAGGCGAGGGACGACGAGAGCGTGTACACCGACGCCAGCTCGTTTCGCGCCAGGCACGCCTACTCGGAGAGCAAGGCCAGCACCTCCTACGCCGGCTCGTCCTACTCTATCTATCCGGCGGACGCCGGGCTCGAGCACTATCCGCCGTTCAATAACAACGACCCAGGCAACCGCGCCGGCCACGCCAGCGAGCCCTCCGTCGACTCGTACATCGACATGAACTCGCCCGTGGACGACGACCAGCCGCTGGCGGACGCCCAGGAGGCCGTCCTCGCCGGCCTCACCGACACCTACCGCGACGACCGGCCAGGCTCGCACCAGAACTACGACTCTGCCCTGCGCGACTCGTGGCCGGATGCGAAGCGCGCGAGCGAGGGCGTGCAGAGGGCTGCCAGTGGGCGTGGACGTGGTCCGCCGTCGTATGCTCACGACACCGTCCGCGCCGACGCCAAGCGCCCCACCCCCGGCCGCCAAGACAACCCGCACGCGAGCAACGCGTTCAAGTCCGTCTACTCGAATGTCGATAGTGTCTATTCGCAGGACGACGATCGCAACTCCTATGGGGGTCCTGGGTACCCTGCCTCTGGACGCTACACCCGCAATTTGGACAGCATATACTCCCAGGACGACGACGATCAGGCGTACTATGCCGATGCGTCTGGTGCGGCGTACACGGACACATCTGGTGCGGCGTATAGTGCCAACGAGGACGTACCGACCGTCGTCGTCTCCTCGCCGATCACATCCAGCTCTGCTTCCTCCCGCCAAGCAAGCCGCCAGCCCATCCAGCAGCACATCCGCAACTTCAGCCGCCCGATGCCGCAGTCGGACGCACCTCCACCGGGTGCTACCCCTTCCCAAGGTCGCTCGCGCTCCCCTTCAGCTTCCAACGATTTCGGCGCCTCGCCAGGCTCTCACTCGCAGGACGGCTGTAACGCGCAGGACGGCTGTAACGCGCAGGACGGCTATAACGCGCAGGACGGCTATAACGCGCAGGACGGCTATAACGCGCAGGACGTCCCCAACGGCTACATCGGCGCCCCCTTCGACCCGCACGCCTCGACCATCTCCTACGCCGACTCGTCCTACACGCAGGACGATTCCTTCGCCTCGGACCCCCACCCCTCTGCAAATCCCCACCTGGACCCATCTGACTCACCCCTTCGCGCAGACGGCCCCTCCCCTCGCCCTGTGATGATGCGGAGTGACAGCAAGAATCGAATTGTGTTTAGCGCCCACCCCTCCTTTGCCGGGCCCCCCGCGCACGGTCTCCCCGTCAAGGGGCCCGTGCGCGGGGGGCGTGGGGGTGCTATCTACGGTATTCTACGCGTGCATCCTAGCATGATCCCGACGTGACCCCTCCTACCAGCATGGCCCCTCCTGCCAGCATGGTCCCTCCTACCAGCATGGCCCCTCCTGCCAGCATGGTCCCTCCTACCAGCATGACCTCCCCCTCCCAACGTGACCTCGCCTACCAGCATGACCTCCCCCTCCAGCGGTGACAAAACATACGAACAGCATGACCCCATCGTAAGGGCAGTGTGATGGCGTGCAGGGTGGATGGAGACGGGAAGAGGGAAGGAACACGGTGAGCCTCTACCCACCTCCCCTCGTCTTATATACCCCCCGTCCTGCTAAAGCGAGCCGAGTACGGACACCGCGCGGGTCCCCACCCTAGTACGCTAGCGCACGTAGTCGGTAGCGCACGTAGTCGGTAGCTTATCCACAATAAGATTTTGTTGTCGTTGTCTTGACGAGTACGAGTGCGACGAGAGAAAGCGTGTGGGGAGACAGCTCGCTGCCCTGCACCTCTGCAAGCCCAAGCATGCTCCACCCTCTACCCTCCCCATGGCCACCCGTTCGACGTGCAAGTGCAAGTGCAGGGACTCGCCGACGAGCCCGGTGGTGGCGCAGTTACCCGCCCGCGGCAGTCTCGCTGGAGGTGCCGGCGAGTGCGGCGCGTTCCTGACCGACGTCCCCGAGGACTAGTGGTATATGTATGTTGTTTTAGACACACACGACTTTCTCGATTCGATTTTGAAAAGTACAGCAGAATTCCATTGCATGTCGTAGTTATTACAAGCAGTATACCAAGGAGTAACAACTGAGCAGTAACCTAACGTCCGCAAGAGAAGATGTGCGAGATGAACACCAGGGACATGCACTCGCGAAACGCGCGCACAAGTCGAACATATCACGTGATGTCGGCTCCGAGAGCGCACGCGCGACATGTTCAACTTGAAGATGAGAATCGAGGGGGCGCTGAGAAGGGCGCTGGACATTTCCGCACGTCTCCGGATGCGCGTCGCGCGGCGCAAATGAAGAAAGCGCACTGGAATCAAGTCAGAAAAGGGTATCTCGACTTGCGTGAGAAGCACCTACCCTCGCTCGGCGGACGACGATACGTTGCCTCATCGCCTAGGGGGGACCGCGCAGCAGGCGAGCGGCGGGGGAGAGCACATCGCAAGTAAACGAAACCTCGAGAGCACGTGAGTGAAGCGAAGAAAACCAAGACAAATATCTCTTACCTTCGCTCGCCGGACGGCGATATGTTGCTTCAGCGCCTGGGGAGCTTGTACGAGGGCCACAGAGAGCGCAGGTAGGCCTGCGCGGCCTGGTACCTGAGGAAAACATCAGCAATGAGGACAAAAGCAAGAGTAAGCCACGCTTACCGGCTCGAGAGACAACGATATCTTGATCCTCGGCATGCGACGGGCGTAAATCATGACGAGGGGGCGCGTGGGCCGTAGGGGAGTGCGAGGCGAAGCTCCTGATAAAGCTAGGGAGGAGGTAGAGGTGCCTGAAAAGGAGGCACATTAGCAAAGGGAAATGATGTACAGCGAGAGACAGGGGGGAACGAGAAGAGGATGGGAGGGGCAAGATTCCAAGCGAAACGTATATGTGAATGGGAGAGGGGAGCGCTAAGTACAATGAGGGTTGGGGCACTTGAAAGAGAGGAAGGGGTCACTAAAGGAGGGAAGGGGGACCGTGTAGAGGGACACAAAAACGCGGGAGGATGTCGGTAAGTAGGTGTGAGAAGGGAACGCGAGATTTGAACGGGGAACGCGAGGAAAATGGGGGAGGGGGGAAGGGGGAGGACATACCTTAAACAACGCGCAACGTGGTCGTATCGTGCGGAGATCATTGGCGTTGAGGGCGGCGCTGCGCGCCTCCCCTCCCCACGCTCGCACAAATCACCGAGAACGCGGGGCGCAGGTCTCGGCACAATTGACGTCTATTTGCGGATTTTTGAGGCTTGTGATGCATGGGAAGATGTCTACAAAGGGGTCAGCAGGCGGAAAATAACCAGCAAATAGTAACACGCACCTCGGCC